ATTAAAATTATTTTATTTTTATAATTATAAATAATAACGTATTTTAAGAACTTTGCTAGCTTATTAATTATTTTAATATTAAAAAACTTATTAAGTTTTTTTTAAATCTTGTTAATAAGCTCCTTAGTATTATTAATAATAATTAAATTATTAATATAAACTATTATAAATACTAATTCTTTATAATAAATACAGGGTTTAACTAATAATAATTTAAATCCTATTTAAATAAGGTTTTTTTTAAGTTTTTTAAACTAAAAATAGCCTAATTAATGCAAACTATAAAATATTATAAGTAATAACTAAATATTACCTAATTTACCCTTAGCAAGGCCTTAAGGTTAGTATATATAAATCTTTTAATTTTTTAATACCGCGTGGAAATAAGTAATAATAATATTTATTTATTTAATATATTTATTAAGTATAATTATTATTATTTAAAATATCCGCATAGCAATGTTTAAAAAAACTAAAGTAATATTATTTATAAAGTTAATACCTAGTTATTACTAATTACTATATATAACCTAGCGCGCCTTAAAGTATTTAACTTTATTATATTTATTTATTTTAAATATAAATACCTATTTATTATTAAAGTTTTTTATATTTTTTAAGTAATAAATAACCTTATAAGCCTTTATATTAATAATATTACTAATTTAATACTTTATTACTACTAGCTATTAATTTATATACTTTAATTTTATAGCTTACTTATAATTATTTAATATAATAATATTACTAGTATTAATATTTTTATTATTACTAATAAAATTTAATACTATGCTTACTATATATTTATATACTTAACACTTTTTTACTAGCTTAGTAACCTACTTAGTTTTATTAATTACTTATTTATTACCTAGCTATTTTACCTTACAGCGCTAATAACCTAAATAATAGTTTATTAATAATAATAATAATACTAACAGCCTTTTAGCAAGTACTAATACTTTAAATTTTTTATAATACTATATTAATATAACTTTATTATTTTTTACTTAAGTAATATTAAATTATTAAAATCTAATTAAAAAATATATAATTATTTAAATATTTTTACTTTTTTTAAATAGCTTTTAATAGTGTTTTTTACATGTTATATTACTTATAATTTATAAGTTTATATTTACTAGTTATAAATCTTGCTCCCATGCTTTTTACTTAATATAAGCTTTAATCTTACTTAGTAGGTGTTTATAACCTTACTATTATAAGTAAATATTAAAATTTAGGTATTAAATATATAACGCCTCCGGAGTTAATATAAAGCTTAAAAATAGTATTATAAAAGTAAATAATTTAGTAATAAATAACTTTTATATAAGTATTTAAAAAATTAATAACCTTTTTATAAATATTAATTAAATTAATAGCCCCTTTGCAGGCGTTAGGTAAATAATAAGTATTAAAAATAGTTTTAATAATATATAACTTATATTTTTACTTAAATTATTAAAAAATTTTTATATTATATTAGCCAAGAGATTAGCTTATTTTTAAGTTACTTTTTATAATAGTATAATTTATTATATATATAATATAGTAATAAGTACCTAATTTTTTAATTTTTTAGGTATATTTAAAGGTATTTTTAGCTTTAAAATTTTATAAATTAGTATTTTTTTTATTAAGTAACATGCTAATAATTTATTTTAATAACCTTTACCTTCTCACGGGTAGCTATATACTTAAAATAATATATTATAAGTACTTTATAATTAATAATTTAAATAATTTTTAATATTACCTTATTAATAACTATAATAATAATACCTAAATTTTTATTTATAAGTTTTTTAATAAGATTTATAGCTATTAGGTATTTATTAATATAATTATTTTTATATATATAGCTTTTATTAATAATAATATTTTAAGATTTATAAAGCTTATACTTTAATAATATATAAATATATTAAATATAATTATAATTTTTTTATATTTTACTTAGTATTTAACTCGCGCCTAAGGTATTATTTTTTTTAATTAAATATAATTTTTTTTAAAAATATAAACCCAGGCGCGGTAATTAAAAACCTTAAATATACTTATTAAAGGCTTAAAATTTTTAATATATTAATACTTCTATTAAATTTATATAAGTAGCTTAAAATTTATATATTTTAGGTAAAAAAGGTAATTTACTAAGTAAGTTATATTATTTATAATAAATAGCTATAAATATTTTAATAAATTATTATTAATTATTATTACGCGGGTAATATTATTAAAATACCCTTTTAAATATTTAACTTTACTATTTAGCTTAAATATATGCAAAGGTATTACCTTGCTTTAAATACCTTTAGTTTTAGCTTAATTTAAAAAGTAAAAAATTTTTAATTCCCTGTTAATTTACTACTAATATAAATAATAATTAATTAAAGTTTTTAATTTTTTATTAAAGTTAATTATTATGGTGGAGGCCTTAGGTTTATTTTTAAGTAATACTTATATAATAAAAGTAGTTATATTATTTACTATAACTAGGTAGTATTTAAACTTGCTAAAGCTTACTAAAAGAATTATTTAAAAATTTATATATTAAATTAATATAGGATTATTATAATTTAAATTATTTTATTATTATTTTTTTTATAAAACTTTACACTTAGTATTTACTATAGAATAAATATTATATATAAACTTTAAAATATTTTTTTTATTAGTTACACCATGTAGTTTAGAAACTTTATAATAACTTAAATAATAATATATTTATATAATATCCTCGCGGATAGCTTTAGTAATAATTTTTAATTTATTTTTACTAAATACTAGTATTTTAGCGGATATTTTATTTATAAATATATTTAAAAAAACTATATTAATAATAGAAACTTTGTATTTAATATGCGTTAATCTAGTAATAATATTTATTTTTATATTATAAATAAAAAGATTCTTGGAACTTTACTAAATTCTTATTTTTTTATACTTAGGTTATTAATAAAAAATTAAAATTTAGGTCTAGATTAAAATACGCTTTAAAAAAATACTTAATAAAGCTTTTATTAACTTAGTATAGGTAAATACAAGCGTTTTTAACACTATAAATAATAATATTACTTATATTAATAATTTTATAAGTATAGGCTTTATTATGCAGCCTGTACTTATAAAGTATAAAAAATAATAAGTAATTACCTATAAAATAGCAGGCCGTATTAAAGTTAAAAATCTAGCTTTAATTTTTTTTAGTTAATAAAGCTTTAATAATTATATAAAATATAAAGCTATAATTATAATTATTAGCCGCTTGTAAAGTAGTGTTTTAACTAGTATTTTTAAATATTAATACTTTTTTTAGTGGCTTATAATACTAAATATATAATAATAGCTTTTATTTTTTAGTATAAATAAATAATACTAAATAAAAACACTTACTTAATTTATAGCTAATAAAATAATAGTACGTGTAATATTTATTATTTATACACTATTTTTTATACTTAATAAACTTATTTAAATATGCTTTTTTTAACTATCCCGGGCCGGGGCCCTTGCGCTTAAAAAACTTTTTTTTATTTTTATTTAATTTTTTTATAATTAATTTTTTATTATTTTTATTACTATTTTTATTAAGATTAAGTAAAGGTTTACCTTTAAATATTATAGCGCTAATTTTTAATACCATAGCTATATAAGTAATAATATTATTATAAAGCTTTGTAAAATTAGTTTAATAATAGCCCTTAAGTAACTTATTAATAAATATATATTAATAATTATTTACTTAGTTTAGGAAATTATTACGGAAATTAGTAAAAAAAATAAAAAATAAATAAAATATACCTATTTTTATACTTAAGCAGGTATAAACCTTATTTACTTATTAAAATATATTAATATAATTAATTATATTAATATAATTATTATATTTTATATTAAACACGTGTATACTAGTTATTTAAGCCTAAATTATACCTTAATTATTTACTATTTTTATAATAATATTATATAAATTATTAGTAAACTTTAAGGTTTTAGGAATATTATAAATTTATTTATTAATTTTATTAAATACTTAAGTAAATAATTAATAGGTAATATATAAAAAAGCTGCTTTTTATTATTTATAAATATTATTATCCTTTTTTTTAAGGCGGGGAAGCGTTTTATTAATAATAATATTAATTTTTAATATTATTAAAAAATAATTAACAGCATAGCTTTATTATTTATAATTTTTTTATTTTTTAGGTATTATATAACTTTTTAAATATTAAGCTAAGTAAAAAATAAAATAATTTTATTATAAAATATTTTTTAATAATATACTACTAGTGCCTAAGGTAGCTAAGGGGTTATTTTAGGCTAATAACTAGTAATACCTTTATTAATTATAAAAATAAAAATAAAAATAAAAGTATTAATAACTTTATTTTTTAAAGGGGTAAATATATTAAAATAATAATATAGTTAATAAATAAAAATAATAATTAATAAAACTTAAATTTAATTAATAAAATTTAAAGGCATAACTTTAGCATATAAATACAGCCTTAAATTATAAAAAAAAAAACTAAATTAAAATAAAAAATAAAACTTACTTAAAGGTTTTTATATATATTAAAAAATTAATAAAAAATAATAAAATAATGGCTAACTAGGCTATATAACCTAATAAGTAAAAAACTTTAATAATATTAAAAAAGTATTAAAAAACTAAAAATAACATGGCCACTAGATAGTGGGCGGCGGCGCGGGGTTACCTAACCCGGATGACTCATCCTCCGACTCCCGGCTAGCTACCTCCAACATGAACTAGTTCCTTAGTTCGAATACCCAGCAACGCCGTCATACTACTAGTAGGTTCCGGCTTGCTGAAGTTGCAATTCTTTGTCAGGTGGATAAGGCCTATCAATAGATGCTTGCCCCTTGTTTGCACCATACTACAAGGTCATGAGAGCCTATTCAATGAATCAAGACAAGCATGATGCCCCTTCATCTCAGCCAGTTCGGCCGCGGATCTGCCATCCGTATCTCTAACTGTTGGATCTGCCATCCGTATCTCTAACTGTTGGATCTGCACCGCGCTCAAGCAACAACTGCACAACCTCCGCCTGGCCTGTAAACGCAGCCTCACAAAGGGCGCTCCTAAAAACAATCTCGTCGTAATAGAAAGACTTATTCACCTCATCGTACAACCGGGGGTTCGTATCGATGGGTGCTCCCCGATCCAGCAGGTACTTCACCACATCAATCCTCCCCTTTCCAGCTGCCCTAGCCAGAACGCGACGGCTCTTTAGCTCAGCCCCAGCATCAATCAGCGCCTCAATAACGGGAATGGAATTGAAAGCCGCTGCTCCCTCCAGTGCGGTCCAGATAGGGAAGCGGTAGTAGCTCTGATTTGGGTCGGCGCCTCGCGAAAGCAGGAATTGGACCATGTCTAGGTCATCGAGGCTTAGGCTGATAAAGGCATAGTTAGCGTCATGGGATACGAGAGAGTGTTCGGTTGCGTACGTGCCTCAGAGGGTCCCCAAAATGGCCGACGCCCATATTGATGTCCCAACCCAGGGCAATGATTGCATCGATGCAATCTTTCCGCTTTAGTTCCAGGAGTTTGTAAACGTGGTCTGTTGGAAGTCAGATGGTGAGCCTAGTCATGTAGAGGTAGCTGTTATCAAGACTAAATGTTTACCGGTGTTGAATTGACACCCGCGCTTATACAGCAAAGCCAGTGCCTCAGGGCGATTGTAGCGTATCGCTTCCAAGGATGCGAGATATCTTGCAGTTGTTCCATATCCAATCTCTGGAATCTGCAGCTCCTCGATGTGAATCAAGTAGTTTAGCCGGTCCAGATCGTTGGCTCTGGCGGCGAGGATAAAGTCGTTTTGCATGGTGTCCTTCGGATTTTTGTAAGGACTGCCGGCTAAGGCACACAACTGATGTTTTAGTAGAGTCGAAACAACTTGATCAAGCTTCTTGATGTGCAGGTAGAACAAGAATCTAGGTAGCGAGGTTACTGAGGCAATGCTGAGCAGTCAATGATCCGTTTACCCCTGGCTCAATTAGGCAGCCACCCCTCCCTCGGGCTCGGACTACCTAAAGTTCCTCCGCGCTTAGGGTTGGCTGACAATACATGGGAATGGCAGTATGAGGCTCCTCTACACATAGATGACGTCGGGTCTAATATAATTGAATAGACGCTTTCCAAACATCGTGATATGTCTCAGGCTATGTATACTCAGGTAGGTATCAGTGCGGGGCTGGCATAACCCCAACCTCCCAGGCTAACTTGTAGTGCTTACCCCAGCGGACCTCGGGAATAAAGATATACTTCCCTTTTTTGAAGTGTCTAAAGCCTTGTTATACTTTATTTTGTTATCCCTAACCTTCTCCCTGTTCTGTGCCCTAAGCTTTCAAAACCGCCACAAAGTGTCTTTGTAACTACATGCTCTACCTTTCTAGCCTCCTACTTATTACTAGCCCCCAAACCTCCTCTATAACACTTGCCAAGTCCTCGACGTGGCTAGACGCGCCAGATCCACAATGAATCGTCTGCATGGTACCGTCGAGGGCGATATAGGCAATTTAGGCAACTGCAGGTGCGACCCCGACCCCGCCCACGCCCAGCTCCAGCACCTACCCTAGGTAGTGGACTGACTGGCATTTTGAAATGACAGAACCGCTGCCGCGCTGTTTCTTCGCCTCCCCTATGACGTTCGACGGCGGATCTATCACTTGCTGGGCTTCTATCTATTCGCCCGGGGCTACCCATCCAGTCTCCACTGGCGAGGCGAATGGTCGTTGCGCGAGCAGAGGACCATCGGCGATCATGAAGAAAAGGATTATCTCTCCAACCAGCTGTTTTACGTCTCCCGCGCCGTATCTGAAGATGTGCGAAGGGTCATGTATTCGGAGTATACGCTGCAATTCTGGGACAGAGACGAATGGAATCCCCACGGCTTACAACCCCTTCTCGACCTAACCCCGCTGGGCTGGAAGTCTCTCAAATCGATCGTCGTCACCATCGGGACACAAGGATGTACGATATGGTGCCCGGGTCCAATAATTCACAGGCTGCACCCGGATCAACATTGCCATGGGACGGTGCTTGGAATCCGTGAGAATATGACCTTCCTCGGCTCAAGGGGCTCTCAAACCGCATGGGCCCAGATAGAGATTTGGATATCCAGCACATGATCAGCACAACCATTCGGCAGAAGACCACGTACTTCCCCCCAGAGCTCAAAGATATTTTTCCATTCTTGGATCTTCCGGTGTAGCTTCAACTGCGCATTCTCGAGTACTCCGGTCTAGTTGCGCCGCAGCATCTGATGTCTCGGTATTACTGCATGCGCTTTGTCCCTGTCAACTGCAGGCTGTTTCGCTGCTCTGGGTACCCTTTCGGAGCACAGAACTGCAGCGATGTCTATTGCCCGTTCACTCATACAGCATGCTCCAGTGTATACCCGTGCGAGGACTCCATTCCGCACACTTTGTTCCTGGTCAGCAAGGCCGTCCGACAACTCGCCCTATCCGTATACTACCGGGGGGATACAGTTGAATTATGGTACCAAGAAAGGCGCATCCCTCCACCTGCCGAAGAAGCATGGAGTTGCCAGGCCTCGCGGTTCTTCAATCAACTGCCCGCTTACTCCTGGGAGCACCTTCGTCACATCCGCTGGGTCTTCCACTAGCTATATTCACCGCACACCAACGATTACAACGAGGAGATGAACGACTAGATTAACAGTGTGGCTTCCCTGTTCTCCTCGGGTTAAATCAAACTGTCTAGTCTGACTCTTGAGCTACACTTTCACAAACCATTCTGGCAATTTAAGATTCGGCCATATAACTTTGCTGAGATTGAATCTGTGTGGAATTTGTGTGAACAGGTTGTAACTCCTGTTATTCCCTTCAGGAGGGTTTTGAAGGACTTTTTCGTTCACAATTATGGCAACGACGAGCAGTACAGGAAAAAAGCTAGCCGACATCCTCGCGAGGCGCTCCTTGAACGCAAGGTCATGGGGGATGGTTACGATAGTTTATCAAGAGGGAAGGGCGGGACATTTTACAGGTATCTATAACTCGAAATCTTCAACCATACTCTAGCCTATGTGTCTGATGGGGAGGGTTGAACCGTCTCCTCATGTCAGTCGGTGTTCTAGCGAGAAGCTCCTCGCGCCTTCTGCTTTAGTATAGACTGAATATTACACTGCTCCCAGGCACCATGTCACATTCACCTCAAACCATCTGAAATAAACTACTAATCCAGGGCCATTCATGGTACGCTTTTTGGTGTTCGTATAGTCCACCGACTAGTTGCAACTCCAACCCCTGGTCTAGTTGATATGCCGCCATCACCAGGCATCACGCGTAGTTGATTGGCTGTCTCCTACACATTTGTTGGTTCCATGTAAGTGCTGTACAAACACTCATCCTGTGTTCTTGCTCATTAGGAAACATCTTTATAAATCATTCTAGCAGGGTTATGTCCCCAACAGCCCCGGTAAGAAAGATCAAAGTACATTGGCCCCTATAACGAGAATGATGCCTGATACGGTCAATCTGCAGCACATTTGAACAATCAAGAGTTGTGTATATAAAAGGCGTGAGAATGTCCTGGCTCTTCTGCGATGTGCTCTACCTCTGTGATCCAAGCTGAGACTGTAAAAGTCATATGCCTACGGCGTTCGAGGTTTACTCTTACCCAACTTCGCCCATTATTATTGCACGGTCCATATATATTCGTCAAAACCCTACTCAGTCGCCATGCGCATGCTCCCGAACTACATAGTCATAGTGGGTGTTTGCTGGCGACCCTGTTACAAGCTACTGCTAGGGCGAGGACGTAATGCACGAACTTTACTCCAACCATCCTAGTTCCAGATCCAAACAATGGACCGCGTATACCTTTCCGAACGGTCAGGCCAAGAACCCGAGTACCGGCATCTCAGGCGGCACCAGCAGCCCCAAGAGCAATACCGGCACTGGCTACATTCCCATGACAAAAATCACAAAATGCAAGGCGTCAACGGCTGTAGCCCGGAGCTCGAGGCGCCCGACTACAAGCCCGACCACTGGAACGGGCTGGATCGACTGAACGCCGACGACCACTGCCATCGCCGCCGACAAGGACGTTTCATCGCAGCATGAAGAAGCTTGCTCTCAAGAGATCCATTATGTCATCAGGTGCCTGACGCGCTTGGCATTTATCTCTATTAGCAAAAGCAATAACTAAGTAGCCCTCGAATCTCCCCAGAGGGCTACGGGGGAAACCAGGATGTCAGGCGGGTCACATTATGTCTATTTCCAAAATTACTTCCCTTTTTTACCTACTATATGTCTTCCGCTTTCTATTCTCTCTCTTTATATAGCAAGCTTGGTTCGTTGCGGGTCTGCTTGTTCACTACCATAGTATATAGCACTTGCGACTACTACGAAGTCAATGTACTTAATACTTAGTCGGCTGGTCTAGTGTACAGCTGGTGTGTTTTATTTCCCAGCAAAAAGCCCTCCTGGGCTGGGTTGCTAAGATTTATCCAGATTTAGGTGTTTTTATTTATTCTGTTATGTTTGCGGTCGAAGAGGAGTATACCCAGGGCTCGCAGATAGTACATTTCTGTCTATGGCGTGTTACAATAGCAGGTAGTTACAGGAAAACTCGTCCTGAAACTAGTATTCTGCCTGATTTGTATCTTTCTTTTCTTTATGACTCCTATCCGGCTGTGGCTTGCCACCAGCTGCACTGCCCAATTGCACTCCACCAGACACTTTAAGTTCTTCCCAGAATACAATGTCTGCCGGCGACCACCGTACAGATTTCCTCTTGAAGTATCGACATATTGGAGAAAGAGAAGAGACACATTCAGACGCCTTACGCGTTGTATACTCTTATAGCCAAAGAAGCGACGAGGACGCATGCAGTCTTCAGGAAAGCGACAGCAGACGTGTGCCAGTCAACGGTGGCGGGGAAGCAGACAAAGAAGTTTTATCATGGTATCTTAGTGTCGCTAGGAGAGCTGTAATACCACGTAACCAGTACTTCAACCAAACATTGGATCCATGGGCCGCTTTGTACGTCGGCCCCTGGTCCTGGACTGGTTCAAAGTGACTTGAGCAACCCGTTGTTGGAGAAGCACAAGTTATTCCCACAGCAGTCGGCGAGAAATGGCGTCGATCTGAACCCTCGCTCCCTGAAAGCGGAGCAGACAGGCTATTGAGAACCGATTAGCTGCATTATTCTCAACATCCTACCTACTACCATCCCGCCGCTTGCTAGTCCGCGGCCATCGTCAATCACGCACTACAGGTAACATTGGACGTGCATTAGTTTATAGGTAGAAGGCGTGGAGTTTTGAGGTTCAGTAAGACTATTGTAATCTTAGTTTAATCCAGCACTCTGGTTGGCTAGATATTAAAGTTCCACATGTATACGCAATTAATTTCCAACCTTAATTAAAGCCACGCACTTGTGGTTTATATCCCGGGCGTTACTCGCCCTACCTATGGCAGTGTAGGATTCTCTAAGCCTTGCGAGCGTATACGCTATAACCTCTCGCCTAGATGTTCTACCTACTTGCAGTCCACGTTCCAATGATACTTGGTTCAGCGATGTTCTGCCAAAGTTGAATAGCAAGACAACTCCATCACGGATGTTCGAGGACGCGGACCAGCGAGCCGTACCTTGCATATGGTGCCTTTGTTCGAGTACGCGTCCTTATACGCCACAAAGGACAGAATATTCGCGCCACAGTTCCACCGTTTTTGATTAAGCGGGTCAGATGCGTTTCTTCTCGGCGGTTGTGCACGGAGGGTTGGTTAGGGCTTGGCTTCCATGGGGGATGGGCGAAGAGGACGTCCCATGGTACCTACCCTAAGTGCCTTTAGGCTTGATAGGCTCATTGCGGGAAGAGGTTGTTGCCAGGATCGTTTTGGAGCGAGGTGAAGTTGATTGTTCATTGTTGGGCTGTGTTGTGTGGGTTATCGAGTCAAAGATGATGACGGAGTGGCTTGGTGCGTGCGCATGTAGGTAGTCATCTGCACCGGTTTCTTTGTGGGCGTATTTACATCCTTCGAATTCAGGAAAGGTAATGCTCCTGGTGCCTCTATCGCTGCTTGATGAGATTGACCTGCATTGCATCGCTGGTGAGTCCTTGACGGACTTGACAAGGTCTGTTATGTTGAGGTCTTGCGATGGGGATTTCCCAGAACACTGTTTAGAACACTGTTTATACATGAACCCAGGAGGAATTGACAGTATTGAGAGCAGTAATGTCTGTTCACCTATTCTGGGTGTTTTCCTTTATTATGTGGAATCCGCCACAGTGCTAAGGAATATGGTCGGTATTCACCAGCAACGCCACCTGTCCTGCCTACCTTGGATATTCGCGAATGATTGCAGTGGTTGGAAGGGGAGAGCACCACATTCAGGTCAAATCTAGCGTAACTAAAGCCGGAGAAAGCGGAGTGAATCGTTGCTGTTGTGTAGTCGGGACTCACTGTCTTGGTAGCCATCAGTACGGAGTGCCTAGGTAGGCGAGGAAGAGTCAGCCAGCTGGATAGGCGGGTGGGAGTGTCCTGGGCAGTGTTCTTGAAGGATAAATGAAGAATCAATGGCATTCTGTTCCTGCTCCATACTAACTGTCAAGTACTATAAACAACATTGACTGCGATTTCAAGCAAAAGGCACTGAAACTGTACAACAAATAGACACCGCTCACTCCTTCTCGTCAGGCAAATACTCCTGGGGCATATCCTTCCCGGTGTAAGGGTCGAAGAACTGATAGATGCCACCTGCATCGAACTTGTCCGGGATAGGCACCACCTCCACAAAGATCCGGCCCTCCTCCGTAGTCCCAGCCTTGACAACCTTTCCCACCCCAAGGTACACTTCGTACTTGGGCGCACTAGGAGGGAGATAGCGTCCAGGATACTCCTCGCCAACCTCCGGGATCCGCTCGATGGCCGGGAACTCTCGCCAGAGCCGATGTCGCGGATCCGGCACTCCAGCGTCCTGCTTTGCATTCGGATCCGCACTCTCGCCCGGGCGCGGGCTGCCCTGGAACGCGGCCATCCACTCCCAAGTGATCGGGTGGAAGAAGTCATAGTCCCCTCCCGACTTCCCGGGGATCGGCTCCACGTACACATACTCGAAGCGCTCGAGGTTCAGTCCCACCGCAATGACCTTGCCCACGCCGACATACCACAGCCCGTCCAGCGCCAGGTACACCCCCGTGCTCTCTGTGCCGAGCCGCGGGGTGGTACCGCGCAGAATGGGCGGCCGCAGCCCGCCGAAATAGTTGCCCTTGCCTCGTTTGCGCCTGTCCTGGGCCTGGGCCTGGGCCTCGGCCTGGCTCGCTTCCCTCGCTTGCCTCGCCTGCGCCGTGCTGGTGTACAGGACCCGCGGCCTCTCCGCGTCCGGCACGTCCTTCTCCTTGCGATCGTGCACGAACCGCTTGCCCGGGATGGGCTCCACCCGCCAGGAGTCGAGCTTCAGCAGGCGCCCGATCCCGTAGTAGCGGCGCCCGTTGGGCGCGTGGTAGATTCCCGGGGCCTCGTCGCCGACTTTTGTGCCCGGCTTGGTGTCTGGGAGGACGCTGCCGTCGGTCTCGTACGGGTCGGTGGGCCAGTCGGGGAGCAGAGCTTCTGGCATGGTCTCGCCGGTGAAGGGGTCGAAGAAGGCGCCCTTGCCGTTGGGGTTGTACAGGCGGTCGTGCGCGGGCTCGACGCGGATGTAGACTCCGCCGTCGTGGGTGATTCCCTTCTCGACGACCTCGCCCTCTCCATAGTAGCGATCTCCGTTGCGGGCGCGGTAGAAGCCTGGGCAGAGCTGCTTGAGCTGGGGTTGAGTGGCCCGGGGCTTGGCCAGGGCTTTCATGCGTTCGGCCGCGGTGGTCATGATGGGTAGATCCTCGAGGTAGGAAGAAGATGCTGGGGTGGTGAATGTGACCTCGCACGAAATGGATCCGCCGTCCAGTCGGGGTTACTTATAGGTTGGTCCTTCCATAAGTTCGTGTCCGGGCATGTGCCTTTGACTGGATGTCCTGCCCTCCCCTCCCTCCATGCCTCGCCGCCACTGACCAAAAGCAGAGCATGTTTGGTCCAACTACCCTATCCGGCAGTCCTGGGCTGTGTGAAAAAAGAAGAATGCAATCAATTGGTCATGGGGGAAGAGTCTTCCACCGCTGCGACGGTCGGCACCAGACCTCTTGCTCGGTGGCGTCCCCAGTCCCTGGTATCCCCTCCCCTCGCGCTTATTCTTTGAGAATTTTTATTATTCTTGGTTAAATATTGCCGACCCCCAAACAGGGAAAAGCGCCGAAACGAGGAGAGCCGAAACAAAGAACAGCAGGACGGATTCCACCCCGTGGTGGCCCTCATCCCCAACCAAACCGCCCGGTGGCCTCGCTGACGCCTGACTCGTCCCTGCTACGACAGCTGCCTGCGCGCCCAGGAAGAGTTGTCGATGTAGAATTGCATCAGCGATCGATACCTCCTCAGCAACCGCGGGCTCTTCCCAGCCATCGCGCCAATCAACCTCACCTGAGCCAAGTCCTTTCGGACCGTGCTGTACAGCTCGGCCTCGCACGCCTTGTGCAGCCCAGCCCTTGAGTGAAACGTTGCGCATCGCCGCGTGTAAACCCTCGCCGCAACCCGGACCTTGCCGACCGAAAGCCGTACCAGGGGGTTCTGCGTGCGAAGGTGCCGGATGCAGGCTTCGACGGCCTCGGTGCACTCGCGCGGCTCATCCTTCGCTTCGCTGCCCCCCGGTGCCCTGGACCGGCGTCGCTCCTTCTTCAACTGCCTGTTCAAGTCTGCAACGGTCCTGGGGAACCATGCGTAGCCGTCCATCGCCTCGGCGGCCTTGCGGACACAGAACCATACGTTGCCCGCATAATCGCCCATGAGCGTGAGGATCTTCGCTTCGATGGCCCCTTCCACCACGTTGCGGATGGCAATGGCCTCTTTGGCGCTGAGGCAGTCGCAGGTGCGCCGCTGTGCTGCAGCGTCACGGATCTTTTGGCGGATCTTGTCGCGTGCTGACTGCAGGTCGTCCAGGATGATGAAGGTCGCGGTGGGTGAGGTCTGCGGAGCGCGTTCTGCGCCTTCGTCGTCGGTTTCCCATGCGTCGTCGTCGGAGTCTGAAGGATTGGGTGTGGTGTCTGGGGCGTCGGCGCCGCTCAAGAAGAAAGAGCCGGTCTGGGGGTCGCTTCCTGCGGAATCTGGCGACGAGGGGGGGTTTGCTGCGTCGTTTGACTGTGAGAATGGATCTGCGGAGGTGCGAATCGACAGTGCCGTGGGTTTTGGTCCTTTCGCTTGCTCGTCGATGGCTTCCACAAGCTCTTTCAAGTTGGTCATCTTCGCGAAGGCAGCTCTGCTTGCTAGAAGGCTGATGATGCTGGTGGATGTAGGAGCCCAATAGAGGAGATGTTGAAATCCAAGTCAGTTTTCGGCGAAGAAGCTGACAAGGATGATGGAAAGAGGAAGAGAAGCTTCCAGCTCTGCTCCAGTTTTGTATCCATAGCTTCATAAAGAACGAAGCTGCTCTTTCTCTCCCCTCTTTGGTTCTTGCTGCGACAATGAAGTTCATTGTGCGTCGTTCATTGCGCTTTGCTCACTGATCGTTCCCTTGTCTTCGTACCATAGCAGTTGCATTCACAACGCAAGGCATTGTCTGGGAATATGCAGCTGCACATCAACAAAGAAGGTGGCGCCCAACAACTATTCAGAGTTCTGGCAGCTCCGCTTTGCTTGTTGATACTTTGTTAAGCCTTCACAGCTGCGCCTTGTCGCTCTTTCTAATGCCCCAATTGGCCTCCAGCTGTCTAGGTCTCCATCCAGGCAGCCTGAGCTGCTCCGTGCTAGCTGCACCCGGTTGAGAGACCTCCAATGGCAACGGTGAGGTTTAAATTATCCTGAGACTTCAGGCACTCTTTAGAACCCAGAGCGCCGGTTCGCTTGGCCATCAGCTCTAACCGAACCCGCCATTGTGTCCACACCCCCTTTCTTATTATCGAAACCGCCCCAAACACATTGAGAGCAAAGCCGGGGCCCGTCTACTGTCAGAGCCGACTCTTTCAGTCCGGAACACTGGCCGCTTTGGCGTCTTGGGCGATTCTTTATGTTAAGGTCTTCTCCCGCTCCTCCACCTCTTGGTTCCTAGGCTCCGGACTATCGTTCTAGGTCAGCTTTTTCTTCCTGGAGCCTACCGCTCGTTTAACGTGTGTCGGGCCGTATGGATTAGGTAGATGAAGCTCCTACATAAGTACGGCTTGCTTGTCCAGCGTAGGGCAGGCAAGTCACCTGCAGATGACACTTGATACCTAGGTCCACTCCAACCACATAAATCTACCTTGACGGTGCTTAACCTCGGAGGTAGGTACTATGCACTACGAACCGTCTATGATGGTTTGACTATAGACGAGCAAAAGCCATCATGGAACTCTATAACATGAGTGCAGTCCTTCTATCTTCGCAGCAACTCGTGCTGTCTACACATAAACCCACAACGTGGGTAGATACAGCTACCTCAGAGCCCAGTCCTATTTTCTATCAGACAACCTTAGCCACCCTAGGTACTCACTGTCCATGGATGGTTACGCTAGATTCTGAAATCCTCTGGCATACGAATCTCTTGCCCCAAGGCCGCCGGCAGCACCTGAACTCCGCTTCACTTATCCGAACCATATGAAACTTCACTAGAAGGAAAATGAACTGTGGCTAATGCGCCCACTTTATTTAATATGCTGAAGGATGTGTTGAATTCATACGTTGCTCGCTGACAGGATTCGAGGGGTTAGGGCGTGGGTGGGTCGGGACTACAGTATGTTAGGGTTGTCTTTAGGAAGGCCTGAAAAGAACATGAATTAGGGGCTGATATGGAGGTGCTCGCCATCTATTCTACTCTTGTATTTTGCTCTCCTTTGGTGCATGTTCTCGCACGGGGCGCATTATCGGCTGATGTACGGAGTATCATAGCCTGTGCTCTCAAGGAGCCCCATGCACTATAATCTGATAATATCCATGTAACAATAGGCGCAAAGCTGAACGCCTGAGACCCACTCGCACGGCAGCCACGACAAGGTGGGTTGGGATTGCGTACCTTATTGACCGCGGCTCTAGTGCTGACGGTGCCCAGAGCTGAGCCCTACCGTGCATCCATAGGTCCACACAGAGTCACGGACAGGGGCTTCTCCATAGGGCTTAGAGAGGCATCAGAGGAGCTGAGCAGAGCCGCGCCTATATATTCGACTCGACCCTTTCCCGAAGTCTTTCCATCTAATCATTTTTCCAACTCTGGACTTCCCTCAACCATCACACCTCGACCCCACCCCCGAGCTTCACAATGTCATCCCGATCTCCCAAAGCAACCATCCTCCTCATCCACGGCGGCTGGCAAACCCCCGCCCACTACGCGACACTCACCACTTACCTCCGCGCCGCCGGCCACGAAGTCCACGCCCCGCGCCTGCCCTCAACAAACGGCGCCCGCCCCCCAACCGCCACCCTAGCAACCGACACCGCGCTGATCCGCTCGACCGCCGAGGGCCTCGTCTCCGCAGGCCACAAGCTCATCGTCCTCATGCACTCGTACGGCGGCCAAGTGGGGACAAACGCACTAGCGGGTCTGAGCGTCGCAACCCGCGCAAAGCAGAGCCTCCCCGGGGGCATCGCGCGGCTTGTGTACATTGCAGCGTTTGCGCTCGCCCCGGGCGAGAGCATGATGGGGATGGTGAAGGAGATGGGGGACGAGGGGCTGATCGCGGTGGCGTTTGAGTTTGATTCCGATGGGATTGCGCGCGATCGCGATCCGCGGAATCTGCTTGTGGGGCCGGGATTGGCGGAGGCGGAGCTGGACGCTTTTGTTGCGAGTTTGGTTGTGTGGAATGGGAGTGTCATGTATCAGGGGCTTGAGGAGTGTGCGTGGATGGATGGGGGTGTGCGGGTTTCGTATGTTTGTACGGTGAACGATATGACGGTGCCGTTGGGGTATCAGCGGGTTATGATTGAGCGGATGAGGGAGGGGGGGAAGGAGGTTGAGGTCTTTGAGATGGAGACCGGGCATTGTCCGCAGGTTACGATGCCGAAGGAGTTGGGGGAGATTGTGAGTGGGATTGTCACGGCGGAGGAGGCGAGGTGGGTTGAGTAGGACTGGAGGAGCCTACAGTAGGCATCTAGGTAGACATCTGGATATTTAGGTCAACACCTAATCAACAAACGGCAATACCCGACACCACTCTCTCCTCTCCTGCTCACTCCTGGCCTCCCGCGCAAGAAACCTCTGCACGCCCTCATCCAGCTGTTTCCGTGACAGCTCGTAATCATCCTCGCTTACCCTTCCATCCCAATGCTTGAAACAGCCAGTGTCGGCGATGAATTCCTCCATGAGTGCCACACCTTGAGCCCAAAGCTCCTCATCGCATTCTTGCTCTGCGACTTCTTCTGCAGAAAATTGCAGCGGACAGGGTACTGATGCCCCTTCGCTAACAAGACTGGACCACTCCTTCTGGACGTCTCGAAGAAGGCTGTTGAGGCACGGCTCGTAGTCCATTATCGTCAATCCCGGAATAACGCTGACTTGATGGCGGAGGGTCCTCTGGGCTTGAATGGCGTCAAATATGACGGGGCTGAGTTGACGTGACCGCGCTAAGTACAGGTTATGCAGTGTCTGCGCCTGATGCAGTGCCTTTGCTTGCTTCTGCTGCTCTGGGCTCAGGGCCTCCAAGTTCTCGGGGAGGCGGATCTTGTCCAGCGTCTCGGGAGGAGGGCCGTTGTAGTCCAAGAAAGCCGGACGAGCGACTTGGGTGAAGAGGGGAGCGAGGCTTGTAGATTGCCAGTCAATGATTCCTAGGATGCGCGTGGGTTCGTTGGGGTCGACGAAGATGTTTTGCGAGTTCAGGTCTCCGTGCCATAGGACTGATGCGTGACTGGTAAGGCTCTCTGGGAGAGTGTATGGGGCTACCTTGAGGTAATTTCGAAGTGTTGCAAGTTTCTTTGCATTGGTGGGCTGGTACTGTCGCGGTCCATAGAAAAGACCTTCTGGCATCAGGGGGTACATGAGACCTGCTTTCGCAGTTGCAATCTCCCGCTTTGCGACTGCTATCACGTACTCGGCGGCCGAAGACCCTGCGCATAATTAACATGAGATGAATGCGCATTTAATGATTGCAAGATACTCACAAGGCCCACGATCAATATCCAACGACCCCTTTCCGAAGTCGAAAAACGCGCGGTGATTCGTTGGTCCAATGGCAAAATTGGTGCTCTGTACTTCCTTGCCAGTGTTGTCCACGTACAAAGACGATGATAACATGTCGGCGCTCGAGGGAAGATCCTCCTTGTAGTACAAACTCCCGTAGCCGGGAAACTTGGTCGCAGCAAGTATATTTTCAAAGTCGACAACCTGCAACACAAGCTGCGCCCGGTGCTTCCCCTTCAATGCACCCCATACCTCGCTCAGCATAACACCATGCTGCTTCTCCATGAGGATATACTCCGCGCCGACCGGGTTCTCGGCTCTAGAGCTCCACGCATAGACCTTCGGAACGGGCAAATCCAGAACATTCCGCAGCTGCGTCCGTTAGCGATAGCTCGCAAAGGTCGCAATTTAACCACTAGAGGAGCTCTTACAAAGTCCATAGTGGCAACCTCACTCGACGTCGTAAAATGAGGTCGTCCGGCATTGGGATTGGGCAGTTTGGCAATGATTTCCCGCCCATTGTCCATTGTCAGCACAAAGACTTTGTTGTACTGGCCCTCGGCGAGTTTCAACACGCGAGCGCAGTATTGTGCTCCGACAGCGGAGGCCGCAATGTCTAGCAGCGGCTGGAGCTCGAACTGCACGTATCGACAGGCGAATTGCTCCTGTTCGCGCCAGAGCCAGCGACCGGAGGTAAAACGCTGCAGCGCGTCGAGGTCACCATCAATACCTGAGGTTGTTAGCATTCGCAAGATTGGCTCGGTATAGTTATGCATTGCACCTTCGCAAAATCTCTGCATCTTGTGTTGACCAGCGTGTATATGGCGCCTTATCAAGCCGCGACCGGTGGAAAGACCCGTGGGCGGCGCGGTACGTAGGACATTTCTACATCTAGCCACTCGGAAGCCCCGCATGGTACATTCACGCCAGAAAGCTAGTAATAGATCAAAGAGGAAAAAGAAGTGGGTGCTAGGTGTGGGTGGTGGATGTAGACGGATCGTGCAAAGGCACGGTGCGGCGGAGTTCAAGATGGGCTGGAGGGTGGCTGGGGAATCTGCCAATGCTGACATGGATGCCTACGTACTTGGACTGAGTTGCAAGGCGCCGCAATTGCAGTCAGTCAGATCCTTCTAGATGCATAGAAACGAGCTCATGAAGGTCACTTCGAATTCTCCACTGGCATGGTCACAGTATGCTTTCCTCTTCCATCACTTCGTCCTCATTCAATCGTGAGGTATCTATCCAGCGGCTCGGGAACGATTTTCAGCAGTTCACATCAACGTTGGGCGTCACTGAGCGTATCCATATGTTACCGCCTGGTGTAGGACTCCCGCTCATGTCGCAGCTTGCACCTATGCAGCCTCGTGGCGCTCGAGCGTCCGCTAAAGATGGCACGGTCATAACCGTCCCCAGGGCGCCACACCCAAATGGAGAACCCTGCACCTGCAGGATTGGCGTCCAGTAACGACAAATAATAGCCAGCCACATCATAGAACCGCAGTTTTCAGCCTTCGGATGAACCAGTGCCGTCAAGCGGCATGAGAATCGCATAAAAGGCACAAACGCCCGCCGCAGCAGCTCACCATTCTTGCTTTTGCGCGCAAGCTTAATGGCGGAGACTCTTGACCTTCTGGGGGTGATTGGGACGTGGGTGGCTGCCTTTCTGGCGATCATCGCACTGGCCGGCATAATCCCGGCTTATATTCTGTATCGCACGTCTCAAACAGAACATTACGAGGCGCCTAGCCAGATCGACGACAAAAACCACGAGTACATCTCGAAAGGATATACGCTTCTACCGGGAAGGCGCTTCTTCCGCTCGATCAGGGTACCGGATCTGACGCAGCCGCCGAGACTAGCCAGAAATGCAAATGAGCCAGAAGTAACCATCCATCGAGACTGTGCCCTTCTCGACCGCGACGGCAGCCCGTCCGCGACATCGTGGGTCAATTTCATAAGCCTTCTTCGGGCATATGGGGTTTCTCCGCGGGCCATCGGCGGTAAGCTGAAGATATCAGGGACTGAGACGTTGCTTCCAGTGCATAGGAGCTGGGTCCTTCTGATGGGTCTTATCGATCGGTATTGCTGGCGCATTGATTATGGGCTCTTCGTTGACGAGCCGTCGAATCCGGCATGGGCAGCCTTTGGCAACGACTCTCTCAATGGGCTTAGCGGAATCATCGACAGGATCCATCCCGGCCGCGACAAGATCTGCTTCCACATGCACGATGTTACCCACATGAGGAGCATGCCTGCTTATATCCCAAGCCGGGACTTTCCGCCGCGAACACTGTTGTTTTTGTACCTGGGCTACCTACCTGCCGCTGATGGGAGTCTGCTCTGCAGTGCGGTTGAGTCCGGGTCAAGCGAGGGAGACCTGGTGCCTCAGATCAACCGGACCACCAGTGGGCCCAACAAACTGGTGTTTTATAGCATGGCTGTTCTTGAGCCGAACGAGGTGGCTGTTCGGGACAGGCGGTTGGCGGATGAGATGGGGATCCCGTTGCCAAAAGTCCGTCGACTGGGTCTACAAAGGTCGACTGCAGCCCGTCATGGACCCTGGGGAGGTCAGGTGCGGAAACGTGACTTGATCTATGATGATGGTGTGGAGTATATTTGTCTTGAGAGCAGAGAGGAAGTGGCTATTCTGTTAAATGTGGCTGACACGCAGACCCTGGCCCTGGCAGCACTCCGGCTTGATCTGAATGCTCAGTTGTTCCTGTGCGGCGGTGGCCTGGCAGGGCTTTTCAACCGGCTGCTGTCCCCCTCCGAGCTCGAAAACCTTGTGCAGAAGGCGTCACTCAAAGTTGACACAATGCAAATGCAAGATGTTGACAAACAGTCACTTCGAACGGCCATTGGTGAAATTGAAGAGCATCAATACGCATCTTCTCGCAGCCGCGGACGCGCTTTGGCCCTTGCGAGACTGGACGACACCCTGACGACACTGAAACGCAAACATGCCATTTCACAACGAGCGATGGAAACGGTAGCGGTCTTATACTTGACTAAACAAGACTTCAGGGATTTTCTGGACCATGATTCTCATGGCAAGTCTCGACAGGCCATGTTCACCATCGACGTTGCGCAGAAAAGAGTTTGCATGCCAGAATCAAACCGGGAGTTCGACTTTGACTTTTCCGCAGTTTTCTCCCTAGACCCGCTGGATGAAGGCGAGAAGAGTCTGACACTATCTCTATGGCAAGCATTGCTGGCCTTGCTGCATGCAGTGGTCAAGTGGCATATCTGGTCAACCGTTTATTCTTCGCGGGATCTCTCTGCCTTCCACACCCCGCTAAACCGTACCGTATACATCTCCGCGCAAGACCTGCCAGATCATCAAGAGGATATTAATAGTACTCTGCGAGATGTAGCCGACGCATCCCGCGATTTGCTTGGTCGTCTTAACAGCGCTTAGGACATTGGAACAAGCCAAAGAAGCCGCTATCGCACACATGCTTCGCCTAGTGATGAGGAAGAAATTGCGAGTGAAGATAGTTGAGGTAGCTACAGAGGTCGTAGGAGGAAGAGCGAAAATGACTCTGACAATGACCACCAAAATGATGACAGCGATAATGACAAGGATGGCATTCAGAATAACCAGGATGGCGATGATGATGACCGGATCAGCCATGAAGATGAAAATAGCAACGAAGACGAAAGTGGCGAGAAAAATGACCACAGGGGTAATCGCGAACCAGTTAACGCTAGTATGGATGAGTACAAGCATTCTGACAAGGATCCTCAGGGGAAAGGGACAAGCTTGAATGCCAGTGAGGACGAACTGAAAGGCGGATGTGCCGGAACGAATGATGACCACGTTGAGCAAGATCGCAGCTTCCAGCAAGACGGAGAATCAACTACAACTGTTGCGTCAACAGCGGACCGCAAAGCCACGACTGAAGAAGAGCGAGCAAGAGCTGCTGGAGAAGAAAAGCACCTTCCCGTTCTGGAGCAGCTCCTTGCTGCTCATCCTCGATCTGAAGAGTCGAGCCTGCCTCGTAAATTCCGCAACGTCATCGGATCGATCGTGCTGTTGGCAAGGCCTACATCGGTTGATACCCTGGCAATCCTCCTAGATGAATCGAGGGAAAGCATACTTTGTCAACTCGACGAATTGGAGTCTGCCGTGACCGAACCACTGGTTTCCAGAGAGCCCATGGAGCTGAGGGACGGGTCCTTCCGCGACTTCATTCTCGACCCCAACCTGCGCCATAAGAATCCGCTTTTTGTCGATGAGATCGATACCCATAGGGTCATGGCCGCGAGGTGCCTTAGAGTAATCTCACAGCCAGGTATACTCCGGGAAAACCCCTGCAATCTTGAAAGACCTGGACATCCACGAGCCGACATCAGCCACCGGGCTATCGAAAATGCGCTTCCACCGCAAGTTTAGTACGCTTGCCGCTTCTGGGTGCACCATGCAGTCAAAGGCGAGTGCGAAGTCTCTGACAACTGCCAAATCGCATGCTTTCTGAGCGATCACTTCTTGCACTGGGTGGAGGCCTTAAGCCTGATGGGCTGTTTTTCCGAGGGTATTGAGATGGTACAAAGCCTAGAATCAGTGGTGAGTTGATGATCCGCTCTTCGATTGTACGCCGCAGGCCTGTCCGTGCAGTCTAACTCCATACCATGCAGGCTTCCGCTAGCCGTCAAGTCTCGCTGTTTCTCGAGGATGCATGGCGTTTCCTTCTAAGGCACTATGAAGGGATTAACGAAGCTCCTCTGCAGCTATACTCTTCGGGTTTGATTTTCCTTCCAGAGTGGAGTGTTGTTCGGACTACCTTTCAAGACCGCGCTGCAAAGTCCGTATATCAACTTCCTGAGGTACAGTCCTCGTGGGGCCCCGTCCTTCAGTCACTGGAGAGCCAAGGGGAAAAGACTGAAATCGATGGTACAATAGGGTATGGTGTTCACTCGCCTTCTCGCCAGACGGTACAATGCTCGCAGCCGGGATACAGGACGGGTTTACTATATGGTGCCATATCACGCGAGCTGTCCTGTGGACAGTGAACGGGGATGGTGAAAACGTGATCACAGATGTCGCCTTTTCGCCAGATTCTTCCTTATTCGCAACTGCAGGGTACAACGGCTGTTTGACTCTCCATGATCTTTCGACGAGGCGCGAAATCCGGAACTTCGCGGCCCGCGGTAACAATAGGGCTTATATTTGGAAAGTAGCCTTTTCGAAAGATGGTACTTTGCTTGCCGCAGGCTTACCCGACCCTGACGACATGATTGGGATTTGGGATGTCGCCACAGGGGCTTTAGTCCATCAGTTGAAAGGCCATTCGAAGCGCATTCTCGCGCTGAGCTTCTCGCGCAAAGCCGAGGGACACGGAGGGGGACTACTGGCATCGGTGTCAGATGACGGGACAGCCAGGCTTTGGGATATCTTGTCAGGAAAATCGCGACGCATCCTCGAGCATATTCCTGACCACGGATGTGCCATTGAGTTTATTCCTAACGATAGCACATTGATGCCGTCGCGTGATGGGACACTCCAAATCTGGAAACCAAGCGAGGGGCGTCTATCGCTATCTCGTCGCCAAACTTTGATCGAGCCCAAAAAGGGGCTTTATGCGGATTGGGTCCTTAATCTAAGTCTAGGAGTGATCTCGCCTGATGGCAAGCTGCTGGCGGAGGTGGAATCCATATCTGGCGGAGTTCAGTTTTATGATGCTGGCTCCGGTAGGAAAAAGGAGTTGGTCCATGGGCGTCTGGAAAGGGTCGACATCATTGCCTTCTCTCCGGATGGTACAAGGGTAGCAGTGGCTAATCGACGCGAGGACAGGGTAGAGATATGGCAGCGGCCGCGGGAGAAGGCGACCGATTCAGCTCACAGTATCGACGAGTATGCACCGTCGGCTACCAACAAGTATTTCACGATCACTATAGACCGTAAGGGGTATGATGATAGGCAAAACAGCCGGAGAATAATGGCCTTCTCCTCAAACAGCAAGGTCCTCGGATTGGTGGAAACGGCGGGGTATTATCCAAACGGGACCTTGCATCTGTGGGATTCAACGACGGGGAGATATATTGACGAACTCCAGTTTGATGACTATCGGAACACGGAACCTCATTTTACCTTTTCGGCGGATACCAGACTCCTGGCGATTGCCGGTCAAGAAGAACGCATCGAATACTTCAAGCCCTATGTCGGCAGCGAAAAGCAGATCGATATATATGAGATCACTGCTTACGGCCTGAAGCAGAGGCAGACTATCATCCTTCGCTCTCTCGACATCGACCAGCTGGCATTTTCACCGGACTGTACAATTCTAGCGACCGTCTCTTCCCAGGGAGTCAGGCTCTGGGATATTGCTACCGGGAAGATTCAGCTGACATGCCCCGCCCTTGACCAAGTGAGTAGCACCGGCTTCTCCTCTGACGGCAAATTCTTTGCCTACGGGCTGGGCAGTGGGATAATCCAGCGATGGAACATAAGGACGCGAGCGCAGCTGTTAGCCCTCACCGGTCCCACGTGTCCAGTCGTCCAGGTTGCATTCTCATCTGACAGCAAGACCCTGGCGTCCGCGACGGCAGACGGGATAATCACGCTCTGGGATTTGACCCTGGGGACCGCGGTACGGACGTTCAGCGCTGACGTAGACATCACCGATCTTTGCTTTCAGGACAATGACCGGCGCCTTGGGACTAACCTAGAGGTCTTCTCACTGGAAGAGTCCGATGGTGACACTGGACATCCTGTCAGATTGTTGTCTCGCCCTAGGTATGGACTGAGAGGCAACTGGGTAACAAGGAACGGCGAAAATTGGCTCTGGCTGCCCTGGGATTATCGAGCCCTTTGCCTCGCGTATCACGGCGATTGCGTTGCTTTGCAGCTCAGATTCGGGGGTGTGATTTTCATCGGCTTCCGCTAGACACTTCGACCAATGTTTCACGTCTATAGTAACCGTCTTAAGGCAGTAATCCAGCCGTTCATATATGCAGATATGTATGTTGACGGTCATATTGCTTATCTTGGAGACCCTTGTGCCCAAGAAAGTTGTCACGACAGCGTCGCAAAGCACGGAAGAATCAAGGCAAGCGCGGCATGGCACAGCACGATTTGGTGACTTGAGAAAAGACAAAAACAAAAAACATACAACAGCTGGGATTCGCATGTGGTCACCCACCATACTACTAACAAGCCGGCGTGTGGTTTAAGTACGGCTGAGCGGACGGGAAGCCCTGTTCTCCACACCCTGTGGTCGTATGTGCTTGTTCTGTTGAAAGAATGGTTGTTGTAGAGCGACATTTTGGCGATCACGCAACACGAATAGTCTTGCATGTGTCTTCGACCTTGCCACTCAGTACGTAATTGTGGCTTAGGGGCTGGCCCAGTGAGCCCGTAGAGACAGACCACCGTCGCTCGATCTCTCGTCGACCCATGACAATCTAGACCACGATCATACGAGGAACCCGAACGGTCGGGAGCAGGTCGGCGTCGGGCACGATAGCGTCACACAGACGGTAAGACCAGCGCATTCGTTGCAGACCCTGGACACGAAATGCCGATCGAGCAGTCCGATGATCCGGCAGGTCTACCGTCTGCCGCGTTCGAGTCTCGAGCTTGCAATCACCGGCGAGTCTCCGACTCCATGCGATTGCGGGTCCAGCGCTGCTGACGGTTCGGACAACGGCCGTTCCGTTTCGATGCAGGGGCAGCAGGGCACGCTGAAGCTGGAGGGTTTGTACGAGGTCGGGATCGGGCGGGCAGACTCGGGTTCATCTCAGTGGTGGAGAGCCATCGGGGTCGCGATTCCAAGACGCGGACTATGGTGCCGTTACTCTTAGGAGGGCGGGAGGCTGAAACTTGTGCCCGAGTCGGGGTAAGGTTCCTTTCCCATGGTGACGCCGCTCCTTGTCGATAGTGATACGACGTTGGCTCATGGAGATGCAGGGCACTGAGGGTTCGAGATGGTTCGCAGGCAAGGTGTACCCTGGTAAACCAAGGAACCCGGGGCGACGTCGTGGATAGTGCCTGAAGTGGTGGGCGCACCCGTAGTGGCTAGCGCTGCAGCAGAATCTTTATCCGGGGTACTCCGTACGGTATTCTGGAGTCGGAAATTATAGCCTCTGGGCACGGAGCAGCCGGCGAATGAGCGAGGGCGGGCTGAGTGCCACGTTGGCGTGCCATGGCGTCTTCTGGAATGTCACACGGCGAATCTTCGGGGCGTTGCCGTAAGCTGACTGGGGTTGCATGAGGTTGAGGTTATAGGTAGGCAATAGTCCCTCAGCTATGGCCCTAAGCATCCAGTAGCGAAAGAAATCCCCGGCGAAGGCGAAATGTCGCTGTCAACGTCGCTCTTGTCCGGGGCAGTTGGCCGGGGAAGGTTTCGCTTGCGCCCCGCACAATCAACGGGCGAAGGTCGAAGGTTCAGGCTGAAGCGACTATTCTTGAGGTGGCGCTACCGAACCGTGGCCCATGATCCCACTTCATGATTCAGTCGAGGCAGTTAGCGGATGTTCTGTTCGGCAGGATTTGTGCATGGACGAGTAAAAAGAAACGCTCAGGTCGCGTCTTGGAGGGGCTTGTTTTGCGGTGCCGAATGCTTTGCCTGCCAAGACTGGTGCCGAGAACAGCGCCAAGACAGCAGTAACTGTTGGAGATGGAGAGATGGAGAGCAAGGGAGTAGTCAGCATCATGTAATCGAGTTACTCAGATACCTAGTACCTAGGACGGAGTAGAATGAGATGAAGCTGGTGCTATTGGCAGGGTTACATCTCAGGCTCAGTGAGGTCGCATCGAGCGAGAATTGCAGCAGAGCACGTGGTTGGCCGCTTTCCCGCCCCCTGCTCGGCCTTTGCCCCCAATCCAGCTGCCTCCGACCAGACTTCTCCTCCTCCACACTTCCCTCCACATCTCCCGAGCTGACAGTCGGGGTTAACCCGATCCTCTGTATGGCCAGACCCCATGGGCTTGTCTTCGCCACGGCCTTGGCTGTTTTAGCGCCGGTCTCAGCCAGTGTTCCTGTCAATTTCACCACCGCGAGGTCAGGGAGCACAACACCAGATGCAACCTGTCATCGCAGCGGCAAAGTCTGCGCTGACTGCTGTAATTGGCCTGGAATTCTCCTGGCCAGTGCAGTAGGTACTGGCGCTACGGAGAAGTCCTCCGTCCATCGCTGCTCGGTCCTCAGACCACTCACAGTCACTGCTGGAGGCAATTTGAATTCACGCCAACAGTGGGGACTCCGCTAATTCAGCGAGAAGGAACCAAGCGAGAAAATTCCCTGGTCACGACTCACTTGTCATTCACCATGGAGCCGAGTGTCAGCTGCTTCCCCGTGGGCTCCCCGGCACCCGGTCCGAGTCAAGCCATGGGGAAACCGCGAGCCCGGTCTGGTTTCAAACCCATTCACTGCTGCAGCCTGCATGGGTTATAAAGGCCGGTGTTCCTCCCCCCTCGTCTCCCTGTCCTTCTCTCCTCATCCCTCGTCTTCTCCATTTCTCCATCTTCCCCGCGACCCCGGCAGTTGAGCCCCACCACCAGAACCTCTTGATTACTTTCTTTCTTTACAGATCGTCTCCTAGCCATCGCCATGGCGGACGGTGTCGTTGCTGGCGGCCGGGTTGAGGCCCCCGTCACCTGGAAGACCTACCTGATGTGCGCCTTTGCGGCCTTTGGTGGTATCTTCTTCGGTTATGATTCGGGTTACATCAACGGTGTCCTGGCTATGGACTACTTCATTCACGAGTTTACTGGAAAGGTTGGCATTCTTACCCCTCCGGCTTATTTCCAATCTAACTAGTGTGTCCTAGGTCAAAGCCGACTACGAAGCCGCCGACAACCTCAAAGGCTACGTTATCTCGTCCTCGAACAAGTCCCTCATCACCTCTATTCTCTCCGCGGGTACCTTCTTCGGCGCCATTATTGCCGGTGACCTGGCAGATTGGTTCGGTCGTCGTACAACTATCATCAGCGGTTGCGGGATCTTCATGGTCGGTGTTGCGCTGCAGACTGCCTCCACCACCGTTGCCCTGCTGGTGGTCGGCCGTCTGATTGCTGGATTCGGTGTTGGTTTCGTCTCTGCTATCCTGATTCTCTACATGTCGGAGATTTCTCCCCGCAAAGTCCGTGGTGCTATTGTCTCCGGATACCAGTTCTGCGTCACCATCGGTCTGATGCTGGCGTCCTGCGTGGACTACGGCACTGAGAACCGCACCGACTCCGGCTCATACCGTATCCCCATCGCCCTTCAGCTCCTTTGGGCTATCATCCTTGCCGTCGGTCTGTTCATTCTTCCCGAGTCGCCTCGTTACTTTGTCCGCAAGGGCGATCTGGCCAGTGCCGCCAAGGTGCTTGCTCGCGTCCGTGGCCAGCCTCAGGACTCGGTGTACGTCAAGGAGGAGCTCGCTGAGATTGTCGCCAACAATGAGTATGAGATGACAATGATCCCTCAGGGTGGCTACTTTGCCACCTGGGCCAACTGCTTCCGTGGAAGCCTCTGGTCTCCTAACAGCAACCTTCGCCGAACTATCCTGGGTACTTCGCTTCAGATGATGCAACAGTATGTTTCTTCCCTAGTTGTCTGATCTATTCGCTAACGTGCGCGCAGGTGGACTGGTGTCAACTTTGTCTTCTACTTCGGAACCACCTTCTTCACCAACGTACGCATTCCTTTCTCCTATCAATGCTTTCAAAGCTAACTGTCGCAGCTTGGCACCATCTCCGACCCCTTCCTCATCAGTATGATCACCACCATCGTCAACGTCTTCTCCACTCCTGTTTCCTTCTGGACCATGGAGAAGATCGGTCGTCGCCCTCTGCTCCTCTGGGGAGCCCTGGGCATGGTGATCTGTCAGTTCATCGTCGCCATCGCCGGTGTCGTCGATGGTAACAACAACAAGACTGTCAGCGCCCAGATTGCCTTCATCTGCATCTACATCTTCTTCTTCGCCTCGACCTGGGGTCCCGGTGCCTGGGTCGTCATTGGTGAAATCTACCCTCTGCCCATCCGTTCTCGCGGTGTCGCCCTCTCCACCGCCTCCAACTGGCTCTGGAACTGCATCATCGCCGTCATCACCCCCTACATGGTCGACGAGGACAAGGGTAACCTCAAGTCCAAGGTGTTCTTCATCTGGGGCTCCCTCTGCGCCTGCGCCTTTGTCTACGCGTACTTCCTGATCCCCGAGACCAAGGGCCTTACCCTCGAGCAGGTCGACAAGATGATGGAGGAGACCACCCCCCGCACCTCGGCCAAGTGGAAGCCTCACGGCACATTCGCTGCTGAGATGGGCATGACTGAGAAGGACGTCACCACGACCCACGAGGACATTGCCCAGAAGGCGTAGGCTGTCTTGAGCTGGAATTGCTCGCTATCAATACTGTGATTTCACTATGGATATCACATGTCTTAGCTATGCATCATGTGTCATTCTAATGCTTTATGTTACACGAAGAATAATCTAGACCTTTTAATGTCATGCAGGCTATTCCGCTTAGTCAAATGAGTGAGTGGAACCAAGTACAGTGAAGGCCACATTTACCTTCAGCAACTCGATACATATTAGAAAGACAAAAATGCGCTGACGGCGAGTCTGACATGTACAAAAACCACTCATCGAGATAATAACCATTGTGTAGCCATTAGTCTCGCTTTGAAGCACTTGGCGGCACTACGACACAGGACCTCGGCCCATTCGCCGGTCTCTGTAATCATGGCTACACAGCAGAAGCCATACTCGCCGAAAACTGAAAGTAGAATGAACAACCTCGGCCGAGCTGCGTAACATATCGCTTCAGTGTATTCTGAAAGCTAAGCTTCATGCTTACCAGCGAAGTTTTGCTGACGTGCAAACTCTCCTCGGCCGAATCTCGGGCCAGTCTGGCTACATAGGGCTCGCTGTCCCTCAGCAAGAGCACCGCGATAGCAAGCAAACAGTCTCTCGAACTGAGTCAAAGACAACTTTTAATCTCTTACCCAATATTCGCCATTGAGAGCAGCCGGGATGGTCAAGATTGCAATCGCGGGTGGCTCGAGCGGTACGTCTTTCTGCTTGTCTGTCGAAATATATATCGGCGCAATCTACCGAGTACAGGCACAGACAACTAACGCGTTAATCCAGGCGTTGGCCGGGAATTCACCGACGCCCTCGTCGCAACAAACAAGCACGAGATCCTCCTCCTTTCTCACAAGGTCTATACCCCATACCGACCTGCCATCCCGATATCGACCTGACCATGATCTCTACCCCAGGACGCCCCGCCCACCCTACCAGCGCGCACAACCTGGATAAAAACAACCTACAGCTCAACCGCGCATCTCGCCGAAGTCCTATCAGGCGTGCACACCGTCTTATCTTTCATAATCGAGCAAGAGAGCGAAACCAGCCCCGTCCAGCGCCGCCTAATCGACGCATGCGTCGTCGCGGGCGTGACTCGCTTCGCGCCCAGCGAGTGGGCCTCATCCTCACTGCGCCATCTCCCCTGGTACGCCTACAAAGCTAGTATCAGGCGCTATCTGGCGGAGCTCAATAAGGAGAAGCAAGTCCTTCAGTACGCGCTTTTCCAGCCGGGCCTGTTTGCCGATTACCTTGCCGCGCCGCATCGGACGAGCCGGTATATCGTGCCGCTGCAGATCCCGGTTGATTTTGCGAATCGTCGGGCGATCCTTGTTGACGGCGTTGATGCGGAGAATGCGCGCATCACTCTGACAACCGTTGCTGATTTCGCGGCCGTTATGGTGAAAGCTGTTGAGTGGACGGGTGAGTGGCCTGTTGATTCGGGGATTGCGGGGACGACGATGACGCTTTCTGAGCTGGTGAGACTCGGTGAGAAGGTCCGTGGGGGTATACCGTTCAATATTGAGAAGGTGAGCAAGGAGGACTTTTTGTCTGGGACGTGGAAGACGAGCTGGGTGCCGCGCAATGAGCACCCGTCTGTTCCGGTGGAGATGCAGGAGGGGTTTGCGAGGCCGGCGACCGAGGGCATCTGTTTGGCGTTTGCGGAGGGGGCGTTTGGGGTGAGGCCGGTCTGGAATGGGCTTTTGCCTGGGTTTGGGTTTGAGGGGGCTGAGGGGTTTTTGGGGAGGGTTTGGGGAAAAGAATAGACGATCTGTAGAGGGATGGGTGGATTTGAGGTGCAGTGTGTTGATGTTCCGCAGTTGATAGTCGAGTCAAGTAGAGTGTGGAGATTATCTGTAAGGCTGTTTCAAACCTTTCTTGCCTCATTGGAGTCAATCTCCTGCTGTCTTGGGCCTGTACCCAGTGTAAACGCCGAGATTTCGGCCGATTTTGTCAGCCTGCGTTCTTTCCAATTCCCATCGCTCTCTCTCCGCATCTTCTTCCCTCCTCCTCTCCTTTCCCATCGTCTCAACATACCACAAATATCCACTCATCGATGTTCGACGACCAAGTCCATCCCTCCAAGCGGCGAAAAGTCCGAAAAGGAACCCAGAGCTGCTGGGAGTGCAAGCGGCGCAAGGTGCGATGCATCTTCGCTTCGGCCGAACACGCCATCTGCAACAACTGTCGGCGCCGCGGGACGGCTTGTGTGAGCCAGGAGCTTGAGGTCCCTGGTACTCTGGATGCATCGAGTGGGAATCAAGGGGAACTTGCAGCGAGGCTTGGGCGTGTTGAGGAGGTGCTTGAGCGATTGGCCAATGCTGGTGTCCGTTCGTCGGTGGGCGAGGCAGAAGATGTGGACAGACAACAGCCGCAGGAACCGACGGATACAAGGGCAAAAGCGAACTCCACCGTACCGAGACCGCAGATCTCTGGCTCCGGGAAGTATGATGAGCTGTGTCGCGAGCTGATCGCGGCTTGGCCCAGTGATGATGATCTGGAGGTTATCAGCTCCCTTCCACTGGGCCTGCTCTGCATCCCACTATGTTGGAGAACGTGCACCCTAGGCAAGAACCAGTCACCAAGTGAGACGCTTAACCTACCGCTACCATGTTCTCATCCCGTGCTAATCGCCCGGAGACTCCTCATGCTGGCGACACACATGCAAGGCGTCATCCCCTCTGCCATTCAGCAACTCGATGATCTGGGAGTACCGTACCGCGAGATCATGATCCGCGCCGTTGAGCAGGCAATCAAACTGGTAACAACCAACGACGAACTTATTACCTCAGTCGAAGGCTTGGAGTGTGTCATGCTGGAGGTCATGTACCAGAACTACGCCGGCAACTTGCACCGCGCGTGGATGGCCGTGAAGCGTGCAACCACAGCCGCGCAGGTGATGGGCCTCCACCGAGCCTCAAACCTGCCTCCTTTTAGATTCCTGGACCAAGCAACCCGAGCAACCTTTGACGCTGACGATGTTTGCTTTCGTCTGGTCCAGATGGACCACTACCTCTCCCTCATGCTCGGGCTGCCACAAACCGCACTCGAAGGGCGATTTGCCATCCCTGACGATTTGTCCAAGTTCAATCACCGAGGTCGCCTAGAGCGCCTCCACTGCGCCGTCTCCGGACGTATTGTGCGACGAAACGATGCAGGAACCAATGATCTTCAGATCACGCGGGAGGCCGACAATCTCCTTCAAATCGCTGCCGCCGAGATGCCTCCCCAGTGGTGGCTATCCCCAAGCTTCAGTAAAGAGTCGGATCTCGTGGACGATACAATCCGCCTCATGATTCAGTTCACCCATTACCACCTCCTTGCCCGACTTCATTTGCCGTACATGCTCCGCCCGTCGACATACCAAACCCATGAGCATAGCAAAGCCGTAGCAGTCTACGCCAGCCGCGAGCTGCTATCCCGGTATATCATGTTTCGAAGCTCGAACCCGGTAGATTACTACTGCCGGGGATGTGACTTCCTCGCCTTTGTCGCGACGATGATCTTGTGTCTTGCCCACATCAACTCCAGCACCAACTCTATTCCCGTCCTCTTGAAGCCGCTCGCATACAGCCGCCCAACCGATCGCGGAATGATGGAACAAACAGCCGAGATCATCGCCTCCACTGCTGCAATGGAGTACAACACTTCCGGTGCCATAGCGCCAAAGCTTACGCGTATCATACGGCACTTGCTTGACGTGGAGTCAAGTGCCGCGAGCGGGACAGTGTACAGCACGAGCACTAGTCCTACCTCGGCCAATGGTGAAGAGGGAGAGATTGATGGGACCGTGAAGCATGGCGGAAACGCACTGCATATACGTATCCCGTATTATGGGACGATCAGGCTTGAGCGAGGGCGTGGAGTTGAGAAGGTCTCGAGGACTACGCAGCTGGGCCAAATGCAGGCCATGGACGAAGTTTTTGATGAGCATCCGAGCGACGGAATGGTTACTCGCGCATATGACCCCGTCAGCAGAGCGTCGGGACCAGGAGCGGAAAATGAGATGCAAGGGAATGATTTGCCAGGTTCCGTCCCAAACGAGGTTCTGGGACTGGAGATTGAACCTGATCATATGTTCCCTGACTCAGAAACTGATTGGAACGTCGGTGACATTGATATTGCCCTCTTCGATAGCCTCTTTCGCGGTATAGAGCTTCCCGAAGTGGACGCGGCTGGGGAGGCGTGGATGTGATATGCCCACGAAGACCTGAATCAATGTCTGTTTTTGACCTCTACCGATTCTGTTCTGCCTCTTGCAACTGCGTCAAACCTCGATGACAAAACCAAATCTGGACAGGGAGTACCGTGACTTTACATAGCGACCCAGTGTTCTCCTTCAGAATGGGCCTTTCCTTGAGCGGCCGGGAAACCACAGCGCACTTTGAATGGAGATGCACCCATGTTCTCAGGTCTTTTTCTTGCAGATACCTACGAGAGCTGTATCCTTGCTGCAAGGGGGTAAACCTGTTATCTACGTGAGACAGCAAAGTTGATGGTGGGGTACCTGAAAATCTGCTCAACACAACGCAGCTGCAGGCGGATTTTCTTCGCCCACAGAAGAGGATTTCATCTGCAGAATCTTCCATCTCTTCTTTTTAACTTTTTTCTCTTCCTTTCTCTCAGACATCCTTCGTGGCTTATCCATCTGTTTCTTAAACCACATTTGATGGTATATTGACCACGTCCCACTCTATCAACACTGCTAACTGACTCCTCCTCAGGTCTATTGACAATTGAAAACATTCCAAGATGCCGTCTCGCAAGAAAGGTGTTAAAACTCATTCCATGTTCACCGAACAACACTCATCAGTCCTCGAGCTGCTCAAGACGTCCGGCCTGAAAATGAGCTTCCATCCCGTTGATACCGACAAAGGAACGATCTGTGCAAAGGAAACCAACGTCGTGGGCGAGTTCATATGCAACAACAAACCCTGCAAATCTAAGGGCTGGGCCAGTGGAGTGGTCGCCACTGTTATTCGCCTGTACCCGGACAACCGATACAACGCCCGTGTATACCATCAAAGATGCAAGAAGTGCAACACCCTCAGTCGCCCCAAGCTCGATGAGAGCTACGCTGAGCGCGTCGCTTACCGTCTCAAGAAGTGGAATGACATCGACGTCGAGGAACCTGTTTACAACAAGGAGAGCAAGGAGCCTCATAAGACGCAGCTCTGCGAAGGGTGCAAGGCTGGGCACTGCCGGCAGTCCAACATGAACAGCCGCTTTTACTCCAAGCGTACTCAGAGGAAATGAGCCAAGAACATGGATGGATGATGTTTTGAGTGGCTTGGAACGGTCTTGTCGATATCTAGGAGGGTCTGAGGATTATGCCTGCTGTCTGAACAACGCGGCTCCACTCTGTGATTGTGAAGTGAAAGGAGATTCAGGGCTCATTGTTGTCAAGATCTGCCTTTGTTTGTACGGCTGGTTTCTATGCACTTTTGTTTGATAGAGCTAGATGATTTGCTAGACACTGTCAAGTCTAAAGACACTCAGGACTAGATCTCATGATTGAACCATTGGGCGTATTTTTTATCTGTATAACTTGGTGTTTCTATCTGTTTCGCTGCCAGTTACATCTCCAAATCTAGAAAGGTTTGCTGTACTTAAGTCGTTGTCTCTTGGTAACTATGGTAGCAAGATCCCAAGATTAAATCACCAGCGCTTAATCACACCAGAATTCGCCGATGAAAAGCGCATTTTTTGTTGATATCCATCTTCTGTGCTTGCTTCAGAGAGAATGCCACTATTTCCTAGGGGTTGCATTTCACTTGAAAGTATTGATAGAACTGGTTGCTGCAAAACCTCAAAGTCGTGGCTTGTCTCCTCTGGCAACCACCACGAGTCCCACGATTCGCACTTCAACTTTCTCTCACACACCCTCAGCTTCCAAGATATGACAGAGATTAATTGACTTTGTAAGAGAAGTATCTCTTATTTTCAGTATCAAAACCCTGGCTAATGACTCCGGTAAAGCTCACCGAGCGAGGTCCAGTAACACACCTCGCATACGGATCATCCTCTCTCCTCTCTCCTCTCTCCTCTTGCTTTCGCCCTCTCCAGCTTTCCTCCCCTCATCACTCCGTTTTTTACATTTCCATCCCTTCGAAGCCCTTGCCGGAGTTCTATTACAACAACCCCCCTTCTCGTTGAATCGCGACCACGCCCAAGATGGAATCGCGCCTCTCTCCTCGACCGTCAGCTCCTCCGACCACCCTCGAGGCCGAGGAAACACCACCAAGAACCACCGAGCCCACAACAAAGCGATCGAGTCCTCGCAAGCCTATACCTAAGCACTCCATGTACCCTGAGCTCGACTCTAACGTCGCTAAACTCCTCGAACCTCACGGGCTGACGATGACTTTCCACCCCATTGACACCGACAAGAGCACATTCAGCCGACACAAAACCAACGTCGTCGGCAGATTCAAGTGCCCGAATACCACCTGCGGCCACCACAAATGGGAAAGCAAGAGCATCGCACTCAGTATCCGTCTGTACCCGGACAACCGGTACAACGCCCGCGTGTACCACCAGCGCTGCAGCGCCTGCAAGTGGATCGTTCGGCCGGAGCTGGACGGGAGAGACGGGACCTATGCGGAGCGCATCGCGTACCGGCTTAAGAAATGGAGCGGTGTGCAGGTTGAGCGCGTATATCGTGATCCGATGCCGCCGGGCCATGCGCTGCATCGCGCGAAGCTGTGTGAGGGGTGTAGGGCGGGGCGGTGCAAGTTCTTCAAGGATAAGAGGAACGGGAGCAGGAAGGGTGGCGGGAAACGTGGAGATGGAGGACAGGGGAAGGGGCGTGGGAAAGTCTGGGACACGGGCGTCTACCATTAGGAGCGACTGCTGGCAGCGTGGGCTAGCTGGCGAGATGGTATTGTACAGGGTGAATGGGGTGGGTGAGGTGACGACGCCTGTATCTGATTGCCCTTTTGCGACTGATTTCTCCTTGATTCAATGATGTGACAGAGCTCAACCAGATTTTCTAGTGATCAATATCTAAGCATCAATGCCTCGTCCTACTCCGTGATCTGCTCATCTGCCCGAAGCAAGCTCTTACTCACAACCACCCTCCCAATCGCCGAAAAGCTCGCGCCCCCCAGAATCGTAAACGTCTGCACATCCGCATGGAACGTCTTAAGCAGCCAGCTGTGGATCTCAACCGCCAGCAGTGAGTCCACCCCGGATCCGGCAACGGACTGCCCGGGTTCGATATCCGTCTCCGAAAGACCGGAGATAGTCCTTGTTACCTTTGCAAGAGACCCTGCGCCATAACACCCGCTGCCTCATCAGGAGATGAAGCGGCTACAAACTCAGCCTGAAGATCCCGCGCCCGGCCTGGACCCGACCCAGCACCGCGTGAAGCAGCCGGAACCCGATGCAGGAAGCCGAACATCGGCCTCTCCATGAGCCCCGGCTCGTCCAACCCAGCAGCCTCAATCGCAGCAGGCGTGTTAATCCCGTACACGACGTGCGCGGAATCGACATCGCGTTCCCCCGCCATGCCAGCCGCCAAAACAGGATCGCAGTAATAGTCCAGCAGCGCGAGGAACCTATCCCGCGAGGTGGGAAACATAGTCCCCGACCCAAACAGCCGCTCCCGGACCGCCGCGTTCTCCGCCACGAAGCCGTCGTCCGCCATGGCGCCCAGGTCAATGGACGTGGCTGGCTGGCCGCGGCTTACGCGGTATCGCGCCAGGCTATCCTGGAAGGAATTCCCGGCGGCGTAGTTGGATTGGCCGTGCTGGCCGACGATCCCGGAGACGGCCCCGGGGACGAGAGGCGGACGAAGAAGGTCAGCCCCTGCAGGTGCGTGTGCAGGTTCCATGATCCGGAGACCTTGGGGTCTACGGCTGCGCGCCATTGGGCGTGCTGCATGTGCGTGAAGGGCGTGTCGTGCAGGACCATGGCGGCTTGGATGCAGCCACGGATTGGGGGGAGAGAGGTGCGGCTGTTTTGCAGGGTGAGGCGGAGGGCGGTTGCGTCGGCGATGTTGGAGGGGGGCGTCTGGATGGTGACTTCGTTGGCGCGCAGGGACTCGACCAACTCGTGCGCTGCTGGGGTGCTTGGGCCTGACCGCGAGAGAAGGAGGAGGTTTCGGGCCCCTCGTTCGACCAGCCAGCGGGTGATGCAGCGGCCGATTCCGCCGAATGCACCGGCAAGTACGTACGTGGCGTCCGCGCTGAAGGTGTACGTGGGATGGCGAGTGGTGATTGTCTGGAGTCGTTAGGGTTGTTGCAGGTTCTAGGCAGCTAGGGATATCTTACCGGGACAATAGCTTCGGGGCTGATTGTCAGCACAGTCTTGCCGCTGGTCTTACCGTCTGCCATGGCCGAGAATGCCTTGTGGACATCGGAGATTGGACAGACATGCACAGGGCGGGAAGGATGAAGGATGCCTTGCTGGAAGAGACGCAGAATGGTCTCCATTGTTTGTAGAGAATGGGCAGGCCGCTCAACAATCCAGACCGACCAGTCCAACGCCGAAAAGGTAGCATGTCTGACAAAGGGAAGCATGGGCAAGCCCGCGTTGTCCAGGATATCCTTCTTCCCCAGCTCAATGAAGCGCCTGTACGGCGCGAGGCTCTCCCACGACGCCAGCAGGCTCTCACCCGCCAGCGAGTTCAGCACAACGTCCACCCCGCGGCCGCTCGTGGCATGCTTCATTCCCCTGGAAAACGAGGTATCGCGGCTGTTGAAGATATGGTCGTCGGCCGGGATCCCGTACTCGGCCATCAGCAGCGCCCGCTTGTGTTCGGAGCCCACGGTCGCAAACACCTCTGCCCCAAGATACTGGCTGAGATGGATAGCGGCCTGCCCGGTTCCCCCAGCACCAGAGTGGATCAGGACGTTCTCGCCCTTCTGCAGACGCGCAAGATCCACGAGACCTGTCCAGGCCGTGCCAAACGTTGTCGGCATCGACGCCGCCTCGACGAAGCTCATGTCAAACGGCAACCGCCAGACATTGTGTGCCTTGCCGCGTGCGTAAGGCTTGAACGCTGCCCCGATGCTGAGCATGCACACCCATTCGCCGATCTGGAAGCTATCCTGGTACGCAGCCCCAACGCGGACCACAGCGCCGGCGCACTCAATCCCCAAGGTCCCGATAGGCAGTCGGCCCAGGGCGGCAAGGCCGTCCTTGAAGTTGAGTCCGACGGCCTTGACTTTGACCTCCACCTCGTTGTCTGGCAGGGGTGCGGAGTGGGCGTCGTCCTCAACAAAGCATAGGCTCTCCAGAAGCCCCGGAGTTTGGGTGGTGAGTTTCAGAGCAGGGGCGTCCTTCCAGCGCAGGTCGCACTCTAGCTTAAACGACAACCTCTCGCGGATTCCCTTCTGGCACGCTGCATCTTCCTGCAGCCGACCGATGTGGAAGAGGCCCCCGCGCTGTTCGATCTCGGCCTCAAACCGGCTTTCTGGACTGGCGAGCATCTGCCTGATGAGACGGAACAAGGTCTGGATCTGCTCTTCATCTGGCTCGCTATCAGCCTCTAAGGTAACTCTCATTGGCTTGTACTCGTTGACCTCGGTGTTGACAGCGCGTGCAAGCCCTGTCGCCATGCCGTGTTCAGGCTTAGATGTGCTCTTCGTCAGCCAGAGTACGCTCCTGGCGTTTTGCAAGATGCGCTGAATGTTCTGTAAGCCGTCCGCGTTTATACCGTGGAGATAAGGCTTGGGAGACTCGATATCAAACGCCAGAACAGTGAGAGCGCCCGGGTCCGTGCTGGCGCCGTCAGCAATATTGACAACGCGGCTTGCCAGCCCGATCTCGAGAAGGCCACGCTGCAGCGCTTTAGTGTACGGCGGCACTACGTCCTGCGCCGAAACAATGTCCACGGAGCTTGGATATGCCGTTCTCCAACGCGGTATAACTGGCTTCCAGCAATAGGCGCTGCTGGGGGTCCATGGATGCAGCCTCGACAGCGGACAGGTCGAAGAAGGGCGCGTCGAAGGCCGTGCAGGTGCCGTCGGCGTCTTCGTTCAGGAAGTGGCCTCCGCGGACGCGGGCCGGCCAGTACATGCTGTCTGCATTGAGACGGTTGACCGGGAAGTCCTGCGAGACGCACCGGGCTTGGTTAAGCAGGTTCCAAAAGCTAGGGAGGTCGTTGGCGCCGCCGGGGAAGCGGAGGGAGAGGCCGACTACGGCGATGAGGCCGATGAGATCGGAATCTCGGTGGGACATGGTTTGGGGAGTTGGCAGTTGGAGTAGGCAGTAAAGCTCGAGGCAGTGATTGTTGCAGAAGAGCTGGACAGTGCAGGTGTTCTGGTAGATGACCTTGGTAAGAGGAAGACAAGCCCTAATTCACCCCAGGGACTGTCATATTCATCACCACCCCCTGACTAGGGCTCAGGCTGCACTGCCAGGTTTCTGATTTGAATTTCCTGTGCAACAATCTATCAGAATGGGTTGCAATCTTGTTACAGTGGATTGTTGTGGTCTATTTAGTGCACAGTCTCTCACACATATTATACCCCAACATGTATGCTATGTACCTATGTATCCAACACCCTAACCCTACAAACTAGCAACAGACTCTCTTGACACTGTGTGGGCTGCGATGATGATAGGATAGGCAATGCTTACTGTGCCCTAGGATGGATCCAAATGCATTCTTACAGTACATGGGAAGGCTGAGGCAAAGCCACGAGTTCCACTCACAGTAGGTCAGGGCTCTTATACCCAAGTCTTCACATGCATCAACATCCTTGCATTAGGTAGTTAATATAAACCTGTCCTTATCATCTGCTATTGCTGCTGCTCAACTAATAGCATAAGGGCAGTAGCGACCCCGAACTATCTATACATTGGGTCCCCGTTGCCTTTGCCCGCCTCTTGCCGTTCAACCCGGTGCAGTCTCAGTCCAATAACTGCTTTGTAAAGACCCCCTCCGGGTCCCACTGCTTCTTCAGCTCTCGCAGCTTCGCCAGGCGCGCTTCCCCCCGGTACCGATACTGGATTGGACCAGACCGGGTCCCGTTGGCGAAATCCACGTACTGCGATTCATCCGGACCACGCAGCAGGGCCAGGCATTCCTCGTTGAATCCGTCCACCATCTCGCGGTTCGCGGGGTCAGTGTGCCACATGATATTTGTCCTGTCAGATACATGTCAACACCTCTGAGTTAGTGGTTGTAGGGTTATGAACGTACTGCCAAAATCGCACATCGTACACCGAGACCGCAGACTCCCACTCCGCAGCCCTCATCTGCCTCGAGTGCCACATGAAGTTGAAGCTCGTGTTCGCCGCATCGAGGCATTGCTCTTGAAGGCGTTTCCAGATCTCGACGGTGGCCAGGAACTTGCCCGTGTCGAACTCGTGCAGTCCCACCTGCCCAAAGCGCTTGAAGTCCCCGTGTGCGCTGAGGAAATCGTTCGCATCGCTAATATTCTCATACGGGACGTCCGCGCCCACTGTGCTAATCGGGGAGAGGTCGTATAGAGCCTTGAACACGGTCTCGGGGTCCTCATCCCCCAGAAGCTGAACATTCACCATCACAATCGGGGTTCGTGCAGGCGGAGGCGCCATGACCATCAACATGCCGACCGTGGCATACGTCGGGTCATCCATGGCCTCCTTCGCGGCCTGCGCTACTTCCGCGGCGCGGGTTAAAGGGAAGACAAACCGGCCAGTCCAGACGAGGCCCTTTTGCTTCCGTAGCATGGAGACCGGGTGCGCGCGGACAACGAGCTGCGTGACGAGCCCGAAGAACTGGCCCGCGCCTCGGATGGCCCAGAGGAGATCGGGATGTGTGCGTTCAGAGACATCAATCAGTTCTCCGGACGCGGTGATCAGCCGGGCGGAGAGGATCTGGTCTGCGCCGAAGCCGACCAGGGAGGAGAGGCTCGATGCGCCGCCGTTGAGGAAGTAGGGGATTGCCCCGACGGTGTTGCCGTTTCCGAGGGCTGTTGATGTTACTTAGGTAGGGCTCGGCGGACTCTGGGCATATTAAAAGACAAGACCCGCATACCTGTAAAGAGCCCCGACTCCGCTAGACGCACTGCGACCTCTTTGTTCAGCACGCCTCCGATCAGCGTCGCAGTGCTGTTTCCCGGGTTAACATGGATGTCCGCGTACAGGCTGAGGTCGATGATGATGCCTTCTTGCCCGATGGTCGACCATCGACTATGGCCGCCTGACTTTGGGACAACTAGCAAGAACAAGATTAGTGCCAATACTCACACCTCATTGACGCAGCCCAGGGACCAATGGATCTTACACGGAACCGATGATGCGAGCGTCCATTGCACCTGGAGGTATCAGAGTCAGCACTCTGCCACTATCCAAGGTTTGAAAGGCTACATACAGTCCTCACACAGTCCTCCTCCGAACGAGGGAGGACAATCGCACCAGGAGTCTGGAGGTTGATATTCGACCAGCGCTCCAGCCGGTCCTGGAACTCGGGGTCATGCGGGTCTTGCAGGATCTGGCAATCCGATGACACAAGATCCCGGAGAGAAGGAAGGAGAGAAAGAAGATGGGTAGCCATGCTATCTGAAGATGTGCCGCAAAGCTCGAGGTCCCAGAGGAGCCAAGCTGTGATCTAAATACATCCCTATCAGGGTTCAGCCGTACCCTCAGCCGCACGCCCCACCCATACACTCACCAGTGATATCGAAAAGCGAGATGGATACTAGCTGTGGTATATTGCTTGCTTACATTTGGCACTAGGCTAACAGCAAAGTCAGTAATCCGACCGGTCCGCTCCTGACTACGCGACGGGAAAAGCGTCGGCGGCTGAAAAGCCAGATTGGTATTGGAGACCTTGATTGCTCGGAAGTAAGAGGTGGAAGCCCAGGCTGTCTCATCGGTGATCTGGTACCTAAGTCTTGCAAGCCGTTGAGCTCGAGATCATGCTACCCATCGTCCAACATAACAGTCTTAACCTGGCTGTGTTAGGTCAGCTGGAGATTTGAAGCACTAAACAAACACTTACACAAGGTCGCTGCAAGCCTCTAGCAGGCTAGGGGGTGGGTTGTTTTGGGCACTGCGCGGATGATCAGACTTCAAATGGGGTCCTATGTGAAATGTAGGCGTCGCTTACGCTCGGGCAGACACTTCACAACCACCATCRCAAAGCTTTTTTCTCTGGTATACCTGCCTGCGCGCTCTTCGAAACCCCATCATTGGCAGTCCGGCGAGAGAAAGTTGAACGAAGACATCATCTTCGTGAAGTTGGGGTGGCTTACGTTCCATGATAGGGATTAGCTAGGGTTTCGAGCCCGAGTAACCCTGCACTTGGTGCCCATGTATATATATCAACCGGCGATCCTTCTGCGTTCTACACGCGGGATGCCTCTCCTCTGCTCTGCGAGTGGGGACCCCTGTTGAGCTGGCGCTGGTGATCAGTCCCAAGTTGCATTAGCATTAGACGAGTCAACAAAGAAAAGACGTTGCACAGCCATCTAGCTTGTCCAATACGAGCCCTCCACGGATCATCACCGTTGGCCTATTACTTAGACCAGCCAGATATAAGCCTGTGCGATTCTCGACTACTTGGAGAACCACATCCTGTCCTTCCCATCACCCAGCCATGGCGAACCCTACAGACAAGGACACCTACGTCTTCACCCGGGACTTCCGCGACAACAACCGGTACGTCTCTCAGAGCTTGGTGAATATCACCAGTTAACGAGTCCAGCATCAACCTCCAGCATTACCTATGGGTTGAGCTCTTTGGCTACCACATCCATCCCTCCATCCCCACCGACAGCCCAAACTTACGCATTGCCGATGTCGGCACCGGCACGGGGTAGGCACACCATCTCCGTCTCCGAGGTCTATAGAAACTGTTGATTAAAGTATGGTATACAGCATCTGGCTCACCGACCTGGCTCGTCGTCTCCCCCCATCCACCGCACTCGACGGCTTCGATATTTCCCTGGCCGCCGCGCCGCCCCCGCAATGTCTCCCAGCAAACATCACCCTCCAGCACTGGGACCTCCTAGCCGACGAAGTCCCCAGCCATCTCAGAGGGACATACGACATCGTGAACATGCGCCTTCTCGTGCTCGTGATATCCGATGACCAGATTGAGAGAGTGATTGAGAAGCTAGTGCAGTTGCTAAGTGCGTCCTACCACCATCAACAACAATCAAGTTGTATACTAACAGACGCAGAACCAACCGGCCACCTCCAAATCTCCGAGCCGGACATGACAACCTAGCGCATCGAGTCCGTCCCGCCGAACGTGCCCGCCCCGGCGTCCGCAGCCCTCTGGGAGCTAAGCCTCAAGGAGCAAGGGTCCCAATTCACGCCAACCTAGGTGCCGCGTCTGGAGTCAATCCTGTCCAAAGCCGGACTGCGCAATGTGCAGTGCGACGTCAAAAGCGCACCGCCGGACATGGCGCTCGCGCTGCACGAGTGCAACCTCACCATCTCGGAGCTGGTGGCGCGCAAGACAAAGAATCGGCAGTGGGCGGAGCAAATTGAGGACTTGCTGCCCGGGGTTGAGAGGGAGATTAAGCATGGGGCGTACTGGGCTTGGACGCGGTGGACTGTTGTTGGGAGGAGGGGTGCTTGAGTATCTATGTAGGGTTCCTATATGCATCGGGCTTTCGATGTATCCAGCCATGTCTTACCTAAGTATGTTCTTTTGTTAGGAGAGATTGAGGTGAGCTCCTCACTTCTTATGGTACCACATTCGCTGTAGCCTGACTCTAAGAATGTTTGGATGAAATGGTATTAGAAGAGTATACGCAAGTAGCGCTCTACCCCAATCCTCTCGTCCAGATAACCATGAACGGACTGGGTAGACATCCGCCATAGCGCCTGTGATCTCTCACCAGAGAGTGAGAGGAGTAAGCGGAACCCTCGGAACCTTGAATACAGGGGCTATCCCAGTTGAGAGTGCAGGGAAGCCCTAGATCCACTGTGCTCTTCATTCCAAGTGGAATGTCGATCAGCTGGTGCTGGAGTCTTTGGTCCAAGACCCCCCATCCCATCCAGCTGGCACTCCAGCGTGGTGGGAATTGATGTCTGTTTCCACATCGGCTCAGGAAGGCAGCCCTGGTGAGGCGCCACACCATGCTCCGCTCAGTGCTCACAGTTGACCGAAGCGGACATCCTTGCGTGCGTTCTCACGGCGCAGTCAGCTCTCACCTCAGCCTACCACAGGTTGTTGGGATGTATCCAATGGAACGCGGCCAGGACTCTTGGCGTGGGGAGTTGCGGTAGGCAATCTACATGATCGGTATGCAGTGCAGACTAGGCTGTCTGGTCCAGGTCCATCCATTTGCCGCTGCTTCTGCCTTCAGTGTCGAGGAAAGCTCGCCTGGTCCCTCTCAGCTGTAAGCATATCATATCAGTGCTAATGGTGAGCTGGCCCCTGTAGGCCTTGATCGGTGCCATACTGCAGGTACAATGCCCACCTCGACACGATCTGCACCGCAGTGATAGGGTTGTTCCCAGATGCCCTGCCCTGCCATATGTACTCCGACCCTCCTCATTAAGGCAATCCCCGCACAAACCCTATATGCTGGTCGACTTCAACTAGCCCCCGACTCAATATTCTACATACATTAGAGAATCAGAACTCCGTCCACCGCTGAGAGTGGCACCGAGACAAGATAGTGAGGTCTCGAACAAAGTTGGGATGGGCCTGATGAGGTCCAAGAGATTAGGACTAATAAGGTCCACTTAGGACAGCCATATATGCCTTTTTTACTAAAGCCTATAGTCAAGGTTATCCTTCAATATTCTTGCTGCAAGAGCGAATCATAAATCTTTAAGTCTATTCTGTTCATATGGATGGTGCAGGTCGGAATTTGGCTATTCTGGTCGGTACGTACTATAGTTGCTAAGGTCAACCTTCCAGCTGCATCAGGCTACATCCGGCTTTGCATCGCGTCAAGTCACGGGTGGATGGAAAGTCTCGCAGCGAAAACACCCGACGAGACCTTTAGTTCGTCCGAGGCCTGAGCACTCAGGACCGCTGATGACCTGATCAGTGTTCAGTTGACACAGCAACGTCATACCGGATGGAATCCGTGACGGACACGGCAGGTGGTGATCAAGTAGGGTAGAGCAGAAAGCAGGGGACCTGTCATTCCGATCATCGTATGACCGCCACACACAGAGGATCATGCTATGCACTGACCGGACTAGGGCTCTTGCTCTTGGCCGCTGCCTTGTCCTTGGCCCCTTGGCGGAGACCTGCCAACCTTAGGGTTCCCGCCCTGCCCTAGGAGGGTATCAGAGTATTGACAACGCCACAAAGGAGCACAGTGTTCCTGGGGCTGTGTCAGACTTCGCCAGACTTTATATGGCTCGGGTGCGGCGCTGCCTCCCCTCTTTCGGCTTTCTGCCACAGTATCCCCACATATAAAAACGTTTCGTTGCTCCAGTCGGTTGAGATTCCTGCCTATCTAGGTTGTGCTTGCTATGCCCGCGCTGAATGTCAGCGAGTTGAACGTGGTGATTTCAGTGCTGGGTATGCCCTGTCTCTCTTAGCAAGACAAACCAGCTAAGGCAAGCAGGGACATTCATTGTCGTTTACGCGCTGGCCTCGGTCAAAATCAAGAATCACTGGTATCTCGGTGAAGCGTGTACGATTCCAAGGCATCCAGCCCGCGCTCGAGGCTCACTGCTAATGCCAACGCAAATGCACAGTGCCGGCCCTGCTAATAGGGATTGTGCTTGGCCCATCCGCCGCTCGATTCCTGGACGCATCAGAGTGGGGCGCTGCAGTCAAGGGCCAGCAAGATGCAATCACCCTGGTACGCAGCACTAAAATTCACCAGCCAAGCCGTGCTCTTGCTGATAATACCAGGGCCTCTGCCGCGTCGTCATCGGCGTCCAGCTGGTAATCGTGGGCTTCCAGCTCCCAGCAAAATACCAGCTGCACCGGTGGAAGGAGATGCTGATCTGTCTGTTGCCGAACATGGCTCTCATGTGGCTGTGCACGTCTGCGTGTATTCTGCTTGCGATTCCGCGGCTGGACTTTGTGAGTTCATTACAATCCCAATTGACGAGCCTAACTGATCGGTTATCCAGCTAAGCGCCCTAGTCCTGGGGTCATGCGTCACGTCCACGGACCCCATCCTCTCGCAGGCCATCGCCAAGGGCCCCTTTGCAGACCGCTATGTTGCCCGTGACCTGCGTGAAATTATCTCCTCGGAAGCCGGTGCGAATGACGGGTTCGGGTTCCCGTTCTTGATGCTGGCTACTTATCTTCTGCGGTATACGCAGGGTAGTCCTGGCCCTGGCCATGATGAACTTGAGCACCGCTCTATCTATCTGTCGGCGAGGGCTGGAGACGTCGGACACCAGGACGGCGGGCTAGCCAAGGCGATGCAGATGTGGTTTGTTGAGACGTGGTGCTACTATGTGGTGATGGGCGCGGTGTACGGCGCTGTTGTTGGGTATGCAAGTATGCGCGCGTTGAGGTTCGCGTTGAGGAAGTCCGTACCATTCAAACCTCCTATTGCATCTAACATGCTAACATGTCCCTTTCCTCCACCTGCAGAAGATGGATAGACGGCGAATGCTACCTCCTCTTCCCCACCGCGCTAGGCGTACGTCCCTCCCCCTCCTCCCTTGCTCAACCCCGTACAACCTACCGACTAACTCATTCCAGCTCTTCACTCTGGGCACCTGCGGTCTAATCAGCACAAACGACCTCCTCGCGTGCTTCTGCGCCGGCACAGCCCTCAACTGGGACGGATCCTACCTGTCCGAGACCGAAGCCCGGCACGACGAAGTCAACCCCTCCATCGACGTGCTCCTCAACTTCGCCGGGTTCATGTACATCGGCGCCGTGATACCGTGGGCTGACTTCCACCAGCCGCAGACGACGGGGATCACGTACCCGCGGCTGATTCTGCTGGGGGTGTTGGTGCTCCTGTTCCGGCGCATACCGAGTTTGCTGGTGCTGTGGAAGTTTATGCCCGGTGTTTGTAAGAGTTGGCGGGAGGCGCTGTTTATGGGGTATTTTGGGCCGATTGGTGAGTCCCCCTATACTATCCCAAGGTTTATGTTTTGTTATTATCTGGGCTATGGCAAGCCCATGCTAAGTGGTCTCTCGTGCAGGAATCGGCGGCGTCTTCTACGCCGAGCACGCAAGCCACTTATTCCCGGCTGCTGGGGAAGGCAGCGAGACGGAGACGACGCTCATCGCGGCCCTGAAACCAAGTACGCCGCTCAACCCTATCGCACAAAGATTTTCTAACACCCAGACGCGGCAGCAATCTACTTCCTCGTCCTCTTCAGCATAACAATCCACGGCCTGTCTACCCCGCTTCTCAGCATAGTGTATAAACTGCTCAACGTCCCGCACCAAATCGACCCGCTGGGACCCGCCGAGATCCGCCCGCTCAGCCGGCACGCACACCTCCCGCCCAACAGCGCCGTGGATAGAAAGGCGCGCTCGATCCTCATGTACAATCGGTTTTCGAGGAGCAAGTTTCCCTCGGGGACGGGGTGGGGGCTGCCGCATTTTCGGTTGCAGGAGCGGGATCGAGAGGAGAGTAGGAGGAGGGGGTTGTGGGGGGATAGCTTTTATGTGAGTGTTCATGGAAATGGAGCTTGGGATGGTACTGGGGGGGACTGGGAGGGAGACAGCTGGAGACATGGTCCTGTTGGGGAGAAGGGATGGGGCCTTGGTGGGGGTGGGATTGGGGGGAGGAGGTTTGAGATGAGGCCTGCGCATGTTGTTCCGGTGGGGTAGGTGGATGGAGCTGGTATACTGCTTCTGTCTGCATATCCTGCATTACATTATTCCCGTCTTATCTTCTATGCATGTCGTTAGATCGTCTTGCCGGCTTGGAGTCAGGCAGGGCTATGGTAGGCGGGTACTTGGGCAATGCACAGCGGATCATTGAACCTGTTCAGAGCTAGCAGCACGGATATATGTAGTGAAGCCTTAGCACGGCCGATTGTAGTGATTCCATTATGCTGGCATACTCCATAACGGGGCGAGGTTACCTCAGATACTCTCGCATCCTATGGTGGTCTATGCAAAGGCCCTGTACAACCAGCATAGTTGGTCCCTGTAAAGTCGCCTTGCCCCAGATTCCAATGCCAGGACTCGACATAACTCCGCCATCAGCTGCGCACTGATGCCACTTGCATATCTTGAGTTGAGTGGATAAGGGTTATGGGGTAACATGGTTGATTAATGAACGGCTCATGGCTTTGCCATCTACCACGGTTCTTTTTAGCTGAAGTCCAGCTTGACTGTCAGATGATGATTGTTGTATGCCCAAACCATCCTTGCCACTGGGATTCCAGCACCGTGAGTACACCTCCATGTCTTCTGCTCATAGAAACTTTCCAGGGCGGTGAACCAGAGAGGTGATTGAGGTCAGATCAACATAAAAGCAGCTTGGATGCCTCTTCCCGGTTGGTTATGGATAGCTCCGGTTGTATTTCTACGTGGAAGTATGATAGTACGTCCTTGGTCTCGCCAGCAGCTCGGTCTCCTGGAAAAGGGTCTGATAATGCTAATGGGCAGGGTAAAGTACGGTGGTATAGGATGGTCGGTTGATAGGGGTACCTACCATATAATATGGTATTTACAAACGGATCCGGATGTTCAGTAAATTATTCAAATCCCCATGTGCTTCCAGGATTCCTGTTAGCTTTTTCATTTGGCCTAGGTTTGCAGCTGCAATATGCATCCATTGATTCTTGCAAACCAGCAACCCTAAAGAACAAAGCTAAGCCGGGAAATCTTGCTCAGTGAGCTCGGGAGGTCATTCTTTGTCTGAGTGCTATGGCCCAGAGCTTCTTTGCTGAGATATATGAAAGAAACCCTCAATAAGCCTTTGTTCTCCTGTCGCAGCTTGCCTTGTGGATGAAACGTCAAACATAAAAGCCTCCATTGTTCTTAGTAAACTATATGCGTTTTGGAATCCCTTCAAGTTCATCAACCTAGGGATGCTCAATAGTGCTCGAGTTCAGCCCTAATTCTGCCACAACCATGCCTTGTAAATGAAACATTAGACACCAAAGGCCTCGTTGTTCTCAAGTCCTATATGCGTTTCACGATCCCTTTAAGATCTTCAACCTTGAGGATACTTAATAGTGCTCGAGTCCTGTCTTTCTTCCTAGATAGCCCAAATATACACATCACATGAAACATAATACAAACCAAAAACCATTCACCATGTCTGAAACCACAAGATTCAACCTCGGTGTAGCCTACCAATTTGGCGACCAACCATCAGACCTAATCCTCCCCCAGGAGATCCTCAACATGATAAACGAGTACATCGTCGGCGGCCGCCCAGGAAAGCCCAACTACTTCGGCCGCGTGCCGGGGCATCTATGCCTCGTAAACTCAACATGGCGCCGCATCTTCACCCCAGCGCTGTACGCCAACTTCCGCTTCACAGGTAACGTCAACGACCTCCCCTCCCTCTGGGGCTTCGTGCGCACCCTGTACCAGAACCCCGAGCTGGGCTCCCTTGTGAAAGAACTCACGCTGACAACCTGGGATATCCACGCGCCCTTTACCCTCGAAGCCAAAGACATCGACGCATTTTCCACGCTCCTGAACGCGCACGGGGGCATCCCAGACGGCCAGTGCATCGATGACTTCCGTACTAATCTCGCCCTGGTCATGGGCATGCACGCGCACTTGCCCAATTCCAACAGCGTCCTCGAGCAGCTGAACACAATGCTAAAGGAACGGTATGCGACAGCCCTCTACGCACAGAACCAAGCGTGGTTCGATTCCATCTTCGAGCTGATCATCGGCTCGCCCGTCATGTTGCCCGCTGCACAGAGGACCCTGCAGCCCGGGACATTAACATCAGGATACCAGGTCCCCCTCGCCATCGTCGCCATCGCCCTGTGCCCGAACCTGACCCGCCTAAACTATAACGTCACACACTCAGGCCAGTGCATCTTCTTCGAGCGCATTCTGGCCTTCGCAACGGGCTCCCTCGCACTCCCAGACGCGTACCTGAACCGCCCCCCCCTCGGAAATCTAGAGGTATTCAATATCGGCGGCCAGCCCGTCGGTTCAAACGGCGGGCACGTCAGGGTCATGGTCTCAGAGTGCATGCCGTACTGGCAGATCCCATCGCTCAAGACGCTGAGCATCCTGAACGCCGACGAGATCTCCTTCCCGCTTATCAATCCCACACAGCGCTTCAGCGCCGTCGAGCACCTATCCATCCAGTGCTCATCGAACGTCACGCATCTACCCAGCCTGTTCGAGCAGATGCCCAAGCTAAGTAAGCTAAGTCTCCAGCTGGGCGTGCAGTACTCATACGCAACCGACAACGACGACGCAGACCCAACAGGCCCAGCGCAATGGGTCGGGATCTGGCGGATGCTCTACCACCTGAAAGACCGCCTTGAATACCTCGACCTGCGCCAAGACGCCATCGTGTTCAGCGAGGCCTCAGACCCCACGGCCCCGTACTTCCACACCCAGCGCGCGGACGGCACCCCGCTCGAACCCTTCTGCCCGCCGCTCCACGAATTCGCCAACCTGCGACACCTGCATATCCCGATCCTCGGACTGGCCGGGCACAACTGCGACCTTGCAGGCGAGCACGGCGCCAAGCTGAAGTTCGCGTCGCATCTCCCGCCATCCGTCGAGTCGCTGGGTATCTACGGCGCCTCGGAGCCGTGGGTGCAGTTTTACTTCCCCACGCTGGACAAGGAGCTCGAGGGGGTTATGGCCTCGGGCTCAGGTGCCGGTGAGGATCGGCATCTCCGTGCGTTCGTGTACGACGGGATCAGCGCCACGAATCGTCGTCACCACGAGCTTATCGAGCGCGTTGGGGCTGCGGCGGCGCGCGCTGGGATCCTGTTTCTTCATTCCGGCGAGGAGTACCTGCTTCGGGGTGGGGAGGTGTCGGCTTGGGGGCTGCTGAATACGCGGGTCGAGATGGATTGGATTGGGGAGTTGTTGGGGCAGTTGGATATTGGGAGGGTGGTGCCCAGGGGGATCGAGGTTGGGGGGTGGAGGGGGAGGCTTGGTAGGTAAGTCTCCAGATGATTCGCTTTTTGTTTGAATGGATGCGCGTAGATGCCTTGTATTGTCTACCTGCAGGTAAGGTGTGAGAGATCTGGATATCTCGCTGCGACCGGCGGGTAGGGTTCCAACTTAGGGCTACGCCCCCCTGGCTCAGGTAGCCCTAGGTAGGTGCCAGGTTGGTTTCCTTCCCCATGTCGGTGCGTCAACTCGAGAAATCCAATCCAGTAAGCTTGGGCTATTGTGTATTATACAAGAACCTGAATAGGTCTCTACAAGGAGAACCAAGAAACCTTCAAGAAAACAATAATGATAATATAATAATAATCGAAAATGCACTACACCGCACGCCCGCAGATCATTTAGCTTGAACAGAACAACCATTCGTCCGCTCGATTGAGCCCAGTAAGCTAGACCCTCGTAGACTGAACTGCCTATGTAATGTCAATTCTATGTGAAGACTTTCCGTACGGCAGCCCTGAAGGCCAGGGCCAGCAGGATGGGCCTTCTCTGTGCTTCAGCCAGATCTCTTCTCCACTGGGCTCTAAACATGATCAAGGCCTCATTCATGTAGTTCAGGAAAGTTAAATCTACATATCTTAATATGTCATTCCGGGATCAGTTACTTCTCCTTAAATGAGTATCAAACAGGCGCTCTACACAAATGGCCCGACAGATACCGTGATTTCCGCTTCACCAGGTACCCCCGGTCCCCGCCCTGTTGGCAATGCAAGCGCCTACCCTGAAGCGCAGAACGGAACGCCGCCTAGCCCTCCTCCCACCGGCTCCAGGGTACGCCGTCTGCACGCTCCTCGCCGTATTGAGCTGGCCATTACCTGTGGACAGGGGTGGACGGTCCACGTGCCGCTGGGGGTGTTCGTAGTGCAGTGGCCTGCGGAAAGTCGACTGTGGTGCTTCGTCCGTGGCGCTGTTGCTCTGGTGCGAGGCGCTCTATTAGCGTCACGCGGGCTTGCCTCTGGTCTTGATCCGAACGCTGCGCTGGGCTCTGTACCTTCTAGCCGTGGCGTTTCTCTGCGGCCCGAGTAGCGCTGCTGCATGCCTGTACTACGAAGTTGAGCGCAGGGTCTTAGCGAAGGAGGCGTAGGGACTTGCATGCAGCGTGGTCTTTTCCTGCGTGAGGGAGGAAGGAATCAAGGAACTAGGGTAGGCATGGTAGGATGGATGAGATGTACTGGAAAATGTATTCTCGGGGGTTTCATGATGACTCTTTTATCTCCTCGCTCTTTCATCTGTCCAATAGCGAAATGTATCTTGGTTTCTACCGCATGGCCAAGGCCGCAACATCGCATCTGTTTCACAGCAGTCCCAGTGCCGGCGCAGCGTTCCATTACTAGCAATCATGACATATCTATGGTAGTAGGCTGTTCATCCCGTCCATATGACCAACGCGGTAAATGTTGGGCTTTGCAGAATATCATTTTCGCTCCAGGGATCCCTAGCCCTGTGAGCCGTTGCTATCAATGCATACCTAATCTACTTACTACCGCTACCCAAGCAACAAGCATGAGCCTCTTTATCCAACGCGCAGTGCTCACTCTTTGGGGTCGCATCTATTCCCAATTCCAAGGACATCCACAATCCATCTCCAACAGCGCCCCGGCATAGCACTACAACGGAGCCTGCGCCAGACTTTAATGCCCCAATGGTCCCAAAGGAGCGGACGGGCGTTCCGCACAAGCTCCCTGACGCACAACATGTAGAAAGAGTAGACTCATTGATTGCAGCGGGAGAAAGACCTAATGGCAATGTGGATGGGGTGCTCCTTCTGACACTCAAGAAGGCTCTCAATAGAAGACTAGCATACATTCATCCACCGACAGATCATCCGCCGACCACTCGACTACCTCCTTTCTCTAAGCGGAAAGCAGCTTCGCAAGCAACTCATCCTCTCCTTCGGAGTGGTTCAAGGTCCCGGACGCCAAACTCCAGGTGATCATAGACGTGGTCGAGCGTCTACACACTGCCTCCCTGCTGTCCGTCCCCGCCCTCCCAAATCCTTTCTGCATTCTGCCCTACATAACCTGGGATATATACTGACGGATTCCGTACGGGTAGGGACTGGAAACCCCTCGCAAACGCCCTTGGCGTGATCTTCCAGATCCGCGACGACTACCTAAACCTCCAGAGCAAGCAGTACACGCAGAGCAAGTGGCTCGCCGAAGATCTAAGGGGGGCAGGTTCTCCTTCCCCGTCATCCACAGCATTGCCTCGGCGCCAGATAATACAATCCTAGTTGATACTCTGGGCCAGCGCATCGAGGACGAGGCGCTGAAGCGCAGTGCTATTCGGTATGTGGAGTCGACGGGCAGCGTTGAGTACTGCCGCAGGCGGCTGGATGGCCTGCAGAAGGAGGCTCTTGGGCTTGTGGAGCAGTTGGAGGGCAGTCTGGGGCCGGGAGATCGCGTGCGGCGGATCCTCGAGCTTTTGGCGCTGGGTTCGTGAGGGTTTGGATACTGGTACGGTATGTGATTGGAGAAGGATCTAGTTGGTTGTTGTATGCGATGGGAAGCCTTTCATCTGCCGCATGGTATGGTAGGTATCGAGATGGACAATTTACAAGACCACCACCTAGACAATGAATGTTTCTGATTTCACCCGTCCCGACACTCAACCAAGCTCGGTTAAATACAACACATTCTATGACCCCATAGACCCTACCTATTTACTGTTGCGACCCCTAAAGCCACTGCTTGTTCCCATACTGACTCAGAAACGCCCCCGCATACCCCCGGTCCACATGCGCCCTCTCAATCACGCCCCTCAACAACCCCACCGACTCCTCCGGCGTAATCGGGCCCTTCCACGCAGGCGCATACGTGGCAAACTGCGCTACCATGCTCGCAACGCCCGCCTTCTGCTCCTCCGTCATCTCAGCCTTCCCCTCAGACGTATCAACCAGGCCGGGCGAGAGACCGAGGAACAGAATCCCGTCTTTGCGGTACTCGGCGCTGAACTTTGCGATGGCGGCGTTGAGGGCGGCCTTGCTGATGCTGTAGGGGGCGCCGATGGCGATGTTGTAGTGCGCTATGAAGTCGAGGTCCGCCATGCCGGTTGTGATGGCGATGACTTTTTTGATGGCCGAGCGTTGGATTAGCGGGAGGAAGAGGGTGATTAGGTTGATGTTGCCGATGAGATTCGTGTTGAGGGATGAGAGCAGGTCGGCGGTTAGGCCTGCGGGGTCTTTGGCGGCGCTGGGGGGTGTTAGCTAGGGTTGGATTGTGGATGGGTGGTGGGGGATGGGGTGCGTACAGCGTACCGAGGCCATCCCACGCAGACCAGGTCGAGACGACGGCCGCGTTTGCGATCAGGTGGTCGAGGCTGGGGGTGATTTTCTCGACGGCTTCGACTGCGTTCTATCGTACAATTAGCACCTGGATATCTTATATCTGACGTAACCCTAAGTCTCTGGTAGGCGAACCTTGAGAGAATCATAGTCGGTGAGCTCGCCCTGGACGATACGGATGTTGTCGCGCTTCAGCTCATGGGCGACTTTCTCCTCTGTCGCAGCCTTGTTGCGCACAAGGCCGATGACGAGGTTGGTTGGGTCTGCGGAGAGCTGGCGGAGGAACTCGAACTGGAGGTAGGGTTAGGGTTAGTCCTGGCGTTGATGCAGTGGGGAGGGAGCGTACGCCGAGCCCGCGAGATGCGCCGGTGATGAGGTAGGAAGGCATTGCAGTGACTGTATCTTGAAGACAAGTTGTAATTGTTGATGATGAGGTCCTTCAAGGCCGGAGTCTCAGTACTTATACACACCAACCCTGCATGGCGTCAACCATCTCCAACACAATGCTTACAGAGAAGCTTAGTGACTGTATGACATGTTTGCACTTAATCTAAATCCTGTGGAACGTGTTTGCACTACAATAACTGACCAATCAGAGGCTGCAACAGCAAGCCACAGTTGGATTTCTAAGCGCTGACACCACCCACTTGCAGGCAAACATCTCCTCGACTCCGCACTACGAACAGTGCAAACATGCCCAGCGTGCTCGAAGGCTGCATTGCGTCAGGACTGCTGAGCCTGGGAGCCGCAGCGCCGGGGAAATGCCGAGGGTTCAACCAGTCCTGCATACTTGGGGTTTCACGGGTCCAAGTAGCCACGCTAGTCGTCCTATTGCTAAAAATACGCTACCACGACAGGTAATCATCCCAAGATGCAGGGCAAGGGCTTTGCCTTCTAAGCGTCCGGCAGAGGGTTCAGAATCATATCTCTATTCCCAGAGCAGTCAATTGAGTTATCCAGCTGTTGTTCCTGGTTTGGTTTGTATAATCACCACAGCGCTGGTCAGTGGTTAGGGATGCGCTCAGATTGCGTTTATTGTTATTCCTCGCAGATAGACGCCACTTAGCACACGGAATGAATCAAACAACCTTATACATAAGTATGTATATGTACCTAGTAACCAAATGGGTACTTCCCAATCTGCGCACCCTTAAACAACGCAAAAAGACCCATTGTCGTTCCCAATCCGCTCAGCAAGGTTGACATCGGCCCAAACAGCGTCCCCGTCCTCGTTCCTCAAGAGAGCCCGAAGCACAGGCACGCTCTCGCCGCCCTCGATGTCAAAGGTGATGTCCTCGGCGCTGTGGCTGAAGTTCTCTGCGTCCCATTGGAAGTGTCCTGTCGCAAGACGCCATTAGCTGCCGTGCTCAGATAACAGAGATTCACCTAGTGGGACGCTAGGAGTGTGAGATAACGCACCGTTGTCATTACCGAGGATCTGGTTCAGGTCAAACTCGGCGTCAATCCACTCGCCGTCTTCGTTCTGGAGCTGGGCGTGCAGGCGGTGGCCGTCTTCGACGCGGATGTCTTGGGCGGAGTGGTGGAAGCTCATTTTGAGGTCTTTGCTGCAAGTGTTGTTTGCTTGTTTGGACTAGATGAGAATAAGGTATAAGGCAAGTAGTGTTTCTGTGGCTGAAGTGAAGCGAGGCTGGTGCTTTATATAACCTTGGAAATCTTCCCCGCCCCTTTCGTGGAGACGGCCAAGAAGCGCGTTTAGGCAGCCATGATATCACCGCAGACTATACTCCGTATCCATCTGCGTGAGACCTTGCAACGTGGCGGAAACATAGGGGGAGGGGCAGGGGGTTAGACCCCGCTGACCCTGACCTCCACCTACACCCTGTGCATCAACTAAGGTATTACCCAGTCGTTTAACTCGGGCTGTGAACGTGGCTGCGGACGCTGCATTGACGCACAGTTTTTGTGCTCTAGTAGGAATATGGATTAAGCCTGGTGCAGGCCGCGTGTTGATTCATGCAGCCACAGGGTGTACTCCGTACAATAAGTGACGCCTGGATAGTGGATCCTACAGGTAGGGCTGTGGATCCCCGTTAGATCACCCTGGCTCTATAAATAGGGTCTACGGAGTTGTTAGTGCAACAGGCAGTGTGCTGACTGTTGAATCAGACAGTCGCCACAAGCAAAACTCATTGGCAATTGCCATAAGGAACATTGACTCTGTCAGAATCCACACTACTGCGGTTATTGGTTGGACTGGTAGCCCTAACTACCTACCTTAGTAGTATTCTCCCATTTTGCCTACCTATCTTTCAAATCGTCCAGCAGGGAGTCCATTTCTAATGCGCCCGGAATCATAAAGCACTGTCTGGCACCGGTAACCGTCCCTGCCGTCGTTTTTCGGCGGGCGTTGACAGCACTGCGGGCGTTGTAGGTAACCTCGGAAGGGCAAATTGTCACCGAGGGCAAGGGAGGTCACTGGATAGGCACTAGGAGAAGCACGTATGTGTTGAGGGGATTAGCACCTTATAGAAAGAGGCGACCATGGTTTCTCTTTCTGAGCAGGCCTAAAAGGTGTAGTGCCATCTCTACGGTACCCGGTGCATGGCCGTCCCTGGCAAGGAAGCAACAAACAAACGACGCAGGATCTCCTTATTCGAGGGCTCCATATCTACGCAGATACATTTAATCCATATAATCAACAAAAAGACCGTGCCTACTCTGCTCCACCCGTCCCAGCACGACAGAGTATCCCACCCCCGCCCCGTCCAGACGCATCCAGCAGCGCCGCCTCCAGCATCTCGCTCTCCCGACGCAGCTCATCAGCATGATCACACTTCCTCGCGGTATCAAAGTCAATCAGCACGGCCCTCCCGCCCTGAACCAAGAAATTAAACCGATTCACATCCCCATGTCGAATGCCCAGCCGATGCAGCCGTCCCAGCGCCGTCTGGCACGCCGCAGCATCACCCGGCCGTGCCCCTGCATGCCGGGCACCCGTGACGCGCTCCATCAGGAACCCAATCACCCGCTTATCGTCGCCGTTATCCTCTGTAAGGTGGCCGAGGAAGCGAGGGGCAATGTCATGGCCGTCGATCCATTGGTACGCCCTGGTTTCGTTGTCCAGGTACGCGATCTCCCAGCTGAAGCGGGCGAATTTTGCGACGACAACGGTCTCGAAAAGCGGACTTGCCACTGTTACTTCGTACACGCCTGTCCTTAGCTTCTCGCCTACCTCGATGTCCGCGTAGTCGATGGAGACATTGTGCCATGTGTTCATGACAGAAGGGAGCTTTGTGTTCATGGCGCGTGCGAAGAATGGCTGGCCGGTTTCGGGGTTTCTGGCGATAAGCCCATCGTTCCAGTCTCCTGGGGGGAAAGCTGGTAGGATGGAGAGCAGCGAGGGGCCGAAACACATGTCTTCTGTGCTATAGAGGCCGGGCTCGATGGTGAGGTATTTGATTGTTTTGCCAACGCGCAGGCGGAAGAAGCTCTGGTCGTCCTCGTCGATCTCAGCCTGAAGGAGCTCGATGTTTGGCTTGGTGCTCAGCATGGCGATGGGAAGAGACTAAGGTATAGTATAGGTAGGATAGAGTCGTCTGGAGTGAAGGAAGCAAATGCGAAAGGAAGGAACCAGATTGATTCTCGAGATGTTCTCAGAAGAGTAGGACGGCTTTTATGAAACACCCAACAAACTTTCCTGTCCCAGGGATGCATCAAGGCCATGCGTATGAAGTACCTAAGCGCCGGGCCTTGTTATTGGAATCCACTTAACCCAATCGAACCCAGCGCAGCCAACGAGGCGATGAAACGGCGCCAATGCAAGCCCTTCCCATACCCCAAGTACGGATCTGGAGAACCCACACCAGTGGGTTTCTGTTGATGCATGAACGATTGGCTCAAACTCACTCCCCGGCCTCGACCACACGGCGTAACGCTCTAAGTCTGAAATGCCGATTGGTATTCGGTTCGAAAGCTCTAGGATGGTAGGTGAACTCAGAATCAAGGCCGGCGGCAAAGTCATGTCGACTGCAGTACGGTATACCATATCCATTGGGAATATGGCCGGGGTGTTCCATTCCAAGGTTTAGGGCATCAGATCAGAAATTCGAGTTGGAGACCCATTCAGCTCTGGATCGGCACTTTATATCCCGATACCACTGCCATTGCCCTGTATCATCTGTATCATCAGGTAAGAAGAAAGAAGGTCTTCTTGTGACTTCAAGCAAGGGTCCTGACTGGGGGAGCCGGTAGTCACTGCCTCGACAAACTCAAGCCCCCGTCCATCAGACAAGTCTAGCGGACCCTCAAGCCCACGGTCTTGACTCAGATATCGAAACGGTAAGGAGGGGACATCATTCATCTCGCCCGGCTCGCGGCTCGCCGGATACTGATCCATCAGGTATTTGCCAGGCAACCTGAGAGGGCCATATCAAGCTAACAGGCCTTGCAGAGCCAGAAATATACAGGAACCGGGCTAGGGACACGCCTTTAATACAATAGAAACCAGAACATCAGATACACAATCGCACCCAAGCCAACTGCACCTGCATCTACTTCTCACGCGCCTCCAGCAAGTTTCTCCGCCGCCTCAACACTATAAACCGGCCCCCGATACTCCCCGCGCCCCCTAACAACCCACCAAACCAGAACCAAGGCCATAAGGCCAACCGTAATGACACTGGTGTAATTCATATTCTGCACCGTGACGGGCAGCACGAAGGGGAAGCAGAAGAAGACCACCGTGACGAGAATATACAGCACACTCGCAACGTTAACGCTGTACCCGAGCACCGCACTCATCTTAAACGGGCCAGGGATGACCATGCACCGCTTCGTAAGGATATGAGGGATGATAGCGCCCGCGTAGCTCAGCGTACTCAGCACAATGAATGATGAGATCAACGCTTGGAACGCCGTCGTCGACCCAACGTATATACACCCCAGACACGAAACCATGATGCTCATAGCGACCGTCGCGTTAACGGGGCAGTCGAGGGTTGGATGGACGCGTGCCAGAGTCGTCGCGAAAGGCGTGGCGTTCGAGCGTGCGAGCGACCACCACATGCGGCCGCCGGTGGTGAGGGTTCCGATCAGGGTTGGGAAGGTCGCGAGGAAAAGCAGGGCGATGAGGGCGACGGCGCCGGCGGTCGAGCCAGTCGCTTGCAGGTAGATCTCGGCGACGGGGAAGTACTGGATCTTGGTATCGAAGACGGCGGCGATGTCGGAGATGCCGTAGAAGAGGGCGATGAGGTAGATGAATGTTGTGAGGAAGGCTGTGAGGAGTTGCAGCATTATGCCTTGGGGCACTTTGCGGTCGGGGTGGGGGACTGCAACCAGCATCGTCAGTCTTCATTGATCCAGTTAGGGTTATGGCTGGATGGCATACCCTCCTCGCTCAAATGGCTAATACAGTCCGGCGTGCCCACCGCAAACGCGGCATTCAGGAGTCCAGACAGGAAACAAATCCCATCGCTCCAGCCCCCCGTCTCATTATAATAGATCCGCCAAACCTGCGCATTGCTCGCGCGGTTCCCGCTCTTCGGCATAACAGCCAGAACCACAACCGTCACAAACAACCCCCCCATGCTCAGCACCAGCGCAACCCGGTTCAACATTGGCAGCCACCTATTCCCCAGACACACAATGGCACAGCACATCCACAGCACGATCTGGAAGACGATGAACGGCTGCCAGGCGTGCCATTCGACGTCCGGGTTGCGCAGGAGGTACATGGCAACCGCCTCATTGCCGAGAATCGAGCTCATGGATGCAGCGGACAGAAGCCACGCACACGCATTCAGGTACCCCGTGAAGAAGCCGACGACGCGGCCGTGGCGGCCTGCGACCACGGAGGACCAGTGGTAGACGCCGCCGGCGGAGGGGATCGCGGATGCGAGCTCGGACAGCGACGCCGAGATGCAGGCGTAGAAGATGCTTACCACGATCAGGCCGTAGAGCACGGCCATGGGGCCGCCGTTGTACAGGGCTGTCACGATGGTGCCGCCTGTTGCGGCCCAGGAGCTGTACTTGTTACCATGCACCCTGGCAGTGCTGGGAGATGAGGGGGGTACGTACTTGGCAATGATGATTCCCAGGCTCGTTAGACTGAATAACCCAAAGCCGCGGACGAGCTCTGGCTTGGTGCCTAGGGCTGCTTCGAGGCGAATGGCGTCTGCATCCTGGTCGGGGTTGACGTTCACGTTGACGTTGACGTTGGACTCGCCCATTGTGACAAGAACAATGGTATTGTGGCAGAAGTCGACAGACGGATGGAAAAGAAGCAAATCCTGAAGATGCAGAAGAGAAAAAAGAAAAATCAATCATCCCTGCTCGTGGGATTATTAGAGAGTTTGGCGGTGCATTAGTGACGCTCTAGGCTCAGCACTAACTGACTGGCCTCACTTAGGGCATGCAGGCCCCCACGCAGATGCCAGACGCAGACGATGCAAAGTCGGACCCCCACAAGGCGAAAGCCGCGGACGGGGCCGGCCAGCTTGCAATCTTAATTTGTTATTGTGGCGCTTGCCTGGTGCCTTGTAATTTTTGTGCGACTGTCAGCTTTTAAGGAGGGTTGGCATCCTTCGCTGGACACGGTGTTGACCTGAATGCGTCGCCATGGGGGATGTGTCGCCCACGCCGCACCAGCTGCTGGTTGAGGCGGTCATCTTCTGGAGTATTGGGTTGGTGATCTATGTTGGCAGGATGTGCGTGCTCACTCTGTTAGAGCTGGGCTAGACTGACTTTTCAGAGTCGCGAGATGTCTGTCGAACGGAGGGATTAGGCATCTTCAAGGTATCCTCCCCTTCAAGATACAGAGAGAATAATTATTGACATCCGGTGTAGCCGACGACTACATCATGACTGTTACCTTTGTGCGCTCCTCTCCCTCCCATCCTTGACAAAGCCCTAACAACACCTTCTTCGACAGCTCATCTACACCACCCTCCTCATCCTCATCCGCGTCTCCGCCAAATACGCAACCAACCTCTTCCCAGCCTCCGAACTCGAGTCCATCCTCTCCGACCCTCACGACGTCGCAAACCGAGTCTACGGCTCGAAAATCGTCATCGGCCTCGAACAATGCATGCTACTGTCCACCTGGGGCGTCAAGACCTGCCTGGTGACCATGTACTGGAAACTCACGCACCGGTTGCCCTGGCATCTATTCGTACAGATCCTGGCAGGATATGTCGCTCTGGGCTTTGTGGTTATCGAAATCACTTACTTCGCCGTGTACTGCCGGCCATTCTCGCAGTACTGGGCCGTTCCTGTCTCCAATCCGCAGTGCGCCACCTACCAGCACTACAGCATCACGCAGGCGGTCTTCAATCTCTCCAGCGACGCCTTCATGCTGATCATCCCGATCCCATTGCTCAAAGGAACGCAGATGCCGATGAAGAAGAAGGTCCTGCTGATCAGCGTGCTGGGGCTGGGCGTGTTTGTGATGGTCGCCGCAATCCTGAACAAGTACTTTAACTTCGCCAGCCCAGATACGACCATCTACCAGCTCTGGTATATCCGCGAAGCAAGCACGGCAATCTACGTCGCGAATCTCATGTGCTGGTGGCCGCTCCTCCGCAAGGTCTTTGGCAGCGCCCTGTCGCAGTACAGCAGCAACTACCGGGCCAACGGATACGAGGGCCCGTCGCAGCGCTCAGCCTTGCAGTCGCATTCACACTCGCAGCATCACGGCTCTGTTAATGCCAGTCGGGCGTCAGCAATCTTCACTGGCAAAGTCCGCGTGAAAGCGACCGAATCCAGACGAGGGCGATGGTGGAGGTCGGAGCCCACTGCCACAACCAAAGGCCTCAAAACCTCAGCCAGTCAAGAAGCGATCAACACGGCGGATCGGGTGGACTCGCCGGCTGATAGACACGAAGGCGACGTGCCGCTGGAGATATGGCGCAAGGTGGAGTACAATGTGGAACAGACGGCGCCAGGGCCAGGGCCAGGGCCAGGCAGTGCAGGGCCTTGATCGGGCCCGGATCTGGGTTCCCCGGTTCAGCTTCGGAGATTTGGCGATCAATTGATTTGTTTTAGACTTGGCCAATGGCATTTGACTCAACTTATGTGAATCGTAGCAGTAGCCCGTTTGGGGGCGTCCTCCGGGGCCTAACTGTGCCGGCCGTACCCGAGCTCGGGGCTAGACACGCCCGGCCCGTGGGGGCCCATCCCTGAATGCACACCGTGGCGTGGTTGCGCATACGAAGCAGACACAGGACAGCGGTCCTTCATATGCAAGCCTACTCACACGTGCTTGAGGCCTTCTTGGCTTAGGTCAGGTGCCTATGCCGTGGTATGAATCCTTCATAGCTGCATAACTCTGAGGGATCTGGACGGAATGCATCCGACGCCGTCGCGCACTAGCCAACTCAAATAGAGTTCTTGTCTCTTGGAACCTTTGGAGAGTTCTCCTTTTGTTCCGGTTGGCTCATGTCGGCTGCAACATCCGCAGGTCCACCGGGGCCGAAGGGATAATGCCCTAGTTTGTTGACATAATGCTGTTGTAATGCCCCCTGAAAGCCTGGCACTGTTGGCCTCCATTGAGACAGCCTAGGAGATGATGCTGCTGATGCTAAATGGAATGCCGAGATTACTGTTTTGATGAGGAGAGAACGGTGATGATGGTTGGTATTGACAGAGAGTGAGAGTCGTGGACAGCAAGAGGTGGTCATTAAGCACAGCTGCAGCTGAGCCACCGGTCGCTCCTTCCTTCCACAACCCTTACATACACTCCGGACCCTGTTCCTGATCCCAAATCTTATCCTCACGTGGGTCCTGCAAAGCCGCGTTCTAGAAGTCGGGCAGTCCGGTTCAACAGGAAAGTCAGCTCCTATTCCTGTGAACCGTGTCGATGTTCGATGAGGAAGGGGCATAGAATATGGTGAACATCTAGCGTCTTGAGTTAATTTCTCTTCGTGTGGATCAGAAGAGCATGCAGTGACGCTCTGAGTAGGTAGATTGTTTCTCTATCCCACTGCCATTTGGACTATCTTACCGAACCCTAAGCCCTAGCTTTCTCCCCCATGCTCCGTCGAAACATCTTGCAATTCCATCACCGCGAATCGAAACTACCAGTGGTCTATACTACCATATCCTGAGACAATCCGAAGCCGCCAGTCCTCAGCCACCTGCAACCACCGGCCCAAACTTCCCACCCTCCGGGACCCTCAAATACGCGCACCCCTTATAATCACACGTATCCTTATAAACCTCGGTCCCCCACCACTCAAACCCCCTACTCGCGCCCGAAAAATAAACCGCAAAGAAGATGACCACCCCGGCAACACTAACGCTCGTGTCCAGCGCCGCACTAAGCACAAAGTTATATTTCCCCCACCACGCACTCATGCGCTTTTTGACGTACCACCCGAAGAAGAGGCCGACGAGGACCCAACTCGCGTAGTTTAGACCCGTCGCGGGGGGGAGGTAGTTCAGGCCGCCGAGGAAGAGGGGGATGTGCACTTTGCGTAACAATGACGAGGAGGGTAACGAGCGGCGGAGGATATAGATTGGTACGCCGAGCAATGCGCCGAGGATGGGGAAGTACAGGAGTGCCTGGTAATTATCGGCGAAGAACCGACGCGGGCCGATGGCGCCCCAGATTAGGGAGGTGTTGAAGTGCGTGCGCGAGTAGGGGCATGAGAAGCCGTTTGGGGCGGAGGTTGTGCAGACGTCTGTGATGTTGGCGAAGGACCAGTTGAGGGTTAGGAGTGAGGCCAGGGTGCCGAAGAGCATGCCGGTTAGTTGGACGATGAAGAGGGATTTCTGTGGGATCTGCACCGTGCAGGTGCAATTAGTGTGTGTAGCTATGAGCTGGGCGTGAACTAAAGGGAGGGTTGAGGTCGCACGTTGCAGTAATAAGCCAGCTTCATATCCTGGGCAAAGTACAGCCCTTTGATCGTGGTGATGTAGCCGATGTCGAAGAACCAGATGTTTGCGAGGACTTTGCCATCGAAGACGAGGCCCGCGATGATGCGGCAGAGGATGTCGATGTTGATTTTCAGGTTGGCGGTTGCGTAGATGAGAGCCAGCTATAGTATATCAAGTCAAGAGTTAGGGTTGTTTTGAGTGAGGTGAGGAGGGGCTGGTACCGGGGTATAAAACACCAAAGCCACTGCACACGCAAGTAAGACGCCGTACCATCTCAGCTCGACGGCCCAGTATTCGACTGCGAAGATTGAAAGGAAGAGGGCGAGGGCTGAGCAGACCAGGTACCACCAGACTGGGACATCAGGGGTGCCGGTCCGTCTATCCGTTGATTGAGTCCAACCCGTTGTGGAGCTCATGACCAGCTGAGGAATTCTTCTAAGCCCGGTTTGTATAACATCTCTATGTTCGACAGCCACCCAGACGAGGAGAGCAGTTAGGGTTGCGAATGACAGCCCGAACATATTGAGGGCGTAGGTGACGGGCATGTAGACCTGTCCAGGTCTGTTAACAAGAGGTCATTATTCTGAGATCTCAACATACCGGCGAGTACTCCTGATATTTCTGCACGTCTAGTTGGTATCCTGATGCAACATTGACGATCTTCGAGGCGTTGTACGTGCTTCCTGTGTTGTCAAACACTATTCCCTGTTAGAAGAGGGTGGACCACTCATAGTTCCAATGTAGGGCTGGATACCTGAGGAGCTCTGAAACGGCAAATACCCCGTATACCATACATTACTATAGTAGCAAGCCACGGCAACAATCCAGATCCAGAAGACCAGCGATCCAGCGATATTTAGAATTGCCCATGACGGAACGAGGAGAGGGGACCCTAGATAAGATACTTGACTCCCTATTGAGGCTTGTCAGCATACAGCACGGAGAGTTCTAATGGCTAGTAGAGAGCGTACAGTCAAACGTGATAGGAATCAGACCCATTCCACTCGTCACCCCTGTCAACTGGTTCAACACCACACTGTCCGGTTTAATCCAGCACGCAAAGTTGAAGTTGCTGAGGGCTGGGAAAATAAAGTCCGGAAACCAGTACCAGCAGAACGAGACGCAGAAGACGAGCGTGAAGAAGGCATATCGGGAGATTTTCCATGTATCGTACCTGCTCGCAGAGTTAATGGCATTCTCGTAAGGTGATACAGGCGATATCGAACCTCGCCTGCGTGTCTTTCTGCCCGATACCATGCAATGTGGTGACCAGGGTTGTCACGCTCAGAACACCCGGCCAAATCAGCTCTCGGGGGACAACAGCAATGGCGCGACATACGCCCGTTAGACAGAACCCGATAAGGAACGTAGCGAGTGTAATGGTAAATTGGAAACCAAACCCTGCGGCATAGCCGTAGAACTTCTGCTGTTCAGTCAGAACGTCAGCCCCGAGACGGACATAGATACTGAGATTGGACATGATGTAGATCAAGACATGTTCCTATTCGCCGTTAGTTATCAACGTGCAGCTTGTTTGAGATTGGCTTGACTTGCCTTTGTGTTGAAAGAACCTGGATTCAGATTGAATGCCCACGGCCCTAGAGGGACGGTCCAGGCGGGGATAGTCTTCTCCCAGAGCTTTCCGAGCGGGTATGCCAGCAGGAGGACTACCGATGCAGAAATGGTAATTGACGGGGTGCGCAGCGTGTAAAGTGTATTCAGACCGCTGACTACGATGCAGAAGATAATGCCGAGGACGAACATGCGTAATGTTAGGACAGGCTCGGTTGGGTCATCTTCGGCGAGGCCGATACCAGCGGCGCGAAGAAGGGTATCTATCTCATCTGTTTCTGCACTCGGAGAAAATAGTAAGTTCTGCAGAGACTTGGAAGTCTGGCATAGCTTACCAGAATGTTCAAGCGGCGAGAGGTCATTCTGTTCCTGAACCCTCGGGTCCTTAGTAGTGGGTGCCATAGCTGTAGTGTAGAAGCTCTGGAGTCTGAACAGCGGGACAGAACGATCAGATATAAGGATCAGATAAGATCGCAAAATGAAGCTGCCTGTTCCGGGATTACAGCTTTCGGTTGCATTGAGTGGGCCAGAAGCTACCATAGTACCCTACACCTGCAGTCCTTCAACCCTATGACCTAGGGCTGTGGAGCAAATGACTCCGTAATGCGCTCCAGCATGCCGAAGCATCTGATAAGATGCTCAAATAGACATGATTATTGGCAATCTGAACTGGGCCCATGCCCGCATAACCTGGTGTTGTAGGATGCAAAGTGAGAGCTCAGCCCTATATCTGGGTCTGGTGGAGCGGACAAAGCTTGTGCGAACCGCAGTTGGAGGACAGAGTGGATGAGCTTTTCGTGTCTGCCTGCAGTGGATCAAACCGGGAATTCGGCACTCGTCGACAGGATGTAGCAGTCAGGCTATAGAGACAAAAGCGCATTTATGTAGCTTGAGTAGGTCAGGCAATCTCATTCTCGTGATTTGCGCTCATAGTTCTCTAGCGATATGGACGCCTGGTCACGGTTAATACCCTAGGGTACCTGCGCTGCTACTCAAGCGTGGGTTATCGAACCTTGTGAGGGCGAACCTTCTGTATCTATTTGAGTGCTGGAGAGAGTGCGGTTGAAGTAGCGCAGTCGTGCTCTCGGTGGCGCCATCTGGTTATGAGGTCTTGGGGAGCAATAGTGGAGGTAAACAGCCAGGCCAGAAAGCTCGGTAGGCCGCAATCCTTGCTCAATTCATTAAGGAAGTGTTGCCCCAGTCTTCCCAACTGCTTTGTTGAGAGTGAGGTTGCGATGCCCAGTGGATCGCATCGAGTAAATCACCCGTGGACCCTATGGTCCATTGAAAATAGTCGCGCCTGCATTAAGTGGAAAGTGCAACCCATGCCCACCATCCGTCGGTCACCAGCTGATGGAGGTGCGAGTCAATGAAGGCCAGGGCGTCGCTGACAGTAGGTAAGGTATATGGGAGGTTGGAGTGCAACATGGTCTGAGGATGATAAATTGAGCTTTCGAGAGGGTGAAGGGCTATACAGTAGCGTTTCCCGCCAAAGTTTCTGGGGATGGGAGCTTATTCTGGGTACATTCCCGTAAATAAAAGGTTACGAGACGGTTTAAGAAGCTGAATCTCACAACCTAAGGGACTGGTCGCTTCGTGGTAATAAATGCCGCTGGCCTCGGGATCGGCCTAGGAGTGGGAAAAGATTGAATATTAGCCGGGCAAGAAGGGTCTTCTGATTTGGATTTTGAGAACTTCGAAGTGGTCCTAACATGATGTAAAGAGCGTGACCAATGTATAATAGATTGCACCACAGGGCTATGCTGCTCTACATCTGTATCTGGCAGACATGCTCTGACAGGAATGCTGAGCAGTCAACAGGAAAGAATGGGATGACAGCACGTCAAACTGGCTCAGAACCGTTTTCGTCTATCTATAGCCAACGATACAAATACAAACGCGAGTATCATTCAACGGTCGGGCGTATCACTCCGCAAGTGTTCTAGTACCATGGCGATCCTCTCATCCCCCGTATCAAGCCGCTTGACTATATCCTTCATCTCCACCCACACCTGCTCACCGAGATCCTCGCCCAGCGTGGGCTTGACGTTCACGCGATTCTTTCTGACAAGAATACTAGGAGACTCTCCTTCGGTGACAGGCATAAAGTCTCCTTGACGCATTGGTGGCACCTTTTTCAACGGACAAGTACTGGGGCCCACGTTGCCCAATAACAGGATCTAGTCCAACAACTCTCCTTATTATCAGTCGAGGAGGCTCCTGAACGACGCCGTATAACACGCAGGTTGTACTAAAAGCCCTCCGACTGTGCTAACCATACTGGCGCAATCCGCCCTCGATGTCCTTGCCACTACCCCAAGATACATTTCCAGTTATTTCCAGTGTTTTATGCTCTTGGTGTGCCTATTTTCCCATCATACATCTTTTCACCCTGATTGAAGCAGTAACAGTGACTTTTGCCTTTAAATTGTTAAAGGGCATGCCTTTCCGTGTTGTGACATCTCCGTTCAGGCCATTAGGGTTCCTCCGCAAGCAGCTGCGTTAAGTTACTGTACTACTATATAGACGCTCCGTAAACAAGGAAGCGCAGCTGGCCCGTGTTAATTTCAGACAAGTTCCAAGGTTCATCTCTTATTGGAGCCATAATCACCACGAGTCCACACTGTCATCTCTGACTAACGGTGACTGGGATCCACCATCGCCTAGCGTCGGTCCCGTAAAGAGTCTAAGAGGCAGTCTCCAATTTACTCGACCCTTACACAGTCCTCTCTAATCAAGGTTCATGCAGTGATGGCCCGATATCCCGTTATGTAAAGCGCTACTAAGCTTGGGGGCGACTGAGACCTGCAGAAACTAACAAATCCCACCAGTCATGGAAGAACGCAATGGTGCCACTTCTAGACACAATGCAACCTGATGCGCCATAATGCTTACGCTATGCTTGTTGTTTGTCAGGGGTGCCTAGCCCGAAGCCTGGGGTAGCTCCCCGGGCTTGGTATAAATACTGCGGTATACAGCCAGCAGACTCGAGAAGCTCAACATACAACATACAACATCAAATTCAGATTCAGATTCCACTTCTCTCTTCATACTCATATCGGAAATCGTCATGAAGTCCTCCGCCATTGCTTCAGTCGTAGCCTTCGCTGCCATTGCGGCCGGTAGGTCTAACCCAGCCCACCCTTTCTTGCCGATCCTCTCTTGCTATATGTTCCCTGCTAATATTCCTTCTCTTATACAGCTGGCGTCGTCCCCTCGGACTGGAAGCGTGATGCCAAGGCAATTGTTGCCCCAGGTGACGCGGGTGAAGGTACATGAGCCTGCGTTCCGATGTCCAGATATACTGCTTACCACGGTCGCTTACAGATGGCTCCATCTACCCTGGCTGGAAGAAGCGTGACGACTCTGAGACGGATGGAGCTTTCTATCCTGGTTGGAAGCGTGACGATTCTCAAACTGATGGCCCCCTCTACCCTGGCTGGAAGAAGCGTGACGACTCTGAAACGGATGGAGCTTTTTACCCCGGCTGGAAGCGCGACGACGCTGAGACTGATGGTGCCTTCTACCCCGGCTGGAAGCGTGATGATGCGGAGACGGATGGAGCTTTCTACCCCGGCTGGAAGCGCGACGACGCTGAGACGGATGGAGCTTTCTATCCTGGCTGGAAGCGCGACGACGCTGAGACGGATGGAGCTTTCTATCCTGGTTGGAAGCGTGATGACGCTGAAACGGATGGTGCCTTCTACCCCGGCTGGAAGCGTGATGATGCGGAGACTGACGGTGCCTTCTACCCCGGCTGGAAGCGCGACGACGCTGAAACTGACGGTGCCTTCTACCCCGGTTGGAAGCGTGACGATGCGGAGACGGATGGTGCCTTCTATCCTGGCTGGAAGCGTGATGATGCTGAAACTGATGGTGCCTTCTACCCTGGCTGGTAGATTGCCTCAGACTTGGCACCTGCAACAATGCAGCCTTTCCCACAGGGTTGTGATGGCAGATGAGAGATTCTCAAGAGATGTGGTATGGCCTTGACGATATTGGTGATAGATATGGTATATGAATCAATGACCGAATGCTTATTTACTCTTTGAAAACCAGTTTTGTCTAAATACGCACCCCCTAGGCGTCCAGGACGGGATAAATCTGGCATGATGGCGCTGTATGTGCTCGGTCGCTTCATCCATGTCTAAAGGTCTTCTCCATGTTCCGTACACGCATGTTCCATGATGTAGGAAGATCTTAAGAGCACATTAGAAGCAAAGCAACTGCCTTATTGTTTTTGGGTACGTGAGATTACCAACCTGATATTTGTGAGAAGGCAGAGCAATGTAGAGGAGCAGTTCAATTTTAGCCTAAATATAATAATAAATGCTTCGATCCTTCCGATATACTAGCACGGCGACAGGAATCATGGGATGCGTGATGCTGGCACCCTGGCAGATTCTTTCGGGGCCAGACCATCCATGATATCCAGTCAACGTCCGTGTCTCCAGAGGACATTTTTTACTCCTCCAGGTGCTCTGAAAAGCGCATACTTTCTCTGAGTTTCTGCGTTTCTTCAATTTGGACCGATGGGTGCCTGTTTGTTGCCAAAGGGAAGCTGGGAAAGCCTATGTAGGTCCGTTATTCCAAATCAACTGCAACTTTCTAGAACCGAACAACGTAACGCTGGCAGCAGTCTCGGCTTTACTTATAAAGTTCACATAACCCGTTCAAGTTGACATGATTTAATCATGGCGGTTTCTGCTGTGGGGCCGGCAAAAAAAAAAAGACAAAAAAAAGAATGACCGACGCAGGGGTCGAACCTGCAATCTCCTGATTCGTAGTCAGACGCCTTGCCATTGGGCCAGCCGGCCTTCTTGTTGAAAACGGCGCTCAAACATAAATCTATAAGGCAAAACAACTGGCACAGACGACTCCCAGTATTATATGGCAGTGGTCTGCACTCCCATCAATGATCAAAGATTCCCATAATGGGCTGATAGCTCATAATGCTATTTCCACAGCCAATCCATAAATCCATGCCGGATAGTCCGGAGCCCGCATTGTAACTGGAATATAGGTGGGTGGGTTGGTAGGTTCGTCATTGTTCTGGTTAGCAGTCTCATGATGCTCATCCCGTGCAGGGCTGGCAACCCTCGTAGCCCTAACTTCAATGCTCGAACCAACTGATCCGGACTACACCAAGTACGCATCTATTCCCAGTCTTCCTTAAATTTTTATAACCGCAAAGAGGTAGATAAGCAACGCAGTGCAACTGATAGCCATCACAGGCCCGCCGATCCCCCACCGGCAGCAAATGCGGAGAAGCAACCGAGGATCAAGCCCGGGCCCGGCTATTGCGGAGTATTGAAACTCCTCGCCCTCTTCTTTCATCTTTCAAGGGTCATCCTTTTTCTTTTCTATTTCTCTTCCAATCTCACAGATATCCTTGAACCAGCCCACAATGGCCCTCGGTACACCCACCCCAACCCATAGACATAGACATAGACAAAGACACACTAACACCGCCAGCAACCGCCTCAACCCTAACCCTATCAACCTACCTGAACGCAAAACACCACATCGCCAAAGACCTCACCTCCCTCCTAAACATCGCCTCCGCAACCCGCAAACTCGCGCACGACACCGCCTCCGGCACCCTAAACACCTGGCACACATTCTCCGCATCCGCCTCAAGATACCCGGATGCCATCGCGATCTGGTCGCGCGAGGGGACATACACGTACGCGGAGACGCAGACCCTCGCGTCGCAATACGCGCACTTCTTCCTCGCGCGCGGCGTGAAGCGCGGCGCCCTCGTTGCGTTCTACCTGCAGAACCGGCCGGAGTTTATATTTGCGTGGCTGGGGCTTTGGGTGCTGGGGTGTGCGCCTGCCGCGATTAATTATAATCTTGCGGGGGATGCGCTGGTGCATTGTTTACGGATTAGTGGGGCGCGCTTAGTGCTTGTTGATGATGAGGTTGGGTGTCTTGGGCGCATGAGGGGCGTGCAGGGGGAGGTGGAGGGGTTGGGGATGGAGAGGGTTGTTGTTGATCGGATGTTTATTGGGAGTGTTATACCTGCGTTTCCGGGTACGATTCCGGAAGATGGGAGGTTGGCGAAGGATACGCCGGGCGAGTACCCGGCTATTTTGCTGTATACGTCTGGCACGACGGGGATGCCGAAGGGGTATGTACCCTCCAGCTTATTTACCCCAGTTCCCATTAATGAACCCTACTAACCTTAAGCAACACAGATGCGCATTCACAACCGCCCGCCTCCACCAATCCATCCTCCTCCGCCGGTCCGGCATGCCCGACAAGTCCGGCCCAACCGGCGACAGATGGTACTCGTGCATGCCGCTGTACCACGGGACGTCCGCAACAGCGCTGATAATCAGCCTAGCGAGCGGCCTCTCCATCGCCCTCGGGCGCAAATTCAGCGTGTCCAATTTCTGGCCCGACATCCGCGACTCCGACAGCACGGCCTTCGTCTACGTCGGCGAGGCAGCGCGGTACCTGCTCGCTGCACCGCCGTCACCGCTCGACAAAACCCACCGCGTGCGCGTGATGTACGGGAACGGATTGAGGCCGGATATCTGGGTGCGGTTTCGCGAGCGGTTTGGGGTTGCTGAGGTCGGCGAGTTCTTCAATAGCACGGAGGGCGTGTTCGCGCTGTTCAACTATAACCGCGGGCCCTTTGGGGCTGGGGCCGTAGGACACCATGGGGCGCTAATGCGGTTCCTCATGCGGAATACGTATGTGCCTGTGCTTATTGACCCTGAGACGGGGGATGTGCGGCGGGATCCGGAGACGGGGTTTGTGGTTCGTGCGCCGTACGAGGTTGGCGGGGAGATGCTGGTCAATGTGACTGTGCCCGGGAAGGAGGCGTTCCAGGGGTACTGGGAGAACGAGGAGGCGACGGACAAGAAGTTCCTGCGGGACGTGTTTAGGAAGGGGGATCTGTGGTACCGGTCTGGGGATGCGTTGCGGCGGGACGGGGACGGGCGGTGGTACTTCCTTGATCGGCTGGGGGATACGTTCCGGTGGAAAAGCGAGAACGTTGCGACGGCTGAGGTGGCCGAGACGCTGAATCGGCATCCTGCTGTGCTGGAGGCGAATGTTTATGGGGTGTCGGTGCCGAATCATGAAGGGCGGGCTGGGTGTGCGGCTGTTCAGCTGCGGGATGGTGCGAAAGATCCTGAGGCTGAGTTGAGGGATTTGGCGGCGTTTGCGCGTGCCCGGTTGCCGAAGTATGCTGTGCCGGTGTTTCTGCGAGTCGTAAAGCATTCGACGCATACGGATAATCATAAGCAGAATAAGGTTGCGCTGAGGGAGGAGGGCGCTGATCCGGGCTTGGTGGGGACGAAGGTCAAGGGGGGGCAGGGGGACAGGTTTTTGTGGTTGAGGCCGGAGGACGAGAGATATGGGGTGTTTGGGGTTGAGGAGTGGAAAGGGATTGTAGAAGGGAAAGTCAGGTTATAGTATCATAGTTCCGTAGTGACCGGCACATTATATATACTCAGATGGATAATTCAAGGTGAATATGTTGAAGTAGGATTTGACCACGGCAGAAGCAAATAGACTCTATATCTAGTCTATTTGCTAACTAAACGAAACAAAATCAATTGTGAGCAGCTTCATAACAAACATGATATCATTCATAAGCACTTAGAGCGAGAGGTTACTTCTTCAGTCCCAGCAAGTTGATGCTCTTGGGTCGCTCAATTGGGAGGCCCAGAGCGCGGTCCCAGACCAGCTGCACCAGGGGTCCTAGAGCGCGGGAGACACCGAAGGTCACGGTGTAGTAGAGAGGCTGCTGGAAGCCGTAGTGGTAGAAGAGCACACCTGAGGCGGCATCCACGTTGGGGTGTGGGTTCTTGGTCTACAAGCACAAGCACATGTTAGCACAATCTAAGAAATAGGTAGAGGTAAGTCCGGCATACCTTTCCATGCTCGGTAAGCACGCCAGGTGCAATCTCCGAGTTCTTCTTGACAAGCTGGAAGACGGGGTTGGCGAGGACATCCTCCCTTGTGGCGGCAAAGTCCATCAGGGCCTGGAACCGGGGATCCGGCTTGCGCAGGACACCGTGACCGTACCCAGGAACAACACGGCCAGACTTGAGAGTATCCCAGAGATACGTGCGGACGTCTTCGTCGGTGAACTTGGTGCCGATCTTGTCCTGCATGGCCAGAATCCAGCGCAGCACTTCCTGGGCCGCAAGCCCGTGCAGGGGGCCTGCTAGACCAAGAAGACCGGCGGAGTAACTGAGGAAGGGGTCAGATAGAGCGGAGCCGACAAGGTGTGTCGCGTGGGCGGAGACGTTGCCACCTTCGTGGTCTCCGTGCAGGGCGAGGTACAGGCGGAGGAGGTCGTGGAAGTCGGCGTTCTTCGAACCGCCTTTACCAAGAAGCTCGGCGAAGTTGTAGGACCAATCCTGGGCTGGGTCGAGCTGTTGGCGGCCGACGACGTCAATCTCATCAGGACGGAAGACCAGCGCCGCGACACGGGGGATCTTTGCGAGAAGTGAAATGGCGTCGTCAAAGGTAGGCTCCCAGTAGTCTGCCTTGTTGATGCCCTTCTCATAAAGCTTTGCGAACTTGGATTCTGTGTTCAGCGCAGCGGTGATAATGCTGATCTGCGTCATGGGATGCATGTGCTTGGGGAATGACTTGGCCAGGTCGAGGATGTGGTCTGGTAGAAACGATTCTTCGGCCAATTGCTTCGAGAAGGCCCGAACCTGAGCAGTTGATGGGACCTCGCCCGTCAGAAGCAGCCAGAACATAGCCTCAGGGAGCATCTCTGTGCCAGTGGGACCCTTGGGCAGCTCCTTCTGGCAATCCTTGATGGTTTTGCCGTGGAAACGGATTCCCTCGTCGGCGTCGAGAACGGAACCTTCCCAGAGCATGGACTTCAGACCGCGCATGCCACCGATAACGTTGGACACCTTGACTTCGCCGATAACTTCATCGCCCTGCTTCTTGACTTCGGCGAATAGTTCCCGCTTTGCTGGGATCACGGCTTTCAGGGCGGATTTGAGGTCTGGCTCGGCGGTTGCATAGCTGCGGCAGCTGACTGTCTGTCGAGTATAACGTGTTAGCTCAATTGCTTGTTGTTCAGATAATTAAACCCTTCGGGCGCTTGATGCGGTGACATACCTGGGCTAGCCTGGAGGCATGACGGGCGGTGCGGAGAGGAAGAGCCATCTCGATGAGGAGTAATTAATTCGTGAAAAGGTGTGGGGAGAGGAGGGAGATTTGGATGAGGAGATGGCAATTGAGGGTAGGAGAAAAGAGAGAAAAGGAGAAAGAAACGAGCTCAAGTGTTAAGAAGAAAGGAGTAAGACGGTGACGAGGCGGTCCGGTTGGCCGCGGAGGAGCCAATGCAACCGGCCGAGGCTGTCCCCGGCCGGGGCACATGGGCTGCGCCAAACTACAACGCTTCCGATGGCGGAGAGATTGTCGGTTTCTTAGACACTGCTAATCTGCGTAATATAATCTCTATAGCCCATCATCTTGTGATTTCCTTTCCTCCGTTGTGTTGAAATGAAATGTTGCTGTTGTTGCTCGGTTATCATATGAGGGGTTCGGCAACTCCATTACGGGGTAACTATGGGGTATGACAGGTGGACTAGATAACGCGGTTGATCGACTTCTTACCACCTCAGCTTCAATACAATATACAAGAGTGCAAAGGCCAAATTATTTCTATAGCCATAGAACCGATACAGATGGCGGAGGAGTGTGAAACGCTGTGTAGGGGTTGCCCCCGGCCTCGTGCGGGGTAATCCTAATGCGGAAAGGCATGACGGAGTATGTTGCCTTATGAAGATGGCAGAAACTCTTATCACGTGCATGGCCGCACAGCCACAGAGCGGCCCCGAGCCCGCCACCCCTCGAGTCCGAGCGCCTGATTGGGCACTCAGAATTTTCTATCAAATTCCTTGATTGGCTGATAATTTAAGCCGCCCGCGGCTGCCTCAGGCGAAATTTCTTTATCGCCTGGAAAAATTCCCATTTCCCCTCCATCAATCTCACCATCTCCTCTCTCCCTGTATTTCGGGGGCTTCGCGTTCTCTTGTGGTTTCTTGGGTTTCTTTACTGTTGTCTCTTTCATCTTTTCTGCTTTTCTGTTTTATACCCGCAAAAGTTGACTGCATTTACTATCCCGTGAGTCCGCTGGATGATCGTGCGTCAGTCGAGGCTAACGGAGCGAAGATACAGTGTCAAGAGAATGCCGCACCTTGAGTTCACCCCTGGCACCGAGTTCACTCCTGGCACCGCGTCCACCCCAGCCATGCCTACCGTCGTCGCTAAATCTTCCTCGGTCGTTCCTCCTACTACTGAGGAGGTTTCTTCCCTTCTTCACACCATCTTCAACGCCGAGACTTCCCAGCAGTCCCTCGATGCCTCGTATGCCTTGGCCAACCTCCTGATCCAGAGCGTCGGTCCGTTTTCGTTTTACACCTACAACTTTATCCTCCCCGAGATCAAAAAGGCTGCCGTCGACAAGAAGAATGGCGCCAAACGCGAGAGCGCCATGCTGATCCTCGGCGCGCTGCTCGAGCGTTTCCCTCCGGCTCACCCTCTCAGTGAAGTTGTCTTCCTCCTCCAAGATGGTGGTGTCTTCAACCTAGCCCTCGATGCGCTGGCCGACAAGGGCGCTGTCGTGCGAGACGCCGCCCAATACGCGATTGATGCTTTGTACGCCTCGCTCAAGGCCGAAGCCAAGGTCAATGCGCTACTCCCTGCCATCTCCAGCTATCTGAGCCGCGGGTCCGGCAAGTGGCAGGGCTTCGTTGGTGCCTACACTCTTATTGAGAAGATGGCCCTCGACGCCCAGATGGGCTCCGGGACCAAGGAACAGGAGCTCGAGAAGGACGTTCTCCGTGAGGCGATGGGCAAGACCTTGAAGGACCTCATCCCCTTGCTCGAGTCCGGCATGCACGACTTGAAGAACGAAGTTGTCAAGGTGGCCTGCAAGGCCATGAACGCTGTCACCACTCTCCTGTCTAACGATGATGTGGAGCCCCGCATTCCTCTGCTGATCAAGACCATGGAGCAGCCCTCCGAGCAGACCCTGCAGAAGGCCATCCACGCCCTGTCGCAGACCACCTTTGTCGCCATCGTTACTTCTCCCGTGTTGGCTCTGCTTACTCCTCTGCTCGAGCGCTCGCTTAACGCTCCCACCACTCCTCAGGAGACCCTGCGTCAAACTGTCGTTGTCGTGGAGAACTTGACCAAGCTTGTTCACGATCCTGCCGAAGCCCGTACTTTCTTGCCCAAGCTCAAGCCCGGTGTTCAGGCCGTCAAGGACCGCGCTTCCCTTCCCGAAGTTCGAGAGCTCGCCACTCGTGCTATGGATGTCATGGAAAAGGCCATGTCCGACAAGGACATCGCCGCTGGATCTATTGCCAAGGTTACCCCGGACGAGGTTCTCGCCGTCCTGGACGCCAAGATCCAGGAGAACGGTGGCCTGGCCCGCTCTGATGCCGTCACCCTGTTCAAGCTCGGCAAGACCTACGTTGCTGAGATGGTGCGCGAGGACGTCAACTGTCGCATGCACGACCGAATTCCCACCTGTATTGCTCCATATCTTCGCGGCCTGCTCGCTGATGACAAGCACGATGACGTCGCCGCCGCCGTTCAGGCTCACTTCGTCGCAGAGGATGAGCGCAAGTACGGCAAGCCGATCCCGGATGATCCTAACGAGGTGGAGATTGTCAACGCCAACTTCTCGCTCGCTTACGGTGGTATGCTTCTCCTATCGCACACCAACCTCCGCCTTCTGAAGGGACACCGCTATGGTCTTTGCGGACGTAACGGAGCTGGAAAGTCTACCCTCATGCGCAGCATTGCCAACGACAAGCTTGAGGGCTTCCCTCCCCAGGACCAGGTCCGGACCTGCTTTGTCGAGCACAACCAGGGAGAAGATGCCGATCTGACCATCTTCGAGTATGTCAAGAAGGACCCTAAGATCGCCGCCGAGGGTGATGAGCATATCCGCAACGTTCTCCTCGAGTTCGGCTTCACCGATGGCCCTGAGGGCCGCCAGTCGCAGGGCGTGGGTTCTCTGTCTGGTGGTTGGAAGATGAAGCTGGCCTTGGCCCGTGCCATGCTTCTGAAGGCCGACGTGCTCCTGCTTGACGAACCTACTAACCACCTGGATGTTGCCAACGTCAAGTGGCTGCAAGAGTACCTCAAGAGTCACACCGATATCACCAGTTTGATCGTCTCCCACGACTCTGGTTTCCTGGACGAAGTGTGCACAGACATCTACCACTACGAGCAGAAGAAGCTGGTTTGCTACAAGGGTAACCTGGCTGAGTACGTTTACCCTGTTGTCACATTGCTACGTCAAGTGCTAACCCAATTCACAGCTTTGTTAAGGTCAAGCCTGAAGGAAAGAGCTACTACACCCTTTCGGCTTCCAATGTTCAGTTCAAGTTCCCGCCCCCTGGTATTCTTTCCGGTATCAAGTCCAACACCCGCTCGATTCTGCGTATGACCGACTGCTCGTTCACCTATCCCGGCGCCAGCAAGCCTTCTCTGACCGGCGCATCTTTGTCGCTCACCCTGTCGTCCCGCGTCGCCATCATCGGTGGCAACGGTGCGGGTAAGTCGACATTCATCAAGATGTTGACTGGTGAGACCATTCCCCAGACCGGAAAGGTGGAGAAGCACCCCAACTTGCGTATTGGTTACATCAAGCAGCACGCGCTGGAGCACGTTGAGATGCACTTGGAGAAGACCCCTAGCCAGTACCTGCAGTGGCGTTACGCCAACGGAGACGACCGCGAGGTCTTCCTCAAGCAGACCCGTATCCTCACCGAGGAGGACAAGGCGCAGCTCCAGAAGCCAATCGATCTCGGTGACGGCCGCGGTCCCCGCCGCATCGAAGCCCTTATCGGTCGACAGAAGTGGAAGAAGTCCTTCCAATACGAAGTGTATGTTCCAGAACAAATATCTTGACGCGTGCTGACAAATTTAGGAAATGGGTTGGCCTCCTTCCCAAGCACAACACCATGATCTCTCGCGAGACTCTTCTCGAACAAGGTTTCTTCAAGATGGTGCAGGAGTTCGACGACCACGAGGCCTCGCGTGAAGGTCTCGGTTTCCGTGTCCTCGAGCCCAAGACTATCGCCAAGCATTTCGAAGACGTCGGTCTGGACCCCGAAATCGCCAACCACAACGAAATCTCCGGTCTCTCCGGTGGTCAGAAGGTCAAGGTCGTCCTCGCCGGAGCCATGTGGAACAACCCCCACTTGCTCGTGCTCGACGAGCCTACTAACTTCTTGGATCGTGACTCGCTCGGTGGTCTCGCCGTCGCCATCCGCGACTTCAAGGGCGGTGTCGTTATGATTTCTCACAACGAAGAGTTCGTCGGCGCTCTGTGCCCCGAGCAACTGCACATTGCCGACGGCAAGATTGTTGCCCGCACCAACACCGCCATCGCCTTGGACCGCTTCGAAGACAGCGCCTCCTCCACTCCTCAGCCCGGCAGCACAGCCGCCAGCTCCGTTGCCAACAGCGCCGCCGCGTCAGCCGTCAACTCCGGCGCCGAGGACCAGGGCGAGCTCAAGTTCAAGGCCAGGAAGAAGAAGAAGATGACCCGTGCCCAGCTGAAGGAGCGTGAGGCTCGCCGCCGTCTCCGTCACATCGAATGGCTTAACAGCCCTAAGGGAACTCCCAAGCCTGTCGATACCGATGACGAGGCTGAATAAATGCTTAACTTGGCTTGTTGATTGTTTACTTCAATGATGCATGATGATTTTATAACGTTCTGGGATAGACGGTGTTTTGCTTTTCAGTCTTGTCGCATATACCTATAGACTAGTGTAGTTTGCTTTCGCTTGCTAATGACTATGTTTTGGTTTCTTCATTCCCAAACCTACACCCCCCCTAACAATGCACCTGCGCAACCCTTATATGCACCTATCTGTCAGGTAGATTGCCTGTACACCAAGAGCAATTGAATGCGAAACTATCATTCCTACAGCGGAGGTGATGTGCGGCAGTTTACTTGAAGCAGAAGGCGGCGGCACGTGAAACGGGCGTCTTACGTAGACCTGCGGAGCTCGATCTTCATCTCCAGCCGTCCATTCTGTCCCCTATTCGTTTCAACTTCAGCCCACTTTCTTTTCGTTCGCTTGTTTTATCTTGTTTGCTTCTATTTCTTGTATTCTGCATCTTCAATTATACTTGTCACCTGCAATAAAAGTCCTGTCGCTCTTTACTTGATGACCCTCTTATTCCGCGCGTAAAGGCACCATGCCAAAGGCCTACACACCAGTGCACGCCTCCATCCCGGAGGAAGACCAATTCTCCTCAGACGACGAGAGCAACTTCCGGCTTCACGAGATAGACCGATCCGCATCCCGATCGCGCTCCCCGAAGGAAAATGACGCCGAGCCGTCCATCCTCGCACCGCTTGTCCGCAAATCGACCGATTTCGAGACCTACCTAGACTCCCTCACCGAAGACGAGCAGCAACTGCTTTCCGCGTCGAAAGACGATGAATTCGATCGGCTCGGCGACGGCAAGGCCGCCCTGCGACGGAGGTTTTCCGAGTCGAAGAAGCGGAGGAAGTTGCTTGCGAAGCGCGGTGGCTGGCGCGCGGTTTACTATTCCAAGACTTGGTGGCGGACGCTGGTCGTCGTCATCATTGCCCTCGGGCTGCTGGTATGGGGATTCTTGAAATATGCTTCGAAGCGCGGGGATACTTGGGAGGAGTATGACATGCCCGGGCCGGACTCGTACTTCCCTACGCCGAAGGGAGGGACGCTGCAGCACTGGGCGGAGAGCTATGAGAAAGCGTCGAAGCTAGTAGAGCGGATGACGCTGATTGAGAAGGTCAATATCACGACGGGCACAGGCTGGCAGATGGGGATGTGCGTCGGGAATACGGGGCCCGCCGAACTCGTCCGCTTCCCATCGCTGTGTCTGCAGGATGGTCCGCTTGGAATCCGCTTCGCAGATCACATCACCGCGTTTCCTGCTGGAATTACCACGGGCGCGACGTGGAATCGGGATCTTATGCGCCAGCGTGGTGCTGCGATTGGGCTGGAATCCCGCTTGAAGGGAGTGAACGTCATTCTTGGCCCTTCCATGGGCCCTCTTGGTATGATGCCTGCTGGTGGGCGCAACTGGGAGGGCTTTGGATCCGATCCTGTCCTTCAGGCGGTCGCTGCTGCGGAGACCATCCGTGGCATCCAGAGCAATGGCGTTATGGCCACGGCTAAGCACTACATAATGAACGAGCAGGAGCACTTCCGCCAGCCTAACGAATGGGGTATACCGTATGCTCTGTCATCCAACATCGATGACCGCGCCTTGCACGAGGTCTTTCTCTGGCCGTTTGCTGAGAGTATCCGCGCGGACGTGGCCAGCGTTATGTGCTCTTACAACCAAGTAAACAACTCGCATGCGTGCGAGAACAGCAAACTTCTCAATGGCATCCTTAAGGACGAGCTTGGCTTTCAAGGCTTTGTGCAGTCAGACTGGCTTGCTCAGCGATCAGGCGTCAACAGCGCTCTGGGTGGCTTAGACATGAGCATGCCCGGCGATGGTCTTCACTGGGCGGATGGCCGTTCTCTGTGGGGTAGCGAGCTCACCCGCGCCGCCCTTAATACTTCTGTTCCGATGGAACGTCTCAACGACATGGTGACGCGAATCGTGGCCGCCTGGTATCAGCTCGGTCAGGACTCTTGGGAACGCCCACCGCCCGAGGGCGACGGTGGTCCCAACTTCTCATCCTGGACTAACGACGAGTTTGGCTTCCGGTATCCTGGTAGCCCGGGTGATACGTCTGCAGCTCGCGTAAACCGCTTCATCAATGCCCAGGGCAGCGGCGATGACGGCCACTGGAACATTGCTCGCAAGGTCGCAGCGGAGGGCATTGTTTTGGTCAAGAACGCCGGCGGAGTCCTGCCTCTGTCTCGCTCACCCAAGCCCAACGCCGAAAGGCCATACCGTGTTGGTGTATACGGCGACGACGGCGGTCCCGCGGCCGGGCCCAATGTCTGCCCTGACCGAGGCTGCAACTCAGGAACCCTCGCGATGGGCTGGGGTAGCGGCACCGTCGAGTTCCCATACCTCGTCAGCCCGATCGACGCTCTCGAAGGCGCCTGGCAAAGCGATGTCCAAATGACACCCTACCTCCGAAACGCCGTGATGCCCTCCGACACCTCAGACAAAGACCTCTGCCTCGTCTTCGTGAACGCCGACTCCGGCGAAGGCTACATCTCCGCCGGCGGCATCCACGGCGACCGCAACAACCTCTTCCTCCAGAAAGGCGGCGACACCCTCGTCCAAACCGTCGCCACAAACTGCGGCGGCCCAACCGTCGTAGTCGTTCACGCCGTCGGCCCCGTCGTCGTCGACCCCTGGATCGACCTCCCAGGCGTCCAAGCAGTCCTCCTCGCCCACCTCCCCGGCGAAGAAAGCGGCAACGCCCTAATGGACGTGCTCTTCGGCGACGTCGACGCAAGCGGGCGCCTCCCCTACACAATCGGCAAAAGCGCAGAAGACTACGGCCCCGGCGCACAAGTCCTCTACGAGCCCAACGCGCCAATCCCCCAAGTCGACTTCTCCGACGAGGTCGCCCTCTACATCGACCACCGGCACTTCGACGCGCACAACATAACCCCGCGCTACGAATTCGGGTTCGGCCTCTCATACACGAAATGGGAGCTCTCGAACATGCAAGTCACACCCCTCAAACACAACCCATCTCGCCTCCCTGCGCCGCGCCCAGCAGACGCCATCACACCACCATCCTACAACCCCAACCCACCCCCCGCAAACGAATCCGTCCTCTTCCCGCCAGGCTTCCGCATCCTCTCAAAATACATCTACCCCTACCTCCCAACCCTAGAAGCGACATCCCCTCCCCTTCAAACCCCAAATCCAAACCCCGAAACCAGCACCACATCCCCCTTCCAAAAACCCCACCGCACTAAACCCTCCGACGCAGGCGGCGGCGCAGGCGGAAACCCCTCTCTCTACGAAGCCATCGCACAAATTGACCTCTCCATCCAAAACACCGGCACGCGAGCCGGCCAGCAAGTCGTCCAGCTCTACGTGTCCTTCCCAGAAGACGTGACCGAGGCATCAGGCGAAAAGGGCGTGCCCGATATTGAAATCTCCTTCCCCGACCGCGTCCTACGCAATTTCACGAAGATCGCTCTGGACGCGGGGCAGAAGATGGATGTGAATATGACGCTGACGCGCAAGGATCTGAGTTACTGGAGCGTGCGCGAGCAGAATTGGGTGTTGCCCCAGGGCGAGTTTTATCTTTGGCTTGGGTATTCTTCGCGGGATTTGCCGCTCGGGAAGGTTTTTGAGCCTTAGGTTTCGTTCTTTCGTCTTTAGGGCTGGTTGGTTTGATTGATGTGGAGTATATACTTGGCTATTTGAGTGACTTGAGGTTACTTACTGGATGATATGAATAAGATCGCATGGCTAGAGTATATACTCAGCCATCTGAGTACTATAAGTTACTGGATAAGATGGATATATATTGTGGATAGGATAGGGTGCATTTTGAATATACACAGATAGCATATAGCATAGCATAGCATCTCAACCTAGCATAGAATTGCTCTGCTTCGTCCCATCAAACGAAGAAAGGGAAAGAAATGAAGAATAAGAAAATAACCTTGTTGGAATCATAATCATATCTAACATAGAAGCATAACACCGAGCATTACCCAAATCGAAGAAACACGAAAGAAATCAATCATTATTTAGAGTTTCGACGCAGCGCCTGGTGTGGAAATCTCGTTGTACAGCAAACTGGTCAGGAAGTCTGCGTAGTCTTCACCCGTCACCTGGCCGGCAAAGTACCGCCCAGCGAGCTGGAACTTGTTGCCCTTGGGGCCCTTGGCAGCCAACTCGTCGGCTTGCTCCTGGAGCAGGCGCAGAGCATATGCCTTGTCGACCTTCTTGCCCTCGGAGGTGGTGACGCCGTGGCGCGACCATTGCCAGAGCTGGCTGCGGGAGACTTCGGCGGTGGCGGCGTCCTCCTGTTTTGCGTTAGCACTGTTGGAGCTGGAGATATATCAAGTGGAAGTGTCTTACCATGAGGTAGTTGATAGGGATACATCCGACACCACGGAGCCAACCCTCCATGTAGGAGAGACCGATGTTCAGGTTCTTGCGGATACCGGCCTCGGTGATCTTGCCGGGAACGTTGGTGTTGAGAAGGTCGTTGGCGGTAATGTGGACGTCCTCGCGACGGACGTGCATCTGGTTCGGGGTGGGCATGTACTTGTTGAAGATGTCGACAGCGATGGAGGCGAGAGCCGGGTGCGCAACCCATGTGCCGTCGTGGCCTGCACGAACTTCACGGAGCTTATCAGCGCGAACACCATCCATAGCCTTTTCGTTGGCCTCGGCGTTGTCCTTGATGGGAATTTGAGCGGCCATTCCACCCTGCTTCCGTTAGTGTGATACTGACAATAACCTAGATTGAGTACATACCATAGCGTGAACACCACGCTTGTGGCAGGTCTTGATGAGAAGCTTCACGTAGGCGTCCATGAAGGGCACGGTCATGGTGACATCTGAGCGGTCGGGAAGGACAAAGTTGGGGTGCTGGCGGAACTTCTTGATGAAGGAGAAGATGTAATCCCAGCGGCCGCAGTTGAGACCGGAGCTGTGGTCACGGAGTTCGTAGATAATCTCCTCCATCTCAAACGCAGCAGTGATGGTCTCAATCAGAACAGTACCACGGATGGTGCCGCGTGGAATGCCAATGTAGTCCTGGGCGAGGTTGAAAACATCGTTCCACAGACGCGCCTCGAGGTGGGACTCCATCTTGGGCAGGTAGAAGTAAGGGCCGAACCCGCGGGACACCAACTCCTTTGCGTTGTGGAAGAAGTACAGACCAAAGTCGAACAGGCTGCCAGAGATGGGCTCGCCATCGACAGTGAAGTGCTTCTCCTCGAGGTGCCAGCCACGAGCGCGAGCAATCAGGGTTGGTAGGGTTCTGTCTGTGCGAAGCTTGTACTCCTTCTGGCCTTGCTTGAAGTCGACCTGGCGGCGAATGGCATCGTACAAGTTGATCTGACCGTTGATCATATTGTCCCAGGTGGGGGCGCTGGAGTCTTCATGCTGTTAGCTTCACTCCACTACGGGCGACAAAGTGCATACCCTCGAAATCAGCCATGTATGTCCAGACATCCGAGTTCAGCGCGTTCACAACCATCTTCCGGTCGGTAGGACCGGTAATCTCAACACGACGGTCAACGAGACCAGGCGCTGGGGGAGCGCCCTTCCAGCTGGGGTCATCGCGGATGTGCTTGGTCTCTGGGAGGAAGTCGAGGAGGTGGCCCTTGTCAATCTCGGCCTGACGATCAACGCGGCGTTGGAGGAGGGCTTTGCGGGTAGGGTTGAAGGTTCGATGTAAGACAGCGAGGAAAGCACAGGCTTCCTTTGTGAGGATCTTGCGGGCCTCACTGCTCACGTTGCCGAGGATGGCCACATCCTTGAGCTGCGCTTCGACCTGATGAGCCATGATAGCGATCACTTATCCGGGTATATCGAGTATGGAGAAGTGTAGCAAAGTATATTGGAAAAAAGAAGGTCAATCCGGGATCCGGGGAGAGCCTAGACCAGACATATATATATGAAGCATGGCGATAACAGTCACCTTCGGCAGGAGCATTGGCTTTACGTCAGAGAGCGACGAACAACCGCGGTCCAATCGAGGCCGGTGATTGGGAGGGCATTGGATTGGGTCCATGGGGACGGGGAAGTCAGGAAGGATGGAGCAGGGACGATAGGAAACGGGCCATTCAGCTGTGGGATCGTGAAGTTGAGGGCGTCAGGATGAACGGATCGGGCCCAATCCGGAAGTATGTCACATGACTTGGCCGCGGGAAAGTCAGCTGACTGCAGCTCTACTCGGCCGATTGCGGAGTTCTTAATGCTGCGAACCCCAGCTCTGGCACGGCGAACGGCGTCGACCGAGAAGACCGGCTCTCGCCCGACTGCTGAAGTATAGCTTATCTGCCGAGCTGCTACGATGGACGATGGAAATGACTGTACAGCATTGTCGACTCAAATCTTCGGAGAACGTTCGCATATAGCGTGCCGAGGAGGCGAATGGAGGTGGGAAACTCCCCGCACGCCCGAACCAGCAGCTCTGAGCTCCCACTGCCGCGGTTGATCGTCCGGATCTCCTACCTTTCGTCCGTCACTCGAAGCTCTGCAACCGACATTTTCCGAGGTTGTCCAATTATCGAATGAGTCACTACTGTCAGAACTGCGGGGATCGAATGGTATTGACAATCGTGTATTTATATACCTCAATCGCTGAGAAGCAGCACCGCCGGCATGTGAAATCGCCATGGGCCAAACAACTATCTAACATGTGATATCACAAACTCGAACGCTATTCTAGTCGGATCGACCCCGGATTCTACGCTCTGACCTGGGTTCGGGATCGAACGGGTCAACCTAATGTCTCCCAAGGTTGATCCGATCTAGACCGTTTCGATATACCGTCTCACCTCCCTATAACAAGTCAGTGTGTGTTTTCGAGCACTTCTGAATAGATACGCACCAGTCCGTGACGGCTTCCTCCCACAAGCGCAGCTCATGCTCCCGAGTCCCACCAAAGTGATCAACAAAAGCATCGCCAAAGACCTCCCGCGCGACGCTGTCTTTGCGCGTGAACGTGGCGATCGCAGCACCTAGGTTCTTAGCAAGCCGCGCTCCCTTATCTCCCTCGCCTCCCATATCCTCGCCCTTCGCTAGCGGCGGGACAGGAATCTCGAGTTTCTTCTCTACACCCCACCATCCCAATGCGACGATCGCTGCCAGTACATAGTGCGGGTTAGAGTCCGCTCCAGGTACACGAACCTCCAACCGAGTGGCCTTTACGCTCGAGCTTGGCGGCGTAATAAGGCGGATAGAGGCGGCCCGATGCTCCAAGCCCCAGGACACGGTTACCGGGGCCCAGAAGTTCTCAACTAGACGTTTGTAGGAGTTGACCGTCGGCGCGAACATCGGCATGATATCGGGAAGCCCTGTCAGGATACCGGCGAGGAAGTACCGTCCAATGTCGGAAAGGTGAGCGACGTCGGGGTATGGTGGAGAGGGGTCCGGGGCGGAGCGCGCGAACGCATTCGAGCCATCGCTGTTGACCAGCGAAATGTGCATATGCCCGCTGTTGCCCGGTAAGCCTTCGCGCGGCTTCGCCATAAAGGTCGGCGTGATGCCGTGTTTTGTGCCAATGGATTTGACGACGTATCTGACCGATTAGCAATCCCCCGCATGCGACGGACCCAAAGACTCACTTGAATAGCCCCGCTTTATCCGCCATCCCCTTGGCCTCGCCGAACTGTAATGCCTGCTCGTCGTCAGCACAGGAACGGCCACAGTTCAGTGTAGCCACCCACCGCTTCATAAACACCCGGCCCGCTCTCAGTGTGCCACCCCTCGATCTCACAGTCGAACTGCTCGCATGCGTCGAAGATACCGTAGTAGTAATCTTGGTTATGGATCGGACGGGTCAAGCTGTATCCGAACATCCCCTCCGTAATCGATGGTAGCGCATCAACCGGGTTCTGTTTCAAAAAGCTAGCCGTAGACGAGGCATTGCGATTCGGCGTCGCGAACTGGTAGAACTCATACTCCGCTAGACCCGGCCATCGTCAGTACTATCCACGTAACAAGCTTAACTTAAGCCAACTCACCTCCCGCCATAGCACGATACCCCTCCGCCTCAGGCTTCCGCAGCGCACTCCTCAACAAGCTCCGCGGACACGCAAAAAGCGGCTCCTTCGTATCGGGGTCATAAAAGCTAACCAAGAAGAACGGCACGTTGTCCTCCCAAGGGATGCGCCTAAAACTAGACAGATCCGGCTTGGCCAGGAGGTCCCTGTACCCGTTCTCCTTGTTGCTAATCCCCAGCTCGCGGAAGTATGTCCGGTCATGCATATCCCAGCCAAATATGACAGAGCAGAACCCGAAGCCGTCGTCGACCACCGAGAGGAACTTCTTCTTGGACACCAGCTTGCCGCGGAGCATGCCGTCGGCGTCGACGCCGGCTAGTTTGACCCGCGTGTCATTTTGTAGGACTTGCGCGACGTTGTCGGAGGTTATTTCTGTGGCGGACATCTTCGCTTGTTGTATTATAGCGCTGCTCAACGGAAGCAGCTCGTGAGAAGAATAGGAGCTGAAACGTAGGCAAGCAGGCGGGTGTAGAGTGTCGAGGTCAGCGGGGTCGGGGTGGCTGGTCTAGGTTGAAACGAGGATGATCCTAGTAACGGAGGTCAGGAGGGCTTGACAAACAAAAGTTAGTAATGAATGATAGTCGCGTGATAGAGTCAGACTCACTAACAGTCATACAATTCCGAGGAGAGGCAGAGATAAACTGCTGTAATGGTGTCGGTGAGAGTCCGTCCCTGTGGGCAGGGCAGCGTGGAGCTTATCTTGCCAGGCCAGATAACTACGTAAGATAAGTGCCTCTGCCCCGCACCACCCTCATCATCCCTGTTTCCTCCGGAGCTTCATCTCAGCTTCTTCCTGCAATTATTCTCCAGCTTCCCTATAACATTCTTATTCACCTCACCTCTCATCTTACAACATATACGCACAATGGCTACCCCCAGAGGCCGTCTCCAAGGCAAGAATGCCATCATCACCGGTGCCGCAGGGTAATCCTCCCCCACCCCACAATGACACTGCCTCTGTGTTCTGTGTCACAATCACACAACCTCGATACCACAGCTAACCTCCCAACAGCGGCATCGGCCTCGAAACAAGCATCCTGTTCGCGCGCGAAGGCGCCAACGTCCTAATGGCCGACATCTCGCTCCCCGCGCTCGAAAAGGCCCTTGCAAAGGTAAAGGAGCTTGTGCCGGGCGCCCCGCGCGTCGAAACAACCAAGTGCGATGTCTCGAAGGAGTCCGATGTGCAGGCTATGGTTGAGGCCCAGGACTCGTGGGGCGGCACAGACGTCATCTTCAACAACGCGGGCATCATGCACGCGGACGATGCGGACGCCGTCGATACGCCCGAGAAGATCTGGGACCTCACGCACAATATCAATGTCAAGGGCGTGTGGTTTGGATGCAAGCATGCGGTGCTGAGTATGCGGAAGCATAAGAAGGAGAGGGGCAGTATTATTAACACGGCGAGTGTGGTTGCGTTGGTGGGGAGTGCGACGCCGCAGTTGGCGTATACGGCGTCGAAGGGGGCGGTTCTTGCGCTGACGAGGGAGTTGGCGATTGTGCATGCTCGGGAGGGGATCAGGTTTAATGCGTTGTGTCCGGCGCCGCTGAAGTATGTTCTCTTTTTTTTGCGGCTTATGGCTTGTTCTGACGACGACAGCACGCCTCTTCTGCAGGACTGGCTTGGTGATGACCAGGCTAAGCGCCACCGCCGCGAGGTGCACTTCCCCATGGGACGGTTTGGAGAGGCCATTGAGCAGGCTCATGCGGTCGTCTTCCTGGCTAGTGACGAGAGCAGCTTTGTCAATGGATCGGACTTTGTTGTTGATGGTGGCATGACCAGGGTATGCTTCCTCAGATCTTACAGCTAATAGCTAAGCTAACGACGACAGGCCTACGTTACCCCCGAGGGTCCCGCCCCTGCGGCCCCCCAGAACCAGGCCCGTTAAGCTTGCGGACTCCAAAGTACAATAGACGCTAGACATAGTTCAGGCTCACCAATGGATACTGGATTGCTATTCTTCACGATTATCTCAACGCTACACATCAACCACAACTACAGCTCAACTATCCAGACTCATCCATCAAGGACATCCCGAGTCGGGGTAATTGCAGCTATCACCACTTCCACCCGTGATGCTAACCCCACTAAACGTAAAGTTCTCACAGCTCCCATCTCCGCAAAGAATATAATAGTCCTTCCCATCATCACTGCTCATCGTGCCGGTAACGTCCGTAATCTCCACATTGGTGATGCTAACACCGTTGCTAGGCTCGCCCGTCGGCCCACCATTAAGGTAATCCTGCTGAATAACGATACCATACTTGGTGATGCCGCTGAGGCTAATATTCTCATACTTGATGTTCGCCACCTCGCCGGTCTCGCCCTCGTTCGTCTTGATCCGGCATCCGTTCTGCGAATCCACGACCTGCGAATTGCTGAAGACCACGCCGTCAACGGTATTGTCGCTCTTCCCGCCGATCGAGCCAATGGACAGCCCATGCCCGCCGGAGCAGTACATCCCGTCGACGGTAATGTTCGTACCAGACGTGATAGCCACACAGTCATCCTGGTTATACACGTTGCTATTGCTCAGCACCAAATCAGTCGAGGACTTGATATCAAAGCCATCAGAGTTATGCGCCGCGGCATCACCATCCGAGCTATCATTCGGCTCATCGCCCGCCGAATTATCAAGCGTGATCCCCGTAAGCGTCAGCGACTCCGTATTCTCAATATCAAAGCAATGCACCGGCCAGTTCTGGATATTCAGGTTCGCGACCACGCTGTCATACACGTGCTTCAGCACAATGAAGTGGTCTGGTTTATCGGAGCCGCCGTTCGACCCCTGGCCGTCCCAGTAGGCCTGCCCGTTGCCGTCGATGACGTGGTCGTCTGTGCCGGTGATGGTGAGGTCCGTGCCGGAGATGACGATGGGGTCGAAGTCGGAGTCTGCTGTTGTGCCGAAGGTGGTTTTGCCGGCGAAGATGACGGCTGCCCCCGTTTGCAGGTCTTGCAGGTCGATTGTGCTGCTGGGGGGTGCGTAGATGTCCGAGAGGAGGATGTTGGTGCAGGAGGCGACGGCTGAGGAAATGTCGCTGTACTCCGTTACCGTGCAGGTTGTGCCGCCGTTGCCGCCGTAGGTTGTTGTTGCGGAGGCCTTTGTGGGCGCGGAGGTTGTGGCGGGGGCGGAGGCAGATGAGCTGGAGCTGGAGGCCGAGATCACTTCTGTCTTGAAGGTGGCTATTGAGCTGGAGCTTGCGGCGGAGGGGACGGAGACGGCGATCTGAGAGGGCGTGGCAACCGCGGTGGCCGTAGCAGTGGCCGTAGCGGTAACAGGCACAGCAGCAGGGGCCGTGCTAGTGGCCGCCGGTGCAGTCGCGGTGTCAACGGGGCCGAGACAGCTGCATGCGCTGGAGAGGTGCTTGACCTTTGAGTCGCAGGCGGAGAGGAATGCGTCAGGGACGCCGGTGGTCTCGGTGACGGTGGAGGCCGTAAACGTCGCGCAGAAGCTGGCTGCCGCGACGGACGAGACGGAGTAGACGGAGGCGCAGGAGTGCGCGGCGTCATTGGGGTTGTTGCAGGCTAGGGCTAAGGGGAGGAGGCCCAGGGGGGTGAGGAGCGCACAGCGCTTCATCTTGACTATGTTTAAAGAATGACTGAACACAAGAAAGAATGAATGGTAGTAGGAAAGAAAAGAATGAAGGAAGGACTAGCCTTGTTGCTGGTTTGGACAAGAAAGGATCGAGGTACGAGGTATCTCCAGATATTTATACCCCAGGGCTGGGTACGAGATACGAAGTCAACATGACAACCTCGTATCCGAGCCATCCGGTAGAGGGTCAAGTCTCTCGAGTCAGGGCTGGTCCATGCTGCCAGCTGAGGCGAGCAAGCGAGCAAGCGAGCAAGCCGCGACGGAAAAGCAGAAGAATCGGTCCAGGCACCCGAATGCTTGAGAGTGCTTGACTCGAGAGTGGCACGGTCATTGGTGGAATGGGGCAGACAAGCCTTTGCCAATCTAGGAGTTCAGTTTGGCAGATTGGGCTCATCAAAGGGGGTTCTATCTGAAACTGAGCGCAGCCCTAAATTTCCTCCTCTCGCGTTGGTGGGAAAGGTTCTGCTGGCCTAGATCAGTCTGTATTGTTTTCAAATCGGCCAAGCCCAGCTGACAGTCTGGTAACCATAAACTCCTTGTCAGATTCTGGATGAGCCGGCCATCAAGGCCTCAAGCTTTCATGAGAGGGAGCCTCTTGGAAGATCCAGCAGGACGAAACGAGACCCCGAGCTAGCCTCTATCTGAGACTTAAGACCGAGGAGTGGGGCATGGCAATCTATCTACAACAGGCTATTTTGGTCTCGCCTGTGCTCAGTGCACGAAGCTGCGGTGTTTCTCGCCTTTTTCTGATCAGCAGCATCGGGCAAGGTAGACTAGAGGGGGATACTACGGTGTAGTGCATTGTTTGTGAAGGCTGACAGTCGGCAAGATTGCGGATTGGGCTTCCGGTGGTTAGACATGTGGTCGAAATTGATCACAGTTTCGTGGCTTATCAGTTACCTTTTGACAATTTATTTTTCATAGCTAGTCAGTGTGGCCGAGTGGTTAAGGCGGTAGATTCGAATGCGCACCAGCATTATTATCTACTGGGTTCGCCCGCGCCAGTTCGAATCTGGTCGCTGACGTTCTTTTTTTCCCCTCACTGCCCAGTGCTAAGCCGTAGCGTATCATGATACAATCTGACGTAGCCAACCAGATCCGGCCGCAGCGTGGCAGTGCACGGATAATCTCATACCCCAGAGTCTCCTGTTCCACGGAAGCCCAACCCCAGCAATGATGCATGGTCTTTGCCTCGGATCGTGACGTCGGGGATGAGGAGACTCCTCCTTTCCCAATCATGCCATGGCCCATCAGCTGATCCCATCCTCTCCATTCGTCCCTTTTAAACTCTCCCCTTTTCTTCTTCAACTACATACCACTATACTGTACATCCAAGCATCAATAACCGTCTTATCTACAATTCTAAATCTACACCATGCACACCGAGTTCTCCGCACACCCCCCGCAGCGCCCGGCCTTCAAGCGCCCGGCCCCTATTCCGTCCGTCCGGTTGAGGCGATGGTATGCCACCACCACCACAGCTCATCATTCAATCCTAACGTCTTTATTCTTGCGAATAGGTCCATTCCCCTCCTCGCCCTCGCAATCGGCACCTACGGCTACACTCGTCTCGGCGCGATGCAGGCTGACTCGCCCTACCAAGTGTCCAACCAACTAGCCGAGGAGGAGCGGCTGCGCAAGAACGCCCAGCTCATGGAGGCCTACGGGTACAAAGACAACGTCGACGACCTGCAAAAGGCGCTGGAGGCGTATGAGGTCCAGTGACGATTATTCGATGGGGATTGATGGAATTTGATGTTATTGTGTTCATTTCGAGGCGTTGGCATTGGGTCGGAGTTCAGGGATGGGATTTGGACTGGCAGGTCGGAGTTCGGCGTATTTTTGTCGGGATATTACTTTCAGACAGAATGTCGATAACATATGGATTATGGACTATATAACGACTTATGAAGAGTATAGATGGCCGTTCAGGAGAAAGCCAATGAATCCATGATCTGCTGGTGGGGTTTGTTCTGCAGGGCGATCGCCACAGCCAAAGCCCGCTCTCTTCCTTCGTCTGTTTACTTTCTCGACCACGACTCTGCTTCGACTCTCCATTCGGCGATATTCATCGCATGATTCTAAACTGGACCTTGTATCCCCAACCCAACTGGATGTCGAGAGTCCAGACTTCAAACAAGTGAGACAAATCCAGCAGCACGACGCATCCTTATCATCGTCGACACGCTCCGTATAGATCGGGAATGTCCAAGCGCGCACTGCATCACAAGGAATGCACACGATTCGGCGCCCCGTCTGCCGTGACGCCATCGACTGGACCTACCGGATCTGCGCAAGCCCGCGATAGCTTCATTGAATCATTGGAAGCGACGATCCGGCTCCTTGCTTGTTTGTTCTTTGCTTTTTACCACCAACCCGCCCCGCCAAGTGATCGCTGATCACACGCCAACAGGACCCAGCAGGGGAGCCTTATCTCAAGAATGCTTGCTGATCATGGACACATGGACGGAGGACTGTGCAGCTAATTGATTGGACTCGGGTATATTAAGGGCGGTGCGTCGCCTGCCTTTGTTTTGGGGTCTTTGTCCTGTAAGCCCTCCATGCATCTCGCAACGCTCGCTTCTCTCGTCGCTCTCTTTTCCTCGTTCCAGCTCTGTGTTGGGTATGTCGCACAGTCTCGGTTGCATGATCCAAGATGCACCAAGACCACCGTAGCTGTCCTGTAGGTTTTTTGTCCAAAGTATATGGTATGGTGTAGGGCTAACGGGATAGGGGCGGAGGGATGGCCGGCGTCACTGCTGCGGTCTGTTACCCTTAGATCCTGTCAGGCTGCGCTAATCGTCGCAGCAAGCACTTTCAAATGCATCAATGAATGATTTTATCATTGTCGAATATAGAGATACCCTGGGAGGTCGGGTCTGGCATACCGACTTTGGACAGCGCCCGAACGGCGAGCCGTGGGTGATTGAATATGGCGCCAACTGGGTACGCTCGTCAGTGTCAGAGGAAGGACTCACTGACAAAAGCAGGTCCAAGGACTTGGGTCGAAACATACCGAAAACCCAGTCTGGAGTCTGGCGAAGAAGTATCAGCTCGAAAACACGTTCTCCAACTACGACTCGATCCTCACGTACAACGAGACCGGCTACACGGACTACAGCGACCTCCTCGACGAATACTCTGCCGCATCGGAACGGGCCTCTGAGCGCGCTGGACGGATTTTGAATAATAACATCCAAGACATGACCGCGCGGTCCGGCCTCGCATTGGCCGGCTGGAAACCACGGCGAGACGACATGGCAGCGCAGGCAGTGGAATGGTGGAACTGGGGTATGGCAGAGCGGCACCTTCAGCAGGCCGTGGATTAACACTACCTTCCAACAGCAGCAGCTAACGTGAGACCCCAGATTGGGAGGGCGCCTACACCCCCGAAACCAGCTCGTTCGTCTTTGGCGTCGCCTCGGAGAACCTGACCTTCAACCAGTTCGGCGACAAGAACAACCTTGTCGTCGACAGGCGCGGCTACAGCGCCATCATCCAAGGCGAGGCAAACACCTTCCTCCGCCGCAACGACACGCGGCTCCGCCTGGACACCCAAATCACCGACATCGAGCACGGGCCCTGGGGCATCACCGTCCGCAACGCCGACGGCTCCTGCATCAGCGCCGCCTACGCAATCTGCACATTCTCCCTGGGCGTGCTGCAAAACGACGCCGTCGACTTTGCCCCCGCCCTCCCAGACTGGAAACAAACCGCCATCGCCAAGTTCAACATGGGCACCTACACCAAGATCTTCCTGCAATTCAACGAGACCTTCTGGCCAAACAACACGCAGTTCTTCCTCTACGCCGACCCCACAACCCGCGGGTACTACCCAGTCTTCCAGTCCCTGTCAACAGAAGGCTTCCTCCCAGGCTCAAACATCATCTTCGTAACCGTCGTGCAAGACCAAGCATACCGCGTAGAGCGCCAGTCAAACGAGCAGACAAAAGCCGAAGTCATGCAGGTCCTCCGCGCCATGTTCCCACACAAGACCATCCCCGACCCCATCGCCTTCACCTACCCGCGCTGGTCCACCGAACCCTGGGCCTACGGCTCCTACTCCAATTGGCCCGCGGGCACAAGTCTGGAAATGCACCAGAACCTCCGGGCGAACGTGGACCGGCTGTGGTTCGCCGGCGAGGCGACGAGCGCGCCGTACTTCGGGTTCCTGCACGGCGCGTACTATGAAGGGCGCGAGGCGGGGCGCAACGTCGCGGCGCTGCTGAGGGGCGAGTGTGTTTCTATATATGGGGTGCAGACGTGTGGTCCGCGTGCGCATTATGAGGTGCTTCATGGGACGACGCCGTCGTCGGCGTATACGGGTTCGAATGGGTGGCCGGTTAATAGTACGAGTGTGCATGCTTAGTCTGCCCTTGTACTCAATACTTGGTACTTGGGAAAGATTGACTGTGATAGTTTGGTCTAGGGACTGGGCTGTAGCATGATATCCATATGAATGAATGAACCAGTGTGACAAATGGACAGAGATAAATAATGATATTCCCATACTCCTACTCCACCCAGTCAACAATATATATCTCAGCTAAGGGATGACTCTCTTTCCACCGAGTCCGTCCGATCCCAGGCATACAAGACGACTTTCCAAAGAAATCAAAGCAAAGCAGACAATCGTCCTTCCAGTTAACCCCAGCAACCAAGCGGATTCATCGGCCGATACGAGTCAACCGAGATTGGTGGACCTCAACTGCGCTGACCTCGACCTCCCAAGGGACCTAACTAACTTCACGAACTGCGTTGGATTTGTCATCTTGATTATCATAAATAAGTACTTAAAAGCGGACGCTGACGCCCGCCCTGACTGTCCCTTCTCACTCCTTCAACTCTTTGATCGAATCTCCGTAGAACCTCGATTCTCGAAAGACCGTGCGTGGGGATTATGATTTGGTTTGGATTTGGAAATTGATGGATATGATTGTAGGGGATCTGCTGGGCGGGAGTCCCTTGGAATGGAGAATTTCCAATAGGTAGGTAGGTAGTCCATCAGTCTTGTTTCTGTGACCGGCATCTTACTCCGTGGTGTCTGTCGTCGATGAGATAGGTTCGGTAATCAAAAAAAAAAAAAAAATGGAAAACAAAAAGATCGACCAACGCAGGACTCGAACCTGCAACCTCCTGCGATTTCCAAGTGTAGAACCGGAAACAGATGCCCTACCATTGGGCCAGCTGGCCAATTGTTGAAAAGCTGGATTTTGTTTGCTTTATTCTATAACCAACTATTGAGCAGCAGTCCTCATGCCTTGTGGACAGGATTTGGTGCAACTTGTCTATTACTTGTGTTGTGTCGAGGACTTTCTGATCAAAGCGGGACGTACAAGTCTTATCAATTCAATGGTAACTAATGCTTAGATTGGAAGAGAGGAGTGGCCAAACGAAAAGAGAAAGGACGGGTGAGTGTTGCTTGCATTCATCAGGAAATATATCGACTCGAATGGCCTCTCAAGATAATATGCAATCACCACAGAACCCCGAAATAGCTTCATTCCCGTTCAAATGAGATTCTACCCTATGTTAACTCTGGACAATAATCTTCACCTACAATCTGGTCGGGGTACATACCGACACGCTTTCCATCAAGCCTTAAGTTCAGCAGCACCCTCCGCCTCCCGCAAACAGCGCGCACAATCACAAGTAAAGTTAAACAGATCCCTCGTCCGTCGCCGCCTCGCCTCAAGACTAGAATGCACCGTCATGTCAAAGTAAGCAATGAAGCATTCTTCGCCGGCAGCAATATCCCTCGTCGCGGTCATGACCATGCGCCCGCGACCATCGGGACCATGCTGGAGCTGTGCGCAGAACGTTCAGTATGACCAGACAAGATTGCTAGGGCCTGATGGGCAACTTACATTCGGATCGCAACTGTGGTTCGCCATCGTCGCGCGCGGGTAGCATCCCAGGCCGTACGAGAGGCCTCGCTCCGGCTGTGTCTCTCGCGGTCCGGTCACGGCGTTGTACAGCCCGAATGTGTTGGACTCCTCCTTGCAGATGAGGGTTACGATAAAGTCTGTGTCTACGCCGGACTGGAATGGGAAGAGTGGATCCTGGACGCAGAGGTATTTGTCCACGAGGCCTCGCCAGCGCTGGACTGTATGTGCGGGCCAGATGTCTTGACTGCCGAGCATGGCTTCAATTGCGGACCATCCGCGGTTGAAGCGGTCGCTCCATTGTAGGTGCGTCTGTTCGGGTGTGTCCTTGTTTGCGTTCAGCTCAAGCTCTAGGTGCCAGCCTGCGAGCATCCGTATGATGATCCATAACATGGCGAAGTCTTCTTCGCTGTGTTCTTGGCGGATTTCAGCTGCATGGTGCTTGAGCCAGGCGCATTCATAGTCGTGCCGTGCTTGGTCCGCGGCTTGGCAGTGTGCGTTGCACCAGATGATGTCCTGGACGCAACTGTTGGGGCAACGTTCTCCATGGCCCAGGGGTACGCGCCGGCGACACAAGAGGTTGCTGCAAAGCAGCGCGTCGTTCCTGTCCGGCGGCACGGTTGGAACGAGAGCATACGGTGCATCAGCAATGACCACTGCGCCAGCCTGAATTGGCCCAGTCGCCCGTAGGAGTCGCCCCTTGATCTTGTCACGACTCTGGCTCACATGGGGATGGATGTAGGTATCTTCATCCTGAAGATCGAGACCAGACAGACTGGAATCCGGCTTTTGAGCCACAACAAGCTGCCTATGCTCCATCATCCCCATATCCTGGGCGGCGCCCTGGTTCTGACCATCCGGCACGGGCGCAGAGATCTGTTTCCCCTCACTCTCAAGCACACGGAGGCCTGCCCGGCTTAGAAGGTACTGCATCTCGTTCATCCCATACAACTGCACAGCATAGAATAGATCTTGCAGGACAGCATCGCTTCCACCTGCAAGGTCAAGCACGATTTCTCGGCTCGCCAGGCAGTTGCCGTCAGGCGATAGCTCTCGTTCCCGTAGCGCGAGAACCGGCTTACCGTCCTGCCCTGGGATGAAGTGGTCTTTCCCGAGCCACTCCCATCCACTGGCTGTCGCGTTCTCGCGCATCCAGTCCCCATCAACATAGTCGATGACCAGTACGCCCCCCGGCTTGAGGACACGGTGCGCCTCACATAGGAGATTGAGGTCGTCGTCACGCGAGCCATGCCCGAAGGAGTTGCCCATGAGCATCACGAGGTCATACTCGCGGGCAGGGAAAGACAAGCAGCGCGCGTCTCCGGCTTCGAATTTTGTGTTGCCCGTCACGCCTGCTTTTTCTGCCCGCTGTTTGGCTAGCCCCAAGAGATAGACGCTTTGGTCGATGCCGTGGAAGTGCACCGTTGGGAATTGCTTTGCTAGATGGATGCTGTGCCGGCCTTGGCCGCAGCAGAGGTCTAGCACCTTTATGCTTGATCCAGATGGCGGAGGAGGACTGGAAAAAAGTTTCTGAACTGTGGGGATCTGGAGAAGAGCAGCGCTTTCTGCCTCGGTGAGAGTAGGGTCCTCAACGCAGTCGCCGTCCGTCCAGAGATAGAGTTCCTTGTAGGCGTCTTTCCACCATTCTTTCTTAATGTGAGGGAATAAAGAGGGGACTTGGCCCAGTTGCTTTGACGTCATCTTCTTCTGACAGGATACGCAAGGTGATTAGTAGGTTGGGAAAGAGTACACTGCTCAGGTCGACAAGCGGGGTAGTTATAAGTAGACCACGCTGCGAGTATGCAGGTGCAGTCAGCAACAACATGAGACTCTCTCCAGCATGACAGGCTTGTGGCACAGACCTCCCGCAGTTCAGGTCATGGGGATCGTCTGTTGCATGCAGGTGAGGCACGTTTGCTTGAGGGGTTAGAGATACTCGAGCGGGGATCAAACAAGTCAAAAGCAAACAGACCGGCCAGTGTGAAGCCAAAAGGGTCAGATATCATGGTCACGGCCCTGACAAAAATGACCCGAAGCCCTAGTATAATGGGACCATCGGCTACCTGGTGCTCTGTGGGAAAACGAGATTCTTCAGTGTCAAGCTTGAATTGACTCGGGCCTAACATGCTTTGCGCAAACAAACCCCTTGATACTTAAGAGAGATGCTTGGCTATGCAGGTTGTCGGTCAGTGCTGTACTCTGACCAGCCGCTGTGGTATCGAAATGGTCATATCTTTGCGTCACAAGCTGAAGACTACATTCAAATCACCAGCCTCGCGAGTAGTCAAGGGAATAATGGCTCCCTGTCTGTACCCCAATCAGCCCTGAAGAGATCAAAAGTCTTATGCTCACATGACACTGGGAGGTCCGACATTGGCACAGAATTACTCCCTGCAACTCTGGCGTCTTTGCTTTTTCTAATTCTGGGCAAGGCACCATGAGCAGTTGCTAGTACTTCGTCAGGCTGACGTCGTTTTTGACCTCACGGTCTGGTCCGAAGTAGGAGCACACACCGTGTCTGAGCGGCTTGGGGTCTGAGTAGGGCTGAGGTAGGTGGTAAGACTACCATGATCGTCTCATACATAGCCAAGTTTGTTCCGACAACAGTAGCATCACAATGTGGTGGGTAGCTGCAGGATGGCTTGGATGAGTACGGCTGATTGGTACCTGGGGATCGTCTACTGAGTATGTCGTCGCAACCTCTGTAGACAAGCCTTAGGGCTACCCGAGGTTTGAGGTCCACCTCATTAATAATGGAGTATTCGAGCATATCAACTTGTCAGGCGATGGCTGAGAAACGACCGAATACAAGCCGCGGAGATGTCGACACAGTGGATCCCTAAGACAGCCGAAGCTGATCCACAGGGCTTGTGAGTCAGCGGGTCAGCTAAGGCCATACAAATAGTATTTCAATCAGCCTGGAGCCAGAGCGATCACTTTATATCTGACTCGCGCCCTGTGTTCGTTTTTTTACCGACTTACGACTCATTGAGGACCCCAGCCAAGATGTCGCAGCCAGCACCTCCTGCCGCCACCGCTCTATCCATAATCGGCAACACGCCAGTTCTGCATCTTCGCAAAATCACCCCGAACAATGACACGCATGCCTCCATCTACCTCAAGCTTGAGTCCGTGAACCCCACGGGCTCATATAAAGACCGTATGGCACTGTCCATGATCGAGGAAGCCGAAGCCCGCGGGGACCTGAAGCCGGGGATGACAGTTGTCGAAGCAACAGGTGGGAGCACAGGCTCTTCGCTTGCATTTATTTGCGCGATGAAGGGATATAACTTCCACGTTGTGAGCTCAGATGCCTTTGCCGCGGAGAAAATCCGGACAATGCGTGCGTATGGGGCCGAGGTGGAAATTGTGCATGCTCCTGGTGGGAAGATCACGAAGGAATTGTTCCCGGAGATGATGCGGAGGGCGAAGGAGCGCGTCGAGTCGGACCCCGATGTATTCTACTATGCGAACCAGTTCCATAATAGCGATGCCTTGCCTGGGTATGCTTCGCTTGGAGGCGAGCTCGTGGCGCAGTTTCCCGGAGGGATTGATGCGTTCTGCGGTGCGGCGGGGAGCGGAGGCATGCTGATGGGGGTTTCTCAGGTCCTGAGAGCGAAATGGCCAAAGACAAAGGTTGTCGTTCTTGAGCCTGCGTCTTCACCGGTGATTTCGGAGGGGAGGGCTGGCGTACATGGTGTGGAGGGCATTGCCCCGGGGTTTGTCCCGCCGCATTTGGAACGCGAGCTGTATGATGAGGCATGGGGAATTGATGAGGCAGAGGCGAGAGCCATGTGCCGAAGACTTGCGAGGGAGGAAGGCATTCTTGTTGGGACGTCGACGGGGTTGAATGTTGTTGCTGCAGTGAAATTGGCCAAAGAGCTGGGGCCAAGGAAGACGGTCGTTACCGTTGCTTGCGATTCTGGGCTGAAGTACTTGAATGGGAATCTACTGGCGGATAATTAGGCGGCTTGTCGACGAACGTTGATAGAGCAGGCCAACCGATAGCATCGTCTCCCCAGCCTCCGCCCAACCCGCGGGTATCGGCACAGGCCGCACAACTATTCCGCATAGCCGAGTAAGACAGGCCTATATATTCATAAGTGCATGCCAAAATGTTCGCCTTTATCACTAGCTTACCGAGTCCGTCCAAAGTCGCTTCCTTTACCTATCGTACAGCATGCGGCTCCTCCAAGTCTCGATGGCCACTTATTACCGCTCACACGCAGCCCATCATATGACGAGGAAGGCTCTCCTGTCAAGGGTGTGTAAACGCCGATGTTATCAACGTCGAAACCGGAATGCGAGAGGTGGAATGGCTTGACAAAACATGGGGAAAAGAGAAAGCCCGCCCTGGAAGATGCGGAGGAGTGGGAGAGAGAAGGTCTGTCAGCTGACGCCGTCGATGGACGCCTTCCGCTTGCTCATCAAAGTCCACTCCACTTGCTTCACCTTCCCCCTCATACCGTCCTCCACATTCATGATTCCCGGCGTCAGCTGGTGGATTGGTTTCAGTCGCCTGCATCGGCGTTGAAACGTCTGACAAGGTCGGCAAACCGTAACAGGCATCCCGCGGACTGGGCAGCGAGGTGTTATCCTTCACCACCGCAATAGTACCTATATGGCCGACCCGCATCGAGCACGACTTCGGAAACTACACCCTCTCGTCTCGCTTGGGTCCCGATCTACGAGTCATTCGTACAAGCCCAGGCAGCTCGTCATCAACTGCCAATCCCATCCGCGCCCTACAACACTCTGCGCGGGGAAGCTTCAAAGCGGCAAACCTTGGGAAGGCAAGATGCGTAGGACAGATTCTAGTCTCGGCAATTCAGTACAACCAATTGAAGACAACGAGTTAACGCCAGGAGGCTAAGGGAGCCGTCTGACCGGGAGATGCATCCTGCTTAGTATGGTATGACGCTTCGCTGACCATTGACACCAGCGGCTAATACCTAAAGGTACCAGCGAGTTGAAAAGACACTACTGTCAAGCGGACGCTCTCCGCTAGATCTGGCCCCGCCGATATACCTAGAGAGTGTTCCGAATGGTTCGAATTCTCGCCTCGCAATGCCAAGCACATCCTCAACAATCCAGAAGTCGAAAAAGTCAACCCGAGGATATACCGGACGAGCCTGAACAAAAATGCCGCATGATACATTTCCGCTTGGCAAAATCGTGTTATCGTGGCCCAAGAGGCCCGGCGCATTTGGCATCAGCCACATAACAAGGGAAAGTTAAAATGTTTGGGGGACCAAGACGAAGATATAGCTTGACGGCGGAGTTTACTTGTCCATTTCCGGACATGTCTTGTCCGTGTGGTGTTTCGTCGGGCTGGCCGTCGGCCAAGCTCGGGAATTACGAGGCTGTGCAGCTTGGGACTGGAGATCTCTCGTCCCGTGTCCATACAGAAGTCGAAGGATTCCTTGGGCTTCACTCTCAAGAAGCCTAAGTTAGATGCTTCCCCTCCTCCTAAAAAGCCTACTTCACCCGACGTCGTATCTTGACTCGCCGGGCCCGCTCAAGAGATCTCGGCATGGCGACAGCTAGACCCTTACGCTGCTAGGCCTCGTTTGATTGGGTCTCGTTGGCTTGGGACCGGTCTTGAGCCTAAAGCCACGAGCTCAGGATGATCAACCTGGGGACAGTGGAGAATGTTACTCTCGTGCGGGGTGACATGTCCGGGGTAGGCGAGTTGGCGTTGGCATGCTATGTCGCACCAACACAGACAAACGAGAATGATAATGAAAAGGTATAAATTGGCCATGTCAGGTCGACCAGGATAGGGGCATCCAGTTTGCTTCTTCGCTCTCACTCCCTGCCTACTCTTCTCAAACAAGCGTCACCATGTCCGAAAAGAAAACCCTAGAAGTCGGTGATGAGAAGCCCGAGGCTTTGCACCGCGAAGACACCATCGGCCAGGAAAAGCAGCAGCAGCGAGCTGGCGACTACTCCGGCGCACGCAAGAAGACCGACCCAGCTGAGATCCGCCTGGTGCGAAAGCTCGATTTTTGGATTATGCCCACGCTGTGGTTGATGTACTGGCTCAACTACCTTGATCGCAATGCCATTGCCCTCGCACGCCTGAACGACCTCGAAGAGGACCTCAACCTTTCATCCTCCCAGTATCAGACTTGCGTGTCCATTCTCTTCGTCGGGTACATTTTGGGCCAGGTCCCAAGTAGTACGTCTGGCCACCACAAATGATCGAAACAGAAAGCTGACCTTGACTACAGACATGCTAATCACGCGTCTCCGCCCATCCCTTTACATGTCCGGGGCCATGGCCGCTTGGGCCGTGGTCAGCGCCCTCACAGCCCTAGCAAAGGACTTTACCGGCCTGCTCCTAGTCCGGTTCTTCCTTGGTCTCACAGAAACCCCCTACTACCCTGGCGCGCTTTACATGCTCTCCATCTTCTATACCCGCAAGGACACCTTTACAACTCTCAGTAATCTAGGGGTACCTTTGAATAAGGGCTCCAGACGCTTTAAAACTATTATAAATATATATTTTTACTATCCTAATTTTATTTTTAACCTTTTTTTCCCCCTTTTACTACTCCCCGCGGCATGATAGCTAAAATTAAGGCGTGTATTTTTAACTAGCTTATAAGCCTTAATTTAGCTAATTTTACCCGGCTATAAAATCCCCTATCCCCCTTTAACCTTTATATTATAAAAAAATAAAAAAAAAGGGCCCTAGCAAGCCTATTTTTTTTTTTTATTATTAAAAATAGTAGCATACTAACTTTTTAACCTAGCCTAGTTATAAAGGCCCTTTATAATTAGCTTAATAAATAAAAATATTAGGTATATATTAAGTATAAAGTTTTTATAGGCTTTATAACTATTATTAATAGCTTTATAACTAGGTAAAAAACTTAAGATTAAAAAGCCTTTATTTATAATATTTATAATAAGTTTATATACTTTATTTTTTTAAAGGGCTACGCTAATATTAATAATATTAATTATATTTTTTTATATATATATAACTAGCTTGTTACTATAATAACCTTTAGTAAAATTATTACCTAAAAAAATAGGTTTAACTTTTAAAAATTTAAGGGCTTAACCCACCCCTTTTAAAGTAAGTTTTTCCGCCCTAATTAATATTACCTTAGGTAAGGTACCTTTATTAAGCACCTTAGTAGCCTAATTAACATGTAATAGCTTTATTATAGCCTTAACTATATAAAATAATTATAGGGTATTAATTATTTTTTTTAATAATAAGCTAATAGCATGCCCCAAGGTATATACTATTTAGTAAGCCCTTATTAAATATATACTAAAATTAATTATAACTATAGTTATTTTTAGAATTAATACTACCTGCATGGGCTAGGCTATTATTTTTAATAATTTTTTTACTAAAAATTTTTTAGTAGCTAAAAAAGTAATTAGTATAATTTACCGCACCCTAGGCGTTATTAATATATATATTTTTTAAAAGTAATATAATTATATAATATAAAAAGTGCCTAGTACTATCCTAGCATATAATAATAATAAAATAAATATTATTAAGCTAATTTAAAATAAAGTTATAGCCTAAATAAAACTAAAGCTAGTTAAGCTTACTTTTTTAAAATATAGGCCTAATTTTAACACTAGGTATATTACTTAGGTGGTTTTTTTTTTAAAGTAGCCTAAGACCTTTATATTATTTAACTAAAGTAAGTACTATTAGCTTATTAAAAAATATTAATTAGTTTTTTAATATAACCCTAGCTACTAAAAATATTACCACCTAGCATATTATAATTATATAGCATGCTATGTATAATATAGTATAATAGTTATAAACCACCTAGGTTTTATTAACCTAAATTATAAAAACCTTATATATTATATAAACTACCTGGGCCCCTAGCTAGCTAAATATAATAATTATTTAGCAGCCCCTAGGCGCAAAAATAAAACTTTAATTTACTTATTTAAAAAAAAACTTAATAATATATATTATTATAACACTTGCTAGTACTAAAATATACATGCCTAGGTTAATATTAATACCTAGCTTTAGGTAAAAACTATAAGATTTTTACCTTAAAAGAATTTTTAAAAGCGCGCTATAAAAAAGTTAGAGGTAAATAAGCAGGGCTTTATAATAATTATTAATTATTATACCCCGCGGTTTAATACTTTTACTAGTAACTAAAACCTTAAATAACTTTTTACTAAATTAATTTAACTAGCCCTAGCTAATACAGGCATACCTTTTTTACCCTAGGTAATAAAAATTAATACTAAAATCCTTTTTAAGTTTTAATACTAAAGTATTAAAAAAGGTATTATAGTAACCACTACTATAATAATACCTAGTAATAATAGGATTTTATTATTTATTAGGTAAATATAAGTAAATTTATACCTAGTTATATTATAATTTTATAACTAGCTTATAAGTAAGGTTATAATATTACTTATATTTAAAAGCCCTAAACCACCGTAGGTATAAAAACTTAAAATTACCTAGTATATAAGTACTACGTGCTAGTAAATACTTAAAATAATTATAAAAACTAGTTAAAAAAGCGCCCTAAAATACTTACTTATATTTATAAAAAAAAGTGCTATATATTAAATAATACTACTTAATATAAAGCTAGGACATGCTTTAACTTATAATAAATAATATTAAGGTTTTAAATATATATTAAAAACTAATTACTTATAAAATAATTAATTACCTAGTTATATTAATCCCTACCCTAAACTATATAATTAATAAAAATCTTAATACTACCTATAATATTTTTAAGCCCGGGGTAAATAATCTATATTATAGTAGTAAGATTACTAGGTGGGCTAGTAATAATAATATTAGCTATATTAATAAACTAGGTGTAGCTATACACAAAGCTAGCTATATTTTTAACCTAACCTTTTTAAATATTTTTTTTACCCGCATGCTAGTAATACCTAAGTTATATAATAACTTTAATTATTAAACTTTGGTTACTACAGTGCCAGGGCGCGGGGAGGAAATATTAAAATAATATTATTATAGTATATTAAATTATAAGCTTAAGCACCTAGCTAGGCTAGTAAAAAATAAAATAATATACCTTTTTTAACTTAGGGAACTAAAAAATATAAAGGCGTTAAATTAATATACTAAATTTTTTAGTAATACTATTATAAAAGTTATACAAGTAATTAGTAAATACTTTAACCCAGGGAGCTATAGTATCTTTTAATAGTTAATTAAATATATAAAGAATTATTAAGCCTGGGTAGTAAATCTTACCCTAAAATAAAAAAAATAGTTTTTAGTTATGGTTTATAAAACCAAGCACGTGTATTAAACTAAGATAATTAATAATATTAAAAATAATTAAAAATTATATTAAATAATAGTATAGTATAAGCTAGAGCCTAGGCTTAAAACTCCCCTATTACTAGTAAATAGTAAAGTAATTAAAAATATACAAGAAAAGGCTAACATCTTATAAAAGGTTATATTAAAATATTTTAGTATAAATAATAACCTAAACTTTAATTTTTTAGCACTAAAGTACTAGCAGGGAAATAAGCACCTTTATTAGCTAGGAAAAATCTTATTAAAAAAAGTTAAAAAAAATATTATTAGTATAAGTAGTACCTCTCCCGGGGTAGACTAGGTAATTATTTATATTTTAAAAGCCTACTAAAAACATGTTAGGCAAGCTATTTATAAGTTATATAATTATTACCTGTAGCTAGGGCACTTCCCCTTATTATAAAAGCTTATAAAGGTAGTAATATTTTTAAAGGGTAATAAAAAAAATAAATTCTTATTTTAATCCTGGTATCTTATAGTACTGCTTTTAATATTAAAAAAGGGACTTAAATAAATTATAGCATGTTATATTACTTTTATTATACTAGTATAAGGGGTACTAAGCCTATAATAGTATAATACTTTACCTAAGTAATTAGCTATAAACTTAATGGCCTTTTTTACTTATAATATAAAAATAATACTTTTATAAAACTAAAAGGTTATTATAATTATTATAAATATCCTAGGCGCCTTTAATACTATCCTATTATAATACTTACTTTAGTAAATAGTAAAGTAGGGCTAGCTACGCGTGCTTTTAACCTTAATTATAAGTTTTTTTAATAAATAAAGCATAAAAGTGCGCCTAAAATCTGCTATAACTATAATATATTTAATATATTATAACATGCTATAAGGTTTACCCCTTTTTTTAATATTATTTTTATTATATATTACTAAACTACTACTAGTAAATTTAATCCTATACTTTAATTATATAAATAATTTTTACTTAAGCCGCGCAAGTAACTTTTTTTATAATAATTATAAGCACCTAGTAAAAAATATTTATAATATATTAGCCTAGGGGAAGTAAAATAAGATAGCTTTTATATTTAAAAAGCTAAAAATACTATATATTACCTAAAAGCAGTATAATAAATTATTTTTACTAGTAATTAATAACTAGCTAATAATTATTTTTATTACTATAATACTAGGCTAAAAATAGCCTGTGCTGCGCTAGCTAGGCATTTTTTTTAATAAATAGCTTTTTTAATATTAATATATTACTAAATAAGTAGCTAAAGCCCGCGTGATAATATAATATATTTATAATCTAGTATATATAATATATAGCCTGCCTGTAAACTTTTTTTATAAAATAATTATTACTTATATTATTTTTAGCTTATTATATAGTACTAAGGCATGGTATAATAATAAAATTAAGCTTAAAAGGCACGCGCGAGACTTAAAGGTTAGTACCTAGCTAGGCTAATATATTAAAGTAATTAAAAAAACCCTAGCTTTAGCTACACGCGGTGTACTCCTAGTTTTTTATATAATATTTATAATAATTTTTTTTAAAAATACTAGACTCCCCTCCGCGGTGGTAGTATTAAAAAAAGCTTAATTATAATTTATTTTAAGGCTTTAATTAATAAATAGCTAAAATTTACTAGTAGCATAGGTAATATTACTAAAAATTTTATAAAAATAAGGCACTGGCTTGTGCTAAAAGCCTAAAACTAAAGTATAAATTATAAAAATATTTTTTTTAAATATTTTAAGGCTAGTTCTGGCTTACCCTTATTACTCCTAGGAATACTTAAAAAATCCTATTAAGGGTAAGGCTAAAAAGCTAGCTATAAAAAAGTTTAAATAATAATAGTAAGCACTACTAATAATAAAAGTAATAATTTTTAGTAATAATTTTAAATAAATATACTAGGGTATATATTATATAAGCTATAGCTATATAATATATTATAAATAATATTTTTAAATATAAAAATTATTAGCTATTAGCGCCTAATTTTATATTTATAATGCTAAGGCTATTAGCATGCTTTAAAAATTAAAGGTAGTAATTAAAAAACTTTTTAAAATACTTATTTACTAGCTTTATATAAATAATACCTTAATAATTTAATACACGCGCGGGTAGCCCTTGCTATTTTTTAACTAGGCCTTTTAAATATTATACTAGCTTATAAATTAATATATTATTTACCTGCGGTGGTCTCCTAGCTATATAAATATTATAAGTAATAAGCTAGCTAATAAGCTAGCTAATAAAGCAGTTTTTATAAAAGCATGGCTTTTAAATACTAACTTTTTAAAGGCGCAACCTACTATAAGTAAAATATATAGCCTATATAAATAAATATACTAAATTACTTAAGCTAAGTAATAAAAAGGTATTTTTATAAAATTATTAACTTAATATAAATAATAGCTTATAAAGCTAAAGTTTTACTAGGTTAAATTATAGCTAAAGCTTATATTAAAATATTTAATTTTATACTACTAGCTAGTATTAAGGTTATTATATAGTAACTTTAAGTAATATTATAAGTACTTTTAATATAAAAATATAAAGGTTACTTGCTCCTGCAGGAGGAGCAAGAATTTTAAATACCTAGTTTTTTACTAGTACTTTTAATAATACTTTTAATAATAGCTATAGCGCCCTATAGCGCTACTAATAATTAAGGTTAAGGTTTTAAAGTACCTTTATAAACTAAAGCCTAAAAATTTTATATTCTTACTAAAAATTATAAACTTTTATAAGTTTATTTACCCCTGCTAGGGCTTCCCGCGCCCTAGCTTTATAAAAATTATTTAGCCTAGTATTAAATAATCCTATTTATTTTTACTTTACTATATTTTTTTTTTTTATTTTATACCCTTTTTTAATATAACTAGCTTTAATTAATATATTTTTTTTATAAATAGGGCTGGCCCTTGTATTTTATAATACTTAAATTATTAAGCATGTAATAAATAATACTTGCTAGTAGTTATATATTAAAATAATAAGTAAAAAATAGGTGCCTAGCTTACAAGTGTTAGCAAGAGTTACTTTTTAAAATAAAAAGCCTTTTATATATAAACTATTTAAATAAGCCACTTACCCTGCGGCGGCATGCCCTTATACCCTAAGAAAGGTTTGGAACATTAGGCGTACGCCTAGCAATCCCCGGGGCGTTAAATATCACTACTACTACTACTACTACCCGCAAGGAAATTACAACGCGCATCTCCATTCTATACACTGGGAATATCCTGGCCACGGCCTTCGCCGGCCTCATCGCCGCCGGAATCTTCGAGGGCATGGACGACTTAGCCGGGATCTCAGGCTGGCAGTGGCTCTTCATCCTGCAAGGCGCCGTGACCTTCGTCGTCGCCATCGGCGCTGCCTTCGTTCTCCCAGATGACCCCCTACACACCCGCTGGCTCAGCGAAGAAGAGCGGCAACTCGCGCACGACCGCATCGTCGCCGACACAGTCGGCGCCCGACACCAAACCAGCACATTCAGCGGACTCAAGGAAGCCGCGCGCGATCCCAGAGTCTGGCTCTTTGCTTTCATGCAGCACATGCATCTCGCCGCAAACGGGTTCAAGAATTTCTTCCCGACCGCCGTCGAGACTCTCGGATTCAACACAACCATTACGCTTGTCCTCACTTGCCCACCCTACCTAATCGCCGGTATAATCTCCGTCTTCTGGTCCTGGAGCTCAGGACGCTTCAACGAGCGCACATGGCATATCACCGTCGCCAAGGCAATCGCCATCTTCGGCTTCGTGCTCGGCTGCGCGACGCTCAATACCGGCGCGCGATACTTTGCGATGGTCGTCTTCGCGATTGGGACGTACGCAGTCAACTCCATTATCCTCGGCTGGGTGAGCAGCACCTGCGGGCAGACAAAAGAGAAGAAGGCCTCCGCGCTCGCGATCGTGAATACCTGCGCGAATGTCTCGTTTATTTGGACTCCGGTAAGTCCGCCTACCTCTACCCTTCTCCCTTTCTATAGTTCCAATACTAATGTTTGTGTCTGTGCAGTACCTCTGGCCCTCCTCCGACGAACCACGCTACACGATCGCCATGTCCTCGAGCGCGGCGTTCTCGATTACGTGTGCGGCTTGTGCGTGGGCGATGCGGTTCTGGCTTATGAGTGCGAATCGCAAGATTCGGAGGAGTAATGATGAGAGTGTCCTGTTCTATGCTTATTAGTCTTGACTACTTCTCTACTATTGGTGATATCCATCGGGCAGTAAAGATAAATTCAGAACAGGGCGGATTCTCGATTATGGATTCAAATGACTTATGTTAATGATTGGTGGATGGAATGGAAGTACTAAATGAGACAAGCCCTTGAATTGATGAACGCAACCATGCCACACCACTCTTTGATCTCTTTTGAGATATATTAGAAGAAGAGGGTGGACTAAACAAACATATGTAACCAGGAGTATCGCTGTTATGGCCCAACAAGAGGGAAGGAGGAAGACATGGAGAAACACACAAATCAAAGGGGACGAAGTAAAACAAGAATAAATCAGACAAGGCCATGAGAGAAACACAGAAAGAGAACAAAATAAAAACCATATTACAGAGCAGAGTAAGCAAGGCACAGTACTCGACGTGAATCCAACCAACGCTCAGGCAGCCAGCATGGACATCAAAAGTTGACTCACGGTAAAGATCCGCAAAGGCATTCTAAGCCCATTGGGTAGCACGGTGGCCAGCTTGAATAAGTTAGCTGCACTTTACGGCCAATCTCCAGATCAACGATTCGTAATCAAGGAAAAATGTATCCAAAATTAAGCTCGACATCTTCCATAATCCCGCCGACAAAAGTGACGCGTAGAGACTTAGCTTGATGTCTGTCCGAGGGACGCATCGTCTGCACCGTGCGGCCGTTCCTGGGATTAATGGTGCCCAGAGGAAAGTTGCGCTTCCGCTGAGTGCGCTTTTGAAAAGTATGAAACTACCGGCAAGTGGTCAGTCACTCAGTATCCTCAGCGAAGTAGGATGGGCAGTATAGAATGAGATGAAAGCATCAATAGATAGACACGGAGTAGACTCACCACTAATCCGACAAGCTTGCCGTCGACATCAAAGCAGCGAGTCATGCCGGCAATAATCTCTTTCTGCTCTGTATCAAGACGAAACCCCGACTTTCTGTTGCGTCCATCGATGTAGTCGTAATTCCAGTTGTCGCCAACAGTCTCCAGTTCGGGATCGTCATGCGATCGCAGATATCGGTCCTTGAGTGTCGCCTCGAACCCACGGAATCCCTTCTTTCCGGGGCGGGCAAAAGAGACAGAGAGGGAGGAAAGAGCGGGCCAAAAACAAAGCTCCTCTATTGTTGTGGGTGGAATGGAAGGAGGTTGAAGGAGTGAGATGGTACCGTCGCGGTTGACGGCAGTAGTTGAAACGATCTTATCCAGGATGGCCTCGCAACAATTCCAGATTCGCCGCCAGTTCCGAAGTCCGAATGTGTTTGTAGCTGGATGGTCCTCATCGCCCTCATCCTCGACATCGGCGGACAAGTCTTCGAACTCTTTGAGGAGGGCATAGTAGTTGATTGGACCCTGGACCTTTGCTAGCGTTTCTGAGAACTCGTCGTAGTTGATAAGCCAGCGGTAGCGGTGGTCTAGCCGGGACTTCCAGAAAGATTGTGGGAGATGCCTGGATGCAGCGTGGAAAGTTGGACTAGCAATGGAAAGATTGAGCACGGATGAGGAAGGAAGGTGCTTCATGATCATGTGGGGGATTTCGAGGGGCAATATGCTAAAGCAATCCTCGGGGCGAGAGCGCTGTATTTCAGGACCCCAGGTAGGGCTATTTTCCTGGACGACCTCGGCACTTGCTGCGTGCTCGATGCGCGTTGTGTAGTCGATGATGGTATCGGTGTCCATGACCAACCACTAAAAAGAAGAGTGAACTGTTAGATAGTAGATCAGGTAAATGCATATGGCAGATCGGGAGTAGTAGAGTATGGCAGGGGAGACGTACTTCATGACCGTAGAATGCCAGCCACCTTTCTTCTTTTTGGAACATCTCTACCTCACCGCGTGTTGTTCTGGGGTCATTCCAATCAATCACGTTCACACGACGCTTAAGGGGAGAAGATTGCATGGTGATGAACAAACGCGATAGGGTGGACTCTGGGTATTTTGACTTAGAGGCCTTGCGTACCTTGCAAAGAGTTTCCACACAGCGGCCATGGACGAGGAAGCCATCAGTATTTGGGTGCAAGTTAGGGATTGCCGCACCGGCAATGTGCAGGCCTTCGAGTTGAGTATAAACGCCCTGGATTTCTTGGTCAGTGATGTACTCCCAATGAGGCACAAGGGATGCTCTACTATGCCCGACAAGGAGACTCCCTCCTCGTCTATCTCTTCGTCTGCGGCAGGGTGGTTGGCATGGCATATCATCCGGACGTCGTCGAGCCACTAGAAGCGTCATAAACTGGAGCCATCGAAATAAATTGAGGGAAGCTGCTCACGCGTATGTCCTTGTCCTCAAGAATCCAGCCGAAATATCCCCTCTGAGTACTGCAATCAAGGCCGTGGCAGTCGGGGTTGCATCCTCCATCATCTTCCGACTCCGTCATAAAGCCGTTCTCATAACACTCCCCGCCACAAGAATCATCCCAACAACGTTCTTTGTCAACGCCATCTCGTACAGTGGACCACCGACGAAGGTTCGCAGACTCGAATGGTCCACCGCAGATGTTGCAGTAAGAGATTGGGAGGTTGCTGCGCATGGTGCGGATGATCGAATGAGTTGGGGATGAAAGAAGAAGGAATGATCAAGCCGGGAACTGAACGGCCTTTTATGCTTGATCTGGGGTGGGAAAACTCTCCTAGCGTCTTTGTGTGCTGAAAAGGCCCGGAAGGTTCTGTGATTGCATCGCCAGGCCCTGTTATGGCATCGCCAGGCCCTGTTATGGCATCGCCAGGCCCTGTTATGGCATCGCCGGGCACTGTTATGGCATCGCCTATGGGTGTGATTGCATCGCCAGGTCATGTGGTGTGGTCTTTCACTTGCACTCATGGCTCATCATAGTCAACATAGACTTAGCAAGCTCAGTCACAGGTCTTGTCCCTCATACTGCCATTATAGACGTAGGTACTGCGGTACCCAGCGCTATCGTCGACCCAAAGCCTCCAGGCTTCCTCACTTACACGCCCTCATTTCGCTCTGATGCGATGCGTTGGCTCTGACTGTCGCATATAGGACTCTCTGGCCCCAGGAAAAACCGGAGTTATGCGATGAGTATGGTCAGGACGACCCAGATGCCGTCGCAGTCGCAGTACATCGCCACGGATTTGACATCGAAAATACGCCAGCACCACCCATCTTGGTGAGCGATAAGATGAAATTGAATATAAGGAACTTTGACTGAGTTATATCGCTACAGGAAGTCTCTATACTCTCTCTTCGGAATCAGACTCTCGTGAACGCCTCTCTCAGCCTCGCCTGCACTCTTCCAACTCCACGCCTGATCCTTCTCTTCCCCATTCCCAACGCCGTCAAGGACATTGACAACATACCTCCCAATCGTCGGCAGGAACTTATAGAAGTGGAACGATCCCCCAACAGCGAAGTACAGATTCGCAAGTCGCGGGTCGGGGTGTCGCGATATCAGCGGGTGCTGGCTAGCAGAGATCGAGTCCCAGCAGAGCCGGTAGTAGTCCGGTTCTCGGCCACCGTCTAAGAGCTGAGGGAGGCGGGCTCGCACAGCGGCGATGGAGTCCTCCTGCAGGCCTTTCGGGGCGTTGAGCTGGTCTTCTACCGGCACGGAGATCTCGCGGCCGGTAGCGGTCCGTATTGTGTTTTTGAACGAGGTTGTGCTGGTGAATTTCAGGATTCCGGATGATGTTGGTGGAATCACCTCGCCTGTGGCATAGCATTAGATATAGACACCAGAATGTTAGGCATTAAGAGAGAGGCATCATACCTTGTCCACCATACACAAGCACCGGCATCTTCCCATACAACCCCCTCTCCTCCTCACTCAGCTGGAAATGCGCCACGCAGACTCCCGCAGCAGAGACCTGCCTCTCAACACAATCAACCTCGCTAATACCCAACTGATCCTCAACCCCAGCCATAACCTCACTCGTCCACGCCCCCGTCGCAAGCAAAACCTTATCAGCGCGGAGCACATTCCCGCCCTCAATTTCAACCCCCGTACCACCCTCATCCAGCACAACCCTCCCCACCTCACCAACCTCATACCGAACCCCCATCCCAATCGCCTCACGCAGCATAACCCCCAGCGCCGCCCCAGCATCAGCCCACCCAGCCGACCGATTAAAATAGTACGAGCCAAACCGTCTATAATCCGTCCTCCCCAAAATCCCGCCCCACGCACTCTTCACCTCGTCCTCGCTCATATCGACAATAGGGCTCACACCCCCATACTTTCCCCGTTTGAAATTCTCTCGAATCCGAAGCGGCACGTCGCTGCCTACCTCGTCCATCGCGATCCAGCCGGATTGGTGGTACACCGTATCTGTATCTCCAGCATCCGCATCTACATCTGGATTATCGTCGTACGCGAAAAAGGGGAGAGTCTTCCACGCCTGTATTGCTTCGAAGCCCAGATCCATGTACAGCGCGCTGGAGTAGTCCGCGCGAATGATCTTGTTGATGTCGGATGAGGCGCCGGTGGCTGTTGGAAGGGTTGATGGAGGCGCGCGATCGAGGAGGGTTATGTTTGACGGGTTGGGGGTGCGTTTGGCGAGGTGGTAGGCTGTGCTGACGCCGAAGATGCCGGCGCCGATTATGAGGGTTGTTTCGTTGTTGGGCATTGTGTTGTATATACTATAGGGGGTGATATGGTGCTGGGGTTGATTTTGTGGGAGATGGATGATGGTGGTGAGGAGGGGTTGTGATCGTCTTCTTATTAAGCTACTGTATCTATACCCCATACCAGTTGGAGACAACAATATCCTTAGCGTCTTGATAAGATTGAAGAACAATCCATAGTGAGGAGTATATTCAGAGCCCCTTCACCAGCCTACTTGTCAAAGCTTAAATGACGCCAGACCATGGATCAAAGGAAGTCAAATAGCGCAATGAGCGCATGACTACCAGCGTTTGTCGACGACACCTCCGGCTTCGTGCCCCTCTTCCAACCTCAACTCTAGCTCAAGTCCATCCGTCTCCTCCAGCTTCAACCACCCAAAACCACCATGGCTCAAAGACAAGAATACTTCTTCGCAACCGAGATCCTCCGCCTGGGTCTGTACCCCGAGGACGCGGACAACCCCCCCAACGCGAATATAAGTAACACCGCAGCCACCCCAGCAATCGCACGACCACAAACACAACCACCAGCACACACACTCCCACCGCTCTCCGAAGAAGATAGAGCCGAAGTCTCCCGCCTGCTCGACACATACTTCGCCGTGATGCTCCCCGTCCCACACCAGAACTTCGCGCAACGAATGGCCGCCCTCCGCATAGACGTGCACAAGCGCGCCCGCCTGCGCCACGCAACAGCCGTGCAAGAGATCCACCAGTTCTTCCTGGAGCTCCGGCCCATACTCGGCGTTGAGCATATCTGGTATCCGAACGGGATATTCGGGAGCTTGGACCGGGACGGGAACCCGACGACCTACACTTACACTCCGATGGTGAATGACCCGATGGAGATTGACCCGCAACCATATGATGGCGACGATATCGAGTATCGGTCTGGGAGTGAGGATGATGAGGATGGCTATGGTGAGCTCCGACGTGAGTCTATACTTGAGCGGCGTAGGAGGCTAAGAGCTGAAGCTGGGGGGAAGAGGGTGCTTAGACGGCCGGTTGAGGGCGATTGTACGATCTGCTTTGCGCCGTTGATGGATGAGCAGGATGTTGTGTCGGTGGAGAATTGTGAGCGCAAATTGGGCAGTCTGGCTGTTTCTGGGAACAGTCACCAGGCAGACGGTCGCGGCCATGATAGTGATTCTGATGGTGCTAATGACGAAGATGATGAGGATGACGAGGACGACGAGGATGAGGACGAATACGGTGATACCGATGAGGACGAATACGACGACGATGACGAAGAGTATCGCGGAATAGTCTGGTGTAGAGCTTTTTGCGGAACCAACTACCACTCTCACTGCTTCTACCAGTGGGTTCCGCAATTCAAGAGGCTGCGAGATGTCACTTGCCCTTCATGCCGGCGAGGTTGGGCATAGAGCCTCGGCTGTGATTTGGATGGCCCTCTTCTGTTCACGTTTGTCCTGGGTCCTGAATGATAGCGCACCTATATGCTACTGAATCGTAAAATTTCAACGCTCGGTCACCGGTCTCCAGGGTATTCTAACGCAGATAAACACCATTACAATCGAGTTTTCTGTCTTTCCGTTCGGTGTAGCCACATAGCAATAGTCTCCAGGAGGCCGTCGATCTCTTCAACAGTGTTCCCTGCGTGCAAGCATACTCGTACACGCTCCCTCCCTACTGGGACAGTAGGCGGCATGATCGCACGGACGGTATAGCCTCGCTGCTGACACACGCTAGCGAGCTCACGGGGAACATTGCTGCGAAGTGAGAAGATCGGTGAATTTGAGAAATGCTCGACTTCGAAGGTTGATGTGTCCTTAATGTTGAGGCCGTCCAGCCGCGTCCGGAAATAAGCAATCAATCGTCCCAGTTTGCGTTGGAGCTGGGGTATGTTAGCATGATCGTAAGATAGAGGGCTGTCCCGCCGCTTATTGAATCGTACCTGTTCGGTTTCTCCCTCAGCGAGCAACTCGTAGGCCGAACGTATGGAGGCCAAGAAAGGAAAGCCCAAGGCTGTGGTGTAGATTAGGCTCCGAGCGTAATTGATCAGGTAATCTCTGGTGTCTGCGCAACAGAGTACAATTGCTAGAAAAACTGTTAGATTAATATGCCAAAGATGAAGGACAAGAGACTGACCACCATGACTGGCCAAGGCCTTGCCGAAAGTATGTACTCGGATGAACATACGGTCCTCCAGCCCCATAGCTTGCACAACTCCGGATCCCCGGGGACCAAAGACACCGGTCGCATGCGCCTCATCTACAATGAAGTATCCGTTTTTATTAGGGAGTAGCTGGTCCACGATCCCCACGAATTCGCGAATAGGCGCAACATCACCGTCCATGCTATAGACGGACTCAATGGCGATAAAGACGTTCCGGCGGCCTTCATAAATCTGAGGATCTGCCGTTGTCTCTGTTTGCAGCACTGCTTTTAGACTGTCGGGAGAGCTGTGGGAGAACTTGACTCTCTTGCTTGCACGCGATAGCCGCATGCCCTCATGAGCACTGGCATGGATGAGCTCATCGTACACAATCAGGTCCCCTGGTTGGGGGATGCTTGAGAAGACGCCGACATTGGCGTCATAGCCAGAATTGAAGAGAAGACCACTGGGAGCATTATGAAACTCGGCAATGAAGCCTTCCAAGTCTTCGGCGTAGGCTGAATTGCCATCTAGAAGTCTGGACCCTCCGCTGGCAAAGGGGTGCATCGGCGGTGCCAGTTGAAGATGGTCCAGGAACCGCGCTCGATAGGCCGGCGATGTCGACAGCGACAAAAAATCATTTGAAGAAAAGTCCACGGAGGTTGATGGTAGAATGGTGAGTTTCCGGCGACACAATTTGTCTTCCCGTTGACGCAGGGCTTGACGCAGTGAGTCACGAAGGCATTGTGGAGGATCGCCCATCTGGACAATTATGGAATAAAAACCCAATGGCTGTCGACAGAACTGAAGGAAAGAAAATCAATCAATGATCAAAGCGGAGAAGATGAGATATTTCTTGATGCAATGATTTCAAAGCTCGATGTCCAAGCCCAACCACGTCTTTCGGATCCCTCACGCGTGTCGCGGAGCCCTTGAATTGCGGTACGGCGTACGGTACCTACGGTATACAATTCCGCGATATCGACCGGGGTAGAGCGAAAATCGGCGACAGGGTTCTGAATCCTCCAGAGCGGTACCTGGATTCAACTTAGCGAAATCCGAGTTCGAGTCGTTCGTGTTTCGACAGATGTCAATAATTGAATAATCCAAACCGGCGGGGACCTGCTCTGATCTGTTGGGATCAACCGGTGGGGGAGCTCGAATGGATCCAGAGGGTCTGCTGGATGGTGGCTGGGCCGCGCCTTGAACAAGAATTGAGCCCGGCAAACGCTTAATCTGGGGCCTCGGCTGCTGCCTGTTCCTAGTTCTCAGTTCCTAGCTTCCTGCCAAAAGTTAGAACACCTTACTAGAACGGTAGAACCGCCGCAAGGGCTCGAGTCGAGCCTCGATCGCTTGTTCCTCGGTGAAGCAAGGTCGCGGAGTAGGCTTCCCCGGTCGATTCCATTCGTCATCATTCCTCGGTCGCACAGAAGTGTCCGAGACCGGCCTGTAAACAAACCGCTTCTTGTTTTGGCTTTGTGAGGAATTGAGCTTGCTACCTCTGCCATTGAGAAAGCGAGAATCGCAGTCATGGCGCCCGTTGGTGCCGCGCTTTGGCGCTCTCTCCGCGCCCACCAAGTATATGGAGCCAACACAGACGTGGGAAAGACCATTGTGTCAACAATTCTCTGCAATGCTGTCAATCGCTTGAAGACGAAGGAAAAGTCGGCGTTTTTGAAGCCGGTGTCGACGGGGCCATTGGATGAAGCGGACGACAGGTAAGTTCTGCGTTGGCAAGACACGGTTGACGACTCACAACCCCAGGCATCTGCAGCGCCATGCTCCCAGCACCTTGACAAAATGCCTTTACCAATTCGATGAGCCTGTCAGTCCGCATATCGCAGCGAAGACATTTACAGTACGGAATTGAATCCTCTACTTCCAATACGCACACTAACTTCAGCAGATTCCTCGCGATGATGAGATTCTGTCCTCTGTTCACAAAACCCTTTCCGGCTGGGCCGACGACGGGGTTGGCTTCGCTCTGGTAGAAACAGCTGGTGGTGTTCATTCGCCAGGGCCCAATGGAAACTCCCAGGCCGACCTCTATCGACCTCTTCGATTGCCTATTATCCTGGTCGCCGACTCTCGTCTGGGCGGAATCTCATCATCCATATCCGCCTACGAGTCTCTTTTGCTGCGCGGCTACGATGTCCACTCCGTTCTTCTGTTCAGAGATGACTATTATCAGAACCACGAATACCTGGGCAATTACTTCCGCGGCAAGAGCATACCGCTTGTTCCCCTGCCTGCACCGCCCAAGCGCCCGCAGGAACAAGACCCAGACTCGCGAGCTCGAGATCTAGAAGCATTGGACAAATACTATAGCTCAGTTGCGCAAGCCACGGATGTGGTCTCTCTACTGGATGAACTTACTTTGAAGAACAAACAGCGGATTGACTCCCTCGAAGAGATGGCAAGCCGAGCACAGAAGACCATTTGGTACCCATTCACGCAGCATCACGGCATGGCGCCAAAGGACATCACTCCAATCGACTCCGCATATGATGATTTCTTCCAAACCTACAAGACCCAGAAGGGATCGCTAGAACAAGGAAACCTTCAAGCGACCTTCGACGGATCAGCATCATGGTGGACACAGGGCCTCGGCCACGGAAACCCCGGTCTTGCTCTATCGGCCGCTTATGCCGCAGGGCGCTACGGACACGTCATGTTCCCTGGAAACATCCATGAACCGGCTCTGAAGCTGGCAGAACAGCTCTTGGAGACTGTTGGTAACCCTCGCCTACAGAAGGTCTTTTACACCGACAACGGCAGCACGGGTATGGAGGTTGCTCTCAAGATGGCACTCCGCGCAGCCTGCGACCGATATGGCTGGGATGCGAGTCAAGAACAGATTAACATTCTAGGTCTCAAGGGAAGCTACCATGGTGATACGATCGGGGTTATGGATTGCTCGGAGCCGTCGACCTACAACCAACGGGTCGAATGGTACAGAGGACGTGGCCACTGGTTCGATTTCCCTCTGGTCAAGATGTCCCAAGGAGTTTGGCATGTCGAAGTTCCGGCAGAACTGCAAGAGTCACTTGGTGGAAACCAGAAATTCTCGTCCCTGGACGCGGTGTTTGATTTGGAAAGCAGGGTCCACTCGGACGTCGGAAAGCGCTACAGCAAGTATATCAAAGACACCATTGAACGCCTGGTTGTTCAAGAAGGGAGAAAATTCGGCGCCTTGATCATGGAGCCTATCATTCTAGGAGCCGGTGGGATGATTTTCTGGTCAGTGTGAACACCAATGCTTCTGGACATATGATTAACGATGGCTATTACAGCGACCCCCTGTTCCAGCGATGCCTCGCAGATGTCGTCCGCGGCAACCCACAGCTGTTCGATCAAGCTGGCTCTACAAAGCCGTACGCACAAACTGATCTCTCATGGTCTGGTCTTCCCGTCGTCTTCGACGAGGTTTTCACAGGCCTCTACCGTCTTGGCCGAAAATCCTCTGCGTCATTCCTTGGTGTCAACCCCGACATCGCCGTTAACGCAAAGCTTCTCACCGGAGGCCTCGTGCCACTCTGCACTACCCTAGCAAGCAACGAGATCTTCGACGCCTTTACGAGTCCGGAGAAGAGAGATGCACTTCTACACGGACACAGCTACACCGCGCACGCTGTTGGTTGCCAGGTAGCCGTCGACTCCCTCCGGACAATGAACCGCATGGACGAAAACGGGTCCTGGAACGAATTCAAGAACGACTGGAAGCAGTCTCGGGCTATTGGCAATTCCCGACCGGGCGCTATCTGGAGCGTCTGGTCACACGGGCTCGTTCACGACCTCTCGCACGCCGAATCAGTCGATGGCGTCTTCGCCATCGGTAGCGTTCTTAGCATCTCCCTGAAAGACGCGGAGGGTGCAGGTGAGTTTCCAAACCATTCTTCCAATTTTCTAATCGGTTACAGCTAGCTAACAGAATATCTCCACCGAATAGGCTACACGTCCACGGCGGCTAAGGGCCTCCAGGCAAGATTAGCCGCTGGTGGGCCGGAGTTTAACGTCCACTCCCGGGTCCTTGGAAACGTGCTATATTTAATGTCGAGCATAACCTCGAAGCAGGAAACCCTGCGAACAATCGAGGGTATCCTGCGCGAGGCATTGCTTAATTAGTATATAACACATATAAAAAGATGAACATATAGATGTTGGTCTCACCGACCGCCGTAAACAAATAGAAGACTGGGAACCGGACGGGCGGAACCCAGATGCGATCATGCGGACCTTGGTAAAATCAGCTCACCGAGTCACCGGAACTCTGGCTAAGTCTAGATCGTCTCTCGAACCTAGGTTAACATGAGGTTAACTGCTGTAGACTGTAGCAGAGTCCATGGTCCGGCATCGCAGGTAATCTGGACCCCGCCATTCGCCAGGAACACCGACCTCCGAGGCCTTGGTGAGTCTCCCGCGGATCTGCAAGTTAGCAAGTTAGCACTGCCTTTCGCTGTCGAATCACACTCAAGGGGATAAGATCAGGCACTGCTGTTCTCTGAGTGGCCGGGCTGGTTCTCCATAGTGGAAATCGCAAGTCAGAAAGATCCACTTCCGTGAGTCCTCGACGTAAGGCCTCGGACTGCACGTTGAACCAGCGTTGGGGTCAACACTCCGCAGGGAGATGAGGAGTTGTTTACGGCGACTTGCTTGTCAGCGAGCAACTCGCTCAGCAATGTTACTGGTCCAATGATAATGGATAAATATTTTCAGTGACTTCCACCGACATTCCACTCCTCCCCCCTCCCGATGACGACCTGCCCTCCTTCAGCATCCCTGTCGTGGCCCATGCTCCTCCCACTTTCCCCTCCCGCCGCATACTTTTGATTCCCCCTCGCTGTTTTCGGCCTGTCATCTTGACCTCCTCAATTCCTCCATCTCCTCTTACCATCAGCCATCGCTACCGCCATGTCTGTCTCTCTCACACGGTCCCTTCCCAGGGCCTTCGTAAGGTCTTATGGCACTGTCCAGTCGTCTCCCACTGCCGCTTCCTTCGCGAGCAGAATTCCTCCGGCTCTCCAGGAAGCTGTTTCCGCCACTGCCCCGCGCACCAACTGGACTCGCGATGAAGTCCAACAGATCTACGAGACGCCCTTGAACCAATTAACCTATGCGGCTGTATGTCCCGTTTAATTGTTCCTGTTTCTGTTTTTGAAATACTGTCTCACGACGAGAATCGTAAACAAATTGCTGACTCGTTCTGAATAGGCAGCTGTCCACCGCCGCTTCCACGACCCCTCCGCTATCCAGATGTGCACATTGATGAACATCAAGACCGGTGGATGCAGTGAAGATTGCTCCTACTGCGCCCAGTCTTCCCGGTACAGCACTGGCCTCAAGGCCACGAAGATGAGCCCCGTCGACGACGTCCTCGAAAAGGCTAGGATCGCCAAAGCGAACGGCAGCACACGTTTCTGCATGGGGGCCGCTTGGCGTGACATGCGAGGTCGCAAGACGAGTCTGAAGAACGTCAAGCAGATGGTCTCTGGCGTTCGGGAGATGGGGATGGAAGTCTGCGTTACGCTAGGCATGATTGACGGTGATCAGGCCAAGGAGCTGAAAGATGCCGGTCTGACAGCGTACAACCACAACCTCGATACTTCCCGCGAATTCTACCCAACGATCATCACAACCCGGTCCTACGACGAGCGACTGAAGACCCTGTCCCACGTCCGCGATGCAGGCATCAACGTCTGCTCCGGCGGTATCCTAGGACTCGGTGAGGCCGACTCTGACCGCATCGGTCTCATCCACACTGTTTCGTCGCTCCCCTCTCACCCCGAGTCATTCCCCGTGAACGCCTTGGTTCCCATCAAGGGCACACCCCTGGGAGACAAGAAGATGATCTCCTTCGACAAGCTCCTCCGCACCGTCGCAACCGCCCGAATCGTCCTCCCCGCAACCATCGTCCGCCTCGCCGCAGGCCGCATCTCTCTGAGCGAAGAGCAGCAAGTCTCGTGCTTCATGGCGGGCGCCAACGCCGTCTTCACCGGCGAGAAGATGCTAACGACCGACTGCAACGGCTGGGACGAGGACCGCGCCATGTTCGACAAATGGGGCTTCTACCCCATGCGCAGCTTCGAGAAGGAAACTAGTGCCGTCTCCCCGCAGCAACAGATTGACTCCGTTGCTGAGCCCAAGGACTTGAAGACCCCCGCTGCGCCGGCCGCAGCCACTGATGCCCTATGATAGGGCTGCAGAGTTACTCCACCCCTAAATCCAATTCCAGGTTGATACGTTTCCCACCCTGTTCGTATGTGTATGACAGGGGGCCGCTAGGCATCGCTAGTCCCAATGCAACTACATCCGCATCAATGAAAACTCTCCGTTGCCATGTAGCTATATCCCCCGGCCCCTTGGCATGAATGCGCGGTGTAGCGAGTGCATGATTACCCTCTGTAAAGCTGTTGCCTAGATGATCCCACGTCTCTCTTCCGTATCCCAGGTCTATATAAACCCGTGTTCTGCTCGCGGCGTTGAGGTGAGTCGATTCGCCTTGATCGTCAGATGGGCCATACGGCGAATGATCACTACTTCCCTACATTGAAACATGTTCCATTTGTCCTTTATCCTTCCCAAACACCAATGCCTAATGAGCTGGCCGTGGGGGTGCGCGGGGGGCACCTGCACTTCACACCCATTTCCCAAACGGTAAGTTGAGATGCTATTGGTCCGAACAAATCACTCATACAATACATTCTGGGTACATATGAGGCTTCAATCCCTCCCCCACCGCGGTGTTGCCATGCAAGCCCTCCCTCTTCTCGTTCTACAACACTCTTGTAGTTGTCGACTACGAAACGCTTTGAAGCTACGAATTCAGACAACAATGTTATGTTCGAATGCAGATGCAATTGCTAAATCTATCCAGATCATTATTATGTCCATGCAAGAATCGTATCAATCTATCCACAAATGGTCATCAAATCGAAAGGTTGAAGAGGAGAAGGAAGAGGAAGAGGAAGTTGAAAGGAAGTTTTCAGGTCATCAGCGCATTCAGAGAATTCATGGCGCGTGGTTGATTCCCTCTCGCGCGGGAAATCTGGCCACGTCCTACGACATCGATACTTCAGCCTGGCATTTACGCTGCTCAACTGAGTTCAATGCCTGGAAGGAGATAAAAGTGGCATTGTCCACTTAGGTGGCGGGGTTTGGAACACTCAAACCATGGACTGCTCCATCTTGAAGTCCCCAGTCGCCTGGGTATCCGAGCGACTCATCGTCGTATACCGACTGAAATCCTGAGGTCCACGATAATGCTCGACCTGATTCCTGTTCTTCACAGACTCGCGCCGGAAATAGATACGCTTGCACCACTTCCAGAGCTCAACGCCCGCAAAGAACAGGATCGCCTCGACGATGACAACGCCCCACTCCCAGGAGATCCCAGTATGCATGAAGACGACGTCGTTGATGACAGGGATATAGAGCGCCGGGAACGTCGTGACGAAGCCCAGCATCACGCCGCAGAACAGGAACTTGTTGCGCCAGACATCGTGCATCCACTGGGTGAAGTACTTCTTGGAACCGGGTTGCATGCGGAAAAAGCTGCGGCGCATGTTGATCATCTCCCAGGCGAGGAAGAGGGCGAACCAGGTCATGCAGACGAAGGTTGTGGCGCGGGCGCGGAAGACGGTGTCGCACTCGGGGCTGTAGCTGGCATTGCACCCGCGGGCGAGGTTGCCGTCGCCCCAGACGTACAGGACCAGCGAGAAGGCGCTTAGGCAGAGGGCCGCCATCCACATGCCGTATACGATCATGTCGACGATGATTTCCCAGGTGAAGATACCTTGTTTCTGGTGGATGTTAGTTTTGGAAGCAAAATGGATAAGGGGGGAAGGGTACGTACGCTCTGAGGAGGCCGGTCCATGATATCAGGCGCGGCAACTTCCATTCCCAATCCCATGTCAGGAGCACCGGAGGTAATCATGATAATCCACAGAATCTCGACGGGGGCAATGGGGAAGACCGACTGTCCATCTTCGTCCTTGAACACGAGACCAATAAGAAGAGTAAGCGCCAGACCGACATTTTCTGCAAGAAGATGCAGGACAAATTTCTGAATGTTATCGAAAATTCGACGACCCTCCTCGATACCGTTGATGATCGAAGCAAAGTTATCGTCTGTTAGCACGAGCTCCGAGGCATCCTTTGCTACATCGGAGCCTGCTTCTCCCATTGCAATACCAACATCGGCACGCTTCAAAGACGGAGAATCGTTGACACCGTCACCAGTCATGGCGGCATAGCGGCCACGGCGATGCAGAGCATCAATCATACGGACCTTGGTGTTTGGTGCGCATCGTGCGATAACCAGAGGCAATGTGGGCAAGTCGTCGATCTCGTCATCCGTCAGCTTGTCGAATTGACTGGCAGTCATGACCATCGCGTCCGCGACGTCCTTCGCTATTCCATCCATGTTGGCCGGGATGATCCCGACTTGAGCGGCGATGGCTCGTGCAGTACCAGGGTGATCACCAGTGACCATGTGGACGGAGATTCCAGCTCGGTAGCACTCTTCAATCGCGCCAGCTGTCTCAGGCCTAGGTGGATCGTATAGACCGACCAATCCGCAGAAAACGAGATCCTTCTCGACCTCGTCGCGGGGAGGCACTTCTTCGCCGCTGGCGAAATCTGTGTGGAATTCTCGACTGGCCAGGCACAGAACGCGAAGACCTTCCTTTGCAAGTGCTTCCATATTCTGCAGGATTTGTTTCTTGATGTCATTGCTCATTGGGACTGGTTCTTCTCCGCGAGTCCAGAGGACGGTTGTGCAAGATTCGACGACACGTTCCACAGCGCCCTTGGTGAAGACCATCTGGTGCGTACCCTTTTCGTTGTCGTCCTCCCGAGCGAAAATGACGGACATTTTCTTGACAGTCGAGTCGAAGGGGTATTCAGCCTTCTGGCGCCAGATCGGCGTCTCACCCTTTGTCCAGCGTTCACGGCCCCAGTTGAAGCGGGATGCGAAGACCTGAATTGCAATGTCGGTTGGCTCACCACGAGCTTGCCATTCGTTGCCTTCGGACTTGTGAACAACAGCCAGGTTAGCCATGGAGGCTACATTGAGATAGTCCTCCAACGTCTTGTTGTCCTTGATAAGCTCAGCCGGGTCTGTAGGCTTCCCCTGCACGTCACGCTCAAGCTGGATAGGAGCATCCGGCAAAAGGCTGAGGTCGCCCTCGGTGGGATCTAGCGGGTTACTGGACGAGCCAACTGAATACGTTCCCAGCGATGGAATCCACGCCCTTTTGGCGACCATCTTTCCCTGGGTAAGAGTTCCAGTTTTGTCTGAGCAGATGTTAGTCACAGCACCAAGGGCTTCCAGGGAGTCAAGCCTCCGGACAATGACGTGTCTCTCAACCATTTGCTTCGTTCCCACCGCCATTGTAATTGTCAGGACCACGACGAGGCAAGCTGGGATCATGGCAAGGCCAGTGGCGACCGCATAGATAATGACTTCCTTGTCATTGCGGAACTCGTTGGCGGCCATAACGACAATCGCGAATATGACGGCGATAGCGAAGAGGAGCAAGGCCAACTTGGATAGCTTGCGTTGCAGGGGTGTTCCAACGTTGATGCCCAAGAACCGACCAACGGCATCGGTGGCAGTCAGGGTCCAAGCCTGCACATACCACCGCTTCTTGGTTTCGCCTTGTGGACCGCGCTTGACTGGGCGTTTCCGGGAGTCGTTTGCGTGCAGGGCAGCAGCAATAGCGCCGATTTCAGTCTTCATTCCAGTGCCGACGACGACTCCGCGAGCTCGGCCACGGGTCACGGTTGAGGAGCTGTATGCGATGTTCAGGCGGTCTCCGGGTCCGGTGTCTTCGTCAAAGGCCACATCGACCTCTTTCTGGACGGGCAGCGACTCGCCGGTCAACAATGCCTCGTCTGTTTCGAAGTTCATGGCGTCCACAAGCCTGCTCCGTGTTAGTCTAGCCCGCTCATACCGGGCTCAAGGAACATACCTGACATCAGCCGGAACAGTGTCACCGACTTTGAGTTCAATCATGTCTCCAGGGACAATTTCGGTAGCGGGAATAGTGTTTGTTTTGCCATCTCGCGTGGCTACGCCGGTGGGTGAGCTCAGGTTCCGAAGAGAGTCCATGGTCTTCTCTGCGGCATAATCCTGATACACGCCCACCACGATGTTGAGTCCAATGACAGCGCCAATAACGCCGCCTTCAATCCAAGATTGGATTCCGAAACTAACAGCCATGGCGATAATAAGAACCTACAGTACCATTTCATTAGTCAACCAGGAGATGGGGTCAGCGTGAGAAGAAGAGATAACTCACCAGCATCATCGCGTTGGCAATCTGTCTGATAACGATTTTGGCCAGCGAGACTCCCTCGCCGCCCTCCAGTTCGTTTGGTCCATGCAGCTCCAGCCGCTTCTTTGCTTCCGCCGCAGTGAGACCCTCCTCCGGGTTTACCTGGAGTTCGCGCAGAGTCTCATCGGGCAGGAGCGTGTGCGCCGGCCGAGACAAGGGCTGGACGTGCCCCTTTTGTTCGTTCTTCTCCCCCATTGCAGTCGATGTTGATGGATGTTGTGTTATTTGAGGTTATTGTTATTGATTGATCTGACGTTTTCTACTATGGTGCGTTCACTTAGGGAGGCTCCATATAGATCGTGTCATCCAAGGAATGCGAGTCCATACACAAGAAGGACTGTGCCCGAATCCGTCTTGATTGATTGCAATGAGCTGAAGATCTAGATTCTAGATTCTACCGTGCAAGAATTCCCCAGAGAAGCGGGAAACAGCACTCTATTTAACTCTAAACCGGGTATGACGACAGCAACCAGGGCGCCTCTGAGGCGATACAGGCTCTCCACCATGGAACACGGATCTGAGCGACGCCAAGCCTTGGTATCCTTCGTTTGGAGACTCTCGGGTTGTTTCTGAGGCCGCCGCTGATGACGCATACGACTCGAGCCAGCCCACGTGAGGCCCCCAGCTCTTGGCACATGCGCTTCTGGCGAACCAGCGGCCAATCGAGGCCTCTCGCCACGCGTGATTCGCCGATAGCGGGTGTGGGTCCGGCGGAGGGCCAAGAGCAGCGCGGGAGGCTTGGCGCTCGGCGCACGCTGCACCAGGCTGGGAGATTCGGCGCCTAGGATTGGCCCTCTTGGGACGCCCCTTGGCTGCCTGCAGCCTTGAGGGGCTTGAGAGTGGGTGGCAAGGCCTAAAATCAGCCCAGTGGCCCTTCAAAACGGTCCTGCATCCCAGGAAGAACCCCCGTGAATGGACACTCCCCCCAACTATAGGGATCCGATTACTGCCAGGGCGTCTCACCTCGCCAGTTAGTCTCGACCCAGCGTCAGATGCGAACGCACTTCCTTTCTAGCCGGTTTACCCGACCTTTCCCCCCACGTTGCATTGCGCCATCTCATTGGTTATGCCGCTTTGCTAGTTGCAGTCGTTTTCGTATCTTGCACCGTCGGCCTCTCCCTCCGGACTAGGGAACGCACACACGACACCATGGCCGGCAGCGCGACCAGCAAGAATCTGATCGCCGTCATTATTGGTGCTGTGCTGCTTTTCGGCGCCATTAGCGTACTTCCGATGTGCGTTTTTCCCCCCCTCTATCTTCAACCCAATGTATTGCCATTGGAAGTGCCAGTCGATGGATCTATCCCGTCTGCCCCCCCCTCCCCCTCCAAATCCTTCTGATGCCCACCCCTGTCGCACCTCGGAATATTCCATGGCTTTCGACACCAGGCCAGGCCTAGCTAGCCTAGTCCAGCGGCGTCGGGCCACATCACATCACATCACATCATACTGTACCCCAGCCCCCTGTCCCTGGAGCACGCGACACGCGTTATACTTACCAGACTCAAACATGCAGCGTCATTATGCGCCGACACCGTCGACGAGCAGCACAGCGACACGCAAACGAGCTCGCGGCCCTCCAGGCCAACGGCTGTATGCGCCAGGTCTCCGTGCAGAGATGGTTGGAGCAGCAGCGTCAACATCCCGCACAAACACAAACACCCGATAACGATACCCTTGAGCGATACGCAGGCGAGTCATGGTAAGCAGCTCTAGCCCCGGTCCCGTTGCAACATCATATCGCGCCCGGTTGTTCTTGGCGCCCCCAATTCAAGATGCGGGGACAGGGCTGGCTTTAGGGCCTCTTGGCGCTCCTGCGTCGACGCTATCCCCCTCCTTCCCAGCGCTGATCCGCGCTATGATGCTGTGTTGCCGTTGATCAGAATCCAGAATCCAGAATGGTCTGATGCACGCTGACGCTGACGCTCCTCTAGCCCCATCTGTCTCACGGCCCTGCTTGCACCTGCACCAGGCCCTGGCTCTGGCTCGCACTCTGCCTTATCGGCTTCACTCTCCAGCTCCACTATACAGAGCGAGCGTTACACCCGGCCTCGGAGTCGGAGTCAGACATCCGTTCGTCCTCCCGAACAAGCACACCTATCACATTCAGAATCACATCCGCCTCGACATTCCGAACAGTGCATTCCTACATCAAAAACAAACAATGACGACTCCCGATCCCGGTCGAAACGAGCACGAGGCCCGAGCTCCAGCATCCCTCCCGAAACAAGATCCAGCAGGAGCACGAGCACCAATACCCCAGACTCGCACCCGCACTCGCTCAGCGGCGTGCTGATCCTCACTAGATGCAGCCACGCCTTCCACACGGGTTGTCTTGCGTCGTGGTTCGAGTATAGACGGGGTCATGGGGAGTATCGGTGCCCGATGTGTAAGGATGTGCTTGATATTTCTTGACTGTGCATCTTATTGTTACCTGTCAGATAGTTTACACTTTCCACTATGATTATCCGATAGCGATAGTGGAGCTGGAGTAGATACTAGAAGGGAAAGTGGAATGAACACTGGAGTCTTGGCTGAGCCTGGCTGGGCTGGCCCCGGACTTGGCATTTCGTCTCGATTACGTTTTTGACTTTTTGTTGAGTGCCGTGCCGTCCAGGTTAGTACTCCGGAGATTGTACAGAGTACAAAGGGATACATCGTATAGACTGGATAGCTCCAAGGGACAGGATAGTCAAGACTCAATAGTTACTACTAACACATCATGACAAGACAATGAAACCCCGCGGTGTCTCAGTTCGAATGAACCATGGAAGGCCGAAATGAGCTAGCCAAGACCTCAACCCATGGACGTGACGACGACATCATCGATCCCCAACCCACAGCCACGAACGGACCTACCACATCATCGGCTATTAGGTTGGTGGTTTAGCGTCTTGGCCATCCTAGGTTCCGAGGAGATAGCTGGGGGTTATTCTTAGAAGTTGACTATTCCGTAGATGCTGAGATTTACTCCGTACGGGGTAGAAGTCGGACTTTGTTCGGAGCTCGGGTTGCATTGACGGCAAGTGGCAAGTTCCAAGTTCATGCCGGCTATTCATGAATCATTAATGTTTGATTACCCCGGTTCGCTTGAACTTCGGGGACAGTGCCCGTGGGGTAAAGATTCTATTTCGCGGGGCGGATAATTTGATCTGATTCCGGCGCTGGCACTGGCACTGGCAGGTCCAGCCGATCTGGTCCCCAGGGTCCGGTCTGGACTGGGCTCTGCGGGTGAGATGTCGATTCATTCTTCAGGACATGCATGGTCAGGGTCCGGGTTCGGATCCGGGGTTGGTTGTGTTTGTTTGCTTCTTATCTGGTTCTTGCGTGGAGGGAAAAGGATTCAGGATTCATGTAGGGTTCGATTCAGACCATGTGATGACTTCTTCAAGTGATTGCTGCGAGTGGACTTTGCCGCATCTGTCCACCTGTCTCATCGACGAGCAGCGACAAAGAATGAAAGTAGACTGTGGCCTGGCCTGGTATGGGGATGCAGAAGGAAAGTATAGCGTAGGGTGCGATGTGTAAAGGCTGAACGGTGGTTCGGCGCCTTGTCGGCTGCGACTACTGTACTCCAGATGCAGGTGTTCACTCCAATGCCGGACCCCCACGTTCAGTGCCTGACTGCATTTTCGACGGCTTTCGACGCTTCGCATTTTGCCGGGTGCAGATCTCCCATACATGTGGTGAGGGATTTTCTTCTTTCCCGAGGCTGCTTCTCTGGCAGAAGACGTAGTGCAGACGCTTGGGCGTTTCAGTCCGAATGCAAATACAGCGCAGCACTGGTGATGCTCGGGATCGGTTTACCCAATCGATGATCTGGGTAAGCTGGATGTCCGAGCTCCTGCAGCCGCCCGCGTATTGACGTCCAATCCGGGCTTCCGGTTCTGTCAGTTCCTGCAAATGAGGCGCGATATATATGGAGGGCTGAGTGTTGGCTGTCCTGCCTCGATAGACTTACAGACCAGATCTAGAGCCCTCAATGCAAGTAACAGCCGCGCCAGGCGACAGTGCGGGATAGGCTGCTTGTCTGCATTCAGTTTCAGGCTATTACGGAAGCAGGGGTAGGTACTGGATTGCCGGTAGTATTCCATATGTATACAAGGCAAGTGATGCCCGACGAATTGTCGCCATCACGCGACTTCCAACTCCTGCAATCGCCGGAGTGCTGACTGCATAAACAGGAGAAAACTGACGCTCATCTTGGGTAGTGTCAAGTCCCTTCCGATGCAGCAAGGCTGTACTGCAGCTAGGTGTAGGTAGTGATGTGAGCTGTCTAAGACTGCAGAGGGTCTATCAGAATTGTGATTCACGAGAATCCTTCGCGGACCGCTTCGCGGGACGTCTTTCCGAGTCACTCAGCATGCCGGGTCTGGAATTTGCCATGTCAATCCCAGTTGGTGAGGCGATTTCCGGCTATGGTCTGCTCATCCTTCGTCTAGAGAGCAGGGCGGCAACTACTCCGTCAACCTTCTCTCTACCATTCGAAGTCAACACGAGATTTGCCAGGCTTCTTTCGATGGTCCATGACGGCAGTTTGCCGTGAGAATGAGACCGTTGTGGGCGACTCAGATCTCCGACTCAATGAATGCCAAGCGCAATCACTCGGTATCCTAACCATCACTGCTAGAAGCAAACCGGAAGCCGCAGTGCGAGGGTCTACTGATTGCTTATAAAACAACCATTGGCCAGGTCTTCCTTCGACTAGCAGTCAGCAAAGACTGAATAACCCTAGTCGCTCTGCAGGTTCCCATCATCCTCGGGCTCTGTGGAGGCGCGAGCTTTGGCAAACGCTGTGATTGATAAGAGTATTGACGGTGGAGGTACTGATAGAAGGTTATCTATGAGACGGTAGTATCATCAGCGGAGAATGACGACCTTGATCAACCCCCTCGCAAATTTGACGCCGGGCACATCCGGTCCTTCAGAGCCTTTGCTTGGACGGCCCGAGTTAGCAAACGGTGTTGTATTCGAGGCTTCCTTGCCACACGAAATATTTCGGGCCAGGCACGGAATTCGAAGTGTCTAGATGCATCGCTGAGTCCTGATATTCTCAGGCAGTCCTGCGTAGACGGAGGCGGGTAAGACATTCACGGTCCCATCTTCCCTGGCTTGGGGCTTGCCGCCTCGAACCTAGGGCGAGCAAAGCCTGAGGTCGAAGAAAAAAAAATGAGCCAGAGCCCACTGATAACACGCCGACCAGGTATAGAATTTCCGTCGAGCAGTAATCTTCATTCCACCAGCTAGCCGTAGAACGACTTCAAGCATAGGGTAAGTGAGTAGATACATGACTGGGTCTGGAAGCGAAGGCGTTGAATCTGGCTCAAATGGCTGCTATATTCGTACACTGAAGGTATCGCATTGTCGATTCAGATCATAGAGGATTTTGCGGGTCTCCCCTACCTTTATACATGCTTCGCCGAGTCAATCATGAACATTCAACGGGCGTGTTACGCATTCGGCGCGCAGTCAGGCAGCTTCTGCTGTCCCATCCGTGGTCGAAGTCGACAACACTACAGGCCCTCCGGGTGAGTTCTCATTTCGCGCAGTTAGAACCTCGACCCCGGTTTCCGTGACAAGCAAGGTGTGTTCTATACAAATGTTAGTGAGCAGTCAACTGGACGATGGACGGGTTGTTGAGAATTGTTGTACGCACCAAATTGAGCAGTCCGTTTGCCATCGCCAGTTACATTCGTCCAATCATCCGGCCAATATATCTCCCGAGAGCTTCCCAGCGCAAGGATAGGCTCAATGGTGAAGGTCATACCGGCCTTACATACTCCCACAGCTTTGTTCTTGCTGTAATGAGGTATCCATGGTGGAGGGTGGAACTCGGTATTGATGCCATGGCCACCCCATGTTGCGACGACCTTGAGGTTTCTGGACTTCGCGTGCTTCTCAATAACGCGGCCAAATTCTCGGATAGGAGTCCCGGGCTTTACGATCTCAATCGCCTTGTCCAAGCACTCGCGTGTTGTTTCGATTACCTTCACTGAGTCGGGGTCTGCCTTGGCTCGATCACCCACGTAATATGTCTCGTTGACATCGGCGTGATAGCCTCCGTGGTACAACGAGATATCGAGATTGATAATGTCCCCGTCGAGAAGGATGCGCTGGTCGGGTATCCCGTGGCAAACCACTTCGTTGACGGAAGTACACAGCGATTTCGGGAAGTGGTTGTAGTTCAAGGGCGAAGGATACGACTGTCAATGTCAGAAACAAGGCATGACCGGAAAAAGCAATCCTCACCTCGCGCTCTACACAAGCTTTGTGGCACAGCTCGTCCAGATAATCTGTAGTAACACCCGGCTTGATCTCGGCAGCAGTAATATCCAGTACTTCTCGGGCGAGCCTACACACTTTGCGCATCGCATCCTGTCCCTTGGCGTCTAGGATGTCGATCTTCGTCCTGCTCAAGCGTTGTTCGGCCTTGGGGATACCGGTCACGGCCCAGTCAGGGTGTTTTATCGTCCTGGGTACCGTACGCATAGGAGAAAGTGGGTAGACTGGTCGAATAGTGCCGGGGAAAGAAAATGTGGGGAAAGGGTTGTACAGTCCGGTGCCTGCATCGCGATTAGGGACAGCCTAGACCTGGAGTTGCGGACGTTACCATTCTTCGTCTTGTGGAGAGTCTTGTGTTGGCTCTACATGCCTGTCAGTCTATCCCACTACCTCCATGGCCGCGGTGGGCAAGAATCTAACCCAGTTCCTCTTGAAGCAGTCTTGCGAGCAGAAATAGCTGTCTCTGATGCCGCTCTTTAGGCACGTCGGACACTGCAGATCCCCCGCATCGTTCTCGCAGTCCGCCCCCAGACACTTTCTGCTGGCGGGCATTGCAATCGGGAGTTTCTGTTGATGCGTTGGATTATTTTGGATGATGGTTGCTGTTGCGTTGGTTGTGGTTTCGGTTGCTGCCCCCACTAGCGAGTCGCGACGCGCTAATTCTCAGACGAAAGCAAACTGACCTCGTCGTACCTACCTGCTGTGCCGCTCGTCTTGGCGGGGTTGAAATGCTTGGGCATCTGCAATCTACTTGCCATATGTGGTGTCCACTTTACGGAGGCTGTATAATCCATGGCTCGAAATGGCTTTGATAACAGGCACTAGAGTTCTCCAACTCCAACTCTGTGCGGGGCTGCGATGTCCGGCTGCGATGTCCGGCTGCGATGTCACGTCCATCATCATGCTACACGGAACCCTGCCACTGACAATCAATTGACATTCTCTGCACTCATTGGAATATAAAAAAGAGGCTACAATTTACCTGGCGCATGCTTTTCCAGCCGGTGGGTGTCATTATCCAGCTCTTCTGTGGACAGGTCCCGCTGACAGGCCACAGATCAACAAAATGCAGCTTACAATATCTCAACAACGATACATCCAGCCAGTCCAGGATGCGCTCCGGAAATACGATGCGAGATTGCAGATCATAAACCATAAAGTAAGCTAGCAACTATTCCCAATGAGATCTCCAATTAACCGCCGAAGATATGGTCCAACCCCGAGCTCGGCTACGAGGAGCACCAAGCGCATGACCACATCTGCGAGCTTTTCGAGGCCCTTCATTCAGAGGGCTATATTGTACGACGCCACGCATACGGCCTAGACACCGCGTTCGAGGTCGAATATAAGCACGGTGAGGGCGGTGCTGCCGGTGGCCGCATTCTAGCATTCAATGCCGAATACGACGCCCTTCCGGGTGTCGGTCATGCGTGTGGCCATAACCTAATTGCCACGAGCTCTATAGCCGCTTTCATCGCTGCTTGTGAAGCATTGAAGGCTGCTGCTCCTAGTGGGCTGAGCTACATCGTGCGTCTACTGGGCACCCCGGCGGAGGAATCCGGTGGTGGGAAGATCCGTCTACTGGACAACGGCGCATACAAGGATGTCAACGCCTGCTTGATGATCCATCCTACAGCGATGCCGCCGGGTCAGCCCAGTCTCCTGAGTCTCGCGAAGGCTCCCGAAGGCGGATTCCTGGCGAACGACAAAGTCAGCGTGACCTTCACCGGGAAACCGGCGCACGCTGCTGCGGCGCCTTGGGAGGGTGTCAATGCTCTCGATGCCGTTGTCGCGGCGTACGTCAACATTTCTCTTCTCCGTCAGCAGATCCTGCCCACTCAGCGGGTCCACGGGGTTATAGTCAATGGCGGCGACAGGCCGAATATCATTCCCTGGTCTGCGAGTGTGGATTACTATATCCGCTCGCCAACTTTGGCAACACTGAAGCCGCTGACAGAGCGGGTGGTAAAATGCTTTGAGGCTGCTGCCATTGCTACAGGTTGTAAAGTGGAGTTTGAGTGGTGAGTGCTCCTTGGGGTGTCGCACCACCAAGCTCACTAAGTGACTCTTTACAGGGGCCCCTCGTACGCGGACGTAAAATCCAACGAACCCATCTGCGAGAGCTACGTCTCCGCAATGCGAGCCATGGGCCAGCACGTCCTCCTCACAGCGCCCCCAAGTGCAGGCGGCAGTGCATCGACGGATATGGGTACGTCGCATACATCCGCTAGCTTCTGCCATTTACTCGTGGTGAAAATTATCTTCTAACAGGTTTCCCCATAGGAAACGTATCCTACGCCGTCCCCGGTTTCCACGGCGTCTTCTTCATCCCCGCCAAGGGCGGCAACCATACACCGCAGTTCACTGAAGGGGCGGGATCCGCCGAGGGATATCAGCGGGCAATTGAATGTGCGGCGGGCATGGCGGTTACGGCGTGCCACTTCTTGGAAGATGACGACTTTGCACGGCAGGTCGCGGAAGACTTTGCAAGCGGCGAGTCAGCGTGGGTGTGGGCGAGATGATCTAGGTTATGTTTTGGACTATCTGGCTTTGTTGGATATACTTCGTCGGAATATCCAAGATTTATTTATCCGACACCAATCGAAGACGATAACTGTTTTTAGGACAAACTGCCCAGCCTTGATGGGATGAAGTCTCTTAGGATAGTACCGCAGAATAGAGGCCTTAGGGCGGCGGAACCATACAAGCGAGTACCAGTTTTATCGGCATGGTATCAACCAAATCCAAATCAGTGATCACCACCACCACCCGTAGCGGGTCGATAAAGTGGACGATACCAACGGTGATAAATGGTTTCACTTGTATTGACAATCTATTTTAAAAAAGGTTCATCCATTATAACAAGTGGCCGGGCTAGCTCAATCGGCAGAGCGTGAGACTCTTAATCTCAAGGTTGGGGGTTCGACCCCCCCGTTCGGCTGTCTTTTTGTCAAATTTTTGACCTATTGCCAAGAGAATACCGTTTTTTAATGGCAAAACCATCTTATTTGCGCCAAGAAACGAACTTTGTGCGCTGTGCTGGTTAAGGTTTGCGTCAAAGTTGATAACCCGCCCGAACCACCAGTGAGAGCGAGAGGGAGAGGGGGAGAGGCAGCTTACAGCAGGAACTCCTCGCCTGTGGCCAGGAACCAATGGAAAGGTATAATATGCTTAATCTACCATGCGCAACCATTTTTCACATTCAAACTCATTATACACGCTAGAAATCCAAAGTTACATGGCATCATCTCTAAGCCTCAGGAGCAACGATGCTGTCCTTGACGTAGAGGTCGACGTACTTGTCAACCTCGTAACCCTCCAGCTCGGCCTTGTTGTTGCCTAGGTCGACGAGCTGCTTGAGGCGAGCCTGGTCGAAGTGCGCCCGGAGGTGGCGCTGGTACTTGTCCAGAATCTCGGGCTTGGCCTCGTCACGGCGCAGACGGTGACCGAGAGGCGCCTCGACAATGACCTCATCGAGAACAGTGCCGTCGTTCAGAGTGACGGTGAGAGCGTTGGGGATGGTACGCTTGCTGGGGTCGTGGTAGTCCAGGGTGAACTTGGGGTCCTCAACGCAGCGGATGCGCTGGCGGAGGTTCTCTAGCAGAGGAGAGGTAGCGGCCTCGGAGCCATCGGCGTAGTCGTTGGCAGTCAGGCGGTTGAAGACCAGCATGGTAGCGACCATGTACTAGATGCAGTCAGTATCTAAATCTTTCCACGATTGGCATATCATACCTGTACGCAGTGGTCACGGTCTGCAAAGTTGTCCATGGCCTTGAACTGCTTGTCGATGATGCGGATGCACGCCTCGTGGGTACGGTTGGTGACCTCCTTGATATCCTTGGCGGTCTTGCCCAGTTCCGCGAGCTTCTTGTTGATGATCTCAGCCGCCTCAATGGCAGTCTGAGAATGGAATTCAGCTATAGAATATTAGCACCTCACCAGATCCGGGCTTAAGTTGCGCACATACCGGGATAAGAAACCTTGAAGAGAACGTTCTCCATGACGTAGCTGCCGTATGGGCGCTGGAACTTGAACTTGTTGCCCTTGAACAGAACGTCATAGAAACCCCAGACAGGAGCAGAAAGGACGGTCTTAAGACCACCCTCGCCCTTTTGGACCTTGAGAACGAGGTTGACGGCGCGCTGACAGGCATCACCGGCAGCCCACGACTTCCTCGACATGGTGTTGGGAGAGTGTCTGTAAGTACGGAGACTCTGGCCGTCAACCCACGCTTGGGTGATGGCGTCGGCGGTCTGCTTCTCACTGAGGCCAAGCATCTTGGACACGACAGCGGTCGTAGCCACCTTGACCAGGACAACGTGGTCCAGACCGACCCTGTTGTAGGAGTTCTCTAGGGCAAGGACACCCTGAATCTCATGGGCCTTGATCATTGCCTCCAAGACATCCTTGATTGTGAAGATCTTACCCCCAGCAATATTTCCACCAGCGCGGTTGGTGCGAGAGACCCAGTCCGCGACAGCGAGGATACCACCCAGGTTGTCGGAGGGATGACCCCACTCAGCAGCGAGCCAGCAGTCGTTGTAGTCGAGCCAACGGATCATCGCACCGATGTTGAACGCACCGTTTACGGGGTCCAATTGATAGGGAGTACCTGGTACGCGGGTACCGTTGGGAACGACGGTGCCATCGACAACGGGACCAAGGAGCTTGGTGCACTCCTTGAACTTCAGAGCTTCCAACCCACATCCAAGGGTATCTAGGAGGACCAACCGGGCGGTGTCAAACTGGTCCATCATCAGTACAGTTGTCCTAAGAGATTCAGGGGTGCGCTTCTGATCGAGGGCTCATACCGCGAGGTCGGAGTCGATCTTGTAGTTGTGGATGTAGTCGGCCATGTCCTTGATTTCAGGATCATAGCCTACCTGCGAAGCAGCAGGAATTGGGGCCGCGGATTGCAAGGACGCCATTGTTGAGAATCTCGAGACACGAGGTAAAGCTGGTGATGAAGCTCTGTAGGAGCTGAGGACGGAGGAGGGGGCAGAAGAGGTGCGGGAGAGCGAAGCGATGCGGGACTGGAGACTGCGGGGAGACCTGTGGGTCAGCCGTCTCAGCGCTGAAGAGGCAGACATGATGATAGTTAAGGGGACCGAGATAGGAAGAAGGTTGTAATACTCAATTGATATCAAAGGGAGAAGAAGGAAAAGGAGTTGTCTGCGGAAGGGAGGGAAGGGAGAAAAGAAGAGTCGGTTGAGTCCTGAGAGGGAGGGATTGACGGTTGACCGACCTCCTCGCCGACTAAGCCGAGGCCATTCGCTTTTGTTGCTGCGCTGGGCCGGGCACTTTACGGTAACCGCATTACACTACGCAGTAGCTATCTATCGGTTACACGCGGTGATTTTAGCATCCGATCTCGGAATATAGCATTCTGTCTTGCACCCTGGAGCTGAAATCTATGCTATGTGGTCTCCTATGGTAATTGTAGCGCTTTTCGGCTCTTGTATAGTGACGGCTGCCCCGGACTGCGCTCCTTACCCCGCACCACCGTCCACGACTCCATTCCGACCCGTCTCCGTCAAGATGCTCAACCTTGAACCAACTGCTGCCATCCTGCCACCAACACAAACAGCACCGAAAACCATGTCAGAAACTGTTCACCATTATTTCCTTTTAGCGTATACGAGTTCACCCTCTCAATACTCCTCTAGTATTTGTTGTTTTCTTCATCCTTCGCCATGGTCCCACGGTCGGCCGGCATCTTCAGTCCCGCGGCTAGGTGTCCAAAACATGTGGTTCAAGGTGCCGATGGCGATCACCGATTCTCGCCAAGCTCACGCTCGTCTGTTTCCTGCAATGATCTTATGATCTCCTTATAGATGGCCTTGGCGAACAAAGGAGGAACTGCGTTGCCAATCTGCTTGCGAACTTCTCTGCGTCCGAATTGAAACTCCAAAGGAAACGTCTGCAAGCAGGCGAACTCCCTGTTCGTAAAGCCACGGAGCCCAGATGGATGGTAGTTATTCTCCCCACCACCGCACGTTATGGTGCGAGCTTGCTGGTTGGCGTCGAATGGGGCTCTCCGATTTCGAGACCCCCGACTTTGCGCACTCGCTACATCATGATCAGGAGCTCCCCGGGGTATATTCCGAATCATTTGACTGATTGTTGTAAGATTATGCAAGCCCGAGCCTGGCAAGCCATGGGTAGGCCTAGGCAGCTGTGGAAGGGTTTCGCCCGGTCTAGGTTACAGTCAGCAAAGTTTTATTATCTGGTTATTGATTTAGAGCAAACATACCCTGACGCGATGATAATCAGTCTTTTCCGAGACTGAGGCACTCCATACTTCATGCAGTTCAGAAGCGCCCATCGAACAGAGTACCCCGTCTCTATAAAGTCACGGATTACACCAAAAAACCATTCTTGGTGCCTGTCGAACAGACCACTCGTTTCCTCCATTGTATGAACTCTTGGCTTTGCCCGACGGATGAGGTTTCCGCATGAGAATAAGCATGCTGAATTGGGTTCATCATTTGGCCCTGGAATAGTATGGGCTGGCGAGAATGTCTGGCACGGCGGAGATCCGTGAGTGATGTCCACCCTCAGGAATTCCTCATCATTAGTCAAGAAGTCAAATACTTCGCTCTGTTCGCACACCACCATTGGGAAGTTAAGCATGTAGGTGGCAGTGGCGGGCTGCGAGAGATCGAAGGACCACTTGATGTGCAACCCGGCGGCATCAGCGCCGCATGAAACACCCCCGGCGCCGCAGAATCCGTCACCGAAAGTATACTTCCGCTCTTTCCTCTGCTTCAGTATCAGACCTTGATCATCGTCGTCACTATCATCTAACACAACAACCGGCACGCGAGGTTCAGGTACATTTTCGCTGCCAAATAGGGTAGTCTCTCCTCGCCAGCGGCGACGCAAAGATGTAGGCTTTGTGCGGAATCCATCATCAGCCTCCTCGAAAGCCAAGTACTCTACCGAAGTTGTGTCTTCTTGGAGGACCTCTTTCAGGCGGCAAAACAAACAATTGGGATAAATGACTTTTATATCGTCTTCGTCGATATGGCAATTGTTGGTGAAGTGGATCGTAACAAAGCGTCGAACGTGTGAAAAAGGGATCTCTGCGGTCTCGTTCGCGATCCAGACCAACTCATTGCACCATCTTGGGATGTAAGTGCCTGCGTGATTCTTGGCCTTGAGCAGCCGACGGCCTCCAAATAATATCTCGCCGTCCGTGTCTCGCCGGATGGAGCAAATACGAAGATAGGTTTCGTCATAAAGCTCAACAGAATGTCCCAATTTATACACAATTCCAGCATCACAACAGACATATTCCAATGCCTCCCTTTCTGGAAGCTCTGGCGAGGGAGACCTGGCTTTACGCGCTGAGGTGAGCCAGTCATCGCGCAGAATCTCAAAGCACTCGTCTGTGACATATTCGCCGTCGTGGATAGTCTCGCCAACGGTGAGATCGATGAACTCTCGGGTTGTGGTGCCATCGGCTTCGCGCAAGAAGTACAAGCGGTCTGGATCGTTATCAATCGTCACGCTGCTAGCATCGCTATCATTGTCGTCGATCATCGAACGTTCAAAGGCGTCCATGTTGCGGCAGTAGTCAGAAGGCATGACGAGACGAGTGCTCGGTAGGTGCGCTGCAAGAGCTCACAGATAGTTAAAAGAACAGATAGTCAAAAGAGAGCTCGTAAGATGTAGATTCAAGGATGGGCTCAGATAAAGTACACCGAGAGAGATAGATCCAGAGAAGATAGGCTCAGAGAAGAGGGCTCAGAGAAGATGAGCTCAGATACGATGGGCTTGGAGATGATGGGCTCATAGATGATGGGCTCATAGAAGATTCGCTGAGGGAGAAGATAGACCAAGGTCAGAGAAGGAAAGGTAGGAGGGTAGAAGTGTTAAGGAAACGGAAAACGGAAATGAAGAATAAAACGCTATCTAAAGGAGGAAGAAGAGGTAGTAGGAGAGCACTAAGACATCAGGACAAGGCAAATAAGACATTCATTGTTCGATGTGAGGGAAACATCCGCCCAAAAAGAGTAGATTTGCCATGGCAGGCTAGTATAGCAAATAACAAACAGGTGACAATACAGTGACTCACTACTCAACACTGTCCTCTATAGAAAGAGAAAAGTAACTGCCATTTGGTCTCCATATTGAATGTCATTCCCAACTGAGTAAGAAGTGAGGCCATCCCCATTGCCATGCCAAGACCAGAGAGTAGAACGTTACCTACAACAACTCTAAATCAGATATCTCCAAAGATTGCTCAGAAGCAGAGTGGACTAGTTTCCCTTACCTTGTAATCAAACCTAATCTCACCTCTAATAGCACTTTTGCACTTTGATCCTTTCCGGAATACCACTGTAGTTGTATACTTCAGTTAGTCAGAAATGACTAAGCTCCGATCTTCTGCCGAAGCCCTGGATCACGCGTCTTTTTGCGGTTTAGCGGAGAAAAAAATCGGAGATGGCATTGAAAAAAAAGATGAATTTTGACTTCTCCTCCTTCCTTCCCTCCTAAGACTCTTCTTAGCCATGTGCTCTCTTGCCCCTCCAATCCCTCCGTGGTCCTGAGACTCTGACCTTGGGCCCTATCCCGTCCAGGTCCCCTTATCAGTGTCAACATTCCATCCCTTGATGCATTCCTCATAGCAGATCTCTCCGACGTCGCTCCCTTCATCAAGCTCGATTTTTCCACCATACCCCACCACACGCTTTGCTCAGGATTTACCCTTCTATATCACATTGTAAGTACATATGGTGTGCTCTCGGGCATTCTTCTTTCTCTCCTTTATGATGATCTTTCCGTATTTTATAGATGTTAGACTTCCTAAGCATTTTGCGGACACCTTCCGGCCTGATTACACTACGATATCTTGCATTTTCTCTTCACTGGCTTGAGCTGGGTGCATGCTTGCTGACAATTACATTGTTCCACAGTAATCCGATCCGCGAGTCAAGATGTGTGGTATCATCGGATTGATCCAGGCGAATCCGACCTCATCCGCCGCCATCGACCTTCATGAGGCCCTGTACCTCTTACAACGTGAGTCTGAGATGAAACTGGCAACGTGCATCACGGAAGTGATCAGTGAGCTGATTTTGTCTCCCTGAAAGATCGAGGTCAGGATGCTGCTGGAATTGCAACATGCGCAGCAGGCGGTCGCATCTTCCAGCTCAAGGCTAACGGAATGGCCGCCAAGGTCTTTTCGGACGGCGCTAGGGTGGCCGACCTCCCAGGCTACATGGGCATTGGCCACTTGAGATATCCCACTGCGGGGAGCAGTGCAAATGCCGAGGCCCAGCCTTTCTACGTGAACAGTCCGTACGGCATCTGTCTCGCCCACAATGGAAACCTCATCAACGCCCCCGAGCTCAAGAGGTACCTTGATTTCGAGGCTCACCGTCACATCAACACCGACAGTGACAGCGAGTTGATGCTGAACATTTTCGCCGATGAGCTGAGTGAGACCAAGAAGGCGCGTGTCAACCAGGAAGATGTCTTTGCCGCCCTTAGCAGAATGTATGAGAGGTGCGAGGGTGGTTGGGCATGCACGGCCATGCTTGCTGGTTTCGGTATCCTGGGTTTCCGTGACTCCTATGGTATCCGTCCTCTCGTCCTTGGCTCCCGGAAGTCGCTCGATGGTCATGGTACAGACTACATGATGGCCTCCGAGTCTGTTGCTTTGCACCAACTTGGGTTCACGGATATCCGCGATATCCAGCCTGGTGAGGCTGTTCTGATCGAGAAGGGCGGCCAGCCCGTCTTCCGTCAGGTCGCCCCCCGCAAAGCTTATGCTCCTGACATCTTTGAATACGTCTACTTTGCTCGTCCCGATTCCGTCATCGACGGTATCAGTGTCTACCGCAGTCGCCAGCGTATGGGTGACCGTCTCGCCGCAAAGATTCTCAAGGCCCTCGGCCCTGAGGTTGTCAAGGACATTGACGTTGTCATCCCTATCCCGGAGACATCGACAACCTCGGCTGCCGCTGTTGCCCGGTATCTCGACAAGCCTTACTGCCAGGGTTTTGTAAAGAACCGCTACGTATTCCGTACCTTCATCATGCCGGAACAGAAGACCCGACAGAAGGGTGTCCGCCGTAAGCTCAATGCTATGCAGACCGAGTTCAAGGACCGAAATGTTCTTCTCGTCGACGATAGTATTGTCCGTGGAACCACGAGTCGGGAAATCGTCACAATGGCTCGTGAAGCTGGCGCCAAGAAAGTGTACTTCGCTAGCTGCTCTCCAGAAATCACGTATGTTCATCCTCTTTCATCAATTTCATGGTGCCTGGCTGCTAACTTCCGACAGTCACGCCCACATCTATGGTATTGATCTCGCCTCTCCTTATGAGCTAGTCGCCCACAACCGAGATGTCGAGAGCATCGCCAAGCACATTGGTGCCGACAGTGTTATCTACCAGACGCTGGACGACCTCAAGGGCGCTTGCGCCGAGATTGCCCAGGAAAACGGACTGGAGCACCCGCGCGACTTTGAAGTCGGTGTCTTCTGCGGCAACTACGTCACTCCCGTCTCAGACGGCTACTTCGACCACCTCGAGAAGATCCGTGGTGAGGGCCGGAAGGTCAAGGCGGTTGATCGTGCCAAGGAAGCCGTTACGCATGGTTTTGCTAGCGAAAAGGACTTCCAGATTGCCGCCAACGGTGTCAAGATGTCCAGCAGTGGTGATCTTGTACCTGCCGGTAACCCCGCTGAGTCGGAGGTGCCCCAGGTTGGCGTCTACGGCTCCAACAAGCCTCCTCCTCTTGAGATGGAAGAGCCCCCTAAGGTCAAGGACCGCATGGACATTAGCATCCATAACATCGCCGACCACCACTAGTCTTTTCCAAATTTCAAATATTCTTTGACATCCGGAGTCTTGGAGTTTGTAAAGGCTAGAAATAGGTTAGGGAGGCCCTTTGACGATATCCGTACCTACGAATGATATGACTAGAGATGTATATATTCGACATGATGTCTACCGCATAGAGAAATGAATAGATGTCCCTACGCTTATTGATTGGATATATATAAAGTAATCAGTGTCTTGCAACTAGATCTTCAATTGCTTTTTGTATGTAGATCATGCTTGCCTCACCAGGGGTCGGAAATGCGTTCCGCTTGCGTCATTGTCTCTAGAGATCAATCTCCCATCCATCATCTCATCTCATTATCCTTGCCACCACCCATTGCAATGGTTCGTTATATAGCGGCTAGAGAGGCCGCATTGCTTGCTGCTGAAATTGAGGCATTTGCACCTCAGATGCAAGTCACGGCGTTTGATTCACCAGCGTCTCAGATCTATAGAAGGATTACTCGCTCAAGTACCGCCACCCAGAGACAATCTAATACCACACCCCAGGCAAATGCGAATCAGCCGCAGGGGAAGCAGAAGGTACAAGGAAACAAGAAGAGAAGAGTCGTTCCAAAACTGAGCGATGTGAACGAACTTCCTCACAATCTCGGCTCACTACCTACGCTTTCTAAAAGCAATGCTGTGGCGAATGGCACCCCCAAGACAGAAATCAAAGAAGAGGGCGTAGATGCCCTTGCAAATGAGCTCCAATATACCGTCGACAAAGCTACAAAAGTACTGGCAGATTCGCCATCCGAGGACAAGAAGAAGAGAGCGAAGAAATCAAACCCCTATGGACTAACGCCTGGCGTTACACCTTTCCCTGACTGGACTCGTCCAACGCCTGAGGAGTGCGAAGAGGTAAATAGACTGCTGTCATCTATACATGGGGAAATCGTTGCCCCAACCACCATTCCTGAGCCGTCGTTGACCGTGACTGGCTGCGGCGAAGTCCCTTCTGTGCTTGATGCCCTAATTCGCACTTTGCTCAGCGGCGCAACGACGGGCAAGAATTCGGCCATGGCGTTTAATGGCCTCGTGCAGAAGTTCGGTATACTGAACGAGGGAATCGGCAAGGGTAGCGTGAATTGGGACGCTGTTCGCCGGGCGCCCCTCAAGGATGTATTCGAGGCAATCAAGTCCGGCGGCCTGGCTGACAACAAGAGCAAGAATATAAAGGCCACACTGGACATGGTATATAAAGAGAACCAGGAGCGGAGGAATATCCTCGTCAAGGGGGAAGCCGAAGCCGATGATGGTAACGAAGACAAGTCTCAGACCGTTAAGCAACTCAACGACAAGTCCGAAGGCGAGAAGCAGTACGAGATTGCATGCGCCGACCAGAATTTCCTCTCGCTTAACCACTTGCACGGTCTTCCTACGGAAGACGTCATGACCGAGCTCGTGAAGTATCCTGGGATCGGGCCAAAAACGGCAGCCTGTGTTCTGCTATTTTGTCTGCAGAGGCCGTGCTTCGCCGTCGACACTCATATCTTCCGTATATGCAAGTGGCTTGGCTGGGTGCCTCCCAGTAAGGCAACGGAAATTACAGCCTTCAGTCATTTGGAGGTGCGCATCCCGGATCATCTGAAGTACTCGCTTCATCAGCTGTTCATCCGCCATGGGAAGTCTTGCCCGCGCTGTAGGGCTATCACTGGGCAGTCTTCTGCTGGCTGGGAAGAAGGATGCGTGATTGATCATCTTGTGACAAGGACAGGCAAGAGGAAGGGTGCTGTTGAAGGAGAAAATGGCAAAAGTAAAAGGGCGAAGGAGTCCTCTACCTAAAATACCCTAAATATATATTTCGGACTTAGGGTCACGGAGGGTATCTGATTACGCAGCCCGGTGCATGCGCTCATGATATATCTTATAGATATCAGCCGCCAGCAGCAGACGGGATCTCTTAAGATCTTCGAATTATATCCGTATAGCTAGCTAATCAATATGTTATCTTTTCCTTGAGTTTGTAGAGAAGACTGGCACGTGCCCGGCGCATCGGATGGCAGATCCAAAGATCGGACCACTTTTTATTTACCTCCGCGACTCCCAACGCCGGCCTCACACAAGCCCTTCTTCCTTCGTCAATTGCCCTTGTGTGCGCGTCAACATGGAGTGCCTTGCTCCATATATTCCTCCGGCCCTGTTGCCGCTCATTGAGCGCGCCCAGGAGCAACTCCAGGGTCAAACGCACGCGCTCAGCATCGCCGCCCTCTCGCTGAGCGCCATTTTCCTTAGCTACCTCTTCATTGCAGGTAGCCGGGAATCGCCCGTGTCGTTCACAGTACCAAATCCTCCTGAAATTAGCCCCGACTGGAATGGAACAAAATGGGAAGACCTCCCCGAGGGGAGCCAGGAGAGAAAGGTCATTGAGGGGCAGGTTCGTGGGGTGAGTAGCACGACCATGGCTTCATAAGTGCACCCTGAGGAGTTATGCTAATGTTTACTGTTATTACGCGCAGCAATGGAACGAGAACCTGATTATGAGCTACTGCCCCGCAGATGGACGAGTACTCGGCACCGGAATCAAGCCTGCGACAGCGGACGATGTCGATCGCGCTATACAGGCAGCGAAGAGAGCGCAGGAACAATGGGCCACCACTACCTTTGCGGAAAGGCGGCGGGTGTTAAAGACTCTGCTCAAGTGCGTTGCGGTCATCCTATTCATATAGAGTACGGACGGCAGGAGTTGACTTCTGGCAGATATGTTCTGGACCACCAAGACGAGATCGTGATCGCCGCCTGCTTGGATTCGGGAAAGACCAAGGTCGACGCAACGTTTGGAGAGACGCTCGTGACGGCAGAGAAATTAAAATGGACAATTGACCACGGCGAAAAGGCGCTGAGCCCCGAATCGCGACCTACGAATTTCCTCATGATGTACAAGAAGAACCAGGTTATCTACGAGCCTTTGGGTGTAGTGTCGGCATGTGTCTCTTGGAACTACCCGTTCCATAACTTCATCTCGCCGGTGATCAGCGCCATCTTTGCGGGTAACGGAATTGTGGTGAAGCCCTCTGAGCAGACTTCTTGGTCTTCGGTGTACTATCTCGACATCATCCGCGGCGCGTTAGAAAGCTGTGGCCACTCCCAAGACCTCGTCCAGAGCGTCGTGTGCTTGCCCAAGGTCGCCGACAAGTTGACTTCCCACCCCGACATCGCCCAAATTACATTCATTGGCTCGCGCCCGGTAGCGCACAAAGTCTGCGAGTCCGCAGCAAAGGCATTGACGCCAGTCACAGTCGAACTCGGCGGAAAAGACCCCTCCGTCATCCTCGACGACAGCCGAACCATCAGCGAAGTAACCTCCATCGCCTCGGTCCTCATGCGCGGTGTCTTCCAATCGGCCGGCCAAAACTGCATCGGCGTTGAGCGCGTCATCGCCCTCCCAGGCGTCTACGACAAACTCCTCGACACCGTCTCCTCCCGCATTAAGAACCTCCGCCTCGGCTCGATCCTCCTAGACACAAAACCCAACAACCCTAACCAGAAACCTGGTGCCCCTGACGTAGGAGCCATGATCTCTCCCGCCTCCTTCTCCCGCCTCGAATCACTCATCCAAGACGCCGTCAACCAGGGCGCTCGCCTCGTTGCCGGCGGTCAGCGCTTCGAACACCCCACCCATACCCTCGGACACTACTTCACACCGACGCTCCTCGCGGACGTCACGCCGTCCATGGAAATCGCGCAAACCGAGCTCTTCGCCCCCGTCTTCCTCATGATGCGCGCTTCTTCCGTGTCCGACGCAATTTCCATCGCAAACTCCACCGAGTACGCCCTCGGTGCCTCTGTCTTCGGGTACAACTCGCATGACGTAGCTGCGTGTGTAGCGAATATCAAGGCAGGCATGGTCTCCGTCAACGACTTCGGCAGCTACTATGCCGTGCAGCTTCCCTTTGGCGGTGTCAAGGGTTCCGGGTATGGTCGGTTCGCGGGTGAAGAGGGTCTCAGGGGCGTGAGTAATATCAAGGCTGTCTGTGTTGATCGGTTCCCACGCCTCATGGCGACGAGAATCCCGCCGCGGGTTGATTATCCGATTTACAAAGGTGAAGGCGACAAGCAGAATGGGAAGGGTGCGTTTGAGATGTGTAAAGGGGTTGTTGAGACGGGCTATCAGATTACCCTTGCCGGCAGGGTTAAGGGGATCTTCCGGCTGTTGGGGAATATGTGAACCACCCAAGAACTCCGGTGTCATTGTACTATATAAAGTAATATAACTTAATAATCCATCTACGTAATCTACATGTTAACACATATCAAGAAAGCCAAAGAAATTAATTAAACATTACGAAGATTATCCCAATACAGCTACAGAATCAACACCGAGTACTCCAAACCGTAAGCAACCCTAAGAATCCCAAACATCAACTCCATCCAACAAAGCCAACGCCATCCCCCCCATCTGATGAGAGGTAATATGACAATGCAAAAGACTCGGGAACTTCCCCTGGACAAAGTACCGAATGACCATCCAGGCACCCTCCATATACCTGGAGTCAAAAAAGTCCAGGACGAACGTATCCCGCAGCGCGGCGGTCTCATTGACGTAGAACGAGTCGGGGATCTCCGCCTCCGCAGCACTGGCATTGTCCCATTTGAACTGCCCGACTCCCCTGCCGATGATGTACGCCCTGTTGCCATGCTTGTGGATTGGATGAGGAGGGTGGATGGGGTCGGCCTCTAACGCGATGATCTCGAGGACGATGTCGACCCAGGTGCCACTGTCGGTGGTGAGGGCGTAGTTAGGCGCGATAACGGAGAGAGGATCTGATTCGAAGAGGAGGGGTGTCGACGAGGTCATTTCGGGCTCGTAGAGGGCATGGTTGCCTAAGGACCACGAGTACGAGTTGTTGACGCGCATCATGGCTGTGCGTAGGGTTTTGGACACCTCGGAGGAGGGAGGCGGGGGATCCACGCCAAAGGCAGGCAAGTTCTCTGTGAAGAGGAGCTGGCGCACGTCTGCGGATGTGTTGACGCTGCCGTAGTTCATGTACCCTACTGTGTCTGTGTGTGGGCCGATAGCAGCCTTAGGGACATCCTCAGTGTCGACAGAGTCCTGGTTGATGTATGAGAGAATCGCGTAGACGCTCATGACCTGGTCGCCGCCGTTGACTGCGATCCGGATTGCGTAATCGCCTGGTGTTTGATCGAGCTTGAGCATCACAGCGTACCGGGAGCCAGAGTATGCGCCAACTATTTCGACCTCGCGGGGTTCGACGAGCTGCCCGTCGACTTCGTAGACCCACATTGGGTGGTTGTCGACGGAGAAGCTGATGGCTTTCTGTGCGCCGCCGGTGATGAAGTTCAGGCTTACCCAGCCGTTGGATTCGGGGTCGACGTTGATCACAGGGGGCTCGGTGGTGGAAGGTGTGCAGTTGAAGATGACTTCGGTTGGCAGGGCAGAGAGGTTCCAGGGGCCGAAGTCACCTTGGACATTAAAGAGGTCTGGTACGAGACAGCTGTATTTATTGTCGTGTCAGTATTGCGTATGCTTGAAGATTGGGTATGGCAATGGGAAATCTCACCCCTTCTCTGTCAGATGAGTACCCTCGAGGACAGCGGTCAAGCCGTCGTCGCTTGATTCCTCGAGATATTCATATCCAGGGCAGTAGACTGAACCCCGGCCGTTGACGAGGAGGCTGTCCACGCAGCTGGTGATATCGCGTTAGTCCGTGTCGTCCGACAAAGAAGTAAAGAGCTTACAAGACGTTATAGCCAGACTCAACCTCGATATTATGGTACTCCTCCGAAGTGAGATACGTCCAATCCGTAACGAGCATCAGATAGGGATTATCTTCTGCAAATTGGAGCTCTTCCAACTCTGTGGAATCATCCGTGATGGCGACGTAGGGGCGCGGAGCATCTGGTTTGCGGCTATACATGCATAGTCAGTCAAACGGCCTCGTTAGATGTCTTGGAATGCGAGGTAAACTGTCAAGCGTACCGAATATACAACCCTCCCACCTGCCCATCTTGCAGGAGCCCCTTGTAATGCGAGTGATACCAGTATGTACCAGCAGGGTACGCCTTGAACTTGTACAGAAAAGTTTCACCGGGTTCAATCGGCGCTTGCGATAGACCCGGGACGCCGTCCGCTTCGGGGGTTTCTGCCATCCTAGAAAGTAGGCGTGTGAGAAGGCCCTACTGCGTATTCTTGCACAGAGATAGTACGGGCGAAATGAGAGGATACGCACTCTATACCATGCCAGTGAACGGTCGTATTAAAGGGAAGATTATTGATAACAGTGACCTGTCATACGCATTAACTCTCACAATTCGTCGCTCATACAGTCAGGGTTATATTGTACCTCAATGTCATCATCCTCATCCCAAAACAAATCCGGACCGGGATACGCCCCATTCGTGAAAACCATCTCTCGCGGCGCGGCGCCATTTGGAGATCCGTAATCCCATGTCAGCTCGAGAGTCTCGCGGACGAGTTTCGCGTGCGAGAGACCGAGATGCAACGCCAGCAGTGGGCAGAGAATCGAGAGGAGGTACATGGCTAAATCGTCAGAGGACCAGGAACGCGATCAACTTTTGGTTTTCGAGGCGCGATTGAGTCCAGTCGTGGCCATGTTCTTTTTTATTAGTCGTGTATGTTGATGAACGGTTGTTTTTCCGCATTCCTGAAGTGTTTGTTTGGCATGTTCTCGGTACTGAATGCAGTTCTTGAATGCGGTCGAGGATTGCAGCTAGGGGCGTGGTGCCTGGCCGAAGAATTCCATGGACCCCCTAGAGCCCGCGCACGGTCTTTGCTGAGAGATCGCAGTAACCCTAATCGATATCGCAGGGGAGTATTTGTCTGATTCTCGGACTATAGTTGCGCGACCGTCTCTTTTCTCTTGCCAAGTCATATCTGCAGAGACATTGTTCGGACAGCTTCAATTCTCCACGACCCAATCATCTGAGAAAGTGTACGGCGACTCCTCCAGCCACACCTTTGGCTCATCCGTTCCCAGAACATTCCGCAAATATCTTTCTGCCATGGCATTTGCTGCGTTCAAACCACCATTGTAGAACATCTGCTGGTTGCCCCTTGTTGTCGCCTTGACTTGCTCCGGCAGCTGTAACATAAAATCTAGTAGCCACTGTTGGAAGGGACCGCCCTCAGTAATTGCCCATTGCGTAATCTTCGAATCGTCGAAGGGGATAGACTCTGCACTCGCGCGTAGTAAGAGCTGGAAAAATTTAGGGTCGTGCCGTGCCATGACGACGGCGGTGCAAAAATACTCTGAAGGTAACATGTACAAGGTATCTGCAAGGTGATTCTGACAGCGAAACGTGAACTCGTCGATCTTGAGAAGGGTGGTGAGAACGTTAGCATTGTGTTCCACCAGAGCCATATGGATACCCTGCTGTATAGCCTCGCGGGAGAAATTGATCTCGTTTATCCTTTCAGTGCTGGATAAACGGTTTATTCCACCGGCTACCCGAAAAAGCTCGAGAAAGCGGGCGTGCGCTTCGCTGAATCCTGCATCACCTCCACTGAGAAACTTATCAGGGATTTTGAAAACATCGAGGGTGTTTATTGTCACCGTTGAGTCTATGTCCGGTCCAGCATGTCTAATGGTTACAGACACCAGCGGCGTAACGGATATAGAGCGTCGGTAGTCCCCATCCACGATTTCCAAGTCGAGAGCGTTCGACCTTCGTGCTAAGAACAGGTCGAGTTGATCTTGTTGGTCATTAGACATACCGTGGGTCTCAGGGACCCAATACCGCCAAATGTTCAGAAGCATGAGGTCAGGTAGCGATGACATCAAACGCTCGATGGTACACCATCGGCAGCTGACGACAGATGCCTGCAGAGATCTTCGCTCCCCCTTCCCGAGATGGACATACTCCAATGGCCTTAATATCCGGGAGATCTGTGCTTCGGAAACTTTTAGGGCTACAGTCTTCGGGTCTGCAGATGAAACTGTGCCTGAACTAGGTTGATATAATTCTGGCAATGCAATTCGCTCTGGGTCAAAGAATGCTAACAGCATCAAGGCTCTGTAGACCCGTTCGCTGGAAACAGCGGCGCGGATAGAAGGCGAGCTTCGTGGTAGACTGACACTGAGCGAGTAGAGAAAGATCTTCTCAATCAGTTCCACAGGCAGAGACTCCAATCTAGACAGGACTCTCTTGCGGGGCCTGGGCGGGGGCGGTTGAGCAGGAAGGGGACGAGTCCGCTTGTAGCTCTCTATCCTCCGTTTGGCGTCCGGGGGTAGCATTGGCCGTCCACCTTTGGGGCCTGATGGCACAGGTTTTGGCACACCATCTTTGGATCGTGAGGGTGTCTTCCTGCGGCCGCGGACTCTAATCGGAGTTGGCATGTCGTCTGTGTTAGTTCATGTTGAGCTTTCAAAAAAGTTACAAGATCCAGCCCGTCAGGTGATCTCCTCCTCAGCCCTAAGCTGCAGCCCTAAGCGCCAAGACCGGCGGTAACTGACTAAGCGCCTGCAGATGACAGCCCTGACGTCATCCATATCAGACTGACGAACTTCCCCTTCCAAGACACCTCCAAGACCGTTATCAGAATGGAACCGAAGATCAGCGTCGTCAAGGGGGGTGGAGTGGCGAGACTTAATTTGCTCCCCATCCCAACACTGACAGCATGCTATGCTGTGGGGGTTCCACAACGCCCTAGATGATTCGGTCAGAGGCTTTTCAGGGCCGAACTGAAGGCGTCGCTATGACGGAATCAGGTCAAGACTTCTTCGGTTCAGGGATGAGCAACAGCAAACCTCTCATTCTATCAACACCCAACCTATCATTCTCATTGCTCTCCTGCCATTCGTTGCGTGACCTTGTGCGACGGACGTCATTTCCGTTCTTCATTGTCTCAGCTATAGCAGCCCTTGCGCTTGCCTTGTCCTTTGAGGTAGTTCAGGTCATCGACGTCATTGCCTGCCTTTTTTCTCCGACTGTCTCTATAAATTAACCTCCGAGACAAACATATATATATACCTCCAAGTGTTCTGGTACAATGAAACCATTCAGCGACTTGTCTACACATACCACTGCTTCCTCAAGCTACTCCAGCTCTTCGAACAATAACAACAACTCTGCGAACAACTCCTCATCCTCGTCTTCGAGTTCCAAAGTTCTCAAAGTCACCAAGCAAAAGAAATAAACCACTACCAACACATCCGTCAAAATGGGTGCCGTCTTTTCTTGCGTACGCTCATCCATCTCCTGTCCATGTCCGTCTCCATTGCCCATTCATATCTTCTAACTACCTTACAGATCAGGGACCTCTTCCGCTCCATCGGCGCGTGCATAATGGGCGTCGTCAACGCAATCGCCAGCGGCATCAAGGTCGTCATCAACGGCATTGTCTCCGTCCTTGGCGTCCTCGTCTCCTGCCTCACCTGCGGTTACGTCGGGAGGAGGAGGCGCACCGGTACTCGCATGAAGCATAGGTCGCGGCCAGTCTATTAGACTGAGTCTACGGACCCAGCGACTGCCTAGACACGCAAGTGTATCGGTCGGCTTGATACCCTACGAATAATGACTTGACGCCCTCCTTTCCGTTTCCTTTTGTCAACACATTGAACTCTTCCGTTCCCTTTGTGGCCTTGTGTTATCGTTATGGTTATACCTCAGTACCCCATTTGTTTTGCGATGCGCTGGGAACGCAATTTGTTGTCTCTAATTTGGTGATGGGTGTATGATATGATATCCCTTCTTACTTGTCTTTATGGAATAAAGAAACTTCACCTTACAACTTGCCCTTCCTATTGCAGATGAGAGTTTATGTAGACTGCTAGCAGTTCGGCTTTGTGCCACAGGTATCTCGTGCGGCCTAGTACTGCCACTTATATAATTATCCATTGGCATGTGTCTAAGATGATGTTCTCCTTCCGCAATCACGTCTACGAGCCATAGCCTGTTATACTGAGCTCTTAAATGGAAACTGACCATAGGGCGGGAACCTGTAATCGTAAGGCATGCTGGTCGCAAACATTCCTGTACGCATGCCAGCGGGCGTATCTGCCAAATTGCAAGACCTAACAGCAGTGGGCCCATTTGGAGACGTAGGCCGAAGGCAAGCCTAGACCAGCCCGAGACTTTATTACTTTAAGGGGCATGAATGTTCTAATCTTTTAGATGAGCGCTCAAGCCACCGCGGGTTTGATCTACAGGGCCAGCCGAGAAACCACATCACAGACCGGAATTTACTAATCGCAACGGGGTGGAGGCATAGTCGAGTAGGGTGCAGCCATAGCTCAGGTACGGTTTAGACATCATAGGGGCGTATCTGGGCCAAAACAGTGCATAAACGCGCTCGTGTATAGGCAACCAACGGGTTCATTCGAGTTCCGAAACGCAGCGGAAAATGTCTGAGGCGACGGTTTACCGGGGTAAGGCTGTTGTTGACGATGGCGCATAATAAATATCTCGGAATTGACGATTTGCAATATGCCAGTTCTGCGAAACCATGAGCGAAAGAGGGTTCAAACTCGAGACGAAGATGGATGTCGTGTCCAGACAGCGTTGTTGATCGTCAAAGTGCCGGTTTCCGCTATACCCCCCAAGCCAGAACCTCGGACGTGAAAGCCCGAGTGTGAAAAAGATGAAGAAGAAAATCAGGATGCGATTCTCGTAAGATTCCTGGATCTCTAGCAAACAGAAATTAAAGGTCCGAATGGCTCCATCATGAATTCATTATCCACGGCGCCGCGATTTCCATCGATACGGCAGGTATCCGAGCACACTCGAACCAACCAGAACTCGTCCTTCATTCTTCCATTTTTGATGCCTCCCACGTCGTTTTCACGTTCAATAAAGCGTTTATCGGAGACGGCGGGCCTCACGTTCGGACTCGAGCAGGCAGAGGATGTCGTCGACACGGACTGAAGAGGGTCACTGTTAGTATTTTCCCTTCGCAATTCCGCCCGCTGATTGCCGTTTCCATTTGCCGGGCAGGTTAAATTTGCGGTGTATGCAAGTCGCGAAAATCAGGTTGTAGACGTACCGGGACCCTTGACGTTACGGATGATAGAACGGGTCTGGTCATCCATGAACTCGACGCGGACCTGGGTGACACCACCGCGAGAACCTATTATCGAAACCCCATTAGCCTCCATTTTCCCAGCACTTGTGTATTCCTCCAGCGCTTTCCGAGTCCGGCGGCGCTCCAACGGAAATCGGCCCGCCGCCGACCATCCAGCTCGAAGTTTCGCAGTGTATTCGTTGATCGCTCGATCGGTTGATGGAGGGTTGCATACCGGTACGGCCAAGGACACGGGTCACCTTAACCAGCTTGGTGGGGGTCTTGGAAGCATCCATTTTGACAGGTAGGAATCCGGAGAGCTGGATTTGCTGAAATGAACGAGGGAGGTGGACGAGGGGAGGATGCGATGTCGTTGTCGGATGCCCGCTTTGGTCTACGGAAATTGTGGTGCAGTGCAAAATTCATTTTAGTGCGTCGGGGCAGGGTTTGGGGGGCGGAACCCTCGGGAAAGTGCTGGCCTATCAGCGACGAGCATGCGTCCAGCGGCCAAGGCATCCGCTGGTTGAGATCGAGAAGTATACAAAGTATCGAGAACTTTGAATACCAGAAAATTGTTTCAGGGCTTTGAGCATTTACATTGTTAGGATGCTCAAGATAACCATAAATTGTTGAATGAATCGGTGGTAGAAATCGCCCAGCTTTCCGCTCATCCGGACTACGACACATGCGGGGGGCAGGACATAGTACCAGGCATATCGATGCTCCCTCCGCGAAGTAAACCAAAGATACTATGTTAGATATTGCTGCTGTAAATCCTCGGTACATATTGATCCATGTTTTTCAGGATTTGAGTTGAGTCGGGTTGGAAGTCGAAGACTTCCTGGTTGATATGCCTTGATATGTCGGCCAAGGACTTGACCTCGAATATAAAGTAGATATCTGAATAGACAGAAAGCTGGTGCTATGGTAGACCAAAAACATTACTACCTAGATTCCAGTTCATGGCGGGTGATAAGTATAATCCGGCTTGACTACTATGAATCAATGGCAATATCGATTGCGTGCCGACGGGCATACATGATTACGTTCATTTAACTTGAAGGACTCTAAATTGAACAGGTTCTATACACAACCCGGCAACCAGTCACACTGCCAGGTATAGAGCTGAGTACGCTTGACTGGAAGGGAATATCTGTCGTGCGATGACATTGGTTGAGGGATAAGGGTAACATAAATGATACAAGGGATATGCCAGTTTAAACAACAGACATGTCGCCGAAGCGCTCCTATTAACCATATTAGTACGTGAAAAACAACCGAAGAGTTTCGTTTATTATGTGCAAGGAAACAAACCTTGTATCCGGCGGGCATCCATCGTCCCTTCTGGACCATGGCGGCGGTCTTCTCGTCGATCTCGGGCTGAGCGGCGGCAAGCTCGTCCTATGGTGCACAAGTCAATCAACCACGCCCAACAACTCCAACAGAAAGATCTCTCATAGAGAAAAACATACAACGGTGACTTCGTCGAAGGGCCGGGCGGTCTCAATGTTCTCGAGGGTCTTCTGGAGGTTGCGGAGCTCAGCCTCAACCTTGCCCTTGGTCTGCTCAGCGCCCTGGATAGCCTGGGACTCGAAGGCGTCAATGGCCTTCAGCTGGCGGGCGACATCGTAGGTAGCGGGCTTGAAGGTCTTGAAGTGGTTTTCGATCTCGTCAACGATGGCCTGGTTCTTCAGGATGCTGCGGTAGCGGGCGAAGTCGACGGTCTGGGGCTGCTCGGAGAGGAGCTGGACCTTGCGGCGCGCATCGTCGTTACGCTTCTTGAAGGCCTGCAGAGAGGCAGCGGTCTGACCGCGGAGGCCGAGAGAGCTGGTCGTCTTGACCCAGTCGATCTTGAGAGCGGCGCTACGCTGTGAGCCGGGCGGTTAGCGAGTCCAATTCAGCCTGAAACCACCAGGCACAGAAGGTGAATCCATAGGCAACATACGGCAGCCATTTTGAGTTGTGGGGGTGGAGAGGGGATGGTAAAAGGGAGCGTTAGACGTGCAAAGCTGGTCGTTCCCGGATGAGGGTTGATTCGGAAAGGTTTGGAATGGGGATGCAAGTCACGTGATTATGCTATTCCCGTCTTCCGAATGGCGCGAAAGACATGGGGAATGCAGGTTGAAAACGGGAATTACTTTCTGATTTTAATTGAGTTGATTATATAGCTGATTAAATTGCTAATAGACTTAAAGCATGACAAGCAGAATTTAGATCGCAAAGTGGTTGTTCATCGAATTTGCTTTTGGACTAAATGATATACACTATGAAGCCGGACGGACACCCGGGGAATATCAACCAGATTCCAAACCCCAGATCCATTCGACCACAGACAAAAGCCATTCAGCCATTAACAGCGTGCATTAAATAGGCCGAGCTCATATGCTGAGGGCCATGATAGAGTTGACGATATCGTTGTCGTTCTCCCGCAGAGCCTTGACGGCCTTCTTGCGGGGAACGTTGGCCTGGGCCATGACGAGGTCAATGTCCTTGGGCTCGAGGCCGGTCTCGTCAACCTCCTCTCCATCGTCCTCCTCTTCCTCCTTGGCCTCAGCCTCAGGGGCCTTGCCCTTGCCCTTGTCGTGGTCGTGGTCGTGGCCAGCGTGGTCACCACCGGCGGCCTCAGCGGCGGCGAGCTGCTGAGCAGCGGAAGCCTGAGCCTGAGAGTTCAGGTCCTCAATCTTAGCCTCACCGAAGATGCTATATCAATGCGTCAGCCGCTGACTTCTAAGCCTCAATGGTTGGCGGGGGAGATGGCACGTACATCCAGGTGTTGCTGGAGGGGGAGCGGTAGACGTCGGGCTGGTTGATGACGAAGAGGATCTAGTGAATGGTTAGTTTTCGATGTCTATGTATCGCAACTCGAGCGTTGAATGTCACGTTGACGAAATGCGGGGAAGGCGATGCGTACGTTCTTGGGGCGGCGGAGAGTGACACGGGTGATGCCAGGGACGTGCTTCAGGCCGAGCTTGCCAATGGCCTTGCGAGCCTTCTTCTCGTTGCGAGAGTGGATGGTGACAGCAGCACCACCGGGGATGGTGGGCTCCTCACCGGCCTCGGACTCGGAGGAGTCGCCAGCCTCCTCGACGTTGGTCTTGGGGACCTCCTCATCAGGGAGCTCTTCGATACGGGGGTCAGCCATTTTGTGAGATAGGTAAGCCTAGGTGGGCTGCAAATTCAACAGTTAGCGAGCCGATTGTGACGTCTCGTGGCCTGGGTGCTCGATTTTGGTTCTTCAATCGGCCGGTTTCGATCGCCAAATGCCACAATCGCGGGGTTTTCGCCAGGTCCGATTGAAAAATCCATTTCCGCGGCCGCACAGTTCATTTGGACATACCTGGGGGTAAGAAAGGGGTATGTTGTAGGTGATGGTGGGTTTTTGCCTTGTTGCGGTTGGGAAGACGCAAAGCTGTGTGATGCCGAAAATCGTTAGCGAGCTGATTGGACTCGGGACCCTCTGGAATCATGGAGAAGCGCGCAACGCCGTCATTTACCATACATACAAACTACAAACAGTCTAGAATTATTGATATTACGCAGTTTAAATGTTATTGAAGTGAATGAGATTGGTTTTATGGGGAATTTGTTATCGCCCACATATTAGCCTGTAGAACAAATCCAGCAAACTGCTGCCAGGACGCCTTGACATAACATTACGAGAACCAACTGCCTGTCAGGATATCAAGTGTTCTTAAGTCATTTTTGTGCTGTCAATGATAATGCATACAGCGAGTTGCTGATTAAAACCCTCAGCAAAGTGAAACCGTCCCAGATACCCCTTCACTCTATGCACCGAGCCTCATTAACCATCTATGCCTTAGGAGCAGCCGCCCTGATCTTGGCGTGGGCCTTCTGGACCTCGAAGCGAGCCTGTAGATATAAGTTAGCCTCTATATCATATATCCCTGCGCTTCCATGATCCCGTACGTCCATATCTCCGCAGTTCCTTCAATTTCGCAAACCAAGGGCCATATCGCGACGTACCTGCTTCCTGAGGCGGAGGACCTTGAAGCGCTCGAAGTCGGTCAGGTTCTTCCGTCGGTTGTTGACGTCCGCCTTCTGAGCAATGGAGCTCTTAGCCCACTTGCCGTCAATCTCGTTCTGCGCCCAGAGCTTCTTAACGGGACCGGTTCCGGCGGCACGGGGGAGCTTGGGGATAACGAAGTGGGTGAGGGTGGCGTGGGAGAGAGGGAGGACGTGGCGGGGGACAATCTTAGCCTCCTCGGTGGAGGGACCGTCGACCAGGACCTATTTGACGCCCGCAAGTCAATATCACATTCCCATGATCCTCCTTTCTCAGGTGTTCCCGTCGCAGAGTTCCGAGTCGCGAAAACGTACACGCTTGTGGTCGACAATCTCGACAATCGTGGCCAGCTTGCCGGTGAAGGGACCGCGGCGGATCAGGACCACGCGGCCAACTTCAACGAGCTTCCATTGAGCGATCTTGACATCGATATCGGCCATGGCGAAGGCTTCCTGCAGGGTGAAAAAATGGGCTTCTCAGTTGACAGATTCCACGACAGCGATAGGGCGCGTATTCACTCACGGTCGACAGTTCCGGGGAGACGGTATAAAATGTGTTGTCGAAAGTCGGGGTTGTCGAAGTCGTCCAAAACGCACAAGTTCACACTCGACTTGCCGGATCGCGAATTTCGGTGTTGCCCACAGACTCGCTTACCAGCCAGTAGCAGCGCTCAGCGGCTTCGGTGCGTGTGGCCTAGGGCTGCCCGCCAGAAGTGGCTTAGCCGCGGAGAGCGGAACAACACGTTATTCCGGCCCAGCACCTTAACTTCAGAAACGATCGTCGCATGTTTTTTCTTTTCTCTGCAACAGCAAGACACTCGACTCAAGCAGTTTCTGCAGCTTTCGAGCCTCAAAGAGCATGATGTAGCTCTGTTATCTCGATAATCTCTGATCTTTACAATCATTTTTCTCCCACCAACTAATCCATGTCGCAAACAGAACCATTTTTTACTGGTATGTAAACGCCGGATTTCTTCGTTTCCCACCCCTCTACATGATGCGGTAATTTGCGATTGACCCATCGTCTGTGAGGCTCTCGCCGGAGTCTCGATACAGCGCTGGCGCATGATATTTATTTCTTACATATTCTGATATTTCACCAACGCACTACATATGATCATCCGACTTGGTTGATTTCTTATGCTGACTTGCGAAGATCGAAAGCAGATGCTCCCAGAACAACGACCGCTTCACACGCCATCCATCCTCTCAGGGTACGTTCATCTCGTCTTACGTCTTTTGCGCCCCCGTCCAATGATTACAACCTATCATGCCTAGATAGTACTTGATGCTTCGGCAATGAAATTTCCTTTTATCACCAAGATCTCTGAGGAACCCTTCACTCTCAATTCATGTCACCCATCTTTTGGCGACTTTGACTGACTTTGAGACTAATAGGGATTTTACTTGAACCTACTTGCCAAATGATAGCTCTTACCATGCAATACCTTTATCATGAACACTCTTTCTTGCTCTTTCGTATCAATGTATGTTCGTAGACCTGACTTCCTGGCCGATTCCTACAACAAGATTAAGCTGTAGCCTCTCTATGCCTGGAGCTGAGTCTAGACTCGAGCTGCTTGGAGCGGGGAACCTACAGCTTCTCGAGGCTCAGGGCGATATCGCATGTCCAAGTGCTCCGTAGCTCAGACAAGACAGTCGAGGCTCCAGAACATCCCCACCACCAGTAGCTTCATCCGAGCCTCGGGCTGGCGCGCAACACGAAAACGTCTTGTATAACCAGGTCCTCTTGTAAAAATTTACCTAAACGACTACGCATGCCCTGCTTGCCTACGAAAGCCCGGTGATGCCTGCGACACAGTATATTGATCTAACGTGCACATAGCAAACGAAACAACCGCCAACAGTCACGGTAAATTCTACATTATGGTGCAATCCGCTTTTCATCAAGTCCGTGTATATCATTATGCGCAGTCCGGAGCGGCCATGCGTTCTATGACGAAGCTCCGCTGCCCAGGGCCGAAGCAGTCGCTGATGGCCCCTCACGACTAAGAACCCACATGAAGATGAATTGGATGATGTATGAGTAGATGAACAGGAACTGGGTGCGGCGGTTGCGCTGGGAGCGGGCAACTGTGTGCATTGAGCCGGTGCGCATGGATGAATCGCTTGTTGAATCCGGGAGGAGCACGTATTTCAGGGAGCGGAGCTGTGCGTGAATTAGCTTTTGGTTCTGAATGAATAAGTGGGTAGATGAACTTACAAGGAAGAAGGCGTTTGCGAGGAACGTGTAGATGAATGCCACCCATCCGACCCAGCTACCTGTTCCCTTCCCAGGAGTGAAGATCTCAGAAGCTACCAGGGTGATGATAATTCCGACAAACTTGTAGCCAGAGTATGCGACCAGATCTACCAACTGGGAGTCGTTGTTGATGCTGAGGATATACGTGGCCAGCTTCAGGCAGATGATTTCGAACAGGATGACTGCAATCGCTGTGGTGGTTGTCGCTCCAAGGAGCTCAGGATGGAAATTCCCACGGAAACCCGCCAGCATCGCCGACAATAGGATGTATGTGACGAGAGCCATTACGGGGATGTACATGTCGGGCGAGTTGAGGTCATCACGCGGAGGCAGGAACATGGACGAGTATTGTTGCTGCGATATCTGGCCATCGGGGCCGGTGGAAGCAGTCGTCAGACGTGCTTGCTGACGAGACCACGGCTTGTGTCGCCATGGAAAAAGCACAAGACCCAGCTTATTGATCACGTAGGAGTTCGAGACGTTGAAGTAATGCTTGAGGGCAGGAATAGATACGTAGCGATTAAACTGATTTCAGCACCAATTAGCAAGGACACGCACTGAAAATGAGATTTGCCTACGTTCTGCTCCATGTACTCCTGTCCAGCCGCCATCGCAGTCTTGCCCATATGGAATCCCATCTGCGCCGTGGGGTCGTTGATGAACCCGCCGAATCCAGGGGCATAAGTCCCACTGCCACCTTGTGCGGGAGCCGGCTGGTAAGGATTACCATAGGCGGAGGACTGCGGCTGCTGAGATGTCGGAGGAGGAGGCGAGCGCATCATGGGGACGGTCGAGACATGCTGAGGCACGGGGTGGTGAAGCGGAGGTGACTGTGCCGGGGGTGGTGCGAAAGACTGGCGATACATAATGGCAGACTCTTGTAAATCAACCGGAAGAGGCGAAAACTGACTGCTCAAGGAAAGGCCGATGATTAAATCCGGGATGGAGGGGGAGCTTGAACGATGGTTGGGGTGTTTATACGTGGCTGAAGGCAGTATGGAGAAGAGGTCACTGGGATTAATTTCTGGCCCGGAGCTGACCTTGATCTGATCTTCGCCGCCCGCACAGAATTCCCCACTCCGCAAGCTCACCACGCAGATAGTACAGCGGTATATGTTTCAAGATGCTCGAAGCCTTCGAGATTCTGTCGACATCGGGAGTGGTCCTATGGTCCAAGTCGTACGCTCCGGTCGGTTCCCACGTTGTCAACAGCCTGATCAACGACGTCTTCATCGAAGAGAAGACGCAGCTTCAGAACACCACAAACGGCGTTTCCCCAACCTTCAAGAAAGAGAAATACACTTTGAAATGGAGGAGGTCAAAGGACTTCAATTTGATCTTTGTGGTATGTTTTATCTGTAGCGCTGCGCATATTGATGTTTTCTGACGCTGCGACTCTCCAGGCCGTATACCAGTCGCTTCTCCACCTCGGATGGATTGACAAGCTTTTGGATAACATTTCAACTATCTTTATTGATCTCTACAAGACTCAACTGAAGGGCGAACGGGCGAGGATAGCTGAATATCCGTTCGACAAGTACTTTGACCAGCAAGTACGAGAACTTGAGGACAACGCCACCGCTGGTTTCGTCTCCGACGCGCCTGCAGCAGATGCGGAAGCAAGAAAAGACCCGCTGGCCTCAGCTGATAATGGAGGACCGCCTCCACCACCCGTACCTGGGCTATTGAAAGGCATGTTTTGTGGCTGATCCTCGTTCTCGCATATACTAACTGCCCCGTAGCGCAGCCTCAAGCTGCGCTTAGTGCGGCAACCTCTGATGAAGGTTCGCCGCCACAAACACCAGATATCCCCAGAGTATCTTCGCCGTCGTCGGGCCATATAATCACCGGCAAGGCCGGTCCAGGCGGCCGGGTGTCTCGCCGGGCGCGCAAGGCTGCGAACGCGAGCGCAACCGCCTCGTCTGGCGACGAGAAGGTTCGGAAAGGGAAGACACCAAAGAGTGGGAAGAAGTTACGAGTATGGGACGCTGATGGACTCGCGGATGAGGACGATGGAAGGGTCCTTGACTACTCCGCACCTGTTGAGGACGACGATGCATCCGCACCGGCGGTGGAAGCCGTCGCGGAAGACACTTGGGGCCGCCGGACTGGCAAAGGCCAATTCGTGCTGAAGGATCTGGGGGATGAAGTCCACTATATCTTGGAGAATGCAGACAGCGAGAAGGCCAAGTCCTCTGCACCGTCCGGACTAGTAGGATCCGGGTTCAGCGCGATCGGTGGTCTGCTGCGTAATATCGTCGGTGGCAAAGTTCTGACCGACGCTGATCTGGAGAAGCCATTGAAAGCCATGGAAGACCATTTACTGAAGAAGAATGTCGCGCGCGAAGCGGCTGTCCGGCTGTGTGATGGCGTCAAGCAGGAGCTGGTTGGTAAGAAGACGGGCAACTTTCAGAGCGTGGATGCTGCTTTGAAGTCGGCAATGGAATCTTCCCTTCGCAAGATCCTCACACCTACCTCATCTCTTGACCTGCTCCATGAGATTGACACCGTTACCAAGGCGAGAAACAAGCAAGTCAACTCACGGCCGTACGTGATCTCAATTGTCGGAGTCAACGGTGTCGGCAAATCCACGAACCTCGGCAAAATCTGCTACTTCTTGCTACAGAACAACTACCGCATCTTGATAGCTGCATGCGATACCTTCCGATCTGGAGCCGTCGAGCAGCTCCGCGTCCATGCCCGGAACTTGAAAGAGCTCAGCGCTCGCGAGAATGTCGGCGCCGTGGAGCTCTACGAGAAAGGCTACGGCAAGGATGCCGCGAATGTGGCTAAAGATGCCGTGGAATATGGTTCCGCCAATGGGTTCGACGTTGTTTTGATTGATACTGCTGGCCGTCGCCACAACGACCAGCGTCTCATGTCCTCGCTGGAAAAGTTCGCCAAATTTGCTCAGCCCAACAAAATCTTCATGGTTGGAGAAGCCCTTGTTGGCACCGACAGTGTGATGCAGGCGCGTAACTTCAACCAAGCTTTCGGAACAGGGAGGAATCTTGACGGGTTCATCATCAGCAAGTGCGATACAGTTGGCGATATGGTTGGGACCCTTGTCAGCATGGTGCATGCGACAGGCATTCCGATTGTTTTCCTAGGAGTTGGCCAGCACTATGGTGACCTGAGAGGACTCAGCGTGCCGTGGGCCGTTAACCTTTTGATGAAGTGATCTATCGCGATCTATTGATTACTTCTGTTGGCCATAATTTTGGGTCATTGATGTTCTTGATTAGCTCCGTGACAAGTAGTTTCTATCTTACCAAGCAACAGCGATAGCGATCAGTCTTTTATTGGGGAGAGACATTGTACGGTTTTAGTTATGTAGGCCTAGGCTCAAAAAGTAATGCAGCTGGAGGCCATATGACCTTTAGTACAATGGGATATATATTTCAAACCGAGCTTGTCGAATGGAGGCATTGCTACGTGTCGCTCGCTGCATTGTCACTGCGGCTAGGAAAACGGAGAATGGCCACCTCTTAACTGGGCTTCTTCCTCAGGTCTCCTTGTCGCTTTGCAAAAGATCATCCTCTGTTCATCTTTATCCTGCAAACTACCTACCCGACCCTGGCCTACGTCACTTGCAGACTCCCTGAAGATCATCCGGGTCCCCACTATCGACAGGGCAGACGTTGAAACAAGCGGGCAACCTACGAGCTCTCTTGAACGTAACAAACAACCGGCCTCTTGAATTTGCTACTTAGACTTTCTCCTGCCTAGCTTAGGGTTAGGTTTGCTAGAATATCGCTTGCTTAGATTACCATGGCGCTGCCTCCGATCGCAAAAGCCACTTTGCAGGCCGCTCTAATCAGTGCTAGCTCGAATGTGTTGGCGCAGGGTATCACTTCGTATCGAGAAGGGGTGCGTGTTTATCTCCTTTACATTTCCAACCCCTTTTCTCATCTCTTGTCCAGCTTGTCCAGAGGGGCATAGCAGAGAGGCCATATTCAAGCTGACACTATGGCACTACTATGCTGGAGAACGAGCGCAAGCGCGCTGCGCCTCCAGCATAGTTAGGCGCCGACGGACACACTAGACGCCCTTTGAGCTTGACTCCGAGGTCCTATTCCAGTTCACCACTAGCGCGCTCGTTCTATCGCCGCTGGCATTCCTCTGGCTTGAGGGGCTTGAGCAGCGATTCCCGGGGTTCGAGCAGGGAAAGCCTGAGAGCGCGAAAGGCAAAGAGAATGCAGATGGGAGGGAGAAGGACAAAGGAAAGAACGAGGCCGAGGCCGAGCCCAGGCCCAACGTCAAGAACATCGTGGCGAAAATCGTGGTCGACCAGATTATCGGCGGCGCATGGAATACCGTCGCTTTCATTGCGACTATGGGCGTCCTCCGCGGACAGGACTATGAAGTCATCAAGGGGGAGATACTGGATGTACGTGTGATGTGATTGCCTCCCCATTTCAATACGCCTCATTCCATCGGCCATGCTCCGTTTGGGGGCCTTTCCTTAGCGGATGTGATGGGATGTGATGATGATGCTATACCCTGCCTGCTACTCATCAGCCTGGTCAATGCCAGTTACCGCGTTTCCTGGCATGATGCAATGCACGCAACCCTAACTAACGATTATATAGAATTTCTGGCCGTACATGCTCGCAGGGCTCAAATTCTGGCCGCTCGTCTCGATCCTGAACTTCACGGTTGTCCCCGCGAACCAGCGAATGCTTGTCGGGAATCTGTTCGGTGTGGTATGGGGCGTCTATGTCAGCCTTATGGCTGCATGAGTACAGGGAGCATGAGCCAGTGCCAATCTCACGGCAGGATACGCATCGAAGATCGATCATCGGGGAATTTCCTTGAAAGCCGCGGCAAGGGAATATGGGAGTGGGAATAATGGGATAAGGCATGCGAGAGGTGTCATCATTCTTCAGGCTTCCTCCGGCCATGTCATGTCATGTCCTGCGCCACGGGTGCAGCCGTGCATAGCCAAGGACGGAATCCGGGGGCCAAAATCACGTACTGCTGTTGCGATTTGAGGTATCTGTAGATACCCGGTGTTGGGACTAAGAGGGCTAAGAATTTGGCGTCGGTTGGACTCGGGGCCAGAAATATGAATGGATGCTCGGTGTGCATTGTACGGTACATCGTCATCGACATCACTAGGTAGCATGAATCATGATACACCGGACCGAGAGGCGTTCTGTAGGGGCCAGAGTAATATCATGTCTGGCATGGCACATGAGGCCAAACTGGCATCCGAATCTTCCGTTAGAGGATCATGCTCTGTACGGAGTAGTTCTGTAGAGCTCGGAATCTTCAACCCATTGACATTATTGGCTGTCTGCTTTCCTCCCGATGTTGGTGAGATGCTGACAGTTGGCACAATTCCACATCGGCAGTAAATGCTTACTGTGGGTAACCGATCCTAGATAACCAAGAAACTCGACTTCTTAACCGAGCAAAGTCCGTATCGGCAGTAGCATGAAGTCATCTGAACAGAAGAATGCTTCACTGCTACATAGTGCTATCATGCTATGAAGAAGGCTGTTCAGACACAGCCTCGACTGCGGTTAACGTGCAGACTCCACACTCACAGCGACGGGCGGCCCACTCCAGCTGGACTATGGAGTCGACGCTAATCTAGCCCAAGCGGGTTATTTTGGGCGCCCGCGGAATAGAGACTAACCGGCTTAAGGCTTAGATACGTTATGCGGGCAAATCGGAATACGAGCTGGCCGGGCTCGAGTTGGACTAGGCTAACTGGCTAAGGCTGTACGGCGCATCCTGACAATGCCTGAGGGCTGAGGGAGGGTTGCAGCGGATGTCGATCGGTGGCTGAAGGAGGAATTGCCATGACTCGGACTCGGACGGGGATGGGGATTGTAGGTGAAGCCGGAAGGAACAGAGAGATGCTTTTATGAGAGAACGGTATGTGTGATTGCTTGGTAGTGAGCGCCGTACAGTTCGGAAGCGGAACTCGGAATCAGCCTGGAGCAGAGTATCCGTACCGCCACCGGTATGCGAGGATGCGAGTGCCCGTACGGACAAAATCCGACCCCCATCAGATTGATTGAGCGAGCAGGGATCTCCATGTCATTGCATAAGTGGCCTGGGGCCATTTACACAGATCAAGTCAGAAGACGCTAAGGATCCAACAGAGCTTATCATTAATACAGTCTACGGTACACACTGACAATCATCTTTCTTCTACTCGTCTCACTCTTACTGACAAGCGCAAGCAACCTCGAGCGACTGTTGCTCTTTAAACGTACGCGAAGAATAGGTTGGTGGTGTACTTACATCTGCCCGACTGAATTAGATCAGTGCGCTAACCATCTATCAAGCTTGCAGGGTAGCACTTCTTTGTCACACCTGCGCTTGCGTGCCTTTGTCCCTGCTTTGAGTTTGAGTCGAGTCCACAAAGAGAACACCCGTTCGCGTTTACTTTGCAGGACCGGTGACTTCAGCTATTATTGGAACCGGCGGCTGGATCTGAGGCTCGAGGACATAGTATACGACATTGTCGAGGACAAAGAGATCCACGATACTGAAGGCTCGGGACCATGGTCGTGAGCTGGAATAAGTAGGGATACCAAGCCGGTCTAGAAGGAAAGGGAGTATACTCAGAATAGCCTGAGACTCAACGCGTCGCCATGAGTGTTTCTGCTCCATACAATAATGGATCTCCCGGTCCAGTTCCAGCGTCAGTTCAAGGCCCAGCGACGAGACGAAACACACACCCTCCAGCTGGATTACCAAAAGGAAAGGAAAAGAAGGAGCGCAGTCTCTATGAAGACGATATATACGTTTCACCCATTCTAGAAAGGAGGCCCTCTTGGTCAGGAACACGCTGGACTCGCTTTTTTCCTGAACTCTCATCGCATTTCTCGCTTGTCTCGCCTACAAGCCCCCCTCGCCGCCAGCCTCAGTCATACGGCTCTCCGCAATCCGGAGTCTATTTTCGAGAAAACTCATCCGAGGAAGATACCTCCGAGACAGCGACGGGGACGCCTTCGCTATGGTCCGACGAGCTGGTCGATGACGCCTCCTCGTGCTACAGTCGCAGATCGTCCATCACCAGTTTAGGATCTGAACTCTCTGCTTCGGCATACAAGTCCGCCGACGCATTCTCCATTATGTCGCCTACTAGGGCAGGCGTGTTTGACGAAATCTCCGTGTACCGGTCCGCCTCAAATATGTCTAGAAGGTCACCGAGGTCGCCCTCCCTACGGGAGAAGCCACTCCCAATCGTCCCCCCGATTCAAATGGCGCCGTTATCGATCCGGCGCAAGAAAAAGCAACCACCAGTGATCCGCGAAGATAGGCTGAATGAAATTCTCGAATCGACTGCGGCAACGCACGGCCACAATCCGACGCTGTCACAGGCTGCAGAGGAACTCGAAAATGCGCTCGCCGGTCTTGTGAAACGCAGAAATTCCCTGCCACGTATTGATACGCCCCTGCAAGTAAGCAGAGGTAATATGGACATGATCCCCTCGCGTTCGGCCCCGAGTCCGCCCATCGATCTTTTGAAGAACAGAAAGTTGTCGTTGTCCATAGCTTCGCCGGACGAGGAAATGAGACGCGCCAAGAAACCCCACAAAGGCCGGCTTTCTTTCACGATGCCCGGTTTTGGCAAGAAGAAGGATCGGCCCCATCTCCGCTCCTTGAGCGGCTCCAATGTCATCACTGGACTCGAGCGTAAACACGCCCGTCACAGCGCAGCGGCATCCCAATCATCAGCAAAAGAGTCGGAAAAGGAAAATGAAGCTGTCAGGTCGGCGAAAACCGACTTCCTTAATCTGCCGCCACCTCCTGCACGGTCTGTGTCAGTCAGCAGTGAGCGACATTTGCGCTTGAAGTTGCCCCGCCTTCAAACAAAGGAAGTGCAGTCACCTGGGAGCATACGATGCGAACGTGCGCCACTGAAGACCCCAGCTGCAGATGATGAAGAAGGTTCCGGGGCCCAGGAACCTGCAGCCTCGCAGCCCAAGCCGCGAAAAACATTTTCATTTGAGCCCGAGGGCACGATGTCGAAGCAAACTGTTGCATCAGAGCCGCTCGGACCGGCGTATGAGACGGACACTCACTCGGCACCGGTAGTAATATACGAGCTTGACGCCGGTCTTCCAGAACAGCAAATCAAGTCCCCCGTTGTGGCTCCGCCTTTCGTTCCCTCCGGGCAGATGCCTGGGACCTTACCTGATGAGGTCGTCGCGATGATCCTAAGACACTGCAGCTCATTACCGGACCTGTTCAATTTTGCCGTCATGAACAGGCAGTTCTATCGTGTTTTCAAGAAGCATGAGCTCGACCTGATCAAAAGCACAGTCTTTCAAATGTCACCCCCGGCATGGGAGCTGCGCGAAATGAGCCCGCCGTGGGATAGCGAGTGGCAGGTCTTGTTTGACCTGGACGCTCCTGTACCGGAGTATACACCTTCTCTCTACCTCGACCGTTACACCCGCGACCTGTACACGCTGGTCACACTCAAGGGGCTGATCCTCGCTCGCTGTACCACTTTCCTTCGTCCGGAAACAGTAAGCGGCTTGTCGGGCGTGGACGACACCCGCGCGGAGGAGATCGACAACGCATTCTGGCGGGTTTGGACGTTTTGCCGGATCTTTGGCTGTGGAAAGGGTCGGGAGGGCGATGTTGTCGGACAGCTGGATTGGCTGAATGGCGGTATCATGGCCACGAGCCAGCCCACCTCTGTTACGATGTCGATCAGCGAGCCGTTTGGCATCAATAACGTCCTGTTCGAGCCTCCTGAGGGATTTGGACGTGGAAACCCTGGCGGTCTATCGCATAGCCAGCTCTACGACATGACGGAGATCTGGACATGCCTGGGGGTTCTGCTCCAGCCGATCCACGGCAAATGCGAGGCGGCGCGGAAAGCAGGTATATTCAACGGACATGTTGCCGATAAAGACTCCGTGAAGGAGGAGGAGACATTAGAGGAGTGGACATCTTACATCCTCACCCTCGGCCCATCTGCTGTCCTAGCCCTAGGCTCAATCGCAACAGTCGACAACGCAGACGAAATCTTTCAGCGCGCCCAAACGCTCGGCCTGACGAAATGGGAACCGGCTGACGCAAGCCGCTCAATCTTCTTCCGCGAAGCCGTCTCAAAGGCATACAAACCTCGTGAACCCTTACCCCGCAAATCCTCGCCTCTTCGCCAAACCAACTCCAACGCCTCCAGATCCTCTGGTTCCAGCGACACTTCCCCATCAAACAGCATCAGCGGCAAAACCCACCGCCGACGACAAGCCGCCTACGCTGAGCAACTCCGCAACCGCCGCGCTCAGAACCCCGACCTCTCCTACATCGAAGAGCGCCCGATCTCCAGCTATGCTGAGATCATGAACCGGCTAGCTGGGGCGCCTCCACATCCATTCTATCACCAACAATCCCAGGAACCCGTCCCACCTCTCCCAACTCCTGCCTCAACCAGCACAACTGCACCTCCATCATCGCCACCAGCTGCTGTCCAACCACCCCAAGTGCCACCCATCAACACCCACAATCTCCAGATCCCCTACACAAACGCCCGCCCTCCACGACCTCCCGTTCAGATCCCGCAAGTCCGCGACCCAGCCGACCAGGCCATTGAGATGATGGTCCGTGAACTCGGGTTCGTTGAAGAGGACGCAAAATGGGCTCTCAAGATCACGGATACCGGCGAAGGGATTAACCCCAATGCCGCCGTGTCGCTACTCGTTCAAGAATATCAGAGACAGAGTCTGAACCTCGGCCAGAATGCTTATGGCTACAGCACCGGTCCCGTACTACCACCTGGGACGAGGCCGATGTCTGGACATTCCACTGGCGCGAGAAACAGTATTCTGTACTCTGTCATGCACAGTCAGGAAGCGATGGGATCGGGGTGGAGGTGGGCTTAGCATGCGTTCCTACCTGTCTTCTACCCACCGTTGCCTGGTGTCATTCCTTTGGTTTATGAAGTGAAGAGATACGCGTTATGCTTATTTTTTCTTTTTCTTTTCAATCTTTGATCATGATCGCTTCAGCTCTTGTTCAGCATCTAGCATCCAGCATCCAGCGTTTGGTTTGGCGTGGCGTCGAAGAGTTCGATCTGATACCCCGAGACTGTAATGTATATACACGTTGCTTGATTTGTTTGTATAGCATTTGCGAGCAATACACAGAATATATACTGTGAATGAACTTAACTCACTTGATTCCATAAACATTTTTTTCTCTAGAGCAGGTTTTCCCATACCTTGGCTTACTTTACTGAGCACACCGACCACCAGACAGGACAGATAGGTGAAAAGTCGGTCAGAGTCGAATCCATCAGGCTCTACAGTGACAAGAACACGTACATATAGTGGACATGAAATTCTCCGATATGTTCGATATGAAAATAGTTTCAACCGTAGAACCTCTCTAGCAGGGCATCCCTGCCTGACTCAATGAAAACCCTTGCATTTGCGTCGTCAACAGCTCTAAAATATTAATAATCAAGGTACGAATAGTATAAAGTCTATCCATCCTTCGCTGCTTCTTCGCGTCTTCTAGTCCGAGCCCAACCTTGCCGTTGCCTTCCCATCTGTTCGGCGGCATGGCTGATCACTTGACTGTGGCGGGAAATGACAGTCACCCGGCAAGGACGCTGATAGCAACCAGCATTGAGTTCACTACTGTCAAGCTGGCCAAGTTCACAATTCCATAAGTGGTGGCCAGTGCGTGTGATCTATCAGAGAATGATTCCATCGCTTCCATCCCTGCCAGTAGCGATCATCGTTGATTGCGGCCGCGTTTGCGGGCGATCATTGGTCTGGATCGGGTGCGGGGTCGCGATTCTCGATGCAAGGGGGCGTTTGTATTGGGGATGGGGAGACCTGACTCGATAGATCACGGTGGGTGAAGCTTTGTGTGGAGCGAGCTGTTTGGGCTGCGGGTTCAATTGATTGATTGCCAGTACCTAACCTGGATGCATCCAAGCCTCTTTTTCTTTGAGCACCCCAACACACATCCCAACTCAAACGGCCCTCAAACTCAGACCCTTCTCTTCTCCCTTCCATTCATGGACACTCCGTACTATTGCAGGGATGCACACAGGGATGCCGGAGCCAATCGGGCGGGCTGAAGCTCCCCTTGAAACACCCAAGTATGAGGCGCGCCGGCCGTTTGAGACGCAGAGCAGAACGACTCGACATGACCCGCTCTGCAGCTGCATGGGCGGTGGATAGTGGACACTACATATGCAGTGCGCTCCCGGGGAAAGGCTGGTTATTGAAATGAAATGACGCCTCGCTTGAAGTTGTCGCATTCGTTTGTTGAGTACCCAGCTGAGCGGAGTCAAGCTGAGGGCTGAGATTCTTTTGCTGGCTGCCTTGTCGCATTGCATTGCATTGTTTGCCCTCAGGATCTTGACTATCTTTTCTTTTGAGGCGGTGCTGTTGGGCTCTGATGAAGATGAAGATGGAGATGGAGCTAGACTCCGACTATGGGCGTCGGCATAGTACAAGGCACAGGGACTACGCGATGACGCTGTCTGGGGATGGGTGAGTCTTCTATGTCTGCTCTCTGGAGATCGGAAGCAAGCTGACAGTGACCGTGAACTAGAAACCTCGAGAACGACGCAAAGCGAGATCTAGAAAAAGAGATCCTCCTCAACACATCGAGATCGAGCCGGCTAGAGGGAAAAAGACGCATCCTGCGCGCCTCGGACGTTCTTTTATCGTTAGCGGGCCGGTCTACAACAAGCGGTACGACCTACCTTTACTCGCTATGTAGAAGATGGGGTAGACAACTGACGTATGCTGTTGGCCAGAGACCATAGAGCCATCACCTGCAGTCGAGAACTTTCAAGAAGTCCTACGGTTATTTCCACCATTTCGCGATGACGACGAGACGACGCCTGGGGCGAGGGAGGCTAAGTGTCCGGATTGCGATGCAGTGTTTTCGTCCGAGTATGCCCCTACTGAAACTTGGTCGAGGATGAAACTGCACGAAGACTAATTGGTTCAGGATCGAGCTGAAACAACACTACCTTACGAAATACTGCACCGGGGCGGCGGTAGCTGTATATGTGATGACGCGCGATCGGTATCACTTACATCTGGTCCTGAAATGGTTTTTTGGAACTGATGATGTACTAGATTAATCACGAAAGGCTACCGCATGGAGAAACGGCTGCTTCCGCTCGACGCCCGCCCGATCCGGTTCTTCTGCGGATATTGCGAGAGGCCCTTTTCTCTGGGCGATGGGATGATAGAAAGGCAACGAAGTGAGCATTGTCTCCTGTCTCAGCGTCACACATCTGACCAGTCGCAGATACGGAGTGTCTTGTGGATTGCACGCATTGCGGTTCGAAATGCAATATCTCGTTCGTCTATCCTAACCGCGACCTCAAACATAACCCTAACAGAGGTAGATACGAGCCCGTCCTCAACGATCCACGCGACGACATAAGCCACCGCGATATCCAAAAAGAAATAGGAAGCGCAAACCACAGCAGGAGCCCCAGTCTAATGCAGAAAAGTTCCATGCCCTTAAAATTCTCCATTTCCGACTTTAATGGCGAGCAGTCTTTGGCGAAGAGGGCTAGGAAGTTGCGCGATTCCTGGTCTTTTCGAAGTATACAGGAACCTCCACAATGTGAAGAGTCCAGGCTAATAATGCCAGAGCTATCTCAGAGCGATGAGGAAGAGCTACTAGCTATAAGCTTTGCTGGGCTATTTGACTTAGAGAGGGGTAAGCAGGTCGATCCGTCATTTGACGTGCCTAGCTAACAGGCCCAGTGCACGCGCCGAACGGGATATATCAGTCGCTTCCGGCTGGGGAAATGGGTCTCTCAGATGCGAGTTTCTGCTCGAGCGGTATGTTCTTCATACACTTTACACAGCACCAGCTGAACAATTAGGGCTCGGCGGTAGCGCAATGGAACCCGAGAAAATGGACCTGCGCGAGGATGAAGGCAGACCAAGGATCAGCGGCAATTCTGATGGAGGACTCATCGACAGCAGGAATGTCGAGTATGAGATACCGGTCTCTTCGAAACGACAATCATTATTTCAGAAGTTATTTGGACGCAAAATCCCACTAGGTAAGCTGAGCCGCTTACTATGCATGGTGCATGGTGGAGATTGACTGGATCCAGGCATATCGCGTTCACGATCAACGAATAAAGGCAAAAAGCTCTTGAAGCGCGCAAACAGCGTACGTTTTTCTTTCGTCACTAAATATTCCCGAGATAGCAGGGCCACCGCCACTGCCCGAAACAGCACGCTTCCGGAGAACGACAGTCAGAACAACAGTTCTTCCACTGTCCAAGATGCAGAGTATATCGCCTTGCTACGGGGAACGCAGGACATATTCGTTCACATGCAGTACATATCAGGTGGGGTAATTGTGCATGACGTCTCTGGTCGACAACGAATTCTCCATGTTGACGAGGTAGCTAAACTGTTTCTGCAAATGAAAGAAGAGCTTTCCTCAACAGCAGCCTGGTCCCGAGCCCTAACAGCACGGCTCCGAGGAGAAGCGATGCTCAAGCAAGGCAATTCGCAAGGAGCAATCATGGAATTCCACGATGCCGTGAAACTCCTCGCTGACACGCCTGGCCTTGACATCGAAAAGCAGACGCGGGCGTCTATTCTACGCTCCATGGGCAAAGCATACCAGGCTCTAGAGATCCCCGCGGAAGCAGAAGCGTGCTATCTTGAGTCGTTAGGCCTCTACAAGCGCGTTCTAGGCCGCGATCACCCCAAGAACTTCGCCGTTCTCCATGACCTGGGCAGCCTCTGCGAGAAAGACGGCTACGCCACTGAAGCCGCAGCGCTATACGAGCGTTCCTTCGCAGGCCGACTCAAGACGCTAGGCCACAACGCTCCAGAAACACTAAGCAGCATGCAAGATTTAGCCTCACTGAAGGTTCTTCTCGGTGACCTCGAATCCGCCCTCTTACTCCTTGAAAAGGCCGTGCCAGCCCTAGACACAGTCTTTGGACTTCAGCACGCCACAACGCTCAACGCAATGAACAAGCTCTCTTTATTGTACCAAAAGCTCGGCCTGAAAAAAGAATCACGTACTATCACCACCCGCACTATCCCTCACTGCCGCACCGTATTCGGCCTTACGTCCCAAATCACCCGCGACACCCTCCTCCGATACCTCCAGACCACGAAGGACGATTTCGACTTCCCACCGGACATACAGGAGATCCTCGATGCTTACCAGCGCTCCCGCGATGCCGATTGTCTGCGCGTCATCCACCGATTGGGTCGATTATACATGGATGCCGGATTAAACCGCGACGCAGGAGCTCTCTTCGAGACACTCGTCGAGGACTTCCTTGCTGTGAAAGGCCCCGAAGCAGCAGAGACATTCGACGCGCTCAGCGCGCTGTGTGTCTCACGCGAGCACCTAGACTCTGTGGATAAAGCGATGCTTGCATACCGGCAGCTTGTGCATATGGCGAAACGCACGCCAGACGGTCACCAGTCGAGGAAGAGGATCGGGTATGCCGAGAAGAGAATTGCAGAATTGAATCGCCGCCGCGAGATACTTGAGACTGAGAAAAGAGAATGGGGGCTAATGGAGCCGGGGAGATGTATGGGGTGTGGTGCAAGTACCGCGGTGCTTTGTAGCAGTATGTCTACATTTCCCTAACCCTAACTATTGAATAAACAGTCACTAATAATGCACCGTCCAGCCTGCAACATCGCGCGCTTCTGCAATGACACCTGCGCAAAACAAGTCCCCTCGCACATCCATCAATGCATCCCCTCAGCAACCCTCCGACAATCCAAATCCCTCGCGGTGAAACCCAAGTGCCCAATCTCCACGCGCGATCAGGCTCTCTCGAAGGTCAATCACGCCAACCTCGACCCAAGCATTCCCGGATCAAACGTGGCTATCGGGCTTAGCATCAAGAATGTCACCGTAACAGCAAGCCACACGTTCTACCTGGACCCGCGCAACTTCACGACGTTCCGGATGAAGTTGAGAAACGACGTCAACACCGTCGTGCTGTTCTCGCTGGATAGTGATGTTGAGTGGACGGTGCTTACTACAGAATCCATGCCAGATACAGGAGGTAGAACAGCAACAGCAGCAACAGAACAGCCAAGAAGACGGATCTCATTCTCGAGACCGACGACGTCGAGTAAGAGGAATGTTCCAGCGACATTGAACCCTACAGCTATCCCATCATCATCACATTGCCATTCTCACGCGCAAACACCACAGCCGCAAACACAAACACAACAGCAGGAGCTCACCTGGCTCACCCCCCAAACCCAAGCCTCACTCTCCCACACGCCCATCCCATCCCCCAAGTCGAACACAAACACAAACACAAACAACCCCACACCCTCCCCCTCCTCTTCGCCCTCAAAAAACACCCCCCAACCCCCCACCACCAACCCCGAAAAATACCTCCTCGTCAAGCCCGGCAAAGAAATGCTCAAGTCCCTGGTGGACAAGCGTGCGCGGGTGCGCGGACCCTCTTCTTCTCCGCTTCCGTCCTCGGTGGGTGTAGCCGTGTCTGGGACACAGACGCAGACGCAGACGCAGACGTATCCGAGCAAAGAACTCATCGAGTATGCGCAGGGTTTACTGCTCACGGGGTATTTGGGCGAGGCGTTCATGTATGTTGTGGAGTGGGCTTGGAAGTAACGACATGGAGAATTGGGTTGATGAGCGGGCAAGATATGGTATTTAGGGCGACGCTCGTTCTATGTTTATATGAAACTGGATATGTAGTTAGGTAGATAGAGGTAATTGATAATGATAATCTGGAACATGACTAGGACTACGGGATTCCGGAACTTCGCGTAATGAAACGAAAGGAAGGAGCATATATATCGCGAGTTTAATCTAAATACAAGAATGCGATCTAACGCTCGAATCGCCTTTAAACAAGCAAGCATGCATGCATGCAGGCCACACTCTATACCACGCCGCTCAGGTAAAAATATATGATACAGTAATCAATGCAGATGGACATCACATCGTAAGACACTCTAAAGTAGAATAAGCGCCATTCTTTTTCTTGCTTGGCCATGCCGTTTTGTTTGGGCTCTACCTAAATCGCAGGCAAATCAGCTGTCCTCGTCGTCTGACTTCGCACTCTCATCGTCATCGTTGCTATCCCACCCCTCCGCCTCCAGCTCGCGGCCCTTGATGCCGAAGCTGAGGAAGAAGCCCACAAGCGAGACGGCCGCAAACACGCCGAAGGGGATTGCTTCGCCCTTTGGTTGCACGCGGGCGGCGAGGGAAAACAGGCTGCCGGAGAGGAAGGGACCGACTGCGCGGCCGGCGGCAGAGAGGGTCTGGGCGAGGCCGTTGAGGGCGCCGAGGACGGCGTGGTCGGGGGCGGAATTTGTGATCTGCGAGGGTTAGGGTTAGGTTAGGCTGCTATAAGGGGATGTACGGTAGTAGAGAGCTTACCAAGAGGAGTGCGCTCGTTAGCCCGCCAACGGCGGCAACGGTCTTAACTAAAAGAACGAAGCAGAGCTCGATGGCCAGGAATGCTGTCTTCCCTGTTACGCCCTTCTTCCCAGCATCATCGCCTTTGTAACCGATGAAGGGCATGAGGATGAACGCAACCACGAAACCAAAGAGGCCGGCTCGGTAAGACCACCGGTTGCCCATCTTGTTTCGCAGCTGGCCGAAGATGCAGATTTGGAAGATGATGGTTACGACGCCCGAGAAGCCCTGGGCGAGGCCGATCTCAGACGGAGTAAGACCACGTCCGATAGGCGGCGCGGCTTGGGAAAATATAGGAAACAGCGCGTTGAAGGCGATGTTGCACAGGGCAAATATGAGATAAGTCAATAGGAGAAGGATCGTATCTCGGTTGAGGAGTTCGCTTCGTGTCAACCCTTCGTGGCCGTGGTGGTCATCGGATAATTCTGAAGCCGAGTCCAAGTCACTATCATGGTCCTGTTCCTCACCTGATTGTTCGCGAAGTAACCGGTACGGAAGATGGTCCCCTGGCCGTACACTCCTAGGTCGCTTCGCAAAGCTGGTAATCTGCCAGAGCCACGCAAACATGTCACGGATTTTCTTGCCGAATTTGGGCATCGTATCCGCATCCTCCAGACTTTCCTCCAGGAATATCAGCGCGACACCGAAGTCCAGCATGAGAACCGCGGCAGACAGCAGATTCGGCCAAAGGTACGGGTAAGGATTCGGTTCTCCCTTTTGGAACGGATTTTCCCGGAAAACAAGCAAGCCACCCAGTAGAGGGCCGGTGATGCCGCCGACGCCGTAGAGCACCGGTAGATAGGTAAACGCCTTGGACTGATTGCTCTTATCGGTGATTTCCCCTAGACAAGTCGACACCAAGCCCTGGTTTCCATTAACAACACCCATCAACGCCTGCACCGCAACAGCCTGCCACAACGTACTGCAGAACCCGAACGCGACGAAGCACACTGCGGTCAAGATCGTGCCTAGCAGGATAACCGGCTTCCGCCCGATCCGATCTGACAGCCAGCCCCAGAAATAGTTGGTCACCAACTGTGCTACCGCAAACGCCGTCCCAATCATCCCCACGTATACACCAACCATGCCCGGCTTCACCTCGGGGAACGACGACGCCATGTCGGGAAGATAAGGGCTGATCGAGTTGAAGGCCGTCTGCTCGCACAGCGCGATCAATGCTAGCACCATCATCTGCTTCTTAGGGAGGGGCGATTGCGACGCTGATTCATCGGGGGAATCATGGTGATGGTGCCGCGAGTCCTCGCCGGACGACGCGGACTGGCCGGAGTTTGGTCTGCCGCGGGATTTTGGCGGGGGTGTGTCGAAAGTGTGGTAGTGCAGCGTTGATGAGCGGCGCCTTGGGATCGGCTCCCGGTCTGGCGTCTTCATTTCGGAATTCGTACTCGAGTACGTATAGAACGCGGATAACGGTTGCCGCTGGTGGGATGATTCTGTAGGCTAGAGCGCAAGTCCGGGAGTCGCGGGGCTGACCGCGGCCAGAAAGGTTGAACGAGGCTCTGTCTTATGAATGGGAAGTAGTAATGTCGTGTTCACACCTCATTGTCGATTCTATCCAGTAAATGAGTTATTCTAAGGCGACCATGGCCGGTAGAATTGGGAAGAGACCGTAGCAGGCACGCGAGCTGGATCCGGAACCCGCAAGAATTGAGGCTGGCGATGATGTAAGCGATCTTGGGGCCATCACGTGAAATTCTCGACCAGGGTCACACTAGACATTAATTGAGGTCAAAGTCGATTCTCCAATGTTGACATCTAAGGAGACTGCCCAGTTGCAATGCATACGGTCATGCCAGTCATGGTTGTTGTGTGAATCAATGCAAACCCCGGATGATGTCACTGTTTCGGCTATCCGAGCCAGGAGTATACAAGGAGACAATGGAGAGTGAACAATGAAAATGACCAGTAATTGCTTGATGTTGCTTTGAACAATAACCGCGCCTCAAAGCAAAGACAGTCTAACTTGGAGTTTGCTTTTGTGTCCTATCGACAGCCTGCAAGAAACCCCGAAATAGGTATCACTCGCATGGATCAGAGCCAGCTCACCTGCCCCTCGATTCCACCCAGATTCTTCCCATTGCCTGGTTTCCATGTCTACTACAACACTCTCGCCCTTCTTGTCTTTATATTTGTGCCTAGTTACCGTCAATAAAATTGAGTCAGTCTCGTCCTCGAACGGCTGAGTGGTAATGTATGGAGCTTCGCATTCACCCGCCAATTAAGCTGACGATGAACAGGTTGTTTACTGGCTCTGCAAGATCCAAAAAAGTCTGAAGCGGCAAATTACGCACTCCCTGACTCGGAAGAAACTTAGACTGGGCACCGAAAGATGGTTCGGAAACACGGCCCTTCGTCGACTATTTAAATGATTCAATCTTCCCGACCCCGGGTCTCCTATCCTCTCCCATCTTCCAAAAGACAGAAACGACAACCCGATATATGTGGACATGACATATCTCCCTACCAATCATGATGTCTAAGCTCGTGTGCGGGCGCCCTGATGGCGATATCTCCTTGGATGACAGTTATCGGATATAGATGCCAGTCATGGCGTCCTTGACTTTCACCCATTGTCGGTAAGTACTGACCTGAATTCAACGCTCCACAAAGCATATCACACCTCGATGATGAATTCAAGGAACCAGGAGTCTTGTTTCGGCACGCTGAAAGGCAAGGATTCCAAAGCCAGCAAAGCTGAACATCATCACAGTGTCGTTTTATCATTGACCGGAGTCTCAGAGCGTAACAAGGTAACTGGAATCACTTGCCTTGATGATGTTAACTAGCCCATCACAAGCCCTTGAAGTCTGAGAGGCCGTTCTCATTTCAACTCATCCTATCAAGAAACGCATACTTGATCTTTGCTAACAAAGCTCATGCACAACTTGAACCAGAAGAAACAGATAAGAACGTGAGGTGGATGGGGAAGAAGTTTCCAGATTGCATATTGCTCTTCAGAACGATGAGAAAGGGGAATCACCAAGTGGCCAAGGTAAACAAGGGAGATAGGTACGTATGAGCAGCTTCCTTTATTACAACGTTGAATTCTTATGGAAATAACTACCTAGGTCGGGTAGACGTAGGGCCTCCTTCCCGTCTTCTTCTGAATGTCACCGGGGCAGGGCGAAATGGCAACTGCAACCTTCGATTAGGGCTCGGACGCGACCAACACTTACTGTGCCCCTGAACCATCTAGGTGTCTTACGAGAGAAATGGGGAAAAGCGCAGACGGACTCAGTGCATCAAATCGTCTTCCGATCACCATGGCCCGCACGATGGCCAAGAAATCCAGCCTGCGAGGCGAGTCGCCGTCTCCAGCACCAGAAAACACCTCTCCCGTACCAGTGCTTATTCGACGTCCCAGCGCTCAGATCCAATCCCGCAGCGTTCGCGTCTGCGTCTGCAGCGTCCCTATCCTCAGGAAACNCCCCCCCAACCCCGGCTGTCCGTCCCTATTGCAACTGACTGGCGACTTGCCGTTCCAGCTACTGGACAACTACCGTGCTCTTAACCGTCAACAGGACTCTGCGCCCCGACGCTCCCGCCGGCCTCAGCCGGTGTCGTCTCTTATTTCGCCTCCGAGGACTTTGGATCATCGCGACACACTCTCCGGAGTCATTGGTACAGGGCCGTCTCACAGAAGACCTTCGGCTGACGGGTTTTCGGAGCTTGGGGTACAGGGCTGGCTTGATACACAAGAGACAGGGGCAGAGACGGAGGAATTTAAAGAGACGGAGACAAAGACAGAGGCACGGAGATAGAGAGAAGAGCGACACCGAAATCGCGCGCTTCAGCGCTTATTGGACCCGCCCTCCCTGCTGCAGCCGCCTAGTATGAAAGCCCAGTTCGGAGTGAGAATCTGCGTCGTCTGGCTGGTGAGGAGGACTCTTATGGGCTTAGGATCCCGCGGTGGTTAGACGCAGCACCTGCGCTGGCGGTTGGGATATACCCAGGGTCGAGCATGGTCTCCCAGGTCTGTTTCCTCAACTTCTTTGCAGGGTTTCTGTCTTCTTCTGACAATACGTAGTACGGTGTCCAGGCTGCGGAGCCTGTTTCTTTCCGGACGCTGCTTCGGGTTTGCTCGTAGTGTAGATGTGTTTTCTTATCTTTCCATGGCTGTTCTCTCGGCACTTGCTATATTCTATCTGCCTGGGTATGACGCCTCAAGGTGGCTGGCTAGGAACTGCCGGGTTATGGTTTGCTCTGAAACTCTGGATGTCTAATGACGAATGTACAAAGTGTTTCTAATGCCATGCTCGGAGTGAATGTCCGGCATCTTTTGACATACGCAGTCAGTCTATCGGCAGCATGAATCTCCGCAAGCTCGAGCTCCTCGCCATCGCCGTCTCCACTGGAACGCGCGACTCCCTCAACTCCAGCTTCGACCTCAGAAGACGAACGGTCAGAGTCCGCAGCAGACTCCGATGCCCAGCGCAAGTGCCTAGACGACATGGGCGAGGCTATACTTCACAGCATCAACAATGTCAAAGATGGTCAGTACTCTTTTGTTTTGCTCCTTACAACTAACTCTATTGAGAGCAGCCGCTCTAGCTCCTTCCTGCGAGCATCTGGTTCATTTCAACTTACAGCGTATGTGATATTAGACCAGGTAACTTCCCGTAGAATAAGAAGGCAGCAGTCTGTTTGTCTACATGTCGATCTACTGCTACTCAATCGGTTAAGCAGGTGCTTCGGTGCAGTTGAACACCTGGGTCGTGCCTTCCTTTCCCAGCTCCAGCTAAAGCCGACAATCCCATCCTAGGACATGAACTCTCCGTCCCCATCTCTTTCCTCTCAACCCTTCCAAGTAACTCCAATCGCCGTGGGCACCTACAAGAGAACCATCGAAATCAACCCAGTTAAGCCCTATCTACAGTATGACGCCCAGCGGCCCTTGCTCACATCCCGAGGAATATGAAAGCTTCGATATGGACCCAGATCCCGGTACGTAGCCTCACTACACTAGCCGTCTTATAATCTGTCACATCCTTTCACTCCAGTATAGCTCAAGCTAACAAGATCCGAACCCAGAAGCCGGCCTTCACTTGCTTCTACCTGTGCGGGGCATAGAGCCAGCCCTGTCATGGAACATTCGTTTTTATATTAGTCTATTTGGTACTCTGGAATGGGACCGAGACCGACTAGACACAAGAGGTCCCTAGCTCTTGGATGAGACCTTTCGTCAGATCTTATTTCAGTTGATCCCAGGTAGCCTCTCAGAAGCAGACGCTACTGGAAATCCTGAAATGTCGACAGTATCTTTTGTCCCACAGCCCTAAACCTCGGCCCCATATATTCCGCAAAGCTGTCAAACCGCGGAAGTGAAATTCGGTGGTTTTCATAACGTTGCGAGACTCAGGGCCAACCTAGACGACACGTCCGTCGACACAGATATCCGAGCCCTCTTATCTGTCACGAATCGGGGTTCATGGTAGCACGTAGTGGGCAGGGTATGGAGCACTCAGGCTCCGATATTCTGACATATCTCGCTAATGCAGTACAACCCTTGCCGGAATGGGCTGGAGTCCTTCCAACGAGATGTAAGTGAGCCTCCTGTTTCTCTTGGAGCCGACTCCACGGTCCGCTGATTCCGCTCTCAGCTGGTCTTCTGCACTTGCAGCATGATCACGATACAGTCGGAATCTTTGCTGACGTGGTGAACGATGAGTCGATACTGTTATGCGAGGATCGACAATCTTATCCGGTGCAACCGAGTTTCACGCATATGCAAGTCAGCTTGTCCTTCCCCTTCGCCTCCCTCTCTGTCCTTCATCTGAATCAGCATCACCAAAGTCATCGTCAACGTCACCAGCATGAGAGGAAGGAGCATGGAATGACGCAGCACGAATCAGATTCTCTTGACTCGGCGCAACCCGAGCTCCTCCACCAAGTGAACGCCCCCTTGAGCGCTCGATGGACCGGCCCCTCTTCGTTCCGGTCACTGTTCCGTCAACGTCGTCAAGTGCCACATTTGTCGTAAACAGATCCGAATCCTGGAATTGGTTTGGCGTGAACCGCGGCCTCGCTCTCGCCGATGGTCCAGAGTGGCTCAATTCCTCCTCATGCTTATGCTTGTTCGGATCCTTCCGTAACGTAAACAGCGTTGGGACATTTGCCGCGAACGCAGCGAAGAACTCTTCGACCGAGCCCCACGTGTTGCGGTTCACTTGCGCCGTGCTGAAGGAGTAGGTTGGGAGGCGAACGATTGCAATGGCAATTAATAGCAGACCGACGGAGAATAGCAGAACGTACTGGAGGCGTCTGTGATCGTTAGCACTGACCTTTTGCCTGAATGTATAGGGTAAGTACTTCAACCATGATTTCCTAACTCTCAGCAGCCAAGGCATTGGGAGAAGGATGAGCATTGCGTCGGTAGTAATGTTAAGGGCGACAAGGGTGACGAGCTGGGTGTTCGCTTTGACGCAATCTCCTAATTTATTGATTAGGACTAAGTTTTTGTCAAGGACATCAGGTTGACGCACCAGGATCGGGCACAACCTGCCAATACAGATGCGCAGGCCGACACTCGCCAAACGTCGTCCCCATGACAGCCGTCAGGCTCCCTAGAAGGACAAACCAATAAACCTTGACAATCATCTCGGGTTCCGGGAGACCGGTAAGCACGCGTTCGCACAGCAGGAGGACGTTTGATTTCTGGATCCAGAGGCTATACACCGTCAGTACCCCATTCCTCAGCAGAGCAACAAAACGAGGCATACTAAGTGTTATAAACCGCCCGGTTCGCGAGCGTCATCTTGCTCCCAATTGTTCTATGATAAATCTCCACATCTGTCAGGCCCAACGCAGGCCTTTTCATATTATTGTTACCCCACAGCAGCACAACAGTCGTGAGCGCAGACCGAGTCAGCACGAACAAAATGCAGACCATTGTCAGGTAGTCGCTGAGGATAAAGTTCTGGTTGCGGTACTTCCGCATGAAGAGGCGGAGGATCATGAGGATGATGGAGAGACCGCCGAAGACGCCGACGAGGGCGAGGGTGGTGGTGAGGTCTTCTTTCATGCCGTCAATGTTGCATAGTATTGTATCCTCTCTCACTCGCTCTCTTTCTCGTTTCTCAAGGTCGAAAGCCGCACCCTCGCTGGAACGTAAGGCTGAACAGTTGACGGGTCAAAGTGGGCTGTTTTTTATCGTCCGGTTCTTATTCTTCTAGAACCTCGCATGAATAGCGATCGGCAGGCAGGCTGAACTTTGCTAACTTGGTTTTTCCTTCCGAGACAGTAGCAGTGGAGATTCTGATCCTGCCGTTTCGAAGTGAGCGAGGCGATGCCGAGGCACGACATCTTGGTGGTTGATAGCAACAATCTAGTATTGCTCAACAAGCAGACCCAGCGTGCATCAAGATAAGCTCAAGACCCCGTTATAATGCTGCAGAATGCAAGGAAATCGCAAGCAGATGTCGCGCACAATCCCGAGGTGATGGATGCCATGATGGAGAAGAGGGCGATCGAAGAGGTAGGGATTGGCAGTGCTAAACGTGCAGTGGAGCAATTAGCGAGATATAAAACAACGAACTCGCCCAAGATGCAACTAGTGCTCCGAGCTGTCCGGGCTGCCCGAGATTATTGACAGGGTTATTTATCGGCTGGAACTTTGCTTTTTCCCCTGCCATCGTCTCAACTCCGGCCCCGGACTAGTTCGCGAATCGCCGATATGTTTCGGCTTTCCTTGGCCGCCGCTGGCCTCCTGCAGGTGTTTGGCTCCCTTGTCCAGGGCAGCGCTGCTTCAGCTTCAGCTGGAGTTGGCAGCCATGAAGCGCTTCACCGCCGCTCATACTTTTATGTCGGCGGGGAGTATGTCAATACCACTGATGGCTGGATGATGCATAACCAGATGTACGTCGAGAAGCTCTCGCCGGCGAACGGGACCACACAGGCCTATCCGATTGTGATCCTGCATGGGGGTGCTCAGACTGGCACTGTACGCATACATATTCACCTCACTTTGTCCACTGATGCTAATGAGTGACATAGAACTTCCTCAACAAGCCCGACGGCGGCCGCGGCTGGGCCTCATGGTTCCTCTCGCACGGCTACGAGGTATATATTGCCGATAGGACCATGACCGCACGATCGCCCGTCCTTCCAGCAGACGGATATGGCGAGAGCGTGTTCTCTGCAGAGTTCATTTCGCAGCGCTTCACGAACGTCCAGGGCTACCCACTCTGGCCGCAGGCCAAGCTGCATAGCCAGTGGCCTGGTGTACGTGGCACCCATCTCTGGCCCTTGAAGGAAAAATGCTGACATGTTGTAGACCGGCGAGCGCGGCGATCCCATTTTCGACGCCTACTACGCCAGCAACGTGCAATCCATCTCAGACAGCGAGGCGCAGGAGGTCACCATGAAGGCTGCAGGCGAGGCGCTCCTCGACCAGATCGGCCCCGTGGTTCTGATCACGCACTCCCAGGGCGGACTCTACGGGTGGTCTTTGGCCGACAGCCGCCCCGAGCTCATCAAGGGCCTCATCCAAATTGAGCCGAAGGGCCCCCCATTCAAGGAAGTCATCTTCTCGAATTCCTTCAGCCGACCATATGGACTTACCTCCATCCCACTGACCTACGACCCCGCGCCGACGAACAAGACGGTCCCGCTGAGCATGCAGACGGTCCCACCACCCAACAGTACATCCGGCGAGCTGCTCGAATGCATTATCCAGGCCGAGCCGGCGCGCCAACTGCCGAACCTCGCGCACGTACCGATCCTCATTGACACGGGCGAGGCGTCGTACCATGCGACGTACGACTACTGCTTTATCAAGTTCTTGAAGCAGGCGGGTGTGAAGAACGTGCAGCACCTGGAGCTAGGCAAGCGCGGAATCCACGGAAATGCGCACCTGCAGTTCCTCGAGAAGAACTCGGATGCGATTGCGGGTGTGTTGCATGAGTGGATTGGGAATGTCACGGGCAGCTCGTGAGCGAGTTGCTGACTTGGTAGTTCGAGAGTGAGTTGTCGGCTTGGATAAGCTGAGTTGTCACTTGGCCACGGAGTATTATTGCACGAAGGAAACACGGTGTATCTTATAGTATAATACTGTATATTAGATTTAGACCGCCGCCCAGATAATAGTACACGCTGTGGCGGCATAATCATCGAGACTCAAAGTCGAGTCACACCAATCAGCCCTGGCGTAGACTGTAGGATGCTCCGATGATCACCGTGTCTAGATCAGATCGACAACACGTAAACAGATCCTGGTCGCATATCAGGACAAAGAACCACTGCAGGTACGCAGTCCTACAAAAGCAAACATGATTAGTCCATTATTATGGCCAGGGCATTGGGTCTGTGCCCCTTTGCGGGCTTAAATATCCCATCACACCACGCCTGGAGGATTGTAGATCCGGGCAATCCACTTTGAATACTTTTCTCACAGAAGGTTCCATCATGAAGCAGTTACTCACCATCCTACCTTTTCTCTTGAGGGCGAATGCGGTCCCGCTGGCAAGCCCTAATTCCGAAAGCCCACCAGATCTCTCAAACCTGATCGACGGTGTACTCCCCGGACTGCTCGACCCGGGGTCCGGTTCAGGTCCAGGTCCAGGTTCTGGCTCTTGCTCTGGCTCTGGTTATGGACCAGGTTCAGGCTCAGACTCCGGCTCCGACTCAGGAATCACTCCTCCCCTCCCAGGGTACACCCTAACCTGGCACGATGAGTTCTCCTCCTCATCCTCAACACCCCACTCCGACACAAGCCACCTCCCCTCCTCCTCAAACTGGCTCTTCGACCTCGGAACCTCCTATCCAGCCGGCGCCCCAGCATGGGGAAACAACGAGCTCCAATCGTACACAACCTCGCCGCAAAACATCCGCATCACACCGCAGAACACGCTGCAGATCATCCCGCGCCTCTCTGCAGGAGACGGCGGCAACAACGGAGGCCAAGGCCAGTGGACAAGCGCGCGCATCGAAACAAGCTCAACATCGTTCGCCGCCGCCCCGGGCGGAAAGCTGTACATCGAAGCGCGCCTGCGCACGGGGTGCGCACCGGCCTCGCACCAACACGGCATCTGGCCTGCATTCTGGGCGCTGGGGGAATCCTTCCGCGCAGATCCCACGTACTGGCCCATGGCGTCGGAGTGGGATTTCGTCGAGGTCATCAATGGCCAGCCCACGACCTACAACACGCTCCATTGCGGGGTTGACTCGGGCACTGGCGGTCCGTGCAATGAGTATAACGGGCTGGGGAATGGGGGCGTTAGCTGGAGCGGGTGTGAGTGGCATGTTGTTGGGTTTGAGGTTGATCGGTCCGGTTCTGAAGGATCGGGATGGCGGGGGGAGACGTTAACGTGGTTCTTGGACGGAGAGCAAACGCACGTTGTTTCTGGAGCTGATATTGGCGTTGAGGGTGTTTGGGAGACGGTCGCGCACCGGGGGCATTTTCTGCTGCTGAATGTTGCTGTTGGGGGGAATTGGCCTGGGTATCCGGATGGGAATACGGTTGATGGGGAGGAGGTGGGTATGGAGGTTGACTATGTGCGTGTTTGGAATGCGGATGGGGTTTTTTATTGATCTAGGAGGAGAGGATCTTCGTTAGTTTGATTGCGAGATGAAGCTATCATGTTGGGGTGTGGCTTCCCTTTTCTCTTCCAGAAGTCCGTGGGCTTGCCCATCTCCGTTTGTTCAAGCATAGATTCCTTTTCCCGATCCTTTCTGTATCAGTCTCTGACTCTCAAGGGTCAGGAATCAGGATCAAGAGTTCTTATTTTGGCGCTGGTGTCAAAGCCTTGCAAGTGGAAACCATTGGAGCTCAGCCGCAGCGGGACCCTGGAGTTTGGGATTCGAGGAGCAACGGACATGGCCAATCAGACACCACGAGATGCGCTGAAAGATTGATGGATCTAAAGTATGATTCCAGTTGGCGTTCTCTTATGCAGGACAATTTATAACCCTGCCAACTAGAAGGCTTGTTGGTGGCTTGGCTGGACTGATGTCCAATTCGACCAAATGCCTGCATCGCGAAGACGCGGAGAGGCTTAGCCTTCAGCTGCAAGATTAACGCCTTGGCCAATCAGACTGTTGTTTCTCGCAAGACCTGCGACATGATTCATGATTCATGAAAAGGAAAACCAGGAGCAGATCCAGATCCTTCAGGCTGAGTTCGGCCCCCAACTCCACATGGGACAATCCCGACATCTATCTCTCAGAGTCGATCCAGGATAGTGGGAGTTCATCTGGTCATCATGAGATATTGGATGCGGCGAGGTGATTCCTCTTAATCGATCATCAATAGCAGGTTCAGCGTGCTCCAGCTGTTCCTACTCCATACCGAATCCAGCAACAATAGCAAATGGAGGGAGCGAGTCCGGCCTGAACTACTAAGGCCAGCAGGCTGAGTCGCCCAGTGTCTCCACCCCTGCGCCATCCTTCTGTTCTATACAGCGGAGTCGAAGCTAACCTGGACTGGCAATGCTACAGAGCACCTTGTTATGTCTGTAGTCGGGAACATTCCGCCCCCAAAGCCTTCAGTTCCATCGTATTTATACTCCAGGCCATGGCCCCTATATTCTGTCTCTCCACTTCTTCCATCACATATTCCTCAAATCTTATCTCCACAGCGAGACCTTTGACGAGTCCTTGATCGTACCAAAGCCTCCTCAGTGGCTGAGAAGAAAGACAAAATGGCCATCTGCTACGACACAAACGGCAACCAAGACACATCCCAATTTCCCTGCTCGGCAGACGGCGAACCCGCACAATGCTGCGAACTGGGCCAGTATTGCGCATCCAACGGCCTCTGCGTCAACAACGGCACCAACGACGGCTTGACGCCATACAGTATCAAGGGCTGCAGTGTACAGGATTGGACCGACGGAGGCGTTGATACATGTACCAATGAGTGTGTTGCTGGTGAGACTTCCCTCTGGCTCGTGTAGTGACCTTAGCAATGGACAAGTGCTAATGCAATGCGGCTATAGGCGGAGGAGTCGGCGTCTCAGCCTGCGGCTCAGGAAACTTCTGCTGCTACGGCTTCGGCGGATGCGACTGCAACAACAGCACACAAGTATTCTCCCTCGGCCCCGTCGAGATCGTCGCCACAATCACAGGCGCGTCAACCACCACCGCAGCAACAACCACACCAACCAGCACAACAACATCAGACACATCCACAACACCAACCGGCGACTCCTCGTCTCCCTCTTCCTCAAGCCATCTCGGCCTCGGCCTAGGCGTCGGTCTCGGCGTCGGCATTCCCCTCCTCATAGCCGCCATCTTCATCCCGCTCTTCCTCCGCCGAAGACGTGCGAACAGGGCCCCTGTCATGGCATCAGATAAGGGCGGTTACTACCAGCCTCCGCCGGCACAGGGACAGGTCGAGCCTGACGGGTCATATTTTGCGGCTCAGCAGCAGCCGCATCTGGGTGGGCAGACGCCCTATGAGCACAAAATTGGCCCTGTGTCGCCGGGGCAGGCACCTCCGTACACGGAGCACCAGGCTTATGAGATGGCGCATGAGCCGGTGCAGCAGCAGCCTCATGAGTTGCAATAAAGCGCTGCTGAGCAGTGTTATGCGTTGATTTGTGCCTTTTCTTGATACCGTTTGTTGCTGGAGACGTTGGACGAGTGCGGGAGACGAGTATGGCATGGGTCGACGTCGACATGCATTGATGATACTTTGAGCACTATACCTGAGCGATGCGAGTTACTATAGATCTAATAGTTTTATACCCCTCTTTTGTCTCTGTTTATTGTTGGTCCGGCCTGAGTATTGACTTCAGCGTTGACTCACCAACACTTCCCGTTGACTCGTGCACTGTCTGTGCAACGGTCCACTCAATTCCACATCCCCCGACATGATTAAGTCTACTAGAATCTCTAGTACCGAGGCTGACAATTAGGTATGGTCTTACAAGGGGCGTACAGTTGTGTACGAGGTTGACTCGATTCTTTCACCCCTCCAAGTTAATTCTTATATAGGCAAAGACTCCAACAAATACAAGGAATATAGACACTAGCCATTTGTCTTGGTCGTGTTTACACACATCTATGGATGAACATCTAGTTACTGGGTTGGGGTTGGTTCAGGTTGGCCGATTAGGGCTAAGCTATGGAGGTAGTTAGTGCAACGAATACGGCCAAAACGACCTCGAGCAAGAGGATGTATGTATCTGTATTGAAGATAGAGGAATCATGTGTACGACATCAATCAAAGCGCATTCGCAGGACCCATGAATGGACATGCACCTCATCCCACACCCATCCCCCCTTCTCCCCTGGTGTCTCTTCACCACTCAAGACTATCAAGGTCTTCTGAACCACCACCCATGCAATCCAACTCTTTACAAACTATCCAAAAACGTTAGCCAAAGCCCGACCACCTAAGTAACAAAAGCGTGAGGGGGAAGGCAAAGTAGAGGGTATCACGAACGCTGCTCAGCCTGCTCATATCTCTTGTTTAGCCGCGGTTCTCGCTTCGCAGGGTATATCGCCTCTCCTTGGCTCTTCTCTAGCTTGACGTGTTCTTTCACGAGGGTAAGAATGTGCGACCATGTGTCTGGATACTGTTAGGTTTTCATTTTGGTGGGTGGAAGCGAGAGAGCCTTACTTGAGGACTCAAGGTCTTGAAGATCTGAGAGGGTAGAGGTGAAGATCGAGTTCCTTGATGATGCCGATGGGTTAGCCCTAACTCAACCTCTATCAGAAAGACTTACCCTAACTGGCACTTTGTTTCCAGTTCCGAAATCAACGTCTTGACCCTCTCCTCCAGATTCGACAAGAGAGAACCCGATTCTTTTTCGTTCGTGTTCTCCGGGCTGGAACTGTACAGGTCGTATCGGACTGAGGTCGTCCGCTCAGATAGTGGAAGGATGTTCAATGAGACCCAACATTGACTGTTGGGGATGGGGAAGAGGAACATGTTTGGGAAGAGATGGCTTAATCGGGGCTTTGGTTCTCGCTGCCAGTGGAAGGATCCTAGCATGCTCTGGATGATGGAGCTTTGGCATGAGGGCAATGTCCCTATCCCCCCTAGCCCCAGAGCATCAGTGAGAAGGGTTGTTTGTACTTTCCAGTCAGCGTTGCGGTCCCTAGCCGTGCAGGTGGCAGGGAGAATACTCACAGGCCATTTTCCAATTAAAGGATCCCTCCAACCTCCCTCCGCCAACCCAAGCAGACCCCCCAAGATCGATCCCAAGCTCCTTCGCCATATCTTCCTCCTTCCCATCTACCCCTTCCCCCTCTATACTGAGATTAACCCAAACAAGCCCATCTCTGACCTTGACCCCCACCCCAAAAAGCCCATTCGCACTCTTCTCAAACCCCTCAACGCCATCAAACTTCGGCGCCTTGATGAGTTTCCCAGAAGAATCATAGCTCCAGCCATGATACCGACAGCTCAGCACCGTCGAGCATCCGCTCTCACGGCCCGGTCTCGTAACGGGATACGCCCTGTGCCGGCAGACGTTATGGAATGCGCGGATCTGCCCGTCTTTGGATCGAATCAGGAACAGCGGGATCCCGGCCGGGGTGGAGGTTATGTATGTTCCGGGTTTGGTGAAGAGGGGTGTTAAGGCGAGGGGTAGCCATTTCTTTCTTTTGGTGTTAGCATTGCGTTGGTTGGGTTTGGTTTGGTTTGGTTTGGGATTTGAAGGGGGGACGAACCTTGCTAAAGATGGCGCGCTTCTCGAGCTCGAATAGTGCCGGGGATGTGAGCCAGTCTATAGGGAGTCCAGGCTCTTTGGTGACGGTTTGTTCGGGTTCTGGTTGTGATGGGGGCTTTGGGGAAGCTTTGGGGTGTATAGGAGTGGAAGGGGTGGAGGCCCAGCGATACAGGTATACCACTGCCAAGAAAAACGCGACTAATGGTGGGAAGATGGATTCCATAGCTAGAGATATCTGAGCCTGTGGGCAAGCTATAGAAGCCATTCCTTAGACGCCTTTAATAGTTAGAAGTAGATGGTAGTTTAACCGTTTAACAGGATGGCTATCAACACGGACAAACGTTCGGCTGCCGAAAGAGGTTCACATTTCCAGTCTACTCTCAGAAGGACTGGTCGGAAGAATAGCCGACCATTGCGATCGTTGCAAGTGGGTTCCGATGTATTGCATTATCAATCTCAATACAGCCTTACATTACTCCAAGCTTAACTTGTCCTCCTTGGTCTCTAGCTGATGGCTAATCATGCAGCAGCCTGGATCTTTCCTAGGGAAGAAGAGACCCCAGCCTCCTTCAACTTGGAGTTACCAGTAGCCTTCATTCTAGCTTTCTCCGCCGCATGCTGCTGACACACGAGCTCGAACACACGGTCTTGATAGACTAAATCATTGTCAGTGCGTACATCAGCTGGCCGGAGATAAACTCACAAGAGACTCCATTTTCCTTCTCCGGGTTCAGTATCCCCTCCCGGTAGACACCTTTTGTCAAGTTCTCCTGGGCCTTTTCGCAAAGCTCAAAGTCTTCCGTCGCAACCTGGCGGACAAAGCGATAGTACTCTTCGAACTTCTCACCCGTCTCCATATGGTAGTAGTCGAATTCCATTCTCGTCACGTTCGGGTCCGCTGTTGGACACACCCGAAACGAAGACATACCGCCTCCATACACGTTCAGCGTGCAGTTGGGGAAGAAATACAGGAATAGTCCGTCGTCTGGCTTCTTGGGGTCCGCGATGTGCTGCGAGAAGTTGAGGTGGTTGTGCACCTTGTACCAGGTTGGTGGGTAGTAGATGGAGAATGAAGGATGGGTGTATTGACAGTGCAGGCATTCCTGGTAGCCGTCGACCCTGGTCGCTGGGCTTAGAATCAAATCTTATTGTTGATAGGGTGCGCTTGAGGGTTTACATGGTTTTCCAGTTGAAGCGACCTTCATATTTGATGCTCCGTTTGTAGGGGAGCTTGGTGAAGTCAACCCGTTGGAGTAAAGGCTCCAGCTCTGGGAAGTACTCGTGGAAGCTTGGGGCGTCTTCCGATAAAGTGGTGAAGACAAGGCCAGTTGGAGTAACATGATGGCGTAGAGTTGTTCTCTACGAACAGTCAGCGACATTTCGAAGGCGAAACAGCGTAGTATATCCAGGACCACGTACGGTATCTGCACAGGTAACCTGTATCTCTTCGGCAACAGGCGTCTGCCCTTCTCCAGTACAACGAACCGCCTGGATCGGCTGCTGGGCTATCTCGTAATCGACAACTTCGCCAACAACCTGGAATCTCGTCAAAGGACCAAGAAGATACCAGGACTGGACCTGTCAGTAAGGACCGTGCAAATTAGGGTCTTGACCACCTTCAGAAAAACAGCCCGCCGTTCAAGTTGATAGAGCGGCTGGCTGCAGTACCAGGAAGCTGGAAGAGTGCGCGCGAGCTCGGACATGGTGCTATCGCTCGATGACCTGTTGCCGGTATGCTGAGCACAGCGACTCCAGATATCTTCCCGTGATTTATAGCCCGTCAACTCGTATACTTGTGCCGATCTACCTATCGGTGGCATCTGCAGATGGCTTACGGATGGTGTGTAATTGGCTGGCGTATTGTTTCCTGATGAGGGCATGGAATCCCGGATATGTCAGGTGCAATTCGGCCGAGTGTGAGGTCGAGATTGTTTCCATCATCAGATCTCGTTCTTCTGTTTCATTTTCGAGTCTGATCGATATGACAAGGGTAGTGTTGGCACGGCAAGGCTGCCTGTAGAAATCCATATCCTCCATCCTCCATCATTCACGCACTCAGGATGAGCCCACTAGCTGCGGATGAACAAATGCCCATCTGTGTCATCGAAGATGAATATGAATCAAAGGCCGACTCACTCTAGAGTACTCCGTATGGCGATGTTTTGCTGCTGCCTGGATCCGGAATCCTGGCTGTGGCGAAGTTGAGTGCGACCATGGTCAAGGCCGCCTTTGCTTCTTCGGTATGTACCTCTTTCATCACTCAACTTTCTCTCATAAAGAATCCATCTGTTGATCTTTGAAAGATATTGCTCCGTTGGACGTTCTTGACCGCGGAGATCACATGGTTGTTGGAGCTGGACCCCGCGATTGAATTCGGAGTGACGTGACCCTCCTTGCATCGAAGTCCGACCGTAAACGGACAACTTTATTCCAGAAAAAAAAAGACAGATATTCTAGCTTGCAGCTCCAAGAGCTTTTGATTGAAAGCTCAAGCTCGCCTCAGATACAGCCCCGGAGATGACGAGCTCCAACGTGCAGTTCACCCCTCCTCCCTCGCCGCCTTCGCCGACAGCGTCATTCTTCGACGTCAGCGATGAGGAAGAGGACGAATACAACACCATCGCCCATGCCGCTGCCAAGAAGGGCGTGAGGCTTCTTTTCTCAAAGAGCAAGGTGCGCGCCTTGCGACCATCGATATACGATTCGCCTCTAACCAGTTTTGCTACCTAGGTCTACGTCCACCCAACTCCGTCGGCGAAAGACAACATCCCCGGTTTCATCGCGCTCGTCCAGCAGAAGCCGTTACCCTCCTCTCAAAATGCTACATCCTCCAGCGCAAACGCATCAAAACCCGACCTATCCTCTTACCTCCTCGCCTGGGTCCCCGAATCCGCCCTTGGCGATGCCTATGATACATACGTCAAGGTCGACCTCTCGGAGGATGACTCCCCGCCGCGCCAGAAATACTTAGTGCCTGCTCTCCCGGAAACGACGACATTCAAAGACCCGATAGGTCTCTATTCATTCGCGGTCCCTCTGTCCCAGATATACTCCCTGCTCGTGCGGCCCCCGAGCTTAGGCTGGTGGTTTGGCAGTCTTGTGATCAACTCCCGAGCAGGTGACAGCTTTCCGGCACTCTTCTTCCACGATAGCGAATGTCAGTCGACAATACTACAAAAAAGGAAGCGGACGAGGGAGACTTTTGATCCGTTCGACGAGGATGGAAGTGTGTTCTGGGGCGGAGATGAAGTGCTGCGATGGCTGAGGAAATATGTTGATGTGCAGCGGTCGACCGTCGATAAAACCGTCTACCTGATCAATCCATCTCAAGAAGACCAACTGTCCTTCGGGAAACCACAACTCGCCGAGAGTACGAGATCACAGTCTCCACCAGCCCCTCGGAAACGTGAACCCGCGCCGCATGATGCAGGGATGGATCCATTCATGAAAGCGATCAAGGAAACCCGATGGAAGGTCCTCGAGCAGTTGAGCAAAATAACGACATTTACACGACGCACAGCGAATGAAATCGCCGACAACCCCAGTATCCCGCCCCAAGTGCGTCGCCTTATAAAGACACCAGAAATCCAAACGCTTCAGGAAGAATTCGACAGCGCTAGGATATATCTTGCCCGATGGGCGATGAGCATTTCAGAGCAGAGCGAGCGGGAACGGAACCAGCGAATATGGACTGCCAGGGATGCCCTCGAGATGGAGAACAGCTCCGTGGGGGACTTCGAAATCCTGGATTCCGAGATGGGAAATATGTCTCTCCAGGAGCGCCGAAAGACAGTGACGCTCAAAGAGTGGCAGGGCTTTTTCCATCCACATACCGGCCGCTTGCAACTTACTGTCGATGAAGTAAAGGAGCGAATATTTCATGGCGGTTTAGATCCCAACGACGGAGTCCGAAAGGAAGCATGGCTGTTCCTCCTCGAGGTTTATCCATGGGATAGTACCAACGACGACCGCCAGGCCCTCATGAACTCCAGACGCGACGAATATATCCGCTTGAAGGGCGCATGGTGGGAACGAATGGTGGAAGGCGACTCCACTCCGGAGCAACAGGAATGGTGGAAAGAGCAGCGAAATCGAATAGGTAAGATAGACTACCTATTATAAAAGACAGAATAGAAAACTTTACTGACGACCCGCAGAAAAAGACGTCCACCGCACCGACCGAACAATTCCTCTGTTTGCAGGCGAAGACATCCCGCATCCTGACCCAGACTCCCCGTTCGCAGACGTGGGCACAAACGTCCATCTCGAGCAGATGAAAGACATGCTCCTCACATACAACGAATACAACCCAGACCTCGGCTATGTGCAAGGCATGAGCGACCTTCTTGCACCCATCTATGCAGTAATGCAAGATGACGCCGTCGCCTTCTGGGCCTTTGTCAGCTTTATGTCTAGAATGGTACATCCACCTCCCAAACCCCCAGCCACGCCCATTTCCATCTTGGTTAACTCTATATACAGGAACGCAACTTCCTCCGCGACCAATCCGGCATGCGCTCCCAACTGCTCACCCTCGACCACCTCGTCCAACTCATGGACCCGCAGCTCTACCTCCACCTGCAATCCGCCGACAGCACAAACTTCTTTTTCTTCTTCCGCATGCTGCTGGTCTGGTATAAGCGCGAGTTCGAATGGGTCGATATCCTGCGTCTCTGGGAGACCCTGTGGACGGATTACCTCACCAGTAACTTCCACCTGTTCATTGCGCTTGCGATCCTGGAAAAGCATCGCGACGTCATCATGGACCACTTGAAACAGTTCGACGAGGTTCTGAAATACAGTATGTCTACTGTCCCACTAACCTGAAAGATGCATGCTAATACCGGTAACAGTCAACGAACTCTCCAACACAATGGACCTAGTACCAATCCTCACGCGCGCGGAATCCCTCTTCCACCGCTTCGGCCGGCAAGTCGAAGCCATCGACAAGAAGAATAACTTCCCTGCGCCGCAAGCTCAACAGCGCAAACCTGCTCAAAGCCAAGGCCCAGACCCAAATGACAAGGGCAAATCCCCTGAGCGGCCATCCGGGTCCAGCACGAGCGTCAGCACACCAAACGCAAGCTCAAGTTCACGGCCGGGGCAAGGCGGTAAATCGGATACGAAAATTATAGCCCCCGAGCTGAGGGATTTGTTTAGGAAGGATGTTTTCTGGAATGAGAATGACCAGAGCGCGAATCCGGGTTCGAATTCTGGATCCGGGTCTTGAGGTACTAGGCTGAAGAAAAGGATATCTTACTGGCCTCTATCTTGACCGTCAGTCACTGCAGGACAGTGACGGTGTAGTAAAAGACCGGGCAGGGTACGATATGTTATGATATGATTTTCTATTTCCGACCTCTTACGTTGCTTTTTGTGTGCGCTTCTGGCAATGTACAGTGTGTTTAAACTAATAGCGTTCTTCTTGGCTCGGATAGGGTAAATCATCAATATCAGCGACTCTCTATCAAGAATCTTCCACCGGTCTGCTACGTAATGAGTATCTAGCACCAACCAATAGAGAAAGCCGAAGATAAGCGACCAGATTCATATGGTCAGGAGCATTGAAATGCGAATGGCTAAAATTCTATATACTTATCCTAATGCAAACATACACGTAACTGATATATTTTGTCCAAGCCAACGAATCCAATCTCAAGCAAAAAGTACGGCGACAAAGCTATCCTCCAAAAAAGGCGAACCGACGAACTACCTAGCGCGTATAAAAAGGGTATCTTCATGCAAACAAAATGTATCGTAGACCAACTTAGCACCCAAAATGTATCGCCAATGCAAAAATGTCCGGAAGACAAAACGATGCCCATGGGCTTTGGCCACATGCAACCTGCTAACAGCTAGAAAGAGGATAAAAATGATAAGCGCCTTGAGTGATGCAAATAGTAATAAGAGGACAAAAAGCACGCTTTTAGACACTGGTCCAAACAGGAACCCAGTGCTTGAGAAGATGCAGCATCTATCGCAGACCACGCAGTACGACGCGTTTGCTGGAGCCAGCTTTGCCAATATCGCTGATACTCCGAGATTTCGGTATTGCCGGTGTGTGTCCATCAGCATTTTCCGGTGACGGCAGAGTGTACTTGAACGGCCTGAGAGAGGTGCTCCTTCGGGCTTGGCCGAGAACGTCCTCCACCCAGGCCTCGCTCTCTGGGCTGATAGTGGCATGTGCGGCTCGAGGCTTTGGCCCGGCAAGACCAAGAGGCATAGCGGGAGCGCCAGGAGACCCATGGCGAAGCTCGCTGACGGATGACATTGCACCCGCGGACACATTCGATGAGACTGATAGCCTTCTATTGGAGAAAGCAGAGAAGGAAACGTTCAAGGAATCGCTTCCGTTGACTGTTCTGCGGTCGCCAAAGTCAGAGACATTCGAAGAACGCCTAGTCTTTCGGACAGCTAATGAGGAAGATGGACGGTTGCTGAGGACCGAATGAGGGCGGGCTGGCATAGGACGTGTGCTAGAGGGCGGCGAATGGGATGGAGAAACTCGGGGAGAAAGACCTTCAACTTCAACGCGAGGCGTCTCAGATACGCGTCGATGTCCATGGTGAATGGCATATTCGCGTAGGTATTCGGCCAAATCCGCCCATCCACCACCAACCCTCACCATCACTCGTTCGCCGTCGCCCACTGTCCGGACAAAGAGCTTCGTGGGAGCAGACTTCCCACCGCGATGAAGATGATAAAGTTTTACTGAACTCTCTTCTGGAGCATGTGAGTGCCTCCTGCGGCCGAGCGCAGGTCGAAGAGTGAGCGATGTAGGGGTAAAGCTGCGCGACGGAGTTCCTTGAGGTGAGTCCGAGCGGAGTCTTTCCCGTCTGAACGGGACGGAGGAAGCCACCGAGATGGCATCATCATCCTGATCGGCTGAGACCAGATGGATATTTCCCGGGAGCGAGGTGAGGATGGAGCTAATTTTCTCATCCATCTGGTCCTTCGGCCGTGGCCGAATCGGCTGCTTGTTTATAGAGGAAGCCCGAGACCTGGGCTTCTTTGGTAAAGTTTGGGTGTTGGGAGGCTGGGTCTTCGATTTGTAGGACCCAATGCTTTCAAGACTGGGATGGGTAGTCAACTGTTTTCTAAGACGCGCAGTGGTAATGTTGCTAAGCGGTTCGGCCCTGGTCGAAGCGGATTTAGACTTTTGCCGTCTTTCTGTAGGTGTCGGTGCTTTCTTCACTCCGGACGCGTCCTCATGACTAGAACTATGGCCATAGTTCACTTCATGCCTTTCGTCTATGAAGCGTTGGAGCGGCAAACTGAGCGTACGACCATGTCCAAACGCATCCCGTGGAGAAGGCTTCTGGGCATCTAGATGAAGGAGGCGATCTTCACGTAGGCCATGGTCGTGATTGTGGCACGACGACTTAGTCGGCCTAGATGGTGGTGTTTCAAGAAGTAGCGGTGTTCCGTTTGAAGAAGAGTTTCGTGGCTCCGGCATTTCCGGACTCGACACAAGTGATGGGAAGTCCGATAGAGAGCCATCAGATGTGTGGGATGGCCGTCGGATACGAGATTTCTGTTTCTCCGATAGCTTGATTGGGCTATCCAAGGGCTTCTTTGCATTTTTCTCGTCTTGCCCCGACTCTTCGGGCTGCGGCCGTTCAGTAGTCGCTTTGCTATCATCATGGCGTAGAAAGAGATTCGGTAAAGACGCCACGTTATCGGTAGGCGGCGTGACACAGCGCGTGGGCGCAGTCAGCTTGACACCGTTCTTGACTACGGCTTTGGGGGCTTCTGAGGAAGCTGTGGTATCGCAGACACTGTTTTTGACCACGGTCTCTAGCGGCGCATCCGAAACAACGTCGGCCTCGTAGGTACCCGCTGTCATAGCGTCTTCGACGATAGTTTCATGTGCTGCAACTCTGGGTTCTGCGGCACTGAAGCCAGGATTTTCGGCCATTGCCTCTGGAGCTGCATCGACAGAAGCGGTGTCATCGAGGACGGTACTTTCGCCCACAGTCTCGCTCGCTGACTCTAGCTTCATGACCTGCACTTCCCGAGCCTCGAACGTGGGAAGTCGGTCAGCAGGTAACGGGGTCGGCGATGCAGGAACCATTTTCATGATATTCCCAGCACGTTGGGCAAGTGGGGCATGGTCAATAGGGCTGCTGATCTCTTCAACGATAGTCTCCATTGGGCGAGTTGACAGCCGGCGCCATTCGTTTTCGATGGCCCGCCTTTCAGCTTGCATCACCCAAGATGCGAAGTCCGCCTCGACAGCTTCTAGATCATCAATCCAATTCTCAGGGAGGGAATCCTCGCGCCCCTCAAGCGAGTCTAGGATACGGTCCATACGGCGACCCGCCGATACCACGGTTGATTCGAGACTGGTCCGCTTGGCATGGTAGTTAGTGACTGAGTACAAGTCGTCCTTTTCAGTAGGAGGAGTCGAAGATTTCACTAGATCAAAAGCTGACTTCACTTCAGATTTAACGAACCGCAAGTCCCGTAGCAGACCGGGTATTTGCCTGCAGACCACTAATCGGGCATGCCATGTAGACAGCAGGGAGTTCAAGCGGGATAGAAGCGGTAAAGCACGGAGAATAGTAGCAGTAATGACAGCGGTGAAGTCGCTCAACTGAACATAGCTGAGTGGGGGAGGCACGGACATGGTGCTGTTAGCTGACGAAGGCCGAGACCGGCCTGGAATGTGGGCATTTAGGACATGTTCCTTAAGTTCTTCGACTTCCAAACCATCCATTCCGTCACGAATCTCTTGAATACGTTTTTCATGCTCCTCAACTACGGTCGACGGAAGGCTACCCCAATATCCGGTATCGTCCGCTGGGGGAATGAACCCCTTTCCGAGGCCAGTATGGGGCCTTTTCGGCCATGGCCATGAATGAACCTCTTTATACCAGTCTCCAAGCTTTTGGGCCGCTAATGCGGCGCGTATACCGAGCGCCCGTTCTGCTGCGGAGGCCTGAGAGATGCTTTTGGCTAGAATATCTTGGGCGGCTTGCTCATCGTTGGGGACCGCGTCGATGGACGACAAGAGTGCCTGAAGGGTCGATTCTGGTGAGAGGTTTCCGAGAAGAGGGTCCACAGGGTGATATGTAGGTACGGCCGGGCGATCTGATGCTTTGGGGGCGGCCAACGTGGGGGGCGCCTGAAACAGCGTACGGCTCGCCATGTCGAAATCGGGGCTTTATTAGGTTTTTGACAGGGTCGAAGGTGTTTCTCGGGTTCAAAGTTAATTCTGGAGGCTGGTCGACGGAGGTCGCGCTGTGCAAACAAGGATAGAAGAAACAGGACGTGGTCGAAGAGCTAGCATGCTGAGACGCGATCGATCTCACCGGCGTTGAGTAAGGAGCGACCAGGGTCAAAAGGGTCAATTCGCGGGGAAGGAACGACAGGGGGCGATAAAAGAGCGTGAGACTGAGCGAAGGGGGGAGATTTCTAGGTGATGATGACGAAGTTGGAGTGGTGTGATAGTTGCAGAGAGAGAGTTGGAGAGTTGGAGATGGACGATTGGATCGGGGAGAGGAACGAGCGTCAACAAAACGAGTGGATGGGAGAGGCAAAGGCAAGTGCAACACAACAACAGGGCCCCCCGAACCGATAAATACTAATAAAAGCAGCCAATGAGTTCTAACCCTTTAGCGGCCGATTCAGGGCGGAATCGAATGGTTCTTTAATTTTTCCACAACGCGTCCGGTGGCCCGGTGCCAAAAGGGGTCGCCAGAACTGCACTATCGACCTCTAGTCTGAGTAGTATGGCGGGTTGGCTCCATCATGACTATTTAAACTGCACTAATCAGGAACAGAAATCAATTATCCGGCGTCCTTGCTCCGTCCTCTCTCCTCAATTCTGAACGCTCATAATTCTGAACGCTCATGTATAAACGCGGTCTTCTACTCCAGCATCACGACGCGTTTTCTTCCGGCTCCCGATCCGCCTTCGCGTTGATATCATGATCGAAGCGCTGACCGAGCGCTTATCTCGCGAGGCGTTTTCGATCGACGCTTTGCAACTGATAACTCCGGCTGCTGACGGTGATTAACATGATTAACACCCTTGCATATCAAAGCCGAAGCAAACTGCGTGAAACAAGCCACCTTTCTCTCCTCCCTGCATCCACGCGTTTGACGCTCGCCTGCAACGGTTTGTGATCCAGCACAACGGTCCTGCGGGTACTATAGTGGTCAAAAGCCCACCGGACGCGTTTGATGTAGATGAGGCTTGTCAACACAGCGCGGAGCAAGGGACGCGTTCGACACTTCAACAGGTTACACGAAATCAGCGCGTGAGGTGGCTGCGTCTGCATCATTGACGCGTTCGAGTGCTTATAGGACCTCAGAAGAAACAAGCCAGGTACGGCGGACAACGGGGGATTTTGTTGCCGTACCTGTGTGGTAGAAGCTGAGTTTCGGGAGTCAGCAACGCATGCTGATATACCGGCGTAATCTTTATCATTTCCAGAATCATTTGCAATTCATGCTGTACAAGTTGGAAGGGCCAAAGACCCGTAGACATTGTGCCGAGGCGCTCACGAGTCACATCAAGATGTAGAGGACTCAATGAAACCGCGGTTGGTAGATCACCCACAGCACCAAATATCTTAGCACTTCAAAAAGTAACTCAGGAGAAACTCGTTAATTTCATTGGCCAATTTAGCTATATTAATTTCAATTTTCCAAGAGGACGGAAAATGGAGAGCATCAATTTAGCGTATGGAGCTCAAGCTCAGCAGATCCCCACACCGGCGACCGCGATCTCGAGTCTCGACCTTCACCTTCACCTCCAACTTAACCACTTTAATCCCTCGGCATCAGCCTTATAAACATCTATAGCCTCATAACTATCTATACCAAACCGGAATGCACTCATAATAATAATGCAAACATGCGTTTCCGCACTCAAGTGGTCAACACCGCCACTCTTACCAGTACGTCGGGCTCCAGCCCATCATCGCATACATAGCTAACAACCCCATGCAGAACTAGTCGGCTCCCTATCATCCCTCGGCAAACTCTGCTGGATGCGCCTGGAGGAGTCTGTCGTGCGCTTCACCATAATCCCTGACCAAGGAACGCAAGTATGGGCGCAATTGCCTGTTGTGCGCATCTCCCTCCCACTCCCGCCCAACCCCGCATATCCCCTCTAACAAGCACCAGGAGTCCATCTTCGAAGACACAGACTACACGCTCGAGTCCAACACAGGCGTAATAAACCTTGAAGTCCCGCTCTCCGCGCTCCATCGCGCATTACGCTCCGCGGCAGGCGCGAAATGGGTGCAGCTGCGGCTCACGAAGAAGGGCAAGGTGCCGCTTTTAGCACTGACTATCAGGACGAAGAGCTGGACCAAGGGGGCGAATCCGTTGGGGATCGGGAATGGCAGTGACGCCGCACCCGTTTTGTCATCAGAGGAGGCAGGGACAGGCACAGGCACAGGAGCAGGCGCAGGGACAGGGACAGGGACAAGGGCGGGCTCAATGGGTCCCCCAGCAGCACCAGCCTCAGCAACAGGTCGGCGCGAACGCGAAACCTTCATCACGCAAGAAGTCCCCGTAAAGGTCATGCACGAGAGCGCGGTTGAGGGATTGCATGAACCGCACTGCCGCGATCCAGACGTCCACATCATCTTGCCCGACCTATTCCAATTAAAGAGCATCTCAGAGCGCTTTACAAAGCTAGCAGCAGACTCTACGCCCAAGGCTGCAGCCGCTGCAGCCGTAACGTCGATAACGACGGACTCAGGGCCACTCGGTGGCGCAGCTACCGGCATTTCGCCGAAACTGGAGCTCTCGGCGAACATGCATGGCTCGCTGCGTCTTGCTGTTGCAACAGATACACTGCGCATCTCGAGCGTGTGGAGTGACCTTCACAATCCTGCGCTTGATCCTAGTCAGCTGTCGCAGAGCCAGATGGATCAATTGCCTAGTGAGCGGATGAAGGCATTTGCGGGGGATGATGAGGCTGGGTGGGCGAAGGTGAGAGTTGATGGGAGGGATTGGGCGAAGGTACTTAGTGTTGGGAGGATGAATCCGAAGGTTGTTGCTTGTGAGTATTTGACCTTATTATTCTTCGCATTAGGGTGGCAACGAGATGCGTGGGCTGGATTGCTGATAAATCGGTTGACAGGCTTCATCCATGAGACAGCGCTGGTCCTTTATGTCTATCCTCCTAGTGGATATGATGAGGAGGATTCTTGTCTAACGGTGAGTTAAGGTCTCATCGTCCTAGAACTACGGCTGACGCGGACAGTACTATATCAACTCCTATATGAATTAACGAGACGAGCCGAATGAAAGCCATTTACGTAGAAAAATAAGCATGAATGAATGCAAGTCATCAAGTGGTATTATTATAATAGATTATAGATCATGTTTCATAAAACAAGCAGGGGTCAGGTCTATCTTCTCTTGCAAGACCAGCAACACTGCCATCATGACATCGACATAGGAAAGAACAAAAGAAAAAAACAGAAAAAAAAGAGACATTAAAACAACGGAGAAGAAGGGCAAAGGGGTAAATGTACATGAAGCATACAATGAAGACAGATGCAAGAACGACAAACTTGTCGCGTCATCAGAAACCAGGCCATACTTGTGTGAATGGCATGCAAAAAGTGTATGATCATTCAGCAATGCAAGTGTATACACTCAATATGCAAGATGAGGGAAATGTCGGGTAATATAGTGTAGGTAAGGGGAGCAAGGTTTCTTGAGGATCTGCATCTGTAGGGTCTTACTGCGCCATCACATCAACATAGCGGCCCTTCTTCCTACCCCGCGCAGTGGCGCCCTTGCGCGCTTGTGGCGCTCCAAGCAAGTCGTCAATTGAGCTAGCATGACTCAAAGACGTAGAAGGCCTGGGAGGTGGTCCAGCGGAGCTTCCCGGGCGGGAAGAAGCGCCACCAGCTGGTGGCACAGCGCCAGTAGAGACGGATCGCGCAGGTCCCAGCCCGGGTGTTGATGGAAGACCGAGCGAAGACTGTGCAGGGCTGCCTGATGGCGGCGGAGGGCCATTCGCGACGGATGGAGGTCGACTACCAGGGCCTGCTGGCGCAGGCGGAGGAGGCATGCTGCTTCCACTGACAGTTCTGCTCGGAGGACCCATAGCCTTTGGAGGAGGCGGGGTGGCACGCGCCGGTGTGGCGCTGCTAGGGTCCTTCTTGTTAACCCATTTCTTCAGGTCTTTATCATAATAGAAAGAACTCTCTTCTCCAAGCTTTGCACGAATTGGTTTTCCAGCGGCGGCATTGGCATCCTCTTTGTTTCCGCCTTTGATCCAACCCCACCAGGAGCTCTTCGCTTGAGCAGGTTTTTGAGCTACATGCACTGTTAGTGATAGTGAATACAAAATACGTCCGGCAGAACTTACCATCAGCTTCGGCTGCTTTCCGGAAAGCCTCGTCAGCCTCTCGATCCTTGCGTGCCTTTTCAGCCTTCTTCAAAGCCTCAGCACGAGCCGCAATGTCATCCTCATCGTCGTCATCATCCATTGTTGACTTCTTAGGGGGCTTCTCATCCTCGGGCTCTTCCGTTACTTCCAAATCTGGAGCACCGATTGAAGGAGGCTCGTATCCAGTGCTAACCATAGGAGGCATATAACTATCAGCCTCAGTTGGTATGGCGGCCGGTGTTTCAGGACCATATGACTGATCGAACGAGGCTCGGGCAGGAGGTTGATAAGGAGAATCATGGCCGAACAAGCCTTGCGGAGCAGCGCTTGGTGGAGCGTAAGCCTGCTGGGCCATGTCCTCGTCAACAGGGGCAAGGGGCATGTATGAAGTTTGAGGGGGCGTAGACTGATAACCGGCGGCTGGAGAACCGTAAAAGGGCCCTCCTCCATACAGAGGGCTCTCGGGTGGAGGCACGTGCTCTTGCGATCCCCGGCGTTGGCCGTATGAAAGTCCAAACGAAGCGGACCTTTGCGAGTCGAGAGACGATCGTCCACGGCCTTGGTCAGGCGAGTTCGGAGCGTACTGGTTATTCGGCTGGTAGCGGGAAGGCCCAGCAGTGGGAATTGGCTGAGCTGCAGGCATAGGGTACTGTCCGTACAGGTCCGTCACGGATGGCGAGCGGCTTACAGTAGGGGTCCCAGAGATTTGAGCAAACGGACCGAATCCTGCTTCACCACCCTTGGCAGAACCCGTTGAAGCAGCGTCGCTGTCGTCACCGGCAACGAAGTTACTGAACTTGTTCCACATTGAGGAAGAGACTTTCTCCATGCTCGGCTTGGAGATCCACGACCCTCCATCGCCTGTAGTCTGCTTGAGACGCGCTGATAACTCATCAACACCAAAGAACAGATGCTGATTGTGATAGCCTGATGGCTTCGTGGTAGCTTTAAGAGCCGCCGCGATGGCATCACAGTACTGCTGAGCTTCAGACTTGTGCCCCTTGTCGGTAAGCGACCAGGCATGAACAAGCTTGAAGGCCAGAAGGTGAGGAAGTGCAGACGAGGGAGACGCCGCTAGCACAGACGTAGCGTATTCGTATGCCTCAGTGAGTAGAATAGCATCGTCATCTAACAAAGCTGCGGGCGAAGAGTGGACATGGTCGGCACCGAGGAGGACAATATTCGCCTGAGGATCATCCGGGCCTCCAAACACGGCTGCCCGCGAGAAAATGAGACAAATATGGGCGGCCTCTATCCGACCATATGACAGCAGCAATCGACCAAGGGCCAATAGCGCCTGGTGATCTTGAGGACTTCGGTTACTCAATACCAACCCCAGAGTGTCCTTCCATGACTCGAGACCAGCAAGAGAGTTCCTGGAGGCACCTTGCCCATCGACTTTACTGACCATCTGCAACCCAGCCCTCGCGGAGGGAGGAACGAGTTCATCGACACTTTCTTCAAAGTTACCAGCGAAGATCTCATACAAAGCGGCAAGCGACTCGGCGTTACCGCTACTAGACCTGACCTCGCGTCTCACAAACTCTTGCACAACCTGCTTCCAGACGGACTTGTCTAACGTTGACGCGATAATCATAGCGTGGCCCCAGAGACGATTGTCTGCTGCATTCCAGACAGCTTTCTCCCGTTCGCCAAGAAGCAAGTTATTGTGGATACTGCCCAACGATTTGGTGTCCGGAGAATCAGACAAGGACGAAGCATTGAGCGGTTCGGCAGCGAAAGACTGAATGGGGTCGGTATATGTAGGATTCGAGACATCATTTTGCAGATGCGGGAATAGGACGCCTCTCAAAGACTTCTGAAGCTCGGGAGTGCTTTGAGCGCCGCCATCATGTTCGACCAAAACGCGCACGGTTTTCCACAGCAAAGCCTTCTCCTCATGGCGCTTTTGAGAGTCAGGGTAAGCCTGAAGATGCTGAGGAACACCCTGGTTCTCAAGAGCCGCGATTTTGCTAGACAACCAAGACACCAAATCCTTCTTCTTGGACTTATTCTTCAAAGGACCTGGATGTTGCACAATGGGTTCTGGGTATGCAAGGACATCTTTGAGTTGAGCAGTTTTGACCTCACCAGGCATAGGTTTGATCTTCGGCGTAGTATGTCCTGCGCTATACCGAGGAATATGCTTGGGGAAAGAGGACAGGACAGTGCCGCCAAACCCAAATTTGAAAATTGGCGCCCCTCTCCACCTTTGAAGGGGATCAAGTTCCTGTCCATCGCTTGGTGGAATGAACTCAAGTGACTGCGAGACAGCGCGGTTATGGCTGGGGGGTTGCACCGGCGCATAGGCATTGGAAGCCTTCGTCGGCGAGCTTGGTGCGTGAACGGACGCAGGCCGCTTGAGCGGGTCAACAGTGGGCACAGATAGTCGAGGACCTGCTTGCTGTTGGGTAGGAGACTGTGTCTGTGATCTCCGAGGCGGGACAAACGGTGAGGCCTCGGGAGGTGGTGTATAGGCAGAGGGGTTATTGTTGGCATGGGAGACACGACGAGAAAATTCTTCTATATACGAGGGAGGGGCATAGGGGTTTCTTGGCGGAGAGGTTTGCTGGAGACTTGACGCATCCAGCGAGGATCGAGGTGAAACAGTGGCGGCTGTCTCAATGTGTGGCGGCTGTACAGCAACAGGAGATGTGGGCTGAGCTAAAGATGATTTCCGAGGGGGTTCGCTGGGTTGGTAGGAAACCTTCTCGTGGTGTGCTAGGGGACTTGAAGTGCGCGGTTGGAAGGGCAGGGTGACTGTTTGCCCCGGAAGAACAGATGGCTGCGAAACATAACGTTGAGGGGGCGGAGGTGCGGCTGCTGGTGGTGGCGGCGCTGGGGAATATCTAGGAGATACTGGCGGCTTCACCCCAGGCTGCAATGTTGGTGGCTTCGGTGAGTATCTTGAATTGACAGTAGGCACCGCAGGAGCACTTTGGGCGCTAGGAGTCAAGGTAGTGGCATACGGTCCCAATCTTTCGGGCTGATGCAACTGAGGCTGAGTAGGATCGCCTGATAGTTGCGCATAATGGTTGGTGGCAGGTTGCGCTGGCGGGGGCGGCTGCACGACTGCGGGGCTTGCCGTGCTTGGGTTGGGGGTATATCGCCCTGAATCTGCGGGCCGCGAGCGTGGTTGGGCAGGGGCCAACGGCAACTCCTCATAAAAGTTCTTAGGAGTAGGTACGGCTGGGGCTGCCGGGGTCGCTGTGGAGGGCAAGGTCGCAGCGCTGATGGGTGGTACCGGTACCCCAGATGTCAATTGGGGAGGCGGAGGGGCCGGGATGCTACTACTTCGTGGGGGTGGTGCAGGCATAGTAGCAGCTGGTGGTACCACTGGTCTGGGGGCGGGTTTGCGACGCGGGGCAAGATCTTCCGGAAGGTCATAAGGCGATTTATAGCCTTCTTTTTGGCGATCCGCGAAGCTTTCAGCCCTGGTCATAGGAGCAGGAAGCTCAGGTTGCGGCTGAAAATAGTTCGCATTGTATGGAGCACTGGTGGCTGGAGGAGCGGATCCTGGGATTGGAACACCCTGGACGAGATCGGCTGTAGAAGGCTGATGAGGAGTGTACGCGCTCTGTGCTGGCTTAGGTCTGCCAGCGCTTTGCGGCGTTCCGAAAGGACTCCCGAGAGCCTGCAGATTATGGTCTACACCATCGCCGTTGGCTAGCCCAGAGGAATCCTGAGTAGCGTCACCAACCTCATCGTCCAAGAGTAGATCATCATCATCAAGTTCCGCCTGCCATTTAGCAGCTAGATCCTCCTCGGCGGGAGCAGCATCCAATTCATCATCGGAGAGTTCGGCTTGCCATTTAGCAGCCAAGTCCTCCTCCGTGGCCGGCTCCTCTACCTTTTCAGGGGATTTCGATGCCGCAGCCGCTAGAATATCATCAAACTCCTCTGCGGTAGGAGAAAGTGGGCTGGCAATCCCGTCCTGGTTTGCGCCAAGAGAGCCCAAAACTTGAGACGTGCTCTTCCGGTGAATATGGAACGGCTCTTCAGGTTCATTTTCCACCGGCTTCTGTGCGGAATTGAAGAATCCATCGTCCTCATCCTCGTCTCCTTCGAAGACATGATCAAGTTGACTCGGCTGGGGCGCTGCCGGCTCAACTGGCGCTGGCTCAACCGGCGTTTCAGCCGAGCCATCCAATAAGGGCACGCCCTCCTCAAATCTCGACTCCTCAGGTGGGAAATAGATTGGCTTCGTTTGTGTTCTCAGTTGATCGAAGAAGCGGTCCTCTCCATTGTCAACGCTCTTAGGGCTCCCCCAGAGGTCGTGATTTGTACTGCTAATTTCCCCATTGCCCGATGCAGCGTAATCTGCTGGAGTTTGTTGATAGACCCAACCCGCAGCAGGGTAATCACTTGAGCCTGGGACGGCGTTGACCGATGTGTCGACTTCAAGTTGGTGGGTCTGTACTTCAGGCTCATCTTCTTGCTGTGTCGACTGCAAGCGGTTGTAACCATCCTCAGGCGCAGCTGAAGGCTCTGATTCGGGCTTGGGCTCGAAAAGATTCGTTTCCTGATCCTGGTTCTCATTAACAGCGGCAGACAATAACTCCGCGGCCTCCTCCCGGAAGTCTTCCCGTGTTTCAGTCTGGTCGAACTCTTCGCCTGTCACCGTTTCTGCCTTCGTGGTATCTGGTGGAGTAATAGCTTCGACTCGAGGTGATACAGCGACCTCCGGAGCTGTATCTTGCGGGATTGGCGCCGGGTCTGCAGTGTCGACAGGGGTAGCAACTTCAGCACTGGACGGCTCGGTCACATTTGGAACCGCTTCTTGCGAGGCTGACGGTGTCTCCGTAGCTTCTGAAGGATGCGTAGCCTCTAATCTGGCCGTAGCTTCAGCTTCCGAGGGCTCAGTAACGTCCGGGACTGTGTCTTGAGGGATTGACGATACGTTCGCAATGTTTTCAGGCCCGGCAGCTTCAACAGTTGCTTCAGCAGTTGCTTCAGCAATTGATGGCTCAGCGACATCCGGGGCCGCATCTTGCGCAATTGACGGCTCCTCTGTGGCTTCTAGAAGCGCTGTAGCTTCGGCCTTCAATGGCTCAACGACGTCCGGGACAACATCATGCGGGATGGAAGGCGCTTCCGTGGTGTCTGCGGGCGCAGCGGGCTCGACGTTGTCCGACTCGGTCGCGACCTGAGCCACGTCTGTGTCCGCAACTTCGCTGGTCGTCGCCGGTGGCGCCTCGGTTTCCATTGGCGCTGGTCCAATACTTACCGGTTCTGTCGCGTCTAGAGCTGTGACTGTATCCGGGTTCGCATCGTCGGTTGCGGAGGTCGGCGGTGCGTCAACGGGCACGGTTTCGGGAGCAGGCGTAGGCGTAGGCGTGTCTTCTATCGTCGCATTACTATCCGACCGCAGCGCCGGATTCCAGGAGACAAAGGCCTCGTGATTCTCCATATCGACGTCGGCGATATTTCAGACCTTCAATCCGCATCGATAAGAGTCAGCCAAGCAAGACGCGAACGAAGGGTAAACATGACACGGTGTCGGCTTCGGAGTTGGAGGTAAGGTACTTACGCAACCCGAGGTTCGGAGGTCGCACGCTCGCACGCTCACCTGCAGGCTTAGCTTAGATAGGCGTGATGTATTTCGGCATGAAACGAGGTAAGTAGGAAATGAGAAAGGGGAGATTTCGCCAAGCACAATTCTGCGAGAAACAAAAGAATCATTAATACAAGAGATAAGGAGAAACTCGAGCCTGACGCTTCATGACATGACTGCGTGGCGAAATGCAGGTAAATGCAGCTATCGAGGGCGTGATTACTCCGGAGCGTCGAGCAGCTGCCCTGCTACATCCCGGGGCGGACTCTCCCGGCAGAACCCCAAAAGGGGCCACATTGCCTGTCAAGGTAGCCCTGAAGGGGTCACGTGCATGCAGTATACTTCGAAGGACAGAGGGAAGCAGGTACATTGCTGATGCAAAGTCTATATAGTATGAACGGACATGATATCAAGCAGAAAGCGGTCAGTGGCGGAATTGTCCACCACAGTGTTAGATATACATGCGGACCAACCAAACAACTAGGGTACCAAACTACCAATTCCCTATCCGCGCACTTTCCGATAACTCGGCGGACTCCAAGACTGCTTGATCAGCTTCGCAGCCCACACAGGGATGATAGCAACAGCCGTCACAGCTACCACGCGCCAGAGCCAGTCTAGCGTAATCACATAGCTAAGGTCGAAGTACTCGCCAAGGAAGGGCACGCTAGCGGCGTACACCAGGGCCGTACCCAAGAGGCAGAATATCATCACGGGATGCCAGGTTGTAATGGCGATGGCTACCATGAGAAGCTCGTTGAGTACGAGAGCGGTGAATGACACACTGATGAGCCGCTGGCCGGTGATGGTGTCGAGGAGGATTTGGGACAGGCCCTGGATCACGGCGCCCTGGTAGACGGACACTAACACCCAAGTGAAGAAAGAGCGGTAGCTTAGACTACGACCAGTCTTGAGTTCTTTGTAGAGCTCGGGGTAGAGGTTGGCCAATTGTTCGTCCACGTCGCGATCGAGGACAAGGGAGAAGACAGGCGCATTTGTGTAAACTGTGGCGTATCCGACCATGAGCCAGTTGATAAACAGACCTTTCGGGTCGAAGTGGCTGGCGATGCTGTACATGGTCTGGCAAGCGCTGATGATGAGACCACGGTGCATGATAAACTGCGCCAATTTGGCTGAGCGCTTGTACGAGTTTCGTCCATGCCATACCAGCAGTTTTGTGACATGATGGAACTGGGTGATACTGAAATCAGCCGCAAGTGAAGCCTGCCGGCCCTCCTTTCCAACGATACCGATACCTACATCGGCAGCTTGGATCATGGACACGTCGTTGCCACCATCGCCAATGCAGCAGACGCGCTTCTTGGTATGATGGCGGATCAGATCGGCCACTTCAGCCTTCTGAGTAGGCGAGCATCGGCATGCAATCACAGCGGGAAGAAGAACAGCAACTGAGATGAATGCCGATCGAAACTGGTTGAGCATGAGCGCCAGGGACTCGCCGTCAATGAGCAGACAGCAGTCGGTCTTGTTTCGGAGGAAGTCCAGTGCTTCCTGGGCAGCTGGCTTGTCTTTAACCTTGGCAACAGTATGGATATACTGTCCACGGGCCACCAGTTTTGCGGAAATCGCAACACAACGCGCGGTTTCGACCTTGTCACCAGTAAGCATCCAGATCTTGACTCCGGCGTTGCGAAGAAGCTCGAGCGAAGGCTTGACATCCCGCTGAAGACGGTCCTCCACACCAGTGACACCAAGAAGTTCCAGATCATGCTCAAGGTACTCGCTAACCACCTTTTGCATGCCAATATCTCGCCCTTGGAGCGAAAGGGATGCCTGCTTGTACTTGCTAGCGAATTCTTGATACTGCATTGACGAAAGCCGCTTCCGTCCTACCACCAGTGTCCGCAAGCCTTCTCGAGCCATATTAGCCGTTTCTTCATCAAGCCAATCATTGGCCGCAACAATCGAGGTCATCACAGTATCCGCTCCCTTCTGATAGAACCAGATCTCCTCCTCGTCCGATGGGGATTCAAGGATACCCTTGTCCGTTTCGAATCGGACAATGATGCCCATGCGCTTGCTGTCGGAAGTAAAGGGAAAGATATCAAGTATGCGCACCCGTACGACAACATTACCAGTATCCGTAGACTCGAGGACAATCGTTTGACGGTCACGATAGGACACCTTCAATCCAACCTCTTCAGTGTAGCGTACAATGGCGATCTCGTCTGGCGATGAAGCTTGATAGCTTGTGACCTTCACTCCATCTTCTTCATCCGTGGTTGGGGTGACGTTGTGACACAATGCAAGTGCTAGGACAATATCTCGGACGCGCGAACCAATCTCTCGTCTCGTACGTGGCGCTGCCCCAAGTCCTGCTTGAGTTCCGAATGCAGCCGCGGCAGTTGTCAGGGTGTTTCCAGCAAAGCTCTGTCGAACATATGATGCTACCTCCTCCATCGCATCATTTGCATAAGAGACAGTGCCAACATGGATCTTCTTCAATTCCATCTCTGTAAACGTCAGTCGTTGTTGGAATCTGGTGCGCAATTTGGAACTCACCGTTCTGGGTCAGAGTGCCCGTCTTATCCGAGAGAAGATATTCAATCCTACCAAGGTCTTCCGGGATCGTGCTCGTTCTGACCACGGTGTCCGGAATGTCCTTGTCCCGTTCAATGAATCGACCGTATACGGATTTCGCCATATCCAGGTTGACCCGAAGACTCATAGGAATGATCGTCGAGAACAGAATCAGATAAATCATAATGGCGACATACCACACCTTATCATTCGTCGGCTGAAATCCCTCCAAAGCAACCAGAATTATCGAAAGGGTCAAAGTCAAAGCGCACAGAATCTTGGTTAAGTTATTGATCTCATACTCTAACAGTCCAACCTTTGACCGCGAAGGAGACGTTGAAAGCGCAGCTCGTGTCTGAGACCCGGTATAGATGATAGCAGCGTAGGTGATAGTGTTCGATGCGAGAACAGTATTAGCCCAAGCGGTATTGTCAATTGAAAGCGGCGCAGAACTATTCTGCTCCGTCTCATCTTCATCTTGGTTTCTATCCTCCGACTTGTCAACGTGCGGATCATAGAACCCTGATGGCGGCAGAAGCTCGATGTTGCCAACAAATTCGTTGACTCGTTTGTCCGGTCCGCTTGCCGTAATCTTTAGCCTCGTGAAATCCTCTAGCGAAAGCGTCTGAGACAAGGCAGACGGTAGTCGTAGTTTCCAATCCGTTTCACCGTCAAGTTGGTCGGTTCGAATGAACGTGTCGCTGGCAGAGGACTCATCCGCTTGAGCGACACCAGCACTTGCTCCTTGACCCTGCTCAAGAGCAGAAGAAGATGATTCGTTATTCGCACGATCGATTTCGGCAGCAGCGGCTGTCTCCTGGGACCCTCGTGCCACTGTAGCATCATTGGAAACGCTCTTTAAAATCACAACATCCGCAGGAAGACGCTGGTTCTTGCGGACCTTCAAGACGTCACCGACTTTCAAATCTCGGGATCTTTTTATAATCACCGGAACATTCGCACCGGGGTCTTCAGAAACTGGAAAAGCCCTGCTCCCACCGGACTTATCCAGTGCAAGCACAGAGAACTCCTCCGCATTGGCTTCCGCGTCCCGTCTTCGTCGCCCAATATCATCCAAAGCCTCTTTCCCCAGGGATATAGACACTACAAAGGCCAGAGGCGCAATATACGTAGACATATACCCTATCCTGAGCACCGGAATGATCTGCGACAGCGCAACAAGCAAGAAATAGATGTTGAAGAAGAACGAGAACTCGTTGTAAAGCGTGCGAGGCAGAAAGCTCCAAGGCGTATACTTCGCATTCGAGACCACATTCGGGGGGTATTTCGTTCGTTGCACCTGGCCAACAAGGACATCGCGCGGGGGCTTCACTACATCCGCCGCATTCTTCCCACCCCCTATTGTACCGTGTAATCCACCAAGGATCGCACTCGGTTTCAGCCATCCCAGCCGAGATTTCCGCTGTGGCGTCCGTCCTCCATCGGCAACTGAGCGTACGCTTCGTACGGAGCTTCGGCGGTCAAGGAGTGGTGCATCGTCGTCGGTATAAGGTCGAGAACTTGCATGCGACGGTCGGAGACCTCTATCCTCTTCTTCACGATCCTCAAGTAGTCCAGCTGTATCCTCCTCGTGTGTCCCGGACATACTCCGCTTCCATAACCGGCGATTTCCAGCGCCCACGCGCAGATTCCTTAGCGCTATCCCTGGACCACCATGACTCCTTTGTTGGACTGGCTCATCCCGTGAGATCCTTGGTGCGTTATTGTATGCCGAGGAGGGATCCAGCTCTTCTAGGTCGAGATCGTCGTCGTCGGTCTCGATGCTCGCACGATCGTGAGCGCGTAGGTATTCCGAGGACGAAGGCATAATTTTGGCACTTGATCCGCTCGATTAAAAGAGGAAACAAAATCAAAATTGCGTCGTAAAATGCGAGGAGCTGTCCGTAGGCTCCAGTGCCGGAAAATAAGCTGTCATGTCCCGCTTAGTCGTTCTATATTGCGTTGCTTCCAGGGTGTCCCGATGAGACCATGTTATCGTCAGTGGGAACTGTGGGCCGGCAAGGTATGTACACGTAGACCGGATCTGAGCAGAATATAGTCAATAGGAAAGAAGTCACTGAATGTAAGTGTCGTCGTGGATTACTCATAAACGTCTGGTGCAAGAAATCTCGCGGCCTATTCTTGTTCCCTTGATGCAATGCGCAGCAGCGGGTCACATGATGAACATGTTTGTATTGGTGATCTGCCCCCTTTCGTTTCACATCAACGAGGGCGCCAGCAAGTGATTACTATACTATAGATGAGACGAGCTTGTAGTCAAAGCAATATTTCTTGATGTCAGTCTTTGGGACTTCAGTCGGTCTGCCAGTTTCTCTATCAATGCATCTTATGAGCAACGGGCTTCATAGCTGCGGATATATATAATTCTTGCATTGCCTCCCGGGAGTTTCCAACTGCGAAGGTAGAGTTGAATTGTGTTTCAATGTGTATTAATAACATAAGGTAAGTTATATTGCCATTTCTATAAATTGATAAGACTCGACCTCCGACAAAACACCTTGGAGCGACGCAAGCAATGCAACCATGTGGCATGGATAGCTTGCATAAAACATGTTAAGACGAGAAGTGCGAAAAACTTGGAGATGAAACCGACAACGCTCGTTGGTATGTACGCTCGAAGATAGCAAAAGGCGCAGTTTAGGCGGAACATGAAGTGGCCCAGCCTGCCAGGAACTGAACAGGAGAAACGAACGCCACCATTATGTGAAAGCACGGATAGACCAAGCGCTGATTTGGACGTACGAAAAACAAATAAACATCCTGCATCCTGCATCAGTCTTTCTACCCCAAAATTAGTCGCAGTCTAGATTGAAACTCACCAGTGTCACAACTCACAAGGGAGGACCGCAAGAACGTCGGCCTGCGAGTTCCCATAACATATCGCACCCAAAATTATGTTGTATCGTAATTGTGAAAAGGCCACCACGTCCCAGACGTACTCTTAGTGATCCAACTAACACCTTACCGAAGTCTCCCTGACCCCGGACTAGCCCCAACGGGCCTCCTCATACTCGGATCCGACAACTGCCCCGGACTCGGCGACCGACCACCATGCAACCTAGCCCTAAGCCGCTCCTGCGCAGAAGTCGCCCTTTCCAAGCCAGCTGACGAGCCCGAGCCCGCACTAGTAACAGACTGATACGAGCCACTGCGCTCCCCAGGCATCGGCCGTCCCCCAGCCGGGTGGAACGACGAAGCGGACATGGCAGACGAGTGGATAGAAGGAGATGCCGCGTTGGATCCTGGTTGCCCTCTCCCGCGCCTTAAGCTGGAGGTGGCCGGCTGTGGTGGTCCGCCGGCGGCGCCGCTGCCAGAATCACCCCACAGATCACCAAGGCCCCCGCCCCGCCCTGAGGACACGGAGGCGGACGAGACGTTGTTGGACGTTGCGATTACGCGCGATGGAGCTGGTGAGCGGTCTTTCGGATCAGGTGGGAGCCATGCGGGGAAGCGGCGGCCTTTCTCGGTGTAGTATGCGCGGAGGACGTTGGAGATGTGCGAGCAGTCTTCGTTCTCGGGGTCGTCTGCTTCGTCGGAGGTGATGGCTCGGCGGAGGGAGTTGAGGCGCGTGCCGAGGTTGGATATTGCTGAAGAGGAGGTTATGGAGGAGAAGTAGGAGGACATTATGGCGGTGTTGGGAGAGAAGTTGAGAGTAGGAAGAGAGTGGGAAGAAGAGAGTTGTCTTGAGTCTACGGAGACGGGCTGCGGAGCATTGTTTCAGTCCCCGCACGTGATCAGCAATAGATGGGTATACTACAAAGAGTATCGTCGTGTGCCAAATCACTGCATATGTCTTGAAAACGCTCACACTAATTTTGATTATGTATCATGTCCAGAGCAAAAGAAGCCAGGTGTGTAGCTAAGTATATGCAACTGCTGGGTATGACATGCCCAATGCGCGACAGTAAAAGACCAACACGACGCAAACCGAACGCCAGACAAGCGAAGTTGAAACAAAGACCATGAGATAGTATCTTGCTTTTCTGCCCCCGTACCCTAACGGAGTGCGATATATGTCCAAGTCCAGCCTAAGCAAAGACATTCTCCTTGCCAGTGCCCTCAGTCTCATACTCGATCTCGACCTTGGGGCCCTTCTTCCTAGGCTTAGCTGGCGGCGCGCTGAACTTCCTCTTGGAACCAGGTTTCGCCTTCTTCTGCTGCGGCTCGTCGTTGTCCTCAAACCCACTCTCATCACTGTCCTCTTCATCCTCATCGGAATAATCATCGCTCGAGTCGCCGGACTCATTGCCAAGCCAGTCCTCCAGATCCTCCAGGTCCTCATCCTCGTCAAGATCACTGACGTACTCAACCTCCCCGACACCCTCCTCTTCCTCTTCCTCCTCAAGCTCTCCATCATCCATGTCCTCGTCCCTCTCACCCTCACCAGACCTCTCCAAGCCACGGAGCACCTTCTTCCAGATCGACTCGTCTACATTCAGTGGCTGATCACCATAAGCACCACTGCGCAATCGCTCGATAAGCTCGCGCTCAATCGCCCGCTCAACCTTGGCCGCGCTCTCGGCCTTGCGCTCTCTCGTCTCTTCTCGGCGTCGGATCTTCGGCGCCAGCTTCGGTACAACCCTTTCGCCCAGACGCTCCTCCTCGCGCGCGAGTTTCTTCATTCGAATGGCGACTTGTGTCAGTCGTGTAAGCCGCTGCTTGCACTTGTGGATCAGGAATTTTGGCCAGTAGATGAGTCGCGAGTCCACCTGTTCGAGAGCCTTGGCGTAGTTCGATGACAGCTTGATTCGTTCCCATAGTTTGCTGGGCATGTGCGCGCGTTCAATGGTCTTCATGTAGAGATACATGGTGCCTGTCTCGGGGTCTGAGCGGATTGTGGCGTAGCGGGAGTTTGCCAGCGGGCAGGACTGCCGGTTGCAAAGACCAGTGACGTTGTATTCATTGCGACAGAAGTTTTGTCCCTTTGTAGTCCTAGTAGTGGGCAAAGTGGTTAGTCACTTGGATATCAAGAAACTAGGCAATATTGATGGGAAGGATCTGCTGTACGAGACCACCTCGCCGATTGGCACATACTTAAGTTTGTAGGAACAAAATTGCTGGTTGATAACCTGCCATACAATCTCATCGGAGGACATCTTGTTGTGAATGAACCGCACCGGTCCTCAAAGTTATTCGGCAGTGATGTTTGGAAGATATAATAAGTTTCTGCGGAGATGTTGCAAGCTTGTCTAAGAAGGAAAAAAAAGTTTGGAGACCTCACGTGACAGTGGCAGCGCTGCCTTATCGATAAGAAATAGAGTCCCCACGATTGGCCCGGAAACAAAGTCCATAGCCCAGAGAAGACGGGTTAGATGTGGAATTATTGTAGATATCATTTGATATCTATTCATTAGATGGTACTCATGTCAGATCATCTATGCTCCCTCCATTTGAAGCATGCCATCCCACTCCGTCCCATTCGCCAGCGGTCCCGCAGCCAGCTCGGCCTCATCGGCCATCCCATTCAACAGGTCGTCCCCAGCATAGCCCCACCCCATGGCTTCAAGCTCGCGCACGAAGAAATCCCGCTCTTCGTCCATGATGGTTGAGCCTTCTTCGCCACCCATAACATGCTTGTACCGCCTTAGATGCCACCAGTGTGTAAGACCACGGAGGGCTTGTTCGAGCGGCAAGGCCTCTTCAACCTCGGCATCAATATCCGACCCAGCCAGCCAATCGTCCCGAAGCTCGGGGCGGCAGTAGAGGTATATCGCTGTGATTACACGCATATTACCCTGGCGCCATTTGCGGCCGCAATATGGGACCTGTGATTTGAAGAGTTTGAGGGTGTAGAAACGGAGATTGGGGTCGGGGATCTTGAGTCCTTTGCGGAGGATGGTACTAGACTTGTACTGGACAAGAAGCAGACAGCGATGCGCCTTGTCGCGGGTGATTTTTTGCATGATGTGAAGGTAGTTGATGGCTGAGAAGAAATTCCGGAAAGAGAAGGAAGTGATGGGTTCACTTGGTGGCGGCCCTGTAGGGTATCCTAGCTCGTCGACCTCTGGCCGATGGAGACCACTAATCAAGCCTTGTCCTGTTTCGTCGACACTATCTGCACGCGCTGGCTCTGGTCTGTGTCTAGCAATGGGAGGGGGAACCGCATCGTCGTCACTGTCCTGTTCCGAGCCAGGAATGTCTGGCGGCTGTTCTGAATGCAAGTGACAGAAGTGAAAGAAGCTAGACTCGTCAGATTAATGTGAACAGCAAGTCTGAGAGATATATCTTACCCTAGTTCGTCGCGATCCGTCCGTTGCGCAACCGCTTGGTCGATCTCCTGGTGTGCGAACATCTTTAGGATCAAAGGGAGATAATTTGAGTCGAGTAAGAGCTGCGTCATATACTCAAATTTTAAGACGTCTGGCATCAATGAGTCTCTAGTCAGAGGTCAAGTGCAGATATACTTACGAGATCTCTTGAACCACTTAAGCAAGAGAAGGAGGGAACCAGAGATCGCTTTCCCTGTGATCTCACGTACGCGGATATTGTCGAGCTCATCAATTGTAGCATCGCAATTCAAATCTTCTGCCTCGGTGTTGAATCCGACAGTAGCTCCATTAACTGCACTGAAGCTCTCGCTAAAGGGTTGTTAGACTGAAGTACCGAAAGAGGCATTGCCTACATACCTTCCAGAACCGCCATTTTGTCCGTTGGCCTGATTGTTGACTAGAGCGCTTACGTTCGTCAAAACGATCTTCAAGAAGACGATGACCACCGACTGCAGGTGTACAAGTGCTTGTGTCTGGCTTAAGTTAGAGGAGAAACTTCTGCAGCGAGTAGAAAAAGAGATACTTACGTAGAAAACCTCAACGGCATCTAGACGTCTTTGGATTCCTTCGTTATCGGGTTGCTTTTCCCTCGCAGAATCATCCTTGGGCTTTTCCTTCTCGTCTAACGAAAAGTCTTCCAGGTCGTCTGCGATCTCGTCCCCGAGATCTCCGCCGCTGGTAGCAGGACCGCCTTCGGCGTGCCAACCGCGGTCGTATTTCATGAATTGCTCACGCTCTTCCCAAAGTTGTCGCATCGCCCTGGTCATTTTAACATGGGTTGAGAAAAGTTTCCCAGCCTCAATAACTGATGCAGGGACATCGCTGCCATCCCACTTCTTCCCCACGAGCACATCCTGCATTTCCGTAGAGCCCTTGCCTCCAAGATTATTGCTGGAATTATCCAAAGGTGGATACATGAAAGGGAAATTTTGGTTTGTTTGGTAATTTTGCTTCTTTCCTGCCTTTCCGCCAGGGCCAATAGGGGATGGCGGAGGAGATGGCGCTGGGGTTGCAATATGAACCGACTGGTGTAGGATGGAGCCATTGCCACCAGCTACAGAGGGCCCGACCCCAGAAAAGAGACCGTTGGAGGAGTATGACCTGCTCGGATGTTGGGGTAGAGGAGGGAGTATTGAGTTATTCTCTAGTTCAAGTGGGATCACAGGCGGAGGTGGATTGTAGGCAGGATACTTGGAAGTGATTTCCTGCCGAAAATTGTGATAATCGAGTGGAGACGCAGTAAGAAAGGGTGTCCTTCTCGTGGGATCATTCTTCCCACCGTCGAAGGCAGGCTCCAGTGCTTCCTTGGCCTGCTTCAGAGTGTCACTACCTCCAAAGAAGAGAAGTACACACTTCCAGAACAAGAGGATGACTCGCGTAAGGGGAACATTGGAAGAGTCATCCCATCGTAGCCGAGCGATGATTTCAATTAGGAACACCATCAGGTCGGGCTCGAGCGCCATGATTGCATCCTTTAATGGGGTGTGCTTGGGTTCTTGGGCTTCTTGCTTGCGCGCAGCTTCAACCATAAGGTAAACGGCAGTCAGAACCAGATTTGCCTCTCGTTCCGCCGCCGCGAGAAGCGTTGGGTTAGCGTTCTCTGGTGCTGCATTTGAGTCGGAGGAGGCTGAAACGCGAGACTTCTCAAAGCTCCGTAGCAAGCACCCATAGAGCGATGGCAGTCCTGAGCACTCATGAACGAGTTTTGTGTTATTCTCTATCCATTGAATCTGCATAGATTTGGACTTCGCACTCTCCGCACTTGGGGAAGAACTCTCAGAGTAGTCTGATGTGCTCCTCCCAGCAGTGGTACCCCACACTCCAGTAACAACGTAGCACACAGACTCCAAAGACTCAACTCGAATCATGATTTCACTGTCCTGCAGATTATCAAGCACCTCGGTCAAGAACAACTTCTGCATTGCTTCAGGAGCCTCAAGCCAAGACGTACGGAAAGAGAGAGAAGGCTGACTCTGGCAAAACGAGGCCCACGTCCGTTCAAAAGAAGTCTTCATTCCAAGAAGCATGGCTCTATCGAACTCGCTGTACTGGAACCACTCCTCGACCTCTTCCGCGAACGGCTGAGAGTCCGCATACTCAAACGCATAAGCAGGCTGTTCAACTTTCGGCATGTCTTGAACGAACTGTTTCAGCTGAGCAAGGCTGAGAGAATCGGTTTGTGGTTCAACATTGTGCTGAACCGGAGCTGGTGGTGGAGGTTGACGTGGAGGCGGAGGGGCTGAAGTATTCCGGTGCATTTCAGGCCGTCTAGACAACGGCACATTTGCTGCATGTACCTGAGCTGGTGGCTCGCTTGTTGGAGCAATCGAGTTCTGAGCAGCTTGCTCCTGTCGAATACCCTCCGCAACTTCTTCCATCATCTCCTCATCTGGAACAGGGACGATGTCTGACCCCGTTTGGTCCACCTCGTCTGCCTTCACAATGTGATGCTCTTCCATGGAAGCATCACCAGAAGCTGAAGTTTCATCCATACTGAGCAAGGAGTATGTTTCAGACGTTGATACCAAACGTGACTGGACGTGGATATCAACAATTCGTCCCAACAAAAATAGATAGCAGAAAGTGCCTTAGGTGCCCGATGGCTGTCGAGCGTTATATTGGCACGCTAGCTGTATATCAACCGACCAAAATGAAGAAACACATGGCGTAGTTGTACTTGGATTAGCCAGGAACAAACGAAGGCCTCCCCGGCCTGATGTGGTGGATCAATGGCCTCGGCCCACCACGTGACCTAAGATTGATTACTAAGATTAATCGCCGGTACTTCCTAATTGGGAACTATATAAGAACAAACCCTGAAAAGACGACAGTAAAGCGCTATCGCTGAGCATATATTAATGCCTTCCGCGTATCAAAGAAAGCTAGACATTGGGCTCGCTTCTTCGAGAAAGAATACTGACTCCGTCCCTTTAAACCCCAGCCTCAGCCCTAAACTGCTCCCCATTGATGAATTCACACCGACTATACAGTTTCTCCCAGTAAAGTGCATTCGCTGCCTCTCCTGACGCCTCAAAATATCTTTCTGCGTCCTTGAATACCGACACTGGTCCCGATCCATACGGACCACCAAACAATTGGATCGACATGCTCTTAGGGCCTTGACTTGGTACCGATATATGGCTCTGCTCTGGCATATCGTCTGAGTAAGCAGGCGGCCAGAACCCTGGCTCACCATCACTGTTTTCTACCCCAGGTAAGGCGCCATACGCATATTGAATAATTCTCGAACTGAAGTCTTCAGCCAGAGCACGGTGCACCTCCGAATTATCAGCACCACCTCCTAGGTGGTCAATGTTGAATAGGTAGGGTATGTCACTGAGATGCGAAACACGCCACATTGGGACGCCCATTTCTTCGAAAACAGGGGCGTACCGCGTCTGGTTGAACTCGTATAATCGTACGTGTGATGGCTTCACGCCCCCATGCTGGACGTACTGCCACGTAAAATCTAGTACTGGGCACGTAAACCAGATATCACGACTCATTTGAGCGGCACGGTAATACTGCGGCGATGTCGGACCATCGATCTTGGGTCTGACCATATGCGTAAAGTCTTCTTGAGGGTATAGCTCTAGGAGCTTCTTGTTCGTGGACTCGGACAGGTTCTGGAGCCACAGGCCAAAAGTACCCAATACTTCTTCGTCCGTTGACGTTGAGGATGGAGCGTACCAGGCACCATCGTTGGTTACCCAGGATGCTATAACGGGGATACCTTTGGTGAGCTTGCCGGCGCGTATCAGCTGCGATGGTCGATCTTGGATGAAATCGTTGTCGATCGTCGGGTAGAAGAACCCTTCGCCGAATAGTGGACGGGCTGCACGGGCTGCAGCTACGGAAAGATTGGTTAGAGTCTCAAAAGAAATCTTGCGGAGGCATTCTAGTGTTTGCAAGTTTTGGCTGTGGCCGTCTTGAGTAACGCATCCCACCTGTTGTGCTATGGCAGCGGTATTACTGGCGACTAGATCTGGCTGGGTGTTGAAGATTGTCCCAATGGCCCCGGACATCATCAGTGCTTGCTGAAACGGAACCTGCTCTTCTCCCCCGTATGCAACTAGTTGGAGTCCGATATCAGCAGCTCCCACACTTTGTCCAATGACAGTTACTGGAAGGTATTGTCAGCCCTTGAGCCCGACGACCAGTGGGGGATAATTAATTTACCTTGGTTAGGGTTACCGCCGAAAGCCTCAATGTTATCGCGAATCCCTGGTTGCTCAATGATTTAGCGTTCTAAATGCTGATTAGATGAGGCCATGGTCGCATACAATGCAAGCCAGCGCGCTGATCGCGAAGCCCTACATTCGTCTCCTTCCTCTCGATGAGCGTCGTACTAGTTGCGAAACCAAAGACTAAATTGATGTTTAGTGACCTGACTCTTCCTAAGCACAACACCCATGATGTACCTACGGCCAAGTCGGTAATTAATTCCAACATATATCACGGGCCGCCCTTTCGCAAGAGCGTGCTTCACCAAGCCATCTGGCTCATACAGTATATCAGAAGCCGAGTTTAGGATATGTCCACCTTCGTATTCGTCAGTCACCTTTCTGCAATGCGTCGCTTGGTTAATAGATCGAACACAAACCTCCATGAATCCACACGATAACCGGCAGTTTCGCATCCCCTCTAGTCCCCGTCGGCTTCGCAATCCTCAGGCTGAGACAGTTCTCACTGATATTCGTAACTCGACTCGTGAACGGCAGTATGTCCCCAGTTCCTTGCGGACACCAGGCGCCGGACTGTGTAGCATCAATAACGGAGCCTCTTTGTGGATTTGTCGGGACAGGCGGCGCGAAACGCCGAGGGCCTGTCGGTTCCTCTGCGTAGAAAATATTTTGGAAATGCTCGACGGCACCATGAGAGGACCGGCTGCCGATGTATGTGATACCCCGCTTGGAGTCAATGACAGTTGGACGTGGATTGAGGAACTCGGCCAGTGGCTGCTGAAAGTATATAGCGATGAGGGCTATCTGGATGGCTGTCAAAGCCAAAGAGAGACGAGTAGTCATGATTTAAAGAAGAGAGAGTACCCTTATTTCACCTCTGGTCATGGAGTAGATCGAAAGCGAAGAGAGAAGGAAGTTCGTCGAGCGTGAGAAACTAGTTGCCTGTTAATGAGGGATGTATCCTGATTGGCCGTCAGCTAGTCGAGGACGATGAGCTCCTCCTAATATTCCTCCGACTTCATGAGTATCCGTCCCGATGGTATCATCATGCGTATTAAGACAAAGCGTCAGCCAGAACAATTGCAACAGTCAAAGCTTACAGTATAACCCACCGTCATTGCGGTCATACACACCACGCTTGGTGCGTATACGTATTCGTATCCCCACATCTAAATGGCCTCCTCGTCCGGCCATCGGATTCACACTCTGCTGGCTTGCCATGGGAGACTAGCATGTTCAATAATTACAGGCTGACTGTGTCTCGGATCAACAATTTCAAGCTGGCGACTACTTCGCTTTGGATAAATGAGAAAAGTATACCGATGTCACCACCCAAAATTGGTGGGACGAAAGAAAGCAATCCTGATAACAACTAGCCTCTGGGTCGTAATAGACAATTGATGAATGAATATACATTCGGACTATAGTGAGCGGTCTAGGGTATCACGTCTGCTCAACAGTCCTGCGAAGGGGCATGTACACAATGTCAGTCTACCTTGGACGACTGACGGCCGCCGAACTCGCTTCTTCTGATTCTCTGCTTTGACTCCCACCGCTGCCATCCGGCTTCAGCAAGATCTTCACTTACCACCAAGTCCCGTAATCTCAGAAACCTAGCTATCGAGTGCTCCAACACCCAGTCAATCCAGCCATAGCTTCTCAAGAGGCCGGTGAATATGAACCAAATGAGGGCAAAAACAATTCCAACAGCGCACCCTGCGAGAACTTGGCGGATGGTGTGATAGGTCAAGTATATACGGCTGACGGCCACTGCGGTGGCACCGAGTGCAATTCCAAAAGAGGCGACCATGCGATATATGATTCCCTGGTTTGGAGTGGTTGGTGAGTGTCGAAATATGAGGAATAGGCCCATATAGACGGCGAAGAAGGCGACAAATTGCGCGTGTGATGACGGCATGCCATAGCCTTTCCCAAACATCTCTGTTCCGGTCGCTATTAGCCCAAGCTCTCTCTAACAGAATGCTCAACCCGTTTGACATACGTTTCGGTCGCTCCTCCTTGATAATGCGCTTGAGGGCAAAGTTCAGAGCCTCACAGACCAGCTGTCCGGCAAACATCAAGCCCACTTCCACTTCTCGCGAAGCCCAGACAAGTGTAGCGTAGACGACACATAACGCTTGAGGGACGAGAGCGAGCCACGCCGACACGAGAGACAAAGGGTCATCAGGGTTCTGTAATCGGATGGTAGGTCAATCTCCGTGCCTGGGGTTGAGAAGGCCCGGAGAACTCACATAATGAACGTGAGTAAGGGATAGCGAGGCTAGAGGCTGCTCTTCCTCCCCCATGTTGGCTGGATGGGCAGTTGGTAATAAAGATACAGTGCCCAAATGTATATCCAACCGTGCCGAGCAGTATGGGTGACGTCGGCCACCTGATGCTGCGGAGAGCTTGATTGTTATCATTGCGATAAAGTAAACCGGGAGCGGTTTCTCCGAGCCGGGATCAGCCGCTGCTTTTGTCCCCCTTCGAATGGTGCCTAAAAGCGGCAACGGAAATGAGGGGGAGGGGTTGGTAGCAGCCTCGCCGATAACAAATCGCTTCGTGGACTCGCAATAAGAAATTATTGTGCAGACGCGAGATAGAGCGCTATTTTTAAACTAACTAAACAATCCTCAAGTCAGATATCAACACGATGAAGATTCTAAAACAATAGACCTCTCCTGTGTACAGCTGGGCACCAAAGACTGCCTGATGCCCATCAAACTGGCCATTCCACCCCCACAACACAATCAATCACAATAATATCGCAATCACCTTTGCATCTTCATTACTGACTCTACTTCTTTTATCTTTGGTCTCGCTTCTCCTTTACTGTTACTCTCACTGCTCGTCTTCAAGACCTGCTGCGACTTTGTCTTCTTAAGCTCCTGTTACGCTTATCTCGCATCAAAACCATGACGCACTTCTCCTCTCCACGTCTACACTCAGCTTTCTCATTTCCATCTGCTTCAGCGTCGGTTCTCCAGCTTGCCAGACAGCCTTCTCAATCATCCCATTATTCCTCCCTGGCTGTTCGTATACCTCGATTAGCGATCCCTTAACTTCGATCCCTATCGTCCTCCCCGCCATTCAGACTGCGTGACCCACCTCTATACTTTTCTTCACGCCATTCGCCTCATTTCTCCGCCACCGCAGGGCTGCTTCTAGAAGTAGTCTATACCAATTTCAGGAACCGTTGGACCTTTTCCCATATTTTCCCGGACCCAGACTTACCTACTGGTCTATCGATTTTATGACAGCCGCCTCCCTTGCCCCGATCCTACTTGGCATCTGCCTCTATACAACTCCAGCGAAGAGCGAAAGAGGAGCATTCGGGGACAAACATCCTCGGTAGCATTTGGGTAATCTATATTGGAGTCTAATATGATTGTAGCCATTGCTCATCACTGATCAGCCCATCGCCACTTGCCGCTTTTGGCCCCAACGCCGATCAAGGTCTTGCAATCCTCATTTTTGCGGCCTGTCCTGCTATCATACCTGCCACGATGGAGTCGGAAGCTCTTTTGGAGGATGAGCGATCAGAAGAACTCTCGTCCATTGCCGCCATCTTCCCGGAAATCAAGGTCGATCCTTCGTCTCCCTTTCGAGCGTCGCTAGACATACCAGTCAAACCAACAACACCTCTGAACGTCTGCTTCTATCAACATCCGGAAGTTGGCTTTCCTGCGGTCCTTACTCCTCCGACTTCCCTCGACGCCAACGAAGTCGGCCTAGGGTCAAAGGCCAAACTAGACGACCAATCAAGCACGGACACGGAGAGAGACGTACATGTCCTTGCCCACTTACCGCCTCTTCGTATTGAGATTGAGCTCCCAGCGGGCTATCCTTCGGCAAAACCTCCTACATTCAAACTCAGCACCAATCCGCACTGGCTGCCGTTGTGGGCTGTTACGAAATTGCTGGACGATGGCAAACAGCTCTGGGAGGAATTTGGCCGGTCCCTGGTGGTCTTCAGCTACATAGATCATCTTCAACAACTGGCAGAGACGGCGTTCGGAATCGAGGAGGCTTCCGGTGGTGAAGTGCGACTCCCGCGGGAATTGAAGATTGCCTTGCTGGATTTCAACAACAAGGCAGAACGTGAGAAGTTTGAACAGGAAACTTTCGAGTGCGGGATATGTCTCGAGCCTAAGAAGGGCGCTAACTGTCATCGGCTATTAATGTGCTCCCATGTCTTCTGCGTACCTTGCCTGCAGGACTTTTACAACACCTGCATCACTGAGGGAGACGTTGAGGGTGTCAAGTGCTTAGCCCCTGATTGTGGTCAAGAACAAAAGGCACCACTTGCCGGCGAGAAAAAACCCCGCAAGAAGCGAGATCGCACACTTAGCCCATCAGAGCTCCTGCAAATACCCCTCGAACAAGAAACAGTGCAACGTTATGTCTTTATGAAACGGAAACGAAAGCTGGAAGCTGACAAGACGACTATCTACTGCCCTCGACAATGGTGCCAGGGCGCGGCTCGGTCAAAGAAGCATCCTAAACCGGTCGATCCCATGTCAGACGATCTAGAAGACTCCGATGACGAACCAGAAGGCCTTGTCTTCGATCCCCTAGGGGAGGAAAGCCAATTACCTCCCATGGCGGATCGGCTGGCTATTTGCGAGGACTGCAATTACGCATTTTGCTGTGTATGCAAGAAAGGATGGCATGGAGAACTAGTGCGGTGCTTCCCTCGGCGACAGGCAGAATTGACCGCAGAGGAGCAAGCAACAGAGAACTATCTCAGGTTGTACACGTCCGCTTGCCCAACATGCGATGCTCCCTGCCAGAAACGTATGGGCTGCAATCACATGAAATGCTTCAAGTGCGGCACACACTTCTGCTATCTTTGCTCCGCCTGGCTTGAGGAGGGGAACCCGTATCGACACTTCAACGACCTTACCAGCCCTTGCTTTAACAGACTCTGGGATCTGGAAGGTGGTGATGGCATTGATCCGGAAGGTGCTGAAGCTTTGCATCAGGTGCCTGAGCAGATGGTCTTTGATGACAGTGACGACGAAGAACCACCGCAATGGGAGATGGACCGCGATGACAATGAGCCGAGAAATGGAAGACAGCCTCCACCACCAGCTCCGGTTCCTCCTCGGGTCAACCAAGCCGTTGCTGGAAATCGCGTTCTGGGACGAAATGCGAACGGTCTCGATGCAGCGGGCCGAGCAGCCGCAGCCGAACGACAAGCCCAGGCCCGAGCAATGGCAGAGATCCGAGCTGGCCGCGTACCTGGGGGTGTTGCGCCTGAACCACCTGCCGTTCCGCGAGCAGGCCTCCAGCGATTCCTTGACCTCGTCCAGAACGACCGCGAAGATGAATGGGACAGTGACGAGTTAGAGGACGGTTTCTGAATCCGACAACCCTAGCTCTGAATTTGCTCGTCCGCTCTTATTTCCACCTATATACGTCTATACCATTTAACGATTTGATTCACACTCACGCATACACACATGTCACCACTTTACGATTTCACGATCACACCATGACAGTATTAGAACACATCTTTCGGGGCAACCTTCCATCTTGCTGTTTTTAATTATGGGCAGCTACCTATCTCATCTTATCATCTGTCTGCATATCTAGCGTTATTCTTACTTCTGTATAAGACGTTGCTGTACTCCGCATCATCAGGAATTGGGGTTGGGCTCTAATTTTCATGATTTCACTTTCAATTTTTGGCATGTACAGCATAGCACTCATGGTTATATTCTATTCAATGTCTTTAAAAGTTCACGGGGGTAGATACCTAGGTTGGATGAGGGGATTGTTGGTAATGCAGCTTGATATCGCTATCGGAATATTTGACTTTACATAAAACCGCGGGAGACGACACACAAACTTGAATATATACCTCACCATGACCTTAATAATCTGAGAAGCGTCCCGCCCATCCCGAAATGGCAGAGGAATAAACCACCCAATAATCCGCTCGAAATTCTAGGCTCGCGAGAACGATCCTTTCACAGAATGAGATAGTCATCCTCGCTCTCACCAACATTCCCAGCACCATCTCCATCCCCATCATCACTTCTATCAACAGCTCCAGCCCTTTCCCTTGAAGCATTCCATGTATACCAGAACTCATAGCTCAAGACCGAGTGATCTGCGTATACAAGCAGAAGTCGATATCGACGGGACGGGTTCCATCCTCGCCATCTCTCTTCGGGCTGGTAGGCCCGGGTTGCGCGGGCGTGTGATTCGGGAAGGGTGGGGTGATCTTGGATACCTTCTATTGCTGATGTCGAACCAGTGGTGGACTTGTATTGGAATAACAAGTCGTCCACGCTCGTCTCGGTATCAGTATCGCCTTCGTTTTCATCATCCACCCCGTTTGCGTCTGCACCCCGCGGAATAAACGGAACATCATGCGGAATCTCGAAACCCTGCATGGGAGCCACGGCCACACCTAGTAGCGGGAGAAGTGGGCGCTCACCGTACTTCTCCTGGCTCTCGAGTGGGACAATCCAATCTACGCGGAAGGTGCGTCCCGTTGCGGCCGACTCAGTAAGCGCAATAATGGCCGCACGACCCTTCTGGGAGGCGGCGACGACGATGCCATGTTCAGGGATATATTTGATCATGTTGAGACGGTCGAAGCCGCGGATGGGCCCAATGGGATGGAGAAAGCGTTGCAGAAGCGGGGCGCCGTGGACGACACTTGGGTGGAGGGAGAAAGGGTCTGAGATTAGGGTAATGTTTGTGTGGGAGAAGTGGAGGATTGGGAAGTCGGCATTCGGGGGAGCTGGGTCGGTGTTAGTATTTCTGTCTGTTTCACTTGATCGCGGGTGATGGAGACAGTGTTGTGGAAAACGTACGCTTGGAGAACTGACGGTAGAAATCGTCCTCTTGAGGAGCAGTATCTTCCTCGTACGCGTCTCCGCCGTTGTCAGAAGAGTCGACCTCCATTTCTAGCTGAGAATTGTCGTCATCGTCATCGGAAAGGAGGGCTTGGACTTCGTTGATATCGATACCTGCGGTTTCACGGAGAGCAATTTCTAATACGCTTTCTGGGGAAAGTACGTGATTAGGGTGGTTTGCTAGGGCTCTTAGGAGTGCACGATTGCCTGTAGGTTGCTGGGGCTCTGTATCGGAGGCCGAGCCAGAAGCGCTGCCTTCGCTCATTTCATCAGCATTGAAAGAACCATCCACAGCTTGGGGGCCGGTTGATTCTGCGGAATCGAACTGGCGTAAGTCGTCAGTCACAGAAGGCTGTAGTTTCTCTGTCTCATTATTTCCCTGGACGTTATTGCCACTAATAAGACAGTCTGCTCCGAAGAAGTCGGGCAACACTGTTTCGTCTGGCTTGGCCTTAACGGCAGGTGGGAAATGGTTGTAGAGACGTGATGAGTCAGGGAGGTTCTTGGTGAGATTGGTCAAGTCGAGGATCTCATGCTTGTTCTTTATACGCCGTCGGGGACGACCACCACAAGCCTCTTCCTCGGTCTTCACTAAATGAAATGAGCGCGGGTCAAGGGCGATGACGGACCATCCACGATCACTGAGATACGGTCAGCAATGTTGGGAAAAAAAACTTGTGAGACAAAGCTTACCCGTCGTCCAGATACGCATCCTCTGGGATGCTCCACGGAGCCACATTATTGAGGTGATAGTCGTTAAACGGACCCAGAGTCTCCCAGATCTTCCAGACTATCGTTCTATTAAAGATATCTGTACTGACCATCCACATTCCATTCGGATCAAAATCAGTGTTCAGAAATCCAACGGACGGTATATTGGTGAAATGGCCACTGTATGTTAGTTTGATATTCCGAGTACGATGCTTTTTCGGCATCAACTGTTGCAGTTTCCTAAACTGTTGTGCGGTCCGTATATGCAACCAGGTTTGGCTGTACTCGTTTGTGTTGTCAACCTCCTCTAGCTGACGGAATGAATCGTCGACCTTGTCCGACTCCGGACTGACAAGCGCAAAGGCAAAGACAGTCACATCGCCAGTATTGGCCGAGACCGCGATCAAGCGGGCGAATTTGTGAATTGCTAGGCCCCAAGCGCTGGCGCCAACATACTCAATAAAGAATGGGTCGATTTCAGCGCCATCTAAAGGTCTAGTCTTTCCATTGTCTGCCGCTCGTTTCAAAGCCGAGTAAATGGCTTCAACTCGATAGCCACAGACATTGCCAGAGTCAGTGACCAATAGCAAGACTTCTTCGCGGCCCAGATCATCCACAAGGAGGCTATTGATCTCATGCGGCGACGTTGGCCGGATGTAACCTCCAGCCTGAGGTTCTTTCATGACGGGTGCGATAATCATCTCCGGCTTATTGCCAAGCGTCTGCGACGCACCTGCGGGCTCCCACACGTAGATTTGGTGGCTGCAAGCAACGAATAGGAGATTTCGCCGTTGCGAGAGTGCAGTCTGTTTACGTCAGTATGATCTATGTCTTAGAGAGTGTACTGATATGTAGTTACCAGGTTACAGCGCCAGTAGGAGGTCCGAGGAGGATAGACATCATCCGCTCTGTGGTCTCAATCAGTTTTTGTAGAAGCCAGCCATAGCAGAAAACGTACGAAGGGTACTAGGCAAACATTAGCATACCGGTAAGCACCAACGGCTCTGAGAAACGAGAAGTCACCTACCCGCGATGGGCCCTTTTCGACATTCAGGGCTCTCAACTGAAGGCCCTCTCCATAGCAACTTTTCGGGACTGTTGCCCTCTGGCTGTGGCTCGTGGACGCCATTGTCGACAACTACAGCTATCCAGCATCGACCACTCGCGATAAAAATAAATTCTGAATCCTGAGCAGCTCTCTTCAATAGGAGGTTGATAGAATGAGCAAATGATAAGAATTATGATGGGAGAGCGCGCGCAGGTATATGTATCAGAACCAGGTTGGGCAGCACACCACACAAAGTGAGAGGTCTTTCACTCTGCACTGAACTTGTGCTGAGCATCTTTAGCTTCCCACATTTGTAGCAGAGAAGAATAAGTTGAGTCTCCTGCTCTTGAAAATTGGATATAGGGTTGTCAGTGGCAGGAGGGGCATCGCAGGTGAAGTCATACGGTAGCTATTTGCTGCCTTGCGCTTTAGGCAGCAACGCACGTGCCATAGACAGGCCTCCAGCTTGAGTTCCGTTTGCTATCCTTGATCTTAACATCATCGAGCACAGGACAAATCAGAATCTACCGATATCATGGATCTCGTCGCCGGAGTCCGCAAAGAAGGCAGCCGGTGAGTATTGCATCCACACTCACTCAATTCGGGACTCTGACTGACTTGATACTCCAGCGGCGGCCGCGGCGACTTCAAATGGTCCGACGTCAAAGACTCCTCACACCGCGAAAACTACCTAGGCCATTCGCTCATGGCACCAGTCGGACGATGGCAACAGGGCAAAGACTTACAATGGTATGCGCGCGGAGATGATGACCCCGACGAGGCTGCTCGGAAGGAACGAGAGGAGCGACAACGCGTAAAAGCAGCAGAGGATGAGGCCATGGCGCGGGCGTTGGGCCTCCCATTGCCGTCTCAGAACGCGAACGTGACGCCATTGGGCGGGGATGAGAAACCGGTGACTGGCGGTGTGCCGGTGGAGGAGAAGACTAGAGGTATGAGCACGGCGGGGCCAAGCTGTTGTTGTTGTTGTACAAATGCTAACGGGCGCAGAGAGGGAATCGAAGGATGGTCGAAGGCGAAGGCGCGAGCGTACACGGAGTCCGAGAAGGGATCATGTTGGTGACAGGGACAGGGATCGAGAGCGCAGACATCATAGGCGGCATGATGAACGAGAGCACCGAAGTCACCGGGGTCATAGACGCAGGTCAAGGTCGAGGTCTGTTGACCGAGATAGGGAACGCCATAGGAGGAGGCCACATTCACGGTCGAGGAGCAAAGAGAGGGGCGACCGAGATAGATATGCAAGACACCGAGATGACCGTCCACGTAAACCCCGAGAGGAGGATTCTTATCACCCGCGACATTAAATCATGCTATGAGAGGCGATACGGCGCCAGGCGTTACTTTCTTGCACACTCATCAAAGACACTCATAATCAAGTCTATACTACACTTCTATACAGGATTGATACATGCAGTTCAAAGCTCGTCATGGCCGGTCTTCTCGATGGCGGGAAGGTCAGGCATGGCCATCATCTTGACCACCAAGCTGGTCCAGCCAGTGAAGTGTTGTGTCCGCTGTCCCTTTCCTGTCTCTGGGTTGTACTGCTCCCAGGCGAATCCGGTGTCTTTCCACTCCCGGAACACATTTTCCACCAGGTTCTTCCGGAGGCTGGAATATGTAGCGCGGGCTCGATCCTGCTGGGGACCGAATGCGAGGGCAATGTCCTAGATAATACAGTCAGATTTGTTCGAGATGAAGAATCGGTAATCACTCACGTAAAGATTCTTCAGCACAAGATAGTTGATGTTGATCCACACGGGACTTCTCCAGTAGTTCTCAGCGCTGCCATAGTACTCATCCTTCTTACTAAGACTTCGGATACCATAGTCACTCCAAAGCTCCTCCGGGTCCTCGATCAAGTCCAGGGTGGCCTCCAAGCGAGTACTGTCAGGGCCCACCATGCCTGTCAAGAAAGGCGCGATCGACACATATCCCTTGTGGCAGACGTGGACCGACTCTTCGTAGTCGTCAATTGTGGCGTCGCAGTAAGTCTTCGCATCCTCATCCCAATGAAGATCGTCAATGTTCCGCTCGATGGCGGTTTCGTAAGTCTTAAATTCCTCAACATCCTCAGTCTCTCCGAGGGTGTCCGCAATGCGGCGAAGTGCCCGGGTCATCATGCCCATCCAGCTAATGAGGTCCACGTGAAGCTCACCAGGGTGGGGAGGCTGTGCCCTGGGGTAGTCATCCAATCCGGATGTCAAGATGTGCTGTACGGAGCGTCCGCGCCAGCGGTATGCTTCTTTAGTTGAGAATGCTTCACGGTCGTAAGACTTAATGTCACCGTATTGAGTAGATCTGTACCAGAAGTAGTGTCTTTTGAGGAGGGGATAGATCGAGCGGATGAAATCTTCTCCAAGCTTCGGCTGATTTACGTAGACAGAGTGCAGGCCCTCGTTCTCAGAGTAGATCTGAGCTGACTTGTCTTGCGCATCGAGCTTATCGATAAAGGCTTCTAGGACCATGAAGAGAGTCGGCGGGTTGGCATAATGAGGGTATTGAACCGTGAACTCAGGCGGGACCTTGCTTCGGGCCTCACTACCCAGAATCTGCTCGCGCGCAATCCATCCATCTTCATCCATTAGGCTGAACCAACTCTTCACGATTTCAAGTCTAGGGACAGTCAGTTATCTTCGCAGAACTGTTGAAGCATATTGGCAAAATGCGGGGAGCATACGCAAGATCAGGATCCCAGTCTAGGATTGGGAGCAAGTGGAAACCTTCATCCCAGAGGAAGCCGCGGGGGAAGAATGGACGAGAGGGCACCGAAGTGAATAGGTCCTTTGGTCCCTCAAGCACAGGCTGTGCCCGGCCTCTGGCTTCCTCTGTTTCTTCCCAAAAGCCCTCATTCTCCTCATCATACTCTGGGGCAGCCGAGCGGTCAACAATGTCCGTGCCATGGAAAAAGCCGATACCGCCGATGAGGTTTGAGAGCATGGATTTGGAGAACTTAAGGTAGTCTGCCGAGTCAAAGGGCGCCTGCGGGGAGAGTATCTTCTTGAACCTCTCGGAAAAGGAGAGCGAAGTGCTCTCAATTTCAGTAGTAAGAACATCAGCTGTAACGTGGTTAGGATCACTTTTGGTCGTCAAACACCATATCACGGCACTCACAGGTGAGAGGTTCTGGCGAAGAAGCGGAAGAGAATAGAATGTCAAACTGCCCGTTGTAAGCTTGGTTGCCACCGAGACCAATTACGTGACATACCTCGAAAGCGCCAGAGAAAACCTTTTGCACCAACTGAACATTCCCCTCGCCGGGCGAGTTGTTGATGGTAAAGACCTGGGCAGGTGGAGGCGGATTGTCTGCGCCATATTTCTGAACCGTCTCGTCAACGGCTTTCTTCATCTGCGAAAACAGGAGCACTGAGATTATCAGTATCAATGTGCGAAAGTACATGGACATGACAAGAGTTAATAACTAACCCTTGGTCTGCCAAGTATGCTCCGGCGGCACAGCGAAACTCGACACGATAGTACGGTCCAACGGCTTGTCGTCATACGAGGGATGGTCGAACTCAGGATGCTCATTGCTCTGAGGGCCCGTAGTCACATCAATTGAGAAATCCCCAAGCTCAGTCGTGTATCCATTCAGTTTGACGTTGCCCTCAAATCCTCTAGGGTCATCGCTCTCAGTTGCAACTCCTAAGCTACCAAGTCCCTCCATACTAGCGTAGAAGACCACGGTCGTGGGTTGGTCGGGCAAAGCGTCATCGCGAGGAACGCCCTTCACGCGTGCAGCCCAGCTGCCTCCATGCTGTCCGCCAGGGACCTTGACGAAATCGATACTCAAGTCGAGCGAGTTTCCGGCGTCGTGGATCGTTTCCCGGCCGCCCTTTCGAACGTCGTACTCGTCCCAGCCATAGCCTGCCATTCCTTCATTTTGCTCGCAGGTATGTCTAAAGTCTTTGTACTGTTAGCTTCTAGTCAATCGAAAGCCAATTGCCGTGAATTGGTGTCTGTGACGATGGTGGACGCATACTCTCTTGGGCGGTGGCATAGTTGTCGACCTTCGCCCACATCAAGCCGGCGAAAACGCTGTTGGGAATTCGAGGACGAACTCCAAAGTACAAGTTCGGCTTGTAAGGGCCCCATAGCAGCGATTGATTGCTGGCTTTGGCAGCCTCATTTGCGAGTGTTGACACATCGTCAGTAGTTTGGCCAGCGAGCACCGCTGCACAGAACAGTGGTGCCGAAAGGAGAGAAGATATGGAAGGACGCATTATTTTGCCGACATTAAGAAAGGGTTAGAGACCTCATGTACTGAGGAAATAGCTTGGTCAATACTGGTCTCCGGAGGTTAATTGCGGAGTTCTTATCTGGCATCAGCGGAAGCTTACGCGCTCCGCCGATCACTTGGTCCAAGCTCCACCACATACTTCAGAGTACGAGCAACGGTGTTTTATGAAGTATTCCATACCTCTACCCAAAGCTTTCATCTGGATTATCTCGATGAATATGTACAATGCCGAATACCTATTTACAGGAAGTTCCTTGGATCCAGAGACCCGATGTTGGCACTCTTTGCACGGCCATCAAACACAAACTCGCTGATCAGCTTTCCCGTGCCTGGCGCATTCTGAATACCCCAGCAGGTGTGACCAGCAGCGAGGTAAAGTCCCTTCGTACCAGTATGACCAACCAGCGGGCCACCACGGGATGAGCTTACGTTAGGCAAGTAGCAGGCCTGGCGTGCTGTGACCTCGCCATCACGAAGCGCATCGGAAATGGATCCAACCTGGTTGATGATATCCTGACATCGTTGCTGATCGACTTCAACATCTGCGGTTGTACTTGGGAGCGGAACCACCTGGTCTCCTTCTCCACAAGCGTACACAGTGTCGTCCGGGCGAGCGTAGATTTCTGGGGAGGCCACAGTTGGCCGCGACTTGACGGACGGATCAAAGTTGGCCGGGATCTCGATGTTGGTAAAGAGGGTATGAGCACTCGCTGGCCTCGTTGGACGAATCACAACGCTGTGCGCGCGCATTGCCGAGATTGGGGCTTCAGGCATGATGGAGCTTGTCCATGGGCCAGCAGCGACGACAACATCGGTAGCAGGAATGGTTTGCGCCTGACCCGTTTCCTTCTCTGTATATGTAACAGACTTAACCCCATTACCTTTGTAGTCAATATCCGAGACAGAGCCCAATATTACTTTGGCGCCCTTCTCCTCCGCGAGCTTGGCGATCGACGTTGTGAAGAGATAAGGATGCACCTGCGCAGTTTCGCCAGGGTCGCTCATGCTTTCGTAGCCTCTAATCAACTCCGGCTCGACCCAGTCCAGCTCCTGGGGCGCTCTGGCCGTCTTTAATTTCCCCATAGCGGCTGCGCTGCGTTTTTGAAGCGATAAGGAGCCACCGGCACTTTCTCCGTCTTTCTTCTCGCCCAGTGGGCGGCCTCGTGCGACCAACTGTGCGCAGCCAACCTCTCTATAGCCCCATCTATCCTTTCCATTATGCTCTTTGGCTAATTCCGCATGAAGCTTGTAGCTTAGCGGTACGATATTGCTCGGATATGCCCACAGCGCCAGCAGGCCGCCCGCTTTGCCGGATGCGCCCCCTGCGATGTCGGATGCTTCGATGAGAGTCACGGAGTGACGAGAGGGATCGAACGAAGGGTGTCGCGTCAGGTAGTAGGCTGAGCAGCATCCAATAATACCGCCACCTGGAACGGTCAGTACAGCCATCCATCAATCCACCTCATGCGGGGTAGAGCAAAGAACGATAAGCTAGTTCATACCTACAATGACAATGTCGCGACGGTCAGTTGACGCAGCCATCTTTCCGCACTGTGCGATTCGAGAGCTAGCAACTCGAAGTGAAGACACGGTGATAGAGTAGTGAAAGTTGGGGAGTCTCGGCTTGAGCAAAGCCTGGATAAGGTACCTTAATGGGCCCGACTACGTCACTCGAGTCATGTGCTTGTCTCGCCGATCGGACATGGACCGGTTGTACAAGACGGATCGAAGTCAGATATTTCAGACTTTGCCATTGCCGCGAAATAGATCGTTCGGAGTCATTGTTTCATTTGATGCAGAGACGATGTAATGGCATCAAGTAAAACTGAAAGCTTCAAGGATAATATAGGGTCCACAGAAATAAGATTGAAGACAGCCCTAACACCAGAAATGCATGAAACGTGCCAGGATGATATAGAATGCTCCAATAGACAAGCACCGGAAGAACGAAATGAGAATATGGTAACAAACAACAGGTGGGTATATCTTGCTTTTCACCGGGACGGACTCAGAGGTCTGTTGAATCCTCCTTGGCGGTTCATGTACTGACGGTACTCTGTCTTCTTCTCTTTGCGCACGCCGTAGGCATTGTTTCCAGGGACCTTTGTGTTCTTGGTACTCCTGAATTTTGAGAATCCCATGCTCCGTCGCATAAGCTCCTCGATATCATCCCCCCCAGCTGCGTCGTCCAAATCCATGTCCATGTCTTCCTTCAGCCGATCGGATCGATTGTTTGAATCTGACACACCGTTCGGTCGATCTCGTTGGTCTCTGCGGTCGTTTCTGCGGTCACCCCGTGAGCCCCGTCCTGGCGGCGTCCTGTCTCGAGCGCCGTTCCGAATCGGTGAACGGGATCGGTCGCGATATCTGTCGCCCTTGGAAGGATAACCTCCTTAAAAAGTTAGATTACCATTTTGGCGAATAGATCATTTGAGAAACGCACCTCGTCTGTCAGAGTATCTTTCACGGCTGACACTCCTGTCACGAACTCTTGCATCGCGCCCATCCCTATCACGGTCTCTTCTGTCACGATCTCGATCCCGGTCCCGATCGCGGCGATCCCTAGACCTGCTCCTATCTCGTCGATTTTCTCGCCTGTCCCTCGACCGGGAGCGGTATCTTTTGTCGCCGCGGGGTGCTTCACGTCGTCCGTCGTCTAGAGGTCCGCGTCGGGAACTCTTATCGTAGTTTGAGTCTACTCCAGGGGAGCGCGACCCTCGGTCATCCATGTCCCACATCGCTGAACTATCCACGCGGCGAGCACGCTTCGCCGGCGGCTCTGCCATTGTAGACGTGCTGAAGGTTTGAGTGTTACTTGTTGCGGGAGAGGTCCGTTCGTATGGCGGAATTGGCGGTAACGACTTCGCAAATCCCCTAAATAGGCGAGATGGCTATCGTCGTAGACCTTAGGAGCAGGATTAAGCCGGAAATGGGGAAACGTTAGTAGTGATCACGGTTGTTGCTGTTCTTCGGGGAAGATTGAAGCTTCGTGCAAGATATTACGGGCGGCCGTTTGTGCCAGCTGCGCCACCTATTTCAGGTTTGGCCTCTGCCCGCCCCTTTATCTTTAGTCTTCACTGCCACAGCTACCACACAACCAATTCATCCTGTGCAGGGCTAACTGGACAGGAAAGTATTGCATGCAAAAGACCACACAAGTAACTACTCCATGCCTAGCTTGGTGGTTATTTCTGCTAAGCATTATTCAAGAGGAAGAATGCTTGGATAATGCTGTGAGACTCCCTGATAACACCAAATAGGTAAATCTAAGAACAAAGTATTCACAAGCATGCCTGCTAGTAATATGTGAAGCTGTGCAACATTGAGCCCTGGAAAAGGTCGCATGCAAATGATTTTATATGGCATAGAACTGGAACGCTTACATGGCTAATTCGACAAACAAGCTGTCTCTGAATCAAAGGGTCCCTTTACGGAGTACCGCAAGTATCATCTATTTACTCCTGGCTGGGATACCGTCTGCACTATTCCCACTTGGCTTGAAAACTGAGAAGTGTCTAGCTATGGCCTAAGCTCAGCAGCCTGGTGACGGACGAACTTATTGCATATTTATATAGATACTAGTTAAAGTATGTTGTAAGGATCTTCCACTTATTGGTTAAAAGGTCTTTAGCACTGTTCCAAAGCGAAAAAAGTTAATAAGCTCGCAGGCCAGATTATTGTGCGAGTTGTTATTTGCTGAGCCTTCGGCCAAACCAGTGGATTTAGTCGGTTAGACTTAGCGAAGTGACAAGTACTTACCAGAATGATGACACGATTTCTTCAACCTCTCATCTATGATCTCGTGGATATTCTGTCGCAATGCCAACAATAGCAAGCACTCGCCTATGAGAAGTTGGGGTTAGTCAATGACTTCCACAGCACTGTAAATTGCTGCTCTGAAGCGAGGGTACTTGCTGCCAAAAAAGACGCAGCCGCCATTACAGTCTCATTCATAACATCTCCATGACTTCCATGCGTACGCCTGCACTTTGCCGATGGAACATCTATGAGTCAACGTCAGAAATTCAGGAACAGGGAACTGTGTTACTGCAGTATAGCAGTTCCGTACTGAATTATTGTATAAAATCTCACTACATCGTCGCCAACCTTGCGGTCTAAAATATCGATCAGGAAGGATGCGGGCCGCTGCAAAACTCAAAACTTTTTTTCGGCTACTGTGTCGAGCTCACCCTCCCTGGCGAGCCGTTACCCAGCTTGTCAGGAGTTGTCTAGTATTAAAAACACTAGGCAAAGCCCTCTAGGCTCACCTTAAGAAAACAGAAAGGCGACTGAAGGGGAATTCTTGATCTCGTAGAACAGACGAATGCTTCGGCTAGTCCACATGATCAAACAGACTTCTGATCCAGCATTGATATGCTACAAGCTCCAAGACCATGGTTTATCAACGACTGGGGCTGGGACAAGCGTGGGATTGGAGGCTTGAGAGTTTCTCGTCCGATCTAGCGTTCGGCAATCGTCTCCATGTTTTCAAAGTATTATTTTGTACGAGTCACCTGTTGCAATTATTCCCGTTAGGATAGCCTGCTGTAAGAAACTGCAGTCATCTCCGATTTTATCTTGCTTCTATGAACCCTGATCAGATTAACATCCTAGTACAAAGTCCGGTGCTGGTTTATTTTTGTACTGTTTCTCGGAGCTGTGTGCAGGCTTGGACAACTCGTGAGTCTGAAGAGACATAAAAACAATTATTTGACCTTTGATTATCCTACATTGTATTCTCCACCCATCTATCGTGTTCTATACGTGGAATACGGTCCATGTAAATGTATGCTGCTTGCAAGTTGCAAGTTGCATGTAATGACGACACTGTCAGAGAAGCGAGCGGCCCGTCCCGTCGAGCCTCAAGCTAGCCCTGAAAAGGCTAAGCGCGCTCCCGGCGCCTGGAAATCTTTTTGCGCTGAATCGACCCCTCATGCCGTCAATGAAAACCCCGCAATGCCCTTGAAGAGCTCATAACTTCTTTTCACTCTTTGCTCCGGCCCTCTCTCTTATACCAAATAGCAACATGGCTCCGTCTAGCCTATCACACCGTCAGACTCATAATCTGTTACTGATTTCGAAGCTGCTTAGTCTCAGAGATACTGCGTCACCACTGACGCTCCTATTGGACTCGTTGGAACAGCCAGCTACGCCATTGATCAAGGAATATATCCGACGTGCTCGAGTAAGATCTCCCCACCAAACATTTAAGTTATTTATGTTATAGCGTTGTGTGCGCTGGACAACGTCGTACTAAATCGCCGCAGCTCTCAAAGGTCCATGTCACTCTCATCGCGTTCGAGGCGTTAAAGCCGTATGACGGTGTTGATGCATTCGTTCCTGCTCGCCGAAAGGCTCCCACGGAAATAATGCGAGAAGTCGCCGCTGCCTACAAGCCAGATTCATCCAACAGCCCTAATCGCCGTATGGCATACATACCTTTTCCACCATGAGACTCTTAATGCTGATAGGATGAAGGACGACTAATACTCATCGACTCCATAAACCCGCTGCTACACTCAACCCGACTCGACAGGTCTTTCCACCTTTCAAGTTTTCTCAGTTCATTCATCGTTCCCTCCGGTCCCACAACTTCCAAACCAGATACCTCTCTCGTCGTTACATTCCACCAAGATGTCCCCGGCCGTCCAGCGCAATCGCCGTACACTCCATCACCTCTGTCGCTCTTGACTTACCTCGCGACGACTGTCATTAAACTTCACTCCTTCTCACACATCCTCGCTCAAAAGGCCGCGCGAGATCGCAGCCTCGTCCCGCCCGTTTTTGGGCTCGAAGAAGAGCAAGATGGCGTGCTCCTCGGAAGGCTGGATAAGCCCGTTGGGAAGGGCACGGAAGCTGGAGGAGTCGTCCTGGAAATGGAATACCGGCGCAAAAGCGGGCGTGGAGTTCTGGAATGGTATCTCCTGCCTCCCGCGTCGAAGTATCCGGCTACTCAACTTAAGGAAATTGTGACATTGCTTGATGACCATCCATTGTACCGGCCTCCAGAGGATTTGGGTGATGCAAATGGGGATGAAGAGCCTGAGTCTACTTTTGAACTGCGGCTTACGGAGAGACAGCGCAGGGATAGAGAAGGTGTTGTGCTGCCTTACTTCGATGCGCAACAGGGTAACGGACCTGGTGAGGGTGGACGTATCTTGTACGATATGGGAGAGGAAGATGACTTTGATGAAGAGGAGGACGAAATCTGATCTGAGGCGGGGCAGCAAATTCGCAGCCGATGCTCTCGTTTTCCTCTTGCGGGGGATTGACCGTACAAGCCAGGCCCTGTTCAATTCTTTCGAAGCTGAAGATGTGGTGGTGCCCTGCAACCACCGGATACATTATCTATGCATATGAATTACAAGCGGGTAGTTATGTGACATGGCTGAGCTGCGAAAGGGTCTAGAAGAAGCGCCACCATATAAGAAAGAGGAAGATGAATGCGACACCTGCGAACGGCCCATACTGCAAAGAGTCAGATCGATACTTTGGGGGATACATGACGAACTAACCTGTTTTATCAGCAACTCCCAGTTGATGCGTACTGCCGCTTTCCTGTACTTCTTGCTATCTTCCCGCAGGCGGCCTGACAACTCACCCATGCGCTCTAAGCTATCTCCTCGATATAGCAAATCCTCAATATTCTTCGTCATCACTTTCGTTACGTCCCGAAGTTCGTCGTTCAGCCGGTCAAGGTTGGCCGAAGCTCGGCTATCCTGGTACACCTTCTTACTGCGCTGGATGAATGTGTCGAACTCCACAAATGCGTACGGACGTAGGGTTGGGGACTGGTATTGTGAAGCAGGATAGGTGTTGGTGAATTCGGTTGCGATATCAGACAGATAGGTGAAAGCGAGTTTGCGAGGGTATGAGCTATCGCATATGCAGAGGAAACAAACGTCATCCTTGATCAAATAGCTATTATTCTCATTAGCTTGAATCCTTGTTAGAATTTATGCCTTCATAGCAAATAAGACATACTGAAGGTTGTATTGGCCAGACTCAATGCTCGCTTGAGGCGCGGAATTTCGACTCAGTCGGCGGAAGATCATCTTAGCTTGACCTTTGATCTCAGATAGTTGTGTCTCGGACTGTGAATGGTAAGTCCATGGAGCGCATTGATTACAACACAGGCAATGATGAATAAAATCAACTCACCTGCTCATCATCTACTGATGCTGCCAGCATCAGGCCTGCCTACAACATCAGCTCCACCGTTTACTTTCACTAACACCCACTTCTCACACTTGCGTCTTACCGTCAAGCCTGGCAATCTGAGTTGATTTGACCATCCTGCAGTATCAGTCCAGCAATACCAGCAATCCTTGTTCTCAGAAAAATATAGCCGTGCTTGCTATTAGACAGTCGTGATCTTCCGCTTTGTTGTCCTCATCTCTGAGTCCAGACTGCGGAGCAATGGCCCGCGGACGTAAGGCGGTCGACACCGGCAGTATCAGGAGGCAGCCAGGGAGGTAACACTTCATTCCCCCAGCGTCTTGTTGCTTAATTCGACTTGACGGCTTAACAGCTGCTGTGGCGAACTTAGGGTGGCTAATACTGACGAATATGGACCAGGAATTGTCGTGGGGACTCTTTCGTTGAAGCAGCTGCACCGGGTGATGTAGCGAAGCCCAGCGTCGCGATGGACTCGACGAATTCCAAGCCAAAGAAGACTCCGCGGAGGGCCGCGAAGGATAAATATGAAGAGGAGAAGATGATGACCAGCGACAAGTCGCTACTCATTGACATAAACCTAAAGGTGAGCCGCATGCCTTGGAAGGTCTCAGATGTGCCATGAATACAATGCTAATCGGATCTAGGCATTGCTCGCGCACCCTGATGCTTGGAACTGTCTTGAAGAGTCCGAGAAGAAAGAAATACTAGATCTACTCCCTAGTGACATACACCCCAATCCGAACCCTTCTCAAAATGACCCCAATGCAAAAATCGACCCTCTACCATCGCAGTTTCTGCTTTACTCAAATAACTGGGGCGAAGCCCTCCGCACCTTTCAGCTGGATCTCGAATGTGGGCGCTATGATCCGCAGTGGGTGCGTGAAGCTGAAGAGGCCGTTAGAGAGCGAGCTGCTGGCAAATTTGATAAGTTCAAAGAACAAGAGTTCGAGGAGTTCTGGGGCCAAAAGCAGAAAATGGATAGAACCTTGGCTGCTGGTGCAAGCTCGAAGATCAAGCTAAGCACTCTTATTGAGCATGGAGTTATTCGAATGGGCGATATATTGAAATGGTCGAGGAGTTTTAACCGCCCGAGGGTTTTGATTGAAAAGGAGGCCAGGGTACGTTTGGTTCCTCATATTGCGGATCTTCCAGACAACTAATACTCCTCAGGTCATTGAAATCAATGGACCGAGTCTGACTTTCGCTATTCCCGCGGGACAACGGACATTCCTGAAAGCGGCAGTGACTCCAGATGCAAAGACGCCGGGGACAGAAGAACAAGCAGAAGACCAGCAAAAGTCTGGCCCAATAACCCCACCATCATCGCAAACCAACGGTGTAAGCTTGAATAATACAGATACTGAGTCGGATGCGAAAGACACAGAGGCTGGTCCCTCTAGGAAGCGCAGTGCCGAACCCGACATCGAAGCTATGCCCATCAAAAGGCCGCGTGGACGTCCGCGCAAGCAAAAACCTATTCCAATCCAGGAGGAAACGGACGATCTTGTAGTCGAAACTACCAAATCCCGCCCTGAAGACGGAACTGACTCACTCTTGTCCCATACCGAAAACAACGTTGAACCGTCAGCGGAGATGCAGAACGGTGGCTCGCACTCAGATGCAGAACCTTCGAAGAATACAAGGTTAAATGGGTTAGACGAAATCAAGCTCGGAGAACCAGAGATTATCGACCTTGTGGATGATGAACCTTCCCAGTCGTCTCCTGAAGAGAACTGCGAGGCGGATGAGGTGATTGTACGTGATATTCAGGCCCTTAATACACTTACTTCGAAGATATTGGAAATCGATGGCCGGGTCAGCAAATCCACCAATGGCAATGCCTGGAAAGAGCTCCGCTGCTTCAGGAATAATCAGGATATGGGCACCCTATGGGAAGTCAGGCAAGCTTGGTTTTTGAAGAACAAATAGCATGTTCCTTAGGGAAGAAACAGACTCTGAACAGCTCCATATTCTGTTTGCATAGCCGAAGGCATGTCCTTCTTTCCGGACGACTTTTTGCAGTGATGGTCAAGATCTTCATTTTCCATCGCAAAAGTCAGTTTTCACATTGTACATAATCATCCCCTGGCGCATCTCATGCCGAAAGGCCGCCATATAGATACCCAACATTTTATCAGAATGCATCATTATTTGATCCAAACACCGTGTTCTCCTCTCGGGCTGCTCGCCCCTGCTCTGCGTCAGCAGCATAATCAACTGCAAAACTACACTGGATGAAATCCTCCAACTCCTCACTAACAGTCTTCAGCTTCTCCTTCACACTCGCAACACCCTCCTGGCCCACAATATGTCGCGACGGCGGGTTCTCGTGCCCGCCAATTGCCGTAATGGCGTAAACCGTCTCTTCTACTAGGATCCCCATGTGCGCCGAACTAAGCGGGGGATATGTGGATATAAGATCCGGGCCTGAGAAGGGCCCGTCTTCAACGGAGCTGGTCTGGCTCTGATTCTGGGAAACGTTGTCACTGCCGTGCTGCGTATTTGGTAAACGAGGCACGAGGCGGTTGAGGATTCCCCGGAAGAGAGGTGCTGGGTTTATGCCTGGGGAGTAGGCTGGGACAATTGGGGGGACACTGGTGACGAGGTTTGTGAGGATGGGGATTTCAATGCTGCATTGGAAGATGGTGAGTTTGATGTTGAAGGGCGCAATTTCATATGCGAGACTCTGATGTGAGGTACATTGGTTAGTGGCAGTCGACAGGAGAGCTTTAGAGGTACGAGACTTACGTCGCAGAAGCCCTCAAGGGCCCAGCCTGCTGCGCAGTACATCCCGAGGCCGGGTGTGCCAATGTGGGCGGCTTTTGCTTGTTAGGGATGGGTTCGTGTGGATAGTAACGTTTGAGGTCCATACTGATTCCGGAGACTATCATGACGTGCCCTGACTTCTGACGCCTCATGTGAGGCAGCGATGCCTTGATGATATTGAGCGGACCGAAGTAATTAACCTCGAACTGGTCGCGGACAAGGTTCAGCGTTTGTTGGGAGGCCGCAAGCTCCTCTACCGTTCCAACGAGGGCTGAGAAATAGTTAGTGTGCTGTATAATGTAGCTAATTGGCTTGCGACAATGTCTCACCTTGGCTGGTGCAGCAGAGCAGAATGTCCATCCTGCCGAAGGTCGCAACCGCTTCAGCAACCACTGCCTGACACTCTCCAACTATCCTGTGTCGCGAGTATCAGCCTGGTATACTCTTTGTACAAAGCGCCCGTAACTTATCCAATGCGCACCTTATATCCAACTGAACGGACTTGAACCGCTCGGCCCAGCCCTCGTCACGATGGGCTTCAACTTCCGTCACAAAGGCGTCGAACATGTCCCGGCGGCACGCATCGCGATCGAGGTCCGACGACGAGATACCGACGAGAGCGCTGTCCCCGTGCGCAAGGATCTGGCGCGCAACCGAAATCCCAACGGGCGAATCCCCCGCGGTGATCACCCATACCCGCGACTCATTATGCGGAGGGAACTGCGGGCGGGAGTAGTCGGGGGAGGGATTGTTCTCTGTCATAAGGGCGGGGGTGACATTCACGGGGCCAGCATATCCATCGCGCAAGAGGACACGCCCAAGGTGCGAGCAGCAAGTGCTAGGGGTATAGATGTAGTACTAGGAGGTGGGATGCGGAAGTCAGTCGGATTTAGCCGTAGAACTGCCGGGCTTCTGGACCGCCGTTGGCCGGGGCTAGTCTACCCTTAGTCAAGGGCTGCAGGCGATTCCATCATCTAGTCTATCTCGCGCCATCCGTGGCCTTTCTCCTCTTCCTTTTCTTCCCAGCCCCGCCGTCTTCGTCAAGAACCAGGTTCACAATGCCTGAGCAGCGGCAACAAAGAGAGGAGGGGGAGCAAGGAGGTGTGCGTATAATCCCGTTCTAAGGTGAATCTCATCGTTCTGACATTTGGCTCTCCTAGTCCCTCGTCAGGTCTCTGATCCAGGGTGTCACTATCTTTTTCGTAACCCAATTCTTCATCGGTCAGTTCTTTGGAAACAAGCAGAATGCTGGATCTGGTGGGAAACCTGGCGCTGTGACTACCTTTAACGAACGTCCTCCCCGAGCCGAAGTTGAGACCTACAGCTCCGTTCCCGACACCATCTCCCCGATTTGGCCTTCGGACAGCGCGTTAGATATCAGCGTCTACGTTTCTCCGTCAATCGTGCTTCCTTCGCTCAAGTCTCTACCCTCGAGTTCTCTTGTCTTGGAGGAGAAGAAATTTGGTCTTGGAAACTTCAGTGATGTTAGGGACGTGGAGACCACCATCCAGGTTCCCAAAGAGGTCCAGAATAATGGAACCCTTTGGGCTCACTTCTTCGTGGGACTGAGCGGACACGAGTTGGATCCCACGGCTAAGGACTACAGCACTGACAAGGCTGTCCACTTTTTGCGACCTCTCAATCAGTATCTTCCAAAGAAAAAGGCCAAGAAGCTTAAGAATCTACTTGCGAGTGGGGATGAAACCGATGAGGAGGAAGATGATGGTATTCCCGACGTTTCAATCGCGTCTTACTACCACCCGAACTTCACTCTCTCTGTGATCCCCGATTCCGCAAACATGAAGTACCGTCAAATCCATCCTGCTATTCGTCGTCACACGCAACTCGAGGCAACTGGCGCGAGAGATGCCTCGGGTCAGAATGGTTGGTACTACCCAATTGTCTTTCTGAACACTTTCTGGCAGTTGAGAAGCCATATGGTGGAGCTTAACTCGACCGTTGAGACCATCCCGCTCCGGTTTACACTAAACAACCTCCAGAACTGGAAGTTCGCGATGATGGCTAGTCTCGACGACAACGCGAAACAGACTACTAAGCAAGCCGCATTTGGAGGCTCTACTCCTGGTGGCGGCGATGGGAGCGAATTCGAGATGATCAAGGAGGTGCTCCTGGATACTAATATCTGGTTGCTGGGTACAACCGGTGTGGTTACGATCCTGCACATGCTGTTTGAAACACTCGCATTCAAGAATGATATTGTAAGTCATCCTTGTCTAAATGACAAACAGATTGTTAGTGAGACTAACCGTTCTTCCCGTCGCAGTCTCATTGGCGCAAGAAGAAAGACAATGTCGGAACGTCAGTTCGCACTATTCTCGCCAATGTGTTTATGCAGGCGGTCATCTTCCTGTATCTCATGGACAACAGTGAGAACACTTCCTGGATGATTCTTGCCAGCCAAGGTTTTGGAATCCTTTTGGAAGCTTGGAAGGTCACGAAGACGGTCAATGTCCGTCTGCGCCCGCCTCCAGCCGGGTCCTTCTTCTCGTTCCTGCCCTACGTTATTGTGTTTGAGGACAAGCATAAACTCTCTGAAACCGAGAAAAAGACTCAGGAGTACGATGAGATTGCGTTCCGCTACCTCTACATCATTGCCGTGCCTCTTCTCGGAGCCTACGCTGCGTACAGCTTGATGTACAACACGCACAAGTCATGGTACTCATATATCATTGAGACTCTTGTCGGCAGTGTCTATGCCTACGGCTTCCTGATGATGGTTCCTAGCTTGTATATCAACTACCGTCTAAAGGTTCGTGCCGTCGCATTCTCCAGTTGACCTCTCACTAATATCATTACTCTAGTCCGTTGCTCATATGCCCGGCAAGGCCATGACCTACAAGTTCCTCAACACCTTTATCGATGATCTATTTGCGTTCACCGTGAAGATGCCCTGGCTCCACCGACTAGCGACTTTGCGTGACGATGTGATTTTCTTCATCTGGCTCTACCAGAGTTACAAGTACAAGGTGGACTACACGCGTGTGAACGAGTTCGGCCAGGGAGGTGAGAGTGATGACGAAGAAGAGTCAAAGCCCGAGGAAGTGAAGAAAGTCGAGGACAAGAAAGAAGCCTCCCAGGCGTCTGGAAAGCAGACTTCGCAAGCCTCTGCCCGCAAGAGGAAGTGAATCATTATATCCAACTGAGCATCAATTGCTTTTCCATCCTTCAAGCGTTCGCTTCAGCAGAGCAACTTTCACGGTTTGGATTTCTCATTACGAAGATATGCTTCTGGTCATCTTACATACACGCACAGACGCAGTAGATTAGCGTGGACATAGTTTACGGGAGATTGAAGTTACGCATATAGATGCTAGTATCATTCAATGAATCAATTGTACGCCTTTCTCCAACTACATCAATCGCAATCGTAAGGTTGCCTATCATACTTCGACGAAGCGTAATCGCCGCCAGATCTGGTTAAGTCCGAGATTTACCCGCACTCGCCCAAACAATTCCAGAGCATGAGAACAAAAGAAGCATTAACAACCTACGCAACGATTTAAGCTAACCAGGTATGAACTGAGTGGAAGCAGCAAGATGGTCTTAGATAACTGACAATGGTTTTAGTTCAAATCGCGCCCTTTATTAGGCCTGTCACCCTTGGAGCTCTAAGTGTTGGGGCAACGCGACGCATTCTTCGGCCGCGGTAAAGGCCGTGTTTTAAGCACCAGGCGAACCTAACAGCCCTGATTTGATGGTGTAGATCCCCAAATTATATATAAGCAGGAAGTTTGATCCGGCAAATTGACAAATGTCATCTGACGCGGAAAGAGGTTTGTTGTCACTCATGTCTAAGTTGATAGCTCTGCTAATACGGTACCAGATGAATTGAGGCCGAGCAATCTGGTAGATGCAATCAAGCATCTAGAAGCAGGTACGTCTTACCAGCGCGTCGTGTCAGAAATTTGTCTGAACACCTACTGCAGTTGCTGTCGTGCCGCCGAGACAGCGTTATACGGACGCCGGACAGTTGGCGAAGCAAATAGCGGAATTCGCGTATGAGAGCGGGATTCCCCAGGCTGCTCTCGAGCGTCTGTTGAAGCTCCTTACGAGACCCAACCATTTAGACCAGGGCACAATCACCACTTTGATCAAAAACCTATATCCGTCTGAAAGGGTAACGTCCAAGTTGATCACGCAGGTCGTATGCTGTCTCGGTCCGACGAAGAATAAGCCGAGTCCAGCTACGCAGGCTCTGTTGTTACGATGGCTAATTCTCGTGCATGATTTTCTTGACGACCGGTCCCATTTGTCAAAACTTTACGCTGTACTCTTCAATCATCTTGATATGATCAGCCTGCGAAAACAGCTTTGCCACGTTCTCTCCTTCATTACCAGGCGAAAGCATGTCAAGCCCTACAGGATCCAGGCCCTGATGGAACTGGTTGGCAGTTCTGGTGGTGAAGACAGGGAGCTCATTTCTCTCCTAAGGGTCTTCAAGAACTATTACCCCGATGTCATTGTCGGTGATCCTGGTAGGAAGGGCCTATTCTTCAAGCACCCGGATCCCGAATGGACGAGCCACGCACGGCAAATCCAGGAAATGAACATAGAGCGAACTCAGGGCATGGGATCTACCAGCTTCCAGGTGGTACACCGTGGCCTTGTGAAGAGAAGCAAGGTGGAGACTGTCGTTCCTGATGTACAGACTTCTCGAGTTGCTCAGAACCGCATCTCGTTGGAGGAGCTACGCAATTTTGACCACTTTATTGAGAAACTTGACAAGGTTGAGCTGCCCAATCAGATCATCTCTACCATCGCGGACGGACTGGCTCAGAAGTACCTCTTCCTAGCTCAACCCGAAATTGCAAACCGTCGTCTTAACGATTGGTTGCAAGCTTTCTTGAGTGATCATATGGAGTACGCCCAAGGTCTTGATGATGAAGGCGTTGAGACTCTAGGCTATGTCCTGAATGTCGCGGTCAATTACGCACAGTATACGAAGGTGCGACTTCGCATGAGCTCTTTCTTCACGTGTGCTAATTATAGCATAGACTATCCCCGAGGCCTTCCTATCCTTCTTAAAGTCTTATCTCCCGGTTTGGAACGGTCTTGATAACAGACAGTCAATACTAGACTTGCTTGAGTATCTCCCTGTCAGGGACTATGACGCCTTGCGGAGCGAGATCTTCGCGCCTCTCGAGGATGCATTTCTGGAAGACACGGCATCTTCTAAGGCGACTCTGATTGAATTTTACTCTGTCCTTATCCGCCAATGGGGCGTCAAACTGAGGACGGAGCCGTACACCATTGAACAGTCACAACGTTTGAAACGTCTTGTCTTACACGCTGAACTGTTGGCCTCCTCTATCCTAGAGAGCCCACTCGAGCAGCCTTCGGACGTGGATTGGAGCTATAGACCGAGTACGCTCTCCGTCTTAGGCTTTTACTACACATTGGCAGACTTGTTCTCCCACGCGCCTACAAATGGGAACATTCAACTCACCGTTCCTCTTGCGCCGTCAGTCTACACCCTCATCTTCACCCCGGTGAGTTTCGTCATCTCCAGCATGAGCTCGATACTCTGCAGCTACAAAACCTCTTTTGAGGTGTCTATGAATTCGGAGACACTCCAGTCCAAAGACCCTCTCTGGACAGAGAAGCTCGTGCCTCAGTTCAACGGATATATCATGGACATCTGCAACCTCGTATGGCGGAATCGAGCCCTTAACTCAGACGATCCAAACGCCCTGGGCTGCCTGATACCGCCAGCTACAATAACCGCGTTGACGCAGTATCTCCGTGAAGTTAACGACAAAGCCCGAAAAAAAAACCGCGAGTCAGCTTTCGCCTACACCACTGGGTCATTGTTCTCATTGAGCCATCATGCCGCGCTGTGCAATATGTCTGCCTCTTACTTTGCTGATATCGAGAGGGAAAATAATTTGGGAGAGGCTCAACCGAAGTTACGGAAGCCTGTGACGCAGAGAGCTTTGAGTGCGCTGGAGAAGGACGGAGGGATTCAGATGACCTGGCAGGACTACAGAGTGCGGATGCTTGACTGGATGGATTCCGCAGGAAGCACCGGTATTGGGAACTTGATGCGCGCCACCATGAAAGCCCTTCGAAAGGAGTAACTCCTCGCTTGGAAGAAAAGCTCGAATATAACCAGTCTTTACTAGTTAAGGTGCGAACGACGGGATATGGAGGCGTATGTTGCGTCATAATATACAGTTTTCTAGTCTAAAGTCGTAAGGCATCTAATATCTAATGTACATGGGTGAGCTCATTCTACACAGATAATGCAGCAAGCCCATAGCTACGGTCATAACGCTTGCGTTGTGTTTAGGTAGATATCACGGACACCAGCTTCTTCACGAATGAGCGCCAATGTATCCTCTATCTCTTGCAACTGCTCCTCGTCCTTCAGCTGTACCAAGGTATCCTGGTTTGGGGACCAGATAATCTCAAGCTCCTCAACAGTTAGGCCAACTAACTTTGAAAGATTTTCCGCAACGCTCTTGGTCTCCGTGGGCTCAGTGAAAACAATGATGCGCCCTCCCTCATCAGCTGTGATATCCGTGGCACCCGCCTCGATAGCCTGATCCAGACAATTGTCTGCATTGACACCGTCCTTCTTCTCAAACGCTATCCGCCCCTTCTTCTCGAAGAGGTATGCAGTCGGAGTCGCGGTACCGCCTGCTTCCTTGATGACGTGCCGTAGATCCTGCAAGAGCCGCCCTTTGCTCTCCGTTAAGCATTCGATCACTGCCGCAACGGAATGTGGTAGGATGGCTTCAATTGTGACTGGTTCCAGCGCCTCGCCTGTTACACTCAGACCCTGACCCCGAGCGATGGCTGCTTCAATGATTGTCTTTGGGATTCCGGCGCGTTTCGCGTTCGAGAGGGCGAGGGTAAGCCGTGGGTTGAATTTCGGATCCGGTCCCCACACTGGACGGTATCAGTATAAGTAGAAAAAGGCGTCGAAGACTCCTAGAATAACATACTCTGGATACAAGAACTGATCTCCTTTGCGACCATCTGCCGCTCCTTACTCTTGGCCTTGTCATTCTTCGCCTTGTCGTGCCTGATTTGCGACCACCGGTTGTGTCCCGCAAATAGAGGCGGTCCGCTCGTAAAACTGCGGACAAGGTCCCATCCGGCCTGCCTGGCGCAGGCACGCTGCTGGACGAGCCTCCTGCTCACAATTGATGCCATTGAGACCAGCCGTACCTATATCTGAACCGCCTTGATCTGGATGGGCCGATGGGTATAGAATGTGGAGCCGGTCCGACTGTTTGTCCGCGCTGCTCCCCGGACTGTGAGGTGGACACCGTTAAGGAGATACTCTTGAAGCTTCATTCCTACTTCATTGTCTTAGTTCTCGCTTACTCCATCTCTCCGGGGAGCTGTCTATGGGAGATACCCTGGTTGGCCCAGTCGATACCCAATGTCTTCAGCGGAGGTGGCCAGGTCATCCTCCGACAACAATACTAGCAACGATGCGACCCCTCGTGCGGAGCTCAACATCACCAAGCTCCATGCGCTGCCCTCCGAACAGCAGGACCTCTACCTCCTAACCTTCACCTCCGATCTGGTGCAGCACATTTCCGCTCTCGATAAAGCTCAGGTCTCCGCGGAGCAGAAATTCTTGAAGAAGGAGTTGTTCAAGGTCCTGACCCTCACCTCACCGACGATCACACGAGTTATCCGCAACAATCTCGGGCGATGCTTCGGCGCTATATTCAGCAAGGGAGACCGTGGGATATTGTTTGAGACCGTCACCGACCTGCTAGCCGTGCTGAATGCGGGCAAGAATGAAGCAGATCTTCGGACCAAGTTCGCTGCGGCTCATTGCTTGGGTGACGTCTTTGCTACGGCGGGGGAGAGCGTCTTCGCTCAGTCTGGCGCTGTCGTCACAAGTCTACTGAAGCTGTTGAAGCCTTCTAGTAATCATACGGGCTGTCGAGGATCCGTATTTGCTGTGTTGCGCAAGGTAGTCTGTGGCACTGGGGTTCCGGTGGATGAAGGCACCGCCCGAGATATCTGGAAGCAGGCGCGCAATGCCGCCACGGGTGATAAGTCAACGTTCGTACAGGTCCATGCCTGTCGCTGTCTTGAACAACTGCTCCATACGACACCTTATTTCGATAACGCGAACGACTTCGAGACATTGAAGGCAGTTGTATGGAAGGTTATCGACAGCCCGTTGGCACCCGTTCGACACGCCGCCGCAGCTTGTCTCGCCAGGGCACTCACGAAACTGCACGCAAAGGATGCTAGGATTATGCCTGCTCCGAAACCCAAGAAGGCAAAAAGGCAATCGAAGAAGCCTGGCCCTAGGCCGGGAGAGGATGAGGATGAGGCCGAGATCTCCGAGTCTTCTTCAGCCCCCAAGAAGTCAGAGTCTCGGCTATACTTCTTACTCCCAGACCTCCTGAAGCAGTTGTCAACACAGTATCTCCGGAGCACAACATCCAACCGAGCACGAGCGGGGATTGCGGTTTGTTACAAGCACGTTCTACGCATCTTGGGCGAGAAGCTTGTGGAAGAGCGGTATGACCAGATCGCTAATCACCTACTGTTTGATCTTCTGAACCACCCGACGGTGACATACAATCGTTTCCGATTGCTTATGACGAGGAAGGTTGTTGGGAGTATTCTGGAGGAAACTATTGGCCGTGATTCCCTCCGAGAGAATAGTCGTCTCACTGCAGCGAAATGGCTCATCAACGAGGTGCTCAAGGACTATCCGCAGGTTATCCAGGAGCGTCGCGAGCCTAGCAAGTACACGCTGACCAGTGCTTTGAATGCCCTCTCTTCCCTAATTTCTTCGCTGGGCTCTGCCTTTGTTTCCCTAGCCGAGAGTTGCCGTGATGCGTTGCTCCAAGTACTCGCTCATCCTAGCTATACTGTGCAAATCCACGCGGCGCACTGTCTACGGATATTTGTCCTTGCCTGCCCATTTCAGCTATTGTCATGCGTGACAATCTGCCTGAATAGTCTCAATCGCGAAGTCTCGCAGCTGTCGACTCCACGGCAGTCTCCACGCCGCTGTGTTGGCTATGCCAATGGCATGTCTGCGATGCTGAGTACATCTCGATTGCAGCCACTTTATGGTTCCGTCGAGATTTACTCTCGTGTGTTCACTCAAGCTACAGATCTCTTGAAGACCAGCAGCAACTCTGAGTTGCGTGCTGCCAGTACGCAGATTCAGGTGGCTTGGATCCTAATTGGAGGGTTGATGCCACTCGGACCTAGCTTTGTGAAGATTCATCTTTCTCAGCTTATGTTGCTGTGGAAGAATGCTCTACCGAAGCACTTGAGTCAAGAGAACTCTGCTAAGAAGGGCTATCTAGAGATGAGTTTTCTGGCACATGTCAGGGAATGCGCCCTCGGGGCACTACTTGCATTCATGGAGTTCAATGGCAAGATGATAACTGCGGACGGGGCAAGAAGAATCGCCGCTATGCTGCAAAACACCGTTGAATTTATCGACGAGATCCCGCGACAAAAGTCGACGATGGATATATCGCAGCGTCTCCACCCCTCCTTGCAACTACACGATATCGAGACTATGGTCCGACGGCGTGTCCTCCAATGTTTCGCGAAACTTCTCCATGCCCATCCGCTCAGCCACGCAGATGTGATCTCGCAGTCGAGTCTTCTGAGCTTGGCAATCTCATCTTTTGCTGACCCGGATGCCACCCAGTCTAGTCCTTTAGAGAGTTCAATCGCAGCGTCAACCGCGCAGTTTGAGAATCTCTGGGACCTGAGTGATAACTTCGGGTTCGGAGTAACAGGCTTAGCAAGGGATTACGTGAGGGCAACTCTCTCAGGGAAGCATGAGGGTGAGAGTGGTCCAGCCTGGTCGGCTATCGAATCAATGGACCAGGTTGTGGATGATACCGTAAGTAATTGCAACATCGATCTTCAAATCACCAATTGACCGTCGCAGTTGATATTCCCTATTTGCGACGCCAGTGAGAATGATTCAGTCCTGCTTTACTCCGCAAGGCGAGGAGACCGTCTTTCTGCCGATCCACACTCGACTGGTGTAGTAAATGCTGCGATCGAGCTGTTCTCAGTTGCTCTCGGGTTGCATGCACCAAAGGTCCAAGAAAGTAGCGTCGAACAGATTGCGACCTATCTCTCTTCAACAGGCTTGCAGCGCAATCCTGGGCGCAAAGCGGCTATGGTCGTCAACATATCCGTGGCGCTGCTTCATACCCTAAAGGTCGCTGTGAAGGAGAGTGGTCCAACCGTTGGCAAGCTTAGCCCTACAACAGAGAAGGTCATGCAGGAGCTTATTCAGGTACAATCTCCTAAGTTGATGCTGGCAACCCTGTGAAGTCAAGACTAATTATGTTAGAAATTTGTCCTTGATCCTGACCCAATTGTGCGGACAGTTGGTGTCGAGGCACTTGGACGCTTATGCGAGAACTCAGGAAATTCCTTCACTAACGCCCAGATCAACTGGGTGGTCGACACTATCGTTGCGAATAGGGAACCAAATGCACGTGCAGGCTGTGCCGCTGCGTTGGGCTGCATCCATGCTCAGATCGGTGGCATGGCAGCCGGTCTGCACCTGAAGACCATTGTTGGGGTCTTGATGTCGCTCTGTAATGACTCTCATCCGGTTGTTCATTTCTGGGCTCTTGGTGGTCTTGAAAAGGTGGCCAACTCTGCGGGCTTGACTTTTTCTCCCTTCGTCTCAAGCACTCTTGGAATGCTGGCTCAGCTATACAATGCTGATACCCATAACGAAGAGGCCGAATCTCTCGCTACGTCCAACATTGAGATGTCTTTCCTTACCCCTGTGGTAATTAGTCGCTGCATTGACTCTTTGATCAACGTTTTGGGTCCCGATCTACAGGATATTGCTAAAACGCGAAGCCTGATCCTCACGCTTTTACGGCAGTTTCAGCTGGAGGAGAATTCTGCATTGGTAACTGAGAGCTCAAGGTGCCTTGATCACTTGTCGCTATATGCGCCGGGGTACGTGGACTTCTCTGGATACGTCAAGCGCCTGCAGAACGAGCTTTCTGCTCAGGATGCTTTGATGAGAGACGTGGCTATTCGAGGCTTAACGAACTTGATGAAGCGAGACGCAACCGCTGTCATCGAAGCAGCGACTCCCGCTCTGGAGGAAGGGATCTGGCTTGCATTTGATGACACTCCTAATAACGCTATCCTGAAGAGCATGATCCGGGATTGGCTGCAACAGACTGCACTAACTGAGACCGAGCTCTGGATTCAACGCTGCCATGACACCCTAACAAAGACGCGCCTTAAAGTCGAAGACTTGCCGCCCATATCCGCAATAAAGCCCACAGCTACTGACCTACCGGATGATGAAGTCGCCGGCTTTGCGTCTGCGATTGCAGGTGCTGGTCCGGACGATAGCACGGGAGATGCTGTTGCCGGTCAGGAGCTTCTGAAATGGCAAACTCGGAACTTCGTTATGGGCTGTCTGAGTGAATTGTTGGAGTTGGTGCAGGAAGCGATTCTGCCAGATCAGACGATTCCCGCGGAGTTGGCTCTCCAGCAAAAGGTCGGGGATATCGTTAGGATGGCGTTCTCTGCATCAACCGCGAACGTGGTTGAACTGCGTGTTTGGGGTTTGAAGATCCTCGACCAAGTTCTGAAGGTAATCATGTCCTCTGCCATTTATAATTCTTATCTGATTTAACTTCTAGATGTTTGGCAAAACACCCGATCCGGACTTTGCAGAAGCCTCTCTACTTGAGCAGTATCAGGCTCAGATTGGGTCGGCTCTGACTCCGGCCTTTGCTGCAGATTCTTCGCCTGAGCTTGCATCGGAGGCGATCAATGTGTCTGCCACCTTTATTGCAACTGGTATAGTGACTAATGTGGAGCGAATGGGAAGGATCTTGAAGCTCTTAGTGCTAGGCCTCGAGAACTTTTCTGCGAACCCCGATACCACCGAGATAGGAGATCTCAAAGGCCTCAACTCCAATGCAAAAGTCATGGTCAAGATGGCGTTGTATGCAGCTTGGGCACGGCTTCAGATTGCAAGCATTGAGCACGAGTATCTCAATCAGGTTGTTCAGCCATACCTGCTGAAGCTTACTCCCCTTTGGCTAGCTTCTCTTCAAGAGTATGCCCGGCTTCGCTTTGAGCCGGATATCTCGGGCAGCCTTGGAACTGGTCCAGAGAGCGGTGATTTGGACGAAGTTTATGCCGCTCTTAACCGGGAGACTCTTCTCAAAGTGAGGACCCTGTTTCCAGTTTGTCGGTATATGCTAAGTGTGCCTGCAGTTCTATCAAGAAACTTGGTTGAGCCTTGTTGATGCTATTGCTGGCCTCGTGGAGAGGGATATTGACTTTGTTTTCGATGCTCTAGACGGCAAGGCACAGATCGAGGAGCGGGAGAAGCCCGAAGAAGAGGATAAACCCATCAGCGAAGAACCAAAGGGGAAGGGCGATGATATTAATTACCGTGATGAACCTGTTGCATTCTTTTTCGTGCTTTTCGGGTTGGCGTTTGAAGCCCTCGTTGACCAGTCAACGTCGGCCTCGCAGAGAATGGAGATTCTCCAGGCTCTCAAGAGAATCCTGAGACCCATAATCTCGGGTAACGCTATCTACCAAGATGCCATCTTCTCTGAAACAATGGACAGTCTAGACCGGCTTGCGTTGACCGAAGGGACTGCCGTTCAGAATGTCATTGTGGAGATAGCGCGAAACCTTGCCTTAGACCACCCTTCTGCGAAAGGTGGTGAAGACCGCAGCGACCATCTCTCGGATGATATTGAACAGCTGTTTGAGCTAACGCGGAGCATCATCCTCGTCCTTGCCGGCCTCCTACCTAACCTCCGAGAATCCACTACGATAGCACGTTTTAACGTGGGTTCAGATGACGCGCTGTCGCTCATCCGCCTCTCCCTTTCCTCTCTAGTCAACGTTGCCTCGATATTCCCATCCATCATTCGAAACGACCTTAACGCATGCATCCTCCACATCTTCAGCACTATCCTCGCCACAGGGCTCTGCCAGCAGGAAGTCGTCCCGCAAGCCCTTCCCACATTCAAACACTTCATCCTAAGCATCAGTAACCAGGAAGATACCAGCCTCAGTCCGGAGAACCAGGAAGAAAACCGCACCGTCGTCTCCCACCAACTCCGCGGCTGTCTCGTCCGCTTCCTAACAACCCTCACAATTGCCCAGCGCCGCGAGTCCGAGTCCTCCCTCCCCTGCGCCAAAAATACTCTCCTCACAATCACCATCCTCCTAACAACTGGTGGCCACCTCATTCCCCCGCATGACCCTATTCTCCCTCAAATCCTCAACGAACTCCTCGATTGCCTCCAGGACGTCGGCCTCGCTAGCGTTGCGGCGGGCTGTATCCGCTCGATCCTCCTCTCACCGACTACTAAATCACCCACTGATCAAGTCATCGCCCGCTATCTGATCCCAAGGCTTATTTCCTTCCTCGTCGGCACACCAGCTGAGTCAGGAGAAATCCCCAACGACCCGGAGAACTCACGAACCATCATTGCGCGCACGCTAGTCTCTTGCGTGACCATGCCGAGCGCAACGATCTTCGCCTCAGAAGAAACATCAACAGCCATCTCCCTGGTCATTTCGTGTCTCCTTGCGCGCGCTAAACGCGAGGGCTCACCCGTTTACGCCGAGACAGCTGTGTACCTCCTCGAGCTAGCGAAGACCGACCAGATTATCTTCAGGACGCTCGTTGGCTCGATGAATCCTGTTCAGAAGTCGCTCCTTGAAGAGGTTCTACGAAGCGGTAATGTTGGTGGTGGCGGTACCGCGGGGCGGCCGCAGGAGGCGCAGAACGGAGGTGGGCAGCAGAGTATGCCGAGTATTGCGCTGCGGTTTGATTTCTAGGTATGCATGAGTTATGAGGTGAGGAAGTAATGTGGCTCTTCTACTTTATGTGTTGTGTTTATGATTCTATTTTTATACCATTATATATATATATATCTCGCCTTTTTGTGCATTGGAGCTTCCGGATCAAACATCACAAACCTTGACTTTGAATGCTAATAAGTGTCGTGGGTATCAATAATGTTTTCAAGCAATAGTATGCATAGGTAGAGAAATTGACTCAAAAAAATCACATAGGGAATGCTTAACCACTGAAATATGAAGGAAAAAACCGGCCAGGCGTGATCAAACTGCAACTCTCAGTGAAGTCTAAAAAAAGTCTCAAGTCTATAATGTATCCGTAACATGCTTAAGAGATATAATGTACAAGGAAGAGAGCTGCCGGAGTTGGCTGTGTCGATATCTCAGCATCTAGCCAAGAGATTCGCTCAGATGCGCCACAGGAACAACGTCCTGAGGACCAGGCGTGGCCAACACAGCAGGCGTGCGGGACTCTGTCGGTTCTTTGGGAGGGGCTTCCTGCTTCTTCTTCTCAGCGCCAATCTGGGCGGCTCGTTGAGTAGATGAGTAGCGGAGGAAGACAAGAATCATGACTACGACACTGTTAGTGGATGTGTACGTAACGGAAGAAAAAAACAGGAGAACATACAAGCACTGGTTGCAATTGCCAACGCAGCTCTCCGGGTAAGAATCCACCTCAACCCCTCAATCTCACTCTTGCTATCACTGTTCAACGAGACCGTGATCTTGTAATTGAGCTCTTGCACTGACGTATCGATGCTCCGCTGCAACTCCCTCACCGTCATTTTATGGTCATTGAACATACCCTTGATATCATCCTTCAAACCGGAAAGTTCCTGGTTTGTGCGCTGCGACAGAATATCGGCCTCGTGTTCTAGTGCTGTCCTAGACGTGCGCTGGCGCTGGATCTCTGAATTGCGAGCGGTCTGTAAGCTCGATTGGAGCTCTGAGCAGGCTGCTTGGAAGAGATAGGTTTCGTTCTCGACGTCGGATTTGGAGGTGAGGTTTTGTTTGGCGAAGTCGAGGTTGTTCTGGAGAATCTGGCGGACGCCTTTCATGATCGTAATGGATTGCTTGTCTGTGAAGCCGCCCTTTGCGAGATCTTGGACGAGTGAGTAGGTATCGAAATGGTGCACGTAGGGTGGTGGGCCCATATGCGGGGGTTGGTTATGAGGCGCTGTTGAGGGTGTGAGGTAGGAAGAGGGGGAGGGCATGTGGAGGACGCCTTCCAGCGGATTCCCGTCTAGCAGTGGAGATTTGGGTGTTTCTTCAATGGGCTGTTCGTCAACTTTTGGTTTCTGCTGTGGTTGCTTTGCTTCGACGATTTCCGGTGTAGCAGCTTCCTCTTCCTCCTCTTCCTCCTGAGGCTCTCTTGCTTCCTCATTCGGATTCCTGTTCTCAATCAACTGTGCTCCTTTGTCGCCTTCCGATTGCTTGAAAGCAGCGGAGGAATCTTCTGTTGCTTCAGATAGCTTAGACTGCCCCTGAGACTCTGACTGGGCTTGTTCCGGCGTGGAGGCAGCATCACTCGTCTTCTCCGATGGCGATTTGGAGCTAGATTCCTCGTTTAAGCTCGAGGTGGAGTCATCCTTTGGTCGCGACGGCGGAGGGATATTAGGTTCGACAGCCGGACCATATCGTCGTTGTATAGAGCCTTGGGCACGGTGTCGAGTGGTGTGGAAGGGCGCTCGCGAACTCCGGGTTGGGCGGGCATTCGAGGGCACGCGGAGGGAGCGATACGTGGACGGTTCGCAGGACTTGACCGCGCGCATCAAATTCGGGTAAAGGAACGGGAGTCGTGGAGACGCCATCGTGAGTTATGACACCGGCGATGGCTCTCGTGGGATTGAAACCGAACTGACAGCAGAGAAATTGAGCAGGTGAGTCAGTTGTAGTTGACCGGATGAAGCTCGAGCCCAGACCGGTCCGGTGGGCATTTTTCCCGCGGCCAACGACAGCCCGAGGCGTGCCGTGACGTAAGCGGTGAAGCCCCCCGCGGAAACGGTATACGGAGTACGATGCCGTCCAAGAGTCATCTATGATGATGGTCTATGATGCTATATTTACATGATGTATGCTGCTTCTAAACAGTCTCAACCGCTAGTAACCCAAACAGCAGCCGTGTCCGGTGCCAGTACTCATGTGCTCTCTGATCCAGGGTCTTGCTGATTGATTCCCCCTCAGGTCCAAAGCTCTTTCGAAGCTTCTCTGCAACTTCCTGCAGTGGACTTTGCTGCGTTTCTTTGTTGGTAGTTGCGCTGTTCAGGAGAATATTGTCGAAGTATAATTGCAGAGCGGCATCATGAAGATGTGCGTCGCCTGAGCCACCAGACTGGTCGTCCCCATTCTGGACTGGTGTTTCGTCTTCGTTCTCCGGTTTAGGCTGTTCTGCCGGGGACTCCATGTCGCTGAGGTATGTGGAAATACGTTCCGAGACCTCTTTCTGAAGAGCATTGTGAAGAACATAGACGGTAGACATATCCCAAACTCCATGGCCATGCCGATCCATAGAGTCCACCATCTTGCGCATGAACTTGAATGTTGAGGGTGATGGCTGAATAGGAAGCTCAGGGTTGCCTTCCCATAGCGTCCTTCCAGCTAGCGTCTTAGTACGGGGGTTCACCGAGGCCACGAAGTATAAAGGCCGGGTAGCCGCGATAACCTCTGCCGCAAGTATTTCTTGCAGTCCAGGAACAATGTCTTTTGAGAATTCCGTATCTCTGGGAACGAATTCATGCGGGAGATCCCTCCGAACCAGTCGAATGAGTTTCAGCATGAATGCAACCTTGTCGCCTCGATCTGATTCCCGGATAGATGCGAACGCCTCACTAAATGATGTCTGGAGAGCATTAAAGGCCTGCCGAACAGCTGCTTCAAGAGCATCCCACAGAATCTTTGGATCGTCCTCATTCAGGACTGCTGCAATGTCGATGTCAAGATTCTCATCCGTGGCTTCATCGACCATGTCAGGCCATCGAACATCTCGTACGGCGTAAACAGAATCCCTGAGGCTTTCGATAGTGATAAGCCAGGCTCGGTATTTCTCCGTTACAGTAGATATGCATGCATCTCGCCCGAGTAGCCTATCGGTGACAGACTCTTTGAAAGAAGCTGCACCATTAGAGTAATCAAGCGAGATCAGTTCGTGGTCCCACAAGGACTGAGCATCACCATGGGCTACGCCCCAATTTGAGACCGCAGATGTGACAGCTTGACCAAATGTTTCCAGATCCTTGGATTTGTCAGATAATATGCCCGTGAGCCGGCTGTTGAACACGGCCCTGAGGCCTTCTAAAACCTGCAACGTTGAATGGGTAGGTGTAGAGCTCCAAGAGCAAAGCCAGAGGTCCAACGTTTCTTTGCGAAGTTGAAGCAGCTGCGAGAAGTCCACCCAGGTCGTGAGACTAGCTTGACCGCGGCGCACAAATTCCTCGAAAGCGCCCTTTGACCATTTCTTGATCGTCCGCTCTGTGTCTTGTTTGGATTGTTCATTGACCTTGATCCACGGTGTAAAGTTGATAATATCTGTAGTAACCCAGCGACCCAACACATCAATTGAAAGGTCGTCAAGATTGCGAATGTCCGGGTCGGTGAGCAGGGGTCGAGATTTCAGTTTGCCCAGCACATCGGTGAACCGACGGGAAAGTAGTGTTTTGGACACCTGTAGAGTCTGGACATAAAGACGCAAGGCAGCTAATATGCCTTCTCCTGAAGCTCTGACATCATCTAGCTGCGCCGCAATAACGTCCAAGCGAATCTTGTGGTAGTATACAACAGCGTCATCCGACGAAGAACTCGTGGACAAGCAGTATGCGGCTAGGGCTTCGATAATTTCCTCAGTAGTTGACTTGGCACTGGCCATACGTTTATCAATCCGGCTCCGGAGACCGCGACGGAGCGAAGCAAGCTGATTGCGCAGTGTCTCCAGAAACGGCGGCGCAGACTTCTGCTCGGACAGATGTTTATGAAGGAGGCGAGAGATGACCAACAGCTTCGCTACCAGCAGCGGCGAGCCTCGCTTTCTCAACATCTTCGATATTAGCACCGAGCACCGATGAAGTAGTGCAAGCTGAGCTCCGAGAGCGCGCTTTGCCGCATCTAAGCTTCATATCAGCTGACCCGTTCAGATAGTTATTCCATACCCAAACCATACCCTGATCCGTCGTCTCGTTATTGATCTGGTTCAAGTGCGCATACTTCTTGCCCACCAGTCGTGGATTGCATCGCCGTCCGATGTCGCCTAGGCTAGCATCCACATCCTCCATATTGCGGCTCATAACCACGATTGTCTCGGCAGTACCAACAAGCTCTCGGTATCGGGTACTATGAAAGCAATCGCGGTTAGCTATGAATGAATATGAGGTTCGGTACGACATGCCCAACAAGAGCCCGGAGCTTCTCCTTATTGCTCGCAATGTCCCGACGGAGTTCTTGCTCCACGCGGCGCACTGTGGGAATTGGGTATTGGAATGCATCCTGCCATGATTTCAGGCTCTGGGGATCGGGACCGTCCGATGCCATATTGCAGCAAGGCAAAATGCCGATAGAAAGGCCAGCGACCTCGGGGTGATTGAACAAGTATCGCGATAAGCTATGCGGTTGCCTGAAGAGTGAGGCACCACACTGGGTCAGTCTAGACTAGTCTACATTGGGACTAGATTAGCTTCAGCTCCAGGTAAGTTTCCGGTGCGATCTGGTGCCGCTTTTACAGCTTTATACTTCTATCAAATGTATCGGCTATTTACATATGGCTATGGCTAGATGAGGGAGCATTGCTCATAATAGTCTGTATTTGGATCCAAGTCCTATGAGCCTAGCACCAATTCCAAATGGTTACTTATGCCATCTTATTGCCGGCATGGGGTGGTGCCATTTTCATCTGCACCTCGGCACTGGTCGGTTAGCTATACTACGGGCCCAGTCATGCAAGAGGGGGAGTAGCCGTCGCGAGTTCTTAATCCACGTTTAACCCCAGATTTCCTCTCCATTTCTCCAATACTTTACGGATACTTCAGAGTAAGGAGTACTATTCCGTCTTTTCTTCCCTTTCCTTAAGCAGCCATCGCCTCCTACCAACCATGACGTCGTCTCCTTGCCTGGTCAACAGTCCGAACGGACACATCCCAGCGTCGCAACGAATCCCAGCTATCGCTCGCCCCTTCGTCTCCCCTCGCGCCCTCAAAACCCTCGATGCAGTCGAAAAGTTCGTCGAAGAAGAATGTATCCCCGCCGACGCCGTCTACAACCAAGCGCTTGGCGAGACAACGCAAGAGCGCTTCTCGGCGCACCCTCAGATCATGGAAGACCTCAAAGCCAAGGCCAAGCAATTGGGTCTCTGGAACATGTTCCTGCCCAGGAACCACTTTGCGAACGAAGGCGCCGGTTACAGTAACCTGGAATATGGGATCATGGCGGAGTATCTGGGGCGGAGTCTGACGGCCAGCGAGGCGACGAATTGCGCGGCGCCGGACACGGGGAATATGGAGGTCTTTGCGAAATACGGCACCGAGGAACAAAAGAAGAAATGGTTGAGGCCGTTGTTGGATGGTGAAATTCGGTCTGGGTTTTTGATGACGGAGCCGCAAGTTGCGAGTAGTGATGCTACGAATATTGAGCTGAGTATGAAAGAGGATGGTGATTATTTTGTTCTTAATGGGCAGGTACTTACACCTACTTTTTCTCGATTTGTTTGGGTTATACTGATGGCGGAGATAGAAATGGTGGGCGAGCGGCGTTGGTGATCTCCGGACCAAGGTCTTCCTCGTTATGGGCAAGTCAGATCCAACAAATGCAAACAAATACAAGCAACAAACGGTGATTGCTGTATCATCCGATACGCCCGGGATTACGATCAAGCGCATGCTTTCGGTCTTAGGCTATGACGACGCGCCCCACGGCCACGGACATGTATACTTCGACAATGTTCGCGTCCATAAAAGCAACGTGATTCTAGGCGAAGGGCGCGGTTTCGAAGTCGTTCAAGGCCGTCTCGGACCTGGTCGAATCCATCACGCAATGAGATCAGTGGGCGCGGTATGTTCTCTTTGGACTTTTGTTAGACGGGTTTACTGACAGACATTTGATACCAGGCAGAGAAAGCCCTCGAATATTTCCTAGCCCGAGTGAATGACCCTCGCAAGAGGCCCTTCGGCAAACAATTGAGCGAGCATGGGATTATGCTGGAGCGCATCGCCAGATCACGGATCGAGATCGACGCCGCTCGTCTGGCAGTTCTCAACGCTGCCATCATGATCGACCAGGGAGATGCCAAGCATGCTCTCAAGGAAATTGCCGAGGTCAAGGTCCAAGTGCCGCGCATGTTACAAGAGATTGTGGACCGTGCGATACAGGCATACGGTGCCGGTGGAGTGTCACAAGACTTCCCGTTGGCCAACATGGCATCTGGAGCGAGGACGATGAGAATCGTTGACGGCCCTGACGAGGTGCACATGTTGCAGCTGGGCCGCAATGAAAACAAGCGCGGCAAGGCCCTGCTGAGCAAGATCGAAGCGCAAAAACAGAAGACACAAGCGCTACTCAAGCAATATGATATGGAGGAAAAGGATATACTGCAGCTTGACCGGCGCAGTGGACCGTCGTCGAAACTGTAGGCCTCGCTGTCTGCTGCAATGAGCTGAAGGCTGGCGACAAAGGTCATATAGCTGCAGAACTATTCCGTATTTAGCAGTCATTTGAAAGCACCCTAAACAGACAATAATCCACCAGTATGCGTACCTTGCAGTTAGGGTTGGTCAAATTTGATAATTTTACGTTACATGCCATATATGCATAAATTAAGCGTCCAATCATCAAAGGCCGGCTGGCCCAATTGGCAAGGCGTCTGACTACGAATCAGGAGATTGCAGGTTCGAGCCCTGCGTCGGTCATTCTTTTTCCTTTTTCTTCATCTTTCGTCCTCTGAATTAGCAGGATCGTGTGGGGTGTTTGGGAATTTTTTGCGGGCTAGGCACTGAGCAGCGCACGTGATCCTATCCTACCCAGACCCCGACTCCCTAACCCCGGCTTAAAAGCGGCACCATCAAAAGCTCGTTCACGTAATCCGTATCACCACTGTGCCTCGGCTCGTCGGCCTAGGCCCCCCGCAAAACGGCCCAGCAGTCCCCCAGGACGTGATTTTCGGTTCTCGGTACTGCCTTACCTTATATTACAGGAGGCTGCTGATTCTGATCTACTCCATTGTCTGTTTACGCTCTCTTCATATCTTACAATCCGCCGTTATCACCCTTAAACCCGCTCGGTCCGCATGCATAGGCTGTCACTCCATACACCCGATAAGCAGCATCCTAGATAAGATGGCCTCCGAGCAAGACATCACCGTCACATACAAAGACCGCATCGCGATCATCACGCTCAACCAACCCAAGAAGCTCAATGCCCTGAGCGCCGACCACTACTATCTGCTCGGCGAGCGGCTCCGCGAAATCGACAAGCGCGATGACATTACCATCACCGTGATCACAGGGACCGGGCGGTTCTTCTCAGCGTACTGACCTTTCTTTGTCCCTTCCCTATCCTATTTTCAGCCACAACAGACTGCTGACGATTCATATCCATAGAGGCGCAGACGTTTCCTCCGCGCGCCCTGGCTCCGGGCTGGGCACAAACGTCCGCCGCGAGCTGGTCCGTAGCTTCGTCGCCAACAACATCGACGTAACGCACACCTTCTCCCACCACTCCAAGATCCTCGTCGCAGCACTAAACGGCCCCGCCGTCGGGCTTTCCGCCGCCCTTGTTGCCCTCGCCGACTTCATCTACGCCGCGCCGCACACCTTTATCCTCACGCCTTTCTCGTCACTTGGTCTTGTTGCCGAGGGCGGTGCTTCCACGGCGTTCGTCGAACGCTTGGGAATTGCCAAGGCCAACGAGGCCCTCATTCAGAGCAAGCGGATTACATGCGAGGAGCTTGTGAACTCAGGCTTCGTGAATAAAGTTATCACGGCGCCTAGCGGGAAGCCCGAGGATTCGGAGGGGTTCCTGGAGAAGGTGCTTGAGGAGGTTGATGAGCGGATGGGGCCGCATCTGAATCAGAGCTCGCTTTTGCGGATCAAGGCGCTGATTAGGCGGCCCGGGAGGGAGGTCATGGATCGGCAGAATACCATTGAGGCGTTCCAGGGACTAGAGAGATTTCTGGCGGGGATTCCGCAGGAGGAGTTTAGGAAGTTGGCGAGTGGGGAGAAAAGGCATAAGCTTTAGATTCTCTAGAGGGCCTAGATTTTCTTTGGTTCCAAGAAGTTTATTTCGTGTATATAGTGAGTGCAATTGAAAGGTGGAAGCCTCAGGCAGGGTATTGGAATGACGAGAAATTGATAATAATCAAATGGCTTGAACTATTATGTTGAAGTGACTTTTCCTCCGTTTTCCAATGAAGTAAACGCCGTCTAACCAGGACATACTCCGACAAAACCAATGAATGCTATTTATACTTTCGTGGCCACATCATGCATATGATTCTAACTGTCACTTTCTGTATCCGACTCCTGCGCCTGCCGAGCAAGAATGTCTTGCCACTGGCCCAGGAACTCACTCATGCCTCCAGGCCCAGTCATCGAGGCGTCAACAACCTCCTTAGGTAGCTTATGCGCTGAGTACTGTGTCGTTGTGAAAGAGTACGCTTCCGGATCGTCACGATTAACCAGTCGGAATTCAGGGAGTAAGGGCGCATCGTCTTCTGTGTCCTCGGGTTCCGCTTCTTCTTCTTCCTCGGACTCAGAATCAGACGCCTGGTCCCCGTTGCTATGTCCATTGAGCGAAAGGCGAACAAACTGCTCCTCCGCGCCATCATCCTCCTCTTGGATCCCGATCGGGTCCTTCATGCGCAGGATCTCTAGCCAACTGAACAAAAGCGGGTCCGTCCGCTCAGCCCAGGGATTTATATCGATGAGCCAGACTCGCTGGTGCGGCGCCGGGATGTAGACGTCGAAGACGAAACTCGAGTCCGGGAAGGTATTCTTGAGCTTCTCATCAAAGAACGACTGAATACGGGAGCGGAGCGTATCGCGCAAGTCGAAGAGGAAGTCGAAGTGATTTTGATCGCGCTGGCAAATACAAAGCAGGACCTTATTGCGCACGAAACATCGGAACTCAAGCGACGGGTTGAAGTTGACGTACTGGCGGAGGACGAGGCTATATTTTACCTCTGGCGGGGTAGAGACGGGAGCGGGCGAGTATGAGGTATCGGGGACGCAGCCATCAAATGGGTGCTCAAGGTCGTGTGTAATGAAGTCGCTGCTTTTGAGGAGAAGGTAAATGTCGTTGGGCGTGCGGCACTGCATGTCGTTTGTTGCGGCCATCCAGGTGGCGTCCTTGGGTGCGCTCCAGTTTAGTTTTGGCGTGACTTTGCCGTCGAGCTCGGCGATTGTGGATTTGACTTGCGCGTGGATCTCCGGCCAGGCTTTTGAAGGGTCTTCTTCTTCCTCTGCATCGGGGTCGTCTGAGAAGTCATCGTCGTCGTCGGTTGGCGGGGTATTCTCTGGTGGGAGGACGATTCCGTCCGCGTGTAGGTAGGATACGAAGGAGGGTGTTAAAGGAATGAGACGTGACTTGGGAGTGAGCGCGCGATATCTGCAAGCCTCCAAGTCAGTGGTTGTCTTCTGCTTCGGTATAATGTAGGGAAATGCGCACTTCGGTTGCCAATAGTCGTAGGAGCAATGTAGGATGTGCGAATATGTGACCGGAGGGAAAGGCAGTCTTTGCAGCTGCTCCGTTGAGGGCCCAGCGGCATTAGATTCGATAAGAGGCATGTTGTTATCTCAGCCAGGTATATGTGGAAAGAGAAGTATGACAGATGTTTTGCTGAACAAAAATAATTTCCAGCCTCTATGACTCCATAGTCCTCTTCCGTTTTCGGCCCGATCTGATGCCGCTTTAAGCCGGCGATAAAAGAGGCGTGCGAGCTCTGTCACGTGCAACCCCAATAATCCAGACCGTTTGATAGGCCCGCGGGAGGGTACCACGCTCGGAGAGGTTCACCGAACCTCCGAGCAAGGCTCAGAAACGCTATTTGCCAATACTTTCCGCCTTTCTTTATTACTGCCACAACTGCCACGCAGATTTCTGAGCCTTAATCCCTACTACTCCGTAAACTCCTTTATAAAGTCTTTTCTAGGTGTATCTTGCCCGTCGCAAAGGGGGGACCCCCAGCTCGCCCCCTCGCTCCTTAATCCCCTTCGGGGACATCGGGGGACCCCCCCCCCTTTGCTCGAGGGCGCCTTTTCTTATTCTCTGCTTGGGTATAGGGGCTTATTTGGTTGGAGGGCTTACCTAGGCCGGGGTGGTGGAATTTAAATAAGTGTAAAGTGGAAGTAACGCGGGTAGCGTTTCTGAGCCTCGCTCGGAACCCGCTGAACCTCTCCGAACAGGGACCCGGCCCGGGGGATTCTTCAAGTTTATCGGAGAAGCTTCGGATTCGAGATCGGACCATCGATCAGGGCCTCAGACAATTTACAATCCCGACATAGCAAACGCCGACGTCAATCTCAGAAGATTGCAAAGGCTGAGAAGCAATTGGCTTTCTTGTTACCAGCCGTACTACCTCCGCCCAATTCAGCGCACACTCAACCCAGAACATCCGCATCGGAATCAGCCCACCTCGTACAACTATCAAGCATCAAGATGTCCTCCATCCTCCGCCGCCTCCAAGGAGGAAACCTCGAAGTCTTCAAGGTATCTACCTAATAATCATCTGCGCATTTCCTCTCTTCCACAATCCGCAAATCTAACTAACATTTGTTACTACGTCCAGTTCGGCATGTACGTCCTCTTCCCCATCGGTTGGATGTACTACTTCGGCACGAATCTCGACGAGCGCTTCAGCGTCCCCGGCTTCTGGCCCACAGCCGAACAATCGCATAAGATCCCGCTGGAGAAGGAAGAAATTGACCAAGAGCTGGCGCGTATGCGGATGGTTGATGCGCTGAAGAGGGAGCGGCGTGAACGGCAGTTGGCGAGGGCACAGGAACTAGAGGCTCAAGCCATGGCACAGTCGCAGGCGCAGAATCAGTCGGGGTCAGAGTGAGCGGGTTTTCGCAGCGCGGTATATGCATTAGTACTATTAAAGGAAGGTCGAGCTGGCGAAGAGCTGAACTCGGGCCTGCGCGGCGTTGTTCCTTTTAATGGAATGGTGTCCATCCCATTTATTATGGTTATTTATTGTCGGCGGAGTTTTAGGTTTTGTGCTTGGAATATTTCTGTATAGTATCCTGATTTGCTGTTGTATAATACTCTTCTCTAAGCATCATGGAGTTATCGTTGAGTTTGACGGACCTCCGTCTCTGGACTTTTGCGCCTGGTCGTTTTCAAAATTCTGATTAAAAGTTGTAATACTTCAGCAGCCAAATTGACCAATCTGAAAATCGATTGAAACAGTACTTCGCCAGCGAATGAAACAAATCGTACCCTTAATACTCGTAGGTTTACGAAAAGGATGACAATGTCATGGAGCCCTGAATGACAATAAAAAGACTGCTAACAGGGTATAACAATAGTCGAACTTAACGGAGTGGACCACGATGCTGTCTGAAGGGAACAAGACCGAAACGCCTAGGACAAACGCCATTCTCGAGAAAACATCTCAACGCCTAAATCGAAACGAGCACATAATCCCACTTCAGGGTCTAAGAACGTTGATCATGCAGTCGGTGGTCAGAACATTAGGGCACGGGTATCAGGAATTAGGGAAGAGATAGCGAAATTTAGCACAGCGAACGTCGCTGGTTGGTTCATGACGAAGAATAAACTGACTCGACTTGGCCGCTACCAAAAGCAAGAAAAACAGCATCCCGGAAGTAAAATACGAATTGAAACAAGAGTAGCACGTGCTGGCATTACAACCCCGGAACTGTTGTAGCAGCCGTCGCAGCCGTATTCTGGGCCGTCTCGTACATCACCTCCAGAGTCTGAGTGCCACTATCGCGAAAGGCCGTGGTGATTGCGGCAATGCCTGACGAAGCAAATGGTCTCTCACCAACCCAGTAGTAGTAGAGGTGGCCGTATATTGTGCGGAGATGATCGGGTAGGTAGACGTAGATAGCGGTAAGGATCATGGAGATAAGGGTGAGGAGGATGGAGTCTAGCGATTTCATAGTCAGTGAATGTAAACCGGTAAGTGCGAAAGGTGATCGTAGAACATAGAACATACTGAAGATGAATTTCTCCGTAGGAGTAAGCATATAAACGGCGAAGGTCACCTCATACTGGTAGATCTTCAGGCGAACCCAGCGGATAAAGGCGGATGCTATCCAGAGGAGAGTCATTGTTGCGAACTCGTTGATTGGAAGTTGTTCGAGAGCAAGCAAGCAGGAGGCGGCGAAAGGGGAGTTTTCTGAGGACGTGGTCTCAAGGAATGGAGTTCCGGAAGTCAAGGGACAGGTTGCGCAAGCGAAGCCCGTCTAGAAGGCAACGTTGAGGTTGAAGATGTCAATTGTCCGCTTGTCTCGATACCATGATATGAGGAGCAAATTCTCAAGGCGCAAAAGGACGGTCGGGGTGGATATCGAGGACAAGGATTGCGCGTCGATCGACGTCGAAGCGTATGCGGGGAGGCGAATTTGGGAGAATTTAGGAGGATCTAGGAGGATCTAGGAATCTAGGATAGTGACAGACTGGCAGTGAGAATGATCAAAGGATAGATTTTGACAATAATGATAAGAAAGGGGAATCTGGACTGCAAGGAATCGGCTAGTGGGAAGCCAGTAGGTCAAGATGGGAATAGTCCAGCTGTCCAGGGGAAGAAAGGCAATGGTTCGGTCCACCCAGGGTCCTGTCAGAAGGGATTGGCACCACCAGGAGGAGCATTACTACACGGCAGTTAATTTATGCTTTACAGAAAACAAACTGGTATTCTAAAATCTTTGCTGTTTTATCTATGAAATAATTGAATTTGGGGTTATAAGAGGTATCGCAGAAAACGATCCTCGACATTGGGGGGCGGCCTGGTTGCGCTGCTGCTCCGCGCACATCCCCATGTGAAAAGCGGCATCTACGATCTGGGGCCTCTCATTCCGAAAGAGGACCTGATCTCTGGCACTTTCTTTCCAATTTCTCACACCTCCCTCCGGCCAGAGTTTACAGGATGAAATGGTGTTTGCACGATTGGAGGATGACCAGGCCGCTATTGTCTTGCGCACTATCCGCAAGGCTATATTCCCAAGATCCATAGCGGCTTGGTCGCCCTGGAGCCTGTCCTAGGCTATACCCATGATGCGCGCCTCAATCGCCATGCAGACATGAATATGATAATCACGGCGAATGGGCTGGAGCGCCCTTTGGAGGACAGGAAGAGGATGGCGGAACGGACTGGGTAGGGGATTCGCAAGGTCCACCGTTTGCGGAATGCTTGGCCGTGTGCGGCCAGTGTCTGAGCCAAGCGGTATCTAGATACACCACCTCTAGCCTCTCCTCCGCCTTCTTCTTGTGTTTAGGGTATCTAATCCATCTCTTGGTGAAACACAAGAGTGTCCTGACAAAGCCCGAGCACGTTAAAATTGTCAGACTCCCATTAACTATGCCAGTCAAACTCATTCTGCACCTTCTCGTCCGTGGCGGGCGGCGTCTCCAGCTCAGGCCTTAACTTCTCCTGCTTAGGCAACAGCGTCAGAAGAGCGCCCATCGTCAGCAGAGCCGTCGCCACCGCGAACACCCCCTTCAGCCCGTTGATGCGCCAGCGACCAACCGGTAGCCTACCCATTTTCCGGTTGATATATTTTGGTCTGAGTGAGTAGAGCAGACCGCCGCTCACCGCGCTGAGGCCCGAGCCGCCGGCCATGAATGGGACGAAATGATGTGTTGTTGTGAGGAGGATGCCGGAAACCATTGAGAAGATATCGTCGATGAGAAAGGGGGACTATAGACGCCCAAAGTAATTGACGAGGGGTCCTTGATGGACTGGAAGTAGATAGGGAGGCAGTAGATGAGGACGAAGAAGCCGCCGGAGTTGAAGAAGACGACGGCCGAGTTGGCAAGGATTCTGAAGAGCCGCGGCAGATAGAGGCGCGCTCGCCAAACCACCACTCGTTGCTTCCGAACGCGACGAATAGCAGAATAAATCCGATCAGCGTGCCGATAAGGGTCCTATTCGACCAAGCCTTCTGCAACCCACCCATTGCAGCGCCAGCATATAACAGATTACCGCGCCCATGATCGATGCACAGACTGAGAGGTCTAGCTGGGTAATCGTCTCCAAGCCCGCCGATCGAGGGATTGATGTAGAAGCACCACCGCCAGCTGACTCTCTCGGTGAACCCGCCGCCCAAACGCGGGCGATGAAGGAAGCAAGCGCTTATGTTGCGCCCATGACGCCCAAAAAATTAGGCTGGCGCTGTGGCTTGACCGATTCTCCGGCAATGACGAATGTACCTGTGCCCATGCCTGCGAGGCTGTGGAACTCGTCGGTGATGCGGGGGATGGCCGTGGCCAAAATCATCGAGCCGAGGTTTGCAGTGAACATGCCCATGAAGAGGGCCAACATGGTCATGGCCAGGTGCACGGGGCCTGGTAAGCCCAACGAGGCATCATGCTGTTTCTCTCGCGTTAAGCATGCTTAACAAATAACAATATCCATGGTCTTACGGAGTAGTGGGCCTGGATGAGCTTATCCAACGGCCCGCTGCACCGGCCCGTGGTGTTGGCCAATCGGTGTCCAGCATCCGGTCCGTAGCCCTAACGTACAGTGCAGTGGCTGTAGTCTTTCCGCAGCCGTAATTCGTACGGAGTACTGGACTGTCGTTCGCAGGGCGCTAAATCGAGCCGCAGGGTCTTGAAGTAGCAGGCCTTAACTAATGGCGAGTCGGCTTGGAGAAACTTCCATTTGACGCCGAGTTTGTCACTGACAATCTGCACGGAAGAGAGCTCCGCCCGAACGATATCTGTCTAGCCCAGGATGGCATAGATATCGCGTATCATCCAGTAGACAGTGGAATTTGAGTTAGCGCTCAACTCGAGTGAGACGAGTAAGGCGACGTGTAGAAAAAGCTCTTTGGCTTCAATCAGGGTATCGTGCACCAGCACAACTACATATAATCATGATCGTTATATGTACACGCTCGCCAGTACGATTCAGAGATAAACTCTTCATCACCCAGAAAGCGTCTTCATCGTGTCTCCTCCTGCGCACGATTACACACCGAACTGGGACTGATGCGAGAAGCCGAACTGCTTGGTGTTCCATTGCCTGATACCAATGCAACTGCACCCAACCTGTAAATGAGCTTGTCAATCGAAACGATCCATGCTGAACGGCGGTTCCATCCTGTTGGCCTTCCAGTTGCTGTCGCCGACGGACTTCTCGACTACAGTGTCTGATGGACTCAACGCAGCGCCCCAAGCCCCGCCTCACCATTGAATCGAGGAATATTCCTTGCTCGTGCGGGTCGAAATCGACGCATCCGAACTGGAACAGCGATACATCCTGCGCAGTGGCCATACTCGACGTTTCAGTTCCAGTTACCCCGGTCTTTTCAATGCTAGCAGAAAGGTTGCTGTTTCAGTTAAAACCATTCGATCCCGGGTTCGTCCGCGGATGAATGGTGAGGGACACGGCCGCGTACAACCCCACGACTAGGTCCATGATGATAGCAATCGACGGTGGACAACTCTGGCAAGACTGGAACTCGGGTAACTCCAAAGTGTCCTACACCTTTAGCATTACTTATTAGTTCAAGCACATTGCCCGGTCGATTGGCGCTTGGGTGGTCTGTAAATGGCCTTCTAGCGATTCGACGATCCTCATGAGAGCCGCGGCGTGCGGATACTGCGACACCACTGACTTGTCGCGGTATACCTTGGGTACGAACGCAGCCGCATGATCGGGCAGCCCGGAACGAATAGAAAAGGCACGGGTGTTGAACGACGCCAGTGGAGGTGTGATCTCGTGAGATGCAGCTGGTGGGCTTACCAGGGACGCCGCTGGTGAGCTTAATGTGCCTATACTCTGACGATACACGATCTTATTGTTGCCATCTGATAGAAGTCCAACAGTGCCTGGTCCAGGTGCTCTCTGCGGCGTCAAGGGCCGTGAAGTACCCGTCCGCGTTCCACGACGTGCTTGATCTTGACGCTCTCGAACTGGATTGTGTTGTAGTGCGAGACGCGCTCGCGGGCCTCTCGGCGAAACTCGGCGGAGGGCTTGTGGTCCTATGTCGCGACGTTGTTCATATGGCTGGTCAGCGGTCACGGCAGACGCCCTAGTCGAAGACCACGGCGCGGTGCAGCTGGCCGGCGAGGACGTCGAAGACGTCGAAGACGGGCATGGTTCTGGGGGCGGATGGTTCTGGGGTTGAGGTTTCGGAGATGTAGAGGAGGAGGAGCTTCAGCCGATGCGATGATGTGCTGAGTGTTGTGGATGAATTTAAATAGCTAGCAGGGATATACCGCATGGCAGCGATGCCCTGTTGCGGCCCGCTCGGTGTCTTGAGTAAGTTTCCGGCCAGGCTCAACCTGCAAGACATTTTTCGTTTCTTTGCCCGTCATACCCAGTCTCGTAGGCACGCCGGCCAACGGGGAGGTTATCCATAGCGACGTCGCACCGCGGCGACTCATGCTAATCGCGACCTCACACCATGCAGGTTCTCCTGGACGAGGTGGTTACAGTTTCTAATGGCAATACAGCCCTTCCAGACGACCTACCCTACTCGAAATCCCCGGTGTAAGCCAGCAAGACATCCGAAGAAGACTTGGAGTTGCGGAACCACTACCTGACATGCTAGCTGCATCCTCGCTGCCTCTTCTACCTGGCCTCCGCGAGGACCGAGAAAGCTACCACGGTACAAGCTCCAGGATTCTGCTCCCAATCGAATCAGCAGCGGAACTAAACTCGCGTCACCCTTCACTAGCTCTCCATGGCTGTTTCTCGAGCTGTTGTCAACTCGCGTCCAGGTACCGACGGCTTCGGAGCCATCTCTGTCAGCGTTTGTGCAGTCTATCTCACGGTCTAGCCAGATAGCTCTCGCGCACGCCGCGCCCTAGACTCCGCTGTGGCCGCTGTTCAATCGGGACACGGAGTTTCCGAATCATCCGCTCTTCGATGCCATGGTCACATTCTATGACCAAGCGAGCGGGCTTAATTTTGCTGCCACTGATGATTCAGCGCAGACACCGTATACGTGGGCGCAAGGGCCCAGGTTCAAGCTCATGTTTGAGTTTGCGTTCGAGGACGGCGCCACTCTGCCGCGCATTGTGTCACGATACAATATTGTTTCCAGGACAGGTGATTGCCCGCATTGAGGCATGTCCGTGCTGCATTGAACAGGCTGTCGGATGCTAAGAGCTAGGTTGATCTTCAGGCTCTTTTAGCAGATGCAGTGCGATCGCCAATTGATATTTCATTCGAGGTAGATGCGCGAGCAAAGTCGGTACGAATAGCGGGGGTGTATATGAATTATTCATACTTCATACTTGTGCAGGTGTGCCCAGACGATAGCGAGATAACAAGGAGTTTGAACCTTGTCCAGTGGCGATGTCTCTGCTTCATCGAGTGCTATGACAGTTACGTAGTATAACGTCTGTAAATCCAGCAAGCAGATAGCGCCATGTCGACAAGTTACAGTCGAGTTAATGCTCGGCACTCCGTCCAAGAGTGAGTTGCTCCGGGAATCTGTCAGGGCGATGATGTAGCAAGGCACTGAAAGTTAGAGCGAAGGATGGAACGAGTCGGGGAAGCTTTGTCCACTGATGTAGTCGACCGGCATGGTTGAAGTCCAAACAAACGTGAAACAGCTAAATGCATCTGCCGGGCTGGACTTGAGTCATTGCTCCTCCCCACTCCAAGCATGATACCGCATGAGCAGCAGCTCTAGCCTCCTGCCCACTTGCATCGGCCTTAAAATGAACCCGATATCTTGACCACGACCATGCTTCGACCCCTACGACTGCCCATACCGAACATCGCATTCGCGCCCCTCCGCATCTCCGCAATTCCCAGTCACAGCCTCAAACGAACCATCTCCGCCTCACCACTCCTCGCAGAAAAGCCGCTTCCCCCGCGCATAAAGCTCGACGATGCAGACATAACACTAGCCTACCTCAAGGGCACTGGTCCCGGAGGACAGAAAATCGTGCGCCAGCCTACCTAGCGACCCGGTTCCCTCCTCTCCATAGTCCGAAGTCCGGCCATCGCTAACAGCTCTCTTTCTCTCTCTGTCCGCAGAACAAAACCAACTCCGCCGTACAACTAATCCACAAACCCACCGGCATCGTCGTGAAATCGCAGGCTACACGGTCGCGGTCTCAGAATGAGAAATTCGCGCGCCAGATTCTGGCTGATAAAGTTGAGCAGTTTCTGAAGGGGAATCAGAGTCGTGTTGCGCTTAAGGCCGAGCGCGAACGGAAAAAGAAGGCGAGTAAGATGAAGAAGAGTCGCAGGAAGTATCGGGATTTAGAAGATGGGAAGAGCGGAAATGGGGATGGTGATGAAGAGGGCGTAAACGCGGGGGCGGGAATTGATGCTGCAGAGAGGCCAGAGCAAAGCTCTCAGGCACCGACTCTTACTATTACTGCAGACGCAAAGCATGGCGGGTCATGACGACAGCGTCAAACATGTACATTGGGTCTCTTTTACGTATTAGAATGGCTAATCATTAACGTTATCCCGTGTTCAGGGACATATACTATATTTTGAGGTGATGCCCACGGAGAAATATCAGGCGATATAACTGCCGAGCACCGCCTTGGCTTCGTCGTCGAGCCGTTCCTGAACAAATCCTGAGATTTTCCCGCCGTGTCTCTGATCTGCCTCCTTCAGGTACTTTCCAACCCACGCCTTGAGATCAGCTCCGGTGTCCGGCCAAGGGTCCCTGACCTGGGGTCGGATGGTGACGAGAGCTGTGAACCCGACACCGAACGCCATATCCTCAACATCATGCTCAGCAATCATGTCGTCCTTGCTAGCGGGCAAGGGCGGAAGTTCCAGGAGCTTGAGAAGGGCTCTGCATGTGTGGGCCCATCCCTTCATATATTTGACAGCAAATGCCTCGGAATTGGCCAGTGTCTTGGTGAATGAGATAACAGCGGTTTTGCGGTCTACAGGGCGTGCAAGCTTTTGTGACTCAGGTAGAATGACATTCAGATATAACTGAACATACAGACTGGACGCAGTCAGTGTCTGGCCGGATAAGAACGATTTCAAAACTTACTCCGCTTGGACTTTGTCCATGACCTGGATGACGAAATCGGCGCTGTAACCCTTGGCGTCGTTGGCACACATGAAGTGATAAAATCTTACAAACCGGAGCATGAGAGACTCTGTCTTGTGGTTCTGAAGGCGGGTAAGGATAATTTGCATGATATCCTTAAAGAACTGTTCCAGTGTGGCCCTAAGCGACGTTAGTGGCGTGTGGATAGTAGATTGCAAAAGCGACGTACGATGGGAAGTGCTCAATCACAGCCTCTAAGAGATCGAAGCCGTAGCCTTCATTTGTCTTAGATGACAGCAACTTTTGGAAGATACCAAGCGTGTTGATGAGTTGGTTGTTTTCCAAGATGTGCTGCGAACCCCGACCAATGATGGACGATAGAAGTCGCACAAGAGCGGGAATATTGCCCTTGGACTCCCACACCTGAGGTGCAAGGATGGGAGCAATGAGACCCTGGTAGTAGGTTGGCAATGTCCCTGATGGGTTGGCTTCGAGAAGGGCAGCAAAAAGCTGGAAGATGTAGGGAACGAATTCTAGAACTAGGTCAATTCAGATGTTCTTGTCGGAATGAGTTAACCATACCTGAAATATCCAACTGGAGAACGGCGGAGAACGGAGTGTACAGAGCCTGCTCAAGCTTGTCGGGGTTCGAGGGAGCAGCAAACCTATGGCATAGTTAGTACACGGCAGGCTAAAGGTGTCAGAGTACCCGAACTTACCGAATGAATGCCCCCAACGCCTCGAAATGGAAGTAGTAGAACCTCGGGTTGCTGGGGTTGTTACTGATTATTTGGGTAATGTTGATCAGATGTTTCAGCACATTGTCAGTGATGGGAACAACAGTCTCCTTGATGACGATCAACACTCTCATGACACATTTCATGATGAATTCGTTCTCCTGCACTTTTTCAGGAGCAGGGTTTTTCTGGATCAGTGAGAAAAGATGCTCCAATAAGTCCTTGGCTAGAGGTTTGATCGTGTCCGGGGAGACGATGGGCTGTCCTTGATTGTCGGTGAAGTACAATACACGCTCAACCGCAATAGCCGCGTAGGTGTAGACGACAAAGTTCGAAGAGCCGAGGTGGTTCACCAACAAGGGGAATACTTCCTGCCATTGCTCCTTTGTGATCAGACTGCGGAAGAGGTACAGATACTTGATAGCATCAACCTTGAGAATCGGATGCACACCGTCTCCAGCAACCAAATCGGCAGCAAGATGCTTTTGGAAGAAGTCGGTGATGTTAATGAGGCTGTTGGTGGTTGTGACTCCGTGAGTGGCGGTTGCGACTCCCTTAGCTGCGATGGCGATGAACAGATAGGTTGCGGTATCTTTGGCCTTCCAGTTCAGCTGTGGCGATTTCGCATACTCGGTCAGGTAATGCTCAATATATTGCAGCACAGTTTTCGTGACCAATGCCTCAAAGTTTCCATTCAACTGTTTCAGGAAATCCGTAGCAGCCCGCCGCCTCGTGTCGCTGTCCGACCCCTCGAGGTCCCGCCGGATAAACTCAATCGGTTCGTCCTCGAATAATTCCTCATCTGATTCACGAAGGCTGACATTTGGCAAGACGACCTTCTCAATGACCTGGGCAAGCGTGCTTTCTGCTTGGAAAATTTGCGCATGTTGGGACATGCCGGCAATAGAAGTCAAAAACTTCAACGCCCGACTAACAAGAATGTCGTATTTTGTTTCTTGCCCGATCGTGGTGAGGAAGTTCCAAGAGCTTTCCACAAATTGTTGTATATGTTGGTTGAATTCGTCCCCATATTTTTGCACATAGAGTGTCAAAACCTCAAAAATGCCCGCGCGGACGTATTCCAGTTGACCGGATTCGTCGTCGTCGTCCGTGTGAAGCAGTTGATTATCGTATGTAAGATATTTGAGCAGAATTTGCGCTAATCCATTCATGTTTTCTTCGAACATTGGAGGAAGGTCATGGCAGGAAAGATCGTAAACCAGCTTGACCATCAGGTTAAGCTGTGTGAACCCTTGAACGAGCTGTTCCTTGTTTGACTTGTTCGCTTCGAGATACGTATCAAGCCCCTGAAATATCGGTTAGCGATGTCAGTGACCTAGGCCGTGGCCCGGAGAGCACATACCTGGAAAAGTGTCAAAAAGGGCGTGCCGAATCTCTCGAGAACGTGATTGATCTCTATATATAGCTCATCGGACCGAAATAGAGGTCTCCACCTCTTGAAGATTGAATGCGCAACTTGCAGGACGCCAATGTTGGCGGAAGGGTTGTCGGGTTGGAGTTTGGAAACGAGATCCTGGGAAGTAAGCCCAACGAGCACAAGCATGAAAACCAGGTAGTAAACTTACATCGACGAGAGTATCCCATCGCTCCCAGAAATCACTGTCGGCGATCACACTGACAGCTTCTCCCAACTGGGTTTGTAGTACTTGTGGTACGGAAATCATCAAGTTGATGAGTTCTTGCTTCAGCGTCCCCACGACCTCCAGTGGGAGTTTATAGTTTCCATCCTCATCGGTCCAATTCCTCCTAATAACATTCTTGAAGAGAATAGCGCTAGAGAGACGAGTGCCTAACGGATAGGAATCGGAGGCAGTAATCTGAAGGAGGGATATGGGGAAGTTCGGGTTACTCTCTTGTTGGCGAAGAGCGGCCTCAGCTAGAACACGTTAATACTTCAGTCGTAGAATATGGTCCTCGAATTGAGCCTGGAAGTGGTAGACACTCACCTTGTTTAGTTTGTGTGCGGTCACTGCTCGCTGCGAGGAGCTGGGCAATAGACTGAAGATCCGCCATTTGGGAGGGGAATGATATGTGCTGCAAAGATAAATGAAGCCAAGAAAGAGTGTAGAAGTTTGACTTGCTTATAGACCAGGATAGAGATGATTATGACTTTTGAAAAGGATCAACTGCCAGATTTCTTCGCAGAAACCAAGTGATGTACCAGAAACTGAGAAATGAGCCTTTATTCCTGGACAGGCAGTTTGTTTGGTTGACGGGTTGCTTTGGAATTATTTCTAGGCGGTGACCAGTCCGCGGGGTGATTCTGCCAGTCAGGTGATCTGCGCGGAACAAAGCCCCTCCGACTCCGCGATTATCGGCCTTGATGGTCAAAGCTCGGGATCTCGGAGGGGAAATGCTGCTTCGTCACGGCGCCTGAAGATCTCATATTCTCTCCTTATTAGGCGCCGATTAGATGTTATTTTGCGAATCTGATTCTTGATTCTTTTTCAGGCGCCGAGTCTGTTTTCGCCAACGCGTCGTCTTTCCTTATCTCATGTGCTGGTCTCCGACACAGCCACTCTTAAGTACTTCTGCGGCTCTTATCTCTCATCGTCAGAATCCAAGCCTCATCTTCTTCCACTTCCGGCCACCTAATGTTGCCGACCTCTCCTTAAAATCCATTCATGGTATGTTAGGCTATCTCTGAACTGCCTGTGAACCCTGGATAAACTGCGGCATCCCGCTCTTCTCTCATGACGCCATTTCAAAGCCTCTTATCGCTAATCAAACCCGCTCTTATCCAGTTTCTTATATAATCTGTTGACTCAATCGAATCCCACGTATATACCCTCATTCGTCCGCTAGGACACATGCCTCCTGACGATGATCTATTTCCGTCGCGCTACAAGTATTCAACATCTGGTATTGCTGGCGTCTTCAAATCATTAAGCGCTTCCCGGACGAAATCAAATTCCGCCGCCTCATTGTCGGATAGCAGCGACTCCCTTTACCAGTACGCGGATGGACACACAAGCTATTGGAAGCCATCAGGATTTGACTCAATGCATCGTGGAAGTGTGGTTTCTAGCTCCTCGGATGCTTCGGGGGGTCGGGATTTCGAGACATCCGTCAAATTGCTGGCGCAGAAACAGAATTTGAGCCATGCCTGTGATGAAGCGGAGCAAGTGGCCAGAGCCCCTCAGTGTTATACTCCAGAGCAGGCTCTTGAACTCTGGGAAGCTGGTTCACATTTAATGCACCACGAAGGATCTTTCGAAGTTCGACGTAGTGGCTCCCTATTGTTAATGTGCATTTCCGCGCGCCAGGATCTTTCCCCCGCAGCTCGTCGCACGGTTTTCGATTCCATATTGTCCGAATCCGAATCAGATGTTATCCCAGCTCGCGCCCAAGCCTTGGTATCGCTGTCAGATCATGGCAGGCGATTAGAGTTCGCTACTTCGTCACTTCTGCCTCTAATATCATCATTCCTACTCCCGGTATACGAAATCATAGCCGCGGCGCGGACAAAGGCGAGAAAAGCCAAAGTCGGAAAAGCGAATGGACTCGCCTACGAAGATACTGTGTTGGATGATCTTCTTCAGTTCGCTGTTGACCTCATCACCCTGCAGCGAAAGCAGCCAGAGAGCGACGAGGTTCGAGAACTATTGGATCAGATTTTCATAATCTGCAAAAAGACGAGTGTTGTCGCTGACATCAAGCATTCCTTGGCCGTTTTTGATGCCGTGATCCTCTATGGAGATGTCCCTGATGGAAGTTTCGTCCCCATGCTTGAGGTACTCTGTAGCATTCACGCATCCGTGAAACCTCTATCGGGCCCTACGTCAAGAGCTGTTCGAAATTTGGCTAAGTCTAAGCGGAAAAGTGAAATGGTGGATAGCCTTCACTCCTTCTTGCGCGACCCGACCGGTCACTACGGCCAACATCTAAATATCTTACGCGGCGCAGTTTATGCATTCGCTGACCTTATTCGCGCACATGGCCAAGAAGGCATAGCGCAACTGCAGTTTGAGCCTCTGATGGCCTCTCTTAAAATAGTCGTCCAGAAGAACGATGGCCGGCTAGAGGCGGACATTCTGGAGCTATGTTTGAATACGCTGGAGGGAGATTTTGCCCAAGTCAGCTTGACACAAAACTGGACAGGCTTTGTCAGTGTTCTCAATTCCTGTTCTAAACGGGTGGTCGAAGAACCGGAAACGAGTGCTGCACCTCTCAGCCCAGACTCTCCCCAGTCAAGGGGTAGTACCATCGATGATGTCAAGCCAAACATATTGGCCAACATTGTTCAGATCGCATCTGCCGTGGGCTCGCTTTGGGACAGCTTGAACGGACAGCAGAGACTGGAAATCACGAACTTTTTATCCAACGTATGCCAGCATATTGAGCCATCTCAGGCTGAACTGATCCTCAACACTATGAGGACTGAAAAACTATGTGATCCTCAGACTTCAGGATGGGTCCAATGCTGTCAGCAAGTGATTAATTATTTTGTCCGTGACCGTAGTAAGCCAGCCGAGGTTCGAATCACGGCTCTGGAAACCCTGAAAGAGGCTTTCTCTACCTACGAGTCCTTGGTTCTCTTTCATACGGAGCGGCTTTTGGATCTTATGCTCGAGACCTTCAGTGACGAAGATAGCATCCTTTTCTTAGAGTCACTTGTTTCCTTCCTCGTCAACGATATCGTCCCTTCTTGTGATGATACTGCTTTGAAGTCTTTGATAGATATCATCAGCTCGCCAATGACCAAAGATCTGAAAGATCTAAATGGGGAAGAACAAGATTCGATTCAAGTCTCTTCTCCGGAGGGTCGGTCATCGATTTTCACGCTAGAGGCCTCTTTAGCAAACGTCTGCGCCGTTGGACTAGTGAGAATGTTTTTGAGGTCATTGAACCTATCTGCAGCTAAAGCAATAACGGTCTATGAAGCACTTTTGAGGATAGCAGAGTCTTCTGACAGGCCTTTAGACTCGCGTTTGACTGCACTCAAGATGCTATTTAGGCTTCGATGCGACTCATCAGGCTCCGTCATCGTCATTTCTGTTCCCGAGGATAACTTCAGGATGAGTATATCCGGCCGCAATCTCGACTCCAATTCTTTGACGAACGATCTGGAAGACTCAGCCGGGGACCACATCGCAGAGAATGAATCCAGCCTGTCGTTACCCCAGAGGAGGCTTCCGACGCGTGCGGCATCGACCAGTGCTCTATCTAGGTCCACCGGACGCAGCACAAGTCATACTCAGCGAGTGCCGAAACTATCTCATCCCGTATGGGCATATACAGCTCCGCAAGTCCTTCCAGAGGAGCCTCCGGTTGGATCCAGCCCGTTTTTGTATGCCCATGCAACACCAAACACATCGCCCCGAATAGACTCGGAACCTGCTCAAAGAATCGCGTTGAAAGCAAACGTGTGGCTAGAGACAATCATCATATTACTCCAGCGTGAAACGAACTGGGACATTTACAGCTACGTTCTAACCCATCTTGCACCTCAGCTCCAAAACAAAGATTTGTTCGACAACGCAGTTCCTCAAATCAAGCTGCTGCGCAGTATTCTGTGTGACCAAATCAAGAATGATTCCTTCCGAGAACCACCGGTCAATACTGGGGTGAAGAAGTCTGACGTGGCTGGCTATATATTCGATTCTCTTTGCGTCCTGATAAGTTATCACGAGCACTTTGCAAAGAGTGAAGAGGACGAACTTGTTCGATCATTTATGATGGGCATCATCGGCTCTTGGGGAGGTACTTCCCGGGGATGTATACATGCACTCTCGGTCTGCTGCCATGAGATCCCGCTTTCTGTGACTAAGGCCTTGAACGGGATCCTAGACAAAATTTCCAAACTTATTACTCTGTCTAATCTGGCTGTCCACATATTGGAATTCTTGGCGCTACTTGCACGGCTTCCTGAGGTTTACATTAACCTACGAGAAGAGGAAATTCGCACGGTCTTTGGAATATGTATTCGACTTTTACAGACTTCCCGAGAGCACAGGCAGAAGGTTGCCGAGTCACCAAACAGAATTCTTCAAGGTGCTACAAGAACAGGGAGCGTTGTTCGTGAAGCCGCAGCTCTTCCTGGCAGTGAGCTTTCCGAGCCGTCGGCTCAGGATGCCATGTCTACTTACATTTATACCTCAACACATCATGTCATGATTTTCTGGTTTCTGTCCCTAAAGCTGCAAGATCGAGCGAAACACGTCAATTGGATAACCAGCAGACTTATCTTCGCGGATGAGCATGGCAAAGAAACCCTCGAAGAACAAAGTCAGGTCTTTCTCGACCTAATGCAAAGGGTTGCTTTCTCGGATTTGGGTGAGACTATCCCCTTTACCACGTTTCCCCCTTCTCCTGAGGACGGACCTGTGGTAAAGAAATCCTGGATTGTGGGCATGAGCATAGTCACTGTTGAAACCGCGAGTGTTTCGGGATTGTCACAAATCACTAAAAGACAAGCGTCGGGGACAACTTATGCGATGTATCAACAGCGCACTGCACCTGTTCTTCCTCATCAAATTCCGGTCACCCATGATGCTCATCTGCATTCGGATAACATGCGCACCGATGTCCTTCCCAGTCACATTATGCTTCAATTGACGGCGACGGCTTTTCCGACGCCAACTACAATCCAGCCTATTCCATTACCAGATGACGACATGACGCGCCGGGCGCTGAGCACATTTGACCGCAATGACATTGTGGATGGCCATAAGATTGGCGTCATATACATTGACGACGGTCAGGCTACAGAGGCAGAAATCCTCTCCAACACTGTTGGCAGCCCTGACTACGAGTACTTTCTATCAGGTCTTGGTACCAAGGTGTCGCTCAAGGACGCGAGGTTCAATACGCAGGGCTTACATGCGGAAACGGACGGGGAGTTTGCGTATGCATGGCGTGACCGTGTCACTGAAATTGTCTACCATGTCACGACGATGATGCCCACCAATTTTGACACTGATCCGTCTTGTATCCTTAAAAAGAGCCACATAGGGAACGACTTCGTGAACATCATCTTCAATCATTCCAATACCCCGTTCAATTTCAACACGATACCCTCGCAGTTCAACTTCTTCAACATCGTTATCAGCCCTGTGTCGCGGCTCACTGAAAGTGACAAGGTAGAAACTGCAGGAGCGTTGAATCCTGAAAACATGTTCTACTGCGTCAAGGTAATGAGCAAGCCTGGGTTCCCGGAAATCTCACCCGCTGCGTCGCCCAAAATCATCTCGGGCAAAAATCTTGCACCCTTTGTGCGCATCTTGGCGCTTAATGCGTCGGTTTTCTCCCTCGTTTGGAATAGTCAGGGCGAACATATCTCATCATGGCGCAATAGACTACGCGAAATCAAGCGTCTACGGGAGCGAGTTATGGGATCTCAGTCCCAGACCCCGGATACATTAGATGCCACATACCCAACCCAACGCCGCAATACCAAGGCCAACATCTTCTCTGAAGAAGTGCCGGTACGCACTAGCTCTGGGAGGTCGGAGCTTTCGACCGATTGGAATGCGACAGCAGACTCGAACATCCTCTTAAACCTCGACTTCGCGCGCTGGGCAAGGTGAAACTCACCTTAGCCATTTCTTCCTCATTGACACCATGGCATTCATTCCTGGGTGCCATGAAATTATACCACTCGTATACCCTCCTCTTTTTACTATCATGTTCCTCCATCTCCTGCAATCAACCCCATTGCTTCGAGCCCCCATCTGCTTTGCTAGCTAGACGCACGGTCCGGCATCCCCCTTCGTCGACAGCCCTACAATGCCACGATATGACCTTATCCTCACTCTCTGGTTATCACCTTCTTCCCCCCCCTTGTTTCTTATTTTTTTTTTTCTATGTATACCTATTGTACACCTGCACAGGAGTTGGATGGACTGGAACCTAAAAACTGGAGCGATGCGGTACGATATGCTGAAAAAGGCTGAATGATATTCCTTGCTATTTACTTATTGATGAAGGAAATGACGGACACCAAAAGTTTGTGTTTTGATATGACTTGATGACAGCGTTCTTTGTCAGTTATTTCATTATTCCCTCTACTGCCTGTCTATCTATTCAAGGCCGCTTCTATCTATCTACCTATCTTCTTTTCTTGATGTGTGATACCATATCTAAAAACATGGGGCTGTATGAAGTAGACTCAGAGCGATGCGTCATATTAGAAAAGGAAAGAGAGAGATGGGTTGGTGGATTGTCTTTGAACTTCGTACTTTGTGCACGCTGGGTTTATGATCGGACATGGCTAGTAGCATTGATACCCTACGCCAGGTCAGTCTCTGGGATAGTTTATTGTATGTAGCAATGTAAATAGCGATACAGAGAAACCAACCAAACGCGCAAATGTATTCTATATGTACAATTCGTTGAATTAAGCATCACCTCCCACGTACCTACCCTTAACCCCGGGCCACATGGGATATATGCATATAACCCCGCTAAATAGAACACCATCTATATATAGGGACTACAATCTCTATCCTCTCTTTTAGTCTTGGTTTCGTTTCTGCTTTTGGTTCAGTGATTTTACCAGCCGAAAATCTCCCCCACACTGAGTGTACTCCACCGCACGCCGGCAATAGAAAACACAATCAGGACGACATCAACGACCCCTAAGGCGAGCGCGCCAAACATGAACCGCGGGCTGAAGATGCGGTAGAGCATAAGGTGGCGGCGGAGGTGGCCGGCCCACATTGTCGTAGCGAGATTGATAGTCGCAAAGTAAAGGATATACGTAGCGGAAGCCTGAGCAACGTCGGACAGGAGCTTGAGAGCTGGTTTCTGGGGGGCGGAGGAGGAGGTCTTGTCGGTGAGCTGGAGAGGCCGTTTCCACATAACGGTGAGCGGGACGGCGATGGCGGCAAGGATCTGCGCGCCAAAGGTGTTGAGGATGACGATGAGTGGGGACCAGGGGTACTTGACGGTTGTGAGGGGGATGAAGGCGGTTTCCCACTGGATGCTGCTTATGGTGGCCTGGTGGCCGGTCTTGAAATAATAGAAGGAGCCGAGGAGGCCGAGGACTGTGGGTCCGATGGAGGAGTTGCTAGTGACGAGGGCGTTTGTGTCGAGAATTTCTAGGAGGGAGAGGATCTGCCAAAGGAGGAGGCCCATGGCGCCTTGGCCCATTGGTTTCTGCATCAGGGTGATGGCTAGGCAGAAGTTGATCGCGAGGAAGAAGAAGCGGGTGCCATGGATGTTGCCGAAGCCGAGGATTGTCACCGTTGTCCGTGGGAGTTGTTGTTCGCCAGGGGATGGACGCTTGGGTTCGGGCTCTGCATTAGTTTGTGCGACGCTAATGCTGACACAGGGTTTGGAGTAGATGAATGCTGTTGTGCCGGCGGCGAAGGCAAGCCCTAGGACAAGCTGGGCAAGAAATACTCTAATTGTCTTCAGGGTTTCATCACTGAGGGGCAGCCACTCTTTGCCGTCGATTTCCTCTAGCACCCAGAAGACTGAGGTGACAAACAAGCCAAGGCGAAAACCGATGCCGATCCACAGGCTGGCTGCTCCTTCATATGACTTTGACCCGGCATAGAAGCCCTTGATGACTGTTGGCAGGATAAGCATCACAAGGAAAGGGATAGCCAGCTGCCACGGAGCGGAGGTGGAGGATGTGCTAGAAGCATAATAAGTCGAGCGGCAGAAAGGCATTTGCTCCTCTCGGCAAAGGCGAGACAGAGATGCTACCCTTCCCAGGAGGACGAAGACGATTGAATGATATACCCCGAGCACCCGGTCTGTGGTCGACTGTTGCCGCATGGAAGAGATACCAGCAATGACTCCGAACGTGGAGAGGAAGAATAGAAGAATCTCATCCTCCCATATCGTGTATGAATTGGATGCGAACCCAATAGACTGACTAACAGTGAAAACAACGGCAAGCCACCCAAAAAGCGAGTTGGGTAGCGGCAGCGACAAGCGCTGAGAACAACCGAAGATTGCGGTCGAAGCGCCGAAGATGCTGCCGATGGCGGCTAGTAGAGCTGATGACTCGGATACTTTCATTTCGGTCATCTTCAGGACCGCAAACAAGGTGCCAGACGTACCACCCAGTACGAATCCTAGTCCAACACGCGAGAGGAAGGGCCCAGTGAGCTCCGTGCGGTCAGACTGCACTCCGCGAGCATAGAAAGTCAGCAGAATGATGCCAGCAAGGAGCACTCCGATTCCTTGCAGCATGCTTGGTACATCAAAGCTCGCCCATAATCCGCGGCAGATCTGGAGGGTATGCCGTTGATATTGCTTGTAGGCTTCATTGATCGGGATCGCATTCTTCGAGCTGGGTCTACCATTCTGGGCTTGCCAGCTCTTTTCAGCAGTTTCCCAATACCCTATTGATTCAAAGTCCTCGCCGTCGTCTGAACCGTGGGTTTTGGCATAAGCTTGCTGGTATCGCTTGACCTGCGCGGAAGCCAGGCGATTGACAGTGACCAAGTTTCTCCAATCTTTCCCACTGGTACCAATGAAAGCTTCCTCGATAGGCGAGCCAAGGTTGTTGAAAGGAATGGGAAGTCCGAGAAGCAACGAGAGAGTTGGGACGAGGTCAATCTGCGGGACAAATCTCTCACGAGCGTACTTGGGTGGCATAATCGTTTCCTGGCTGGTACGGCCAAAGACTCCCTTCTTGGAATACATCCATAATGCAGCATCAACCTCATCATCTGATTCGCCGCCGTGGTCACCTTTCGAGTCCATGCCATGGTCACCCATCACAACGAGCAGCGTACTGTCGTCGATTTTAGCAATGAGCTCCCGAATAACCTGGTCCATCTGGCTCAATTTTGCTGCCATGGCAGGATGGTTTGGGCCGTATCGATGACCGGCGTGATCGACTCCAAGGTAGTGCCCGAATATCACATCCCACTTTGTCTGGTTTTGAGGCTCTAGGAGAGGAAATAGATGTTCGTTCACCCCGTTGTCAACAGTGTGCAAGTCCCACACATTGAATGAATCGAACGGCCGAGTCAAATTGTCGTTGAAATAACCTGGGAAAAGAGCTTGCCAGGTATCATCACCAAGCTGGACAATGCTCTTTCCTGCCGCGTGAAGCTGGGCAACGAGGTTGTCCTCGTCAATTGCAGTACCGGCGAAGTTTGACCCGGCATCAACAAACGTAGGCAGAGTGCCTGTGGTCAGACCCTTCAGTCGCTGCAATGTAGTGGTCGGTGGGTCTGCGATGAAGGGAAGAAGGAAAGCGTTTTGCGGGGTGTTGACGGCGGTCTCGTACAGCACTCGTATGTTGTCATGGAAGAGCTGAGCACTTTCTGATTCAGCCTTAGGCGCAAATGGGACGGTAAAATCGTAGCGCAAAGCATCGATTACAATAACAATGGCCTTGTCGAATGACTTTGGGTGCCAGCACTCATCACGGTGCGACTGCTCCAGCAAAGACGAGGGCGAGTCATCAAACGGAAGGGCGTCACAGGTCGACTTATTTTCCAGGACCATGCGAGTGAGGAGGAAGCCTTTGGTGAAGAAGAAGATACCAACAACATGTAAGAACCTAGTCGAAAAGCCAGTATTAGATTTAAACCTTTCGAAGGTCAATTACAGCCACTTAGAAGCTCACAATATCCATACGAACACACCGAGCAGGCTCAGATGCTTATATTTGAATTCCTGCTCCAGTTCCTTCGCATGATCATCCTTCTTGCTCGTATTTGTCCCGCGAGATTGTAACCCGGGCAGCATCTTTGGGCTCTGCGCTTTCAGAGGGTCGGAAGCCCGCGATGACAGGTTCAATGGTGGCTGAGACTTATTGAGGTTATTCGCGCTCAGACTTTCGTTGCGCGAACTCATTATTGCGGATATCGTCAATCGGAAGCTCTAATGGCTTTGTCAACCAGCTCAGGAATTTCGAGGGTGCGGAGGTTTGGGACTCGTCGCAATCGATTTCACGCAGGCAATTGACAATTCGTATGGCTATTTCAAGGTTAAGGGTTCCAGAGAGCAAGGTTAACGAAACTCATCGAAGGGAGGCAATTGAGATTCGTCCCTCCTTTCCAGGCTCTCCCCTGCCAGAGATCGGAGCTATATGCTCAGGAGCTGCAGGTGCTCGGTCTTCTCGTAGATGGGTTCAGCAGATCCAACAGCTCATGGTCGCATCTGCAGCTCCATCTGAGACACCGGGTAACGTTGAGTTGCAGAGAATAGGGGCTAACGCAGCGCAATTGCAGATATTCAAGTGCGGACAAGCACTCGGTCGGCAGCTAAAAAGGCACCAAATCCTGCCCGTGACGTGGGGGAGTCGGCGCTTTCGGCATCTCGTTCTACGAATTCGCGCACTTTTACTGGTGGACGCGGCACGGATCATCAGAAAACCCTGTCAGAGTGGGTCACTTCCGTAAATGGACAACTGTTTAGTATATACCTACTGTAGTTGAGTTGGTATTGGCTTCTTGAAAGTCAGGGGACATCAGCACAAGCGCCTCAATTCAGAAAAGTAAGCAATGCGCTATCAAATAGACCTCAAAAGGTCAACAGCTACATTCAGCGAGGCTCACACCTGCAGGGTGGGTGGCCGTCCAATGCAGAGCTTTGACTAAGTACATACATTATCCAGCTGCAAGTCACCATTATGGGAGACCGAGAAGGTAAAGGTAAAGTAGTGACAAAAGAATAGTAGAAAAGGCGCCGCGACAAGGCAGCGTAGGAGAAAGGTAAGTGAGCTCCAACGGAAAGCAGAACGTAACTCTCTCCAAACCCTAGGGTCATGGCAGGGGGGAGAGGATGAGTGACAAGCACAAGAAATGAACGCCGAATGGAATATAGAGATCAAAGTAGCAAGTTCAAATGCTCCACAAACACGTTAACGCAATTTGAGTTCAACCCGCCTGCGAAAACCCCGAATCGTTGTGGTCAAGGCTGATTTCGTGTACGAATGAATCGAGTTAGATGCTGCGTATTTGCTAGTCGCAAAGGTGCGGTTCACGAGATTGTGGAGATGTGCAGGAACAACTAAGCAGATTTTTGTCGAAAGGTGGTCGTGCTTAGCGCTGGTCATGGAAGGGTGAAGAGGAAGGACGAATATAGCATAGCCAATTGATGGATTTATCGAGAGAGGACGGTTTGAAGATGGAGTCTTGGTATGATATTAACCCCAACGCTTTGCGTCATCCTTCTCTTTCAAACCGCCCATGCGGTCAATGTCCAGGGACTGGAAACGGTCTGCATCGCTCGTCTGGTAAGGCGGAAGCTGGTCATTGTATGGCTCGAGGCCAACGCTGCCCGCTTCACTGATCCTTACTACGACGACCCGGCCGGACTTGCGCTTTCCAGACTCATCCTCTTCCTCGGGGAATGTGATACGAATCTCAGGTACAGGACTGGGTGGTGGGCTTGACGAGTTCTCCATTAGGTTGCGCTTCTCATCGATGACAAACACGGATTCTGTGTTTGCGTACGGCGGCGCAGAGATAGTGAGGCTGCGGTGATGGGTCGAGCATTGACCATTGTGTACAGGGAGCTCAGGCTGCTGGCGATTCCTGTTCCTGCGGCGGAGGACGAGAAGTGCGCCAATCAAGGCAATACCGAGAAGGATAAGGACCAAGAGAGAGATCAACAAGTCGACCATGGACTCAGATAGGCCTTCAGTCTTTTCGTCATCTCGCGCAACAAATCGGTGGAATACTTGGTTCATTTTGAGGCTTGATTCGACTATTTCGTATCCAGGACAGTATCGGAGTTGTGTCTATATGGTGATGGTGCAACCGCGCGAGGACAGTGGGCTCAAGAAGCGAAAGTGTTGCTGTGGACACGGTCGGAATGCTCGGCTGGGAATTCTTGAGACAGCAGAAACGTCCTAGATGTTTCGGCGATCTTATCTTGTTCAGATTGATATTCCAAGTTACTCGGCGGCTATTGGGTCGTTTATAGAAGGAGGGAATGTATTGGTCGGTGGTGGTGGTGGTTCGTGGGGATTCGTCCGTGGTCAGTTGGTTTCTCAACAGTAGTGAGGAAACGGGCCAGGGTTGGATTCGGTTTCGAGAGAAAGAATGGACGGCGAGCAGTTGAATGAGTGAAACTGTCACCTGTGCGAAGGAGAAAATGTCGAGGTTGGGAGCAAAAGGAACGAACGAGGGAAGATGAAAGGCAAGGAAAGAGTGAAGAGGGTTGGGAAGTCGGGACGTGGTCGAGAGAGAGAGAAAGGGAGAGGGCCAGCAACCGCCAGGCTCACAACGGCCGAGCAAGGGCGCTTAGGCGAAAATAGCTTGCGGGCCAGGGCCAGAACACTGCCGGCTGTTGGCTCGCTGGAGTCTCGTTCTCTGCGGCGCCGATCTAGCGAAAACTAAAGGAGGAAACACTCCACCTGCGCTTTGTTTGTTTGTCGATTCCCCCTGTGCAATTTCCAGCCTCGGCCTATCACACTGCCAGCGTTCCTGACCCTCCTCCATCCTAATTTTGTCAGCCATCCTCATTCGCCTTCTCCTGGTCACGAACCCCGTTGCCAATGTTAGCCTGCTGAGCCAGGCTGGGCGTCCTGTGCGGTCATCAATCCATCATCGCCTTGTTGGAAACAATGACATGAACCCCAAGGCTCCTCATTCTTCTAGAAAACGTCTGCCGGTTTCAGACTGACAAAGCCCCGTTGTTTTATTCTCCGTCAATGCTCTTTGACCCCGACTCCCTGAGACCTCAAACACAGTCCCGACTTGAACAATGTACTGGGTGGTACTGTCAGACTCAGAACATTCAACATTGTCCAAATATTGCACTAGGCCAGCGCAAGAGACGATGACAGGAATATTCATGACATAGTTAGTCTATGGTCGAATGGTTGATCATTGCCTTCTGAAACCTACCGACCCCGTTGTTATGAGATGCCGTCAGCAACTTTCCAGGGTCGACGGATTGATTGAATCTTCGTCAAGCGACATGAGGGAGAAATCGTCAAGCTGATGCCCAGTCATATACCCGAGTTGCCCCTGAACTTGCCGGCGGCTAGCATAGTGGCAGTACCTCCGTACATTGAAGCACAGTTGATGAAACGGCAGGACTTCCATCGCATCGGCGAACTTAGCACTACACACATCTCGCATGCCTGAAAACCTAATGAAACACAAGTCATCATCATCAACAGAGAATCCAATCGCTTGTCGATCCCGATTCATGATCTTCTTCACATGGTCGGTAGGATGACATCGAAGCAACAACAAAGTTCTCTTACTGTTGCTCCGCTCCTGGACAGCCCATGCAATATTTCCAATTCAAACATATAACAGGGTATCCTTGAGGACCCCGGAGTGCTAAAACCGCGGCCTTACGACCCCGTGGCTGCAGCTGCGACGTTGGCTATGTATGGTCCGTACATAGGAGACGCGGAGTGTGTTTCCATATTGACGGTTGTATCATCAAAGGCCTGGGTTTCCGCCCCTCAAGTTCAATGTCTGCGCTCAGGTCGCGGCCTGGCGGAGCCTGAGGATGCAAAAACAGTCCTCCCTAGTTGTCAAACTGACGCCATCGATATCGTCCGCATCAATCCAGCGCAAACTCTCACGAATACTGAGGTTAGGAATGCCCTCAACATACGCGTCCTCCCCCGCTGTTATCCATGGATCCTACACAATTGTCTGCATTGTGCGCCTGGATCAGTGTCCGCGTTCAAACTTTGGGACATGGTTTAAATACTCATTTTCCGATCAAAATCACAACTTCCGGTGCACTCGCTACCCCCCTACTTTGAACTGAACATTTATCACCATCTGGTCAAGAATTTGACGAAGAGAGTTTTGATCCAGCGCGGATGACCCTTGGGTGTTGTTCTCGCTAGCGTCCTCGAACCCATGTACCGGAATGGGCAGGGAAATTTTTCCGCTCTCTAGTTGAAAATTAGGGCCGCTTGTGACAGGACAAAGTGAGAAGAGAAGAAAGGGGAAGAGGAAGGGAAGGGAGGGAGGGAAGAGAAAGAAAGGAGAGGAGAGGAAATAGAGAATTATCTAGGTGAGGGCTTATATGGTAACCTGCCAGACTTCTTTAGCTTGACGGATGTTATTTCCATGGTATACTTCTGACCAGCAGACAGTTCCAGCTGCCAATCTGCTAACTCTTTCTCTCAGCCTGGTGCAATCGTGTTGCTCGAAACCTTGTGACAGCGGATTTCCCGAACCAGCAGAGCTGAAGGGACTGCGGTGGAGCTGGGCTGTCGGGTAACTTGCATTGTCAACATTTCGTCCCAGCCTTGCGCTACGAATCTATCTCGAGTCTAAAGCCCTCCTCAAGCTTCTATTGATAGTTTCTCAACTATGCTCTGGCTTTCTTCCTGCATTGAGGTCAGTCACCCGGCACACTCCAAAATAGCTTTCAAGAGCAAATTCATAGGTAGTCCAGGTAGAGTGTTTAATCTAGAAATGAAATGCATTAATGGTAAGAAACTGGCCTGGGCTGCTAGCTAGTCTTGTTCAAATGCTGTGTTTGCAGTCTAGGCTCCCGTCAGAAATATATATTCAGAGCTGGTCCACGGATGCACTGCTTAGCCATGGACGATTCACGCGTTTCGGAAGCTTGATACTTACCCGGTCTAAAGCTAATTTAGGTCTGATCAAATGCAACCCTACTCCAAAAGCCTAGAATCACAACCTAGTGCCAGATGGGATAATGCTATCATCCTCAATACACTACAATGCAGCCTTTCTGGTCTAGGCTTTTGGAATAAATTGAGTCATCTTTAGGTTCAATTAGAGGGAAGAGTTTCCGGAATTAGCATGAGCAAGTTATTTGTGTGAACTATATCTGTATACCTTACTCGATCCATGGAACGGATCTGGATATTTAGGGCTTGATAATTGGAGAGCATTGAGTTAGGGAAACAGGCCGCATTTAAGGACTGGTACACCTAATGATGGGTAGGAAGCAAGAACCGAGGATAAGTACTACGTAGATATGTATACCGTCCCCTGTTTTCGAGCGCGTCATGAGTTATGGTGCAAGTCCTCTTTGGGGATGTTGAGAGTTCAAAGTATTACTGCGCAACTTTATATACCGGTTGGATGGTAATATTGCATTTGTGATACTTTCAAAAGGCGGGTTGGACCGCGACCAAGGCCGAAAGCGAGAAGGAATTATCAACTCCAGTCTGAAAATATGGCACGGACTATGGCGTGCAGGGTCAAGTTTCGACTTGCCAGGTGCCAGGAATCGAAGTTCGGATCACGACAATCGGCGCCAGGCTTGTCACTTCGCTGAGCAAAGCATAGTCGCGGACCCAAAGAGTATGGATTGTCCTTACCGAACCAACGCAAGGGGGACGGATGGCTAGGTGGGAATAATCTCCTTGTGGGCATAGTCCAACAAGTCGTATCTCTGATTCCGAACTTCAATGTCTTCTAGAGCACGCGGATCAGCGACGAGATGCGAACAGCCTTGGTTGTCCCCGCACTGCATTGAGGAAGTAGGTACTGGAAGTGATGCCCGTATGTGGTGTGCTCAATCTCGGAACGACGTCAAATGGAGAAACTTAAGAAGTGAGCATACGACAAGAACATTGCATCATCGCGACTACTGGGGAGAGGCGCCCTTGATGTCCGGGTGAATCAGGAGTCAGCGCTATCATTAGGATGTAAGGGATGGTTACTAGTAGCAGTAGTGGAGGCGCACCCCGTGCTCGAGTATACGCCCACGGGCACAAGATTATTAGATTCGTACAGCCAATCGACTGAAATGGCCTCGTTGGCGTCGACCAAATAGCACGCGCAGCGAATGTACGGAGTAGAGGCTCTGCTCCGCGCGCAAAAATCGGAAAATGAGGATACATCTGATATCCAATTAGCAATTGACAAGCAACTATACCAGCCAAAGCACGTACTGGAAGAAAAGGTTTTTGGCTGCATAGTGCTCGCCATTGCATCTCGTTGAATAAGGTAGTCGGGCTAAACTAGTGGATCTAGTTGGCTGGCTTAGCTGCTCCGGCATGATGAAGCTAGCACGGAACTGGTAAAAGATACTAAAGGGTCCTATCCGCGGACGAGAGCTGGAAATAATATCCGCGGTATGAGCCTCGCTCAGTCAGGTATTGAAGATCTCGACAGTGACTTTGTCGTAGCATTGTAGTCATAATCGTTGAAGAGCATCTGGTTCAGGAGACCAGTCCCTGCCAGTGAACCATGGCGAGCCAAGATGACGCAAGCGAAACTCTGGATCTCGATCCCAGTGAGATGGGCCGGAACAGAACAGAGTGTCAAGGTAAGGAATGACTCATATGTCAAGAGTGTTCTCGAATACGTAGTCTCAGTGTGAGTGCATCATATTTTGGGTTGGAAGTGCAGGGAGAAAGCCAGTAGAGAAGAGCCCCGGATTTCAGGCCTGGCTGGATCTGTCGGCAGAGTGGTACCTGCCCGAGCTTAAGGCTTAGTCTCGAGATTTCCAGCCCGCAGCATCTTTTTTCCAGCTCGACTGCCCAGCTTATCTATCGCGTCTTCCTCATCATATCCGTCTGGTCACCAACCATTTGACCTTTCGTCCGCCTGGTCGAAAAGTCTTCTATATTTTCTTTTTTACATATTAATCTTTAACAGCCTTGCTTTCTCTTGTTAGCTTATTTGCCCCCTTCCTATCCTCCGGTCTCTTCGCTTCGGTCTCTTTTTCTATCGCTGTTTCTGTACTACCCTTCTTCTCTCCACCACGACTTTACCTTGCCTTGCACGCCCTGCCTGGAGCCTCGCTTCCTCCATCGTCTGTCTCTTATTCGACATATTCTTACACAACTTCCGGCTAATCCACGGGTCTCCATCACCGCCCTCTGGCCTTCTTTCCCATACCCGTACATCTTTGACGGCGGACACTTGCGATAAAGATCGATCTATCAACCCCAGTCAGCCGTTTTGGGTCGCATGCTTGCTTTCGCCTGTGTCACGACTGCTCGACGTTGACGCCGTGCTTTGTCTCTCGTCTGCATTCCCACTCTACGACGCTCCACTAATCACGTCCGATCGCTCCTCAATCTGCGCAACAGGCACATTCTCCTCCCATACCAACTGCAATTTCACTTAACCCTTCCCCTCCCCCTTGCTTCTGCGACCCATTCAAGCTTCCAGTGCTTGTCAATTAAACAGGCCCGCATCTTTTTCCTCCTCTAGTCTTTGCTGAGGCCGACCTGCGAATTTCGAGCTTGCTGAGCATGCACGGAGCGTGGTAGCGCCGCGGTTCTCTTTTGACAACAAAAATCGGTCTACGGCTACTTGCTGAGCTTCTAGGCGGGCAAACAAAAAGGGAGAGATAATCATCGCCTTGCGTTTACTCTCACGTTTATACTTCTCTGTTGGCATCTACCACTTCTTTCCTGCCTGCCACTTTTCTCCCTTGGGCCATCCCTTCAATTCCCATCGGACGCTATCCGGCTTCGGTTTGAATCAAAACATATCCTGTTCTTCGGACCTTTTTTGGTGCTCCTACACCTCTACCCCTTCGCTTGGGACCCAGTACTGGGTGAGTCCTCTTCTGTCACGTCCAAGACAAACTCGTGCTCGATGTGTGACTGACCCTCGTGCTGCTCGCCATATTATCAGGGTCTCGTGCCTTCATACCGCAGATAAATCCCTCGGCTCTTAAGGACGGATTAGTTTCCTGCCGTTTCAGGTACATCGGAGAGGAAGTCATACATTGTATATGTTCATTCGTGGTCGGAATATTTCGATTAGGGAACACATAGCTGGTCATACTTCGACAGTGAGGTGACATGACTGTTTCGACGCATCCAAGAAGGGTCAGTTACGCTCCAGAAAAAGTGGTCAACTGTGTGGTGGACTGACAGACCATAGGCACAATCGAACGGAGCTGCCAATATGCAGTCCGCGGTCCTCAATGAGCGAGCGCGAGGTCCTCATGGGAGTACCAGCAGCGGCGTAAGCGCCAATTCGAGCTGGACCCTAGGCAGTCATATTTGGGGTAATAACGGAGAATGTATGTAATTGGGCTTCCCTGACTTAGTGTAAGTGCTATGCTAATGCGCGCTCTCATTGCTAGACCCCATCGGGCGATCTACGGTGGACGGGATATCCGGCTCCAGCTCCCTGCTAGCGTCCTCTGAGTCTGATAATAGCTGGGAGTCGAGTAATCGACGCACCGTTCCCTGGGGGTTTGGAGCACAGGGAAATGGCATGGCCACATCCCCTATCCAGAACCGCTCCACTGATCTCAGCGCAGCCGGTCTCCCCGACGGCAAAGACGTCACGGGCTATTTTCCACCACAGCCCGGTTCGTCCGGTATCGGTCCGGTATCAGGAACGGGTCAAATGGCTTATCTTAACGGCTCGGGACAGGTTTCCCCCGCGGGAGAGACGAGTGCCTTGGGAACCCGCAATATATACCATAATAATGATAGGCGAAACGTCAGTCTCGCCGGTAGTCCTGCTACGACGGCGTACCAGACGCAATCAGGATTCACGAGTCCCTTGGACAACCCAAGGCCTGAGCACATGGCAACGGTGAGCATGTCCTCAATGCAGAAGCGGGCGGATAATATGCCTCAAAGGGGAAGCACCCGCAACGGCTACGCTCATACATCTCACAATTCCACTTCCAATGCTTGTCAGAGGCCCGCCCATACCGCCTATCCCTCATTTAGCTCGGATGCTCCATTCAATAGCCGGTTTGGCAACGAACCTTCGGACTTGAGCTCGAACCTTGAGACACTCCAACTGAACGAGATATCGAATGCCACAATCCGTCCACCATTCGTGTCGCACGCGTCGTTGGATACATCACTGAACAGGTTGAAGCCCCATGGTTCACGAGATGAAGACAGTTACCAGGCAATGCAAAGCTACGGCAATGAGTATCTCTCACAGAACCACGCCCTGGCGTATCAAATAGCACAATCGCCACAACTCAGAGGCCAAGACGTTGTTCCATACGGAGAATTCGCATCAGCTGCCCCGTATATAAATGGCCGCCGCTCAGGTTCTAACTCCGGAAGTCGTTATCGGAACGGGTTTGCACATAACGAGAATCAGCACGTGGTCTTACAGGGTAGGGTGCGAGAGGAACTTCCCGTGGAGTCTTCGTACCAAATGCCCAATATGCTCGCTCGTCAGCGACAGTTCACGCCCGCTTATGAATACGGCTACGCACCTCAAGCCGCTTTGGCAAGTATCTACCCTGCTGCGCAACTCAACGCAGCGGCTCTCACAGCTCGACCCCTGCCACGTGAACACGGTTCTCCTCAAGAGTCATGGGGTCCTGTCCTTGCAGACTTTAGAACGCATGGAAAAACCAAAAGATTCGAGCTTAAGGTACGTTTTTTCTGCCCTTTTTCCTTGATGGCTTATTCACAATGACAAAGGACATATATGGCCATATTGTGGAATTTAGCGGCGATCAATACGGTTCCCGATTTCTCCAGCAGAAGATCGAGACGGCCAACAGCGACGAAAAAGAGCGAGTGTTTCGTGAGATCCGTCCCAACTTCCTCCAGCTAGCGCAGGACATCTTCGGCAATTATGTTGCCCAGAAATTGTACGAACATGGCAATCAGTCGCAGAAGAAAACCATGACAGATGAGATGCGGTGCAAGGTCGTTAAATTGTCCCTCTCTCCGTATGGGTGCCGGGTGGTCCAGAAGGTACATTCATCCAGCATTCTCAAATTATAGCTCAAGCTGACAATCTACAGGCTTTGGAACATGTTCTTACTGACCAGCAAGCTTGGTTAGTACAAGAGATCCAACCGCGGATCCTTGAGTGTGTTGAAAGTCAACACGGGAACCACGTGATTCAGAAGGTCTTCGAGTTTGTCCCCTCGGAGTTGACGAAAAGCTTGGTTCAATCATTCATTGGCCAGGTAGATAAGCAATCGACGCATTCTTACGGGTGCCGAGTCATCCAGAGGATGCTCGAGTTCTGTGAACCGTTTGATCGCCAAAGAATACTTACCGAGATTCGTTTATGTACCCCGAAACTCATTGAGGATCAGTTTGGCAACTATGTGATTCAGCACATCATTGAACGCGGTGATAAAGCAGATCGGGAGTTCATGATCCATGAGGTCCAGCATAGGCTACTTTACCATTCGAAGCACAAGTTCGCTAGTAATGTTGTCGAAAAGAGCATCCAGTTTGGAAACGACATCCAACGCCGGGACATCATTACGAGGTTGACTGCTAAGGTGGACGGTCATGAAAACCAACTCATTGACTTGATAGCCGACCAGTATGGAAATTACGTACTTCGTAAGTTGCTGTACCTCCTTCTTAGAGTTATGCTCTCTAACTGTCTTTCAGAAAAAATCCTCGGTCATCTCCAGAACGCGGAGCGGGCCGCGCTTGTGCAACGCATCAAACCATTGCTGGTGCATATGAAGAAATCAAACTGTGGCAAGCAAATTGCGGCCATTGAAAAGCTCATTGGAGACTCGAGTCCTTGTCCAAATTCCGCAATCCCTGCTTCGAACCATACATCATCGACCACACCCCCAAATTCTCACAAATCCTCCCCGCAACCGATGAAGCGCGCAGTACAAGACCCGTTCGTGGCGACGCCCCCTACACCACCCCCGACAGATAATCAGTGCAATGGCGATGGCGCTGCCTCCATATCCGGCTCTGGATCATCTGAACTCACAGCTACCGTGCCATAAGCCCGGGCGTTTTCTTCCTTCGACATATTATTATTCTTACGCAATACTTAACTTCGTTGTCTCCAGATTGATATAATTCTTTTATACTGCGGGCGCCTGCGTAATGGGCCATTCACTCCATATTCTTTGACATTCGTTTCTCACGGCTTGGTGGCGCAAAGTCTCAATACATGGGCATGGCAGGAGTACAGATTGATATTTCTCTTGTCGTTCAACTACATCTATAATTATCTTCTTGTTCATCGATTTAGTTATGGAAATGAGGATACGTCCCCATGCTTTTCAACGGTTCTGCTTTTCCAAGGGTCGGCGTCTTGCTTGGACATGGGATGGGAAACATTGCGCTTGACATGATTGACCTCATGGGCTTACAAATKGGACGTTGAACATAGGGAGCAATCGCAGATACGAAAAATGCTGGAGCGTGAGGCTTGCTCTTGCACACAATGAGCTGGTGGAAAAGTTACTTTATCGAGCGGACACGAGGGATCCGGAATGTTCTTGTGGTGTATGTAGCTTAGGTTGTCTATGTAGTACTTGATGGCTCATTAGTTATTCAATATACTATAATACACTGCTAGTCATGGTTTTTATTACTAAACTATGAGGATATATACTACTGACGTTCTTTGTTCGCTACTATGCTATGTGTATGGAATCACGTGACATGTACCGACCAGTTGAGCCGACTCGCCTCGTGGCTGAACCTGGGCTCTTTTTGAAACAAACCCTCACTGCGACACATACCAACCTTCTAACACCATCTAACATTTGCCGATCGCTCTGGCATCTCTCACGCGCCTCTTACAAACCAGCGCATTCAAAGCACCTCCCAGCTCAACTCCAGCACAAGAAAAACACATCACGATGTCCTCTAACGTCGGTCTCTCCACACCCCGCGGCAGCGGCACGTCGGGCTATGTGCAAAAGAACCACGCCTTCCTGCGCCCGCGTAACTTTGGAGCCGGTGCTCCATATCCGTCTCCCTCTTCCGCAAATGACCGAGACAGACCCGAGTCGGCCTTCAAGCAGCGACAACCAGACAAAGCGATCCTGGAGCACGAGATGAAGCGCGAGATCGAGGTTAAGGTCTTGGAGGAGCGTGAGCGGTTAGAGGAGATTAATGAACGGGTCGAGGAGGGGACGGGAGATGAGGGCGAGAAGGTGCGCAGTGAGGAGGAGATTGAGGAGGCTTGTGAAAAGTTGAGGGCGCGACTTACGAAGGAGATGGAGGAGGGGAGGACTAATGGTAGAGGTGTAAATGCGAAGGGGAGGGATGAAAAGAGGGGATTCAAGGCTTATCAGGTGCATGAGCTTGCTGAGGCGAAGATTAAGGAGAGTGAGCGGTTGAGAAAGGCGCTTGGGATTAGGGATCAGGACGAGCGGGGAGATGGGGGGAGTGCGAGGGGGGAGATTGAGCGGAGGAGGGGGAAGGAGAGGGAGAGGGAACGAGAGAGGGATTAGACTGATACTGTCTATGCTGCTGCTCTTCTATTCTGATATCATGGATTCTTGCTGGGCGTTGGGTGTTGTGTTATGGACTTAAACGGGCGGGAAGCGAGTCATCTTTGCAAAATGCATACAGTACAATATTGCACTGCCATTATACCGGGTATATCCTATTCTATCCAAATCTATGTAGTAAACTTTTCAATCACCCACCCCTCCTTGGCATCCTTCCTCTGGATCACCTTCTTCGCAGGCAACGGCCACCCCGTGGTCCCGATCTCGCCTATCAACGACGGAATCACAAAGCAAGCCCGTCTCTCCGGCGCACCACCCAACGACTCAATCTTGCCAATCGGCTTCCCGTACTCAATTAGCGGCGTGCCATGCGCCAGCGCCGACAGCTGCAGCCCACTCGGTGTGACAAGTGGGTACATCCTGATCTTCGGCACATCGCCCGCCACAACCGAGGGCACGGACTGTTGGAGATGCGAGTAGATGATATACTGCGGCATTTCCTTGGGTGAGAGCTTCGCCAGGACGGATGTCGGGTGTACGAAGACAGCCTTTTCGTTGATGTTGTTCGTGCTTACAGGGGCGTCGCGCGAGCGGAAGAGCGTGAGGTAGGGCACGTCGATGGCACGCTTGGGAGTGCGAGCCATCTCCGGCGGGATAGGAGCGAGATCAGCGCGGATAGCGACGTTGTCGATGAAGCCTGCTGTGACAATCTGCTTGAGTGCCTTGACTTGTTTCTCGGAGGGCTCTGGTAACCGCGCCTGGTAGGCTTCAAGAAGGCCTGGGTTGTTGGTGCGCACAATGTCCGTTAACTGCCGCCGAAGCTGAGTAGCTTCCTTGAGGGCCTTGGCGCGCAGGAACATCTTGTCGCAGAAGTCGTCCGCGCCTGTGGTAGGGGCATAGCCGTAGGCGCAAATCGCGGAGAGGTATTTGAGGGCGTCGGAGTTGTCGTCGTGTTTGCTGAAGAGGCGGTGCGCGCGCGCGTAGTCCTTGTGTCGCTTCTCGCGCGCTGTGTCTTCTAGCCTGTCGGAGTTTTTATAGATGCCTCTGTCGCGGTCATTGTCTTCCTTGCCGGGAACGGAGTCGATCTGGTTTTCAGGCACAAAAAGGTCTCCCACTGCTAGAGCGGACACGAGAGCAATGACGTAGGGCATACAGCCGTGCTGGTGACCGACGTAGACCATCTTGCCAAATCGGGGAGAGAGAGGATATGTGGAGAGACTATTTCCTATAGGTGTGATCTTGCCATCGGCACTGAGCGCGCCCAGGTTCTTCAAGAGCTTCTCGGCCTTTGCGAGGCCCTGGCGACTGGGTGGTGTGGGGAAGGGGAAGTTGATTACATTGTGCAGACCCATACTCTTCATCTGAAGGACAACACCCTCAATAGGTGTCCGCAGGATCTCCGGGTCCGTGTACTCGCCGAACTCGCCTTCGTAGATAGCCGACGAGTACAGTCTGTAGCAATGACCAGGCCCTGTTCGACCGGCACGACCGGCACGCTGGTTCGCACTGGCCTTGCTAATCCAGTCGATCTGGAACTTTTGTACACCCGTTTCCAGGTCATACTGTTTCTCTTTGGCGCGACCGCAGTCGAAGACATACCGGACACCTGGAATCGTAAGAGAAGTTTCCGCAACGTTGGTTGCTAGCACGATAAGTCGCGATCCCGCGGGTGGCGGTTCAAAAACGCGGAGTTGTTCTTTCGTGGGAAGTTGCGAGTATAGTGGTAAAACGTGGACCTTTGTAGATGAATCCATGGCTTCCTCACCTTCCTCGCCTACATTGAATTCCTCATCCTCCTCGGGGTCATCAAGACCCGTAATCTCGAGGTCACTGTCGTCATCGTCATAGGCGTCAACAGCAGTATTGGAGATATCGGTTTCGCCAATTTCGAGATCCTCTGCCTCTAATGGTGCTTCATTTGCAGATATCTGAACCTTGGCTTGAGTCACTTCTCCCCGCTGTGTCGGTTTGAAGGCCTGCTTCAACCGCTTGGAGAGCTGTCTGATCTCGGTTTGGCCGGTCAGGAACACAAGGATTGCTCCTGAGGGAAGCTTGCGGTGGCCCCTGGAGACCTTTCTAAAGGCTTCTTCGACGTAGTCGCGATGTGTCCGTCGGGAAAAGTGGATTGTGACGGGGTACTGGCGACCCTCGGCCTGGACGAGAGGCGGTGGTCCTTGACGGAACAGGCTGGCATTTTGCGTGAAGTCGGAGATGCGCAGGGTGGCAGACATGATCACGAGCTTTAGAGGTCTGACTGACGGGTCTTCCGCGCTCATAGCTTTGCGCAGGTCGACAATACGGCTGACCATGCCGATCAGGATATCTGTGTTGACGCTGCGCTCGTGGGCTTCGTCAATCACGATGATCGAGTACTTGCTGAGAGAGAAGTCCTCGGCAATTTCGCGGATTAGGATACCGTCTGTCATGAACTTGATGGCTGTTTTGCTGGTAGCGGTGCTCTCAAAACGAATCTGGTAGGATACTTGAGACGAGAACTGGCCCAGTTCATCACCCACACGCTTCGCCATACTGACTGCAGCGACTCGACGGGGCTGCGTGACTCCAATCATGCCTGGGTTTCCACTCTCGGGGTTTCCGTAGCCAGATTCGAACAGGAACTGCGGGAGTTGCGTGGTTTTACCGCTACCAGTGGCTCCCCAAATTACGATGGCGGAGTTGTTATGAATGGCTTCCATAATCTTCTGTTCTTCGCCCACAACTGGAAGCTTGAGGCGAGCCTCTTGGACTTCCTCGGGACGATCGACCTGGACACTGAAGGCTTTTCGATACGGGTTGCCCTTTGTCACTTGCAGTTCTAGAGGTAGAGGTTCCTCTTCCACGGCTCTCACTGGTATAGCGGATTTGGGGATGACTTGTGGCTCTGAGGTTATTGGGCCGGATGTGGGTTTGAAGCCTACTGCTTCGTTGATTTGCTGCCTGGCCCATGATTTGAAGGCTGATTGTCGAGGTTTGATGCGCCCGTCGGTGCTCTCATCTTCGTCCTCGTCATCCTCGTCCTCATCATCATCATCTTTTTCTTCTTCTTCATCTTCTTCATCTTCATCTTCATCTGCGTCATCTTCCTCATCATCGTCGTCATCATCACTGTCGTCATCGTTGTTGTCACCCTCTAAATCTTCCGAGCCTTCTTCCTTCTCGCTTTCTGCTTCATTTCCAGGTCCGGCCTCTTCATTCTTATCCTCGTCATCCGAGAATCCCTCCCACGGAACCTCATTTAACGGAGCTTTAGGCGCAGCCTTCGGTGCCCGCTTTCGCTTTTTGAGAATTGGAAACCCGTCCGGACCAAGTTCGAGAGGACGTTTTAAGCCAATACCATTCATCACATTCGGCGCCCCCTGTTTCTGTTCTGGTGCCTTCTCAATCGTGTCCGCTCCCGTCCGCGGTAAATCATCGTCCGACTCGTCACTAGAGAATCCCGGCGCATTGCGTTCTTCAACGGCCTCTGCTGTGTGTCTGGGCTCATCATCCTCCCTCTTACGCTTTCCAATCTCCTTAGACTTCTGTAAACCGGTGACTTCGAGTTTCGACTGTGCGAGTTTCTTCAGTAGCGCTGTGTTTTCTTCTTTCTTAAGTTTGTTTTCCTAGGCAGTGTCAGAAGGGGTCCAAGACATTCGGCGGGTCAAACACACAATGTATTTGTCCAAGCGCTTCTGCTTTTTAGCGGATATTTTCGTGTGTTGCGCCCTCAATTCTTCCCGAAGTTTCTCCTTCCTGGCTTCTCTCTCGGTTTTGGAGAGAGGCTGGACCTCCGCCGCATTGGTGTCGGCTGTAGTATCAGCAGCGGCCTGTTGCCGGTGCCGCTGCTTCCTTTGGCGGGGAACAAACTTGGGCATTCTGGCAGCCGTTTCCCTACTCGGACACCACAAGCAACCGAGATCTGCTGGGGTATAAAGTCGTCAATTCGTCCGGTGATATCGAAGGATTCTAGAAAATTTCAGGCGGTGATAATATTCTGCCGCGGTGCGGGCTGATAGCCTCACCGCCTTTGCTATCTCCGCCATACTAATGGAACCATAAAGTCGTGTCATTATTATCAGCATCGCAACGCTAGCCATTTGTATACGAAGCACTTTATCGTGCTGGTCTCTGCTTCCCTACCGAAAGGATCATATGTGGCGCTCTCATTAAAATTGATTTCTTCAAACAAGATGACGGATACACTTGGCCTCAATGGTCTCAACCTGGACCTTCCCTTCCCCGCAGCCACCAATCAAGTCTCTGGAGATATCAAAGGAGTGCGTACAGATGTCATGGCCGTCAAATTCAGCGACAAGATAATGATCACAATATCGCAAAAGGGCCGACTAGGCCATTGGGTCAGTAGTCAAGTTCGCATTATCAAAACCACGCTGACCTTCGCAGCTCCATGTTCCATTGGAAAACAAAAACCCAGGCACAGAGGGCCAGCACAGAGCTCCAGACTTCACGGATGACGGCCTTCTTCCCTTGAGTGAGTTGACTGCGACGTCGATTCTCGGGGGTCGTGTTCCTGGACATGAAATCATTGGTCAGCTATATGCTCGTCAGATAGCGAGTGCCATTGTCACCAAATCACCGAACGAAAACCGCCTGCTCGTTCTGGGATTAGGGTTGGAAACAGCTGAAGCTGACCGTGATGTTTTCTTTGCTGTCATAGACCTTGCCCTCCAGTGCATCTAGGGTGGTAAAGAGAGAAGAAATCCAGATGCTGAACACTTCGCCCCGTATCTTCTTCTTCTTCTCCCGTGCAAGTTTCACATACGGAAGCTCGATTAAAGATTAGTTCCTTGAGGCGTTCGCGTTCTTCTCATTAAAGCCCCTGAGGTTCAGCTTTCCGAGAAATAGGAATGCTCCGCTGGGCAGAGCCTCGGTCAAGAGTGCTTTGTCGAAGCCAGCCACCTTCCAATTGTCGTCGACTACCACGGTCAGGTTAAAATACGTGGATGGCCCGTTCAGTTTCAGAATTGCAATGAGCTTCTTAAATCCAGCGACGTTGCATTGCTGTTTTGAAGTCGTTCGAGCCAAGCAAGAAGAGAACCGATCCAGGTGGACCATGCCATCCTATCTCATGGCTAAGGCGAGGATTCGTGATTAACTTGTGCTCTGTCTTTACAAGACGATAATGGTTTGGGAAGCCTTGTGAGGAGATACGCCAAATGTTCCAATAAACAGCCTGCGACAACTCAGAGAATGGTACAGAGCTATTGTGGTAAAATGGCGTGGGAAACCCTAAGGATAGCTAGGTCTTCCTTCCTGGCACGTCTAAGCCTTCCAATCTCCAGCGGCTTCTGGTTATTCGTGGACAACTCCTCCCGAATGCGAAGCCTGAGATCGAAAGGGAGACAATAAAGTTAGCAGCTTGAGCTTCTGTCTCCATTCTTGAGTACGCCTCGCACGGCCTTGGAAGCCTCTGAGGCCATCGTGTCGCAGTGCCGGGGTTGCTCCCTGCGATCCTCGAATTGACAGATGTGTCCGTCCGCCTCGTCCTATATTGGCTTGAAGAATCGCATGTCGACGCGATTATCCTATCTGCAGTAGATTCTGGCCGTGATATTTCAGCCGACTTACCGAAAGTTCTTTGGGCTCAGACGGTTCAAGCACGGCCCTGCGACAGGCTTCGATTGAATTTGGCGAGTTCGCAGTGCCTCTTGTCTACTTGATACTCGGGAAGGATATGGCCTTGGGCTTTGATTGAGTTTGTCTTGAGCGTGTTAGGCGCCATGGACGAGCTGGCCATATGGAGGAGATTGGGAAAGAATGAGAGTGGTGGTGTGGTCTTGTTTGCATTTGTACAAGGCTAGGATCAAAGAGTGTGTTATTTACCATCCAGCCTTTCAGCAAGAGCATTGTGAATGAATGAGAGTCGAGTAACAGGTCTCGATTGTATCTAGGAGCTGTCTCTTGTTATTCAATAAAGCAATAAATAGTAAATATGTCTCAAACCACGGCGTATCCAGTAAAGCAGATGCAGGCCAAAGGGTGTACAGCTGTCCTTGGCGGCAACAGCACAAGTTGAGTTATCCTATTATTCACTATAGCATTAAAGAAGCACTAGTTCCCTGGTCTCTCCTAGGAGGTCTAGCCAAGATTCCAGAATATTTGCTCATTCAGGATGTTGTAAGTTCAAACCCTCACATATAGCAGGTACCTATGGTCACGTGCATGCGGTCTGTAGGGGCCCCGTCTCTTCTCTTCCTTCCTTCCAACTCCCCATATCTTGATCATTTACATTATCATCTTTCTTGATTGGTCTCATTCTGAGACAAGCTTGTTCTGTCGTAGACTCATGAGAATCGGCTCGACACCCAGTCAAAGTGTGTTTCGTTGGCTGCAGAAAACATCGTCGCGGTAACAGAACATACAAGTCACTGCACCTATTCTCCCTTTTTCCAGCCTCAACGAGGAACTTTGCAGCTGACATTTCATATTACCCCATACCCATATTTGAGCGTGTCCGATACATATCAGCTTGCAAGATGGAATCCGACGACGAAGACCTCAAAGCAGCAATTGCCGCCTCTTTGGGACAGACTCCGTCTTCACCAAAAAAGGCCAGTAACCATAACACGTCCGTGGTCGACTTGACGGCAGAAAGTGATGACGATGTAGTGCCAATTTTTCCCAAGTCCAACTCAGTCATTGGCTCAGATACCGATCAAGACGCAAGCGTCTATGATGACGCCGAAAACGACGAAGAACTGAAGCTGGCTATTGCATTATCTTTGCAAGATCCTGCTGGAAAGTATGGCTCGTCAAAGCCAGCTCTCACGTCTATTCCACTGTCGGAGCAGGGGGGAAAGGGGCAAGCTGAGCCTAAACCAACTCAGCAGTCATTCCTTGGTCTCGATCGCAAACAGATGGAGGAGGAGCGTCTTGCGCGTCTTGCAAAGAGAAAGGCCGATTCCCCTGCCGCTGCAGATGAGAATCGTGAGCAGAAGCAACCCCGTATGGAGCTTCAGCCGGAGGCTAGCAGCGTACGTGCCAACATAGCGCTGCCGTCATCTGTGCCCTCCATTCAGTTTCCAGATGGCACGGTTAAGAAAACGTTTGCACATGGTTATCCCAGGCTGGGCGACGATATCAAAATCGAGGAAGTCTTACAAAGCTCAAATCTCGAGCTGGGGGTCATAAGCTCGTTTATCTGGGACACTGAATGGCTTTTCTCGAAGGTTGACATGGGGAAGAGTCGGTTAATGCTGATAATGGAAGCAAAGGATGATGCCACAGTAAGATATCTTGGTGATACTCTATCGTGCGCTAGCTGACTCAAAAGAAACGACAATACGAGTCAGAAACCGCGCACATGAAAAACTTGCGACTGTGCTTTCCGCCCATGGAGCCTCAGGTGAATTGTATGCACTCCAAACTCATGCTCCTATTTCATCCTACATATATGCGGATTGCGGTCCCGACCGCAAATCTCACCCCGTTTGACTGGGGGGAGAATGGTGTAATGGAGAATGTATGTAGCTCCTACACTATAATGCTGAAACAGCTAACATCGGCCAGAGTGTCTTCTTGGTTGACCTTCCCAAGATGGATGCCTCAAACTCGAGTGAACAGACAGAATTCTACAAAGATCTCGTCTACTTTCTCAAGGCTAGCACCTTGCATGAAAACATCATTGCAAAACTTGATAATTTTGACTTTAGCAAGACAGCCCCATTTGCATTCGTACATACCATGTATGTTTGACACTCTACTACCGGATGTTACTAACTTCCCCAGTGGTGGCTCGCATTGGGGCAGTTCTTGGAAGCAAACCGGTTACTGCGGGTTGGGACGTGCGATATCATCCCTTGGATTACAAGCAAATAAACCGCTTAATCTTGATTTCGTGGTACGCATCCCCTAACCTCTATATTCAAAGAGGGGCTAACGGGGGCAGGCATCATCTCTCGGTTCTCTAAATGCCGACTTCATGAAATCTTTATATCTTGCCGCTCAAGGTCAAATTCAGTTATGTTGAGTGATAGACTCTTTCAACTGACAAAATTTATAGGCGATTCTGGTCTTACCGAACTCACACTCCGGACGGCAAAAACGTTCCCTGCCAAATCGCTTGCTGACCCGCGTCGTCTTATCCAGGCTTCCACAGCGGATGAATGGAAAGATAGAATCCGCATCTATTTTCCCTCTGAGGAAACGATTCTCAGGTCCAGGGGTGGTCCAAGCTCCGCGGGGACAATATGCTTTCAAGAAAAGTATCTTAATAATGGCAAGTTCCCAAAGAATGCACTAAGAGACTGTGTTAGTGCGAGGAATGGGCTGGTAATGCATAATAAGGTATTTTACAGATGGCTAATATGAGGACATTGCTGACGGACAAAGATTCTATATGTCCAACCGGACAAGCCAATATCTACCTCAGGCAATAAGCAATGCCTTGGGTGGGCATATGTCGGGAGCGCAAACTGTTCTGAGAGTGCTTGGTGAGATTTTTTTCCTTTTTTCCGGGCTATGTTATATTAATATTGTGTTCTTAGGGGCCGTTTGGTCCATGACCGCACGAAAAAACAGCCAAAGCTCAACTGCCGAAACTGGGAATGCGGCGTCGTAGTCCCAGTCATTGAACAGAAGAAATATGTCGAAGATGCAGACGCAAGCACTGAAGGAGAAAGTGAGGACGAAGCAGAGACTCGATCTGGGAATCAACCCGGAAAAGGCGTGGTGGGCAAGGGTAAGGCAGAGAACGGACGTCTTCTGGATATATTCAGAGGCACTGTCCCTGTGCCGATGCGTTTACCAGGGCAACGATACGAGAGCCAGGGTGCGCGAACGCCGTGGTACTTTTTAAAATGATGACTGTAGACCCATGTATGTCGATCCATCACAGCCGAAACGCCGCAGGTTTATGAATACAACGAGTTCGGGACAATAACATTGTCCTTCTGTAGACAAGGGGCCCGTCAATCTGACTGTCACGGTTCGTCTAGTAGCTCTCTAACATGGGAGACATTGGCACAACCCTAGACGACACCACAAATCCTGTCTCGGAAATCTTCCACGGCGCTGTACTCATAGCTATCAACAACTCAGGCTTTCCCCTCTGCTTTCCTACTGCCATTGAAAGAGATAAAATGTCCAAGTAATTAGGGAAACAATCTATGGCGTAGATAGTGTAAAACTACGGCCTAGTCAAAACAAACACCAAATCACCGGAATTCAACTTGGTGTACGTATGGCCTCAATAAAGACCCCCACAATAGCTGTTGTAATCGCGCAGCAGGTTGAAGGTGGAGGTTTGACTCTAACTCCTGGAGATAGACCTTAGAAAGTAAGTGAGGGAGTTAGAGGAACTAGGGTTTCGCGGGGGATTGGTGGGCGTATACATTTTGTAGAGCTGGAAGCAGATGGTCCTAAATGCACTGCGAAAGTACTGATAACTGCATTGGACGAACTGTCCTTTGTAGGAAGCCCTGCTCCACCCATTCTGTAACTGGATTCTGCGATGGCCTAGCTCGTCGTAGTAGCTAAACTTCTTTTCTTTTCTCTCCAGGTAACGGCAAGTTTTTGCACGCCTCTGAAAGGCCCGTCGGTCTGAAGACTCGGTACGTCCACGATGGGAACCTCCCAGGTCGGATTTGGGATGGGTTGGCCTTACACGGTCGTGTCCCTCTGGCAGGGGCTGTTGCGTTCTATGATCTTGTGCGGGAAGGGAGAAATCTGGTGTCGTGGGGAATATTCCGATGGCGGGGTGAGCTTTGGAACTCGAGTAATTCGCCATCGTAGTTGTGGGATTCCGCATAGTGCATTGAGAAGCTTCGGTTTTCGGAATCGGACGGAGAGGTCGTGGCTTGGGGATTGCGGGATGGGGAGAGAAGGGGAGAAGGAAAGACGAGCAGATATTGCATCCGTAAGGATGGCTAGTCCGTCAGCGAATGGAAGTAGGTCAGGCAGATGAAATTAGTTTGCAAGAGTATATTCCATTGGGAGGTAACAGAAAGAGAACAACTAGGTGCTGAAATGGGTATGCTCATAGAAACAGGAAATCACCGGCACCTAATGTCACGTTGCGCCATACCATGCCATGCTAGAAAAGAACAACAACCACCCTACTCCTATGATAATGCTATACCTCAGCGGTGCCCCCTCCGTGTCTTAGTCCGCTGGGTCTGAGTGCTACCCTGGCCGTTACTGCTCGTTCGAGCAGGCACATGCGGTGTTTCCGCAAAGTTTGGTTTGGATTCGATGCCGCTTCGTTCTCGAATTCGGTCATTCGCACGGGGAGACATTTGTGCAGGATGCCTTGGGTGAGATGCAGGATGCCTTGGGTGAGATGCAGTATGCCTTGTCCGCGGCCACCGTTTATACTCTGGAACATGTCTTGGTTCGCCTCCGTATCCATATCCAGGATGTGGTGGAAACGGGTAATGAGCTCCATCTTGTCCACCTGGAAACGGCATTGGCATGGGATCCGGGCCCGGGTCTTGTATCGGCGATGGCAAGGGCATTGGATCTGGGCTGTCTGGTTGACCTTGGGCAGCTGAACTTCCTCCTGCCGCAGCCTATCCCGATATTATTATCAGCATCAGCATTTAAATGTGACTGTTTGAGTTCGAATACTTACCACAACCTTCCCTCCGGACATCGACACGTACTCATCGAGCCCAGTAACCAATTTTGCAAAGTTGAAACCCCTCCTCGATGGTCCTGAGTGCGAGTGCGAATGGGACTTTGGCTTCGAATCAACTCCAAACCGCTGCCCAACACTTATCCGGAAATCAACACCCCTCTTCCTCCTAACAGCCCGATACCTCCTCCATAATTTTACCCACCAAGCCGGATAGTTCCCCAATAGCCAGCACTGCAGCACCGGCTCGATCTCCAGCACAAATTGCACTCGGCTCTCCGCCCCGGGTTTGGCAATCAGCATCGCGAATGTGAATTCCCTCGGCAAGCCGGAGTGCTGCAGCGTGTTTTCTTCCAGCGTCCAGACGATCTGGGTGGCCGGTATGCCATCCTTGCTTCGGACGGACCCTTGAATGCGCATCATCTCATAGCGATTGAAGCGCCCGTTCAATCCTGCTGCTGGGGAGAGAGATGCGAGGAGCGGGAGCTGCGAGACCCCCAACGACCCGGAAAGACTGTAGTTCCATTGCATCGTTTCGGGAATGATAGAGCCATGGAGAAAGTGTGGAGCGTGTTTGAGAAAATGCGGGTGGTTTGGTGTGCTGCGTGAGCTGGAAGTACTAACACTGCTCTTATCATTGCTAGAACCGTAGCTGAAGGTCGGGTAGTTTAAAGAAGCACGAATCGTCGCTGCCTTGAAGCGGTGGTTCCTGGTATCCGGGGAGTGGAAGGCAAAGCTCACAGCGAGGAAGTCGACACAGTCGATATCACGATCCGATACGGCGGCGGTTGCGTAGTGGCCGTGCTGGAGGCGCTGGACGTGGGCTGTGATGTAGGCGTTTCCTGGAAGACAACGCTCGTAGATGCAGGGTCTGTTGATGCTGAGACGGTGGTCTGGGATGTTGGGGTCGCACGGCTCTTGTTTTGCATTGCTTGTGCTCTGTGGGCCGTGTGCTGCAGTGGTTAGAACCGGCGCTGTGAGATGGTTTAGCACCATGGTTGCAGCTAGGTGAAGGACTGTCCATAGAGACCAGAGGTAGATTCGGGGTGTAAATATCGTGGATGAGCTAAAAGGTGAACGTCATTGTGTTAGTGCAACTCATCTGGTGAGGCTCGTCAGGTGCGCTGTCAGGTGCGAACGCAGTAGACTATAGCATGGGCCATGGGACCCATTATAGGCAGCCGACATTTCTGCCTCACTTATACTTCTTGTGACTCTTGAGGTCTCATTTGAGTTTCTTTCTTGATGTTTTTTGTATCCTTGGTACGGGTCAAAGCTTAGGGATGGCTGGTCTGTGTTGTAAATATATAGAGCTGCAGTAGCAGTAGATATCCGCATGTACCTAAAAGATCACCACCATCACCCTCGAACAAGCTCAACATGGACGCAATATATCAAGATTGCCGAGGTGGTTTCATTCTTAAACAGTCGGTTGTTCGGGAAATCAACCATTTCCAGAATTTTGTTAGCATGTCCATTGTCCAGGGTGCCAACAAAGCTTGAGCGGCGCTAGCTAAAAAACAAAGAACTAAAACAAAATCAAGATACTTGTGAATCAATTTTGGTGGTACCGCCAGGCCCGGGCCATTTACAGTTATACTCCGTACCTGCGAATAGCAACGAGCTTCTGCACATCTGCCGACTCCCGAGCGATGGAGGCTGAAGCCAGACAGGGATGATGCCTGTCACCTGACCGGATCAGCATTTGTCCGCACCGCCGAGCATAACGTAAGCTTCCAGACCATCTGCTCTGGCCGTTTTGTATAGCTTCAATTTACACTTTCACTTTCACTTTCACTTTCACTCCGTATATATCTTCGAATTCTCCCTCATCGCCCCTTCCTCATAGTGTCCAGCTTACTGCATTTCTCCTATCTGTGGACAGCTTGTCAGTTGACTTTCACAGCGTCATTGTTACGCCAATTGCAGTGCCCACGTGAGCTGTTTGCTGGCCTGCAAAGAAAAGACAGAGCTCCGTATAATTGGACCAAACACTCAAACTCGCGGAAGGTGCACATACTCGTTTTACGATTACTGGACCGGAGCTTATGAAGTCGCTTGCTTGCTCATAGCACCTCAGTACCTGGATCGAGCCAGGTTGAGGAGATTCGTTCGAGCCCATAATTGCCAGCTGAAACCACTGATCGTACAACATGGCAAACTCCTTGTGCCCCTTAGCTGTCCGTACGTCGAAGCTATGTCGGCTGTCGACGTCTCATTTGATAGGACAAAGCATCATCAAACCCGGCTGGCAAGCCCTGCATAGCAATTTCGGCCAAAGGACACATCGAGCGTCAATAATCACGTTGGCTACGGGCACTCAGAAGAGACCTGGATTAGCTCTAACCAGAGATTCTCGGCCATGGACGCTCAGATTACGACAAAGAGGCTTTGCGACAAAGTCCGACCCGGAAAAGCCAGCAGGGTCTGTTCCTTCATCTGAGCCCCGGTAGCTTGGTCCTGACTTTGTATAGGCCCAAGAAATCGCCGATTCTCTCTCGGATCCCGCTTCCCAGCACCCATGAAAACATCTACACCATCCCCAACATTCTCACTCTCTCTCGACTGGTTGCTGCACCTCTGGTCGGCTACTTTCTGGTGCATGAGCAACATGCGGCGGCGCTTGCTCTGTTTGCCTACGCAGGCATCACGGACCTTGTTGACGGGTATATCGCACGACGATATAACCTGCAGACAGTTGTTGGCACGATCATTGACCCAATGGCTGACAAGCTGCTGATGACAGTGGGTGTTGCTTGTCTTGCGGTTAACGGGTCAATACCTGGTAAGACTGTCCACCTATCTACTAGCCACAACTAACAAAGGTAGTATGGCTCGCTGTGGTTATCCTCGGTCGGGATGTCGGTCTCGCAATTTCTGCGATCTATTACCGATGGATCTCCCTCCCGCCGCCAAAGACCATGGCCCGGTACTGGGACTTCTCGCTGCCATCGGCGGAGGTGAAGCCGACCGGTATCTCAAAAGTCAACACAGCTCTGCAGCTGCTGCTTGTCGGAAGCGCGATAGCCCTTCCCGTGGTTCCAGAGGCGTTCATTGACGCTTGGCATTTGAAAGAAACAATGACTGCATTCCAGTAAGTTAACCATCTCTTAGCAATTTTTTTTGGCGCGAGCGGACTAGGAAGCCTTGGCGTACAAGAGGAGTGTTTGTGACTACATAAGCACATACGACCACAGGGTGTGGAGAACAGGGCTTCCCGTCCGCTCAGCCGTACTTAAGCCACACGCCGGCTGGTTAGTAGTATGGTGGGTGACCACATGCGAATCCCAGCTGTTGTATGTTTTTGCTTTTTGGATTCCCTTTTTTCTTCCTTTCTACGTTTGTCTCCTTCTTTTATGCTTTTATGTTCACCAAAAACTGACATGCCAGATATCTTGTCGCTGCGACCACAATCTGGTCCGGTCTTAGCTATGTCTTTTCCAAGGACGCCGTCAAGATCCTATCTAAGGAGGAAGTCCAGAAGCGCATTGCTCGGGCCGCGGGGAAGAAAAACCCATGATTCGAGCAGATTCCCTGTATATACAGTAGGGCAAAGAACAGGGGGCATTGGTTCGCTTATCGTGGTGGCTTTAAGCATGCGTTAGTTAGCACGCCAATTGATCTATCGGATTGCGACTACTTGGCGAGTACACCGAGCCAACTGCTTATCAAGAAAGACGAATGGACCGCATAGCGGTGTATTACGGAGTAGAAGCAAACTGCTCCGCAGCGTCACGAACCTATATTAGATGTTATCTAACTGATATCTCACCGACAACTTGACCACTCGGACGATAGATAAAGAGCGCATGACCCGAATTCTCTGACTCTGGGCACTCGATCCTTCTGTATATCTACTTCGAATATTGCAGTACGATTGGCTGCGTATGCGTATGTACTCTGACCTCGAGTCAAGAGACGTGGAGATAGCTCGATGTCCGAGTCCGACAGCACAAGCCAGGCTGCCAGGACAGAATAAGTGATCTGAAACAGACACCTGGGCACCTGATGGCTGATGCATAGATGCCGCAGCTGTAGCCGAGTCGAGACGCCGCATCGGGTCCACGGGTCGTCGGTGACAGTTTGGCGAACCCGCAATTGGGCTGGCCGACCGGCTAAAGGCCTGCTTGGCGTAAGCCCAGTGGACCGTGGAATTCACATTCCGCAGAAAGGCAGCGCCTGCCTGAGCGCTTAGGCAAGCACATGAATCATGACGGGATCGGCTGTGGCTCGGAGACTTTTGAATCTGATACGGATGGATTATTCACGCCTCGGAGTTGCGGGCTTACACTCGTTGTTGCTGTTTATGGTGCTTACTGGATGAGCTCTGTACTCCGAACTATCGTATATTATCAGTTTGATCAAGAATGAGTCAATGCTGCCTCTACCTGTCGTAACTCGTGGTGTCTCCAAGCTGCGGTGTATACTTCGGAGACTAGTGAGTCAGCAATGCTTAACTCCGCCTGCCAATCACTTTCCAACGTTTTCTCACTTTTCTTCTTTTTCAGAAATTTTCTTCGTCAGAACCGTCAACCGGTTCCAGGTTAATCTCTTGGAGGACCCACGATATCTTGCCGATGACCTGAAACGCCCAATGAGATGCCCGGCCATCATCATGAATCATGGGCCCTGTTCTCGACCCCCACCGGTTGTCGCCCAGGCCACTGCACCTCTCTCGTTGTTTCTTCGGGCTTCCAGGCTTCAGGCTTGCTTCAGCTGGCCCTTCGGCTAGGGTTCTCTCTGATCGACCCGATTCCCAGTCTTCCTTGACTCTGATTCAGGGTGTTCTCCTTCGGTTTCGGCCACATCCTGACAAATCCGCCGCCTGCTTACTCGCCATGCCCGGAGTTAGTAATGCTAACCCCCAGCCCTTATAACCATGACGCAGTTCTCCCTTTCTCGTCTTTTTGACTACTCTTCCTTTCCTTTCTTTCGTCGTTTTCATTTTCGAGCTCGTTGTCCTCAGGGGACGTGAAGCTGCACCCTCTCCACTCTTCTTTCCTTTTCTTTCAATTGTTTTGTTGTACATATCAACCTCGCGCTATACATAATAACTACGCCTCCGATCATAACCACTCTTTAACCACCTAATCATACATAATCCGATTGATCGAACCCAATACCTTCACCACCTAATCCACGAGCAGGTCATCATGGCCGAACACGCTCACCCAACCCAACTCCCAACTGTCGCGGGCGAAGTCCCGTCCGACACCACCATGGTCTCCGGCTCCAGCAGCGACACTGATGCCTCGTCCGCCCACCAGTGGGGAGAGCAGGGCCCCGAGCCCGTCTCCCGCCGTGGTGCCATGGAGGACTACGAGGAGATGCGCAGGGAATTGACCAGACTGAGTCTGCAGCGCACCAAGTCCACCACTAAAGACCCCCATCGCATGCGATCCCGCGCGAGCCAGCACCAGGACCCCGAGAAGGCACTGGAGGAGGAAGACCTCGAAGGGACGGATGAGGATGAGTATGGTGGCTTTGATTTGACCGACTTCCTCATGGGCGGCCACCTCGAGCGGCGTACCACCGCAGGAGACCCTGCGAAGAAGGTGGGCGTTGTCTTCAAGAACCTCACCGTCAAAGGCGTCCAGACTGGCGCTTCTTTTGTTCGAACCCTCCCGGATGCCGTTATTGGAACCTTCGGACCGGACCTCTACAATATCATTTGCCGCTATGTCCCCCAGCTGCGGTTCGGAAAGAAGCCGCCTGTGCGCGACCTGATTCACGACTTTACTGGTGCAGTCCGTGAAGGAGAGATGATGTTGGTGCTTGGTCGCCCCGGAGCCGGTTGCTCGACCTTTCTCAAGGCCATTGCCAACGACCGCGGTGCTTTTGCTTCCGTCGAAGGTGATGTCAGTTACGGTGGTCTCAGTGCTGCTGAGCAGGATAAGCACTATCGCGGCGAGGTCAACTACAACCAGGAAGACGACCAGCATTTCCCCAACCTTACCGTTTGGCAGACCCTCAAGTTCTCTCTGATCAACAAGACCAAGAAGCACGACAAGGAAAGCATCCCGGTTATCATCGATGCCTTGCTGAAAATGTTCGGTATCACCCACACGAAGAACACTCTCGTCGGTAACGAGTACGTCCGCGGTGTCTCGGGTGGTGAGAGGAAGCGTGTCAGTATCGCAGAAACCCTCGCCACGAAGTCCTCCGTTGTTTGCTGGGATAACTCAACTCGTGGTCTTGATGCCAGCACTGCCCTTGATTACGCCAAGTCTCTCCGCATCATGACCGACGTTAGCAAGCGCACTACCCTGGTCACTCTTTACCAGGCTGGTGAGAGTATCTACGAGCTGATGGACAAGGTGCTTGTCATCGACTCTGGACGCATGCTTTTCCAAGGTCCTGCCCATCACGCCCGCCAGTACTTCGTCAACATGGGGTTCTACTGCCCTGAGCAGTCGACCACGGCTGACTTCCTGACTTCCCTGTGCGACCCCAACGCTCGTCAATTCCAGGAAGGTCGCGAGGCATCTACCCCCAAGACCCCGGAGGAACTTGAGGCTGCTTTCCGCCAGAGCGAATTCTACAAGCGCATCGGAGACGAGGTCCAGGGATACGAGGCCCAGCTCCACAATACCAACCGCGCCGACACTCAACGCTTCCAGAAGACTGTTGAATCGTCCAAGAGTAAGACTGTCTCCAAGAAGTCTCCTTACACTGTTTCGATAGCCCGCCAGGTGGCTGCTTGCGTTCGCCGCGAGTTCTGGCTTCTCTGGGGTGACAAGACTTCTCTCTACACTAAGTACTTCATCATCATCTCTAATGCCTTCATTGTCTCTTCTCTGTTCTACGGTGAGCCGCTGAACACCAACGGTGCTTTCCCTCGTGGCGGTGCTATCTTCTTCTCGGTTCTCTTCCTCGGTTGGCTGCAGTTGACTGAGCTGATGCCTGCGGTTTCTGGACGTGCCATTGTTGCGCGACACAGAGATTATGCTTTCTATCGGCCGTCCGCTGTTGCTATTGCTCGTGTGGTTGTCGACTTCCCGGCTATCTTCTGCATGTGTGTCCCATTCACCATTATTGTGTACTTTCTGGCTGGTCTTGATGTCTCGGCATCCAAGTTCTGGATCTACTTCCTGTTCGTGTACACCACCACGTTCTGTATCACGTCCCTGTACCGCATGTTTGCCGCTCTGTCACCGACCATCGACGACGCCGTCCGGTTCTCTGGTATCGCCCTGAACGTTCTGATCCTGTTCGTTGGTTATGTCATCCCTAAGCAAAGCCTTATCGATGGCTCGATCTGGTTCGGATGGCTATTCTACGTCAACCCCCTGTCGTACAGTTACGAGGCCGTCTTGAGTAATGAATTCTCCGACCGCGTAATGACCTGCGATCCTTCCATGCTTGTCCCGCAAGGCCCCGGTGTCGATCCCCAATACCAAGGATGCGCTCTTACCGGATCTCAGCTCGGCTCAACCGATGTTTCAGGTCGCGATTACCTTAGCACGACGTTCCAGTTCACGCGCCACCACCTCTGGCGCAACTTTGGTGTTGTCATTGCTTTCACCGTCCTGTACCTCTTGGTCACCATCTTCGCTACCGAAATTCTTTCCTTTGTCGGCGGCGGCGACGGTGCGCTGGTTTTCAAGCGCTCCAAGAAGGCCAAGCAAATCAAGGCCGCTACGGAAAAGCCCAACGATGAGGAAAATGGTCAGGCCGGTGCTGTGACGCAGTCTGGAGGCGCCAACGAAGCGACCTTCAACAAGCTCTCGTCTAGCGAGCGCATCTTCACCTGGAACAACGTCGAGTTTACCGTTCCCTATGGAAACGGAACCCGGAAGCTGCTCAACGGTGTTAGCGGATACGCGAAGCCTGGTCTCATGATTGCGCTGATGGGTGCCTCTGGAGCTGGAAAGACAACTCTTCTGAACACACTGGCTCAGCGCCAGACAACTGGTGTGATTGGTGGAGACATGTTCGTGGACGGTCGTCCTCTTGGTACTGACTTCCAGCGTGGAACTGGTTTCTGTGAACAGATGGACTTGCACGACATGACTGCTACTATCCGTGAGGCTCTTGAATTCTCTGCTCTGCTCCGTCAGGACAGGAACATTCCCCGCGAGGAGAAGCTTGCCTACGTCAAGCAGATTATTGACCTTCTGGAGCTTGAGGAGATTGAGGACGCCATGATTGGCTCGCTCAATGTCGAGCAGAAGAAGCGTGTCACCATTGGTGTCGAGTTGGCCGCGAAGCCCAGTCTTTTGCTCTTCCTTGATGAACCTACCAGTGGTTTGGACAGTCAAGCCGCCTTTTCGATTGTTCGCTTCCTCAAGAAACTCTCTCAGGCCGGCCAAGCCATCGTCTGCACCATCCATCAGCCCTCCTCTATGCTCATCCAGCAATTCGACATGGTTCTTGCCCTCAACCCCGGCGGTAACACTTTCTACTTCGGTCCTATCGGCAAGGATGGCAAGGATGTTATCAAGTACTTCGCCGACCGCGGCGCCGTCTGCCCACCAGCCAAGAACGTCGCCGAATTCATTCTTGAAACTGCCGCAAAGCCCATCAAGCGCGAGGGTAAGACGGTCGACTGGAACGAAGAATGGCGCAACTCCGAGCAGAACCAGGAGGTTAAGAACGAAATTGAACGCATCTACCAGATTCGTCGCGACGCCACCGCCAACGACGACCAGACCGCCCAGTACGAATTCGCCGCTCCAACCCTAACCCAGTGCTACCTCCTTACCCGCCGTGTCTTTACCCAGTACTGGCGTGACCCGTCCTACTACTATGGCAAGCTCTTCACAGCCGTCATCATCGGTATCTTCAACGGCTTCACCTTCTACATGCTCGACAACTCCATCGCCTCCATGCAAAGCCGCATGTTCTCACTCTTCCTGATCATCCTCCTCCCCCCAATCTATCTGAACTCCACCCTTCCCAAATTCTACATGAACCGCGCCCTCTGGGAAGCCCGCGAGTACCCCTCCCGCATTTACGGCTGGGTCGCGTTCTGCACGGCCAACGTCATTGCTGAGATTCCCATGGCCATCATCTCCGCAACAGTCTACTTCCTCCTCTGGTACTTCGCCGTGGGCTTCCCCGTCACCGCTTCCGCGTCCGGCTACGTTTTCCTCATGACAATGCTCTTCTACCTCTTCATGGCATCGTGGGGTCAATGGATCTGCGCATTCGCGCCATCCTTCACGGTCATCTCGAACGTCCTCCCCTTCTTCTTCGTCATGACCTCCCTCTTCAACGGTGTCGTCCGCCCATACTCCGACTACCCCGTTTTCTGGAAGTATTGGATGTACTACGTCAACCCAGTCACCTGGTGGATCCGCGGCGCCATCTCCGCCGTCTTCCCCAGCGTGCAGATCTCCTGTGCGACCGCCGAAGCAACACACTTCAATCCTCCTCCTGGATCAACCTGCTCCGACTACGCGTCTAACTTTGTCAACAATATCGCCGGTGTCGGGTACCTTGTGAACCCTGGTGACACGAGCGACTGCCAGTACTGCCCGTACGCGGATGGAACGGAGTACATGAGTACCCTGAACGTGCAGACCGACGACAAGTGGCACTCTTTCGGAATCTTCCTGGCTTTCGTCATTATCAACTGGGCGCTCGTGTACTTCTTTATCTACACAGTCCGTGTTAGGAAGTGGTCGTTTGGAATGGGCCACTTGTTTGGTGGTGTTGGAGCTGTGCTCGGAGGTGTGAAGAAGTTGTTCTCAAAGAAGAAGAACTGAGTGGTCTAAAAGAGAGAGTGTGTGTTGCTGAGCAATATGTTGATTGATATGGTTTGATTTGAGTTGATATACCAAGATATAGATAGCGTTTTTTTTTTTTTGGTGGTGCTGCAAAAGTTGCAATTGCATTGGAGGCGTACTTGAGTTGGTTCTACAATCTATATAGACACGATAAGACAGTTAATAATATAAAAGTACATTATTCATTTCATTGTATTTCGGAGTTGTCCATTTTCATTGATGATGAGATATGCATAGACGGAGCATTGACAAGTAATAGTTAACTTTGCAAGACACGCGATAGATACTGAAGGAAGTTGAAGCGATACATGTCACCTGGTATACCTTTTGCTTCCTTGCACCAAAAGTATGCTTATACACATCAAGCACTGTTCAGCCTTGCTATGCCATCCCAGGACCGGAAGAAGATTCTCACAGAGTAGAGTGCTCCCGCTCATGCTTCGAAGCCTTCAAATGGTCCGATAGACACCTAGAGCACCAAAACCCCTCGTTGCACACGCGCCACGTCCGCACCAAATCCCTCAAGCTCCGTGCATGGCCAGCATCGCGCACGTGGCGCATAAGCTCATCATGGCAGTCAAAATATTTCATGGCATACGCGGCTCCGAACGGAATCGTGGCCTGTACTCAGGGTACTATGGTCCACATAGCAATTAAAACAGGCAAATCTCTCGCCGCATGGGCATGTTAGGAGCTCGTTCTTCCGGGTCCGTGATGGTGCCAATGGTCTCTTGTCAGACTGAGCATGAGAAGTGCGCTCGGCCTCTTCTTTCCGCCTTGTCGTCGCTATACGTGTTTTTTCTGGCTTTGGTTGATACTGCGGCAGCCTTACTGATGGAGCAGAGTCCGTTGTTGCAGGCAGATTGACAGCGTAGCTAGTATATGGGGTCCATTGGGTTCGCTCGTTGTGTGCTGGTGTGGCAGAGGGCCGCAGAGGAGAACAGTGCGGACTTGAGCATCACTAGGGTATGAAGGTCCCAGAGACAACGACCCTGGATACGCTGCCTTTGCCTCATCCTTGACTTTTTGGTCTCGTTCGTATTTCTTGGTGAGAATACTATTGACCTCTTCTTCTGTGTAGCCAAAGTCGTGCACTAAGCGATCTCTGGTCTCTTTGTTACGCCTCTGCTGCTCGGCGATACTGATCCTTTCCCTATTGAAGAACTCGTTGGGCTTTAACGCTGTATAGCCAAACTCATGCGCCAAGCTCTCGTCAAGCCCCCTCTCATCTTCGGTGTTTCTGACCTTGGTTCCTTCTAGATCGGCCTCATTTCTAGAGCCCCATGAGCCATTACTCGCGCTTACTTGGCCTGCTGCAAACGATGAAGATGTGATTGCACGTGGAGCAAGTTTTACGGTCTGCTCAGGCTGTCGTGGTGGCGTGCCGCGACTGTCGCGTTTGGATGTTTCTCTTCGCTGCTGGTACCGGCTTGAATCTCCTGCCAACGACCCTGCCCGAGTGTTTCTGAGAAATGACTTTGGCGATGATATAGACGAAGCTGATGATATAGAAGTATGGCGCGGACTCCATGAGCCGAGTCCTGGTTCGGTACCTGAGTTTCCGCGGGACGCTGTCAACGCCCAGGCATTAGAGTCGACCTGGTCCCAGGCAGTGGTCCCCATCGTTGACTCTGCAACCGATCTATATCATATCAGGACTGCTGGCTTCTCTTGCGCTTGGTGTCCATGACTTACCCCTGATCCCCAATCGTGGACTGCATGGAGAGCCAGGCATGAGCCAAGAGTCATGGATTGTGAAGCGTGATTGCGCCTCCGGGGCCATTGCTCCCAGCACAAGATCTGTACAGTACCGGCTCGAGTTATCCAAAGGCCCAGTAATGAGTTCCGTCTTATAGTGATCGAGGTAATCGATCAATCGTCGGTTATTGGGAAATGGAGGAAGGCGGTTCGCAGGCCGAAAACAACTGCCCCAAGTGCCCGAATGTCGACCGCTGCTGTATACTCGGTCATCGACTCTTCGATGAGCTCCGGGGCCATGTATCCCCGCGTGCCAATTGATTGTGTCGCACCGCCCCATCAACGCTTTTTGCCAGGCCAAGGTCGGCAAGCTTGACACGCCACCCGGGCCCTGGCTCGGCCACGAGGATGTTCTTGTGGTCTGTCAGCCTTATTTAGTGGACCCAGGGCGGATTATACCTGCGGCTTCAGGTCCCTATGTACAAAATTCTTCTCATGCATATACCGTAGGGCTTGGGCAACTTGCTTCGCAATGGAGGCTGCCTCTGGCTCGGGGAAAGATCGAAAATTGACATATTGCTGGAGGTCGCCGAAGTGCAAGTAGTCCATTGCTATGTAGAGATAATGCTCGTCATTGAACCAGCCGAGACATTGCACGAAGTGATCTCGATACTTTTCTGCATCAGCTTGACAAGGAAGGACTGCTGGGGCAATTGTCGCTTACCTCGGTGACGTGGGGGTTCGAAAAGGCGACCAGGGCTTCGAGTTCCCGCTTGGACATTATCGAATAACCAGCCTGGACCATACGAGTCTGCTTGACAGCCCAGAAGGCAATTTGGCTGGAACCTGACACGCAGTGCTCCTGCCAGACATCGCCATACGGTATGATCCGCTTCCCAGGCGCTTGAGGGACCGCCAACACTCCAGGCCATACGGGGTCCGATGGAATCGGTCGCCATTTTGTCGAGTCGAGTCTCCAATTTCCAGTTAGCCAGCGAGGTGCTAAAGAACTCCTCCATTGTGATGATTTGTGATGACAAAGGTTATCGCGGCTGAGCACCGAATGATATATTTCTCCTCAGCCTTTAGCGTCGCGCAGGTAGCCGAACCAATCGAGACGCCGCCAAGCCAAAGGAGAGAACTGGGCGCAGTCTCTAGGCTTATTCTTCAAATTCTTGCAAAGCCTCAAAAGGTGATTGAAGAGAATTGCCATCATGGACGTTGGCTCGATCGTTGGCCTTGTGCCCGTCTGCTATGAGTCTGTATCTTCCCTCCCGGGCGTTGGGTGGAGGTCTCTACTAAAGCATGAAACAGAATAGGCGCCAAGGTAATCGAGATGTGCGAGTCGTGGAAAGAGGCCCACCATTAGGTCCAACAGCGCGTTGTGATTATCGACGCCTGCTGGGACCGTACCAAGCGCCAGGTCGACTTCATGGTGCGTATCGCCCCCATCATGGACCACGACCTGAGCCGCGTCATGAACAATCTGCTGGCGGAGCTGAACCGCACGCTCTCCAAGGCGATCGACACAATTGAAACAGTAGTGGGAAAAGAGCCACATGGTCGAACTAGCCTTTTGGGATTTGGGTTCAGGGCCAAAAAAGCCGCCTGGGTATGGAAGAAGGACGCCGTGGATGCCATCATTGTGGATCTGGAGCACTGGCAGCGTCGCTTCGACCCTTCGTGGTTCCTGCTGATGAAGATCTCCAGTCCTGTTATTGACAGTGAGCTCGCCAAAGCAAGAGCCGCCGAGAGGCAAGCGCGTGGACAGGCGACTGTGGCCAACAACCCGTTGGCAGTTGCCGTCGGTCTTCGCAATGTCCTGCCACCCAATCTCGAACAGGCAAAGTCCCCCATTCTTCCATATGCACCGATGGAATGGCTCGACATCTGTTTCTCGGACGTAAAGGCCGGAAGAAGGGTGTCTGGGGACAGCAGATGGTACATCATCGACACCATCGAGGTCGGTCCGTTAGCTAGGGTTAGAGATATCTCGCGCGATGTTCGCTTGCTGGCAGCAAAGCTATCGCAAACCGACCCCCTGGCCTTTGGATTGCTCAATTGCAAAGGAGTTATTGGGATTCCGCGTCAGGAACCCGCATACCCAGAACCAGGCACCAGCCCAGGACCGGCCTCGCCCGAGCATCTCGGTCTTCCCAGCCCATCACCCCGTTCTCGCTCACGGTCTCCGGGTTCACGCGACTTCTCGCATTTTCAGCTCGTATTCAGGATTCCAGAGGGCATGGAAGTGTTGCAGTCTCTTCGCCAGCTCCTCTTGAACCCTGATGAGCACATCTCCCTAACCCAGAAGATACGAATCGCGCGCGAGCTCGCCAAAGCCGTCAATTATGTGCATACATTCGCCTTTGTGCATAAGAATATTAGGCCAGAGTCGGTACTGTGCTTTGAGGACCCCAATGGCTCGCGCAGCAACGTCTTCCTTGTCGGATTCGATGCCTTTCGGGCTGCGGGGGCCGGGACTATCATGGCAGGCGACATGAGCTGGGACAGGAACGTCTATCGCCACCCGTTGCGTCAAGGCGATGACCCAGCCGATAGGTACCGAATGCAGCACGACATTTACAGTCTCGGCGTCTGCCTGCTCGAAGTTGGAATCTGGCAGAGCTTTGTCGAGTACACTGGCGGGGATGAAGTGCCCCCAAGCGGCAGTCCCCAGCCCCAGTTTGGCCAGTCCTACTATCGCTTCCAGGACTGGCTGCGTGAGAAAAAGCGCAAGGCCAATCCCAGCGAGGAACCAACGAGCTTTTTGGACTCTTTGGCCTTCAAGCTGAAGGACTACCTTGTTGAGCTGGCGCGCACCAGACTGCCGTCTCGGATGGGCGAGCAGTACACGCGCGTCGTGGTATCTTGCCTGACTTGCTTGGATGATGAGAATGAGGACTTTGCGGGTGTGGACGACACCGTAAGCGACGATTTGGTTGCCGTGCACTTCATAGAGACGGTCATGAAGCTTTTGGACGGGATATCTGTGTAGATACCTGACGCATACATACACAAAAACGCGGGGGTGGGAAGGCAGGTGCTCTGCAAGTCATGTTCCGATACATACCACCCTTTTCCCCACTGCAGGCACGCAAGGGACCTGCCTCATAGGTAAATACTCCACAAGCTGGAAATCAGAAATCGAAATCAAGATCATGGCAGGAATCGCCACTGCACGAGTCAGACGCCAGCCACGCGAGCGCGCGCCGACTCACCCGACGCCCGAGTCAGTTTGTTCTTGGTTGGCCGCCCCCTTGCTTGCAGGAGCATGTCCGATGACATCATGACTCCGATGGGTATGTAGTCTAGGTACCGTGGGTTATATAGTAGTTAGTGCACTAAGTTTACCTTGTCGCTAGCCTTCAGTGTGGCTGAAGAGATAGAACCAATAACAGGCAGCATGCAATGGATGGTTTACTATAGATGACCTATGAGGATTGATCTATCGTGGTCTTACCCCAGAGTAGACTCGTCCACGAGACTGTGCTCCGTATAGCCTCCACAATACTACAGGGTCCCAACGGCGACTTACTTTGCCCCTTGCATGGCCTCGTCGGCCTGTGAGTCTGACTAACGTAAACCGCCAGTTGGCTTCAGCTGACGTGCATGGCATGCTTAACCAAACCTAACTCTGGAGAAACTCTAGCAGTGTATGGATGAACTAAGATTCAGTCTGACGTTGGCAACTAGGGTACTCGTCGAGCTCAGACTCTGGTTCCTGGGATAACATGATCGTAAGGATGTGCTGCATCAGCTATAAAGTAATCAGATAACCGCCCTAACCGACCCATTGCTCGTAAACGCGTCAAAAGCCTGCAAACGAAAGACATATGCCCAGAACCCCTCCCCATGACAGGCAAGAAACAAAATGGCTCAGAACAATCAGTTTTGGTGCGCGTCGTGACATCGTAGAAGTAGAAAACCACATTATACCGCCGACATCTTTCTAGGAGCTGACCATCCGGGTATTCGTTCATAGCGATATGCAGAGTCTATGCCCAATCTGCCGCCCTTATAAAAAGACAATAGTGAAATCACGGGAAAATGAGAAAGAAAGAGTAAGGAGGGGTGCATCCGTGAAAAGCAACTGGGGAAATCAACGAAAAACCGGGGGTATGCAAATTAAGAGTATTACATCGGTGGGGGGGCAGCAGCCGCCCATGTCGTGACAGGGTAGTTGGCGTGCGTTGCTGCAGGCACTGGCGCACTGAGATAGTACTGAGGTCGCTCGCCTGCAGAATAGAATTGCGCCGGAATATGGTGCGAATCCCGACGGGGTATACTGGCGTCGAAGCTCATTCCACGATGTTCCAGAGGTGAATGATTTGCGCTATCCAGTTGGCTTGCCAGACTGAAGCTACTTGCTCGCGAATACGCTGGAGTTGACGGGTCCATCGGAGACGTCCCGTCGGTTGCGCCGCTTCTGGAGGAAATCGAAGAATTTCGGTAGGCAGTCTGGCTCTGATCTGACTGAGACCGCGCCCTTTCGTTCAAAGAGTTCCCAAGAGATGGAATGCCTTGCATTGAGGAAGGAAGCCCAGCGTGACCGAGCGGATCAAATCCGGCACTGTACGAGCCCTGGGCGCGGTACTGGATGTAATCCTCCTGTTTCTGAGGCTGCGACATATGCGTAGGCGCTGTCGGTGTGGGAAGGTAAGCCTGCTGGGTAGGACTTGGGCCGCCGAGCGCAAAATGAGCAACGGGACTGGGCTGCGAAGGATGCGTAACCGGTGCGTACTGATGCGGCTGCATATAGAAATCCTGGTTGGAAGCCTGCACTGGGTAGGATGCGGCCGGCATCATCGCAGTCTGCGAGCGATAAGGATACCACGGATGGGATGGGTCATTTGTAACCTCCAATCCAACATGTTCCAGTTCATCGATTGGTGCTCGGAAGCTTTGCTTCTGCGTCAGTTCTAGACGGGGTCGGACGTATCTGAGCGAATCGGTTGCTGATGGCGGCGCCAACGCTCCTCGCACCACGTCGTCCACGCTGTAGTAAGAAACGAGGTGATGCGTCACGCCGGAAACAGTCACGCTCATCGTCTTCTTGACCAGGCCCAGTTCCTTGAAGCCGTAGGAATCCACCAACGAGCCGACCAACGCTCTTTCGATTTCCGACTGATGCGTCCTCTCTGCTCCATAGCTACTTGCGGTCGGTGACGGAGAGTAGCTGCCGCCGTTGCTATCCTGTCGTGCGTACGGTTCTCCGGGTCTACCAGTCGGGACCGGGCGCCGGGTTGTCTTCTTCATCGCCCGCTTCTTTTCACCCGGAGGGAACGGTTTCTCCAGTTCGCGGTAGACCAGAAAATTGCCCAGGATGCGACTGGGGCTCCACGTCACACCATCGGTCCATCGCTTGATCCCAGACGAGTTCTCCTCGTAGATGAATACGGCCCCGCTGCGAACCAGATGGCTTCGTTCCCGATCGTGAGGGCGACGAGGCACATGGTGCAGCACTCCGGTCAAACACGCCTCGAAGAGAATCAGTGCATCGTGAGTTGTCGCGACATAGCCTTGGAAGGTCGGCTCCAAGACGGTCGAAGTGCCATTGACCATCGTTCCTGGGTATTATTCCTCCTCGCGTATTATTCCGTGGCTGGCTCTGCTCTGTAGGTTCGAACCTAGTTGAAGGGTAGGGACAGAGGTAAATCGATGATTGAGTTAAAGCCCACACGAAATCTAAGATCAGAGTTCAGAGTTTCGAGTGTCGTGGCGATCAAGGAGGGAGAACAGAGAAGGAGATATCAGAGCTGGCTGGTAGTAGGGAAAGAGCGAATGTGGAGAGGCTCTCCGGCAGTTGGAACGACCCTAGGAGCTCAAACAGCTTCCTTTCCCGATGAGTGTGGGGGGGATTGAGAGCGAGAGAGCGAGGACGCAAGGGAACAAGTAAATAGAGGAAGAGTTGGCGGGGAGGGAGGCAAAATAATAAGCTCTCTGAGGTTGACGAAGAGGGGGGAGGGATTAACCTCCGGGAGAAGGAAGTTGAAGTCAAGGCAGGGCAAAGTAACAAGAGTGACAGGTCCAAGAAGTTCACAAGTCCAGCCGGCGTACCGGCGACGAACAGGGTGGTGGCCCAGTGTTTAAAGCTCCCCCTCAACCACAAGCCAGAGTTGTAGCCAGAGTCAGATCGACACAAGCACGGACGCTGCGAGCCTGCGATGAATCTGGCCCCGGTGGCTGATGGAGCTCAGGCTTTTGGTTCCACGGGACCTGATCGGGATTGCAGACTGCTGGCCAGCGATGAGGCCGCTGTTGGCTGTCAACGAAGTTAACCTTTTTGAGATTCTGGAGTGACTGGTTTAAGGATTGGACTGGAAGTGCTGGAGGGCGAAGAATGACGCTGTTGTTTCGGAGCTGAGGGCCGATGAGACAGGACTGACTGAGAACACGAAAGGAAGGAAGGAATACTGTCAGGAAAACATGATGGACTCAAGACTCCAGAGGGATCGCTGATGATCTGAAAAACAAAGGCAGTGAGGGATACTTTATTCTTTCTATAAGATCCATCCTAGTCTTATACGATCGAGATTGGCCAACTGCATGGCTCCCAGCTAGGTAAGAGAATAAATCATCCATATTTCGTTTCTTTTCTTTTTTTTTTTCTTTTCTTTTCTTTTTCTGCTCTACTCCGTACAGGTCTGAGAGGCTGCGATGGCTAGCTACAGTGCGGGTGAGAGGCTGCGAGGCTGCGAGGCAGCGATGGGCGGCGGGGCGACCCAGAGTCGGTGACCAACAGCAGGCAGCGCGCCCGCACTAGCGATCCCAAGGAGCAGGAGCACCGACTGCCAGTGGAGCACCACCATTTCGGTTCCAGCTCTTGTCTGGAGAGATTCATATGATGATATGACACTCCGCCAGCCATTAATAATTCCTTATATATAATAGTGCCACCCGTTGACCAGAGAACTAAGACCGAATAGGCCGAAACCGCCCCTCTGGAAATGAGTGCAGATTACGCTGAATCATCAGGGGTCAAGCTTGACGGGCCTGGACATGGGGGAGCAAGACCCCGTCTTGGTGCTGGGAGCTTCACCCCGGCTCGTATCCCCTCCGTATCATTGCCCTTCATCTCACACTAATACATTATCGGGATCTTCCAGCTAAATCGCCAGATAGATTGCCCACTCCAGCAACGCGGCCCTGGCAAGATTTGGGGGCTACTAGTCGTAGCGGTCATCGTCCCCAATTCTACCATGGGTTAATCGCTAAGCTGTCCAGGGGTGGAGCTGGTCAACTGCCCGCGCCGACTGTGGTTGGGAAGAGGGGGAAGCGGATCTCGCCCAGGGAAGCCATCCCTTCCTTACAGATGGCTTTTCCAAGATCTTACATCAAGCTCTCATCATGTCGCTGCCCTTCCGCTGCCTCTACGCTTTCAACTGCTGCCGGCCCGTCGCCGGAAATGTTTTCCTTTGTTCTTCGCATTTCATTCTCAACCGGACGCCTTCAATGAAGGGTTGAGTGCGAGTGCGACTGCGACTGCGAGTCCAAGGTCCAGGACTCCAGGTGGATCGACCGCCTGCGACTGCCAATGAAGCGGTCGTCCCTGGCGGAGTCTGGAGAGGGCACGATGATGTGCACTGCCCATCGCATCGACTCTCTGCTCTGCCATCTGGGCTGCGCTAGCTCTCTTAGTGCGCTTAGGAGCGGAGCCTGGGTAGACTGTGCGCGTTAGTCTGCGACACGCTGACAACGACCCTAGTCCAGCCTCGGTCGTCTGAATATATGCCTCATTTACAAGCTCCTGTCCCCATCGTCTCAATTATCGAGTATCGACCTTATCGCCTGGCGCGAGACATTCGGCTCTTGCACCGATAGGATCGTCTCGAGGTCCCTGGTCACCCGGATGATGCACCTTGCTCTACTCCGTGTTCTCCAGCAGACGCAGCATGATATCAGCTCCTCGTAAACTGCCATTCCATGAGTCTTGTGATGGGGACTGCCGGGTAATCCAAGCGTTCAGATCTCGGCGAAGAGTGGGCTGTGGGTTCTGGTTGTCATTTGGGGGTCTGAATTCTGGAGAAACTAGGACTATTTGTTTCGCAACCCCTCCACATCAAATAGAAATTCAAGGCGGCTTGTCTTCTTACATCAAAGCTCAATCCGAGACCAATTCGTGGCGTCCCAAACTGGTAAATACCGCCCGAGCTCTGCGGATGCCTGGTAGGAGATTCGTGTCTACTCCGTGGATACGTACACTATGGCTGATACCGGCGAAAGTTCAAAGCACCGTTTTTCCCGCATGAGCAGATCCCATGATTGTGGCTTTTCCGGGCGTCTCCGTCAGCTTCCAGAAGACTGGCCATGGATGACACCGCAACTGTGACGAGAGGACAGGATGTGACTGCCAGCCTGCGACCAGGTGCCCAACCAACCCGGATGGACTTAGCAAGGGGACTGTGCGCACCTCTGGAACTAGCCTCAGCAGCAGCCTGCAATTTTCGATCCAAACGATCCTCTAGCCTTCTCATTTTCTTTTTTCGGGAGGTCGGCTTTCTGATGATCTGCGCCGCTTCCAAGTTCCAGTCAGATGCATGCTGATCACTATTGGATAATCCAGGACAGTTGAGACAAAGATGCTCTTGATCTCTGAAATAACAGTAATTATAATAATATGCCTCCGTCGGACGAAGTCAGATCCGACAGGCCGTCGATACAGGCGGAGGGTGGTAGACTGGGAGTCCCTGGGATCCGCCGTGTCAATCACCTTTCCTTGCCGAGTCCATGCGGGGTGAGATTCGAGCAAGAGGAGACTTGATATTTCTTCGTCTTACAGTTTTTATCTCCCCACAAAGAAGATATCAAGTGATTTTTAGGTTCGAGAAAGGTTCCACACAAACAATGGAGAGCGGCCAGGGGTCTGGAGAATTAGAGTTGCCCGAGTGCGAATCCTCGGTACATCAGGATTCAGGGCCCATTTCTTGAGCTTATATTGGACCGTCACAAAACCTTCGCGGGAGATCTCCCTATCAGATCCAACAATTAATCAAGGGGTCCGAGTAAAGGGTGACATGTATGATGTATCAAAAGGCCAGCTAGACGCCATGCGGTTGACAGGGTGTCTCCGCTGTCCGGGGCTTTGGGACGCCAGAATCTAGACTAACAGTCTCGGATATCTCGGGTTTCGAGGATACATAACAGCAATGGCGGACGATAGATTGATTCCCGACAACGCGGGTGCGCCGGTGACAATCATGGTTGGCGTGTGCTTGTCGAAACTCAATCCGGCTATGCAGTAGTGGAAGTTGGAGAACGCCTTTGTCCGGGGAAATGGGTCCGTCATCCAGGGTCTGCCAGCTAAGCGCTTAGGTAGTTTGGCTGCATCTGCACAGCCCTTTGAATAATGCGGACCAAGCATCTGCATCAGCGGAGCCCTGACAAACATACGAGTTCTTTCGCGAGCGCTGGAGCACCTTGTCAAGTTGCATGGAATTGGCAAGAGTTTACTCGCCGCTTAACAACTGGACTGCAGCGAGCCCTGTCGTGCTATGCCGTACCAGTATTATTGCATGCAGCTGCAACAACAGCATTGGAGACGTATTCTGACCCGCATACCCTGTCAGTCAAGTGAGGAGAAGCATGAACCGCTGGGGAACCAGTGCTTCTATCTTGACGTCGGTTCTCGAGCTTGCTACGCAATCATGCCGCGCTTGGGTTTTCTGGTGGCTGATGATGGCCACGAGGATCTAGTCCACGTGCAATAAGATAGTATGTATCTTCATATGGTCTACAGATGAAAGCTCGTAGAAAGACAATGGGTTCGGTCAGCCAGCTCATTATCGGAGGACGTAATATTTGAGCAACAATATGGCCACACCATCTCTTCGTCAAAGAGCGTTTATGATTGGTCTTCATGCCGGCGGGCATTCGTATCCAGATTGACGTTGATGTGAATGTGAACAAGAACCGGTGGTTTGCTCTGCCGAAGTAGAGTGGTGACGCCACAGATGGTGGTAAACCGCCCACCTGGGCCGGGTTAAGAGCCAAGCAGGTGCAATCAGCCGTCTCCCTTAGTCGACCGAGATCCAGACACTGTGGCCGATTATTGATTTCCTTTGACGGCGTTAGGGGGGAGGATCTAGTAATTTGGGCGGGCTGAGGGAGCGCTCGAGCACAACTCCTAGTCTCCCACCACTATAAGGAAGAGAAGCGTGAGAAGGAAATGTGGCGCTGGTTTGGGACTGTTCCAGTGTCAGAGCTGACCGGGATTCAAGCCGGGACGGTGACAGGAACAGGTGGTTATGTTTCGCTAGGTAACGAATCACGATAGAACAATCTGAACAAAAGGGCGACGTAAAAGCCGAAGGGGCCAGAACTGGTCGATGGGGATTATGGAGATCGAGCGCGGGACGATTCAAACTGGAGCCTGGAGCGGACACGAGTTCACTGGAAGCCGATCGGTGCATTGGTCCAAAAGGAAGACGGCGATGGATCTCGATTCTCGATTCTGATTCTCGATTCTGATTCTCGATGAGAGCTGAGAGTGATGACCCGTCAACGCAGGGCCGTGGCGGCAGTGGCACAAATGCAGGCGGCTGGTTTGAGTAAGAGGAACGGAATTCTTGGGCGTGGCCACGTATTGCTGCCACCAGAGACACCCAAGTTCTTGCTGTCTCTCCATCCGCCGACCGTCTCAAGTTCAGGCCTCGTGCGAAGTCCAGACTGATTGGACAGCTGCAATTAATTCCCAGTGCAGCAATCTCCCATTGGACTGGCCTGGACGCACCTGAATTGGAATTGGCGACTTGGCAAGGTGTTTCTTCGTGATAGGTTTCCAAACTCCAGGCCTGCATGAGACTAAAAGGTCCTCCACACGCTCGTATTCTGACGATGATCCGGGCTGTTTGAACTTGATCTGCGCCTTGCCCAGCTATCTACGGGAACAAGTCCGGGCAGGCTGAAAGTCGGAAGTCCAACTCCAGCGATGAGAGTGAGACCATCGCGCGGTGGCATGTCCGCGGAGAGAGCGGACGAACAGGTCCAGCAAGGCAACCAGCCCGAGAGCCCCCACAGCTCCCTGTCAAAACTTCAAAAGGACCTGCCTTTCTTTGCTTTTTCCCGCCTTCCAAGTTCCAGGTCGCCGCGGATCTAGTCTGGTTAGTCTAGTCCAGTCTACAATCTACATACTGCCGGCCCTGCTGTCCCACGTTGACGGTGGACTTTCATGTGAAGATTGCTAAGAGTCCCAGAATACTCCGACGCGGCCGAATTCGTTGAGGACAGGTTAAACTACGTCGATCCAGATTGCGCGATCTCTGCCAAAGTCTCTACCAAAGTCAATTAGATTAACTGCGTCTCTTCAGGCCCCAGGGCAGCTTCTCAACAATGGGCCATGTGCCAGACTATTGGCCGCTAAACCGGCACGGTGCTTGGCTGCCAGTACGGACCGCAGAGTACCATACGGTCTCCTCCGGTGAGTCGTGGCCATGATTCGGTCATAGTGCAGCTCTGATCTGCTAACCATCATCTGTGCGTCTTAGCCCACCGCGCCTATCGAATAGGCTAGGGCTGATATATTATCCAAGGTTGGCATCACCGTTACTCGCAACGGAGGGCTCCGAAAACCGCCAATGAGGCCACCAACTCTCTATTCAGAATGATCGAGTAGGAGGTTTGCGTCCATGTGATAAGCCTTCCCACTAGATCTCCTCGATACACCACTCTGCACTATGTCGTCGTTTGTGCAACCGGCCCGTCAAAGATAACCTTGCATGCGCGTTGACTGGATCTATACATCGACAACGCAGTCGCAGTTCAGGTCCTATTGACCGTCTGTCCTGTCAATGGAACAGAACCTGGCTCTGAGCCTCCTACGTACTCCTAGGTACCTGCATACCGTTACCTCCAAGGGGCCAGAGTACCGTGATCAAAACGCACTGCAACCAACCACCACATGACAACCACGCGCCCAAGTCCAACCCATCCAAAGCGTCCCGCCAACGCCTCTCGCACAACCTTAACGGTTCCTACCTAGCCCAAGTTGCCCAAAGCCCTCCCCCTAACCCAATTCAGCCATTCCCCCGGCTCCGGGGGTCTGCATCGTGCTCCCAAACTGTACTTTTGTTTTGCGGCTTGCAGCTGTTGCTCCTCGACTGTTCAAAATGACGTAGGTTGTAGCACGCACGCATCTCAGCCTACCCAATGGCTGTATCCCGTGATGAACTTCCGTTGGCGTGGACGGTGCTCTTAACGACTGTGTAACTGATATTCCCGGTTTTCTGATTGCGTCAGGGGAAGCGGGGCGATGGATGGTCATGGACGATGGTGGCGCGCAAGGGGAAACCGCGTAAGAGGCTGGTTAGGATGAATGTCACTGTTGAAGAGTGCGGAGGTAGAGCGTAGGTACATTGGAAGTATACATCGGGGAACACGTTGTACAGGCGAGGTAGCTACCTGGCAGCGAGCGTCGGCGTTGGATGGATGAACGGGAGTGCCTGGCAGCCCAGTTGGCAATTGCTGTTGTGTGATGCTAGTATTGATGTGATAGGAAGTTAATGTACATAATATAGGTAGAACATGAATATGATGCATGTGTTGAAATATGACAAAGAATATATAGCCCTATGTAACTCCACTGCCACCTGCGCCTTGTCGCTGAATGAAACCGAGATCAAATTTAGGTGATGGTTAATGAGTATCCGTATATCGTACACTCCTCCTTTCCGTCGTCTATACTAACTGAAAGGCCATCTCTCAAGTGGAGATGTCATCAGGCGTCTTCTCTAACTCAGCAGTGTCGATCTCTCCCTCGACCTCGGGCGCAACTTGCTTCTTCATCTTCCGCCTCAGGTGTAGAAGGAGGTGCATAGTCCCGGCGGGAGTGACGCCCTCAATGCGCTTCGCTTGCCCAAAGTTCGCGGGCCGGACGCGCTCCAGCGCTTGCCGCTCCTCCGTGCTAATCCCATGTATGGCGGTGTAATCCAGGTCCAACGGAATGCGGAAATGCTCGTACTTCTGGGATCTTAGGGCAGAGTGGTCCTGTCTGGCCACGTAGGGCGCGTACTGGGCCTCGACGACGACGCGGTCGCGGATTTCCGGCGCGAACGAGGATGCCGTGTAGACCGTGCCTGTGGAGGACTCAATGTGGGGAATCAGGTCGTCGAGCTTGATAGAGGGGAAGGAAAGGAGCTCGTGCGCGGATCGGAAGGTGCCGTCGAGACGGACCTTTAGACCCTTACGCGACCAGGCAGTGGCGGAGAGCTTGGTGTTGAGGAGGAGGCTTTGCAGTTCTTTGATCTGGGCTTCTGTGTCGCTGAAGTGGGACCAGCGCTTCTTGCCTACGATGCCGGCGCAGTGAGCGAGGCGGGTGAGGCGGAGATCTGCGTTGTCGGCTCGTGCTGAGAGGCGGAACTCGCTGCGTGCGGTGAACATGCGGTATGGTTCTGAGACGCCCTTGGTGATGAGGTCGTCGATCATGATTCCGATGTAGCCGTCGGAACGGGTGAGGGTGATAGGATCTCGGCCCTGTGCTGAGAGGCCGGCATTGGCACCGGCGATAATTCCTTGTCCGGCGGCTTCTTCGTAGCCTGTAGTGCCGTTGATCTGTCCGGCTAGATAGAGACCGCTGATCAATTTTGTCTCAAGCGTTGGCCACAGGTTGCGCGGGTCAATGTAGTCGTACTCCACACCGTAGCCGGGCTGGAGCATCTTCACGTTCTCGAGTCCGCGGATCGTCCTCAATAGTTCGAACTGGGCGTCCTCGGGGATGGTCATTGAGATCCCGTTGGGGTAAATGACCTCGTTCGGGGCAAAGCCTTCCGGTTCCAGCCAAATCAGGTGCTGTGTCTTTTCCTTGAAACGGATAACCTTGGACTCCAGCGAAGGACAGTATCTTGGACCTTTTACGGTCTCACGAATATGCACGGATTTATCCAAGTTAGCGCGAACAACGTCGTGAGAGGCATTGTTGGTATATGTCAAGTAGCTGTTAAGCTGGTCTTCCTCGTTCACTTGTACCCGTTTGTCGAGGTACGAAAACGGCATAGGCGGCGAATCACCCTTCTGTACGTCCAACACCGAAAAGTCGATCGTCTTCTTATCCAACCGAGGCGGCGTTCCGGTCTTCAATCGGCCCAGCTGGAAACCCGCTTCGCGGAGCGACTTGCTCAGCCCAAACGTAGCGGCCTCGCCGATTCGCCCGGAGGGATAGGCCTTGAGTCCTATATGAATTTCACCTCCCAAAAATGTTCCTGTAGTAATCACGACACGACCGGTCGGTATCACTTCGCCTGTCTCCAATCGAACTCCAACGATCTTGCCCGCCGGCGCAGCAGGTCCAGTCCCAACGTCCTCCTTCGAAATCACAATATCCGCAACCTTTCCCTCCACGACGCTCAGGTTTTCTGTCGAGAGCAGTTCTTCACGCATGTAGTTTTTGTATAGTTCTCGGTCGATCTGGGCGCGAGGACCCCAGACTGCCGGACCTTTGGACCGGTTGAGGACCATAAACATAACTCCCGCTTTGTCGACGATCCGACCCGCGACTCCGTCCATCGCATCTATCTCCTTGATCATGGTGCCCTTCCCAATTCCTCCAAAACTCGGATTACACGAACACACTCCGATGTTCGAGAGCGAGGGTGTGATCAATGCGGTGCGGGCGCCTGAGCGAGCCGCTGCAGCACAGGCCTCAGCTCCGGCATGACCGCCTCCGATAACAACGACATCATAGGGTCTGCAACACTAGAGATCAGCAAGTTGTTGATTGATTAAAGCCGATAATTATCTCATACCGCGCAGAGTCAGAAACCGAAGCCAATCCGCGAAAACCGCCTATCGTTCGGGACCGAGCGCTAGTTCGCCATCGGAGCAGCGCCCCTGATCGTGTCCTGAATGCCATGATGACACGAATTCGATGGTAAGCAATTGCTCTGCTGAAGATCAAAATCTCCTTAGCGTTATCAACTTATCGCCGAAAAGTGGCTGACTTATCGTATCACGTGCGCTTACACTAATGCGGTGACAGGCTTAAGCCTTGATGACTAACCTTACCCAGTGGATCTGCGGCCGAGCTTATGGCTCCGCTCAGCTCATACGGAGTACTTGGCATCCATTCTTCAGCCTCCATGAACGTCGGAACAGGGAATTTTGTCGACAGCATTGACTGGGAAAGGCGTATTAAAACTTTATGGATGACTCTTTGTAATCGGGGCTCCTAGCTGAGCGCAGCTAATCCATTGAGCATGGTTAGGTACGAAGTAGAACGGTCATTGAATACTGTGCCATCATGGGCCAATTAGCAGGCAGTATTTTCTCACCCCGCCGTCCCTCATTTATAAGCTGATGCCAATCTGCGATTCCTCTCAACAACGCGATTGCGAATCTCCAAATTCCTGTTGAACACTCTTGATACTCAATCCCTAGTCACGATGAAGGCCTACTGGTACGACAACAAGCCGGTACGTTCACATGCTTCGCCCGCTTATACATTCCTACCTCGGAAAATAGCCGGAACTAAAAATGGATGATGTATAGGGCGACCAGCGCGAACCACACGACTCAGGGCGCCCCGTCTCAGAAGACTACCTCGCTTCCCTCGGCGTCATTTACCACCACTTCCCCGAGCTGTCTGATGTCGATGCGCTGGCCAAGGAGCGTGGCTACAGGAACCGCGATGAGATCACCGTCGCCCCCGCTACTATGGGCGAGGCCTACGAGTCCAAGGTGAAGATGTTCTTCGCCGAGCACCTGCATGAAGACGAGGAGATTCGGTACATTCGTGACGGAGAAGGATACTTTGATGTACGCGGCAAGGAGGACGAGTGGGTGCGCATTCGATTGGCCAAGGATGACTTGATTATCCTCCCTGCGGGCATCTATCACCGGTTTACGACTGATGATAAGAATGTAAGTTCTGTCTGACCTTGCGGGCAATACTTGGCTTCGTTGGTGCTGACGTTTACTGTGCAGTACGTCAAGGCGATGCGCCTCTTCCAGGAGGAGCCTAAGTGGACGCCGTTGAACCGCGGTCCGGAGCTTGATGAGAACCAGCACCGCAAGTCTTACCTAGACGGTCTTTCTGCTTCTACGATTGCCGCGAACTAGGTGCTGGTCCGTTCAGGGGCTGGGCCGGCTAGTGTCTAGATTTCCTGGCACCTTCTGGCATTCGCAGTTGATGAGCTTGTACATAACGACATGGTAACGAATTCGAGTCTATCCTTCGATAATTTCGCTTTGAACTTTCTATCCGGTGGCATATGGTACATGTAAATCGTAACTCAATTAGCGCCTGGGGCATCAGGCATAGAACCAGGCATGTGAAAATCGTCGCCTAGGCTCCGCTCGCGCGTCAAGCTAGGACTACGAGCGCCACCAGTCTCAACCTGGTAACTGCTTGTTCGGGATACAGCATCGAACGGCAAAGGCGGCCGTGAACCTAACCCCCGAAACCGGAGTGCTTCTGGCCCATGGTTACCGTCGTCGTTTCGAAGAGAATTGGGACCGCCTAGATCGTCAGACATGACTGATCGCGAGGCCGCGTTAGAGCCAGTTTCAGACTCGTCACCTGTTCGCACACCTGTCCTGCCCATGCGGGGCCACAGGTCCGGTAGCCCTACCACTTGTACACGCGGCTCGACGACTCTTTCTTCGAACCATGCGTGAACGCGTGCTTCTACCAGTTGCGCAATCTTGGGTACATCCTGGAGTCTACTCCGCGAGCCAATCAGCGATCGGACTGACAGGTCAAGACGGTAGTCAGGTAAGAACGAGAACGCGATATTGCTCTTGGGTGACGACTTCAGCGGAATATCACCACCATCTGTCGGCTGTGCTCCCGCTGTTTGTGTTCCTGCTGTTGGCGGTGACGGCATAGGTGATGGAGTATGAAGCGGTGGGGTGGAAGCGGGGACAAGCGATATGCAAAGGGTCCCTGAGAACCGCACAACAGATATGGACAGGGCAACAGGTAGAATTGCGGAGCATGGTTTCGGGTAGTTGAGGACTAGTGAGGTTTCCACTGCGATAGAGAGGTTGTCGTCACTCATGTCAACATCTAGCAAGGCCTGAAGTCTGCCGCCGTCGGACATAGGGTCATCGACGGCAATGATACGGCAGTTGCTGAAAATCGGAAATTCCTCACCGAGTGATATGTCTGTGACTGCGATCTTATCGATGAAGGACGGTTTCTTCTCCGGGTTATTCAGCGCTGCCGTCAAAGAATGGAGGATGGAGGATGTGGGCGAGTCTTTCAAGAGATATGCTGTCTGCCTATACTGCGCAATTGTCTGCGCGATCAAGACATTGAACCAGTCAAGCGACTCGGGTTGATGTGAAGAATGATGGATGCGGTGTTTCGACGACGGGTTGGGAGGGATTGCGCTGTAGTAGGTTTTCCGCAGGATTGACCGCGTATTCGTCGCGGACGACGGGACAGGCCGAAGGACATTGGATGTAGAGGGCTTTTCTCTTAGTGATCTGGGAGGTGGTGCATCCTGGGAGAAAATTGAATTGGAGCGTCGATGGGTAGAAGCTCGAAGGCCGCGGGACGGCGGTGGTGGTGCTTCGCCGAAAATAAAGAACTTGATGAAGGCACCGATGAGCAGTACGACAGAAAGCTGGCCCAGGAGAAACCCTTGTGTAAAGGATAGACTGCGGTATGAGGTCAGCAAGCTATCCCAATGGCGACGCGAGGTGCACGAACGAGGACTGAGCCGGTACAGGCGTAGTTTCAACTAGATTTCGTCATGGTCAGCGAGGGGCCAAGCGGAGTTTGATGATGAGGTCGAGGGTAGCTACCTTGCTGGAAAGCCATTGTCAGCCGCTATAGGAGGTCACCGTCTGCCCATAGCTCGCCCCAGCACAGTGAGCGAGTCCAGAGGAGCGCAGAAGATGGAAAAAGCTGTGGGAGAGCAGTTGCGTTTGATTTGCGATGACGCCAAGTCGGAGGTGAGAGCGGAGGGTCCCCTCGGCAAGCTAGATGACGATCCAAAGAGCAGCCTCCAAGTGTCTTAACTCGACCTGTACTCGTTCCTGGAATCATCTTATTATGGTTACGGCCGGTGCCTAGCTCACGGTCAGGCAACAGCTTACATCCAACAGAACCACAATCTCTTACCTTATCACAGCCTCAACATCTACGCCAGCTCAGCGCCATACTGTATAAACCACAGCCATGCGACCAACAACACTCCTGCAGCTCTTGCTGCCTTTTCTCAATCTACCCACCACATCTCTCTCCGCAGGAAACTCCCAGCAAAGACCACCTGGCAAAAATGCTATCCTCCTCTCCAACGTCCACTCCCTCACACTGCGTGGTGGCAGACTTACCAGCTCCCGGCGCGTATCGCCCATTCCGCAACTGAAATGCGTCGGCCCTTCCAAGCGTATATGCAACATGTACGAGATAGACTCGATGCGATGCAGAAACGAAGGCTACGGATATGACGAAGAGGACGTCCAGTGGACCTGCACCGCATCTCTCCCCGGCGAGTTCAAGCTTGGTTCTACAGACGTCATCTGCGAGGGCTATCGGGATGCCGATGACCCCTATGTATTGAAGGGAAGTTGTGGTGTGGAATACCGACTACTTCTGACCGAACTTGGGGAAAAGAAATTTGGGCAGTCCTTTGATGAGGATGAATGGCGGCGAAGCAAGAAGTCAGGGAGACAACACACTGATTCAGAACCGAGCTTGACTGGACTCGGGAACGTTATCTTCTGGGGAATTTTTCTCGGTGTTTTCCTGTTCATCGCCTGGGGGCTCATAGGGCAGTGTCTCGGTTGGAGGAGAGATCAGCCGCAAACCGGTCGTCGTTGGGGATGGGGTGGTGGTGGTGGTGGCGGCGACGGTGGTGACTATCCAGGGGGACCTCCTCCGCCGTACAGCAGCAGTCCTTACTTTAGCTCTAGTAGGTCTGGGCAGGGCTGGAGACCAGGCTTCTGGACGGGAGCTATGACCGGTACTGGAGTTGGGTATGGGCTTGGAAGGCGAGGCAACCGCTACGACTCGCCTTATCCCCGAGGGCGCAGATATGGATCTGATGAAGGGAGCTCGTCGTCTCCGTCTTCTTCCCGTTTCTCGACACCAACAACGAGTACAGGGTTCGGCTCTACAAGTCGCAGGTGATGGTCTGCTTCGCGATTACGGTTTGTTCTTGCACATTTGGATCATGTATTCAATACGCAACATGGCTAGTCCCCTCGCTGAAAAGATAATTGAAATGGAATCCATGTGTCGCCAGTTGACTGTTTGTAAGTTGAACTCATTGATCCAACAAGGCTTAAAGACCACACACAACAGCATAAATTTCATGGTTGCTGCACTGTCAACATTGAAATAAACACCATGAACACCTAACCCTAACCGTTTATAGCCGCCCTGGAACTCCAATCATTACCCATAAGAAATTAATCATCTATGGAACCTAAGATTTCCTCAGTTCCGCCTCCAAGGTCTCGCGCACTCTGTTTCTTATTGTTGCGCTTCTTAGTGGCTGCTTTATCAGGGCCATCGTTATTACCTGCCACACCATCTGGGTTACGAAGCAATTCCTCCTGGGCCTTCTTATCCTTTTCGTACTGTTCTTCGATACGCTGCTTCTCCTCATCCAACTCTTGCTGAATTATTCGAGGATCGTCGTACACTGTATCGGTCATCTCGGAATACGTCTTGATGTCAATAGACTCCCGGGGCCCAAGAAGCGTCTCTTTGATCCTTTGAGGATCACGTCGCTCTTCATTATTGAACTTCAACTTGATTTGACGCCTAGATCGCCCAGGAAACATCTTGCTAATCACCATGAAATCGGTTCCGAACATGCGCAGGCCGCGATAGAATAGTTCTGTCATGTCCTCGTCCCAGGATTCGGTCTTCGAGCGCTTTCCATAAGTTGCCTGATTGATCTTCCGGGTGAGTGAGTTTTCAACGACATCTTCCAAGTCATCTCCGTTTTTCTCTGCGTCTGCATGGCGATCGACCTGCAAGGAGGCGGCATCGAGCACAATCTCCCCATTTACGATGCGCATGACTGGACCGGCCTGTGAGCCTTTATTGGGCGTGTTCTCAGTGGGATCTTCCTTGGGAGCAGCGTCAGCCGAAGGTTGCTTTGCTGGTGTCTCATCTTTCTGTCCTTCTTCTTGTTGAGCCCTCTTCCGCTCGGCCTCCGCGGACTCGTGGGCGCGGAGCTCCATTTCACGCTTGGATCGCTTTCCGGTGCGCGTATCTTTGCACAGATCTGACATCTTGACGACCGACGGTGCAATCTCAATCAGTTCGGCCCCTTCGGGAGTGGGCTCGCGCGTGCGCGTCCGCCGCTTGCGTTCCTTCTTAACTTTCCCTGCATCATTACTTGTAGACCGGCTCGTCCGTCGACCACCTTTTTTAGCCGTGCTTGCACTCCGCCGAGCTGTGCTGGGCACTATAGGTTCATCATGCCTTTCCGCGTGTTCTTCAAGAGCAGGCGTCTGCGTAGCCGGGGATGTGACAAGTTGAGCGGATTGTTCGGGCGCCTGATCTACCGTCGTGGTTGGGACAGTCTCGATCGTTGTCCTTAGGCGCTTTGCTGGTCGGAATTCAGGTGCGATTTCTTGGACATTGGCCGCGACAGGAGAAGGCGCAGATTCTTCCTGGTTCTGGAAGACATCTGGGCTTGGTTTAGCCACCTCTCGAGCTTCATCGCGGTTGTTTAATGTCGGTGCTACGGGCTCAGCGGCCGCTGTATTGGTCGCTGTAGTGGTAGCTGAAACAGGAGATTGTGGGACAGTCGAAACATTCTTCGTTGGCCGAGAGATAGGCACGGGAATCGGAATAGGGACAGAAGCTTTGCGCTTGGGCACAGGAATTGGGATGGATGTTGCAGGTTGTTCCTTAGGCACATGTTCGACAGTTGGAACGATGAGCGGCGCAGCAACAGATGAGGGTCCGGCGACTGTTGGCTCAGATGGGGCAGGCGGCTCGACCGATGTAGTAGAAGGAGGAGCAGGTTCCGGGGTTGCTGTCTGGCTTGCAGCTGCTGGCGGGTGGGAAGCCGAAGCCTGAGAAGCGATACTAGGCCGCCTTGAAGGTGCTCGGGGAGGGGCTGGAGCGGCGCGTCGGGCGGGCGCCTTGGGAGCAAACTTCTTGCCCGACTTATCTGGCAAAAGTTAGCGCTATCGGGAGAAAACGCATGCATAGAACGTACTGATGACGGAGCTCGAGAACGACTTCATTCTCAACGGGGAATCATCGCAAGGGCCGATCGCGGTCGCCGATGTCAGTCGTTTGGCCCTCTGACTCTGACCTGCAGAACTTAATGAACTTCCGGGGAAAGTGGGCGGCTGTCACGTGGGAGGCTAACCTGAAGGGCCTTGGAAAATCCTCCTGCTTTCCTGGCTTGCTTATCTCAACCACTACGTTCCAACTTGTCCTCCCTCACTTCTCACTCGGACGAAATCCTTCCCACGGTCGGATCCTGCTGCAGTCTCTGTTACCGGCCAGTTGCTGCTCAGTGGTCACGGCTTCGCCCCTCCATATGACTTCAGTAGCCACTGATGCCGGCCGCCGAAGCATCCCCCGTCGCACCTCCCGAGTCCGGTTCTGTCAAGATGGAAGACCGGAAGAGAGCTGCCACACATGATAATGACTCGGCTCCCCCCTTGAAGAAACAGGCCACTTCGGTCAATGGTGGCAGTAAGCCCCATCCCGATGCTGATATGCCCTGGAAAGATGATCTCGAGGTAAGTCACTGACCCTCGATTCGATGTGGGGTGAAGTCTCGCAGGGGTCGCACGAAAATTGATCGTTGGGCAGTCCACTGACTGAAGGCTTTCCCCCCATTCAACAGCGATTTCAAAAGGACGCCATCTGGCGTCAAATGCAGGAGTACAAACGTGATAAGGTATCCCTGGAAGCGAAATTAAAGGAGTCGTCGAAGGCCACCGCCTACCACGGCGACCATCTTCGTATAATCGATGCATGGTATACTCAAGTAAGTAACGCCACAGGATGCAAGCATCGATATTTGACATATCCAACTAACTACGTCGCAGCTGATTGACGAGGTCAAGCTCCTTCTTGGTAGCGCTGATGAAAGTAGCAAGGGTAGGTTCAATGTTGCACTGCCTCTTCTACTCTCTAAATTTACAGTCCCATTAACGATCAGACAGATCGCTCGTCATTCCAGAGCGCGCTGCAGTTTGAAGACGTGGATAATTTTGAACAGCATCTGAAGTCCCGTTCTGATGACATACGTGACATTATCTCCCGCCTTGTCGCCAAGTCTCCGACAAGTCCTCCCGAGGTGTCGAATCTGCAGTCTCAACTTGCGAGGAAACTAGCCGAAGAGAAAGCAACCCTCGCGGAACTCAATAAAGCGCTATCCGAAAAGCAGCAGTTGGAAGAAAGTCTGGAGGAAGCTTCGCTACGGTACATGGTTGCCGAAAAGAAACTTGATCGCGCAAGGAGCTTGACTGTTGCCAAATTAGAAAAACAGTATATATTAGGCGCTCAGCGACCGGGTGGTGATAGTGCATCTGGTAATCGTGAAGAGCCACCAGCGACGAATGGCGCCACGCCTACGAGTGAACGGACACCAGACTCCGATGAGACTTACAGCAAATTGGCAGCCGTTTCCGAGAAGCAGAAAGAGCAAATCCAGAAATTGGAAGCTGAGAACGCCAATCTACTCAGTCAGATCACGGAGATCAGTATCAAGGTGGAAACCCTGATCCCATGTTTACCAGGTGTGATGCTGATAAATGCGTTTTAGAAAACGAAACTCACCGACGATGACTATGCACATACAGATTTGTTCAAACAGTTGAGATCTCAATACGAGGACGTGGTCAAGCGGATAAACAATTTAGAGGCAATTAACGTACAGCTTCGTGAGGAGGCAGCGAAATTACGGTCCGAACGGACGGCATACCGCAATCAAGTCGACGAAGAGACACAAATCGTTGTGGCTGAGAAGGAGGCACAATTGGTGAAAACCGAAAACGATCTGGCACGGATACGTAACACACGCGATGAGCTTTTGGCCGATCAGCAGATGCGGAAGTCCGCACAGGAGCAAGAGAGAACCGCGACACTCAAGATCCAAGAGCTTGCGGACGCTGGAAAAGCTCAAATCGACGCGTTAGAATCGGAAGTTGAACGGTTACGGATAGAACTTGGGCGAGAGAAAAGCGGGCAACCGGATATCAATGACATTGCAGCTGAGGAGCTGCGTACAAAGTACAACAATTTGGAACGCCAATATACGATGCTCAATACGGAATTAGCGTCTATGCAAACTGCCTGCAAGAAGTATTCCTCATTGGCATCTCAGAAAGTTGCCGAATTCAGCGCCATGGAAGAGAAGATGTCACGCCTCGCGGCGGAAAAATCCAAGGCAGACCAGAAATATTTCAGCGCGATGAAGAGCAAGGAGGCTAGAGACATGGAAGTTCGAACGCTGCGAATGCAAAATTCGAAGAGCTCTGATATCGTTTCTCAGCTAAAGGAATCAGAAGCGACAACCCGGTCTTTACTTGCCAACATGGAAAAGCAGGTCAGCGAGACCAAGGAAGCATTAAACAGCATAGTGAATAAATACCACGCGTCGCAGCAACAGGTTACGGAAAACAACATCATAATGGAAGGATTGCGAGGACAGATTACCGAGCTTAAGGCACTGTCCGTTTCCAAGGATTCAACTCTGGCGTCGACGTCGAGCGCTTGTCGTCGAGCTGAAACGGAGGTCGAGGGACTCAAGGCATCACTTGCAGATACGAAAAAGAGTCTGGACAACTGGAAGAATAAGAGCCTTGGGAATTCTTCCTCGGAGTATGAGATGCTCAGATCACTCGCTATCTGCACAGTCTGCCGCAAAAACTTCAAGAACACAGCGATCAAAACATGCGGGCACGTCTTCTGCAAAGAATGCGTGGAAGAGCGCCTCACGTCTCGTTCTCGGAAATGCCCGAATTGCAACCGATCCTTTGGCAATAATGACTATATGCATGTCACGCTGTGACCCCCTTGACTCGTGCTCTTGGTCATTTTTGCACACCACCTTCATGTACCATAGTTTCTTCCGCTTCTCTTTGCACGTTTCCCTATACTTGATTTTATTACTATTTGCGTTTACCTTGATTTCCTATCTACGGAAAAGGCTCACGGTGCGGTGTTTTGTCTACGGTTTAGCAGGATAGGTACTAGGGGGCTGGCGTTCTCACACTTATGTTTATTATTGGACTTCCTGGTTTCAGGGGTTCTGCTTTCCGAGATTTCTTTTTTTTCCCTTTTGATTTCCGTTTCTTGGATACCTACGGTGTTCCGGGTATCTAAAACCTTCACAAGGGTTGTGTCGGTTGTAGGACTAGCGAGGAGCCTTTGCATGGGGTTATCAGGGTGACGATGGCGCAGGAATTATGGAAACTTGTCTTTTTATACCACTCGTGATTGCAGCACAAACATTTCAACGCTCTAAAATACTATGAATTAAATATTCTGCTATAGAGAAGCTCATGGCGTCCAACCCAAAGATCTAGCGGGGGCACTACCTGGCCTGCGTCTTCCACAGAAGTGTGCCAATCCCGGTCTATGCGTTCAGTGATCATGTCCTGCAGGTCTTTGCTAGCCAGCACACTCTGTGCCTGATATGGCCCCATCACCGAAGCCCGAACAGCAGCGCTGAGCACAGCTTTGGCATGGTTTATCATGAACACATAAGCTGTCTGTCGAGCGTCCAAGCCCATAGCCAAGCAGACAGCGCCCCACAACGGCGCAAAGTGGCCCTTGGCCCCTAATACATCATCCATCGAGCATTTCAAGGCCTCCGAGAAGTCCGCAACCGCCTTGATGCCACTCTGCTCCCGGGGATCCGTGACTACATAATCGCCGCTACGGGGCGCATATGTGCTCCGGAAGGCGCGTTCCCATACACCCAGCAACGCCCGCCCCTGTGCGATACTCGCGCGCTGCGCAACGGGGCAGGGTGTTGATGCGTCGAGGTCGTTGTCCAGTGTTTCGAGATCGGTTGGGTCACGATAGGCGGCTAGCACATAGGGCAGTGAGAGACTACCCATTGATGCTAGGGAAAGCCGTAGGAAGCGGTGGAATGAAGCGACTGGTGTTGTTGTGAGGGGGAGGGGCTTGTTGTGCGCTACGTAGGATTCTAGCCCGCTGGAGTAGGCGAAGGAGCCCAGGGGGAGGGCGGAGTCTGATAGGAGGAGAAGGGCATGACTTGTTGTTATGAAGGGAATATCTGGAGTATGAAGAGAGTCAGTTCAGATGTGTCTGCTCCAATCCATGGAGAAGAGCGGCATACCGCTTGGTAGAGGGGGCTCCGGCTCGGAATGCGGGGTAGAGACCTGGCCTAGACGGGCCTTTGCATTCTGTAAGCGCACTTCGAGATCCAGGACCTCCTTTTGCAAGCTGTAAGTTTCGTGGTCGGCGGTCATTGCTGCATCAGATAATAGGAATAGAGAACATTGCGACGGGAAAGGGTTCCTGCAACATTTTCCTGAGATTCGGCCATTTTTAGTCTCAGAGATAAGGAACTGATAGTTCTCGGACTAAAACCGGCCAGATCTAGGCCACAGGCGGTGTCACGCGGCAGAATCCGGAGTGTCAAAAAGAACTCCGAAGATGACGGAGGCAATACTCATAACAACTCCGGCAGACTTTGACGATCATGCGAGTACAGTGATTAGGGCTTTTCCAGTTCTGGATTTTTTTCCCTGGCATTATTGAGTTGAGACGTCATGTCAGGCAAACGTCTGCTTGACGCTATCCAGTTCCTGAACGTCGCCAAGTCGGTCGCGACGAAGCACCTTGCAGTGCGGCAGCGGCAGCTTGATGTGTTTACTAGGACGTCATCTCTCACGAAGGGGATCAAGAGCCAGACAGATGGCTTGATCCTCACAGCAAAAGCCGCTGCGGCGCTTGCTAAGCGCTTTAACGATACTCCCCCGCCCCAATCGCCCGCGACTTCCGCCTCCCCTTCCGAGTCCACCTCTGCAGCGCAGAAAGGCCATACCCAATCAAGTATACCCTCATCAGTTACGGGTGCAAGTGAGGATACTGGAAAGAGCAATTTGGATGTCAGTCTGCAACAGGAGGAATTCTATCGGCCTTCACAGGAGCCGGCTGCCGAGCCGGTGGGCACTCCTCAGGTGAAGGTACCGCAAGAGACAAGTGATACGCAGGTTGGGCTAGACAAGGATATCAATGCGGACGTCTATCAGTCATCTACGGGCCCTTCAAATGATAAAGATGATAGTGAATATAATAGGGCAAATCGACTGAATGTGAGTGCGCAGCAAGAGGAGTCGTACCGGCCTGCGCCGGACCCTGCTGCAGGGCGTGCCAGGGCACCCGGGGCTCAGTTACCGCAAGCTACAAGCTCGAAGCAGGTCGGAATGAATCAGAATATTAATGCGGATGTTTACCAATCACCCGTGGATATCGGGGCCCAGTCGCAAGAGCAGGATCTTCCGGATGAATTGATGAAGGACCTATTCCGCAGCCCGAAAGTCGTCAGGTCGATCTCTCGGAAAGCCGCGGCGGATTGGAGGTTTGGTTCTCGGGACGCAAGAGAGAATACCGCCAGTCGTCATGAAAAACAAGTCCCTACCAGCGTTGAGTCTTCTGCACAGGTAGAAGCGGAAGTCATTGCAGAGCTCAAGAAAGAAGAAGACACTTATAAAATGGTCGAATCACGAGTTCCATCTTCTCGCCTAGGGCGCCTCTGGCAGTATGGCGGTCTAGCGACTTCAATGGCCTTTGGTGCCGTTGGTGAAAGCTTTCGCAGGGTTACGGGGAGCGCCGACGATGCTGCTGGGTCACTCATGTTTAGTGCTGGTAACATGGAGCGTCTTGTGGCTAAGCTCTCCAAAATGCGTGGTGCTGCTCTGAAGCTGGGTCAAATGATCAGCTTCCAGGACTCGAAGATGCTTCCAGACTCGATTCAACAGGTTCTTCAAAGAGTTCAAGATCGCGCAGATTACATGCCCGCGTATCAACGGGACAAGGTCCTAACAGACAACCTGGGGCCAAACTGGCGTGACCTCTTCTCATCCTTCGAAGAGGTCCCAATGGCAGCCGCCTCTATCGGTCAAGTCCACGGTGCTGTTCTCAAAAGCACAGGACAGCCAGTTGCCGTAAAGATCCAATACCCCGGCGTCGCAGACTCCATCGACTCGGACCTCAACAACCTCTCCATCCTCCTCACAGCGTCGCGCATCCTCCCCCGCGGCCTCTACCTCGACAAAACCATCGCCAACGCCCGAACAGAGCTGACCTGGGAATGCGACTACGCCCGAGAAGCCGAATGCGGCAACCATTTCCGCGAGCTCCTCAAGGATGACCCTGTCTTCCACGTCCCACAAATCATCCCCGAAGCCTCCGGCAAAAACGTCCTCACTATGGAGCGCCTCAACGGCATCGCCGTGACCAAGATCCAAACCTTCACCCAAGCCCAGCGCGACTGGATCGGAACCCAGATCCTGCGCCTCTGCCTCCGCGAAATCACAGAGTTCAAGTACATGCAGACAGATCCCAACTGGACCAACTTCCTCTACAACGCTTCGACCAACCGCCTTGAACTCCTTGACTTTGGCGCCTCACGCGCTTACCCGGACGCCTTCATTGATAAATACATCCAGACTCTCCGCGCCGCGTCCCGCGGAGACAGGGAGACATGCCACACCCTCTCCATCGAGCTAGGCTACCTAACAGGCCATGAATCCCGCGCTATGATCGACGCCCATGTTTCCTCCATTCTCACCCTCGCCGAACCATTCATGGACTCCTCGCCCGACGTCTATGACTTCCGCGACCAGACCATCACAGAGCGCGTCCGCGATCTGATCCCTGTTATGATTCGCGAGAGACTGGCGCCGCCGCCGGAGGAGACGTATAGTTTGCATCGCAAGCTGAGTGGTGCGTTCTTGCTCTGTGCGCGGTTGGGCAGCCAGGTGCGTTGCAAGGAGTTGTTCAGCGATGCGATGGAGAAGGTTAATGCCCAGCGATAGTTACTGGCGCTGACTGGATATTTGTATAATATATTGACGTCTTGTATATTAGATGTACTAGTGCTGTAATGACATGTTGGATATGACTAATTTCTCATTCGAGGCATATTTCGAGCTTATGCCCGGTTCAATTCATATTTCCATAAACGACAAATAGGCAGACAAGCTAAAGGCTCACGCCCGCATGAGCCCATGTATCCCGCCTGGTAATCTTGAGTAAATTATATAGACGGGGTATCAACATGATTAACAGATATCGCACAGGCTCCTTTGTCTCTCAATCTATCATCTTCCACTGTTTACGACTCAAATCACGCCTTGATTATCCGCAAAGACCGTATTCCAGTAAGTCCTGACTCCGCTACAAATTCCCTTCTTTTCACTCCAAGAGCGGAATTTACCCTCCAGCTCACAAGCGGTCCACAGTATTTCGCTCCAATAGCGCTTCTCGACATCCGCGCCAAAGTTCTCAATGACGTTTTGTGGAATCGTCCAGGCACGCGTGTAAGTCCCGTCGTCTGCGAAGGCCGGATTGACCTCGTGCGGTTCGAAGACGGTCGCCGGGTCGAATTTGGGGAAGTTGGCGTGGATGAAGAATGGACGCGGTGTTTCGCTCCCCGAGCTCTTTGGGCCTGCAAGGTTTGGTGGCAGGTTTTGCTCCTTGTCCTTGTGGAGCGCGTAGTCTTCAGCAGGGTCGAATTGGACCATTGCGGAGCCAGCGAGTCCGCCTGCGGTACTGTGGCCCATTGCTACGATGTCCTCGGTGACTTGATAGTATGGTTCGTTCACGGCTAGGGCGGCTGCGACGAAGGTTTCCTTGTCGCCTTCCCCAGCTGCGCCTTGGGAGAGTAAAGGATAGTAATAGTTGGGGCCCCAGAGATTATAGTAGGTGCTGAGGAGGAGAGTTTTGGCGTGAGTCCTTTTGGATATCAGGATCTCGCCCGACTCGGTGGATTGGCGAGGGCGGGTGCCTGGTTCGGGTGGCGGCTGAGATGCGATTTCGTAGTAGTATGAGGAAACGGTGGAAGCCCAGAAATCAGGCCATGTCACCATGCCCCTGGACTTAAACGGCTCATTTGTGAATAGAGACTCTGGCTGGAGGAGCGGGAACGCGTCGGCGTCTAGGAATAGGATCTCCTCAAAGGAGGAAAAGAGCATGGCGAATAGCTTGAACTGGTACTTTTCAATCTCCATGACCTTGGGGGCGGCATCGAATATATGGGATAGTACCACGCATTGCGCGTTCAGAGAAGGGAACACCACGTCGCAGATTAATGGTTCGTATTCCTCGTCGTTGGCCAAGAATACTTCGACAGGGAGCTCTGATCCCGTACGTCTGAGCATCCGTAGTGAGATAGCTAGTACAGGAAGATGGGAACCACCAGCTGTAGAGATGATTCCTCTGGTATCAGGAACATAGTGTAGGCGAACCGCGTTCATTCTCACGGCATCAAGGAACTTTGTATGAGCATTCTTCATTTCTTCCACTTCCTCCGGCAGCATGTCCAGCATCTCCGGTCGGGTGTCTGGGTCGGATTCCTCGACCCTAATTGACGGTGCATTTCCCAACCTCACGGGTGGATTGCAATTCGGCATTGATGTGAGCAAGACTGGTTGGAGTTGGCTCCAGACCTGAATATGACCCGCCAATGCTTGCTTCTGGGCCAGGTCATTGGTGCTGGCAAAAGGGGTTCTCGACAGGCCGGAAGAGGAGCTTGGATAGCGCGAGTATGACCAGACAGAGGATAAGGTAAGGACAATTGCCAGCAGAAGGATGCGCACCCGAGTCAGGGGCCGCAGCAGAGTCATGGTGCTTGCCTGGGTTTTCTGTCCAGGTGAAGCTCACCTGTGGCCTATCAGCAGGTTTGACAATCTGGTCGCACTTGATCGGCGTCAATTGTGACACGGCCGCTCATTTATGGACACTCGAACTTTGGAGCTTTTGCTTCTTGAAATCGGACATGAAGAGAGATGCGAGAATCATCGAGGCCACGAGGAGATGCTAATAGGAGGCAGCCGTGATGAGTGACTGGAAGGAAGCAGTTGCAAGCCTGCACCCCACACGGTTAGCGAAGTCGACACTCCTGAGGCAGATTAGTATGGAAAAGTGCCTGACACCGAATGTTGATGTTGAGATACCATCTTAGGGAAAGGTATAACAGATAAAAAAGTTTGAAGTTGTTGTTTATCGTTGCTCTTGATCTTACGTCATCACTGTCTGGATCTATGGTACCCAGAGTGCGCATCTAGATCTCATCGTTCTTGGTCCAGGAAATTGGTGGTTTCAATAAGCATATATGGGGGTAGTATAGTGTCCAAGGTTTAAACGTCATTGACATTGTACAGCCCGGTCATGGCCAGAAACCCTTTATAGTTCGGAATCTTGACTTTCTTCTTCCAAAATTGTTTCTGACACCAAACCGCGCTTCCTCATATGACCCGAGTCGAGCCCCAAGCTCCAGCTGGTCCACAAGTCATTGCTTATGCCAGAGCTTATGCCAGAGTCACTCGAGTCCTCCGGGTGCGCATATTGGCCCTCATCGATCGCACGACGTTCTTGTTTAAGCTTGAGGCCAACAGAGGTCGACAGATTCGAGAAGCAGTTCAATAGTACATCAATCGCCAGCGTCGTGATAAAATACAAGAGCAAGGCGGCGCTAGCTCCTGCCAGAGAAGCCACGCCGAGGTAGATTATCAGCGCCTGGTGCAGTCAGAAAACAAGTGTGTCCGAGAATTGTATAGAGAGTTTCTCGTACTTTGAGGCTTAGCAGAATCCGTATTGGGAGGAGAATCAACCAAAGGACCAAGAGCCCCAGGTAGATGAAAGGAGCGGTCAAGAGGCTCAGAATGAGATATGCGCTGAATGCTACATAGTAAACAGGATGAAGGACAAAAATGAAGAAAGGCGCTGTGAGTATGGAGAGAAATCCCATCGGTGAATGCTTCAATCGTGCAGTGTCACAACCAAGAGATCAAACTCACAGGCTCTTGGGTTGACTCTTGACAATAATGATGACAATGCAGTCGCTCAGTCGCCCCGTGGATGCCCATTTGGGAAGGAGGTATGGCGGTGTACTGCGGCAGAATAACTACATGCTATTGCTCATCAAATCATTGCAATGTCTTGCACGTGCTCATTGAATAGGGCGACTGTGATAAGCCACCTGCAGGGCCCGGGATTTTGAAAAGCAATGCCTGACGTGGTGCTTGGCCGCATTGGGGACTATGCATAGATCCTGTCCCCCTGAGACTCCAATCGGGCGAGGGTTGTATACTAGCTGGGTTATGGTGATGGGCGGAGTGCAATGTGGCATCTGTGCCTGTGTACCATGGGCTAGGAAATAACGGTAGTATCCCGATGAATAGATTTGGACTACTACGTATAGTCCAGAGTGTGAATCAGTGAGGTTCTACTAGTTCCTACTCCAGATTGCGATAGCCGCACTTTTTGCGGAGTAGTCTGCCCTAAGCCCTAACTAACTGTTTCTGGGCAAACTCCGGGGACGACGTTGCTATCGAGAGTTATCGACATCATCTCCAGACTGTCTATCGCTGCCACTTCAGCGCGTGCTTTTGCCCCGTATCTCGGGTTTCTTACCACATGTGTACCCTGTTTATACGCGATAGACTATTTATTTCTTTTGTCTCTCCACACTCACTCCCTTGATTCACCGAGCGACCCCGTCCGTGTCACTCAATCCTCTGGCGTTCTCTGCCCCTCGGAGGTTGACGGTTTGATGCGGATGTCTCAATCGACTTGAATCCTCCCAACGCCCCACTCGATTCTTGACAATCCAAGTTCTTTCGTCCCCGCAGCTCGATCCGGCAATTCTCCATATTTCTGCAGCCACCCCGCGACTCGAGATGGGCAATAATCCGTCCAAGGGCCCTGTAGGAGACGGGCCGAGTCCGGTACCTTCGGGCACCACGAGCCTGACGGCTTCGACGAGTGATAGAAGAGCGGCTCGCGGGCCATCTGGCAACGGCCCCTCAAGCGCCGCAAAAGCGCCCGTAGCCGACATCTCCGCCTCCAGGGAAACTGCCACAGGCCAATCGTCCTCCCAAAATCAGGCTTCCGCTCAACAATTGTTGCAGTCTCGCGATGTCGCAGAGTCACCTACGCGGACTGTAGATCGGCCGGAGCCCAAGAATATCGGTTCTCCTCGCTCGAAGGACATTTCTGCGCCTGATCCGTCCGATCCTGTCCAAGTACCGATGTCCCGCGCTGCTGCTGCTCGACGTGACCAGTACGAACCTGTCGCTCCATCGGGCCCCCCTCACAAGATGTACTATACTGCCGCCCATCATCTGCAGCGCCCACCGCGGATGCCTCTGCCGATTGGAGATGCTACAGCTACGCCAGGCTCGCCCATAAGCGGCCCTGATGACACGAGTCCTCTCGCTACCGAAGAGAAACCGGGCGATAAGACGACCGCGGCCAAATCTGACCTTGCAACGACCGAGGGTGAGGGTACTGTGGATGAACATCAGCCGCACACTACTGGCGGCGTGGGCATACCTGTTCCTACGCTTATCGAATGGACGTCCGGTGGTAACAAGGTCTATGTAACGGGTACTTTCGTCAACTGGGAGAAAAAGTTTCGGCTACACAGAAGGTATGTGACGCCCATTGGTTGTCTACGGCGAGTTACTGTATACGTCTTCCTCGACGGTCATTAACCAAACTACGCATTCTGAATAGCGAGTTTAACCCCGATGTTCTCTCCACGAACTTAAATCTCCGTCCCGGAACACATCATCTAAAGTTTATCGTTGATGGTGAGATGCGCGCCTCGGACAATCTCCCCACCGCCGTTGACTTTACGAATCACCTGGTCAACTATATCGAAATCAGTCCCGACCAGGTAAACCGGCCGGGGAGAGAGAGCGACAAAGCCGTGCCCCCTGGTGTCCATCCTCCGCAGGTACTTCCCAAGGAAGTTGCAGATGGAAAAGTTGAATCTGCCGTTGAACACGGAAAGCCAGGAAAAGAAGAGGCGCCGGAGGAAATTCCGATCGGCGATTTTCGTGGGGTTGTCCCACAGTTCCTCCTCGACCTTGACAAAGACGAGGAAAGCCCGTGCTATCAGCAAGCTGTCAATATCATTGGTGATGCGCCAACACCACCTAGTCTCCCACTTTTCCTTGGAAAGTCTATCCTCAATGGCACTACGCCAGTGAAGGATGATAGCAGTCTTCTGAATAACCCTAATCATACTGTGCTGAATCATCTTGCTACGAGCAGTATAAAGCACGGTGTTTTAGCCACCAGTGTGACAACCAGATACAAACGAAAGGTAACAATTCCGTACGCTCAACAATCGAAACTTTTTACTGATATAATTGCTCTAGTACGTTACGACGATCTTGTATAAACCAACAGGGGATATCGGTCAAGGTCAATAAACGGCTCCTAGACTCGGATCTCAGAAATATTACTGTACCCTAGGCACACGACATAGCAACATATCTCCCCTCACCGGCCATAGACAGCCTGCATTGCGGCAACTGATGTCATCTGGGTGATCTTACCATACAAGAACAGAGCCTTTTGCTTAGGTTCCTTAGAGCTTTGTCCAAGGCACCTCCATGGCGCTTTATTAACCTCCTAGCACATGCCAGCACGTCAGCCAGGAGTGCACCCCTATGACAAACTGCGCTGGTGATTGACGGCAGTACATTCACTCGATTGGTACAGCGCAAACCTGTCCTACCTACTCTACTTCACATACTTGGTATCTTGAAGGTAGAGGCATGCGTGGTAGCAAAGGAAGCTAGTAGTTGGTTAGCTATGGCTTGTCCATCTCCTTTTATTTCTTCGGACATCTCCACTCTATCCAGGATATACTACATTGTCCTACATGCCCCATAGAGCTTTCATGAGCATTCAATAGATACTTCTATCACGAATCCTGCCCTTTTATTTTCCTATCTCATCAGTCGCGGTATTGGTATTAACGAAAGATTGAATCTAAATCTTCAATCAAGTAGCTAAAATTTCGGATGTATCTAATCCCTCCACTGCACAAAGACATCATCCGTCCGGAAGCGCTGCGTGCATGTGGACTCCTTAAGAGGCGTCTGGAACCCTGTCCTATACGCAAGCATACCAGCCTGCGCAATCATAATCCCATTGTCAATACAGAATCTCTCATCTGTCGCATGCACACTCCCTCCCCGATCCCGCGCCATGATCCCCATCATTTCTTGCAGTCGCTCATTACACCCAACTCCACCAACAATGAGAACCTCCTTCGACCCGACATGCGCCATAGCGCGCTCAGTGATCTCAACGAGCATAGAGAATACCGTCTCCTGCAGCGAGAAGCAAAGATCTGCCCGGGTAGGTTTCCGGTCTTCTGAGATCCCGTCAGTTACGGGCGTATCCTCTGACGGTGCGTCCTCTTCCTCGTCCGGTTGCTCCCCATTTAGTCCGTATGTGGCGGCGAGACCATCGATCGCTGCGAGAATTCCTGACAGAGAGCAGTCCATGCCCTTTACTGTGTATGGTAGATCGACGAGTTGCTTGCCCTTCTTGGCCAGTTGCTCGATGTTATACCCCGGCGCCGGGTCATTGGAGATATGAAGTGTGCGCGCGAAACGGTCGAGACAGTTGCCTACCGCGATATCGAGAGTCTCGCCGAAGATGCGGTACCGTTGCGAGCTGTATGCGATTACTTGTGTGTTTCCGCCGGACACGTATAAGACGACCGGATTCGATGCGCCGGTGATTAATCGGCCCATTTCAATGTCTAGAGGTTTCCGCATTAGCTACTACTACTGATTTGTCGCAAGAGTTCGAAGCAAGCATACGTCCAACGCAGTGATTAACACCGACCAACTCTTTCCCCCATAATAAGCTTAGCGTCCGCGCAGCCACTGCCACACTCTGCAGAGGAGCTCCCATCCCAGGTCCTTTTGTGTAGCATATACAGTCCACATCGTCGACGGAGACACGCGCATCTTTTAAAGCCTTCTTCACGAGCTTCACGACCCAGGACCTATGGTGTCGTGCCGTGTCCTTTGGAAGAAATCCCTCACCCGGAGGGGAGACATATGTGTGACGGATGTTGGCGAGGACTTGCGGGGTGCTACCGTCCTTGGGGTGTAACATGATGCCCACACCGAGTTTGTTGGCGGAGCCTTCGAGGCCGATTGCAATCATTTTGAGTATATCAACAGCGTCAAAACGCTCGCATGAAATTATCAGGATGGTATTATTGTACGAGTAAAAGATAGCTATAGAGTGATCGGTGTATGGAGGGGCAGCGTCGGAGATTGTTTTTTTATCAGCAGCGTTATCGATTGGCTCGCCTGCGTTGGGTCCCGGCCACAGCGGTTCCGCCGCTGCGTTTATCCGACGGTATACAAGACCCTACTACTACTAGACTAAGCAAGCTACGACGACAACCCAACAGCCCACACCTCTTGCCCCCTCCCCTTTGCTCTCTTCCCGCTCTGGCAATCTCTTCCCTTCCGGGCTCATCCCGTTCCCATACCGTTATACAATCACTCCCTGACTTCTTATTCTCCTGGATCCATCCTCCGAGCTTCTGGCTTGGCTATCTTTGTGCTTGCCCACAATCTTCCAAAAGCCATGTCCTCTTCCACCCACTTCCCGGACTCCAACAACTTCCAAAACCAGTCAGATGAATTTGCTATCTGGCTATCATCCAGGCCCGGCGTCAAAGTCAATCCCAAGATCCGCATCGCAGACTTAAGGGTCAATGCTGCCGGGCGAGGTGTCGGTATGTTTGGTCTCCACCCGAACGAGTTTTCCCTCGTCCTAGCGGTCTGTCCTCGGCCTTATTAAGCTATGCCTTTGTCAAGAAGTGGCCCTATTCTGATACGCCTGCCTCACGGGTTCCAGTGGCTCAAGCCGATATCGACGACGGCGAAGAACTTTTCACCATCCCGCGAGATCTCGTCCTCTCGACCCACAATTCGAAGCTAAAGGATTTGCTCTCGCAGGACCTTGAGCAGCTCGGCCCATGGCTGTCTTTGATGCTGGTTATGATCTTCGAGTACTTGCAGGGTGATCGGTCTACTTGGGCGCCATACTTCAGGGTCTTGCCGCAGAGTTTCGACACCCTGATGTTTTGGTCGCCGGCCGAGCTTGAAGAGCTCCGGGGGAGCGCTGTTGTGGAGAAGATTGGAAGGCAGGGGGCTGAGGAATCTATTCTGCAGTATATTGTTCCTGTTGTTCGAGCGAATCCTGCTCTGTTCCCTCCGATTGGTGGACACGCTTCGTATGATGGTGATGTGGGTGCTCAGGCGCTCCTGAACCTCGCTCATATGATGGGGTCCCTAATCATGGCCTACGCATTCGACGTGGAGAAACCGGAGAACGAAGACGAGCGCGACGGTGAGGATGGATATCTCACCGATGATGAAGAGGAGCAGTCCTCTAAGGGCATGGTGCCTCTGGCTGATATGCTTAACGCGGATGCTGACAGGAATAATGTGAGCCTCTTATACTCGGTCTACACTCGTAACATGACACTAATTTTCGATCAGGCCCGCCTCTTCCAAGAAGAGGAATCATTGATCATGAAGGCCATCAAACCCATCCGAGCCGGAGAGGAGATCTTCAACGATTATGGAGAGATTCCTCGTTCTGATCTTTTGAGACGGTACGGTTACGTTACGGACAACTACGCTTCGTACGATGTCGTTGAGCTTCCACTCGACCTCATTTGCTTTTCAGCTGGTCTCACCGACTCCAACGTCGAGAATCAACCAAGGGTAATACACAAGTCACGCAAGCCCCTACCGCTCCTATCAGTGCATTGACACCTTCGCAGCTCCAACTACTCGAAGAACTGGAACTTCTAGATGACGGCTATGCCATTCTCAGGCCAACACCTGAAGATATGCTCCCGGACATCATTCCAGCAGAACTCATCGTGCTTCTCCAAACTCTGACCCTGTCACCAGAGCAATTGGCTCATCAACAGAAGAAGCAGAAACCACCAAAACCGGCCTTCAGCCAAAAAGAAGCGCGAATCCTTTTCGATACGATCTTAGTAAGCCAAAAACGATACAGCACGACGATAGAGCAAGATCAGCAGCTCCTCGCCCGGATCAATCACTTCGAAGCCTTGTCTCCTCTTGAAGGATCTGACCGACGGCGCAAAATGGCTATCCAAGTTCGCCTTGGGGAGAAAGAGGTCTTCGAAGCCATCAAGGCCAAAATCAACGACCACTTCGCAAACAGTTCGACTTCAAAGCGCACCGCTGACGATGACGGCGACGATCTCAGACGAACGAAAATCCAGAGGGCCTAAGTCGACATCTCCACGATTCTACCATTTCAACAATCATTTATCAAAGAAAAGTTATCTTTGCGTTCTGATACATATTATTAAAGGGTTTTTATCTTGCCTTCCCGGTTGCTGACCGCATAGCTGCGCTATCCGTACAAAAAAAAGTCTATCGACGGATCGACTGCAAAATGAGAAAAGAGGAAGAGGGGGAAATGGCTATGTACACTAACATCGAATAATCTTAGGTCGTCATAAAAGGGGGGAAATAATCATCAGCGACGTTATCCTGAATTTCGAATGCTTCGCGGCATTCAGGCGGAAAGGAAGAAAGGGGGTTGTTTTGCGGCGGTGTGAAGAATTCAAAACAATGGGTGCCCCCTGAATCAAAAGTCGAGGAAGTAAAAATACACTGGAGTTGGAGAGTGGTGGCGGTGGAAAGGGTATTGGCGAGGAAGAGGTGTGAGCGAAAGGAGGCGGAGACAGGGAAGGTTTCAGAGAGAGAGGAGAAAACGAGGCCCAGCTCAAGTTTCAGATGTGGGAGCGATGGCACCAGGCCCAGGGTTCGATCCCATTGTTTGCCCGGTCGTTTGCCCCGTGCTAAGACTGTTCATTGCGACTTGTTCGGCCTGCAACCGGCGCACTTGGGCTGCTTGCGCCTGCGCATGCGCTTGGTCTCGGGCCTTGGCAAGCATGATTGCCCGGTTCTGCATGAGGGAGATGTCGTACCGATCCATCTCATAGACGAGATCGTCGTCCGAGTCCTCCTGGTCATACTTGAACCGGTCTGCCTTCCAATGATCTAACTCCACTCTACATCGCGAGGCAAGGTTACGGCGATCAATGAACAGCCGTCCGCCACGCCCTATACGTCTCCTGAATGAAGGCATATTGTTCGTGTCCTCATTCGTTATGAGTGCGTGCGCGGCGAGCTTGTCACGCAACGATACCGCACCTGACATATCTAAGGTTGGATCCGGCATATTCTCGGAAGAGTCTGATGACGGGGGCGTTGGCAATTGCGTTGTGATCGCAGGACGGAATGTAAGGTCTACCGTCCTTTCAGGAGACGGTGATAGCGGGGCCCGTGTGTAATCCACATAGCCCTCGTTCCACTTCATGTGCTTTGCGATGTTCGCCTTGATATCGCGAAGGATGTCGTTCTCCTTCTCTGCTTGTACATCTTCCAGCAACTGCAAGTCTTCTGCAGCTTGAGCGCCAGGTTTCGGCGGCATACGAAGCTGGGCTGCCGCTGGACGTTGCATAGGTGGTGCCTCCATCGGCTTCTTCTTGGGCTGGTCGCTTGTTAGCGTATGGACACAAACGCAATAGATGAAGAACGCTTACCTTCTGGTTGATGAGGTCCTCGTCATCGTCCTTGATGTGGAGTTTCCTCTTCATATCCTTGACTTCAGCCCGCTGCAAGAAGAGAATCCGCTCCGTCGCCAGCATCTCCTTGCGCGCCAATTCTCGTTGGCGGACTAGAGCAACCAGTTGACGAGCATCCTCCAACTCCTTTCTAAGTCTCCGCAGTTTATCCGCGCTCTGAGCATCTCTGCCGCGAGTCTTGCGAACCTGACGGACCTCACGCCTACGGAAACAGACATAAGGATCTGTATCGTCTGTATCTGCGCCAGTTTCAAACTGCAAGTCCAGGTCAGCCATTGATTGCAAGCCATGTTGCAAAAGACACTGCTTACCTTGAGGTTGGAAAGCAATGACTGATTGCCGCTGTTTGTCCTTCTCGTTTTCCAATGGTCGTATACGTCCTTGGCAAATCGTCTTACGAAATCCTCTACGGTTGCGTCCATGGACTCTTGCATTTCTGCAAAGCTCAAGACCGGAGCGCTCCCTACCGCTGCGTACGGCTGCTTTAACCGCACAGTCTCTTCGAAGAAGTTCATGACCTCCTCGAACTGGTCCTCCGTGCATCGGTCGGCGGGATCCCGCTTCTCGTTCATGATCTTCAAAAATACGTCGTCCTCTTCGGTCATATTATACGGACACCCGCAGCAATCCTCAACCGTAGAGGAGAAGCGGATGTAGGTCGCCGGCTGCGAGAAGACTGGAGGATATAGCTCGTCATATTGCAAGTTACTGAGGACAGTCTCTGGAGTTGGGATATGGGCCTCATTTACGACTCTCCCCGAGGCAACTGCGTTAATCGCAACTTGCAAATGGTATTCCTATACAACAGCAGTGCATTAGCTTGCGCTGGTGAAGGGAAATTGACCGTGCAAAAATTTTCATATGGGGTGAGGTTGGATGATATCACGTGATTCGGTGCAGGGATGCATCGGATATAACACTTACCGACTCCTCGGCCTTCTCGACACCGGTTTCGACCTGTTGTAGGCCATTTTGAATTTCTTCTTCGAGCTCGTCTATTTGGTGTTCATGGTAGATAGGTATAGGCGCCTTGGGGGTGAGCTTCTTTGGGCGCGTCCTCCCCAGTCCCGCGTATCGAGTCATCCGAACGTTTGGGGCGAAAAAGTCGCAGCGACCATGGGTAAGGGGCCCAAAATTAGTATCACTCAAAAGGCCTGGTCATGCAAAATCACGTAGTCGTATTTTCGTGATGATCGGAGATGGGTGATGGACGATATGGACGCGGTAAATCTCGTAGTCTCAAGCCTGGTGGTTGGGTTGACGTTGCGACCGTGCTGTTTTCAGGGGCGGGCTCGCTTGTCCCCTAACCGCCTTTGGCTTAGTGCGGGGCTCTAAGGTTGGAATGCCAGGCCAACGCTCCTCCAGCCGCATCTCTTTTGATAGACCCTCCGACTCGTACATTTCTGGCCTCAGTAGATCGAATTCGCATTCTTTATCCACAGTCTATGCTATCTTGATTCTTTGGGCTTGCCTCTCTCTCTCTTTTTTACTTGTTTCTGATCGACCTATGGCAATGGACCAGTCCAGTGAACCCAACAACGCCGCCATGTATTCGCGGCGGCGACGAAGCTCTCTCGGGACATCTCAGATCTTTGAGAACATTATTGAAGGATCCAACTGTATGCTCGGTTACGTCTCCGCTCAATGCCTTCTGTATTGACCATTCGCAGTCGATAAGGATGAAGTGGACCGACTTCGCAAGCGATTCATGAAGCTCGACAAGGTGTGCCTTTAACCCCCGGAAGACGGACCGGCCTATCTAACCAAAGCCCAGGATAACTCCGGCACAATCGATCGCGATGAATTCCTCTCCCTGCCACAAGTCTCATCCAACCCGCTCGCTACACGGTGCGCCCCCTCGAAATCGTTCCAGTCCGCCATGACCTATTATAACCCAAACTAACGAGAAACATGCAGAATGATCGCCATCTTCGATGAAGACGGCGGCGGCGACGTCGACTTCCAGGAATTTGTATCGGGGCTGTCCGCCTTCAGCTCAAAGGGCAACAAGGAAGAGAAGCTGCGCTTTGCATTCAAGGTCTACGACATTGATCGCGACGGGTTTATTTCCAACGGCGAGCTGTTTATCGTGCTGAAGATGATGGTCGGCAATAACTTGAAGGATGTGCAGCTGCAGCAGATTGTCGACAAGACGATTATGGAGGCTGACAAGGACCGCGATGGCAAGATTAGCTTCGACGAGTTCAAGAATATGGTTGAAAGTACAGATGTTAATTTGAGCATGACGTTGAGTATGTGCTCCCCTTCCCTACGCCGTTTTGTTGTGTTTTGCTTTGTCTGGATCTCCTTTGTGGTTCATGTTTTTCACTTGGTGCTAACGTGTAGCTTCCAGACCAAATTTAATTTTCTAGCGCACCTTGAACGAACCGAACCGAGCCAACATTGCCCACGTCCAACATATCTGTGCTTGAATAGCGCTGCGCGCTTCTGGACTTGGTTGACCAACAGCGTCTACTGGACCGCCCGGCTGAGCCCGGCCACTTGGCTGGACTGGTCGATATGATTCCCTACCTTTAATGACATGATCGTGATGACAAACCCTGTAGTTCTCCTGCACTACCCTACGCTGAGACCCGGAAACAGCTTGTGCCCTTCACAATACTACATACCTACTAGTATCTACTCATTTGGATGACTCGAATGACATGCATGCCAAACCAGAATAGAGTCCTGGGATGCTTCTTCGCATAAAATGTCAATTTGGATTACTTCGTAGGTACTGGATACTACTGGCCTGGTATAGCCGTAATCTGGTCGCTTCAAATGCTACATGGGTTGATAGTACCTGAATTAGGGTTATGCTCTCGGAATTATCGACGGATGGATATCGGGATTACTTGCTTTCTTGCCTTGTTGCAGCTAATTATAGGCAGGCAGCAGAGAATATCAATGGCATATATGCAGTTATTATGCATGACTGAGTATGGCTGCTTTATCAATACGTGCGCAGTACTCCGTATCCACACATGCATTCCTATCATTCTATGTAGTGGGACATTCCGATAGGGCGAGGGTGCATACGGAGGAGACATATGTACATACCAAATGACTGTTTCGTTTATAAACCCAAGATATAGAATAGATCTCCGCTGATAGGCTCCAATAGTCGGTATGTACAGGTCTCAATATGCTATACAGTACAAAATCTCAACTCCAAGACATAGGGTATAGATATCCTTCCGCCAAACAGCACCGCCTCGCTAAAACCAACGCAATGAAAAACAGGGGGAATACGCATAATGTAATGTAAACAATGAAGGTCAGTCGAAAACAGTCGACTTGGTCGATCTCAGCGCCTCGCCACAGCCCCAACAATGCGAGAAGGCTAATTAATGATTTTACCCCTGCAGGCTGGCTTGCATTAGCTGAGCCACCAGGAGTAAAGATAAGACAACGGTCATGGATGAACAGATGAACAAGGTATCAGGGAAATCGAATATGTCAGAAATCTATCGCTTGAAATTAAACAAGACGCCATCATTTCTCATGTCCAAAATTAATCATTATTCCAAAAAAGGTTTGAGAGAAAGAAATAACAGGTGGTGTGCTGCAGGTGCAGATAGTCAGCCTCTGGGCGCGATTGGAGAACGTGGAGGTGACTCGATGGCAACTGTCTATTGTCAAAATCTGATCTGTCGTTTTGAACAATGGCTTTCAGAAATCTTCTGTCGCGGGCTCGCGGCGGCGAACGGATTGAACGGTGACAGACTTGTGGTTGGACCTTCAGCTGCTGGTTCCAGGGCTCGCCCGGATATCCTAGAGTGGGATGGCGTGCTGGGTCTTGGGCAGACAAAGCAGGTCAGCTTCAGGCTTCAAGTGGCGGTTGGACACAAGTTGAGGAGGCGAGCAAGGAAAGAAAAGAGTCGGGCATCAGAGCTCCTCGATCTATCAATCGTGAAATCGATAGTGTATCTTGGAAGTTGGTGACTGAAATGACCCAAGGACTGACTTAGCCCCTGCCTTAGGGCGTCCCAGAGCAAATGACGCGGGAAGTCGGCGCCGTCTGGGCACTGAAGGTCGATCTGCACGAGATAGAGACCCGTGCAGCTGAAGCCGAAGACCTCACGTGTGCGAAGCTGCGGCAGGACGAGTCCGAGCGAGATCCGGTCGGCTTTCGATGAGGTCCAAGCAGTGGCCTAGGGCTAATCCGGTTTTCAGCTTATTTTCTTCCCAAGATGTGACTAGCTGCGGGTCAACTTACCAGACAGAATTTCCTCCTCCCAAATACCCATCTGGTAATCCACAAGGCCATGCTGCTCCATTTGATCGCAGAGCTGTATCAATTGCTTTCCCAAAGAATCCATTGCTTCAACGTTAAGAATACTAGTTCGGGACGATTGACGGCCTGTCTGGAGCAACTCCTGCGTCATGTCTTTTTGCTTCTGACACAATGCCAACCAGCAGATGTTGAAATCATTCCACAATTTCAATCGGTCAGAGTGAAGCATTTGGTCATCGCGCAGAATACCTGTTATGGAAAACACAACGTTAACTAACAATTGTTTCAGCTCTTGATTTGGGGGCAAAATCGACCAGCCCTGACAGGGCGAGTTATCCTTGCATGAAGAGGGTGCCAGAATTTGAACGCTAAGGAGGAAAACATACCAAGTTCCCGTGCAGTAGCCACCAGCCACTCGGAGATATCCAGCAGTGATCGGCTAGCCTCTACCAATCGGCCGGCGCGCGTATGATCGACGGTCACTCGTAATGCTCGCTGGAATTGTCGAAGCGGTTCAGCTGACGGCGGAGGTTCAGGCAAGGCCTGCACCTGCGGCTGTGAGAGCGCCTGCTGTTGTCCCGCCGCCCCCACGGGGGTCATGTCCGCCATGGTTGCGGGAAAGGGCTGCGTTGCACTCGAGCGTCCAATGGGCCCCGGGTGATTATATGCGGATAGAGAAAGCCCCGGTGGCAGGTAATGCGATGGAAGCCCGGTGCCTGACGGCTCATTGGGAGCGAAATACTGTGGAACGGGAAATTGACCGGAGAGTGAATCCAGAGACGCAGACTGCCGTGACGAATATTGTGGCACGACCTCGTACGGAGTCTGCGTTGGGCCCTGCTGCCCGAGGTTGTATACCAGCTCGGACTCATACGAAGGGAAGGGCTGCTGGCGCTGCTGCTGGTCGCGCAACGTCGGCGGATACGGTTGCAATTCGTCCTCCTGCAACGCACCGCCCTGAAAGGCGCTGTCTGTGTATCCATAGTCCATGTATGCAGGCATTCGTGGTCTCCCAGCGGCCTGCGATGGGTCTCCACGTGTTGGATTGAACCCGGCCTGTCTGAATCGGTCTGCCGTACTGCCGGATGACCTGGAAGCAGAGCGACGGGGCATGCCCTGTTGACCCGCGTATTGGGCTTGTTGTTCATCCTGCTTCATACGTCGGAAATCACCATCCATGCCCTCGAACACACCCCTACGCACTGGATCAAGGTCAAAGGACCAATGCGTCGACGGGGAGAGGGGAGGGCTCGCGTAGGATTCCAGCTTGGCGGGTTTGACGTGAACCTAGACAACGTTTTTGAGTACGACCTGACCCTTATGGTCTCCTCGGACAGCGATTCGTTGGTCTCCTTCCCGGCGAAAGACCCAACCTGAGTGCTACCCAGTAGCCCTTAAGCGCGCGTCAGTCTCACGCCTTCTTCCTGCACGAGGGCTCGGTACCACCAGGACAATCTAGATATCATTAACTCAGTCGGCTTTGTTATTCGTGAAGGACTTGCAAACACACACAATGGATTTCTGGGGGCCGGTTCGAACGTCCAGAGGCTCGACAAACGGGAATTGAGTAACAAAGGGCAAGCGAGATGCAGGCTGAGGCCAGGCGAGCAACAGGTAGATGTAAGAGCCGCGGAGCTTCAAGGGCCAACGTGAAAGAATCAACCAGTACTGGAAGAAAAGCTGGAGAAGAAGAAAGTCAATCTGCGAGTTTCTTCCAAGGGCTCTGTGCAATTGAGGGCAGATGCAATGCAGAATGTCAGTCTGCTCTGGGTTTGCAGCCCAAGAGTGCGTATTATTGGGGAACGGTGAATGGGGAGGGGCAGCACAAGAGGGAGCGAGCAGTAAGAAAGATCGAGAGACGAGGATTCCACACCGGGAGCAGTACCTGACTTTTATGGGGTTTTCGTGAGGGAAACAATGGGCTCGATGATCCCCAAGCAATTATTGAAAGCCTCAAGAACGAGGCGAGTCGAAGCTCAGGTAAGTGACGAAACAATGGCCGGGCATCACAAATCATAATTCATCAACATCAAGGCTCTAGTCTAGGGCCTTCCTGTCTACGCCTTGTGGGGAGGGGAGAAATATTAATTAAATAATTGGAAAAAGAAAAACGAAGGAGTGTTGACAGGAGAAGGGTGTGAGATCTTAGGACACGAAGGGGAGGTGGGAAAAGAACATGCAAAGTATACGCATAGATCTGTTTTGCTTTTATCTATCTTCTCAACGGAGACAAAGGGCCCCTTCTTTATCCCTTCATAATCCTATTCTTACAATGCCGTCCAGTCACCACCATCACTCTATTTGAATCTAATCGTCCCCATTTCCGCACGAGCACGAGCACGAGCACAGGCACGAGCAGATCGGGGCGACTGGCCCTGCGGCATGCACATCGCCTCGGATTTAAAAATGGTGCAAATCGGAGTCCATCCAATTCCCACCCAATATCGTCACAGTCCCAAGCAGGGCAGCAGGACCAAGGACGCACTACTCCCAACTAAGTAGGAAAGATCTCCGATAAGGTACCAGTGACCAGTGCCCCGGAACCATCATTCGCACACTAAATCATGATCAGTCGCGGGCTTGGTGAGACTGGAGGCTTGGAATCATTCCAAATCTCCGCTTCCTTTCGCTGCCCCATTTTTCTCCAACGAGCCGGCTTACTCGATGGTGGTTGATCCAGGTTGCCGGAATCTGACCTGTCTCTCGGGACCTTGAGGGGCGGAGAAAGTAGCCGACATTGGGCAACAACGGGGTCATCAATTGGAGACGGCTTGGACAAAAGCAAGTTTGGAGGCCAGTCAGGCGTGTTCGTAATCGAGAGTCGGTTTTCGTCCTCCGTGACCTCGAGTCCTCGATGACCCACCAGGAACGTGCGATCGCCTTGGAGTTGGGGCTGCACGGGAGGAACCGTTAGCATTGACAGCTGACAGCTGCCGCGAGGATCCTAAAGGATCAGACCCTGAGCCAATACTAGCATAGTCGGTTCGAGAATGCCTAATGACTTGCTTCGTCGAAGTACTTGAATGGGCAGGGATTCCTGGAGTAAAAGGAGTTCCGTGAGAGATTCCGGGTGCGTATACGGTATGTCACGGTGCTGCATGAGATCAATGCATGCAGCGGCGGCCAATAGTGGCCGGCTTTCGTTCCTTGGCTTGCCCTGATTTGACCAGTGGCGCAAACTTTGGTAACTGGTTTTGTCGAGGTCCAAGTGCCCTGACTTCTGGAAGATCGCAGGCGGCGGTCCACGGCAGTGGGACGGTCACCTACTGGCACACCCAAGCCCCATGGACAGTCCTGCGTTTGCAAGAGTAGTGACATCCCTCAAGGTTTCGAGCTCAGTGCGCGTTCATGGCGCCGGATCGACGACTAGCCCGAGGGATTACATACACGGTGGAGATGGCTGTCGATCATTGCATGCTAGAGACGACACTCGCGCTTTGGCCCATCAGAAGGATCCAAGGTGATGGCCGAATATTTGGAATTAACAGCACTAGGTACTTATATCGTTGTCAGTGTCCATCACTAGCCACGGGGAAGGGATGATTGAACCGTGTCTCATCTCATGTCCCCTCAAATCATGCGTTAAATGATCTAATGGGGCTAAACTCGCCCGCACGTTGTGTCGGAAGTAGTCAAGTAGATAGGAAGGCACTGGCTTCAATTCTGGCGTCTGTTGTCGGGTCGACTGGAACTGCGGCAGTATACAAGTGTTGGGCGTCATATACCCGGTGACGAGAAAAGTAGAAGCGTTGCTTTGTCTCCAGCTCTAGTCCGTACCTTCCATACCACCTTCTAAACTACCACCTGGCGCAATCTTCTTCCCACTCAACCCTCAATTTTCCTCCAATTGACCCCTCGCCTATGATTCTCGTAATAACGTTATGCGCTACAGCTTTATTCGGAGGGACATTGGTGCGCCGCCCGTGCTCATTTTCTCGTCCAAACCCTCTTAGTTGGTTCAGCAACGCCTCATGGCCAGAATATGTGTCTTGAAGCCCATAAGCCCTTCCACCCAATCGATTCCGTTCCGATGCTACCACCCCATGTCATGAGTACATCGGACAAAAAGGCACGGTGCATGATTGGATAGGTTGGAAGCACAGAATCTTGGAAATCCTCCTTTCATCTGTTGGCACGGTTCGGCACTGAGCAATGACCACCAGGCTTCACGGCCAAGGCACTGCTAGAGTGTGCGAGTGCGCGGGTCTCATAGATGTAAAGGCCCCAGAATGAGGCTATCTTAGGCTGGCCCTGGGCCATGCCGGTGGACCGGTACGAGCTGGTGGTCAGTGATAGGAACTCCGCAATGATGCAGGTGTCCGCGCTTGCATACTCCCACAAGGTTTATTCCTCCGCTTTGACTTCCTCCCATTCCGTAATGAACACCTGCGAACTCGAAGATCGTGATCTTGAGTCTCAATTCGGCAGTCGATGAGCCACTCGGCCAATGCAATTGGTGGTCCTCCGCCACATTGCTGATAGTTTGAACTTACCAACCTTACTCTTGAGCTTATCTGTCCCAGCCTCCCCATTTCCAGTACAGGACTGAGGAAAGTTATCATTCGTCAATCCCAGTCTCCGATTGGTCTACTCGAGTCATTTTGTTTTGTGCCAAGGTGCAGGATATCAGACACTTGTGCGAAAGGTCTGCAGAGATTGTTCACGGCAAATGCTGGTCGTACAGATTCCTACACTATCTTCGGTTAATTTGGTCAGACGAAGGGAACGCCAATAGTTACATGCGGGTCGCCGCGAACATGCAGTGTCGTCGTACCTAGAAACGACACCATGACGCCAAGCTGAGAGAAAAGAGCAGATGATATGCCTTCGCCGAAAGTCGAATAATACAATATGCGAATGAGAAGAAATGATGAAGTGATATAAACACGAGATTGCTCGCAAAGGTATCTCAACGCTTGACCCAAGTAGGAGCCTTGCGCGCCTTGACGCGACCAGGCTTCTTTCTCTCCACACGACGCGGATCCACCGTAATAACGCCGGCTGGTTTGGGGCAAACATGTTAGCACGTGTTTCTCTGCTCGATCTGACCTGGGTGGTTGAGTATTCAAGAAATACGTACCTTTTCGCAGAATTGGCTTTAATGCCGGCTCGTGTACCATCAATGCCCGTCCGAGCGCCAAGGCAATGGCCTCTGCCTGTCCAGTTGTGCCTCCACCCCTAACAGTAGCCCACACGTTGTACTTGTCAAGTCTATTCGAGAACCTCAAAGCCCACGTCGCGCTTTCCCGGTCATGCACTCGAGGGAACGCCTCAACCAAGCTCTTTCCGTTGACAAGAACCTCTCCATCGCCTTCTACTAGAGATACTACGGCGGAGGATTCTTTTCGCTTGCCTTTCCCACGAGCACGGCCCAACTCATCCACCGAGGTTGTTGTCGACTGGGCAGCATATGGATTTCCTGGGCGCAGGAATTCTTTCAGCGCGAGACGGACCTCTTGAGGGCGAATGGCAGGGTCTATGCGGTTCAGGCGGTTCAGGACCTTAAGTAACCCTCTGTACTTCTTCGATGGAATCCTTTCGCCAACTAAATCTCGGAACGCCGGTAACTTCAACCAAGCCATTCTGGGTGAATCATTCGCGGACACGGTGGGCAATGCGGCGTATTTTGCCAGGAGACTCTCGAGATTCAACAGGTGGTCGAAAAACCTAGGGCTGCCGGTAAAATACGAGGGTGATGCCGGAACAACTCGGGCGGACCGCTGTTGAAGCATCCTGTCGAAATCAATCTCCGGAGCAGCGGTGAGGGCTGGAGTCGCTTCAGTCGCGTAGCGTCGGGGTGTTTGCTGTTTCAATGACATAGTAGGTCCAGCGGCGAGATATGAAGGAGCTGCCGAGCGTTGGGCGAGAGCCGCTCGGAGGTAGGTAGCTGAGCGGACGGACTGCATGGCGTGGGCCACGCAGAAAGGGTTTTTCCAACTCATGATGAGACACGCCGGCTGTCGCAGTCGTCAAAAAGAGTTGAAGGACAGGAATTCGACAGTGAATGGTTCTCCGGCTGGGGCTTCGCTGTCGGACGCCCGCCGTCTTGCACCCCGAGGATTTTCCAAACGATGTCGGTCACGTGTTTCGACCAAATGTAACTCCGATCCGAGAGGAAGGCGCGATGGGGCACAAATATTTCATCCGCTAGCCCCTCTTCTGATTCCTGCATTTTTCCCTCACACTCGATTTTCACCAGATATAGCAATGGCGTTCGGAAAGCTCTACGGTCGTCCTGTACGTCTAAACCCCTTTGCTCTGTATCTTTTCTTTTCTACAGATGCATTGCTACTCCCCTGAAAAGAATTTCCCAGGAGCTAACTGCGACAAAAGGACAACACCCGCACCATTGCGGTCCTCGTTGCTGCTAAGCACAACGACCTCGAGCTTGAGCTCGTTGAGACCCAGGCCAACCCCGCTGCTGAGTTCAACAAGTCTGATGCCTACACTAAGATTCAGCCCCTGGGCAAGATTCCCGCCTTCGAGGGTGCCAACGGCTTCACCCTCTCTGAGGTTATCGCCATCGCTGTCTACGGTACGTGTGCAAAGCTCAATTCCATCACGAATCTGCCAAGGTTTCAATTCCGTTTGCATGATGAGCAATTTTATTATTAGTTATCCCTGTCAGAACTATACTGTTGATAACATACAACTCTGATTTTCTCGGTCACCCTACCTTGGGGAAACACGTGGCTTTTTGACTCAGATCTTTCACCTGCTTTGTTTGATATTGGATACTGACTATAGTCAAGTGACCTCCCAGAACGAGAAGACCACTCTCCTCGGCAAGACCAAGCAGGACTACGCTTCCATCCTCCGCTGGTTGTCTTTCGCCAACTCCGAGCTCCTTGCCAGCTTCGGCTCTTGGTTCCGCCCCCTCCTCGGTCTCGACCCCTACAACAAGAAGAACGTTGAGGATGCTTCCAAGGCTGCCCTGAAGAAGCTTGCTGTCCTCAACACCCATCTCACTGCCAACACCTACCTCGTCGGCGAGCGCATCACCCTCGCTGATCTCTTCACCGCTTCCCTCCTCACCCGCGCCTTCGCTACCGTCATCGACAAGAAGGTTCGCTCTGACTACCCCGCCGTTACCCGGTGGTATCAGACCATTATCGCTCAGCCCGCTTTCAAGGCTGTTGTTGAGAACCCTGTCCTCGTTGACGAGGCTGTTAAGTACACTCCCCCCAAGAAGGAGGAGAAGCCCAAGAAGGATGCTGCTCCCGCCGCTGCTGCCCCCGCTGAGGAGGACAAGCCCGCTCCTAAGCCCAAGCATCCCCTTGAGGCTCTTGGCAAGCCCACCCTCATCCTTGACGACTGGAAGCGCACATACTCCAACGAGGACACCCGTTCCGTTGCCATGCCCTGGTTCTGGCAAAACTACAAGCCCGAGGAGTACTCCCTCTGGAAGGTCAACTACAAGTACGACAATGAGCTCAAGCTCACCTTCATGGCCAACAACCTGATCGGTAAGCCCTAGCCCCCTTTAAGCGTGACGTAACACGGTTCTGATTGAATATATAGGTGGTTTCCACGCTCGTCTTGAGGCTTCTCGCAAGTACCTCTTCGGTTGCCAGGGTGTCTACGGCGCGAACTACGCCTGTGTCAACCGTGGTGTCTTCTTGGTCCGTGGCCAGGAGGCTCTCCCTGCTTTCGATGTCGCCCCTGACTGCGAGAGCTACGACTTCGTCAAGCTCGACCACACCAACGAGGCTGACCGCAAGTACATCGAGGACATCTGGGCCTGGGACACCCCCGTTGTCGTTGACGGCAAGGAGCTCGCCAACGTTGACGGTCACGTCTTCAAATAAACGACTTAGATGCCATAGTTACTGACTCATGATGATGATATCCAAAAACACACTACACTATGACACTTTTTTTTTCGTTCAATTTCGTCCATAATATACCAAAAGTATCCTCTTCGCTATCACTCAGGCTGGAGTACTCCATTGTTCTACTGTTTTATTCAAGCAAACCTCTACGCCTCACGATTTAACGTTTTGTGATTAGCAATTTCTAAAAAAAATTAAAGGATATCAGAATGTTTCTGAACATTTAACTCCGAACCCCCGACATATCATTTCGTGCTCTTAAGGCAATAAAATACTGAGGTTTACTTCATCACCGAGAATCCCGAATCATCGGCAATGATCCAGAAAATCAATCTTGAGTAGAGCCCAGTGCAGGCACTGCAGTTGTAGACCTTGCAAGTTGGTGTCTTGGCATAGCCCGCATTACTCCGTAATCGTATCCTTCGGGCTCTTCAAGGTCAGTTGTCCGTGGTTCCGCCACCGTCAGACTTTCCACCCTCCAAGTACTCCAGTATATCCCGATACATTTCCAAGGTTTTAGGTATATCCTTATTCATCCCATCTTTGGACTGTAGCTGAAATTAATTTTAGCGGATCAGTTGGCTTGTCCTTTTTGGGGATACATGCGTGAAGCTTGAGCCTCATGGCTGAACCTTCACCATCCACTCTTTCTAGCCCATTGCCTTTATCGGTCCTCGTAGGCCTAGTGATTGCAATGGGGCTCTTTTCCTGGGCCCGTCCGAGCGGACGCGTATCATTCTTTGGTTCCAAAGACAACAATCTATTGCTTAGCAGGAAAGCTGGCAAAGCTGGTGTCAGGCAAACTACGCTGGCAGAGCTCTGCCGTACTGCTACGCCAGCAAGATGCGATCTCAACCCCTTTCTCTTCAACGGCCATCTGCAGACCTGCTGGACTGCAGTGAAATTTGAGGGCGTCCCTGTGTACTACAAGCGCCGTATGTTCGAGGCGGACAGCGCCACATTCCGGGGGCAGTTCGCGGTTGACTTTGTCGTTGAGTCCTACGATGCCCCCACAAGCCCCGAAGCTACCGATGCGGAGAGGAAGTACACCTTGCCCTCAGGGCTTCCGGAGCGGACGGCGATGTTCTCCGATGATGAATTTGCCGCATTGCCTTCAGATGACACGAAGCCTATGCTTGTGGTTCTACATGGTCTGAGCGGTGGTTCCCATGAACTTTATCTGCGCCATGTAGTCCATCCTTTAATTGCAGATCAAGGCTGGGAGGCTTGCGTCGTCAACTCTAGAGGCTGTGCTCAGACCAAGATATCAACTGGTATCCTTTATAACGCCCGCGCTACTTGGGATGTTCGGCAGACCGTCAAGTGGTTAAGAAAGACTTTCCCCAATCGACCCCTTTTTGGTATTGGTTTCTCCCTCGGTGCAAATATCCTTACAAACGTAAGTCATCTGTCTAGAGATTGAAAGACCACGCTAATTTTCCTAGTACTTGGGCGAGGAGGGCGATGCCTGCCAGCTTAAGGCTGCGGTAATCTGCGCAAACCCTTGGAATCTTGAAGTCAGCTCAGTGGCTTTGCAAAGTAGCTTTATGGGCCTTAAAGTGTATAGCAAGGTGATGGGCGCCAGCATGAAAAAGCTTTTCGATCAGTATGTGACAATGTTAGCTTATTGAATCGGCGATGGTACGCTAACATCACCAAGGCACGCCGAGCAGGCCACGAAAAACCCTAGGATTGATGCAGAAGAAATCAGGAGAGCCACGTATCTGCACGAATTTGACAGGTAGGCATCAACTCTCCCGTATCCTGAACGTTCCTCCTGACACATGCCTTAGGGCTTTGCAATGCGGCGCATGGGGCTATCCTACAGAAGGCGCGTACTACCGTGACGCATCTTCTATTGACGCGCTACTTTCAATCCGAATCCCATTCTTCGTGGTACAAGCTGAGGATGATCCAGTAAGACTCAGAGACGGCCCGCGAGTTTCAAATACTAACTTGGAACAGATTGTAACTGCCAAGGGGGCTCCTTATCAGGAGATCGCTCAAACGCCGTACGGTGTCATGATGGCTACCTCTTGGGGTGGGCACCTTGGTTGGTTCGAGTTTGGCGGCGGTAGATGGTTTGTGAAGCCGGTGAGTTCCTATCTTTCTGCTACGCTTCAGTACTAATCCCGCAGGTGAACAATTTCCTAAATATGATGGCCCATGAAATCGACCTTGATACGCCTCCTGTGGTCGAGAACCCGGAACACGTGCCTGGATGGACTTCTGATCCTCGTGGAGACGTCTCGATGGAGTCCAAGCAGGCCAATTTCATCCCTACACGACGTAAGCTCAGCTTACCAATCAATTAGTGACCCGATACATTGCACATAGACACAGACGATTTGCTGATCTTGACGATGACGATGTTCATCAGTGTCATTCATGTCATGTTTGAAAGATATAGATAGACCCATAGAAACGCCGCAACCCTCTAAATACAGAATCAAACTTGCTATACACAGAATTAATTTTGTATGAAACGACTCAGGCAAACGCAACACTCTTTCTCTTGCCGCCAGACTTTGGCTTTGGACTTTCTTTCTCAGCCTTATTTGACTTGTTGCCGGAAGCCCCACCCTTGCCCTTGCGGCTATTGCGGATTGACTCTTTGGCATTGTCCTGTAAAGCGACACATTAGCAGAAGTCTAGTTAGTTGATTCGAGCCTGTCCATACCAGCTTGTTCTTCTTCTCCGACTGCCTCGCCTCCGCTTCCTTCTTCTTCGCTTCACGGATCTCCTCCAATTGCCGAGCCTTCATGATCTTGGATTCAATCTGACCCTCCTTCTCCGCATTGACCATGGCAAATATCGTCATCATCGCCTCCTAGAGCAGATGTTAGCCTCGTAATCCATCATCCACAAAGATGTCCAACATACCGGGTCATCACAGAACGTCTTTCCCTTCTTCTTTCCCTTGGGGTTTACCACACCAACAGGCGTAATCATGTTCAGCTTTGGTAGATCCAGCTCTGCCTCGGAGTATTCTCTCTTCTTCGTTTTCTTAAGTTGACTCTGCTCGGTGCGCGCTTTGGATTTCACTTCCTTAGGCGGCGGTCGCTTGACATTCTTCTTGCTTACTTTCGAGCCGAGTACTTTATTGTTCTTCGAGTCGCCTTTGGCCGAGGTCTTGTGCTTTGCTGGGCCTTTCGTTGTTGGCGCCATCTTGCGGAGGAGATTTCGGTGAGGTCAAGGGGTCGTATAGCCTCAAAGAATGAGAAACTCAAGAATCAAGCTCTAAGCTCTCTAGTCCACAGGTCTGAAATCGTACAGAGAAATATCAGAATTATAGAAAACTCGAAGCAGACTAACCATCGCGATTCCATCCGCAAAAGAATTTTTTTGAAACGGCAGGCGGTGAGCTCGGTCCCCAGCGTCCCTCCACACGTGCGCTAACCAAGCCACGCCCGGCCAGCAGCAAACCTCGCCGTCTCCGGTACCTCGTCCTCCCCTCACAACGACCCTTGCCCCTCCGCAGTGTGCCATTGGCGTACGCAGACGACGATATACCTTCAGGATGACCATCAACCCGACCTACCTTGCGCAGCGCACCCGCTCCTGTACGTTAGCGCCCGAATCCGAAGCAGCCCGACCTATCTTTGAAATTGGCGCGATGTCAATGGCTGGAACCTCAAGCTGACTTGTTTGCGTCTGTATAGCTGCCAACTGGGGCGATGCGAAGAAGCGTGTCCTGAGGTCTTACAGGGACTGGCTCCGTGCTGTCAGTACTCCAATTCCGAGCTTATGAGCTGCGCTGCGGTTGTGATTGCGGTTGGTTCTATTTGTGGTTTGATATGGCATCATGATATGGCGCCGCATCTATGCTATAATTTTTCAGCCACAGCAAACGCGAAGCCATCACATTACCTCAGTTCTCAATTTAGTCGGCAGAAACAGAGAGCTAACAGCGCCCTCCTTTCAATGTAGTCTCCCGAGATCCAAACGATGTACTCTCTGAACCTTCCCGTCTCCGCCATCCGCACCAAGGTCCGCCAGGAATTTGAGAAGCACCGCTACGTCAGCCAGCTGCAGGTCGTTGACGTGCTTCTGTACCAAAGCCACGCCGAGTTCCAGGTGAGTTGCACACAGCCTGAATCACTGCTAGCAAAAGCATATGCTCTCTTAATCTTTCCGGCGAGCTATGCACATGCCATATATACTGCTAGTCCTATCCACATATAACCCGCTCGATCAGCTAACACGATCCCAGGAAACCCTCAACTACTGGAAACAGCTCTCCCACGTGATGAAGTACTTCCGGCCAGAGGAGGACCCCGGCGCCCGGCTACCCCCCAACTTTATCTCCGGCTTCTTGGAGGGCCGCAATTGATTGCATTTTCTCTCGTAAACCACCTTTTCTACTGTTTTCTTAAATTTAGCATTGAGATTTTGATTGGGTTCCCGCCTCGTGTTGCCACAGCTGCGCTGATAGAGGGTGTTATGTATATATTAAGGTTGTCGGAATAAGTAACGTCTTTGTTCAATTGTGCGGATTTCATGTCGACCTTGTGGTAGCAGCGGTAGTTATGAAAACGACGCGTTTAGTCAATTGTCGGATTGCGTATATGTATCTGTTGCTGGAAGTGGCTCGGAAAGTGATAGCCAACTATATATTTCTACGTTGGTAGCCCCATTCCGAGCCCCGGGCCCCGTCCAACCATCATCATCTACTCACCCATATATCTATGGAGCAGCGTGTAAGACATAAAAGGCAATGGAATGCAATCTATAAATTCGCCAATACACATAGATGGTCCTCATCATATAGCCAGGAAAAAAAGACAACCCCATTCAAGCAACTTTTTTACAGTAAACGCTATGCAAATACAAAATAGAAACGGAGTGGGCAGTATATGAGAATTATGACTCCATCCTGTCCGCCTGCTCCGCGTTGAACGTGTCGCGCGCAGTAGTGAATTTATCCGTTACAACGTCGCACAGCTCCATCAAAGTGTCGAGGCCCTTTTCTAGGGCTTCGACTGCGGTTGTTGAGTCTATATCTAGGAGTTAGCTGCCTTTCTCATTCTGAATGTAAGGAAAGGTAACAAACCGTAAGTCTGAATTCGAATGTTCATTTTCGACTCTGAAGGGTGCGGGATCGTGTATCCGCAGAATTCGACCTCGGGGCTGTATCAAGCTCATCAGCACCATTCACTCCCTTCCTGCATAATCAAGACAATCAAGCAAGGTCGTCCAGATGACTCCAACGGACTAGAGCGGGTTTAGCTGGTGACAGGACATACTTCTTCATGATCGCATAGCGCAGCGCATTGCCTAACGTGTGTCCCTCGCCCTCAAACTGAAACGACGCCGCCGTGTCCGTAGCTCCGGGTAACTGTTTGCAGCGTTAGGATTATCTCATCCAAAGCGGCCTCATCATTCATTCATTCGAATGGCCAATTGACGAGGCCCTGGAGGGAACATGTCCATACAACAACAATCCGCTTCTGCTCGAGTACTGACTCGTCCTGCTCAATGTGCTCCTGGTTTTGCGCTTGCGCATCAAGCATTGACTGGTCGTTGTCTTGGGAGTGGACGGAAGAAGGCATGTTGTTTCGTTCTTTGCGCTGCACTTGGTCTCGCGGGGGTGTCGGAGGCGATCGGAGAGATGGAGGGGGTAGGCACGGGATCGGGGTGTTGGCAAGGGTGTGTTGAGGTTCGTATCGTTTGAATCGGTGTCGCGACTGGGTTGCGACGGGGGTTTCAAGGAATCAAGTAGTCGAGGGCAATACTAATCAAGAGAAACCTAGCTCGCATCATGAACCAGGAGAAAAAAAGTCGAGTGGTTATCGATAGGTTGACCGCCTTCTGACCATTACTGCCTCAGGCTCCTATCCGAAGTATATGTTGCTGGCCCTAGATTCGTACGTACTCTAAACCACTCTTCAAGAAAGCAATACATATCCCCTCAACTTTACGAATGCGAGTGCTTGAATTTAAGACATTGCTCTTTTGAGATGGCAAGCATAAGATGTAGAAACAGCCCACTCAGTCCAGCACCTGAAGTGGATTTACACAGAGTACACCGCACGTCTTATCTTCAGACAGAGGAGGGCAGATAGCTGCCATATTGTTAGCGAGCCCGGCATGCTGGTTGCATGATCACATCACAATCCTGTATTCCGCAGGAGTAGTTCAGGCTGTCAAGCATAGAGCTGGGAAAAGACACCAATATGTAACTCAGGATATGACAGTCACAGTGGAGATAAGCACCTAAAGCAATATTCAAAGCATTGTCCAATCAGCCATGAAGATGTGCCAGGTTTGGCGCTGCAATTGCAGCAGGGCCCGGGGTTAATGGATTTAGTCTCTGTACGACGTGAGTCTGGCCATTAAGACGAAGCACTGCTGCAGTCTAGAGCTTTCAAGTCCATCTAAACCAAGGTGCCCATCGGTATGAGGTTTCTAGGGGTGGGTTGGTAGATTGATCAGCCAGATATTAACTGCAGTAGTGCTGCGTTGCCAATTGACTTGGGTTGGGACTGACAACTAAGTCATAAGCATAATTGGGCTTGGGTAAACGGGCAAATGAACAGAAGAATTGTTCAGCGAATACGGAGTAGAGAGTGGTAGCTTCCATACTTCAGAGAAGCGATATATCAAGCTGACTCATTAGTTAGAGAAGTTGTAGATTGAACTGGGTTCGAACTTCGGCCGGGTCTGCGCTCAGGCTGGTTCTTGTGCGTTGTAAAAAGAGTACACCTACAGAGAGATCTTCCGAGGTCGCCTAGAGAAGCTTGCTACTACTTGGAGTTGGTCCCCTTGGGATCATCGATTTAGACTAGGCGAAGATCGTTTCTGACAGCACAGCGGCTGGCGCGAGCGGAAGTGCCTGTAGCACGGCCCTCCAACCTCGCAGCCTCAGATCGGAGCACAGCAAGTCTAGAGTACTCCGTAGTATGTTCCTCGTTGTCCAAGGATTGAGGTCGGCTATCCGAATAATGGGAGCCTGGGAATACAGTAGTTGGAAAGTGAGAGGTCAATTTGGATATTTGAGCAAGAAAAAGAAAGCACAGCCTCTGCAATGCCATGCCACTCCGGCCTTTCCTCACCTCGGATGAGGGGAAGTCATAAATGTGTGACAGAGACGGTGGAAGCCGAGACTGTTGGCCGTCCGTGGTTCTCCTCCACCGGCGCCAAGGTGGGACTCCACAACAGACCTTCAATCTATCTGGGAATACAGAGTAGATTCAAGAACCTTTCTTTGATAATATTATTAGATCTGGCTGCGCTGAACATCGAAAACAAAGAAGAACCCAGCTGAGCCCTTTCGACATTTAGGTGAAGGAACCGTGGAGGTCCAGAGCCAGGCCCCATACAAAGCGTGTCCCCAAGCGCCGCAGGATCTTCATAGGCTGGATCGATCGATGGGTCCTGAGCCCCTGCCTGCTCTGCTTACAACAGCTCTGTCCAGTGTGCCTACCAAGTCGCTCATGGCAGGGCTGGAGGCAGCATCTGAGGCAGGGCCTGAGACCTACCCCGGGTCTGTAACATGATGAGAGTCGAAGCCACATTTTATATTCGCAGATACCTAGCACGAGGGCTCAGTCAGGAGGGAGGATTTGGCAAAATGTCACATCATCCACTTTGAAACCACACACGTCTCAAACAGCGCCAATCAGCTGCCCCTGCTCCACGGCCAGGAACACTGGATTCTTGATGGGGAATCGGGGATGCATGAGAGCAAGAACTGTTTCAGCCCAATTTCATTATAATAACCTCCAGATGAATATTAATTTTATTTCGCTGTGATACTCTGCTCCGTCACAATCCCCGATCACTCCTCCACCTTTCCTCTCCTTCCTTCTCCTTCCCTCCTCCTTCTATCCAGCTTCTCTTGCTCACCCGCGAGCTGATATTCTGCTGCTTCGTCTGATTATTGCATTCTTATTCTTTCCGTCCCTCGTTTCTTTTCCCACCGGTTCCTTTTGGTGGCTGACTGCGTTCGTTCTGGATCCAGGCCATTTCCTTTGGCATCGTCGTCACATTATTATTGCCGCCAGCCAGCCCCTCTTCAAAGCAGCAATTCGTATTGGCTCGCCTTGGCCCTGCCGCCCTTCTTCATTCTTCATATTCATACTCTTTGTTCTTGGGCCCTCCCTTCGTTAGCCGCCTCCTCGCTTCGCAGCTTCTGCCGCAGTTGAAGCTTCTACGCTTGTCCGTTCCAGACCGTGCCATCGTCGTTGGCCGCTATATATACAACAAAGAGAGTTTATGATAAGAAGCGAAGTATTGCGGCCATCATCGACCGGATATCTGAATCGCTCCTCCTAGCCTTCGTTTACTCTCGTCTCCCTCATCGCTCGCTTTCCGACTCGCTGTCGTTATTTCCTATAATGTCTACCGCCGTCGCCCAAGCCCCGGCCGCAGCGCTACCATCCCCCCGCATGAATAGAGAGTCGAGCCCGAGACGGCTGGCACCAGCAGCCTCCAGTCACCCCAGCTCTACACCCCCGCGTGCGGCTCTTGTCTCGCGAGATGGATCTTCAAATAAGAGTTCCCCTGCCGGGAAGAAAGTGAATTCGCCCGGGTAAGTACACTCGAAGAAAGTCGATGTGAAGGAGGAACTATACCTGATATTTGGATAGTTCACAGAGTGGAAACGCTCCGAAAGTGATAGTAAAGAAGGAACCGCCTTCCTCGCCCGGAATGCAAACAAGTACCCGACCCCGACCCCGAAAACTAGATCTCTCCACGAGCCTCCCCAGCTCTGAGAGACTGTCAGCCCGGCCGCCTGGCGGTCCTATGACAGCTCGCGATGTTAGTATGCAGGATGTAGGACTGGCCTGCTTGTCCCCGGGCTTCCAAACCCACGATCCGATTATGCGGGAACAGCTACAGAGGAGCTTGTCGGTCCGAGACCAACAACGACATATAATCGAAGCTAGACTCCAAAAATCGGCCAAGGATGACGGCCCGGAGGGTATGAAACCATCCGAGTCCAATACGTTTAGTCTTCCAAAGGCTGCGTCTTCGAAAAGGAGGCCTCCTCCGGGACTGTCTATCGTACCCCCAACAGCGGCGCAGTTCGCCAACGAGCGTGTAATCCAGTCCGCACCACTTAACCAAACATTTACAGGTCGGCACCAACCGCAACCATTGACTCGCCACGTTGTCAATCAGAGCCCAACGCTAGGTTCTACTTCGCATATACACCATGTGCCCGCGACACAAACCGCCAATCGCCTTCCCCCTCTTTCTGATGTCTTTGGGTCCGACTCTTTGACGGCTGCTCGCGAACGTGACGCGAACCGCACTCCCTACCAGCAGAATAACCTCCCTCCCATGCCGTCACCTAGAATATCAGGAATCGCGCAGCAATCTAATAGACCACGCGAATACCGCTCAGCCGAAGAGGCAGTTCAAGATATGTCTGGTGGACGCGAGGACCTTCTACCCCGTATCGTGCACTATGGTGGCCATCAACCTCCCACCCCACCCTCCCCCCGCGCCGCCAACGGTCCCAAGTCTGCTGTTCCCCATCTGGAGTCAACAACAATGGCAAGCGCACATGCTCCTCACCACCCAGCGCCGTACGCAGCTGAAGGAACTGCTCGCCGTCGTCCTAGAAGTGAATATGAGCGGGACAACGGCAGCCCGCCGTTGGGCCATGGGCCCGACCCTCACTACAGGCCTAATCCTGCTTTAGGACATGCTTCAAACCCGGCATACGGGCCGTTCGGAGCTGGTCGAGACTCGCCAGAGACGCAACGGAGAAAGAAGGAAGAATTCTTAGGTCTCTGCGCGCGTGCCTGGGACCTATTTCATTCTTAGACGTTGCCAGCTTATTCGCAAGCGGTAGCAACTATATACCGTCCGTGATGCCCACCTTTATCTTGCGCCGCGATGCTGATAATACGTCTTTCTGATTTAAGCTGGTATATTGTTTCCGGCCGCGCAAATGATGATCTGAAATGGCTACATGAACCGCATGAACTGAATCAAAAAGAGGTTCAGATTTGTTTTTTACTTTTTCCCCCTATTCGTCCTCCTATTCCTGGGGTCCCTTTTCGTTGTTCTTTTACTACCTACTGTAAAAGACATACGCTTTCTAGTTTGACCTGATTCCACTCTATGTCAGGAGGCGTTATATGGAGTTTTTTTCCCCCTTATTCGGTCCATGTTTACAGGAATCCTGTCCATATCCATTTTCGACCTTTGAAGTCTCGGTGATTATTGCAGGGTTTTGATGCCCTGTTGCGATACCACTTATTTGCTCATTATCATTCCCCCTTCGCTGCTGGTCTGAGAACCATGGTATTTACCAGATGTTCTAATTGGGATAGTCTCTTTATGTGACGAGGCTGCGGATAGTTTTGGATAATGTCAACTAATATGCGTGGCTTTTTTGAGTTTTTATTCCCATTTCTGCCTTGTTAGAGCCTGTACCCTACCTATCAAGCATGTACAACCAAATAGCTCAAATCTGTAATACTTCACAGGCTCAACTACCTAGGCCATACGCTGCCGCTTTCTCGGCGCCGCATCAAAATCCTCACCGAACCCTCTCCGCTCCATAGGCATCTCCTTTCTCTCCTTAGCAGCAGCCTTCTTACGTCTCCTTTCTAAAGCCTTCGCCCGATCCTTCGACTTCATGCCCTCATACTTCTTCAGCAATGCCTGCTTTTTCACATCCGACTTCTTTAAGAAGTAAGGCGTAGCCTTCTTTCCCTCCCGAATAAGCTGTTTCTCCCGCTTCTTGTGCTCGGACAGAATCTCCTTCTCCCGCTTATTATTCTCAATCGAACGTAGCCGGTCTGCCGTGGCTCGGATTTCCCGCTGTAAAGCCTCACGCCTCCTCACATCCTTCGTCTTAGCAAGTTGCTCCTTCAGCGACTTGAGTTCCGCCGCGCGGTAATCGTCCAGGAACGCATACGCGTCGCTCGGTGCAGAGGAACCACTTCCGCCTCGACCACCTACAATCGTCGGGTCGAACCTCGGATCACGAGTCTTAGGTACACTAGGCGGTTCAACGATGGTTCGTTTCCGCGAAACGGCGTATTTTGACGATTGCACTGTTGGCGCATGTTTGGAGGTACGGGACGGCGGTTTCTCAAATCTCAAGGAACTGTTATCCTTCGACGCTAATGACGCCTTGCGCTTCTGCTCGCGCGCCTCTTGGATCCGGGCTCGGATGTCGTCTAATGGGGAAGCGGTAGTTTCTTCGCTCTCTTTGAGGGCTTTGGTGCGTCGTTTATTTTGGGGCGCGAATGAAGCTTGCGCTTTGGCAAGGGCGCCGAATGAAATGTTGTTCAGAGAAGATTTTACATCCTCGTCCTCGTCTCCGTCATCTTCATCTTCGGAACCCAAGTCGCTTGCTTCGGAGTCTTGCGTTTCGGAGTCGGACTAGAAAGAGTCAGTGGGATTATTATGAGCCAGCGAACGTCCAATAGTGCATACATCATGGTCGTCGCCGTCTGAGAGGCCTTGACCAGCTCGTTCTGAACCGGATTCGTCTGATCCCTCATTATCGCTAGGTGCTTCTGATCCCGATTCGTCGGAAGAGACATCTTCGTCTTCATCTGGGGCGGCCCGCACGCGACGGTTCAGAAGGTCTGAAATAGCCATCTCGCCAATTTTCTCCTCGAGATCGACCAGCAACTGCACATGAACAAATGGAAGCACAGTACCGCTGGCGGAGAAATGACTGGCTGTTGAAATTGTTGATGGCGGTGAGGTCGCACGAAAGTTCAGAATTTCTGCCGGGGTTTAAAGGCGGTAAGTTGTCCTCGATTTGTTTGATCTAGATTTTGAGCAAACATTCGCGGGGCGCTTAAATCCTCCATGTCTTTTGCGAGTTGCCTGTTTTTTTGTTTTGCTTTAGTTTCTGTCATTGTCCTTCTGCCACTGCTCTGCGAGCTTGCATTATCTACGCCTTGTAGCCCTGGTGTCTTTCGTTTTTGTTTCTTAGCTAGCCTCTCGTTCTCGAATCTCTCACCCAATGTCCCGGTGTGGGGCTTATGATAAGGTGTTTATACAAAATCGTGCTCTGACGACGAACACTGAATGAAAGACAGCTAACGTGTTGCAGCTCGTTTCCAGTACATTCTCTAACCATCGACCCCTCCTGAAATATCGTTCACATTCATTGCCCGTCCGAAAAATACCCGTGGCCCACGCTAGTACCGGCAGATATCTGTTGCTCCCTCCCACAATGAAGTCGCAACAAACTTCGCCCAACGACCCGTCCGGCGTCGAGTCTCAAGCGGGGAGTAAGAGACCACCAAGTCCCATCACGGCAACTTCGAGGCCGGAGTGGAGACCATACAACGGTCGTTGGAACGCGAATGTGGCATATCGGGATAGTCGCAACGAGGCCAGTCTGGATGAGGCTGCTACATATAATAACCAGACGTCGCGGCGAGGTCGTCCACAGCAGAACCAATGGGCATCCAGCAGAAATCCCAACGGTCCTGCGGATGTTCGTGGTAACCACGGCCGGTCACGCTCTCCGCGAAGAGACGCACCGTCACTACAATCGCCTCAGTTGCCGAATGTCCATAATCCGGTCTCGTTCCCAATGAGCAATGTCCTGGCCGACTTTTCTATGATGAATCCGTTTGCCATGTTCAATGGGTTCCCCATGCCGACAGATCCTTTACCATTTCAGTTGCCATTTTTCTCACCCAATATGCCGGACCAGTCGCAATCACAATTCCCTCCAGCGTTCGATCCGTCTTTACCAAACCCTGCACTGTTTCCTTTACTCGGTGGTGGGAGTCCCTTTATGACTATGCCACCGTTTCTACTGCCGTTTATGGACTTTAACATGATGAATCAGGCATCTCCGAACCCTATGTTGAATACTATAGATCAGATGGGGACAACTACTTCTGCTGGCTTCACTGCTTCCGGTCAGCAACAGTCGGATCGAAAGGGATTAACTGGATCAACGGCATCAACGGCATCAACGGCATCAACGGCATCAACGGGATCAACGGGATCAACGGGATCAACGGGATCAACGGGATCAACGGGATCAACGGGATCAACGGGATTAACGGGATCAAAGGGATCAAAGGGATCAAGCAGACCAAAGGGGTCTAAGGCTAGGCGCCAGGCCTTTACGGCCCATCGACCTCCTTCAGCGACAAAGAGATACCTTGAGCAAGCGTCTCTACCACCCCAGGAATTATCGTCTCCTCAGAAATTGCTCGTTATTCTCGATCTCAACGGCACCCTAATCTACCGGAAGACTAGGAAGTTTCCTCCGTCGTTTTCTCGAAGAGCTGGTCTGGAGCAATTCTTAAAGGTCCTGCTCGAAAAGTACAAGATCATGATTTGGTCTAGTTCACAGCCAGAGACAGTGGCCGCAGTCTGCGACAAGCTGTTCCCGAAACCTAAGAGAAAGAAACTCGCTGCCGAATGGGGTCGCGATAAGCTTGGCCTCTCGAAAGCCGAATACAACAGCAAAGTTCAAGTTTACAAGACTTTAACCACAGCCTGGTCCAGCAAGCAGGTCCAGGCATCACATCCGCAGAGAGCCAAAAAAGGCATGACATGGCACCAGAGAAAACAGGCCCTTCGCTGGGACCAGACCAACACGGTCCTCATCGATGACAGCAAAATCAAGGCTGTTAGTGAACCTTATAACCTAATCGAGATCCCCGAATTCACCAACGACCCTAATGTCGATGAGTCTCTTGTTTTCCCGAAAGTCCTCCAGCGCCTCGAATTGCTCGCCAGGTGCGACGATGTCAGCAAGATGCTCCACCAATGGGCGACCGCCAACCCGGGAACGAGCGTCTTTGATCTCGATCTAGGACCTGTGGAGCCATTACCACTCTCTATTCTGGATGAACCGGCTCTCCCTCCTGCCCTGGCACGTAAACTGAATCGCAAGGCTCGCAAGCGTGAGAATCAGGCCGCTCGTAAAGCTGCTGCTATTCTTGCAGCCAGGGCTGACCCTCACGCACTCAAGTCTGCACCAGCTTCTCCCTTGCCTCAGGATACTCAGTTGATTCCGACCCCGGCCCCGTGCCTGGACTTGATACCGAGTACGAACCAGACGGAGTGGCAGTTGCAGGCAGCTGCCAGTGTGAATTCAAAATCTGAAGACCCACATCCGCAGCCTTATCCTTCATCACACCCGGAGAGATCGCCGTCACCTGCGTCATCTGTCCAGTCTGACAATACCTTGTTAGACCGCTTGGAGGAGTCATTGAGATAATCACGATTGAATGTTGGAGTCTTCGGGTCGGTTCTGTTATACTTTTATCTTTTCCACCTTAGCTGGATCATGCATACTTCCACGTTTAGAACTTCGATATCCGGAGTTGCATTTAGTCATATGTGCCTAAGCATTTCAGTCTGGATTTGCCGTATGTATGCATGCATATGTTTCGGTTTGCGGTGATCATAGTGATACATCCTTTGGCCTGCATACAACGAAGATCCACCTGTCCAAGTACCTAAACACGGGTCAAAACCCTGTGCACACTTCCTATTTTCCCACTAAAAATAGCAAAATCTGGACATTTTTTAAATTAATATAACTAAATAAAATTATACTATAACTTATACTTTAAAAAATATATAATTAAATTAAAATAATAAACTTTTTATATATTACCACTAAATTTTAAAAAATTTTAAGTTTTAAAAAGTTATTGGTATTTTAAGGGAGGGAAGTATTAAATTTTAAATATATATAAGGTCCTTGGCCTTAGGGATTTACAAATAGTGTAATAGGGTGTAATACACCTAAAAAAGAGGTTTATAAATAGTAATTTTTTTTAAAAAATAAAAATATTAAAATTAATACTAAGGTTTAAATCTCTGGCCTCGCGGAGGCCAGATATTCTTAGTATATGCTAAGTTAGTACCTAAAGGCTAACTTAGCTATCCGCGAGCAAAGCTATCCATGGATATCTTTAAGTTTTATAAAAGGGCTATATACAGTACAATAGGCCTTACAATATATATTATGGGCGCCCGTATAAAAAAGTGCCAAAAAATAAAAAAAATAACATGTATTATTAAAAAAATTATAGCTTTTAAAAGGCCTTATATATACTTAAAAAAATATATTTATAATATTAATAAAAGGCTTTAGTTTTTAAATAGAATATAAAAAAAATATATATTAATATTGTTAGGGCTAACATTTTTTTATTTAATATTACTAGAGCTAATCTACTATTAGTCCAGAGTTAGCGCCTAAGCTTTAGCTTTAGGCTGTTAAGGCTTAGTATATCTTACTATTATATTAGGTTATATAACTTAACTAGGTTATTATTATTTAAGGTCTTGGTTATTAATTAGGCAAGGCTAGGGTAGGCCTTAAATGTGGCAGCTAATTGCAAGCTATGCGGATGAAAAGAGTCTTGAATTGTTTTCTATGCCGCGGAGCGGCCGAAGTATTTATAGTCACGTGCTGGGGCGGTAGTACAGGGTAAAACCTATACTTTATAAGGTGGCTTGTAGTACCGCTATATATCCCCCTTGTTAAAAAAGTGTAGTATATAATAAAAGGAACTAAATAGCTAAGTTAAAGCTAAGCTTAATAATAAAAAATATAATTAAAAAAACTTTTTAATAATAAAGCAGAGCTTAACATAAACTAAAAACTAAAATTTAATTAAAAAAAAAATAAAAACTACAAAGTAGCTACATGCGGTATTAAAAAAGAAAAAATAGGTTATAACCAAAGTTAAGCTTAATAAACATTAAAAATGTAAAACCGCGTTAAAAAAAAACGTAGTAAAAATAGGGTATTATTTAAGCGGGTGTAAAATAACCTTTAAAATATAGTGCAGGTATAAATAAAAGTAAATAGGGTAATAATAGGGTATTATAGCTTTTAATATAAGTATTAGCTATAAACTAGCTTATCTTTCTTTTTTTTATAACCAAGGTAGGCGGTAAAGTACTTATATATAGTTTATACTTCCATGTTATAAAATACTAGATTAAAAACCTTGCTTTATATATTTTTAAATAATTAATATAAAATATTTCCAGGGTAATAAAAAGCTTTACTATATTATTTATAAATATTATTTTAAAAAAATATTTTAGCATGTTTTTAATATAATTTATAATTATTTTAAAAGCCTATTTTTAAGAATAACTAGCCTTAATATTTTTTTATGTAAAGTCCAGGCAGTGCTTTTTATATAAACCATGTAAAGTAATTAAGTAATAATTTAATTTTTTTTAAGGTTTTTAGGGGTTGGTAGGCTAATTATACTATAAATATTAATAATATAAAGCTTTTAGGTTATAGCCAAGCTTATTAAGTAAATTATTAAAAAATTTACTAAGTTTTTTATTATTTAGTAGCGTGTAATTATAAAAAATACTAGGTATATATTAAAAATAGCTAACTAGTTACCTAGCTATTATAATGCTATTAAAGTATTTAAATATTTAAATTAAGTATTATTTTAAGGCGTGTTTTACTAGCCTAGTACACTAAAAAAATTAGGGCCCAAGGAGCTAGTATTAGGATTAAAACTAAATAATCTAAAACTAGGGGGATTAAAAAGTCTGGAACTGCTAGCGCTTTTAAAGCCTTATATATTAAAAAGGTTTTATATAATTCCCATAGTATTTATTAGGGTTAGCAAGGTGTAATTTATTTTATAGTAAATTTCTTGCAAGTGCCGTTAAATAATACCCTTTATTTTTATAATTATTTACTAGTAATTAATAATACAAACCTTAATATTATGCTAGGCCTAGTTAGCTTTACCCTTTAATATATTATACTTGTAAAATACTTGCTCCGGTTTATAATAAAAAATACTAGTAAACTAGTTATTAAAGCTTAAATATTTTATTAACTTTATAATAGCGGCCTTTTTATTTTATACCCTTTAAAACTAAATAATATATAACTTATTTATATTAGCACATGTTAGTACTTTAGGAAAGATTTTTAATAATATAATATTAACCTTTACTTTTTTTTATAATTTAATAAGCAGGTCCACCTTTTTTATATATTATTTTATTTATTATTTAGTAATTTACTTAACTATTTTTTAGCATGTAATTTATAGCATGTTTAGGTTTTGTAAGACCAACAAGTCTCGAAGATCTCTACTAACAATGAAGATATTAACAAAGGAATCTAATTAATAAGAATGGAGTATTTTAAACCCTATTAAATAATATTAAAAAAGTTACTTAAAGATTTTAAAAAAGGCTAGCCTTAAGGCCATCTTTATAAACCTTTAAGCTATACTTAAGCTATTTTTAACTAAAAAGTAAATATAAGTTTAAATACTTTGCGCATGGGTTTTTACTTTAGCTTATATTTAGGGCCTACCCTAGCCTTGCTTAATTAGTAGCTAAAACCTTAAATATTAATAACCTAGTTAAGTTATATAATTTAATATAATAATAAGGTATACCAAGCCTTAGCGGCCTAAGGCTAAAGCTTAAGTTACTTAAGGTATTAATTTTAAACTAATAATAAATTAACTTTAATAATATTAAATAAAAAAATATTAGCCCTAATAATTTTTTTTTTAATTAAAGGGTTGTCCGCGACCCGCTGCTAAATTAAAAAAAAATAATAATAAAATACTATTATTATTATTAATATTAATATTAAACATAGCTTTATTATTATTATTTTAGACTTTATTAAAGTATTGTTTAATATATTAAATTTAGTGTTTTATTTTTATTATTTATAGCGCTTTAAATAAAATATAATATTTATTTATAATTAAAAGGGGAAAGGTGGCGTTTTAATAATACCTAGTATAAAAGTATAAATTATAGCATAGTTTATAGTTTTATAAACTTTTAAACTTATTAAATTTTTTACTAAATAAAAAGTTACTTTTTTTTTATTATAACTAAAAAAAAAGCCCTTTTAGGCGCTGCCCTGGCTTTTTAATAAGTAAAAAAAAAGCGCCTTGCTATAACTATAGTAATTTAAAATATTCCTACCTTTGCCCTTTAAACTCCCATAATGGTATAGTTATAAAACCCCTTTAATATAATATTTTTACTAACTTTAAAAGCCCTTAGTATTTTTAATTTTTTTTTAGTATTTATCCCCCTTTAGGTTTAAAAACTTTAATTTTAATTAATTTTTAAGTAGTAATAATAATAGTAATAACTAGTATAACTTATATTTAATAAATACCTTTAAAATATATAATAAGGTTATGGGTAATAATTTAGTAAGTTTTTTTTACTTTAATAGCTACTAACTAGCAGCGCTTTACCAGCGCTTTATTAAATATATTAATTTTTAATTTTATAATAACTACCTTATTATTTAATTATAACCCCCGCGCTTTTTAGCTTACCTTTTTTTATTTTACCTTGCGCTATACTAGCTATTATTATTATTAATACCCTTGCTATAAGTTTTATATTATTACCCTTTTAAGCTTTTTTTTTTTAGCCTTTGGTTTTTTTTTTTTATAAGTATACCTTATTTTTAACTAGTTTGCTTGTAAAATAGCTTTAGTATAAATATTAATTAATAAAAAATAGGTTTGCTTACGGTATGCAAAGTATATTTAGGTATATAAAAATAATAGGTTAATTAATAACTTTAATAACTATGTTTATCCAGCCCCCGGGTGTAACTACTTTTATTATATTTATAATAAGGGTACTTGCCTCCCCCTACCATTTTATATAAAAAAAATATTACCTTTTTATAATAAATAAATCCTGGTAACTATAATAAATACCTTTATTATTAAAACACGTTTACTTGCTAGGTTAAGTTAATAATAAAGGCTTATAAAAAAAATAAGCCCTAAGGTTTATATAATAAAGGTATTAGCTTTAGCTATTTAAAAGCTTATTTAGTTTTTTTAGCTTGCTATTAAATAGCCCCTGGCCTATTTTAATAATAGCTAAAATAATTATTAGTTTGCTAATATTTTTTTTTTTAAAAAACAAGCCTGTTATGTCTTTTTTTTTAAAAAATACTAGGTGTAAAAAAAAAATACCTGGAAAGGCCCTTACTCCTGCTCCTAATATTAAATAATAGTTTTTTATTATAGCCTTTACCGCGTAGCTAGTTATTATTTTTTTTTTTAAAAAAAAA